CATATTTTCTCTACAAGGTTGAGTATCTTGTCTTACTTATTGTTATTAGCTGTTTGATAATCATGTCGACAAATAAAATGTGATTGTTGCTCATAATTATTTCGAATAAAATATCCTCCGCCAATGGTAATCAATGGCCGGTGGCAAAGATAACATATTAAACAATTTTCGTGAAAGATTCCATGTTTATGTACACGTAAATAACTTTCATCTTTTATTATTAAACCACATTGAACGCAATTGTTTTCACCAAGAATCAGTGTATTATTACCCACAATGTCATAGTCAACTAATGAAGTTGGAGTTAACTAAAACGAAATGAGAAAATTCATGGTTTTCTTCTTTCCAAAGTCGAGTTTTTTTTTCTTCTTTTTACTTCTGGATGTTCAGTGAGAGGTTCAGTCAATTGTCTTGGAGGAGTTGGTGCTAGTAAACGTTCAATCATCACGTTCTGTTTAGTGCGACGTGTGGAGATAGATGCACATCAAGCGTTTTTTCTATGGTGGCTAGTGGTGCGAAGACGAGAAAGAGAGAGAAAGCGAGACGACGAAGAAGAAAGAAGAGAGACAGAGGGAGAGAGAGGAAAAAGTGAGACGATCGTTTGTTTCTTACTGTGTATGTAGGACGATGACGACCAACGAGAAACAAGAGAATGTGTGTAAAGAAAAGAAAATACTCATCGACGAACCGGAGAAAAGAACGAAGTAAACGAGTGAGAGAGAAAGAAAACGGCTCGATTTTGATCTGGTGACGCTTGTTGAATAAGGTCAAGCTGAGATTTGATTACATCAATATTGAAACATGCACACACACACGTTTGTTCGGCTACTAGGACCATACGTATAGGGATGTGTGTGTGTACTCACTACCGATAAGCCTAGTACGATCGACCAATGTATACGCAAGGCGTCTGGTCAAAGAGAAAATTCGATTGAGGAATAACACACATCTGTCAATCGTTAAATAGTTTGCCAAAAAATAAAAAGACTTTGAATTGATTTTAAAATGCTCGACTAATTCTTCTCGAAAGAGAATTTGTAAATTCTCATTAGGACAAATAAAATATTTGATTTGTTCATTCTTTGCATTAATAATGAATAGATCTGTGTGTACATTGCCTTTTTCTTTTCTCGTTATCACCAGAAACATCGTAACACATATGGTACATTGATGAACATGTCATTAGAAAGAATTAGTTTCATATTCTCTCGGTTTTCTTTTTGTTCGCACCGATTGATGATAATTAATTAGAGTTTGACCTTGTATTTGTCTTATCAATGAAATATTCATTTTTTTCTCTTCTTGTTCTCAAAATAAGACATTGTAGTCCAGTCATTTCTCATTTTCTTCTTTTTTTGCTACTGTTTGTGTTGTTCGTTTAACGAAGCCAATTATTTCCCATCGACAAACATAAAAAGAAGTTTTTCTTCTCTGTTGGTTGTACTACTTGAAACAGAATATCTGGTGTGTGTGTGTGTGTGTTGTGTATGCGCATGCATGACTCGTAAATGATTTCACACATACACATATTGAGGAAAGAACGACTTGTGTTGATCTACTCATCAGTAAGAGAAGACGAGGGTGGAAGGCACGAGTGCGGTATCCCGAAGGCTAAATACAAACAGTTGACTTTTTCTTTGAGACATCCTAAAGGAAATATTATTGTTGTTCTTTCTCTCTTCAGCGAAACATCAATTAGTGTGTGAACAAAAAAGAATAAAAAATGAAATCCCGCGTTCGAAACAAGATGATCTTCAAGTGTTTTATATGCTTGTCGACATAAGTGATGAATTGAAAGCAACGCGTAAATCATTGATACATTTACACACTTGACAATATATGTACATAGATAGAAATGATGAGATGCCCCGCGAGAATAATCAAAAAGAGATGAGATAGATGGCGTACGATCTCAAATAAATAGAAAGTTTGAATTAATTGAAAAATGATGTATCATTTCATCTTTTGACCATTTTCTTTTTTTACCAATCGGCATGAGTTCGTTAGGATGTCTCCTGTTGTTTCGCATGGTGAGAATATCGTTTGATCATTGAGAAGAGAAGAAAGAGTGCGGTATCACTGTCATCATCATCATCATCCTCATCTTGTTGACTTGATTCTCTTCTTCATCGTTTTCTCTTTTGCGTAGTCTTAAATAAAAAAAAACGAAGGATGAAACAGTTAATTCGATCTCACTTATGTCTCGTCTCATGATTCTTCAAGTGGCAAATGATCTCATGTTGAGACTAGGTGCTTTCATGCACGACAAGTCTTTTCTTTGCCTTCTTTATAATTGTCTCCATTCATGTTCACCGTTTCCAATCAAACGTGTACCGTTCGAACAAAAGCTCAATGTCATCATATGACTTACTATTCTTTAGTCAACTTCCATTGAAAACAAAAAAAAAATAGTAGAAGAAGAATGTGAAAAATCAGTATGAACAAACAACAGCTGAAATATTGTGATTGATCAGTAGTGAACAGTTGTTTGTTGAAAGTTATTCTCATGAGTGAGAACTTTTTTCAAATGAACGCATAGTCCATCGAAGATTACACTACCACGTTTGTCGGTTTTCCATTCAATTTCATCGTCGGGAATGAGATCACAAAAGTCGGAATCATTCTGTAGTGAATTATTTAATGTTTGACCTTGGACGGTGAACGAATCAGGCATTTGCCGACATCGAAGAACAATTTTAGCTGTATAAACACATTTATCTATTTGTGATGTGAATTCCATTGAAGTTGCGTAGTGATTTTGCGCTGCATAACGTATAGTTGGTGAAGTGAAAAATGCCTTTTGACTAGAAATGAAAAGACATTAGACAACGAAAAAATAAATCGTGTGTTTACTCAGGAATATGTCCTAATCGAATAGCTAATCGAGTTCCATCGAAGAGTGTATCACCAGGTAAACAAATTTGACGATGTTTTATCATCGACAACGCGGCCGATGGTACTGTTCCATGATAAGACACTGCCCATTTGTCCTAAATACAGAAGTTTAGTATGATAGTTTCGGTTTCAACTCTTACTAGACAAGGTTTACCCAGATTTGATGAACTTTAGCCTGAACACCATCTACTTTAAGTCCGAATTTCATCCAGTTTCTCGGAATAATCGTTGGATATTTATTTCCGGTATTCACTTGACAAATATTCGGCATTGGCAATGGATAACACGTTTTGCAAAAACAACGATCATATTCGGATGCAAATACTTCTGCTGGCCAGTTTAGACGTTCGACTAATTCACTGCACAGAGCCTAGAAACAACACAGATAGAATTGTTAGCCATCATAGTCAAATGTAGAAAGACATTTCTTAACTCTATAAGAACATAATGGTGAATTGAATTTGATTGGTGACATGACGATCGGTTCATTTGGTAATTGACTCGATTGAATAGATGATGCAATTCCACCAATATCCCGTTTTCGATTGAACATTGCCATATGTTCAACGCGTTCGATAAGTTGTTGAATGGCACGTGCATCTTGCCGTTGTTCTAGTAGTTGAAAATCTTCGATATCCTTTTGAAGTTGTTTCTTTTGAATGAAAAGAGGTGAATTTCCATTTGATTCGTGTAATAATTGTTCGTTTTGCTTCGCTAATTTCTTGTGTAATTGTTGTTGCATCTCACGAAGAAACAATTCGAATGTTGCCTCCGATGAATCATGATTTGGTATCGTTAATTTAAGTTTATGTTTAGCTGTCAGTTGTGCAGCAAATGTTCGACGAATTTTCGTCTAAATGTTTTCGAAAAGAAAAAAAAACGATACACAAGACAAATGAAATCTTATATTCATATTCGTTGTTTTTATTTAAAGAGTAACGACATTTACCAATTTATTATCCATGTGATATAGGACAAAGAATAGATAGTGAATGTTTGTTTTTCTTTGTTAAATTCTTTTGAATGAATGCTTTCTCGAATAGATGATTTCATACAAGGGAAAAGATAAAGAACGAAAAAGAAGAAAAACACTGTCAACTTTTTCCACCGCAGCAGCTTTTACTACCAGTGGATGGTGGACCTTGATCCTCTGGATTGACGATGTCTTCTTTTGAGGCATTCGCTGATTGAATCACTTCGATGTGTTTCATTATCTTTAAAAAAGAATTGATATTTTAAAGAAAAACAAAATTTCATTTCATTAGCTTCGTACTTCATCGATAAGGAATTTAATTGAATTTTCAATATTAATATTATCTTTTGCAGACGTTTCAAACCATTTGATAAAGCCTTTTTCTTGACAATAATCATTCATTTGTTGAGCATTGTCAGCTAAATCATCTCGAACTAAATCACACTAAAGAACACAGTTGTCAAGTTCTTTCTAATTCCAGAGATATTCAACTGACTTTATTAGCAAGTAACACACAAGGTATCCGATCTCCATTCGGTAGCTGAACTTTACTATCCAGATCCGATTTCCATCTCATCACTGCATCAAATGTTGATTCGCGCGTGATGTCAAAGACAATTAAGCAACCGACCGCGTCTTTGTAGTAGACGCGGGTCATATTGCCAAAACGTTCTTGTCCGGCGATATCCTGAGAGGAAAAGATCACATGATCGATGTTATTCAAGTAATAAATTTTACCCAAAGTTGAAGACGAATCGTGGTATCATCGTTATACGGTATTACTTTTAAAGCGAAATCTACACCAATCTATGAAAATCGATTTGAAGAGAAAGTTCGAGTTTACAAAACTCACTGTAGAACGATAATGTTCGGAAAAGAAATTGTGCATGTATCGTTTTACAACAGCTGTTTTGCCTGTTGCCAATTCGCCGATGACCAACACTTTGAACAAGTATTCACTTTTACCACCATTAGTATCTTCGGAAGATGCGGCACCTTTTGAGGTCTAACGATGAATATAAACAAACAAAAAATACATTAAAAATCCGACATTTTTTTTGTAGTGTCAAGTACACTAACCATGTTGTTTTTACTCAAATGAGATCTTTGAAACAATGATATAATGAAAAAGAGAGAGAAAGATAAATGTTTTATTCATACACGATAAGATAATCGCACGTTATTTATCATGAGTTCGTTTGCATGAATCATCGTTTGAATATAATTCTGAGCGATTTTAGTTAACATAACGCTGCCTGGAGAGGTAATTTCATCTCGATTATTGAGTAGCCGTAATTATATTAGTTATTTAAATATTCTGCTCTTGTGAGTCACTATGATTAGATGTAGTAACAAAAAACGTTTATTCCAGGATCGAAATTTTCATAGAGGAGAACGAGAACATGGTTATGTATAGTGATATCAACTAGTAAGATTCTTGCGATATAAACATGACTGTTGAAATATGTAAAGAGAGAATGAGTAAAACAAAGAACCGACGGTTTAGTCGAGTGAGGTCAATATTTCAAAGATTTTGTCTTTGATCACGAACGAAGATGTTTTAATACTTTCCTATTGCGAAATGTTACGTTGTTTCCTTTTTTTTTATTACAAATTTTAGGGAAAAAGAAATTATAGTCTGTTTAATTCTGTTTTTCACTGAGCCAAAACTTCCAACTGAGCAGCACACTATAGTCTGGTTTTTCGATCTTTTCAAATTCTTCAAACGTTCGTAAACCTTGACCTTTTTGACATTTTACACAGAAACATTTTTCACGAGGATAAATACTATCAAAGATTTGATCCCAAATTTTGAAATAAAATCCCGTATGATACGGTTTATTCTTGATCGATATCGCATGATGTAGATAATGTTGAAATGATGTATTTATTATCGGATGATGAGCATCCGGATACGAAAATTCATGACCCCAGTGTAGATAAATGCCATAACCATAGAAGAATGTTGCAAACTAAAATAAACTCTTCGAAATGATTGTTTTCCTCGAAAAGATCTTCTTACTTGAAAGAACAATAGATCCATATTGACGGGCATTAATATCGGAAGAACAACTAAAGGTAATGCACGTACAAATTGATCTAAATATTCATCAGCTATAACAGCGTACGGTGTTGGATTGAAAAATTGATGATGAGACTTATGTACATTCCAACAAGCATCAATGGTATGACCCATTCGATGGTAAAAGAATTCGAAGAAATCAGTTGATAACCAAATAATAAAAAAACTTATGATCAAATATCCCCATCCGTATTCACCAACTCCGCAATATCCCTGTAATTTTCCTCTTCCCATTAAATGTAACGCCAATGCTGGACAGAATGTTGCTGAAAGAAGACCTTTTAACATTAAAATGATTTCTGTACGAACACCAGTTGGTGGTGGATATTTGGGATTGGACTTTTGTAACCATTTGTCAAACGTTATTTTGACATAATAATGATAGAAAATCAAGGTGGAAAATACAATTAAAACCACGAGTGCAATCAGAGTTAAAATCATCCATGTCAGGATGAAATTATTTCCTGACCAAGCACTTATTTCGCACAGCATTCCCTCACGAACGAAGCTGAATGACGACTTTTATATTTGTCCTATGACCTGAATGATAAGAAACGCAAAGATTGATATCTCTATTTTGAAGCAAAACAAAAAAGTAGAACGATAAACAATAACGACGCCCATGAATATTCTCCGATTGAATTCTTTTCTTTTTGTTTTATTATCTTTAACAAACATTTACACATGATTTTATCCATTAGTTTTAATTAATTTTAAATCATGTGGATATTCATGTCCGCCGATGATCAATGGAGTAAATTTTTCTTCGTCTTTAAATCTCACAAAGCATCGACTAAAACTATCATTGAATTCAGTGAACATTCCGATGATAATCGAATCTTCACGAAGTGATCGATACAATTGTTTGGTGTATTTGCATATCTTCATCAATGATTCGTCATCGTCAACACTATCCGTTGCAAGATAAAATTGTATCCAGAGAAATTCGTGTTTTGGTAGCTGTTCAAGACCAGCTTGATAAGCTTCACGATTGGAGGAAACTTCCATTGTTCGTAAAGATGTACGATCATTCGCTGGTGTTTGCTCGATAATTAAGGCTAGAGACAAGAAGAAACAATAGGAAAATAGGATTTAATTGTAGGGATGATTTACCTTTATCTTGTTGTCGAATTTTTTTGAAAAAATCTTCCTGTAAACCAAATTTTGTTTCGGTTAGGAAAGTTCGACATTCGTCGACACTTTCATTCAATTGTAATGAATCGTAATTTCCTAAGACTTTTAAATGATCAACACCACCGAGAAACCAATCACCAAAATTCAGACCTAATCATCATGGAAATGATGAAAATTTGTATATGTTCAAATAAAAACAAAATCTTTCTTACTATTGCAAAGTTTCAATTGAATTAATTCCATTGTTGCTCGCGCATCTTCTGTTGGATCGTGCTCCAATCGTGTCTTTTGTATTAAGCGCCTAAAATAGTTCATCATAGGTAATTTATCTATTAGTTTAACCTGTTATCATACCCGAAAAAGATGGCATAGAGTTTCTGTAAACTTGACTTTTGAAATCGTGTTCCGCTGACGTTGAAGATGATCGATGTATCAATTATATATGGATAATAAAATTGTAAATATTTCATATCATTTTCAATACTATGGCCAGCTAAGATCGTGTCATCGTCAAACAAATTTTTCATATCTTTTCGCACTTCTTTTAGACTTCGTTCATCGAGATCGGGAACCGTACTAAGAACTTGTTCACGACTAAAATCGATTTTATCCAAGCATAATTGTGTTACGCAAAGATCTAACTCACCGCTGTTGATACTCAGCTAACTGTTGCTCCTCGTCGGGCTTGATCAACACTTGATAAACACACTTCAACTCTTCATCGACAATCGATATCCAATATGGAATTTGTCGATGATTCATATCTTCAAACTAAACAATAGAATAAATTGTGAAAAATGAAAACGTCATTAAACATGATCGTAACATACTGTTTCAACATCTAAGGCTAATATTCGACTCGATGATGTGATTGGTTTGTATGAAGATTTGATTCCTTTGAATTGTTTATATGGATTATAGATTGGACACGGATAGTTGCCGCTAAGTAATTGTTTGAGATTAAGAACTAAATGAACACGTGAAAATTGATCATCACACGGTCGTTGAAAATGTTGAAGTGCAGGTTTTTCATCCTCATCTCGTTGTCGTTTTCGAGTACTCAATTGTTCTGCTTTACTGGTGACAATTGATGAATCTAAATGAATGGATATTCATCGAAATGAAAAAGAAGTAAAGCAATTCGAACCCTGAGATTGGTTTGTTGATCTTGGTTTTGCAGCAATTTTACTAAATTGTTTAATCAATGAGATGTTCTGCTGAGTATGGAAACGAAATGTACGACAGAAATTTTCCTGAAAGGAATCAACATGATTGCTTGCGAATTTCGTTGTTCTTCCTTACCGAAGTAAATAGTCGATTCCATTTTTGAAACTGTTCAGTATTCTTTAATTTAGCATAGCTTTTATCTGAGACACCATTAACATTAATTACTAGAATCTGTTGAAGCTTTTGAATACGTAAAATTTTACTCCAACTAGAGAGAATGAATGAATTTAATGATCGAATGAGAAGCAAATCTTTACCCTGAATCGTGACCACGCGGAGCTTTATCAGCACAACTGAGTAACAACGATTGAATACTTCGCACAGTTAAAATCACTTGTTTAGAATGATCATCTTCATTAGAATCTGCAACTTGATTAGAAGTTATCACAAATTTTGGTTTATTCTAAGATGATAGACATTCGAATATCGACTTTTTTTTCATGAAAATGAGAAGAAACTTACGGCTTTGAGTTTTCTTCGTGCATTGATTGCCTGAATAAATTGTCGTTCAAATTCAGGCGATGGATTTTCGATGATGCTCATCGGTTCAGCACTAGCTTTAACAAGAAATAATTCATCGATCGATTGATTTGTGAATAGATGAAGCCATTCGACAAATAGAAGAATAATAAATTAAATTTATAAATTATTACAAAACAATCGAATAAAAAACAATCTTTATTCTTATCTGTTCATATTCATTTCAATCGGAAATGAATCATTTATCGGTTATAGAGGGCGCTAGTTACGCATTCAAAACCATGACTTAATTAACATAAAGATAAAGTTTTATCGATTCACAGCGTGACTTGTTGGTTTTAGCAAGTACATCATTAATATGGCAAGAGCGACGTTAAGCAGTATTCAAATCCTCGATTTATAAAGATGTACTTTGCATTGATCCCTGTTTTGTCGTATTTATTATACTGTACTAAACTTTTCAACTACGCGTTTTATCCGGGGAAAAACAAAGAAAAAATGGTATTAGTTGAGTTTTGATAGGATTAAGTTAGATATACACAAGAATACAAGAGCAATTTGTTTTGAAGAAGAACGATTTGTAAAAATTATTAGTTAAAAGATTATCATGTTTTTTTTATCAGTGTCCGAAGTGCATACAAAGTTTGTCTTTTTTTCATTCGTCATCATCAAGAATATCATTGTCAGCATCTCATCTTATCAGCTTCAATAACACAATAATAAAAACATCTGTACTCATCGAAGTTCTCCTAGGGACTAAGAGCATCTTTGTATCGTGTTCTCGACATATAATATTTTCTTCATTCATCTACACGATACGATCATTATATTTTTCTTAATTCTTTAGTAGAAAGACAGATATATCATGAATGTTTTGCGTGCATATACAATTATGAGTGTATACATATCGAATAGAACAGTCTGAAGGTTTATGAATATGTAGTCATTGTAAATGTTCTCGTTAAATGTGATAAATAGTTTATCGAATCAAGATAATTACAGGATTGCTTCTCGTCATCATTATGTTGTCGACCAAAGGTGAAAGAGGAGTGTATGGAGAAACGCTTTCGTATATAAATAACGATAAGATCTTCACACATTGTTTCTTTTCTTTTCTTTGAATCAAAATAGATACGATAGAGATGGCTACATCCAGTACAGCGCCGTCCACCCCTATTATTCTCGTACCGACCGACCAGTTAACATCAATCAATGGTGGACCAGCTGTTACTGTGAAAACTTTTTCACAACCAACTAAACATGGCAGTTTCTCTGATTTAATCGATTCAAATGTGAATGCGCTTAGAAATGAAGTGAAGGCATTGTTTACGTTCCGTCCGAGAGAATGGCTCAGTGCATTTCGGCCGAACCCAAAATTTCCATTGTTTGTTCTTGGTGATATTGATGGATTTGTCGCTCTATTTATGAACAATTTAGCCACACTACTGGCTGTTATACTTGGTCTCAAACTTGTCTTCGAAGATGATATTATCTACGGAAAGATTGTGCCCGGGTAAGATTAAAACACTAAGATTCATAAGAGAATAATCTTCTTTCTCTCTAGTGTATCCGTATCGATGCTATGGGGAAACTTATATTATGTTTACATGGCAAGAAAACTAGCCTATAAAGAAAATCGCGGTGATGTATGTACAATGCCATATGGAATAAACACACCAGGCGCATGTAGAGTCATTTGAAATTTCGTTTTGATATTTCGAATAAAAATAATTTGTCATTCTAGTTGCATTTATATTCAGTATTATACTACCAACGTATTTTGGATGCATCAATGGTAGTAGTGGTCGTGATCGTCGAAGCTGTGAAGAATTAGCGTGGTACGTTGCATTGGCAAGCAATTTTACAACGGGTATTATTCTTCTATTATTGTGTATCTTTGGAGAATTTATTCGACGAAATACACCGGGTGTAGCACTTCTATCGTCGATATCTGGCATAGGTTTTACTTATTTAGCTTTAAATGAATATTTGCCTGTAGCTGCATCACCTATTGTATCATTTCTACCATTTGCGATCGTCATGCTTGGTTATTTCGCTGGAGGTAAGATTACAAGGAAAAGCAAAGGACAACTTCAAGAGTATTTCAATTAATTTCAGTCAAATTTGGCCCAGTTCCTGTTGCGTTTGTTGCTCTTGTTGTTGGAACTATTCTCGGATGGGCAACTTCATTGAATCAAGCAAGTGAAGTGAAAATTGCATCGTCAGTTATCAAACCTTATCCATTAGTATTCCCCATTCATGCTATGATGGCAAATCTAAAGGAAATCACTCCTTATTTATCAACAACGATCCCTACAGCTATTTCAATTGCTATTGGAACGATTCAATGTGTCGAGTCAGCAAAACGTGCCGGTGATTTTTATCCAACACGTGAAGCAATGTTTGCCGATGGTATTGGAACATTAATTGCAAGCTTTTTCGGTTCAATTCTTGGAATGACCAGTAAGACTGATCGACTTTTTTTTCTCATTCGAAATTTTCTTAACGTGAGACGTATTTAGCATTTATTGGTCATCCAGCATTTAAAAAAATGGGTGCTAAACAAGCCTATTCAATCGCAAACGGTCTTGCCTTCTTACCATTATGCTTTTTTGGCATCAACGCTTTGCTCCTCTCCATCATTGCTATCGTCTCAGTAAATCCCATTATTGTAAGTGATAGTTCTTTTTGTATGTCTTTTAAAAGAGAAGAAAGTCACTCTCTAGATCTTCATTGGTCTTGTTATATGTGCGGATACTCTTGCTATAACACCTCAACGACATTATCCCGCATTTCTTCTTGGCCTGATGCCCATTGTTGCAGATTGGGCGAAAGGTACAATTATAAGTGGTGTTTCAGATGCATATACAAAATTTGTTGTCAATCATACGGATTTCAATCAAAATATTACCGCACATATCAATGGATTTTCCTATCGTGGCCTTTTGAACTTTTCCGGTGGAAGTCTTCTTCAATGTATCTTCTTAACTGCCATATTTATGTACATGATCGACAGAAAATTCATTCGAGCAGCGATTTGGTCGATCTTAGCTTCAATGTTTGCCTTTTTTGGTCTAATCAACGCTCCTGGTGTTGGAGTTTTAATTAAAAAGGACGATGATGGGTGGAAATTCACCGTTGCTTACTTAATGTTGGCTGTATTTTTTGGTTGTTTTCATATCGCTCAAAAACAACGTTTGGTTAAACAGCCCGAAACTGAACCAGATGATTTGTCATCGATCGAATGGGCAGAATGGAATCGTGAAAGATTACTTGAAGAAAATAACGTCAATGAAGCAAATGTATAAGCAAATCTACACATTCTCTTTCGCCAATTTTTCTCTCCTTTCTTTTTTAAAACTTTTGTTATTTTTATTGAATAATCGATCGAATAAATTTTCTTTTCTAGCAAACTGAGCGTGTTGAAATGATTCCATAGTTTGATGTTTTGTTAACATAGACTTGCATTTGTTCTTTCCTTCTTGCACAATAATATTGACGGTTGTGTATGTGTTATTTTTCACTTTAACTTCATATTTTCTTTGATTGAAAAAGAAAAAAGAAAGAAAAACTTCAACGAGCTTTGATTTGACATTTTTCTTCTACTTCTTCAATCTTTTTCTCAATATAATTCTTCGGTTATCGGCCGTTTTTCTCTTCTCCTTCTCTCTTCCGCTATCGATTTTCTCTTTCGCTGCGATGACAACGAACGATATACTGCCGGGTGACAATGCCTACGATGAAGTTATTTACGAACGAGACCTGGCTCGATCAGTTCCCTTAGATAACTATGTAGAAATGTATCCATCGGATCCAAATGGATATATAGGTACATCCAAGAATGGAACATACAATATCGTTTCGAAAGATTACGGAGATCATCAAGTGAATTATTATGTTCCAAGAGAATATGGAGATGAATTTGGCATACAACAATTGGAAGAAATGTCACTTGTCAATGATCAACCATATCGGAATTCTGCAGGATATATTCCACGACGAATGTACCAACCGTATGATGAGTTTGATCCGAATAATGGAGTTGAATATGTCGAAGAAGTACCAATGATGATGACGCCGCGTACAATGGTTAACGTATCACCAAGACGACAAAGGCAACCACAAGTCATTAGACAAGTTTATGAGCCGACATTACCAATACCAACCGAAACAGTTGAATATGTATACGAAACACAACCACCACCTATCATTGAAGAAGAAACAGAATACATCATTGAACAACCTGTGGTAAGATATTTCGATTAATATTCGATCTTTTTCTTAACGAGAATTTCAGTATGTCGAAGCGCCTCAACCTACTCCACGCACTGTTATTATTAAACAGCCACCACCACCACCTCCGCCACCTGTACAACGAACTATCATCATCAAAGAGCCTCCTCCGCCCGCTTCACCACCTGTACACACGGTCATCGTTCAAGAACCTCCTCCACCTCCACCTCCGCCTGCACCTGCACCTGTTCAGTCACCTCGTCGTAAGGTTCTGGTCGCACGAACACCTCCTCCTGAATCTCCTCTGCCGCCTCGACGAACAATGGTTGTATCGAGATCCCCATCTCCAGATCCGGCTAAATCTTCACGTCGCTCGCTTGTCTTTCCAAAATCGCCACCCATTCCGACTTTGAGAAATGCGAGTCGACGCACTGAAGTAGTTGAAACATATTCGTCTCGCACTGCACGAACAAATCAACCACTACATGAACAACCACTTTCACTAATGGAAGTTGTCGCACAGAATCGAGCCAACCGACGCGGAAAAGTACCCAAACCACGACGTGAAGTTTCTGAAGATAAATTATATGATCTTCCCACTTATCACAAGAACATCATTAAAAATGGTTTTATGGTTCATAAATAAGTTGAATAATTTGTAATAAATAAACTGTATTTAATTCTTCACCTTCATGAGATGAAATGATTCATTCGAAGATTATAAAATCTGCATCAAGTTTATTCAATAATATTTCTAGCAAAAGGCAAAATGTCGTAACATAATCCCGAACATGAAAACATATGTTCTGACTTCGATCGAATTTCTACTGATGTGAAATGGAATCCGATTTTCTTTCAGAAACATGAGACATGTTTGTATAGAATAGAGATCATCCATCTTTTCGATCGTAGAATCAATTTATTCAATACTGTTACGATTTACCTCAAGAGGAATCGTGAGTATACGCACGAATATTAGTCATCGATAACTTTATTCAGAATAAAAGAGAGTGAGAATATAAACATGATGTACTAAATTCGAACTACAATCTATGTCTTTTGCAAACGGCGTGTAAATGCATTTTTCAATCATCTTTAGGTGGTGAGCGGCTTCCTCCCGGTCTATGACCATGCCCGTGCCCGTGCCCATGCCCACGCCCGTGACCATGATGATGACCATGTCCATGGCCACCACCACCACCAGGTCCATGCTTTTGCCATTCATTTTGCCACTTCTCACGTTTCTTTTGCTTAACTTGCTGAATCAATGTCCACGCTTGTTCAGCATTGATCTTATTATTACCATGAGCAGTTGCATAATCTTTTTGGAAATCGGTATGTAACTCTTCGATCATCTGTTTGCGTCTTTCTTCAAATCGACCTGGCGAATGCGAACGATCGCGTGGCGATTTGTCTCGATTACCGGGTGAATGATGTCCGCCACGATGTTCCATTTTCTTTGCACGCCACTGCTCTTTCAAAGCCGTGAATAATTCCCAAGTTTGATCTGCTGTTATAGGAGAATCACCATATCGTTTGCGATATTCTTCCAAAAAAGCTTGTTTGAATTCACCTTCACGTCGTTGACGTTCTTCTTCAGAAGGCGGTTCCCATTTATGGCAACCGCCACCGCGACAATGTTCGTTCTTTGATTCTGCTTCTGATGCCATTTGTATTACAAGTTTGAAAAATAATCGAATATGTACAACTATCACCTATATTTATATGCACGGAACAATCTAAATCAACGACGCAATAAGAGCCTACATTCTCTTTCGTTAAACAGACTGATTTAAATAAGTATTATTGTAACATGAATCATAGAATGTACTTTTAAGGCAGAAAAATATGCACATAGGTGAAACATATAGCACATCAAAAATAAAAAATGCACTCGTTTGAGGTTGTTTGGTATGTAAAGTTGTCAATTCTTTTCAAAAAACAAATGATAGAAAACCGTAAAATTGTTTTTTTCTTCTTGTATCGTTGAGACACATTGTCGATTTTTACTTTCTTCGATTGACTGTTATTTTTTATTAAGAAATAATGAAGACAATGAGTGATTTTCGTCTACAATCTAACGATAAAAAGGATTGCTACAAATAAAACGAATTCTTTTCTAAATATCACAAGCTTCCTGCCGATTGATGAAGTTGTCGTTGTTAAAGTTCCATCATCGATAACAGATAACGATGGTACAAATGTATATGTCAAACCAGACGGAACAACTTTGTTATCAATGAATAATGAAATTGGAACATCTGAAAGATTATATTGTTGAATCGGTGTTGAACAAATGATTTCATTTAGATCAACCATAGTTCCGTGTGTTGTTTGATTTCCAAATCTACAAATAATAGTTTTACATATCGCCAACTCAAATCCAGATCCATAAAGCGTCACGTTAATGGATTTACTCTTCGGGCCGTATGCTGGTAGCATATCTGATATATTCATCTTAATATCAGGAAATACTTGATTGCACGCTACTCGGTAAGACGAATCGATAAAACGATTCCATTGGTATTCCCATTTTTGGAAACCTTTACGTTTTTTTCTCTCGGGAAGTGAACTGTACTCAATCGAATTCCATGCGAATTGTTTTAAATCAGCCAGACTTAAACCCCAAGCCATCGTAGCCAAATAAAAATCGACACTCAATTGATTATAACCAAAACTGCCTGGATCATCACCAGCTAAAACAATTGGTATTCCACTTCGATGATAAACAATACCCGGATGATTACGCAGATCGGCAACATAACCTAAATCGAATAGATACAGATGAACTATCAGAAAGTAAATGTAACATCGTTTACCAAGAATTTGATTACTTGTTGGACAAACTTCAATGGCTATTTGACGTTCACGAATGTACTCAAACATATCTGGTCGTTTCGCTAAACTCAATCCATGACCAATACGACGTGTCCGAAGAACAAGTGCATCGTAAATATTTTCAAATGTTGAAACTCCATCCCCATAGTTCGATGGAATATGTTCCTCTGGCCAATTGGTTTCTCCAGCATGAAATAATAAATTGAATGTGTTATTACTATGTTGCGAATAGTTAAATGCATGAAGGAGATTATCACTGTGAAATAGAATTGTATAACCTTGATCTTCTTCGCCAACCATATCATATCCACGAATGAAATCGGGAAATGAACGTTGGAGATCGATTAAATTATTGATTTGAGTCTTTAACGCTTCTTTGGATGATCGTCTTGAACTATAAATAATGAAGAGAAAGTCAATCAGCTTCGGATGTTTTGATATATAGTCTTTTTTAAATTTTAATAAATAATTCAGTTCTTCCGTCGCATTTATCGGTTGTTGTAAACCATGTTCATCGAAATAGTATAAATTTCCAAAAAATCCACGACGAAGTTCTAAGAACTGCACGTTATCCTCCAATGCTTGATCTAATATCAACTGCATATGTCGAAATCGTGTAGCATTATGTTTTACTAGATCTGCATAGAAACGAAAAGCACCATATTGACTGGCTAAATCCCAACGTGCCTCTGTATCTGTTGGATACAACGGTGTTTGAAGATCATTTAACATTCCAGTTAGTGTTGTTTTCTTAACAATATCCGATATCGTCCAATTCGAATTTTTCACCTTTGTCCAGCCATTAGGAACGTTCTTCGTAAAGTATTTTAAGTAATATTTATTCGTTACGCAAGATGTTTGATCGCATATATATAACAAATTATATTCCGGAGAATTAACAATCGATTCGAGAAAGATTCGTCGATCGAGAACTTGAAATTCATGTAGATGCAGATTGCCACCTTTGGGTAATCGGGTTAGAAATTGATAAAATGGACTATTGGTAATGTTCTCCATTTCGGATTCAATTGGTCGTGCAGGAAAAAAATAATGTTTTGTATCGATAAAATCTCTGGCACGAAGAACTTCTAAATATAAATTCACGACTTTTTCCTTGGCAGTTAGATTATTTTGCGCTTGAACAGCTCGATCATGTTGTTTGATCTTCTCTCGTGCGAGCATATATGCATATTGATTAAATGGTAACGGCAGTAGATTTATATTTGAGAATAAGACAAATAGTAGAAACCCGATAATTATCCACGAATTCATTATGTTCTGTTCTTATATCGATCTAAACGAAGAAAAGTCGAAATGTCAGAAAGAATTTGCTGGGAAATAGTTTATAGAATCCACTGACAAGATAAACATTCGATTCTTCATACAATCAGCGTAAAATTCTGTTCGCCGTTCATTACATCGATTTGTCTTTGCAAAAAAACATCTCGGATATATTAATTCGGCTAAAAACAATTCGATCTAGTCTAAGCTATGTCATTACCTTTTATTAGATAAGTAATATCTCATTAATATGAATGATAATGTTCCACATGCATTTGTATATATTTGAAAAAGGTCAGTTATCTTGATGATGTTTAGTATGTATATAGAATGCCGGAAGAAATTGTGAAATGAGATTGGCTCGATGAGATATGATCGTGTCAATCGCTGATACAAGCAGAGAAGATAGAGAAACATCTGGTTTTAGTCGATACGAGAAATAAAATCATGCGTATCAAGTGCGAGGCTTGTTTTTTTGTTGTAGAATCTTATTGTTATAGATATCAAAACATGTTTAGTAATCATCAGAAGAATGTCCCACTCGGAAGATCCAGGTGTTTCTTAATCAGATATCTAATCAACATATTTATCTTTTCGAGATGATACCAAACGATTTTTCAGCTGGTTAATCTACCGGAAGAGAAATTTTTTGGCTACAAAGTTTAGACTACATATGAGGACATGTTGTTATTGTTTATTTATTTCGCTTGGTTGATCAAAACATATATTCATACAATAAGACGCGATGTTTTCTTTCTATACATCATCCCTCGTGCTTTGGAATTATTCCATATAGAATCATTTTCGTTGATAGTTTATTTTTTCTCGATTGGTTAAAGTGTTATCAATATAAGCACGTTGTTGTTGATGCTGTTGTTGTTTACGAATGATTTGACCGAGAAACCGACGGATGGGTGGATTGATATAAATTAACACGATGATATCGCAAAGCATGCTTATCGCTGGTAACACTTGAAAAATATAATCGACAAGTTTTGGAAGAGTGAAACTTTCGATGAATATTTGTGAGATGAAAAGAGGAACCCATCCCGCAATAAAAATGACGAATGTGATAATCATCGTTTTTAACAAGTGCATATCACGTGTATGTGAGGCTGAACCAGCGTTTCCTCCTTCGGCGTGAACACGTCGAGTTGACTGTGAAACAAACACGAATATACGAATATTGAATAATAAAACCGTTAGAACTGGAATAATTAATGTAGCGACAAGTGTATAGTAGGATAAGAAGGCGTTTCGTGATGAACAGGCGAAACTGTCGATTAATAAATATGGTACTGCTACAGCAAATGCAATGAACCAGCCCAAAAGAAGACCACCGATTAAAAATAATGTCGACTGAAAGAAACGCTTGTTTCCATGTACAATGCCAAGAAATCGACTGATGGTAACAACAGCGTGTGCGTACATTAACTGGCAAGTAGACGTATTTACTAAAAATGCTTGTAACCGACACGGTAATGAAGACGTAGAGATGTCAAAAATACGTTTAATGCACATTATTATCATCACGATGCAAAGTAAAATACTGGCGAAGCAAAGATTAATTGTGTACCAATTGAGTTTATTTGCTCGGGTTGCTCGTTTAACCAAAACGAGAATTATATAGAGTATCGAAGAGATAATCGTCAGAGAAAGTAAAGGAATTTGGATAATATCAGATACTGAAACACTTGATGACTGAGTATTCCCTTGTGGACCACCACCTCCTATATCCGTTGAATTGTTGGTTGAATTCATTGGAGAAGAAAAATTGGTATTGTTATTTGAAAATGAAAAAGTATGATTTCTATCGTCTGCCGTCATCGAGCACACTGATGATGCCAAAATCTATTCCATTCACACGACATTGCTAATAAGTAAAACGTGAGAAACTGAATAGATGCTAGCAATTAATTTCTCACTCTCCTCATATTAAGCTTAATACGCATTATGAGTTAGAAATGGCATCTGCCATCTCGGTATGCACGCTTCACTTATATATAGATACCCTACCGTCTAGGTGTTTGTAGGCGAAGAATTTTTCAAGAGTGACGCAAGTATGCGTGTTAGTCGGAAATAACGTTTTGATAAAAGTACATGAATTTTATGTTTCAATGATTTCTTTTGAACATGAATGAAACTAGTTAATGTATACAAATTGATATGTTTGTTGCCGGATCGCTTCTATTTGCGCACTTTGTAAATGAAGTCTGATAACATTTTTAAGGAAGAATAAATGACTTGGATTGAAAAGAAAATCAACCCTTTGGAAGTAGAGGAAATAATAACAGTTACAATCTTCTTCTTTTACAAATTAAGACGACATACAGCGAATCTATAATTAATCATTCATATCGAGTTTTTTCAAATAACTTCTAAGTTGATTTTTTAATATTTATTTGTTCAAAATTGCGTGTATCTTTTAACAGTACTCAAAAAAAAACAGATAATTATATTTCTTGTATTCATTTTTGTACACATTCGACTCGCTCCGAGATCGTGCCAAAGATTCGATCGAAAATTCTTGTTTGTTTTCCATAATTCATTCCACTTTTACCCAATCGATGATGCAAATCATGATCCTCAATACACAGCTCCATACCAAATGGTTGAAGAACTTCATTAAGAATACAATGAGGCCAATATGCTCGTATACCAGAGTGACCTGTTGCTTCAATATAGATCAATATACACTGAGCAATCCAAAATTCATGTGTTGTCAACGGAACGACTAGTGAAGCAGCTAGTGGTACAAGAAAAACTTCGATCACTTCTTGAATGTCACCCGCCAGAATTGATTGAATTGGTGTTGGATGTTTGGTACAATGGTGTAAACTATGAACTTTCCATAAGAATGGAACCATATGACATGCACGATGATAACAATAAAAGAAGAAATCTAATGCTATTAACCAGCCAGCAATTTTTATCAGAACAAACCATGAAATTGTATGACCGAGTGACGGAGACTCATTACGATTATATCCACCAAGCAATAAACCACCACCTGTACGTGCAAGCATATAAACAACCACACTAAGAACAAGTCGTGTAACCAACATATCAGGTACATAATCGCGGGGTCGTTTGTCTTCATCGAAAGTTCCATAATAATCCATATAATAATGAATATGTTTAACCATGACGATTGTATAAATCAGAAACGATATTGCATAGAACGCGTAAGCTGCTCCTGGATGCCAAGTATGATAATAGTTTGTTTCTGGTACAAAATAATACCAAAGAGCGTGAAAGATCAGTGGAGGTGGTATAGCAAGAGATAACCAAAGACGTTCCCACCAGACATTGTGTGCTGGTGGTGCGTTGGGATTTTTTGGTTGAACTTCGTAACATTTTTTACTAGCTAAATCGATAGCTGCTAAATGTTCGAAAGGATTTCGTTTCCAGAATGGTTTTTCAACCCATTTAGCTGTTGCGCGAAGTTTATATGCTGCCGATGGACGAATTTCAGATTGAGTCGAAGTTACTGTGGTCGACATCTCGAATTTTGCGAAGCGAAAATGTAAATACTTAGGTGAAATCTCGCAAGTCCTGTATTTATAGTACTTGCAACGTGATGAATCACGTATGCAGGTGTGTCGAACTTCAGCCAAAAAGTACGGACTTAAAAGATGATGTTTTTGGATTTTTCTTTAGTACTTACGCTTATCTTTACGTCGTCTTGCTTATCATATATATTTTCGTTGTGGGTGTATACTGAATATAACTCTATATCAGTTGGAGGCACAACTAACGATCAAGATTTTGAACATTTTTAATAACAATGTGATAGAGGTGAATTTTGTTTCCTTCCTATATTGACTTTTATGAAAAATCCTTTTCAAATTTTAATCTGTAAAGTATTTGTGCCAGATAGAATGCAGATTGTTGTTAGAAGTCATACCTGTTAAGTAAATACTACGATAATTTTTCATAAATACGTAATACGTTTATCAGATTAGTATTTTCAAAAGGTTAGTAATACTGAGATGACTAATTGGGATACTTATAAGCCGATTTTGTTGAGTAGACTTCATATTCTTATCAGTATTTGGTATTTGTCGAAAAGATTACTTTCAATAAAGAAGAATTTGTTTTGATATTCGTTGCCTCTAAAGAAGTTCTATCTTATGTACATATATATACATAGATCTTATCAGGCAGATTTGCCGAAGGATTGAGAGATTTATTCGAGAAAGCATAAAATCATTTGTAAAACGAAAGTAGACATCATTCGAATGAAATTTCTTCTACTCTTCACGTTCATAGTGTTGGTACATGAATTGTCCGGACACGATATTACCGGACGAATTTATGATGGATTTGACGCGCCTGAAGATGCTTATCCTTGGATGGCACTATTACGTTTTCATGATCCGCAACAACCAAATCGTACGACAAATCTCTGTGGTGGTTCGATTATCTCCGACGTATTTGTACTAACAGCTGCCAGTTGTTTTTACAACGCTCACATGTTTCCTAATCTATTTTCGATCAGAGCTGGTGTATACGATACTGATAATGCAAACAGTGATACAGAACAAATTCGTGCGATTAATCGAGTGATTGTACATCCACTGTATAATTCGTCGAGTCTTGTCAATGATCTTGCACTTGTACATGTGAACCCACCGTTTAATTTGAAAGCAATTAATGTTAACGTTATTACTTTGTCAAATTTAACATCAGTTGAAAACATGAGCTTAATAGCAACTGGCTGGGGAGTTTTAAGTCTCACGAATGCAACAGTAGCAGCAACAATTCTTCAAGCTACTGTCGTTCAAGAAGATGTTGCATGTACAACGACGAAAGCAATCAATTCAACAACGCAATTGTGTGCACCAGGTAAAGGGGAGTTGGTCAATTGACAAGTACATATTTGTTTTTTCTTCATTCTTAGGAACATGTGTTCGTACGTGAGTCGTTCCTTTATTTTTCATATCAAAATGATATTCCTTGTGTTTACGAAAAAGAGTTTTGTTCTTTAGGTGATAGTGGTGGTCCATTAATGACATTTGACAATAGTACTTTGCAATTTGAACTGGTTGCTGTTACCAGTGCTCGTAATGCATGTACCATGGAGGGCCTATTCACTCGAGTAGCGCCCTCTTATGATTGGATTTCATCGGTTTTAAAAAACCCACCGCCAATATTGACAACAACGACTCGAACTACAACAACTACCGGTAAATAATACATTACAGTTTAGACTTCGCAACTATTGTGTCATATATTTGTGTAAAAAAGGTAAACCAACAGAATTTATTTGCGATCCAAGTCATTCCTGTGGATGTTCGTCCGTACCAGTAGTATTCCATGACAATCTAGGACGAATCGTTGGTGGTGAAACAGCTAAACCGCATAGTTGGCCTTGGATAGTCTCAATCCAGTTTTTAGGTCACCGTTGTGGCGGGACTCTCATTAACCGTGAGTGGATACTGACAGCCGCTCACTGTACATTGCTTCAATATTCTCAAATTCATATTGGTATTCACGATGCCACATCATCTTCGGGTATAGTTCGTAACGTTAGCCAAGTCATTTATCATCCCGGCTTTGTTCCGCCACCAAAGCATATAAATGATATTGCTCTTATTCGTTTATCTGAACCTATCGATTTTTCCACGCCTAATATCAACGCTGCTACGACTTGTCTTCCAGCACAATCCAATGATATCGATTATCCACGTGCTGGCACTACTCTGGCAGTTGTCGGATGGGGCGTTGTAAAACCGAATGGCTTTCCAGCTACACAGTTACAACAAGTCCGTGTTGCGACATTAGAAAATGCTGATCCACGATGCAATAGAGCCGTGTATGATCGAGAACGACAGTTTTGTGCAATGGTCGATGGAGGTGGAAAAGATGCTTGTCAAGGTAAAACGAAAACATTTCTTTCCGTAGATTAAATCATTCGATCGATCTATCGATTTGATATAGGAGATAGTGGTGGTCCAATTCATCAATGGTTAGGTGATCATTGGGAACAGGTTGGTATTGTCAGCTATGGTAATGGATGTGCTGAAGCGCAAAATCCAGGTATATACACGCGTTTGTCTTTCTACCACGATTGGATTATGACGACCATAAATCAAATTCATGTGACAACGACTGCTAGTACTACTTTAACTACTAGTACTACCTCGACTGATCATACTAAAACTCCCGATAATACCAGTGCTGCAAACCATACGAATATATTTTTCCTGCCAATTATCTATTCATTGCTTTTTATCTTTGCTATTTGATGGATATCTTTATAATTTTAACTAAATAAAGACAGCCAATAACGCCTTTTTTGACGAACTTCTAACTATTGTTCTGTTAGAAGATAACGAATGCGTAAGATCTCTATTAAACCTATGAAATATTATTGATGTTGCTCTTCGAAGCGACGTTTTCATTCGTTCTACAACTAAATGAGAAAATAATGACGTAGTATAAAGAATCACCTGACACAATGTTTATCTTGATTAAGAATCTTATTTTTCTTCATACACGAGACAACTGACATGATGAAGTTTCTTTTAATCTTTTTCCTGCTCACTGGAACGCATACTCTTCCGTATTTGCAAACGAATGAACGTGTCTCTGGTGGGTCGGAAGCTGCCATCGGCGCTTTTCCATGGATGATTTCTTTAAGTTTTAATTTCTTCGACGTTTTTAAAAGTGAATGTGGTGGTGCTATACTTTCCGACAATTTTTTACTTACAGCCGCCAGTTGTTTTCAAGGTCTCACTGTCGTTACACAATACATTACGATCAGAGCAGGTCTACACAAAATCACTAGCAGAAACGAAACAACTGAACAACATCGATCAGTTGCTCATATACTTGTACATCCTGATTACAGTCCACTTGATGAGACCAACGATCTGGCATTGGTACACGTTCATCCACCATTCGATTTTAGTTCATCATTTGTATCGATGATATCATTATCAAACTTAACATCGCTACAAAATATGGATTTAATTACGATAGGATGGGGTCATCTTAGTGCAAATATTTCAGCAGATACTTTGCAACAAGTAACCATTCGAGAGAATATTCAATGTACAGAGAGTAAGGCAATTAATTCAAGTACACAACTTTGTGCACCAGGTAAAGAATCAAATTTTCGTTTTCTTCGTGAACTTACCTAGAATTTTGATTTTGGTTTCAGGTACTTGTGAAGGTACGTCGTCGTTTTTGTTATTTCAAATATAATGACTGAAGTCTTTGCTAGGTGATGCCGGTGGTCCATTGATGATTTTCTCAGATATTACTCATGAATATGAACTAGTTGGTATCGCAAGCGCTCGTAATGCATGTACGACAGAAGGTTTATTTACTCGAATAGAACCGTTTCTCGAATGGATCTTGGATATATTGGACAACCCACCCCCAACGCCACCTCCAATTACATTTCCTACAGTAGCACCACTAGAATCAACAACAACAACTCCAGAAGTACTCGGTATGTTACCAATGTCACTATAAGTCAAAATAACATCTAACTATGTAATTATGTTTCATTGAAGGCCCACCTATTCCGTTCATATGTAATACAAGTCTATCATGTGGTTGCTCATCAGTTCCCGTTGTCTTTCATGATGAATTTCCTATGTCGACAACACCGCCTGCCTCCTCCGACCAATATGAAGCACGTATTGTCGGTGGTGAAACCGCACAACCTCATAGTTGGCCGTGGTCTATTTCAATTCGAATTTATAATATTCATATTTGCGGTGGATCTCTCATTAATAGTGAATGGGTGTTAACGGCTGCTCATTGCTTGGTAGAAATCAATGATCTTACAGTTCATATTGGTGTACATGATGTCACCACACATTCACCTATCATTCGTACAATCAAGAAAGAGTTTGCACATCCAGACTACATACCATCACCAAAATTTATCAATGATATCGCTCTTTTTCGTTTGTCATCGCCAGTAGATCTTACTGTGCCCGATGTCAATCCTGGTATTCCGTGTTTGCCAGCACAATCGAACGATCTTAACTATCCACGGGCAGGCACTACTCTGGCAGTTGTCGGATGGGGACGAGTATTCTCTGGTGGTCCGCAATCAGCGAGACTACGCCAAGTCCGTGTGGTGACTCTAGATAATGACGATTGGCGATGCAGTAACGCTAGTCACGACAGACAACGGCAATTCTGCGCAATGGTGAATGGAGGTGGAAAAGATTCTTGTCAAGGTAAAACGAAAACATTTCTTTCCGTAGATTAGATCGTTCGATTGATTCATCGATTTGATATAGGCGATAGCGGTGGTCCAATTCATCAATGGTTAGATGATCATTGGGAGCAAGTTGGTATTGTTAGCTTTGGTAAAGGATGCGCTCTGGCAATTCATCCTGGTGTATATACACGACTTTCATTTTATCATGATTGGATTCATCAGACGATTGAAAGTGCACATACATCTACAATATCATCGCACAATAGTGTTACAAAGTTTAACTTCAACATATCGTATTGTTTGTTCGCTTGTCTTATGATTTTTTTAACATTTTTCAATATGTCATTTTCTATCTGCATTTAAGTTGATAATAAAAAAGAAAATCAGACGATTTTACTAACATAATATCTCCTATTTGCTAAACAGCTTGTGGGAAAAAAAAACTTTCCAACATATTCATTCATTCTGTTCTTCCTAGCTAGAGAAAAAGTTGTTCGGTGACGATATTTCTTTGGCTAAACTTACAAACTACTGGAGAAAACAAGTCACACATAGCACGTCTATTCGATTTGAGATGGATATTAACTCAACAGAATTGAACAATATGACGCTTTCCGGTCCGAAAAAGTTGACATTTAGATTTTGCGCCAATGTTTTTCTTTGCATTTAGGAAATAGTTATGACGTATCCCAATGTATTAGTTGCAATTCGAACCAAATTTCGATGGCTTTAATTCCATGTGGACATGCTGCAGTATGTGTTCCATGTGCATTCTCATCGAATCAATGTCCGAAATGTCATCGAGAAGTTGAATCTTTGATGAAAGTTCACTTCATGTAATTTCACTTGAAATTCTCTCGTTGAAAGACTTTGCGCATTTTCAATATTGTCAACTTTATTTGATTGAAATAAAGAGTGCACTGAAAACATCACTCGTGTCCATTTAGTCTCATTTTGATCAGGACGAAAAATATGCATACTAGAAGAAACATGAAAACTGGGGATGGTTGGAAATTTCCAGTTAAACCTGGTAAATACCAATTGAACATTGGTAAAAACCAACATAAAACATGTGGGTGAGTAAATCTAATATGAATCATACTGCACGTATCCGTTGACAACTGCATGTGATTGAATCCCATTACTCAGAATGACTGACATGTTGGAAAACATGTAGTACATTAGCGGGATATAAGTCGTTGTCGCAATTTAATTTCTTGAGGACACATACTACAACATTTGGTCTTTCAAAGACGTCGAGAAGAAAATGGCTACCGGTGATCATTATTCCCACGGTGAGTAAGCTTGTTCTTTTACAGCGGAGGATCTATCCATGATCAAATATAATCTGTCGCAGATAGCAGTAAAATGGAATAAAAATTTAACAAAAATATCTCGTGATTGTATTTCTTATATTAAGATTTCGAAGAGGAACGTAAAAGCTATGTTTTATGTGAAACGAAACCATTCCAGCAAGCCCGAGAACGAACTTATTTACAGCTGGTCTCCAGATCGTATCCGTGTCGAATAAAAATGAAAGACGCCGGATGGTTTATTGTTCATTGTGCAGATGAGTTAATCGCTGTTTGTTTGTATTGTAAGAAGGCATGTCGAGGTTGGAGTCGACGTTATGATCCATTAAAAGTTCATAGATTTCTGTCCCCTAAATGTGTTTTTGTCCAATCTGCTCACAGTGTACAAACACCATCGTCACCTATTGTTGCCTCGGTTGGTCGCCATCGTCGAGTTCGTCCATCGTCCGATCGTATGGCTATAGAACATCGAAGGAGCCATTCTTTTCAACAGTGGCCACCTCAATATGTCCATCCACCATTCGATGTACTTGCCGAGTCTGGATTATTCTACAATGGTCAAAATACGGTTGTCGAATGTTTTCGTTGTCACGGTCAACTGTTGATTACACGTCAAGACGATAATCCGATGACAGCTCATACAAATCAATGCGATTATGCAAGGCACCTAAGAAGTTAGTTAGATTAAATCTCGTCGTTCTTTTCTGAATTTCAATTTTAGACGAGCCCATAGCACAGCCGCTCGTCATACCACCATCGAGCAAACTTTACACATATGAGGTAAACGAAGGAAATGATTCGACTATCTTTTATCTGCAACCTGTACACTCAACAACACCAGGAATCCTTTTATCAGCAAAGATAAACCTTCCACGTGAACAAATATCTGAAACATCGCATACAATTCTCAAACAATTAACCGTCGTTGATCATCAACATCGCAGTTAGTTCTACTATATATAAATTTCCAATTGATGTCGGCACTTCTTTTTTCTTTCTTTCATAGAAATTAATTGGATGACAAGTTCAGACGGACCACTGGTTGCTATTCTTAAGGATCTAGCAACTAATCCTATTGAATTAACAGAGAATGATTCGTATGTTAAATGAATTTTTATATTCCATTAAATTCAACCATACGCTTTTTCTTTGAAGATATTTATCTCAAGAAGATTTCCCCTCAATTGAAAACACAACTTCAACTTCCATATGTCGAACTTGTTTACGGGAAAATGTTTCTCCGTATAGTGTTTCAAGTCGATGTGCTCATCTTGGCCTTTGCTACGAATGTTCCCGCAACTGGAACACATGCGTGATATGTGGCTTTACTTTGGGAAGGTCATTGCGTATCTATAACGTCTAGAGCAAACTGACATTTCGTGTTGTGCTTCAGGAGTTTTTCGGAAATACTTGAACGTTACACTTGATAAATATGTCTGATGGATACGCACCAGGTGATAAATATCGAAACTGAATAAAAAGAACAGGGAAACACTTTGATTAATGTTGTATCTTCACCTCCACGGGAAAATGTATGAAACATTTCAAGAAAATTTGTCTTCTGATTCAACTAGCAGAAAACGAACAAATTAGTTTGATTAGTTTCACTATTGGTTGCATGTATTTAATAATATTACATGCTGTTCATCGATTAGAAACGTGAAATCTGAGCTTTCGGTTGCTAGCAACACCTCTTGCTGACAACCGTCGTTGTCGTTGTATGTCACAATCCTCTTATCATCTACTTGACAAAATCCTACCGTGCGCGCGCACCTTGCCGTATTCTCGTTCCCTGTCGTCGCTTTTTTCCTCTATATTGTCATCGATAAAGAGAGAAAAAAAAGAGTCGAACGATAAAATATCGTATATCAATATGCGAAGACGAAGGAAAAAGTAAAATCTGTTCTTGATATAAAAAAAAATAAACGAAGGAAGAAAAGAGTTGTTAAATAATTGAACAATGTATTTGCGTTATCACTATGAGTCCTAATTGAAGAGAACAGAGAAAAATTCTCATTTGAACAATTATGAACTTCATCAGCACTACTTACCTATCTGATTTCAATCTTTTTTTCCTTCCTTTCTTCCTCTTCTGGTTTCTATCTGCATGACGTACTAGGTAATGTTTTACTTTCTCTCTCTTTCTCTCTCGTTGATGCTGTTCTGATGAACATTCATATCAGGAAATAATAAAAACACAGAAAAAAAAGTAGAAACTACAACAACAAGAGCTGTTGCAGCAGCAGGCACTTCGAAAGTCACGAATGAGAGCGTAACGTAACAAAACCGTTATCGCTTTGCTTGATGAAGCCTATTCAACAGAATAAAGGTATGTGTTGGCAGCAGAAGTAGTGTTCTCTTCTCTTTTGTTAATGCTCAAATATTATCAGACGAACGGGCACGCACAGTTACTAGGCTGACGTAGAGTTGTTGCTAGAGCACACACATACACACTTATATTGATGTTTATATGGTTCAAATCTTATCGTTTGATGAACTTCATTCATGAATATGTGATAAGAAACGGGGGAGAAAAAGAAAATGGTGAGGAATATGAAGCAGCGTGAGACTTATTACTAGTTGAGCTGATTAAAAGAACAAAACAGGATAGGAAAGAATCCTTTTTTTTGATCGTCGTACTATAAAATTTGACTGTGTATCACCTGCAGTGTTTTAACAAGTTGCACAAGGAAGAGAAAGAGTGTGGGTACATGGAATAGAAGTGTTTTTTTGCTCTTGGTCTTCGGAGACATCTTTTTCAATATTTTTCTCATTTTTTTCCTTCACTTCTAATCGAATTAGAGTGATTCGAATGAATTTGTTTATTGAAAACAGCCTGTAGTAAAACATCTCGCACTTGATGTGTGTGGTGCAATGTACATTTAGTTGACGAAATGAATAAAAAGTGAATTTGTCGACAACAAACATTCATTTCACAACTTTCTCTTCTCCTTCTCCCTCTTTCTATGTTCGCCAGTCGTCTGAAAAAAAAACGAAAATTCTTCTCGGGGTGTAGATATAAAGAAAAGTGTTATTTGACAATAAAACACTTTGCAATTCTGTTGTTTTATGTATCCTATGGAACCATGCGAGACAGAAAAAAACGTCGTTTTTTTTCTCTTCTTCTTAGCCATTTTTCTCATAACGACATCGTATCTAGTTTTTTTTTCTTCTCCTTCTCTCGTTTCCATTTTTCATTTCCTTCTTCACGTATGCATCCGTTCTCTTCATTTATTTTATTTAGATCCGAGAACAACCAACCTAGCCTTGGATAATTTCACTGGCTCGATCTATTTTATTACTACTGAACTTACCGACGACGAACAGCAAATTCAATCGATGTTGACATCACCGCGAACAAATTCCGTCGACCATTTAACTCCTAGTCATCATGTTGCCTTAATTACTCAGCCTGTCTTAGGTGCTCGATCAAGATCACGAAAGAAACCGACTAAGATTCTGGAAGAAACATCGAGAAGAAATAAAGCGAACGTTCATCGAGGATCATACAATGATTCTCCATCATTAGTTATACCCGTTCATCGAGTATGAATAAGATTCAATGTGGAACAAAACACTTTCAGAACTTTCGAATTTTAGGTCGATACATCTCAATATCAAAAGTCGAACACTTATTCGAATAGTCATCGTGAATCATCTGACTCAGGATTAGACTTATCTTCGTCTACCACATCATCTGTACAACTTCAACAATATTCACAACCACATCCAATGGGGCATCGACCATTAAGTGCATTGAATGAGGACTCAAGTACTGATGACGGTTATCATGATGATCAACAACAACAACAATCTTCACAGAGTTCTACGCGTCTTCGCTTTCCGCCAGTTAATTTCGGTCGAAATCGGTCGATGGAAGATATGTTGGGCACACAGAAACGTGAACAGCAACGATCGGGTTCCTTCACAGACGAACATCAATTGAGAATTCCATCACGACATGATCATAAAATGAAACGATCAAGTGAAGGTGCACTTCTTGATCTTCTTGATAACCCGACAAACTCCTCTCGACGATCGAATGCTATCCGAACTGAACTTCTCTATCCAACAGCGGTTCAACATCGATCGTTAAATGATTTAATTGATAAACATTCGAATCCAGGTAAATTAATCAATCTTCGATGTAAATTGATATATACGACGTCTTTCTCCCTCTCTCTCTCTCAATGACTGCATTTGATCTCTTTTAATCGTGAAAAGAATATCCTTGAAATCTACGCAATGATTTCAATCATGTGATATAGAAATCTTATCAGGAAAAACTAAAAAAAGGATACGATTTCAATGGATTCTTTTCAACGTTGAAGAAAAAAAAACGACAAAGATAAGCAAATACGACGCACATATTTTCTCTTTCCTTCTCTCGTTGTTGTTGTTGTTGTTTTGCTTCTTGCTTTGTATATATAGTCTTGTATTTTAGCTAGCCGTAATGAGTCGAATATGTCAACAAATATGACTAATTTAGTATTAACACAGACGGTCATTCGAAAGCCAAACACATCAACATTAAAACCGTTACGAAAAAAAACAAAATTAAATATTATTATTGAACCAGCCGTACCATTAACATCATCACGTTTAGCTATTTATGATGAACAAACAAATGGACCAGCTGAAGCAACAAGTGGCTCAAGTAATCAAACAACGCCTCGTTCAATTCAGCCTACTGTTCAACAACATCAGGTCAAATCGAAGACAACGACACCTCTCGGTTACTATCCCAACCCTGAACACATCAAAACTCATGTCAATCGATCCGTTGTTGAAAGACAATATCATCCACCCGTCCGTCGAGGTGTTCTTCAGCAATTAGTCCCTTTCGATGCTTCACCATCAAAAGTCAATAAACTTCTAAGACATCATGTTCAACATCAACACCCGACAATCAGTTTTTATCCAAGTACGTATCTTTCATTCACTCAACTATCCAATATATAAATAATTTTAAAAAAGCCGAGCTTGTCTAAATATATTCTCATTTTACCCTTCGGCTAACGTCTCTTAATAAAACTTTACACGTTCGGACGAAGAGATTTATTATCTTTTACCATAATTCCTATTCAAACAAATCTTTTCTCAATATTATTTGTACTCTTCTTTTTCAAAGGTATGCACATCGCAGTGTCACCATCTCGACAACCTAAACAAACTTCACGAACACACTCCAATGACGACGAAACATTTTCTAACATTGACGATGACAAAAGAAAACACCGTTTAAAACAAAAGAATGATTTCGACAACAATAACAATAAATTATCCCGACGATTCAAAGGTACAAACATGGCATAAATTACCTTTTCGAAACATTTTTCTTCTTCTCTTCTTAAGATCACAATGACAAGTCCTCAATTGATCAAAATGTACCGAAGTACTTCATTAAAACCACTCAGCGAACATCGGAAAAATTTCCGACGAAGAAAATGTCCCACAATCGATCGATTGAAAATCTTGACGACCGTCAATCAATTGAAAATATGTTTACAGGCACTCCACGTCATCACCAGGAATATCGTGAACGACACTTGCATATCACTGAAGCGAATCGAAATCGACGTGGATCAGGTCAATCAAATAGTACAACAGGAAAATCCCAAGACAGTAAATCTTTCAATCGACGACATCTCGGATACCAACTCGATCCACTTCGCACTCAGGGATTCAAATCAACAGAAGTTAAAGTGCAAAACCATACAAACGAGAGAAACATCAAGTAAAATATTTTTTCAAATATCAATTTGTTTTACTTTTCTCTGTTTATTTAGTAAACCAAATGAATTTCATAGTCAACAGGGTGTACATAAATATCCTTATGCGGATTCACAAATTTATCCGTCGAAAACATCCGAGACATCTTCGAACAGAAATTCGATTCTTCTCAATCCGATTCATTTAAACGAACAGCAAACAAAACAAAAGCCGCAGATTGGTGTAACTTTGAAAACAGTTCGTCTTCAACCATTTGTGTCTACGAATACTTATCAGTTACAACGCGAACGAGAAATTAGTCGATTGAGCGATACTTCAAAAGCCGAATCAACTCCGACGAAACAGCAAACCGTCGACAAAGATCCCACTGTCGATTTTCGTTCGCGATCACCAACATCTTGGTCAGTTATTTCCGAACATCAAAAACATGAATCATCACAAGATGATCTGAACGAAAAGAATAACGATGAACCCCTTCATACGTATCGAATAGCAACTAATGATCAAGAACAGACTGTTCCTTCTTCATTACCATCATCACTTATAGATCATACATATCCGTTCACATTCACACCGGATTCTGAAATTAATGATAATCATGGTTCGTCAAAAGAGAAATCGAATCTATCCGATATTTACACGATATCCGAACATGGCAGTACGCAGAAAATCATCGACCAACAGTCACCAAAGAAAAAATATTACTCACCGCCACCGAAAATGACTATTGTATCAGATAAAGATGAAGTTCCGTCCAATTATGACAGTGATGATGGTTGGAGTGATGATTCTGCTGAACTTTTATATGTCGATGAACGTTACGCAAAAGAGAAGAAAAAATTATCTTCATCTACACATCTATCTAACCAACAACATTATTATTATCAAATTCAACAACAAAATGTGCTTCTACAGTAGTAATCTCGCCTTGTTTCTTTGTATGCTTGTTGTTTTTTCGCCGCCTATGTGAATAATTTCTTGACAGAAAAAAATCGATTCTTTTCTTTGTCATTGAACGCCATTATCTAATGAAATATAGTACTTGAACAGTTGAAAATTGTATAGCAACAATCATCTATTCGATTTTCATAGCTCGCCGACGATAGACAATCCGTAACTCTCTCGATCAGAGAAGCTGAGAGTATTGGTCTGATGAACACGCACCGAATTTAAATAAACTTTTGCATTTTGATTGTTCTCCAAGGAGTTCTTAAAGATATCATTACAGTTCGAGTTCACGTTTTCGAATTTTGTCGGATTTCTTCAAATGTGTTTAGTTCTGCGTGGTTTTGGGGTCACTGATTTGATTGTATAAACAACTGCGATTATGAACATTGAAATTGTCCCGTTTAATGTGTTTTTACATCTCATTATCAGTTGGGTGAAACAGATTTCACCCACACCCTCACTCCACTTTCCAACTTTCCAACTAGACATTACGAATCTTTTGTTTGTTCTGCGACTTCGAATAACTTCCTTGCTTGTAGTCCCGTAAAATCTTCGTTGAGATATCATGAAGAGAATGAAAAGAGTAATAAAATACCATCAAGTCGTGTATTACGAAAATGAGCGAATGAAAAATACGTCTATATAAACGCGAGTAGCATTATTCCGCTTGCAAGAATTTATTTTTTCGTCTCGCAACGTAACGACTACAACTCATATGGACAAGAAAAAAACATCAAGTCGATCCGAAAAGAACACAACGGTAAAACCTACATCAAAATCATCCTCATTAAGACAAGCAACAGCGAACTTCCATGAATGTATTACAACTACAGAACAATCGTTGCCACTATCGACATCAAATCAAGGTATAAATAAAGCCTGATTATTCTTGAATCCATTCATCTACTGATATGATAACGTCTATCATTTCTATTGTTTTTAGCAGCAAGATATGCACGCTCACAACGAATACCATCGATACCGATGCGCATGGACATCGCTCAGAATTTCTTTTTGATTTGGCTTGACTCATCTATTGATAAATCAAATCAAGATTGCCAACGTTTTCTTACGACATTAAATCACTTTGTAAACACAATCAAAACATACACAGATCTCAATGAATGCGTCGAATTCATTACTGCATCAACACATGAAAACATTTTTATGATTACATCAGGAACTCTCGGATCACAGTGCGTACCTTTCATTCATCACATGGCACAAATCGATTCCATCTATATATTGTGCGGCAATAAATCAAAACATGATCAATGGGCTAAGGATTGGCAAAAGATCAAAGGTGTTTTCACAGATATTCGATCTCTCTGTGGAGTTTTGCAACAAGACATTCATTTGTGTGACCGAGATTCAACACCAATCGCTATAACAAATGCTCAGAACCCTGATCAGCTAGATCCTACGTTCATGTATACAACCTTATTCAAAGAAGCAGTTTTAGACATACACTATGATGCAAATGAAATTCCTAAACTTACTGAAATATGTCGTAAACTTTATACGGATAACAAAAAAGAATTAGACATCATCAACGAATTCGAGCACAAATACACGGCTGAAACTTCTATCCGGTGGTATACACGAGAATGCTTTGTATATCACATACTTAATCAAGCATTACGTACCTTTGATGCCACCACGATGCTCGTCATGGGTGTTTTCATTCGACATCTTCATCTTCATCTTCAACGACTTCATTCTCAACAGAAACATCTGTTCCCAGAAAAATTTCAGTTATATCGCGGCCAGGCTTTACTAACGAACACTTTTCATCAATTACAAGCATCATCTGGAGGGCTCTTCTCATTCAACAGTTTTTTATCGACAAGTCAAGACCGTGCCGTTTCCTATCGGTTTGCTGCTGCAGCCACACGAAAATCAGATCACGTTGGGGTGCTTTTCCAAATCACAATCGATCCAAAGTGCTCCTCTACGCCATTTGCACTCATCGATAAACAAGGTTACTTTGGGGAGCGAGAGAAAGAGATTCTCTTTTCCATGAACTCCATTTTCCGTATAGGCCAATCATACCAGATCCACAAAGAACTTCAGTTGTTTGAAGTTGAATTGGTTCTCACACAGAACAATGATCCGAAACTAGCACATCTCACAAAACATATCCGTGACAAAATTTCTAGATCGACTGGTTGGCATACTTTAGGTGCACTATTTCTTCAAACTGGTGACTTCCACCAAGCGGAAGCTCTCTATCGGACACTTTTAATGAACGTAGAAGAAGACGATTTCAATGAAATCGCTTTTCTCAATCATCAGCTCGGTCGAGTGTATTCAGACATGGGAGAGTACTCAAAAGCACTGGAATACTACGAGAAAGATCTGGAGATCAGCAAACAATCTCTCCCACCAACTCATTCTGATTTGGCCACAAGCTACAGCAACATCGGTGGAGTTTATTCAGACATGGGTGAGTACTCAAAAGCACTGGAATACTACGAGAAAGCACACAAGATCTACGCACAATCTCTCCCACCAACTCATCCTGATCTGGCCACAAGTTACGGCAACATCGGTCGAGTTTATTCACACATGGGTGAGTACTCAAAAGCACTGGAATACTACGAGAAAGCACACAAGATCTACGCACAATCTCTCCCACCAACTCATCCTGATTTGGCCACAAGCTACAGCAACATCGGTCGAGTTTATTCACACATGGGTGAGTACTCAAAAGCACTGGAATACTACGAGAAAGCACACAAGATCTACGCACAATCTCTCCCACCAACTCATCCTGATTTGGCCACAAGCTACAGCAACATCGGTCGAGTTTATTCACACATGGGTGAGTACTCAAAAGCACTGGAATACTACGAGAAAGCACACAAGATCTACGCACAATCTCTCCCACCAACTCATCCTGATCTGGCCACAAGTTACAACAACATCGGTCGAGTTTATTCACACATGGGTGAGTACTTAAAAGCACTGGAACACTACGAGAAAGCACACAAGATCTACGCACAATCTCTCCCACCAACTCATCCTGATTTGGCCACAAGTTACGGCAACATCGGTGGAGTCTATTCACACATGGGAGAGTACTCAAAAGCACTGGAATACTACGAGAAAGCACACAAGATCTACGCACAATCTCTCCCACCAACTCATCCTTCATTGGCCACAAGTTACGGCAACATCGGTCGAGTCTATTCACACATGGGAGAGTACTCAAAAGCACTGGAATACCACGAGAAAGGACATAAGATGTATGAACAATCTCTCCCACCAACTCATCCTTCATTGGCCACAAGTTACAACAACATAGGTGGAGTGTATTCACACATCGGAGAGTACTCAAAAGCACTGGAATACTGCGAGAAAGCAGAGAAGATCTGCGTACAATCTCTCCCACAAACTCATCCTGCGTTTAGTTCAGTGTACAGTTGCTTGGGCAGAATTTATCGCTATTTGAGGGATTACTCAAAAGCGTTGATGTTTTTCGAAAAAACTCTGGAAATGGATCGGAATATATTCTCGGAGCGGCATCCGTTTATGGGAATAACATACGCTAATGTGGGTGACGTTCATAGATTAAGTGGAGACATAAAGTCAGGTTTGGGTTTTCTTGAGAAAGCAAGAGATATTCAGGAGAATGTTACGTGTGATCCGGTTTCGATTGCTTGGACTTATGAGTATTTGGGAGGAACATACTTGGCGATGAAAGAATACACAAGAGCATTGGAGTTTTATGGAAAAGCACTAGAAATTCGGGAAAAGTGTCTACGAGCAACGCACCCGTATATAGCAGACGCGCAACATCATTTGGCGGAAGTTTACAAGGAAATGAAAGAGTACAATGCAGCATATGAACATGCCGAAAGAGCTGTTCAAATAGCTCAGGAGAAACTACCTGCGACACATCCGTATCTGTTGGAATATAGGAAGAACGCAACTGATATAGAACAGAAGCTTTAATTAGTATCGTATTTTTTTGTGTTCTAAATAAATAAATCCATTTCGTACTTCAGCTTACTGATGAGTAGAGGTATATAGATCGAGTCTACTTATCAATCTTTGTAAGTGGTTTATGATTGAATTGTGCCTAATTTCATCTCAGCGTTATGGGAATCCTAGTATAAGTGGTTTCTGTGGTGACTTATTAGTAAGACATGATTACTATTCTGAAAGCTCCAAAATGTGTTACCACGGGAAAGACATAGAAGCTTTTTACACAAAATATTTTCCTGAATAGATGAACAGAGATGAATAAAGATGATTTTCACACAGCTTCTCAGATACTTAAGGGATCGAACAGTTCGCTAGTAAGTAACATTTTGAATCGCAAACTTTTCGTTCGAAATATTAAACATAGCTTTAAAGTATTTGGACGATAGATAATTGCTTCCTTACTAACACCTCGCGCTCTCCGTAAAACTATATTAATTTCTGCAAAAGATCTCAGTTTTGTTGTTGGAATTCTTTTGCTCATAATGATCAGTAAAGCAGAGCTCGTGAATATACTAATCTTTTATAGACATCATATAAACGAGTATTGTAAGAAAGATTTTTCATGCTCATTACAAACATAGGAAAACTACGCGCCTGTTTGCTTCTACATTAAAATTAATTTCAAGCATACCTGTACGAACGCACCGATCCTCTAATATATCCTCGAAGGAATGAATACAAAGATGATGTTTCTAAATATCATTAGACATTATTAAAAATAGGATTCTGTGGAAAAGTTCCTATATTTACAATGCGTTTTCCAGTCGAAAACCTCATTTTATGCCATTAGCTACGCTGTACTCGATAAACACAATCCTTTCTGTCTTTCTAAACATGGCTACAGATCGATAGGATAGGGCATAAAATCAAGATATATATAGTAATGAACTTGAACATTATACATTGATCTGAGCGAAACAAAATCAACTAAAAAAAATAAAATATCTGTTAGATTAGTTTTCTGAGAGATTTCTCACTTCAATACAGTATACTAGTCTTTACTTATTTTATCAGCTAACATCGAAAAGACTGTAATAATTGAGAGAACATTGATATATTTTCGTTTTCTCAATGATTCAAATTTTTATCGTATGAAAGGTGCAAATAATTAGACTCATTTTCATCTCGTATCGAATAAATGAATGTTAATTGCATTACTTTTTAACAACCTTTCCATGTGTCAACAAGAATATGAATATCCGAAATCAGAGAATACACAACTTTCGCGTATATCAATGCAATGCATAAAATACGTCTAGCGACGGTGAAAAACTCGTATATTCTCTAATTTTTTAGCAAAAACGTTCCTTTCTAGAAATCCATTCCTTTGTAAACATGGATTTTCAAGCAATATTTACACATTTTCATTGTTTGGAGTATTGAAAATATCGAAAAAAAATACTCTTGTTTCTAAGATCAGCAGGAGCAAACTGTTCGAAGTACTTCTTGTCACTTGAAAACTAATGTTGATGTATGAAGACGAGAAATATCATCGTGTAGCTTCTTAAGTATGAAAGGTAATTTATTTCTTTATTTAGAAATCTGACAACACTATTTCAATGGATTAAAAACGGTTAAATATTCTGAGATTTTGAACTTTCTTATTCAATATCGGGATGTTGGATCGAAGTATTTTCAATGAGAAAAAAAACGACGTCATAGCATAAATCCTGTATTTAACCAAAAATATCATATGCGTTGCTTTTTTGTCATAAGAAGGAAGAGGAAAAGAACTGTTACTAAGCGTAGCGTCATCTTTTCTTCTTCTTTTTTTTTAATAAAAGATTTCTGTCGTCATTAGTTTCTTTTTTTTATCATCAACAAGATGAAAACACATCCTCTGACTGATGAAGAAAATGAACATATTGTCCTATCATTATTACATCAAGTTGGATCTGTTCATGACAATATCGCCTTTGTTGAATCAGCTCCCACAGATGTAACGGTCAATTCATCATCTCATCGATACAATACTTCTACCGGAATCAAAATTTCATTCCATGACATTAATTATCATGTCGGTCGAACGCAAAACCAGAGACTATTGTCATGTGGTAAATCACAACCAAGTCAGCAAATACTCTGTAACATTTCAGGTGGATTTTCATCAGGAATGAACGCTATTCTCGGTAAATCGATCTTCAACTAATTGTTATGAATATATTTTGCTTAGGACCATCGGGATGTGGTAAATCTTCTTTATTGGATATTCTCGCTGATCGAAAAGATCAAAATGGTCTATCCGGTCGCGTTTTAGTCTCTGGTAGACCTCGTTCGAAAACATACAAATATTCGATTGGTTATGTTGTTCAAGACGGTATGAAAGACAAGTCTATCGGTGTATCTTCGATGCGCATTTACTTTCTTTAAAGATATCATCAGTGGAACATTAACTGTTCGTGAAAATCTGATGTTTTCAGCTAATGTTCGTTTGCAACGATCAAAAACAAAAGAACAACGTAATGAATTAGTCGATAAGATTATTCGAGATTTAGGTTTAGAACGGTGTGCTGATACGCGTATTGGTACACATTTTCTTCGCGGAGTGTCCGGTGGTGAAAAACGTCGTGTTTGTATTGGAATGGAATTAGTTCTATCACCAAGTATACTCTTTCTCGATGAACCCACTAGTGGTAGAAATTCTACTTCTTACAATCAATAATAATCATCCTTTTTCGTTACTTTTCATCTAGGACTCGATTCATCCACCGCAGAAAATGTCATGAAATGCCTGCATAAGCTATCAAGAGAAGGATGTTTGTATTCACATTTGTAAGGAGATATCCAACGGAAAAGACTCTTCTTTTCAGGCACGATTATCTTTTCTATTCATCAACCACGATATTCAATCTACAAATTATTCGATACTGTCTTACTTCTTTCATCGGGTCATACAGTCTATTTCGGTCCAGCGAACGGAATTTTATCCTATTTTGCTTTACAAGGTTTCAAATGTGAAGAGCATGATAATCCCGCAGATTTTGCACTTGACGTCATTATTCACTGTAACAGTCGGTCGTCCACTGTATTACAACAGGCATATCTAAAGTCTGTGATGTGTTCCAATACGGAAAATTTCACGTTGGACGATCAATCGTTTAATGAAATTATATCTCGATCACGAATGGATGAGTTTTATTATGTTTGTATTCGGACACTTCGAAATACAATACGAGATCCAGCAATGGCTGCGTCACAAATCATTGTCGCGACATTATTAGCATTGTTGACCGGTTTAGTATTCAATCAAATGCAAGCCACTGTCGAGACAGGTGTACAGAATCGACTAGGAGCGATATTTTTCATTGTTGTCAATCAAATCTACAGCACGGCAACAGCTTTAGAACCACTAGTTCAAGAACGTGCACTCTTCATTCATGTAAACTCTTTCTCAATTGACTTTCAATGCATAATCTATTTCGTTTTTTCAAGGAAAATGTTAGTGGGTACTATCGTGTTTCTACATTTTTCTTTGCTAAATTAATCTGTGATTTATTACCAATGCGATTGATACCATCGGTGATATTTTCTGTCATTACGTATTCTATGACTGGTTTTCAGGTATCATTCAGTCGATTTTTTACTTATCTTCTAACGATTTTCATCAGTACTGTCTTCGGATCAGCGATATGCTTTTTCGTTGCATCTCTCATTCCAATCTTTGGTAAGATTTCATGATTTAGTGAAGAAAAAATATCTTTGATTTGTTTTTCGTAGTGGTTGCATTGATTGTTGTAGTGTTCATATTCGTTCTGATGATGATCTTTAGCGGATTTTTGATCGATCTTCAGAGCATTTTCCCATTTCTTCGATGGTTACAATGGATCAGTGCGTTTCGATACGCAACAAACTTGTTAACTATTAATGAATTTCGTAATTTAACATTTTGTTTAACCAACAATTCACATATTTGTCCAATTCAAGGTGAAGAAATCTTAGGTCAACGTGACATTCCTTATGGGAATGACTGGGATATGTGGAAGAATTTTGTCGCTCTGATAATTATGATTTTTATCTTTTTGACAATGGCATTTATTCAATTAATACGAATGAAAAAGGTCAAATAATGTTAGAAATAAATTTTCAAAACAAAACACACATTCTAAGCGCTAAAGAAATAATTGAAATCGTTCCTCTCGAAAGGTTTTTTTTTGCAGTAGAAGGATTTTTCTGAAAGAAAATCACCAGCTGGATATCTAATGACTTGAAACGAGGAATATAAATAGATATTCACGAAAAAATGATTTGCATTTTCTGGGATTTCAAAAAAAAAGAAATATGAAGACGTCGATAGTCATCTACTTGATTCTTTTCCTGTTCATTGGCTGGTTGAATGCAAGTCATGTTTATCATAATACGCGACACAAACGAACATTAAATACGATTTTATCACGAATTGCTTCCATTGGTGCAAATGATGATGATATAACCAAATTATTCAATACCGAATATCAATTTCCAACCGGATACAATGGTGGTACAGATATTTTATCACAATATCGTCTTATTACCAAAAACTTTCTCAATTCTCAAAAGATCAGATGAGATGAGTAATGTTCTCTTCGAAGATTTGTGTCTTGGCTTTTATCAATAAACTAACTCAGAAAGAGTGAAACACAACGATTGTTGAATACAGTTCGTATTTGTTTCTTATATCTTTATCTCTCATATAAGTTTATTTGTTACTTTTCCTTTTTTTTCTATAACAGAGAAAAAACTAGAGATTGACAAGTATATTGTGTAAACGCGCACAGTGAATCGAAGAAAGAACAGAAGTCGTCGGTGTGCACATATGTCAAGACCAACACACGCACATAGAAACACATGTTATATATATATAAAACAAAAGAGAAGAAAAAAGGATGAAAATCATCGATATAGTTTGGCAAATGTTTCAAATTCATATTCAATTGCCGAAGGTTGAATGTCGTTTCTAAATTTAACAGATGAAAAAAACACAGTTTTTCAAGTCGATAGCACACTTACTCGCACAGAACGTTATAGAACTGTTCGTATTGTTTGATGGTGACAATTTCCACTGATCCATTTTTACTTGTACGCGGAATTTCTCGAAGAGCTGTTTGTAACCAGTGGGAAAATTTCTCCGACATGAAAGTTTTCAAGTCATAAACAAAATCTGATATCGATCCACGGATTGATGATGGCACACGATCGATAACAATTGCGCGAATCAAACCCGTCAGAACATTGGGAAAATACGTTTCACATAGTGACATTGCCAACGAACGAATTTCCGGTTGATGCTCGGTCTTATTCTAAGTGAAAGAGAAGCTTCGATGAGAAACAATGAGTACTTTTTTGTTGAAGACACCTACTTTGCTCTCCTTTTTACTTGTCGAAGTAAGTTTGGCTAAAGATTGAAGAAAAGCGATCATACTCGCACTAGCATCTCGATGTTCCAAATTGCAATTAGGTATGATTTGTTCGATTATTGGCCGAATGACATTCGATTTAAGGAATTCTAGTGGACATCGTTGAAGCAATCTGATAAAATAACCGGTTGGAAAAAGGATAAGTCCTTTATAGTTCGTACCTGGATGATAATCGATAGAAATCATCGACAAGATCGGGATTCTGTTTGAAACCATCTTGATTACTTAGAATGGAAAATGTTTTATTTGTCAGATGTTCACTCATCACGATCAACGCAGCTTTTAGATCATGATCACTACCATATTCATCGACAATGATTGAAATTAAGTAAAGAAAACATGAATGAGGAACTTCCTCATAACTGGAAATAACCTAAAGAGATGAATTCGATAAGTTAAAATGAGAAGTTGGCTTTGCTACGAACGAGTGTAACGATCTGCTGAAAGAATATTTTGGCATGTGAACGCATTGATCGAACAATGAAACGAATTGTGCGCGACCAACATTCGCTAAGTTTCGGCAATGAACGATATCGAACAATGATTACTTCGAGCAATGGTAGTAACTGCAATTATGAATAGACAAATCAAGATTAGTCGATTATTTTGTTTAGATTTGATTTACTTGTTGAACAATAGTTGTACACGGGTGGGGTTCGCTATGTGCGGTTTTGAAATCGAGACTTCTGGAAGATTGAGAAGGACATGAAGTTGGTTTCGTTAGGTATGTGTGTATTTATATTACCGGAAAATTGCTGTCAAACAATCGAGACGTTTGGTAATCGATGTATAATTAGAATTCGTCGGGTTGGATAGAATCTAAGAAAGAAGATTTTCGAGAATAGATTTGAGCATTCAAAAGTTGACAAACTTCTGTTAATGATTGGATTTGTTGATCGAAGAGTAGTTTCAAATATCGATGAATATCGTCTGTTGATGTTAAACGAGAAATCAACTTTGATGAAGCTAGAATAGCAAAATAGAATGCAGTTTTATTCGAAGCAGCGTATAAACCTTTGAGTAAACATTGCGCGGCTTCACTTCCTGCTTCCATTTGATCTAACCAGAGAGTTGCTTGAATGATTTGATCCAGATCATTGATCAACTGCTTTCGGCATTCTTGGCAAATGTTTAAAATAGCATTGGCGGAAACATGACGCAAATCTTTGTCTCCAAGTAACGATAGAAGATACTGAAGAACTGATTCTAAACACAAAAACTCCACATTAATAACGATGGACAAAAAAGAAAATGTACTTACTTAAATATTGTTGATTATTTTCACCGATCCATTGATCCAATTGTGAAATTAATCGAACACCTGTGTATTTTAATGCTGTATGGATATGCCCTGGTTCGATTGGCGTCGATATAATGGCTTGAATAACTTTCGGAACGATTTTATCTTCATCCGGTGATACATACGAAGCTACACAACTCATTATATACAATGGAGCTTCACTTTCTTCCCATGACGAAGACGATGATGATTGCAATTTTTCAAACATCTATACAAAATCAGAAACAAAATGTCGAACTTCGCTTGTTTCGTAAGTGTAATTACTCGTTGAAAACAATTTAAAGCACCGGTTATATGAATTGTATCTTTGATTAAACATTCAACGCGATAACGAAATTCGCCGAGGTCACTGTTTGATGCTGCATGACTTTTCGAACTCTTCTCATCACTTTCTGGCGGAACACCCAGCTAAAACGAACAAAAACATGAAACAAATGCACTCGTTCGGCATCTATACAAAATTTCTACATGATCGGGATCAAGTTTGCATTGTGTACATAAAATATCGATTAATTTATCCATATAAGGCTTTATCTTCTCAACCATATCATCGTTGTGCGTTTTGATGTAATCCGCGAAACTACACCATGTGTAGAATGTGGATTGGGCAACCTAAATCAAGAATCGTTGCCTTAAATGTTCAAAATAAAGATGTTGGCTCACTTCGTAATCACTATGTTCTAATGGGTAGAGTAATAGATGAAGACAAGACAGATCACTAAGATCCGATTGACGACCATCGATCAAACAATCAAGGATAGATTCAATGAGATTGATATAAATTCGGGTGTAATTTTGTGCTCTGGAAAGAGAAATGAATTAATATGAGCAGCGAAATGATTCAATTTCAACGAACTTATCGAGATTTTCATCTTTAACAGCTTGAAAGTACGATTGACATAGATACTGAGTAATTTGTTGTTTGAGAAAGACTGCTAATGACCAATATTTTTGATACTCCTATTAAAAATTTCAAAATAGTCAAACGATATTCTTTGATCTTTATCTTACCTCACACAATTCCAGTATGTTACATAAACAATCACAAGCACTTTTATGTAATTCATTCGAACAATGTGTTGATTTCTAGAAGAAGTAGAAAAGTAAACTGAAATGAGTCGTTCCGAAGTAAATGTATCTCATTTACAAGAATATCCAATACACTGTTAAGTAATGGCGACGTTAACAACAGATTTTCAGTAAATGCACGAATACTTATCCACGATGCAAAACATTTGAGAATGCCAGTAAACAATGATTCAGTTGGTGTTGAATTAACTTGAAGAAGAAAGATCTACAATTAGTAGAGAGAGAGAGAGAAAGAAATGAATAATCAGCTATTGATTTCAACGAACTAATATGTCATGAATTTGTTGGCCAGAGTTCGAATATTTCTCTCGACAATATTGACGACGATTCTCACCGATTCGTATCGTTGATGTATTGACCTATGTTCGGTTGAGAGAGATCATTATAAAGTCGAAAGATGAAAAGATCCTACTTCTTCGGGTAGTGCGGTAAGAAATTCCAGTAATGTCAACATATGTTCAGGTGAGGTTTTCAATCTAAATCATAATATTTCACGCTCTTCTTTTCCGTATAGCACTGGTTTAAATTTACTTTTCGACAACATCTTCAACTGGGTTTTCCCAGCCAACATATTGAAGAGCTAAATCAGCCGTGGCTACCGCCAACTAAGATATGAAATATGTAACGCATGAAACACTTGACGAATATTATTCTCACTTGAACACGCACTGTTGTAATACGAGTGAGTTCGGCGCGAGATAAATGATCAAGTAGAGAATCGCATAATCCCTAAAATACGCTTCAGTTTGGTTCTAATTCATCACTAAGATATGACGTACTTTACAATGTTCAATAGGAAGTTCATCGAAGTTATGTTGAATCTTGAATAGAACATAGGATTTTCATTGGAATAGAGGTCTGTTTTTACCTTATGTCGAAGGATTTGAGCTGAGAGACATGTAACTTCTGAATTTTGATTTCTTCGTATTAACTGGTCTGCAAGTGTCCATGCATAGAGCTTGAAGAGAGGAAATTCATAGATTTGTCGAGTAGAAGATTGCTTTTTACCGATGATTGTACACTGAGTAACCACTCCGAAGCAATTTTTTTTCGCGTGGCATCTTGATCATGATAAAGCATTTGAACGGCTTGGACAAAATTCTCGGGTGTTACTTCTGTCATATTCATCAAGATGTGACTTATTGGAAAATATATATATATGTAGAAAAAATAAACTATCTAAACAAAAATCTGTATCTTTATTGTAAGAATCTCACTTTCCATTTATCATTTGCAATGGAAAACAAACGAAACGAATAGCTTTGGTTTTTCTTTTACTTTCACAACTGATTGGAGAAAGAGCAAAACCAATCGATAGAAAGCTACTTCGATGAAAGATGGCACTGGGCATTGTATGGATAGATTCTTGTATGTTCCGAGCAAGTTGACTTTCACGTGAAAATCAAGGAACTGAATGATCTTGAGATTCATTTATCGAAACAAAATGTTTTTAATCGTATTCAATTAGAGTTCAGTTGGTAGACGGCAATTGTGTTTTTCATTTCGATATTAAGATTTGTAAATGAAAGTTAAAATTACGAGCACTGCTTTCGAATTCACAAATGATGAAAAAGTGTATTTGCAAGACAAGCACTATCTTATGAGAAACCTTGTCCATAGTTTATCTTGATTCGGAGACCTGACTTCCAATCGCGAGTTTCTCCTTGTCGACTCAAAACTCACGTTGTTTTTCTCTCTGCCGTAATTCTTGTTTTTTTCTCTTTCTCGCAAAACATCGTGTATTAAGGTCGTATCAATTATTTATTTTTAAACAGGTAAATCAAAGTTTATTATCATTTGTCTTGATTTCTTGCCATAGTTAGTAACAAGAGAAAACAGATCCATGTTTATAACGATTTGATTACTACCCTCGGAAATATAGAAACTTATAAAACCAAACTTTATCTTATCAGTTACTTTTCCGTTCTATTTGACATTGTCTTTAACATATTTATTATAACGTAGAAACAGGTACTACATAGTAAACTGACACAGGTGATCATTCTCTAAACTAACGATCAAGTTCCCGATAGCTAAACAGATATATACTCAGTCGATTTTTTTACAAAGGTCATTGGCGAATAAAGTGCTGCTGTTAATAGTCTTATTTTCATATATATAAAACACTTTTTTTTTGTTAACTACAAACACAATGTTAATTTGAAGGTAAGAAAAAAAAGTAAATAAGTCGACGGTTACAGCATGTGTTCTGTTAGACGTTCTCCTTTTCGCCGATTCGAACAAGAATGTGTCAACGTAACTATATAGAAAAAATGATAGACGCATGTGTGCATTGACGCAGCGGCGAAGGAAAAAATCTTTTATTCGTTTTTGTTGGCAGTATATAATCGCGCGTGTTTTTGCGCATTTGATTTAAAAAAATGGGACCGCACTCGTCTAAACACCATCATCGGCGTGGTTCAACGCCAGCGAAATCAGACACCTTGCATCCATCAAGATTGGCACCGACGAAATCTGATTCGTCCATCTCTGTACGCAAATATGATCTATCGAGTTTTGCTGTGATTGCTGTGATTTTCAATCCGATGAAATATAAATCTCGTTATAATCACTACAATAAATTTCAAGCGCATATGGCTCAATCCGGTGTGACATTATTTACTGTGGAGTGTATATTCGAGTCAGCCGAACGATTCGGCCTGTCGAGTCAACAGTTTGAACTAACTAAAAATGGTGATTGGCGGCATATACAAGTCACAGCTCCGTCTATCCTCTGGATGAAAGAAAACTTGATCAATATTGCACTTAAATATTTACCGCAACATTTTGAATACATTGCATGGGTCGATGCAGATATTGAATTTGAAGTGCGTACAATGATAAAACAGAAACAGTAGAGAAATTGATCTTTTTCTAGAGTCTAGATTGGCCACACCGAACTATTGCTGAACTTCAGCGATATTCCATTGTACAAATATTTGAATTGTCATATTTTCTTGGGCCCGGTGGCAAAAGTGATGTTTTGCGTCGCGATTATTCATTGGGATATTCTATTCGAAAGAATAAACCAATTGATCCACGACGATATGACGAGTGGTATCCACATCCTGGTTATGCTTGGGCGATGCGTCGCTCTGCGATGAATGCAATTGGAGGTTTAATCGATTTTTGTATTATTGGATCCGGTGATTTACATTTTGCTTTTGCGTTAATTGGTCGAATTGAGGAAACACTTCGGCCGGGTTTACATCACGATTACCGACAACTAGCACTTGCATGGGGGCAACGAGTAGCAGAGCAAGCTCGAAATGGTGCAAATGTTGGTTACGTGCCTGTCAATATCTATCATCATTGGCATGGTGAAAGAAAAGATCGAAACTATATTGATCGATGGTGAGTAAGAGCAAACGTTAAGAAATCCTTTGATATCATAGAGTTGTTTGTAGAAAAGATCGAGAATGAATGTGATTATTTTTTTTATCTTAGGGCAATTCTTGAAAGACACCAGTTTTCACCAATTAATGATTTAGAGAAAAATAATGATACTGGCCTTATTCGTTTAGCAGATAAATCACATTTGGGACAAATTGAGGTTCAACGTATGGAAATGCTCGAACGTGACATTGTTGCATATCTTCAATCGCGCAATGAAGATAAGAAAACAAAAACTACCAACCCTCCGCAACCTCCTCCACCGGTTAGGAATACTCCTTCAAAACCATCGAAGCCACCTCCTCCACGTACTACGGGTGGTGGCGGCTTGAAACCAACAAAATTTAACACGTCATACTCAACACGTCCTCCAGGTCATTACATATGGTCTTCTGGTCCATCTGGCTCACATGTCGATGACCATAATCCTTATCTGGATCAATGTACTTGTCCTGGCCACTGTCATCATCCTGATAATCATGATTGTCCATGTGCACCTCACCACATGGACGATCAACATTGTTGGCCATCCACGGACTGTGATGATCACGACGACCACCATCATCATCATGACCACGGTGATCAACACTGTGGACCATCCACAGGCCATGATGACGATCATCATCATCATCATCATCATCATAATGATCACGACCACCATCATCATGACCATGACCATCATATAGACATTTGTCCGCCATCTGATCAACATGGGCATGGTTCTCACCCAGATACATATTTACCGTCTGATAACTATGACGGCGGCCATCATTCGACTCATGATCACGGCGACCATGGTGGTTATGATAATGATTATTCGTATGGAGGAGGTGGACATCATGATTCAGATTATAATGGTCCTGGAAGTTTTTACTAATCTTAGATATAATTCATACTCATAAGAATAACTTTTCACCTCGGATTTATTAACTTTCTTATATTCTATCTTTCCGAATATATTTTCTTTTTATTATATAGTTCTTCTTTATAATTAAGAAATTGAGATCATTCGTATTTTTCATACCTATTGGAATGCATATTGATTTTGTGTTCATATATGTTTCGATTCTTTATCTGAGTAAATAATAAATATCGGTGACAAATCTTACTGTATACACTGATGTACAACTCAAACAGCGAGTTCTCTATCAAACAAAATCGACCCTGTCAAGCAAACAATCGCATATTTCATAACGTATTTTATTTCATGTATAAAATTCTGATCGACAGATGTCGCTGATAGGCAACGCTACGTCTACAGCTCAAAAGAACAAATAAGGTATCGAATGGTAAACTATAGCATACTGAATCTCCAGATCAATTATTAGGAATAAGACCTTTTTTAACGTAGTCATGCTCTCGAGAATTGTTTCTCGAGCGGTATTACAAACTGTATTCGTTCGATCGACGATTCCGGTAACTGAATAATCTCTTCGGCTTTTTCTCTTTACAATGACGGTTTGATTCTCTCTTTTTCACTAGCATCGATTTCAAAGTTCGACGTCCAATTCTGGGACAGTTGGTTCCGAAACCTCAGATGAAAGCGAAAGTTTTCTACATAATCGCAACATCGCTCAGGCAATAGCTGATGAAGAAGCTATCGATACTATTGAACAGGCGACAAGTAACCGTGCAGAAATGATTAGTCAAGCAATGAAAAACTACCTTACGAAATCCAGAGAAAAACGTACGAATGAAGATTTCTGCTCATGAATCATGTTTTCGTTCTTTTTCTTAGAAAAAGTTTTGGATGAAAAGATTCATGAATACGAAATTGGACGAAGACATCTTGCTAAGATCATGGGTGAAGATCCAGAAAGTTTCACTCAAGACAAAATCGATGTAGGTTTCTCTCAAATCGAGCGAATCTTTTCTAGTTAGTCTTTTTCTAGGAAGCAGTGAATTATCTTCTTCCATCCGGTCTACTCGATGAACGTGCAAGACCAAAGATGAGAGTAAATATTGCTTTCATTGTCATTTCCACATCTTATTCTCATTTTTGCAGCCACCAGAAGAAATGTATCCAAAAGAAAAAGGTCAGTTTTGTTCAGATGTCCTCGACTAACCTCTACCTTGCCTTTTGTTTAGCTGTTCAATTCGATAAAGCTGGTCGACCATATCATTTTCTATATTACACAGCCAAACACAATTATTACGATGTTTTACATGTAAAGACACACTCTTATGTTTTGAAACCCGTCTGATTTTCGATGATTATTTTCAGGCCGTCGCTAATAAAATGGAAGAATTGAAGAAAGCGGAAGTTGCAATGTTCGCATCAGGCCGAGAACCAGATTACAGTCTCAACGAGTTGGTATTCCCCTTGATAAGAACAAAGTTCATTCTTTCGAATAAAATTTCAGTGAATTTAACTATACTCAATGGGAAAAGAAAGAAGTGTTCGAGCAGCGATTTTTGGAAAAGCTCGATGATGAACAAGTGAGTGGAGATTCGTTGTTGAAAAGCAGATGAATGAATAGTTGTTTTTATTTTAGTACAAAACATTAATTATTTGTTTAAATCGTCTAGTAAAACATCCATTAGCGTATACAATGAAGGAATATATCAATTCATTTCGAACAAAGTTAGCCGATTCAATAAGTAAACAAGAAATTGAACCGGTAAGAGAAAAAACTACAATATGAACAATTTCATCTATATTGAATTCATCTAGTTACGATACGATGTCGATGGTCGACCTTATCAAATAGCTAGTGGTGAGTAAAACAACAAGAAAACCTACATTCAATTGCGGGAGTTTCGATGCGAACGAAATATTGTCAGTTATTTGATTCCACTCATTGTCGAACAACTCGTTGAAGAGATGCGTTCCATTTGATACTGCTGTTGCTGTTGTTGTCACTATCGATAATGTCGTTGTTTTGTCATCAATTTCCAATTCTTCTTTGATTGCACTGATCAATGGGAATTTGTGTACGCTTTGTTTTTTACTTGTCCGACAAAATTGCCCGTTGAAATCGTCCATATCTAATGTCCACACCATCGCGCCACCAAACCCTTCACGTTTAACGTATTTACACTATGAACAATAGTTAAATATAGATTCTTTGAGTGATTCGTACGAGTGAAATCTTACCTTGTTTCGAACACTGTCTGGATCATCGTAGCCAATCCATGTTCCATCTTTGAAACTAATTGGAATTTGATGCTGTTTATGCCAGTAGCGTTTGAAACCTTCTTTTAACTCTTTTTTACATATCTAAATTCTTATATTATACATTGGCGATGATGAAGGAGATTTTTCTACCTCGAAGTATGCCAACAAACCACTTTCACCTAGATAAGGTGAAGAAACCGAACCTGATCCACCGCCGCTTTGCCCAAATGCTTTTAATGGATCCTTTCCATCAGCGGTAAACGCACGACCGTAACCTGGAATACCGATATTCAATCGTTCACGTGCACAACCCGCTTCGACCCAGTTATACATTGAATTATTCTAAAAAAATCGATTTGCACCATTCATCACTAGACAAAGTACTTCAACTCAACTGTATTCAATTCTCGTTCCATACCAGTTTCACCAGGCCGATGGAATAACGCACTATGATGACCGATTTTATTATGCCATGACCCGTACAGATCATACGTCATCACATTTATCATATCAACGTTTCTATATAACGACAAAAAGGTATACGTCGAATGACGGTTTTCATCTTACTTGCATAGAACGGGTACATCATAACCTTGTGTGATTAAGTATTTTCCTGCGGCCACTGCTAGACTAATCAACAATCGATCTTTCTTCGACTTTTTCGACTCCTTCTCAAATGTTTTACGCATTGTCTACAAAGAAATGCTCAACTGGTTGGAAATCAAACCGTTCTTCACTAACTTTCGTTAATAATCCAAAACGTTCACGATGATCAGCTGATGGAAATTCCCAATCTAAATCAATTCCATCAAAGCCATGTTGACGACAGAATGCAATCACGTTTTTACTAAACGCTTCTCTACAAATATTGTTCTCAATCGATGGTCATCATTCAATTCCATCAGAATATCTTACCGTGCTGATTCTGATCCGACTAACGAATCGAATTCGCCCGCTTTTCCCCATCCACCACACGAGATCAAAATTTTCAACTCGGGATTCTTCTCCTTCAATTTCATAATACGTGGATATAACGGCTTAAATAAAGAAAACGAACAATTATCAATATTTCATTACATCAATCAAAAGGGAAACCTGCTCTCCTTGATAAACGTTAATGTCATTAGCTAACTGTGGCTGTAAAGATATTCCATTGAGATTGGCAAATGCATATAAGATATGTGTGCAGAGATCGGGTGGAACGTCTTCTGGATAAAGGCGAGCATCTTTCATCGACCGATGAGCACCCCAATTAGTAAAATAACATATCCGATTATATTTCGCTGAACTGAGAAATGGTATAAAATATAAAAGATAGATGAAAGTTACCCACATTGATAGGAGATGAAATGAACAATGAACATGACATTTGATAAGAAATAAAAATGTGATCGGTTGTTGTTATTGTTTAAATAGATGATTGCATCGTGTTTGAGTACACATAACCATCATCGAGTTAATCTTATGTTCAACAATCATTCGAAGTTGAAGGAGAATTTCTTTTTTTGTTCTTCATTATAGCGAGACACAAATGGTGTACAGCAACAGTTACTCTACGAGAAGGAACAGGAAAAGTAACAATCAAAGCATTAAGTGTCAAATCAAATGTTCATGATATTCTTTATTTTACGCGAATTATACACCGGTTTGTCGAATATCGTTCGATTTCTATTTATCAAGATTTTTTATTTATTTTAGAGATCAACTTCTCTATCCGTTTAAAGTTGTTGATCGTGTTAATCTATTCGATATTGATGTTAACTACGATGGAGTTGGATTTACAGCACAAGCTATTGCTACGCGATTAGCCATTTCTAAAGCACTTTGTTCATTTATTTCGTCGAAAGAAGTCGAATACCTTCGATTGGGTAAGACGAGTCTTCTCGTGTAAGTAATTGTGAGAAAATTTCTCTTCTAGCTGGCCTATTAACGGATGATGCGCGTCGTAAAGAACGTAAACAACCAGGAAAGAGAAACGCACGACGCAAATACAAATTGTATGTTTATTTTTTCATTCTAAACCATGTCCTGTTTTCAATCTTTGTATTTTAGCCGAAAACGTTAAGACCCAACAACAAGTTATTTCGTTGTTTATAATAACTAGAACATTTTTTGTTTGTTTTCTCATTGAAAAACTAAAAAAAGACGTCCATCAGAATTCAAAGTACTGGCTGCTATTATCTACTCATATGTCGCAGAAGAAAAATCGTGAGGGGCACGGCACAGAAAAGCAATTTAACTGAAAATATTCCCTGTTCTGGCTAGTTCTTTTGATGTACATCTGGAAATACCTTCCTTGAATTGTTTTTTTCTGACATTCTTGAAATAACGAGCGAAACATTTATTCGGCAAGAACAAACTCTGGAGAAAATATTTTGATCATTCGTGACTAGCGAACGGTGAAGAAAAGATTTACAGAACAGCATTTCATTCAACAAGATTTCTTTCGGAATTCGATAACATGAAACTTGTTCTGTGTGCACATGCACATTCGTTCTTCATTCGAATTAAAATTCTGCTTGTAGTGAAAGAATGTGATACAAAAATAGATTCTCAAACATGTACACACACCAGCTGGCAGCAAACGATGTATCTGTGCAGTCGGATGATAAATTTTTTTCTTTTACGTGTAAGAAAATAGATTATCGTGTATAAAAGGAGAAGAACAACGATGCATTTAGTACCGATTGTTTCAACTAAACCTTGACAATGCCATCCAACGGTTATCAGCGATACACACCCGATGAACAGCGGAAACGAAGAATCAGAAGATTGATTATCGAAGTTATTGTGTGCGCTGTACTCATCCTACCAACAATTTTTGTACCCGTAGGGAGTCTTCTGAAAGATATGATTAAACCACGAATTTTCGGTAAAGTAACACTCCAACCCGATACAGAAGGTTTACAAAGTTGGCTCGATCCACCAGTCGATACAACTCGAAGTTACTATCTATTCAATGTCACAAATGCAGAAAATGTTACTCTTCATCCATCTGATACGACTATACATGTTCGAGACACACCGGCTTACACATACAAAATCAAAACCATCAAAAACATTACTCAATGGTCTGACAACAATACTAAACTTGATTATGAAGTTTCTCGACTGATTACGCGTGATCCCGAACGATTTAAAGAATCGTCTCTTAATGATACTGGTGCATTTATTGACTTAGTACGGGCTATTTTTCGAACACAATTTGAAAAAGCTAAACCAGCACAATCATTTTTTGATCTTGGTGGTGAAAATCCCTTTCCTGAAGGAAAACCAATAGAATTACTAGAAGGCTATACTTCGTCTTTGTTTGACACTGTTCGAGAGAAAATGGTAGGACCAAACACGGACAAGTCAGGTTTTATCTATCGACAAAATGGTAGTCGATTATACAGTGTGTCGATAGACACAGGTATGATGTACTCGCTTCTATTCTAGTTGTTTCCAGTACTCCGATATTTTTGCTTTAGATTTGGATAAAAAAGGTCAAATGAAATCATTTTCAAGCGATCTCGTTGCATTTGAAACTACTTCACACGATTATTCATTTCCAATTTATGATAGCGTTACATATCCAACAATGCTTTTTGATAAGCCCGTACTGAACATCTTCCACTCAGATTTTTGCAGTCCAGTTCTTCTTCAGTATTCGAAAACCGTCAATTTACGTTTTGGACTACCGGCATTCGAGTATCGAGTCAAATTTATTAACGTTAACAATTGTTCTAACCCAAATGATACAAGTACGTGCGAAGAAGTCCAGAAACTTGATGTTTCAAAATGTATTTCAACATCTTTGCCAGAGGACACGATCTTTCTGTCCAAAGCGCATTTTTATGGAAGTAAAAACGAGACAATTCAAGAAATGAATATCGAAGGTTTTCAACCATCTGCAGATGCACATGATTCAGTTGTTTATTTTGAGCCTTACTCTGGTACGCCGTTGAAAGCTTCATTTCGGATGCAGTTGAATGTTGCAGCGAGCATTGATCCAGCCAGAAAAGAAGAGGATGGAGCTAAGTGGACAGCAATAAAAAAACGCAAAGGTGTCGTACGTTTAATACCCGTATTTTGGATCGATCAGGATATAAAACTCTATGAAAGCAAAGTCAAAGATCTTCAGAAAGCCATGATTATTATGAATAACGGACAGCGAATTGTTATTGGATTAGCGATTGTATTATCCATTTGTTTTATTCTTGTTATGGAATTAGTTCCGCGATTATGCAACAGAAACAATCGAAATAAACACAGTGGTTATGTCAAGGCTGATACTCTAATCTATCATTAAAGCTCCTCAATTGAACCGAAATGTGTTTTTCCAAAATACGTCTTCATTTTCTAGTTGTTAGTTTGATCGTTATTCTTTTTTTTTCTATCATACGAATTCATTTTATCTTTTTTCGTGTGAAATAAATCGAACAAATACATTCTCACTCAAATTCTACTTTTCATATACTCACCGAAACTTTTCAAACATCTCCTAGCCAGTTTCATGTCCTACATCGAATTTTTTGGACTATTCATTACAGCCCGCTGACATGTTCGAATGATGCATCCGATCAAATATGTACAATGGGTAGTAATAATTAGACAATCGATTTCATGTGTTTGGTAAATACAAGTGTGAGGAGTGTTCCTTGCCTGAAACATATGTTTCAATCGAACAGAACGAATGCAAATGTGATTCTTTATTTCCTCAACTATTATATACAAAAGCTTTTTTGTCTAATCGAAAGTAAGTATTGACGAACAACCATATTCTAGTTTGAATTTTATGGTTTGAAAAGAAGGAGAACGAATGAAATATTTTTCGTTCCTTTTCATATGATAAGCAGTACTGTATCTTCAGTTATGACCAGCTGTAGTCTACCACAAAAAAGACGCAATCATCATCCACTATCAGTGTTTAACAAATTTGTATTTTTTCTCCTTTTTCGTTCTTCCTACAAAGAGCACATATTCGCTGCTACCACTATCACCATTATCATCTATTTATCAAGAAAAGAACGAGAACTTTAATAATACAAAGTACAAAATGACGAACGCGTCGAATACGCAACGAAATAAGAAATTAACCAAACGAATCCTTATAGAAGTGATCGTTGCTATAGCTATCCTTGCTCCTGCAATCTATTTATGTGTTAACTTAAAACCAATTATCATTGGTCAGGTTTTAAAAATAGTAGAATTAAAGCCAAATAGTCAAGGTTTTGAAACATGGCTCAGTCCGCCAACGACAATAACTCGTGGTTATCATCTTTTCAATATAAGTAATGCAATGGAAATTGTTACCGATCCATCGTCGACAACAATACAATTGAAAGAAACACGCGCCTATGATTATCATTTATTTGCCACGAAAAAGGATGTTCGATGGTCGGATGATAATAAAGCATTGAGTTATTCGATCTATCGTTTGTTCAATCGTCATTCAACCAAATTTGAACCATCCGCTGTCAACGATACAGGTGTATTTGTTGATTTGCTTCGAGCCATTTTTCGAACACAATTCGAATCAAGACCAGCAAGTTCATTCTTTGACTTGGGTGGAAATAACGCTTTCAATTACGGAAATGCGATTGAACAATTAGAAGGTTTTACTTCACCATTGTTCGAAACTGTCCGAGAAAAGATGACTGGACCCAACACTGCTAAGTCTGGATTTATCTACCGATACAATGGTAGCCGATCGTATAATTTTACAATCAGATCAGGTAATTCAGCACGTTCTTTTCATTCGAGAAAAGCAGAAATTGTTCTTGTTGATCTATGGCACAATTTGTAGTAGATCTTTCTTCTTTTTAGGTCTGATGGAAAAAGGTCAGGTACTTTCATTTGCCAGTGAAAATGTTCCGTTTTCATTTTCTTCACCCGACAAATACCCACTGACGATATACGATGGTCTTACATTCGTACCGATGCTTTTTGATAAACCAGTTATGCATATTTTTCAAGCAGATTTTTGTCGTCCAATTACTGTTAAATTCAATAGAGTTCTTACAATGTTTAGTGGTATCGATGTTCATGAATATGTAATTAAATTTATTGATTTTGATCAATGTACAAATATCAGTGATATAAATACATGTCCAGAGCTTGATAAACTTGATGTTTCCAAATGTATATCAGCTACATTACCAGACAATACTGTCTTTCTATCGAAACCACATTTCTATGGAGCTTCGAACGAAACAATGGAAAATCTGAACATCGAAGGTTTTACACCGACTCGTGATCAACATGAAGCATTGATTTATTTTGAACCTTATTCTGGTACACCTCTTCGAGCACACCATCGTATTCAATTGAATATTGATGCAATTATTGATCCGATGAAACAATCAGAATACGGATCAGAACTTACGCCAACAAAACGTCGTGGAGTTCGAAGAATGATACCGTTAGTATGGATTGACCAAGAAGTGAATATAGATGATGCTACAATTGGTAAATTAAGACTAGTTCATCTTGCTATTCGTCATGGTAAAGTGGTTATTATGGTAGCAGCTATACTTCTAATTATTCTCATCATTGGTATTTTGGAGTGTTTAGCGAAACGAGCAACTAGAAAAGAACGCCGTCGACGAGGTGGTCATCAGAAAGAAGACCCGTTAATGCAACAAATGACATCGATCAATCAGTGAAAAAGATTTATCTATACCATATGACTTTATAGCTTATTTTCTTTTGTTAAGGTGTTTTAATTTGACTTACTTGTTTTTTTGTATTATGATTTTTTCCCGTATCAATATAGTGTCTAATCTGACAGTTCATATTTGTGTATTGCATTCAAAGCCAATAGCACATGAAGTATCGAGCTATTTTCATTTTGATTTATTTCGATTAGATTGTTTATTCCTATGATAATTCATATTGATACTAATCGATAAAAATATAGCTGAGACGAGCTGTTGGAACGTGACCTTAAATATCTAATAAATCGAACACTTATGTCAATTAAGAAAATACTCTTTGATTGACAGGTAGGTTTTTTTTTCTAGTCTGTCATCTTGCATTGCGCCTGTTAGTTGCACAAATCAAATCAGCAATCATTAGTTTTGCAGAGAAAAAATACGTTGAGAATGAGGACGGATGAAGATAACCACATTGACATTATTTTATTAGGAAGAAGAGCGGAAGATTTTGTTGGTGATAACTATGAATGAGAAATTCATGGTTGTTCACAATAGGAAATAGTCATTGCAGGAAGATCCCTACTGAGATCATCTTCTGAAGATAATGAAAATTCTGTTTAAAATAAGATGAACCCGCGACATTTTGATGAAATCATCTTTTCGTCTTTATTGATTTCTATTAAATTTGATTAGACGATTTAAACTCATCTGACAAACGAGAACAACTTTATTCTATACCAGAATAAGGTTGTCAGACAGCAAGCCTTTTATACACAGATGTAACTAATCTATAGATTTATCAAGAACTTCGAATAATACTTCTCAACTATAAAGTTCAATTCTTCATCAATCGAATTATCCTGTTTATTCGTTCAAACAACTGCACATTTCTTTTCTGTTTGTTAGCATATCTCATAGTAGTGTAAGAGAATTATTAATTTGAATCAGATTCATTTCCTGACCGAATGCTTTGTTTTGTCAAGGACAACTCTTGAAAAAGTATGTTCAATAGCAATCATCAATAGATTTACATTATGAAGAGTTCAGCTGGAAAGTCTTCATTATTGAAAGTGCATTTTGAATTAAAGGATAGATCGTTACCACCTTCGACAACTTATGTGTGAGAGAGAGCATCCCTACCGTCAGACTAACAGTCTATCCGGTCGAATCTCGTGCACAGGTAAGTTCTTGACATACCATCAATGCATTAAATCCTTTAAATAAAAGATTATCTCATGACAGTGATAAGTTGTATTTAATGGTAAAAACCTTCCAAAATAATAAAACATCCATCAGTGCACGACGTCAATGAGATTCTGACAGTTTTAAAGTCTGATTTCAACTGAACGAACACTTATTTCATTTGTTTTTTAAAACTTTTATTGTTATCAAACTTTCGAGTAAAGAACAACTATGACGTCGATTCTACCTTCTATTCAAATTGCTATGATACGTTACGGTATGACGACTTATTTGGCTCTTGGTAATATCGGCAATTTCCTTGCGTTGTTAATTTTCTCAAATAAAAATCACCGACGCAATCCGTGCTCTGTATATCTTGGAGTTGGATCTCTATTTAATATTCTTGGCATCAATTTAGGAATAATTCCATTAGTTTATGCACTTGATCATCCTGATCCTTTGCCACTTTCACTTTCATTATGCAAATGGCGTCAATATGCTCTGCACGCTATTCTAATGATCGATCGAATATTGATTGTTTTCGCATGTTTCGATCGTTTTGCGGTGTCCAGTAGTCGTCCGTCTATACGTCGATGGAGTAACATAAAACTTGCTCGTTGGTCTACTATTGCCATCATTCTATTCTGGTTTATTATTTGTATTCATATACTTGTTTATCAAGATATTCAACATGGCTCATGTGGAATGTTCGGCACATATAGTCTCATATTTTCAATCTATTCGATTTTCATCATTGGTCTCATTCCACCTTTGCTAATGCTGATATTTGGAATATTAACAATGCGTAATTTGAAACAAGTAAGAAGGTATCTAAACGAATACATGAAATCAAATGATTTTCTTCTATCTAGATTCATACGACACAGGTTCATTTACATCAACGTGATCGACAATTCTTAGCTATTTTAGCTGCTGAAGTAATAGTTTATCTAACATGTACAGCTTTGAATCCAGTGAGCATTGCTTATACAACATTGACTAGCAATGTTCCAAATAAAAGCACACAACGCATTCAAATCGAATCATTTATTAGTTTTTTCATACGAAATTTTCTAATTTATATTTTTCATACAACACCATTTTATATATATTTTCTTGCTTCAAGCTCTTTTCGAAAGGAGTGCAAAATACTCTTTTTCTCATGGAAGAGACAGCGAATTATACCTACTACGACTTTACATTAAACTCAATGATAAACAAAAGAAAAGACATACGACCATGCTTTCTATGTATGACGATTGTAACAGATTATTATTCCAAATAAAGTCTGTCTATGAAGAAAATCTTATGAGCAAAAGTACAAAGGTTGATAATGTTTCTTCAGGTATAAATGCGTAACTTGAATACCCATTCAAACAATATCAAACTGTGATATTTTACTTTATGGTAACTTATCATCAGTGATATTCACTTGCTCTGCAGGAATATGTTTACATATTTGAAATTCATATTGAATGTCGATTTGCCATTAGCTGCGGAAGTGACAGCAGACGTTCTTGCGTTTCTCTAAATAAACTTTTCGACAAGAAAATGCCATTGCTTCCATTTCTATGACAGGAAATTCGATTGAATGCCGCTTATTACATTCACTCAAAAGGAAAGGTATTTTTAATTTTCAAAGAAGTATTTTCTAAGAGAAATAAGAGTGCCCTGTGATCCAGTTTCTTTTATTATCTGCTTATATAATCTATGTACGTCTACAAATAGATCTTTTCTCGACGTCATCGCAATTATGAATATCTCGGAATGAAAAGAAAACTATTTGAACAAATTTCCTCATGATTATCTCCTACTTATATATATACGTCAGTCAGGTAACTTGCTCTTGATTGAACATATTCTAATGGCATATAAGCATCTATCAGAAAAGGTTTGTCCTTGAAAATCAAGGAAAATATTATTACATTTCATGTTTTTCACTATGAACTTTTTCGATTAGATTACCATTCGAAGTGAGCAAGTTGGTTCTATACCTCGACCTATTGAATTAATCGCTGCTCAACATATGTATCCATGTGATACGACGAATCGAAATGAGTTGAAAGCTCTTCAAGTTAAAGCTATTCGATCAACAATTGAAGAATTGGAACGTACGGGCTCAAAAATCATTACCGATGGTGAACAAACTAAATCCTCATTTCTTACCTATCCTATCTGCGGGTTAAAAAATGAATATTATGCATTTTCATCAAAGTATTTTGCTTTAACTTTTTCCAATGGTCATCGAAGATCATTACCACATCTTATCAAAAGTCCTTTTCGTTATACAACCTATGCTCATGTATATGTTGACGAGGCGAAAAAGTATACGAATCTTCCAATAAAGTACGTCGGATTTCTGTTTGATTGTATTACATTGAAGGTTGTCTTCTACTTTCAGACAAGCTATTATCGCTCCTTCAGCATTGTCTATGGTTTACCCACAAGAGACAATTCCGAATTATACTCGTGAACAGTTTCTAAACGATCTTATCAATGAAGCTGAAATCGATGTTCGCAAATGTTTTACCAGCGGTGCACATTCAGTTCAATTGGATTTTTCCGAAGCTCGATTTTCTCTGAAAGTTGATCCTACTGGACGATTATTACAAGAATTTGTTCAAATCAACAATCGACTCTTAAATCGATTCGAGAGCAATTTACGACATCGACTTGGTGTTCATGTTTGTGCAGGTTGTGACAAAGGTTGTTATCATTCGATCGATGTTAATTATCTACTACTTCTTCCGGAAATATTTGACTTGAAAGTGGGAAATTTCTTTCTTCAATTCTCATCGGAAACGTCGAATCGTCATGAAATTTTATCATGCATTCGCGATTCAATCCAACCGTGGCAGCGCGTTTTCATTGGTGTTACCGATCCATTAAAACCAAAAGTCGAAACACCCGAAGAAGTATGCGAACAAGTTTTAGAAGCAGCAGAATACATTCCAATAGAACAGTTGGGTACGACAGATGACTGTGGCTTCTCGCCATTCGATGATGATCAATCAGTATCCAGACAAATTGCATTTGAGAAAATTCGCGCACGAATTCAAGGCACAAAATTAGCCGAAGAAAAACTCAATAAGAAACAATCAATTCAAAGAACAGAATTGGATACGATTATTTGTCAAAATTAATCATAGGATTCGTTAATATACGTATCGATTGCCTGTTAGTTTGCTTTTGTCTCGGTAATTTCGTTGTCAATATTGTCTTAACAAACAAATAAAATGAATATCATAGGTCAAACGACTTTTCTTGATTTGATAACATCGTATTCATTTTTCATAGTATGAAAATCTGATTCTATCACGATATGTAATACATAAAGAAAGATAGGTATTGACCTTCTTGTTCAATAATCGATTTTCCGAAACACGTCATCGTCCATGATTGTGCTTGATTTTGCTATTCAATATCGAATCACGAAATATCTTTGAGATTGATGTGTAAAATGAATGAAATTCTGAACTAAGTTGACATATTCACACGCACAAATGAAAAGATGAATAGATTACTCACTAGAGATTTACAAACATCCAGCAAGAAGAAAAAACACATCAGACATCCTAATCAATGATTTTCTCTAAAGAAAACGTTTGTTGCGAAACAATGTCTCAATCAGAAGACTGTCACGTCTGTTGCGCAACAGAGAAACAAAATAATCAATTTATGCAAATGAGACTCATTCTTGACTTGAGCAGAAAAAGAAGAATTCACTTCGCTTCGTTTAATCAAATCCTGTGAGTTAATTCTGTTAAGCAAAAAGAAAATTTCTCTTCCGATCAAAAACTCCGACGACAATAACAAGAAGAAAACCATCTGGATCGATGTACACAGCCTTGCATGAGTCTCAATTAGAATCAACTGCTTTTCTCAGCACAGAATATCATCATATGCTATGAATTATACTGACTCAACCGTTAATCATTAGGGAACAATCGATCTTTACACTTCCCAATCTTACGTCATGCCTAACATTCCCGATTTTTTCCTCGAGAAATCTTACTAATTATTAATCTCGTATTTACAAATATCAACGTCGAGTTCTCTTTTATCCGATCAACGATCTTCTCGATAAACGAATAACTACACATTAATTAAGCATAAATATTGTTAAGTGCGCTACAGGCAAGATAGATAAACATCCATTTCGACGAACAAAAAGAACAATAAATGGCTGATGCACCGCACATTAAGACATTGATGTCCAAACAACTGTTCTATTTTAAGAGCAATCTCCATTGAGTACATTCATCCTATCTACCAGCCAACCTCTTAATTGCCAATTAAATAAAGCATGCTATTATCATACTTATTCTTTGTCTTCATGTTTTTCTGTATTTTCACAATTAGTCGACGAAATTTCTTTCATCAGTTTTTCAAGGTTGTTTTCTTTGCATGTGATTCAATCCTTTGCTACTTACCTCACTAATTAACTAAACAGAAAATTCACTCTCCAAGTTGTAGTATGAAATTGCATAATTAAAATATGATTGCTTTCCACGCAGACTGTCTTAGTCGACTTATTTTATATCTCTGTTGGTGTCGTCGAGTAGAAAATCAGATTTAAAATGCATTCATTCACCAGGTAGACACATACAAAGGCAAAAGAGAAATATGACTATGTAAGCGAAGCTAATTTGAACTTCAAATTTATTACGAAATTCCTATCGATTAGGTTCGGTTTGGTTTTTTTTCTCTTTACATTGATTGAGCAATAAAATTTCTATTAACAAATAAACAACAAGAATAGATTCTCTCTTGTTCTATCTCACACAATATGCAATGGAAATGTTGTTGTTGTTGTTGTTGCTTTAGATTCGAAATCCATATCATCTGGATTTGCTGCTAATAAAGGCTCCATATCACCTTTACTAATCTTGTTAATTAATGCTTGTTTCCACAATAGGGATCGTTTCGCACGTTCGATTTCTTCTTCCGTATCTCCGAAATAGAAATTTTCGATTTCAGTTCGTCTTTGTTTGTATAAACTTAACGATAATAATACCAATGTTAAGATCGAATAGACGATTAGAATTAAAAGTATATAAGAAAATGGACTGGAAAACGAAAATAAAGATGTGTAAGAAAAAACATCGGTAGTCATCGTCGTTAAATTTGATGTTTGATTACCGTTGAAGATGTACTCATCATAATACGTTCGATTACTGGAGTCCATATTCCATTCTTCATCTTCATATGGTAGTGGAAAACTATCAGCATAATAATACAACTCATCACCACGGGTAATCAATGTTGAATTTGTAATCATAGTTATTTTTAACAAGCAGATACTTCTAAAAGCAAACAGCAAATACAGCCTGGAGAGTAAAGCAAACGAAATGAGCAAATATGAAACCTTGAATTTCAACGAATCGTAAATATGCAAATGAATTGAAGGATTTTCAATATTATTAATGAAAGTTTGTCTATTGATTTTACAAATACTTATGTAGTCGATTATCGATCAAACATGATATACTACCTGAGTGATTGAGATATTTTGTTTTGTTCTCTCGAGATTTTTTTATCAAGAGAATGTAATGTGTTACTCTTTATATTCTCTGATAATTGAACAAAACTTCTCAATAAGTTATGTTACCTATTAAGAAAAAGGAGAAGAATGTCAATCAACCTATCCGTACGTTAAGTGGTGATAGCTTGAAAAAAAAGCAAGAGACATAGCGGAAATGAACTGCCAAGCGAAAAGAAGGGAAAGCTAGAGAGAGAGAGATGGAAAAGANTTTGTAAATACGAGATTAATAATTAGTAAGATTTCTTGAGGAAAAAAATCGTGAATGTTAGGCATGACGTAAGATTGGAAAGTGTAAAGATCGATTGTTCCCTAATGATTAACGCTTGAGTCAATATAATTCATAGCATATGATGATATTCTGTGCTGAGAAAAGCAGGGAAATCTAGAAGGAGAGAGAGAGAGAGAAAAGAACAGTTTTTTTTGTTCATGATGATTGTTACCTATCCAACTCAATAATCTATTCTTTTTTTCTCTGATTGAATACATACGGTTACATATATTGTTAGAAATGCACAAGAAGAATTTCTTCTCTCTTGCTCTTTATTTACGAAACATATTTCTTGAATAGTATAGTCGTCAATAAGAAAAAGAAATTCTTTTTTTCCAATTTAGATAAAAATAGCGAATACTCGAGAGGATTAGAATGACAAATGAGCAAGACTTCATTTACGTTTTTTCTTTTCTACTTACCGAGTCAAAGTAATTAGAGAAAATAAATGACGACTATTAGTATTGTCATTGCTTTACAATAATTCTTTAAATGATCAAGACGACAATCTTCAATGATTACTGAATATTATTTAACAATAGTCTCAATAACATTCACGTTCACTTCTATACTCGAACACTTATTCATTCACTCGTCTTTGCTTATTTATGGAGAAAGAAAATTGTTTCCTCTTTGTATATATATATGCGAGCAGAACCGAAAGAAGAAAACGACGAGAGTGTTAAATCCACATACTGATTGAGACGGCGCTGACAAACGACTAAAGAAAAAGTTCTTCCTCTCTCTCTTTACATACTAATATATATCATCTATTTCTTCGTCTTCTTCTTCTTCGTCTTCTTTTCTCCATATTTCTATCTTCACATTGCTTATCGGCGATCATCATCGAGTACCATCTGCTACTTCTAACTCCGTACTTTCCTTCTCCTATTTCGCTTTACATCTCCGAAGAAGTAGCAAAAAAAAGAAAGAGAGCAAAGAAGAAATCGAATTTTTCATGCACATAGACACGATTTCCCCTCCTCCTCCTCCTTCTTCTTGTTACTATTTGTTACATCATCAATAATCTCATCTGAAAAGAAAAACAATTTCTCATAGCTTCAAGCCAAAGGAATAGGGGGGGAGAAAAGTTGCAAACACGGCAATGTTCATTTAAAAAAGGTTTATGCCATATCTTTTCCATTAATGATAAAATGCAATGAATAGAGTCTCTCTCGTCACAAATGAATGCCGAAGAGGGAAAAAAGGACATTCCGTTCGTGCATTTTTATTCTCTAATCGTTAATAACCAGAATTATTCGAAAGTGAATTGTCATTTAACAGAGAAATGAGAGAGTAACTGTCATAAACTTGTTAAAAAAAAAACTTTAATTGAAGTAATTTTGTGCTTTTATTCATACAATAAAACGGGATTGTTAGAAGGATGTGAATGTATCCTTTTGTATTTTATTTGATGGAATGACAGACAATTGTGAGAAGTCTATTCTTTTGTACTTTTCATGTCGATTAATGAGATATAATAAAACATTGATGCTGATAGAGGAAAAAATGGATTCGGACCGGTTTAATCAAGTATTTAATGAGAAAAAAAGAAGTCATGTTGAATTGCGACAAGAAATACGATATGTTCGTAGACTGTTAATAGTTAATGTTTAAAGTATGTGTTCAATAGTTGATGACGTCTTTTAGTAATTGTGAATTTCGGATCAAATGAGCGAAAGTTTTCAATGTAATGGAGAGTATTTTCTTCATTTTGATTAAAAAAAGTGATATACAACGCTTTTAACTTCTCATATAACGACTTCCATTAAATTGTTCTTTGAGACTACAGACAGAATAAATAGCGAGCGATAGACACATGACGTTCGGTGAAATATTAACGAAGAATACTTTGCTCTTTCTGCTTCGACTGCTAAAACATTGATAATGGTCTTATTTACTTCAAAGAACTTTCCGCTTGTTGAATTACCATAAAGACGAACTAAGCATTGCAAATATTATACAAATTATCAAGATTTGTTTATTTGTTTAGAAGAATATGCGCTTAAAGCCGATGACTATTCTTTCTCGATAGTATTGAAAAGAAATGAATAATCTCTTGAAAAAGGATTTCACTAGCATCAGCAGATTAGTTTTTTCTTCGGGGAGGTGGTTTTGGCGACGATCGTGTTGATGTGGAAGTGGCAAGTGATAAGTATTCACCTGGTGGAGACAACTAAATGAAATTGAATGATGGGAAATATACGATTAAGAATGCATTGTCTTACAATTCGATCTTGCGGTGAAGTTTCAGGTTTATACTGAATAAATCTATTCGATTTGATTATTTCAAGTGTTTATTCACTTACTCGCGGAGATCGTCCATTGCTTCGTGGTGGGGTCTTTAGTTTATCCAGCAAATGCGATCGATACTTGATAATAAAATAGACGAGTAAGACCAATAGAACAACTCCTGCTATACTGCCAATTACTATACCAGCAATAGCACCATTTGATAAAGATCTTGATGGTATCAACGTACTGCTAACAGGAAATGTACTTATCGAAGTATTTTCAACTTCTATCGTTGTCGATATCTACGAACAGCATTCGATTTTGTCACATATCAAAATTTAAAAATACTCAGACTGACATCGAATTCAGTGGTTGTGTAGAAAATAGTGTCATTGGAGGTTGTCACTGTTCAGAGAAAACGAAATACAAAGGAGTGGAGAACTTTTTATACAATCATGCGTACTTTCAGTTTCCATTTTGAAGAAAATTTCGTGATGTACTACCAAGAGAAGAAGTAAACATGTGCAAATGTTTGGGTAGGAAGATAGAAATATCATTTGATAAGATATCGAACAATAACATACAGGTAACTACAGAAGATTCACATAGAGATGATAATTTGAGGATGAAACAGTGGCAAAGTTTATTTACATATTCAATATATTCGATGACAGATCGAATTTTCCTTTTATGTGAGAACAGTTTTGGTGCTTCCTGGCAAAAGCTTTCGATTTTCTTCAAAATATCGTATTATCAAGTCTATAGATATCGTAAAAATGTCTGTAATGTTTAGCTTATAGTGTATAATTTCTACATAGTTAGCAACAGACGTTTTCCTCATCAGCAAATATGTTATTTTCTGCAAAAATACAGTTAAAACGCTAATTACAGATGTATTTCTGTACGACTTGTATACAACCTTGAATGTAAAATTGACCAGCATTATCTAAACCGCTTTATCTTAATACAAATATCTCTTTTGGTAACTGTTATTGATTTATCGAGTTTTATTATCACATATTTACTTTTTTGTTACTAATAGAAGTAGTATAACAAGGTAGATCGTTATAAAAATATACGAAAAAAGAGAAGTTTCACTCACATCTGACTCGTTAGTTTCAGCTCTATTTATAGAATACTCAGTTTCAGCCAATGATCAACTAAAGATTAAAACTATAAAAGAACGCAACTACGAGACTCTTTCTCAGATGAATTTGGTTTTGTTTGCACTGATTGTAATGGAGGAGGATCAGGTTTTGGATCGTCTGTATTCGAAGATAAAATCGGTTTCACATCATTATTTTCATCTTTGTTCATACGCATTGCATGCGACTCGATTTCACTTTTAAGTTTTTGATAATTCTGAATGAATTCGTTCTTGGTAAAATCGATATAAAAATCAGCACCTAGAATAAGTCCAAGCCAACCCGTTGGTTTGTATTTCGATTGTAAAAGTAATGGGATCATGATCTTTTGTCGAACGAATGCATACTCAGCTTCCTTTTGACAATTACGCGATTCACTATATTTCTCCGTCATACAATAAATGACAATATCCGATTCTTCGATAGCTTGTGCCATTGCAATCAGTGTACTTCCATGCATTTCTTGTTGATCAATCCATACACGGTAACCATCGTTTGTTAAGTTATTGTAGATTTCAACACAGAGTGATTTCGAACCGTGATTGTAGCTAATCATCAATCGTGGTTTACTTGGTGTCGATTTTTCAGTCGAAAGAACGTTCGTTGATACACTGGAAGAAGGCGATACAGAAGCGTTTTCGTCTTCTTCGATTGCAGACGAACGGATCGGTTTGCGTGCAAAGCGAAATTGCGAAAAATAGTCGTTGGCCTTAGGCGCTTTCTCGATTTCCACCATTGGCACTGGAGGAGGTGCTGGGGCGAAAATTTCTTCGTTAAGAAAATCAGATGAGTCAGTATATGCATTTGAGAAAGAAGAAGTTGTTTTCTTACGTTTATGATCAGTATTAGACTCAGGTGATAAGTCACGTTCACTAGAACTTCTCTCTATTAAATCATTGGTATGCGACTGTGTTAATTGTTTTTTGAATAAGCTATCCGCAGTTTCTTCGTTATTAGTTCTATGCGAAGAACATAATCGAAATGTTTCAACACAAGACAGGAGCTGATCGTTCAAACTGTCAATTGCTGAAGTATTCTTCGTTGTGATTGCATCGCTGAGTTTATCGAGGATATTATTCAGTTTATTGAAAATCGATTCCGATTCGTTCGACTTAACGACGCTTTCAAGTTGTTTGACAGATGAACGAGTGCAGATGTCAATCAGTTCGGTGATAAGATCGAAGATGGACGAAAACTGTTGGAGTGAATTATGATTAACACTGTAAATCCGATGTAGAATTGTCATAGTATTTTTTGTAGATATAATATCTTCGACAATCGCTGATTGATCCATGATGTCTTCTTTTATCGAATTTGCACAAAATGAGAATATCTAAAAACACCAGAAAAAGAATGATTTCTTTTCACCTTTCTGCCATATTTATCTTCATCACATTAGAAACGGACTCTTTGATGAACGACAAAAAAACTCCGAATCGTTGTCGCTTAAATAGAAATCATAAAATGTCAATTTGATCTTTTCATGCACAGAAACACAAGAAAGAGTGCATTGGTTCATGAAAGGTCGAGTAATGCTCGAAATGTTCCTTCTATGGATTGAATTAATGAATGTTGATTATATCCGCCTTCTAAAATGAATACTAGAGGAATGTTCAAGTGTTTTAGTCTCTTTGTCATCTGAAAATATCCATTCGCCGTGATTTGTGCACATTCTTCAGAATCACCTATGGCGGCATCGAAACCAGCTGAAATTATGATTAACGAAGGACAATATTCAAGAATACATGGTAAAATTTTCATGTCAAATATGTGCAAATATTCAGTGTCACCAGGTATTTGATTTCGATTGTACATATCAATCAGTTGACAATTTTCGGACGAAACACTCGGATGTGATAACTTTCCAAATGCTGCATAAATATCGATCAGATGGTATTTTTTCGAATCTTCTAAAGACATTTGTCCGAGAATCTGTTCAGTACCTCCACTTCGATGAACATCCCAATCGAGAATAAGAACTCGATCGACATGAAGAATACGAATAGCATAAACAGCTCCAATTGCTACCGAATTCAATCCACAAAATGTTCCAATATGATCACTAGATGAGTGATGACCAGCTGGTCGAACCAATGCAAAACCGCAATCGAGATCGCCGCTAACAACCGATGAAATTACACGTAAAGTTGAGCCCGCAGCTGTCCGACACGCTCGAGCAGTTATTGGACCAACACTCTCAAGATTATATTCGGCATTGGCGTATGAGAGAGTTCGTACGGATACAAAGTCATCATTTATTTCTTCTCCACGTTCAAGCAACAAAAATTCTTGAAGTAATCTCTCGGAATGAACAAGTAAAATTTCTTCATTAGTTATCATACGACCTTCGATTAATTTCCAACGATATTGATGATTAATCCAGAAATGATTATGTAAACATTCAATGATCGAAGTTAAACGACTAGGTTGCTCAACATGAGTTTCTCCCCATGTGTGAAGAAACATTCCATCCAATGAATAAACATCACCAGGACAAATTCCAAGTCGACTTGATACATCGTCATTCGATTGACTTGACCATATCTGAAGAATGTCACTTATTGTACAAGGAACATGTACAGGTTCATACGAAGGTTTTCTTTGCTTTGGAGCAGATATGTCACATTTACATTCATTATTTTCAAATAGATCTCCAAAACCGTCTGCATCTTCATTCTTATTCGTCATGGTCACAACATCTCCGTTTGCATTCTAGAAAGGGAAATAATAATCTCGTTTGTTTTTTTTTTGGTATTATGCATAAATATGAGTCATATCATCGAACACCAATCATTCTCAAGCTTAGCAAAAACAGTGAGGACGGCAGACATGCCGATTTCACATTTTTTGTTTGTGCACAATATCGACCTATTACGCTATTATTCAATTGTACAGTTTATTCATTAGTGAAGTAAAATGTAAAACTAATGAGAAAGAATAATCGAAGAATTTGCTTTGTAAAATAACTTTATCAATGCTTTGTCGAATACGATAAATTTCAATAATATATATATATATATACACACATACATGAAGAAAAAGCGAATAATATTCTTTTGAAAAGCGACGGAAGCAAATGAACAGATGGTGAATGTAATCCGAAGAATAAGAAAGAGAGACAGACAAACATGGATCATTGAAAGACTCATCCGTTATGGGAAAAGAAACGAATAGAAAACAAACACGAGATCATTGGCCAAAAAAAGTCGACAGTTTTAGGTTTGATTGGTTTGAAAATATTTGTTTTCGTCTACTAAACGTTGATATAATCGTGATGCAACAGGAAAATATTCTTCACTCCACAATTGTTTATTCAATTCATCTAAATCTGTATCATCTGTTGATTCAAGACTACTTTCATCTGAAAAAGAAAACAACTCGAAGTGCAAAAGTGTTCGTTTTTTTCTTCATTTGAACTCTTACGAAGAGACTCATCGAAAAGATTGAATAAGATTTTAAGTTGTTCGTCAGTAAACCAAAGCCATTGATTATCCTTTTTCTCATAATTATTATCACAATAGTTCCATAAGGCTTTACAAACAAGACTAAAACACACAGAAAATCGATTTTGAAGAGATAAATCTCTCTATGTACCTTGCCAATTGCCAATCAGATTGAATCGAATATTCGAAAATATTTATCAAACTGTCGATTCCATCATAGATTTTCAAACATTCTCTTTTGTCTTCATCGACTGTTAAATTAATTAAAACTCCGATCACTGCGTACAATAATTCGATATTATCCGATCGGCAGTGATGAATAGCCAAACGATCAACTAATATAAAGAAAAATATATTCGATTTCAAATATTGCCGTTCTTTTACCTTTACACTTCATTAAAATATCTCGAATTCTCTTCGCTCTTGACAGATTTCCCAGAACACGAAATGCTTCCACCACACAATCCATTTTCTCTTCATTTCGAATATATTTAACCAATACTAAAACACTCACAAGTATCAAATTTAGTTCTTCTCTCACAGATTATCATTTACATTGAGCCAATGTATCAGCATGGCGAATGATATAACTTTGCGGATCATCGTAATATGACAAATTATTCAAAGCCATTAACACATGAACCAGTAGTTCTTCACTATGTTGACTTGGAGTTTCTAAAAAGTAAAAAAATATTGATTTACAGTCGATGAGTAGAAAATGTTTTTACTAAGAAGTTTAAATAGCAGATCGATACAATCATCACGTCGTATGATAATCAAACCATTTTCTTGTGCAATGGCCAGGTTACTCAACACACGAATCACTTTATTAATAACATTTTCAATCGAACGAAATTGATTTAGATTCGCATCATCAACATTGTCCATGTCCTGATTGGTTGCCTCGTCATTATCAAGTTTTTCCGGTTTTAAAACCTAGAAAAAGAAACATTCCGATAATTTCATCGTTTCAATCCAATTGCAATAATAACATACTAATGAATCAAGTTGAATGTACGAATGTAGAAGTTTAGTCAGAGTTTGCAGTGCATGAGAATCTTTCATGAATGTCACTCGTGCGTCTTCACTTTTAGCCATCATATTACCAAGAATAAAGCAAACACGAACGATCAACGGCTAGATAGAGAAATCATACGAAATGAAGATGTCAGTTGTGTTTGGGAGAGGAACCCGTACCTGGTTACTTTCATGTTTAATAAGTATTTTGAGAAATGATCGATAACATGATGAACATTGCACAAGTTTCAAACAACAATCGGTGTGTTGAGTTAATTTACTGTAGGAAAGAAAACGAAGGATTTTGTGAAATTTGAGTAGTTAGAGTTACCTCAATATTCGTGCGACATTCTTCATTAAATCTCCATGAGATTTATCTGTAAAATATTTCAATATAAACGTCAAATGATTAATAATATCATAGGTTAGAAATTCACGACGATTGATATCATTTTCTGCTAGATTTCTCAGTCCATCAGTTAACTAAAATTCAAAAACGATTTCGTTTTTTCTTCGATCTTTTCAAGAAGAATTTGATAACTTACTGAGATTAGACAATCGCGTAATTGTGGATGAAGATCTGTTTGATCTTTTAACTAAATGAAAGTCGAATCAAGATTGGATTAGTGAAATTCGACTTAAATTACCTGAAGAAGATTTTTCAGTATTGCGTCTAATAAAGGAAATGGATTCTTCTGAGATATTAAACCGATTAATTCATTGTTCACAGTTAGATTTTTTAGTGCTGTACAGAAATATGTCGTTGATTCGAGATTTTGCTGCGTATCAATACGTTCAATGGTATCAAAGAGAAGATCTGGTCAACATAAGCGAAAGTTCAAAAAGAAATTCCAAAGCTTTTCCACTTACCAATAATGTTTGTTTCCAGAAAGAAATGATCATTTTCTTTATTTGAACTTAGATCAGCTATAACACGTATGATGTTTCGTAGATTATTGGTACTGCTCACTTGAAACTAATGGTGAATGACAAAGAAAAAAAACCGAGATAGTTGAAGTTTTGTTGGATATGAATCGTTAACTTACAGCGAGACTGAGACGAGCAACATGAAATTTAATTATTGAATTATCCGATCCGATGAAACTGAATAATGTTTTCAGCAACTCTCCACGTTTTTTATTGTTTTTCTTTGTAAAGAAATTATGTTCTAATAAAGCTTTGTATAAATCGTTGCAAGTTTGATCATATTGTTCGTAATGATTTTCTACAATCGATCAAATAAGATGGATTCCGAGAATAAATTTGACAAGTACTTTTATAGGCAGTGATCATTGTTTCAATTAATGGATCGATTTCGTGTTTCCAGATAAGATTATCGTCGGATGATTCATCTTTTGATGACTGGGAGTCTACAATAGATTTGTAGGAGAAGATTTTTCGACTGAAAAAAGAATACTTCGATGTTGGGATGAGGCAGATGACGAAGCTGACGATCGTTCATGATTTGCAGGTAGAGGAGGTTTTGTTTGAGCAGTTGTATTTGTTCCATTTGAACTTGCTTCATTTTGTGCAGGTCGATTATTTTGAGTTGCACGGAATTTCGGTTGAACAATCGCTTTCGATCCATTGGAAGGTGTTTCATCTTGTGAAGGTTGACGATTCAGTTTTGAAAGTCGTGTCGGTACAATCGGAGCAACAGGATCGGGTAATCCAGCAGATAATCCTATAGAAGAAATTTCTCGTCAGAAAAAATAAACAACGTGATTTCAATTACCTTTTGCCGCTCGTCGTTGTACCTCTGTCGGCTATGAAATTTCAGAAGAAATAATTGTCGAACTTTGATAAGAGATTTTCTTACCCGACTTGATGCTGGTCGTGATTCTGTCTCATAATCAGTGGATGCAATGCTGAGTGAAGTCGGTTCATGGTTAAGTTTACCTAACGTATATCTTGAATCATCCCGTGGTGTATACGGACGTGTTGTTGGCATCTCTCTTAACGATTGCTTTGCATCATTAATTATCTTCGATGGTACGTTTTCAACCCATGAAGGAATTTCGTAGAATGGCATTGGACTTTCTCGACTGTTTCGCCGGTTGATCATTGTCGAGGGTGAATTTCCGGCTGGATTATCGCGACCGGAGGCTGAATGAGTGCTTCCATTTGGTGAGTTACTCATGATTTTGATTGATGCCCGTGGTTTGTTTTCTTGTCTGATTTATCTAGAAAGACACTCAACATTCCATGAGTCATTCATTGCCCTCACGTATTTGTGTGAAGATTTCACATTGACAAGATTTCCGCCATTACTGATGTATAAATCTATTCGTCTCCATGGCAACGCTCCATTTAAAACATGAGTTTTTTTTATAAAATGAAGAATTTATTCGAACAACTCGATAATTTTTTATGCAAAAGCTGAGTTTTCCAACAAAGATAAATGAAGTCCAATATATTAAACAACGATGGGTAAACTATGGATTTTGTTTATTTCTTTCATCAGTGCTTCATTTTCGTCATTATATACAATTCTTTCATTCACTCTATTGACATTCAAATTCGAAGAAGACTGCAATCATGGGAAAGGTAAGAATTTCATCTCGTTTTCTTTTTGTGCTGATGATATATGGAAACATCGATCTGCTTAGGGTTTCGAAAATTATATGTCCAAGAAATGGTTTCACCCGACGAATTTGGGTAATATGAGACGTAAATATATGGCTGAACAGAAATCAGCGAATGAAAAGCGTCGACAACAAGAACTACGTGAACAATATGAACGGGAACAAGAAACTTTCTCGAACAAACAGTTGATGGGCGATGAAAAGGCTCGTTTGGGTTTGTCATTCATGTACAATCCACCGGCCGGTATCGCTAAACAAGAAGAACCACAACAAGATCGAGAACTTCGACGAGAAGATGGTACATTAATTATTAATAAGGACGAACCGAAATTCGAATGGCAAAGAAAATACAACGCACCAAGAGAATCGTGGGCGAAAAACGATGACAAAATCCGGGATCAACCATTTGGTATTGAAGTTCGAAACGTAAGTTTAACAAATTTGCTTATTTTCAAATCATCAAAGCGAATTTCTTCTTCTTCTTCATAGGTTCACTGTTTGAAATGTCGAAAATGGGGTCACATCAACACGGATAAAATCTGTCCTTTATATGGCAAATCTCGTTTATTGAACGATACAACTGATCCAATCACACAATTAGCGATGACACAAAATATGCGATCGACAAGCGACTTAATCGATGATTTACAAAGTAAAGGTTTAGCTATGCGACGCAACGGTGCGGAGCATATGATGGTCCATCAAGATATCGACCTTCCAGCTAGTAACAAATCAGATGAGTTGAAGATGGAACTCAACTTTCTGAAGCAACTACCCAAACAAACGAAGCATAGTCTCTATAAGCGATTGAAACATTTGCACAAACACGGAGCATTGAAAGTGTAATTATCGTTTTGTTCTTGTTTTTTTATGTCGAAAATAAACGAGCAATATAATCGCGATTGTTTATATTTTAAATATGTTAAATAAATGAATGTGTAAATCTGTTGTAGATACTCTTTATAAACTTTATTTTAAAGTTAACCGATGTTTTCCATACTTATCGCTGGCCGATTGGTAAGTTTTTGATTTCGCATCGACGAAATGACAAGACAAAGATCCGAATTGTTCCTAGCCACAAGTTAATTTTCAACAAGTCAGCGAAACTCAATTCGTTATTCCAATTTCGGATGTTGATCACGTAAATCATCTTGTTGTATTCATGACTGGTCAGATACCATTTCCGGACAACTACGGAGGAGGTGGCAAGTATCATGTAATACTATTTATCGATATATTTCTAGTCCAAAATGTATTCTTTTAGTCTATTTCAGTTGGCCAAGTACTGAAGGACCATCGTGGATCTATTTGGGCAAAATAACAAATGCAAAACCAAGTGCAATATTTCGAATTAATAAACTTAAGGGTATAAAAATGATCGCAATAAATGACTGGCATTATGTTTATCTATTTCTTCTAGACAATGAATCCAAAGCCGATTCTGCGTCAACATTGTTCAGTGCATTTCAACATCAAACTGCTGTACCAACTGATGGTCTGTTGGGTATTAGTGTTGAACCTTTATCTCAACTTGAGCAACAAGTTCAACCAAGCGATGTGACTCCAACGACTGTCGCATCGAATGTTGAATTCGTTTCTAAAATGCTCAATAATTTCGTGAACTATGTCACATCGTTCGTTCAAAATGTTCCCGGAACATCTGAACAAATCGTTCCATTAAGTATAGTTCAAACATGGTTTAACAACTTTCAAAGACGTCTCAGTGAAAATCCCAATTTTTGGAAAACAACTTAGCTACTAATCATGAGACTCGTTCACTCTCCTTTTCTTTAATAATTCTATATTTCTTTCATTGTTAAGTCTTTTTAGATATATAAACTATCTTCGAGTATCAACAATCATCATGCAACAAACAGACAATATTCCGACAGCTGATCAAATTGAATTGTACGTGCCACGAAAATGCGCTGCCAGCAACAAAATTATCGCTGCCAAAGATCATGCTGCTGTTCAAATAGATATCGCTGAAGTCGATGAACGCACAGGTGTTGCGACAGGCAAAAACCGAACCTATGCTCTCTGCGGTTCAATTCGTATGATGGGTGAATCTGATGATTCGCTCGTGCGATTAGCTACACGAGATGGTTTCATTGGCAAAGGATATTATCTCAAAGAAAGCAAATAAGAACATTGACATCTGATAGAATACGCGTTGTCTCTCCTTCTTCTTGTGAACAACTTCATGTCGTTAGTTTCTTCAAGATTTATTTTTTGTTATTATAAACAGAAAACGAACGAGAAATATCAAAAGAGTAAGAGAGAGAAGATGAAAATAAAATAAGAAGAACATGTTGGCATCATTGTCATTCTTATCGATGTTATTCAAACTATTTGATGAGATTTCATGTGACAGATACGCGATCGATCGAATAAACATCAAAAGAATCAATCAACGGTATGTAATGTACACACGATGTTCCAAAAGATCATCAAATATGCAATGCATTAATTCCTATGAAAATGTTTCGTTCATCAAAGATTACAACGATGTCATGTATCACCTACAATTCTCTGTAGGATAACACTAACCATTCCCAGAAAAGATAATAATGAACTATTCCAAGTTTAGATCCTCCACAGTACTAAAGTAGGAGTTCACGAATCAATGAAAAGAATCTTCGAGATCGCGAGTTTAAATATAATTATGCACTGAAATACCACAGACATTCTATCATACGGTTTTATTCATTTTTCTTTCATATAAAATGTATTAAATTCTTGAAATTATTCTTAATCAAACAAAATAATAATCGATGGGTGAAAGTTTCTTTCCTATCGCATTTGTTTCGCTGTGCAATTGCCAATCGCATTTGAATTATGCAAATAGCTATTTTTCTTGTTGTTGTTTACTAGGTAAGTTACTACGCATATCTCCACCATATTTGTTTGTTTGTTTTTCTTGTTTGCAGTCCAAACGCATTTTTTAAGCAAATATCCTCGAGAACTTCTGTTGACTAAAATAACTCATAGCATTTAGTTCATCGCGAATGACTCATTGAACATAAATTGACTAAAAATCACGTAGTAATAATCAGCTGTTTTCTATCGATCAGCTGTTCGTGAGACTCTGATTGGTTATAAATTCTGCCATCCGAAGAATTGATGTGCGTCCATCATCATTCCTCCTCCTTTCGTCTATTTCACTCGTCCGATGCGATGGATGGAGGAAACCAACTCCATTGCTCTCTCTAGATTAGTAAAAAGAGAAGAACAATACAGCTGTTTGTTTTCGAACGAGTGTATGTGTGTTGTTACTTCTCTTTTGTGTGTTATGCGTACTAGAAGCATTATCATCACATACACGTGAAGTAGAAGAAACAAGAGAGAGAGTGAACACATACACACGTCCGCCGTCGTCATCCTCTTCTTGTCTCTCTGCTGTCTGTCTCTTCACTCTGCTAGTTGAATAGGCAGTGGTGGGAACGAACGAGCTTTGCCTGACATCATCATCATCATCGTCACAACACATACGCAACAAAGCATCTAACGAAATAAGTATGAAAAATGATTTCCTTTCAACAAATTTTCGACGAAATAAAGAATAAATACATACAAAGAAAATTTTGTTTGTTTATTTATTTATTTATTTATTTGCTTTTTATTCAGAGATGCCGTCAACTATCCCGACCCTTCTACCCTATGCACACGAATTTTTACGTTGTGCCATCTGTTTGCATGATTTCGAATATGACAATTCGTCTTATCGTCCAATAACTTTACCGAATTGTGGTCACACCATGTGTGGACAATGTATCGAAATCATACGTAAACAAACGAAATGTCCTCAAGATCAAGTCTCATACGGAACGACAATTCCACTTGAACAATTACCAATCAACTATCCTTTGTTACTCCTGCTTTTCGATCCAGATCGAGTAATTGACTGAGATTTCTTCGCCAATGTATTGACTTGTTTGTTTGTTTTTCAGTTACCTGAAGATGATGAACAACGTTACGGTCAATGTTTGTCATATATGAATCTTGATGATGAAACGAAATCATATTTTCATCAGAGTCAAGCGATTCTTGGTGATATAGCAGTTGGAATTAAATATTTACGTAAGTACATAGATTTCCTGTAAGAAAATAGTTGTTTATTTATTTGTTGAATAGTTTATGAATATAAACTCGCTGAACACAAGGAAAATCAACAAATTTTAACTCGTCCTATCATTCGAAAAGTCTTCGCTCTATTGAATAGTCAATTTATCGATCGTGATGGTCGTTTGAAAGCTCTTAAAGCAGCACGAAGTCTTGGCGAACGTATATGTGTTGATTTTATCATTCATCACCAAAATCCACAGCAATTAACAGCTAACCTTTGGTCAGCTGTTCGTTCACGTGGTTGCCAATTTCTCGGGCCAGGTTTTTACTCGTATTTTCTTGTATTTATTCGAAACTAGGCATTATTTTTATTTAGCTATGCAAGAAGAAGTATTAAAATTGATTTTATTAGCACTCGAAGATGGTTCAGCATTGTCACGTAAAGTTCTGGTCTTATTTGTTGTACAAAAACTAGCACCACAGTATCCTCGAGCAAGTAAAACAAGTGTTGGACATGTTGTTCAGTTACTCTATCGAGCATCGTGTTTCAAAGTAAAATCAGACATCGAGTGAAACTATGCGAACAATTCTCTATTGAATATTTTGTCTTTCAGGTTCAGAAACGTGAAGAAGAATCATCATTAATGCAATTAAAGTCTGAATTTCGAAATTACGAAAGTCTTCGCCGTGAACATGACTCACAAATTATTCAAATTGCCGTCGAAGCTGGTAAGTATAATACAAAAATACCTCCTTTCGGTCATGACCATGTTGGACTTTGATCCTAATATTATCATTCCATTAGAATACAGTTCTCACAAGGAATACTAATAGACAGATGGAAATAAATCGACTATGATTCATTTGTAGGTTTACGTATTTCACCTGATCAGTGGTCATCGTTATTATATGGTGATGGCCAACATAAATCATCGATGCAATCGATTATTGACAAACTTTCCACTCCTGCTTCATTTACTCAAGCCATTCAAGAATTTCTGATTGTTCTTCAACGTGCTGGCGACTCATCGAAGCATTTGGCACAATTGAAAAGTGATTTCGAATTTCTGTCACAAATAGAAATTGGATGCACAGATCAACAGTCAACATCCGAGGAGAGCCATTCGGCTCATTCAAATTGGCCATGTATGCTCGATGTATTGAAAGCGGTGCGAACTGTTTTACAAGCCTTGATGGATTTCAATTTACAAGAATCCAAAAACAATCATTTTAATAAGAATTTTTACCATCATCGCTCGTACGATCTTTCATCAACTACATTTACGTCGTCAACATCATGTTCATCACCGATGACTGTGTCACCATTAGGAGGTAGTAGTACAACGTCCGAATATCATTTACAACCGTTACATCCGGCGACTTCTCAACATGGCCAGAGCAAATATAAGGTTTGATTTCTTTTGTTTGATCAATAGTATATGTACGTTTTCGATATGGCAATTTAGGTTTCAATGTGTCGCGATTTCGTTCAAAAGCAATCGTGTCCACGTGGTATACATTGTACATTTGCACATTCAAAAGCGGAAATGGATAAATATCGTGCTAAAAATCGTCCTCCAAATGGATCAACATTACCATTAACTTCAACCAATACGAACTCTTCTTTTCCGCCTCCGCAAAATACAACTGGTTTGCCACTTTATTCACCGGCTAACAATACTAATTTAGTTCGGCCCATTCCTCCACCTATACTACCTTTGTGGAATCCACAACAATCGCAACATCTTATTCAAGAAGTTCCTCAACAGCATCATCATCAGTAAGCGAACAGATCTCGAATAGTTTGCCATTTTCTGTATTTTGCCTTTTGTCTAGTCATTACTATCATCCATCACAGATTCCACCGTCGATTCTTCAAATGCATGCCCATTCGAATTCAACAACGTATGATCATTCACAACAAAACAATAATCTTAACCCTACGAATAATAATAATAATAACAATAACAACAATTCAAGTCAAATTCCGGTGATTGCAGCTGCTGCTCAAGCCATTCTTGAACAAAATAATGCTGCTGCAGCTGCACTTGCTGCTAATACATTTTATCGTTTTCAACAACAGCAACAAACACCGTATCATCAATCATCATCGATGGTAAATAAGTCGAAAATTTCTTCCTTTTCCTTCAACTTTCATTTAGATTGGTCAACAATCACAGCAACCATCATTATTATCTCGATCATCAAATCTTCCCAACCCATCATCAAATTCTATGCAACAACGTTCTCATAAGTACGGCTATTGAAGACTAATCTTCATCTTCTAATCGATCTTTTCATTGTATTAGTTTTACTGAAGCACGTTTTTCATCATTGTCAGATCAACACAATAGTCATCAAGTATCTAATCAGTTTCATCCTATTGAAGTAAGAGAAAAATTTTGATATTCTCATTTTTTACGAATGAATTATTTCTCTTTTCATAGGATTTACGTTTACCACCAGTGATGCATCTTGCTGGAAGTAATCCAGCAGATAATTCCAATCTTAATCAACGTAATTATCCAGTTTTACAAACGATTCCACCAAGTAGAGATATTTCACTTTCTCTTTTGCTAAATCCAAACTTTTCTTTTACTCTTAATAGAAAATGATGACAATCTTCTTTATTTTCCATCGATCAACAATTTAAATCGTTCACAACAAACATATTTAAGTAGTTCGAATACTAATCATGGTCTGTTCAATGATATTCTTCCAACTAATAATAATAATACAAATAATCCAATATCAACATTATCAACCAATACATTTATTAATAATCGACAACAACAACAACAGCAGCAGCAACCATTTAAACCGCCCACAGCTTTCTCATATCCCCAACAGCATCAAATACGTAATGATGAAAATGTTTTTCATAACAATCAACAACACTTAAGTAATGTAAGAATCATCATCATCGATATCGTTTTTTTTCAAATATCTTTTGATCTTTATTCGTTTAGTTTGATGATGATGAATATTCGTTAATCAACGCCTCAAGTAACGGAAATGGTGGAGGTGGTGCCAATTCAAATGATAGTAGTTTGTTCTACTTCGGTTCGGCTAATGCACATGCAACAGCTGCCTATAATTTCTATCATCCAAACTCACCATTAGGTGGTAATGGTCATTCACTCAAAGCATAGTAGTTAGTTCGTAGTGTGTTTTCTTCTTCTGTTGTCTCTCTTCTTTTTCTCGGCAGCGACATTGCGTTACCGGGGAATAAGNTATTTAGCGTCTTTTGAGTGAACTTGAAACGAAATACAAAGCAGCAATGATTGCTAATTCTAGCATGTATAATGAAAAGCAAGCTCTACGATATCAAGTTGATACATTTAAAGATATATTAGATGAACACTATGAAACATTAAATCAAGCTAAAAGACAATTGAAGGAAAAAAGCAAAGTAAGATGGAATTGAATCTTATTGCGTCCGTACAATGGTTTATTTCAGGATTTCGAACTACAAAAACGGACACTGGCAGATCTTCAACAAGAAAACAATCAATTAAAAGAAATTCTAGAAAATCGTGAAAAACTAATTCAAGTAAATACAACCGAATGCTTATTTTCGATAGAAATTCTTTGGATTTAGGAATCCGGCATGCAATTGCTAACTGTTGATCAACCAAATGGTAAACCTGTCGGCGACGAAAAACTTTCATCTGTTTTACCAACTGGTCTCGTTTCTCACGAAACCTTTACGCTATTGAATTCGCTTGGTAAAGGATCGATTGATGAAAAATTAAAACGAATTTTAAGTGAAAAACGTGAACAATTCGATCAAATTGTTAAATTAAAGTCCGAATTGGAAGATGAACGAAATCGTTTACGTACATTAGAACGACAACTACCAAAACTTCAAGATTCACAAAATCATGCCAATAGTACACTCGATTCTGAACAACAAAAACAATTACAGAAAGAAATAACCGATTTGAAAAATCGTCTACAACGTTTAGAAGCTGAAAATGGCTCGTTACAACAAGAAGTAAATATTTATCTTCTGATTGAAGAAGCAGAATGAATGATTGTTTCTTTCTTTTCTAGAACAAACGGTATGATGCTCAATTGAGACGTCATAAACAACAAACAGATGATGCCGAACGTGTCGAAGAAGATCTTAAACAAGAACGAAGGCGATTACAACGCGAGGTAATTTATCTTCCTTATTTGTTTCCCGATAGGCTAGGTTTTAAAACTCGAACTCGTCTTTTTTCCTAAATATAACATCCTCTCATTATTAGTATCGTGATATGAAATCACGATATGATGACGCAGTTTTGGAGAAACAACGTTTACAAGATCGGGTTGATTCAATGGAATTTGTTCGACGGAATTATAATTCATCATCTCGACAATTGCATAATTCAAGTGCCGGAGGAAATTCATATCTTCCTCCGGCATCATCGCGATCAGGACGTGGACCATCTGTTGCTCGTTACACATCAGTCGAACGTGAAACAGATCCATCTCTTGCTCCACCGTACCGATCGCGCGAGCCATCCGTAGCTCGACGAGCTTCGCGAGACTATTCAAGTGATCGTTGGTCAACAAGACGAGATTCAACTACGAGTGCACCTTATGATCATGATTTTTCATCAAGTAATGCGCGACGACCAGATCGATGGTCTACAGCCACTGCTCCCAATATGAGTTCATCTAGTTATAATTTCTCATCACTCCCAGGTAGAACCGATCCTCGCATGAAGTGTGGATCGCATGATGAAGTTTTCGTTTGGAGTTTCGCATGTTTGAATGTGTGAAATATATATTCGATTTTCAAAACAATCATAATAATCTTGTTGTCTTCTTCTCTATTTTAGCTTCGCGTCGCCCGTGAAGAACTGGAAAGTGAACGAACACGTGGTGATGTTCTCCAACGAGAGAATGAACGTCTTCGAACATTACGAAAAAAAACTTTGCTCAACACACCTGATGATAACCTTGTTTCATCATCGTCTGTCTCACGATCTCATACAAGTTCGCCATCGCCATCATATATCTCTAGCTCTGATCTACAATTTTATCCTACATTACAAGATCCCTCTTAAAAGATCTTTCCTTTTCTCTTCGTTCATTTGTTTGTTTGTTTTTTCACCTTCAATCGCTTTTGAATTTCTTTCTCTCTATCTCAGTTGTGATGTTTTTATTTATTTTCTGCTGGTTAGCTATGCATTCGCTTTGTTGCCGTATTTCTTACGTTTTTTTTTATTATTTCGTGTGAATATGTACCTTTTTTCTTCTTTCTTTTTCATTACAATTAAGAGTTCAATGTCTATGCACACATGCAGAAACTGCTTCTCGCTATGTTCATTCTCTTTTCTCTCTCGCTCGTTTTTCTCCTGTGTTCGTTTTACTACTAATATGTTACACATCTCCTAGACATGCGTATGAAACTCAGTATTTTGAACTAAGCGAGTAAAAATAACAAAATAAATCTCATTAATTGATCCGTTGATTTCGCTAAGAAAATTTTCGAACAAATAACTGAAATATCTCCCGCATTCATAGCAATGCGAACATGTTCTCTTGGTATTGGCATAGTGTTCTTATCTGATAACAAGAAAGGTATGAATATGGTATGCAGAAACAAAGGAGAGATGCTGATTGTGTTATTCTATTTGATTGGGGCCTATTTACTTGAGAGCTAATCAACCGATCTAATTGAGATCAGAAGTTCATGAGTTGTTATTGGACAGAATCAAATAAACATCGAGGAAACGTCTCGATAAAACTTCATCTAAACTACGAAGAGGAATTTAAATCATCTTGCTCAAGGAATAAACGAAAGTCGGAGCCGAAAAAAGCAGATTATGTTTCCAACGTCATTGGATCACCTGGTGATTACTATTTGAATGGTAGTTTTGCCGTGGAATCATTTGTCAAGTTGCTTGAATAAATAGAAAAAGATTATTGATTGCTAACAAGAATAGAAACAGATGGTGTTTTCCAAACAATAAAAAACCCTTGAATAACAATTTGTATATAAACATGAGTTGTCATGGCTTATTGTATGTCTCTCGCTTTTCTCTTTCGGTCTAATAGATTTATTGACTCGCGTTTCCCATAATAACAATCGTAAGGATTAATATCGTTTGTAAACAAGAAAAAGAAACACCTTTCTCTACTTCTATTTGCCAAATTTTGATAGAAAATGATCCTTCTACATTCATTCGATTCGTGTGTTATATAAAAACTCATTTCAAACAGAAAAACATCTTTACGTGAAATTATGGGTAGTGCTGCATGTCGTCCAAAAGTGAAACAATATGATCAAAGTATTCAAATACCGTCCATATCACCTTGCACATCTACTTCGACGCCTCCACCTGGTCAACCGTATCCAACAGTGGTATCATGGCCCAGCTCAGCAGAAAAGGGTTTTAAAGTTAAAAGTAACACAGAACAATACACATCAGTCTGGGATCAGAATACTCAGGTAGGTGTTGGATGAAAAAAATCTGGGAAATCTGCATAGTAGTATTCTAGTTATCATCGATATTTCCTCAGTCATTGAAATCCCGATCCAATAAGATCGAGCATCATCAGAAAGAGATGATTACTACAGATTGGTCAAAAGCGAATTCCACTAATGTCGATTCAACTCACATTGAATCTATGATAAATAGTCAAACTCAGTCATCGATTCATCTCTCAACATCAGACAAGATCGATGAATTAATAAATAACTTCAATCATATTCATAATCAACAAGATGAAAGTATTAAACGTCGTACTCAGCAAATATCCACGGAAATAGAATATGTTCTTACGCATATTATTAATGAAACTCAACAAGAACAACAGCGTCTTTTGCAGTATGCCAAAGAACAACAAATCAAACAAGATGAACACTATCGACAGTTATTACAAACTTACATATCCCAACTTGATGAGATGAAAGCTAAAGAATTAGCTCAACTTCAGGGAGAATTAGACGATTGTCGGGAACAGATTATGCAAGTTTCACAAATGAAAATCATGTCCGTTAATGAACAAGCGAATATGATTAAATCCAAAATTGTTCGAGAAGAACAACAACAAGCAACAATGGAAATTGATACAGTCAATATGCAGTTACAAAACTTCATCACTGACAGCAATTTTCAAAAACTGGATAGTGAAATTGTCACCAAAACAAATGTTATTGTCAATGCCAATGTCAGAACAAAGTCTACAGACCAATCGATAGAAGATGTTAAACATATCGATGAACAATCTATGCAACACACCTACACGAAGACAAAGTATTCCAATCTGAAAGTGAACCATCGTTTTGAACATGACGAAGAAATAGTTCAAATAGGGAAGAAAATTCCCATCAATCCGATACTGCAGGTTCAAAAATCTCGCTAACGATAGTACTGTGATGAAAATTTCTTGTCGACAGATGTCCTCATCGTCGACGACTGGAAATCCATAAAAACTAAACATCGATTTTTTATCATAATTTTCCAATAAATGATCGATATCAGATGTGTCTGATAAATTAAACTGTCACATTTCCATATAGTTGATTAGCAAATAGATTTTTATCGAAGTCTATGCCTCTATCGAGATATTTTATGAAAATTTGAGAATTATTCGCATGGAAAAAAAGATTTACCTTTTTTCCGAATACTTAGAATTTTCTTAGATAGAAAGTTTTCATCGAACTTTTGCGTGCGGAGGTCGCCTTACCGCTTGTCTAGTATGCCGTCTGGCCAATGAGAATGCGCGGAACGAAAAAGAAAAATCCTTCTTTGTTTGACGTATTTCTTCATTCATTTCGATTCGAAGACGCACTCGGTTACACATAACTTGCCTTTTTTACTTTATAAAATATCGATATCACATTTGATTTATTTTGTTCCACTTCGTTATTTTCTTCTCTAAACGATCTTTCCTTCATTTAGATTAATCGATTAGGAACTCCAGTCTAAATATGTCAACAGAAGCTGAACTCAAAGGCAAAAAAGTAAGTTTGAAGTTAAAGAGAATCGTTGATGAATTGGAATCTTTTCTAGCGTACACATGATGAGGACGATGAATCGAATGGAGATACTGAAATAGCAACTAGTACAAAGAAAAAGGCAACTCCTGTAAAAGCTGTGACATCAACAGCAAAGAATCGTTCAGCCAATGATGATGATGAATCACGGGGAGACACAAATGACGATGATTCTAATAGTGTTGATGCTAGAAAACGAAACGGTAAACCCAGTTCAACGGATGCTGGTGCCAGTGGTGAATATTTCTCAAAATGCTTTCTAAACAATGTTTAATGAATTCTGATTATTCTAGGTGATCCAGATGAAAGTGGAGATTATGAAGATGAAGAAGATGAGAACTCTGAAGTTGATGGTAAGTTGATCGTATGATCAAATGAACGATTTGCATTTTTATCCTTTTTAGAAGGTGAAGGCAGTGAAGGTGAGAGCGAAGAAGGTGAGCAAAATGATTGAATGAATCGATATAGATGATTAATCATTCCATACTTTTACATAGGCGGTAGCGACGACGGTGCCGGTGGTGACGATGATGAGTCGAAAGATGTCGGTGATGATGATGAAGACGATGGCGATGATGCTTCTCGAGAGTAGAAAAAAGAAAATGTTCAAATCCGTATATACACGCACACATATATATTGACTTTTCTTTTTTTCTTTCTTGTCAAATTCTGCTGTTTCATTCTTCTTGCTGTGTGACGTTCAACGTCTCCCTCCCGTTCCTATCTTGACTGATATTCGACTGGTATTTCATCAGCGAGATCAGTTTTGTGGTTGTTGGATAGACGTTTCCACTTACTTTCTCTCTCTCTCTCTTTCATTTGTATTCGTCTACATCATTGTTGTGTAGTTTTTCTTCTCTTTCTCTCTGTGCTTGTCTCTCATCCAGCTGTGGTTATATATGTGTTCTGTTCTTCGTGTATGTATGTCGTATTTTGAAAAGAGGAAAACTTGTATTTCTAATTGTCTTGTTAACAAACAGCAAAGATACACGAAAGAACTGTGTCAATAAAAGCAAATCAGTTTCTTGTAATCACACGTGATTTGATTCCATTGCACTAATGATATTCAAGATCATTCTTGTTGATATCGAACGAGAATGATCAGATTGTTGTTGAATATTTGTTTGTGTTAGACATCTTATCAAATCAATAGATACGCGATAAAATGTTAGAGATTAGACTACGATTGTCGAAATCGATCGCAGAACTAAATCACTATCGATTTACAGGTCGATGAAAGAGTGAAATGATGTCTTGGCTGGTGTTTGACTTGCTATTAACTCATCAATCGGTCGAAGGTTTGTCTTAACAACAAGTCGATGTATATGTATATATAGACTTACGTTGAAACATAATAATACCATTTGGGATCTGTTTATTAATCGTATTTGAATGAAGGTCAGTTCTATCCCCATCGATTTCTTTTCTTTTCCTTTTTATCGATCAATGATGAACAATAATTAAAAGAGTCGTTTCGAGTTAGTTCTACTAAGTTGTAATTAATAATTTATTCGGGAATAAGAAACTTGTCTTGCTTTCTCTTGGCGATTGAGTAAGAAAGTTCTCGATTCTTTCTTTAAAAGAACACGTACACACACAGAGACAGTATCGCGGTTGATTAAAGAAATTCCTATTTTCGTCTTACTAATTACGGATAATTAAGAGAAAAAGCATCTTTTTTTATCTTCGATGCGAAACAAACAATAACAATAATAGTATAAGCCTTAGTGAAGAAGATTTATCTACTCTAATTTCTCTTCTAATGCATAGACAACGATGCTATTCATACTTATCTTCAAACGTGTACATATCTATTCGGTTTTCTGTATTTATAATGCTCTCCTTGATCTCGACTTTCTTTATTAGCACAATTAACTTTGTATTCCATCTGCTCTCGTACTCGATATACAAGAGAACAATTCGATATCAGTAGGCAGACCAAAGGTCGACGCCTTCTTTTCTTTTCCCTGAACCTTCTATCAATTTCTTGTTCTCATCTTGTCGGAATAGACGTATTAAGGCATTGATATGTGACACAAAGACCAATTTATCTCTGTCTTCCTTTTTTTTTCTATGTAGGAAAAAAAAGATGAGCGGAAACGTCCGGCGGTTTTGTTCCGTTCATTTTCTGGCTGACTGCTTGGAAGTATTGTGATGCAATTATTCTTCATCGTTGCTATTTCTAGTATGGATTGATCCGCCTCTTCTTAATGACAAGCATCAAGCTCATCCTTATTGCTTTTCTTTCTCAGCCGGGAGCGACATTTACTCACGTTTTTCTTTCTCCTTTTCATGCTCTTATCGGAGTTTATGCTCATACAGATACAATGGCTCAATATTGCGCGACTAACAAATGAAGGTCATCTTCTCGTTTAGATATAAACTCTAATCATAGTTAGCTCTTGCTTTCTTCGATGGATTTCGTAGTGTATCGTTAAGAAGAATGCGTCACTTTTGATTTCTTCGATGTGCATTTCTCTTCTATTGCTTTGGGCGTGTGTCGACACAATGAGTGGCAATTATGTCTACTAAAATGATGTGTGGTTATATGTATAAAGAAGATGAGAATACGGCTGTGTATTGAACTGTTTCTCGCTTGTCGTCACTGTCGATTAGCCAGACTAGATAGCCTCTTCATCATCGTTTCCTTCTTCTTTTGCCTCTCGTTCTCATTTCTTGATGACAAAAGAAATCGGAAAGAACTAATCTAAAATAGCCTACCATTACGACGAATCTCCCTTCACTTATGATAAAAAGAACAATCATTTATCTTGCTTTGTTTCTTTCTAGTTATTTACTTTCTCTTTCGATTTAGTCGAATTTGGTCTTGTTCGAACGATGTCGGCAACAGACAATTGGATCAAATTATATCGATGGTGGCAAGAACATTTAAAATCACGTTTTAATTCCTCATCAACATCGCATACAAACGAATTATCGCGAAGATCGTTACTACAACGTCGTTCATCTCTCATGTCATTTCGTTCTTCGAATAATCCCAAACTAATCAAACTGAAAAAAAGAGCATCATTCGGCGGCATTGAACAACATGAACATGTCACTAATGACGGTTTTCGACATGTGCGTGATAGCGTTCGGCATAGAAACTCTCGCTCAACAACAACAACACCTGCCGGCAATCATAAAAGGTCAGTTAATTGAAATGAGCTTGACAATTCACTGCGTTTTGTGCTTCTCAGCCTCCACATTGACAAACAAAAATATGACGAGATCGTATGCGTGAGGAAACAGACTGAGTAGGGAATTAGACTTTCTTTTTCTACTCTATAGCGCCTATTGTAACTATGAGGTATTCCTATTCTATATTTAGTTGCAGAGAACTATTTTACTCTCCGGACGTCCGTTTGAATCGGAAATAAGGTTTTTTTTTTAATACTTTGTACCTTCCTGTTCAGTGATCTGAGAAGCGGAAAACAGGTAAATGATTTATGCAATGATAAAGTCGCCTTCCAGATTAAACCAAATAAATTAATTAGTTAAAGAAATAGACAATCAGATTTTTACTCTAACACTCTTTTTCTCTAGAGGAGATCATTGTGCAGAGAACAAAAGAAAAGCATAAGGAAAAATCGAAAAGCTTCATAAAGACTTTCTAATCGAAGGCAAATCTATTGGCTTAGAGCAAAACAGTCGAGTTATTTGCAATATTTTTTACTCTTAACGAATGTAAGTATGTCCTAAGTAGAATTCTTTTCGTATTTAATCGATCATTCTGGAAAAAAACAATATGTCAAGTTATTACCACTGACTATTGTGTATTATTCACTCATATCATTCATGTGAGATAGAGAAAGAGAGGTTTTCTCTCCGGTTAAGCAATCGTGATAAGGTCTTCCTCTTGATTTTATATAAGATTTAGTTACAAGTCGTATTCCTGGATGAATAGAGAGAATTTTCTATCAAGGCTGTATCTTCTGCCAAGTGATATTCATTGATCTTAGGTAAGGAACCTTGATGATTAGTCTAGCCATTTGACTTTTGCGTTTGCGATATGTTTATGCACATGTTTGGATGAAATTTCGATCTCTATGTTTATTAAATGGCATACGTTGCTGTTTTGTCTGAGAGATCGTCTATATGATGACGTAATTGTCATGATTGAGAATATCTATTGCCTTGATGTGATGATAGGAAAACGAAGAAGATGAAAAAACCTTGAATTATCGCTCAAAGTTGACGTGTACTTCATCTTAATCAAGTGATGATTGTCATGTCATTGTACACATCGATGTTCACTAACAAAATCACTCGTTAAATTCATTTTCTTCTCTTGTTTATTAATATCGTTTTATTGAAAGACAAGGAAATTTTTTTGTTAAACGAATCAATACAAACAAAGAAAACAAAAGAACGTTCCCGATGGGATATACAAGTTCCATTATTATAGTGCTTCTAGTACGTAGAACAATCTCCGCAATACTTTGTTTTGTCTAGATTAGGAAAAAAAGAGGTTTTCCACGTTTTCCTGTTATATTTAAAACATGACCTATAGTCTTAATGACGGAAAGAAGAAAATGATTGAGCTCGAGGATGTATTCGTACGTATGTTTGTGTTTTGTCTGATATATAAACATTAGACTAACGGCATGGGAGGGCTTACTGAATAGTTAGATTGTCTGTATGGTGCTTTGTTATTTCTGTCGTTTCGTTTGTTGACATTCGCCACTACTAGTTTACTGACTGATTGTTTGACGTTGGACAGCGTTGACATTAATAGATATTGTACAAGTTTCACTGGCAAGAAAGATCGAAGAAGAAGAAGAAGGAAAAGAAAACAGCAAAATAGATTTCTCTAGAAAGCTTTTATTCGTGTGTTTCACTTTCTCTCTGTCTCTCTCTCTCCATATATATATATTATTTCGAATGAAAGAATCGATGAAACGGAACTATCATAATTGAATTTATCTTTCTTCTCCAACCATCAATAATAATAACAAGATACAGCCAGTAATAACAGTCTTTTGCTTGTACAAGGTAAAAATGGAAGACAAGATATTCCACGGAATAACGACATGTCATCGCTACTACGATTACATTGATAATGATTTATCAGATTTCTCTTCATACTTATGTATGTATATGTAGAGATATTTTTCGACGACGATACACAAACACATATGTATATCACATTAGGAAGATAGGAAGCAAATCTGGTGAGTCCATCAGAATCGATTAGAGATTAATATTGACGTCGTTATAGTTTTTTTTTCTTTGCATGAATAATAACCATAGGAATCGAACAGACTAAGTCGCTTATGTTTGTGTACGTGTACATGTATGTTACTGTTCTTCAATCTGTTTTTCCATCAAAATAACATCGAGAAAAGTCTGTTTTTGATTAACATAAAGACAAAGTTGCATTAACGATGATCACAATTGATGAATTTCAAGTTGAAATTTTCGTCTTCGCCATTGGTTGTTTATTTTAGTTTTCAAATCTGATTAAATATTCGATTGATTAATTCATTTTCGCTAAGCGAAAGACTGACTGACACTACAAACTTATTAGACGAACACCATAGACAGTACTTTTTCTTTTGTGCATCTTTATCTGACGTCTTTCACATAGTTGTTCTTATTATCATGGGAATGAAAATCTGAATATTTTCATAATTAGGATAATCATGTTCACAGGTAGATTAAAACAAGCTGAGTTTTAATGATGTCGAACTTCTTCTTAACCGATAAAGATGAAGAAGAAGAGAATGTCTGGAGATTTGTTTTCTTCGTCTACTCGCTATACTCTACTCTTCCCTTCAGTTGGATCGTGTCTCTTTTACTCGGAGGAATGCACTCGATCTCTTTTTCATTTCTACAAGGCCGTTTATTCCTGTCAATGAGGCACGATTAGACGGCAAAACAAAATTTGTTCACGCTAAAACGCTTCCATTACTCTTGTACTCGTTCATCATTCACATCCGTGTATCTTTTATTGGCACTTGCAATTTATTCTCGATGAGCGTCTCATCAATCCTATTGAATATCCATATCTTGTGAATTTTTCATCGTTTATCGCTTTCGCTTCCTCCCAATGACGGACGAATTTTTTTACCCAAATCTAATGATGAAAATGACGACAACAACAAGAACGGAAATAGTCACTTGACAAAAAAAAACCTAGAACGCAAATCTCCTTTCCTATTACCTTCCTTTCGCATTAAACTCATATGAATATGTCATCATCAATATACGAGAATGAACTAAAGTCCAAAGGACGGACAAGTATTACTCGTATTAGTAATCAATGTCGACAAATATTGGCATCAAGTAAACAGCATATTATTTTAAGGTTGGTCTCTCTCTCCCCTTGTTGTTTAGCTTTGATTGAATTACTTACCCCCTAACTTTCATCATCATTGATCGAGTCAATTGATCATAAACATGGAACAAGCTCCGAGAAGTTCTTTCCAATCATTGCATCGAAGGAACATCAAACGGATGCATTTTCATCAGAGATCTATTTCACATACGAATGATTCAATTGGAATGTCAAGAGTCGAAAATAGGACATACGAAGAATTCTCATCTGCAGACTTGAACACAAATATTTTCACTATTCTTTACATATCGAAGCAGCCTTTTCTTCGTTAGATAAGCGGATAATACATTTATAACTAAGAAAGAATGCCTTCTTTCAATGAGAATAATGAAAACAAAACGCGAAGAGAAGTTTTTCTTTCAATAGTAGATTATTCTCTAAGAGTACAATTGTTATCATGTTATTTTCATGAAGACATTGACTAGACTATGGTTTTGCAAGTTTTTTCGATGTCGAAACAACCTTCAGAAAGAGTTTGATCTCCTTCTTCTATCATCTTCGACAAATTTGCTTTTTCAACATCTAACTAATTTTATTAATCAACTTTGTTATGATCGATGAGAGAAATTGATCTTAGACAAGGATAGAATGTCCTTTTTTTTATTAATAGAAATAAATGACATGATATCCAACAATAAGTTAATCTTTTTTTTATCTACTTCAATCGTCCGACGCAACTTCTCTTACTTTAAATAACATGCAACACTTCTTTCTTTTCTCCTCATCACGGTTCCTTACGAGTTATTTTTTCCTCTTTTCACCTACAATAAATGTTGTTCATGTGACTTGTTCTCTCTCCCTCTCCTACAACATTATTTCACCTTCGATAAATATTAAGAAAACGAGTTGATGACAAAATGCAATAAGATCTTAATTATATATTTATATAGAAAAGAACTTCGATTGCTTGTTTATTTTTAAGACGTCCCTTTCGCAAGTCATCTACATGTGATGTAGCATCGGATGACATTTTACAAGTGGAAAAGAGATTAGAACCAAGAAAATTATCACCAATGAATCGACCACGGCCTGGTGGTACAAGACGATTTTCTCTGGTGAAATTAGAAACACCAGCTGGAGATTCGAATACATTGTCAACAGGTTTGTTTTCAATAGATCTCAATGGAATTCATTCATCGTGCTTTCAACATTTAGATGATTCAAAGACGTCAACGAGTCCGAATCTTATTCAAAAGTTACTCTTCCGACAGTTCAGTCCCAAAACTCGTCCATACTCAATGGCAATTACCGTAATACCCGGCTCTTCCTTTCTCTCTCTTTCACTCATCATAAACTTTTTTTTCAGTCTGATGAAAACACTTCGGCATTGAATGATTCACTTAAGTAAGTTCATGTAAATAGTTTTTGAGTGATTTTCAAACTTGAAACTCGTTGCGAACTTTGAATTTCAAGTTAATAGTAGCAGTTACCATACCCCAGATTCACGAGCACCATTTACATAAACCAAATAGTTGTAAATGTCGACGCCTTGTTAATAATACCTTTTGAACTATTACGCTATTACTCTAATGATTTCCTTTTGCATTTTTATTTCTCAAATTCAACTAAAAGCATTGCATATCAACTGACAAGATTTTGTTTTCTTTTGCCAACACCTACATGGTCGAGTACTTCACTAAACTAACTCTGTATCTTAGTAGTTATGCCAGTGGCGGTAGACGAATTACCGCTCCAACCACGCCGAAAAGTTCCTGGTCATCATCAAACGCTTCGAAACAATGTACCGAGCCCGGAGAAACTTCATTTCTCTCTCCGCCAAATCTAATCTTGCCAAAAGGTCAATCATCCGAGTTGACATCTTATTTATCACGACGGCGGAATACAACTGGAAGCATTTCGTTAAATAAAGCAGTTGATACAAAAAATACTAATACATTGAAATCATCTACAGCCGCTTTGTTTAATACTTCGAACAATAAATTATCAAGCGAAAGTAAAGAAGAGTTTCAATGAGAATGAATGTTTATCTTCATTTGTTAATAGATATTTTTCAACTCGTCGAAGATTCGGATTTATTCGTAACGAAACAACTTCTTCAAGTTCATGAAAATCTCGTTAATTCGTAAGTGAGAAAAACCCGTTAATCAGATTTAGATATTCAAGAACGGATATCGAGATTTTCATATCAAATGACTTCTTATCTCCGAAGTAAAGTGACATTTTTTTTCCTCGACTACAGCTTGATATATGTCATCGAAAATTAATCAACCGGAAGTCATTTGAATACTGTATCTTTTCTTTAGTTACAATGAATACAACTGGTGTCCATTGGACATCGCCATCATGTTAAACAATATTCCAATGATTCAACTTCTGGTTCAGTACGGCGCTGAAGAAAGCCTAAAAAGTACAAATGATAATGATTTACCGATGAACTATGTGCAAAATCCGTTGATAAATGTTTTCTAGTACAACCCGAAGAATGTCGCTATGAAAGTGTATGTCATCAATTAGCCATACTTTCTCAACAGAATCCCGATGAAAGTACGAAAAAGTCCTCATCAAACAAATTGACAACAGATGATGTACAAGTATGTCTTGTATCGAACTGGTATTGATCTTTTGTGTTAATCAATCTAGTCACGTCGTTCGTCTCCATCGAATGATACTCAGCAACGTCATCGTCGAACAAGTAAAGGACAACAAGAACAATTACAAATTCTTCAGCAACATTTCTATCAACAACGAATGCTAACTTTGACCCAAATGAAGGATAATTATGAGCAAGCAGGTAAGAATTAACAAATCAATAGAAACAAATGAGATAACACTTCAGTCGGAAAATACTAACAACACATCTGTTCGACAATTTGATGTTTTTTTTCATTTCCGCCTCGCTCTTTTTACAACAATCAATATAAAAAAAACGTAATACATCCCTGTTTAATGATGAAACACACGAGAAAATAAAAGAATAGATGTCAAAGAAGTTTGCAATGATAAGGGATTTTTCTCCTTTTTTCTCTTCTTTGTTGCTCTCTGTAGATTTCTCTCTCGTTCTCTATTCCTCCTATCACATATATAAATATATATATATCAGATTCTCGTTTAATTAGATTTCTTGTAGAAGCTCGCTGTCTTTCATTCTTTCTTCCTTTTTTTTCACCTTCTAGTCAGCAACAACTCATCAACATAATAGGATCCGTGACAAACCAAGCTAAAAACTACACCCTTTTTCGAGACACATGAATATAGCAAAGGATAATCGTTACGGGAAGTCATTTCCGTTTTTTTCTTTTTGCTCTCTTTCCCTTTCTCCTTTTCCCATCACTCAAATCAGTATCAAGAACAGCATGACTAATTTTCATTAAGTTGAACATGATAATTTTCTTTTTCTCTCTTCTCTCCATGTTTTCCTTTCTCAGTTTTTTTTTCTTTTTCTTCAAGAAAGAAAAATTCTATTGAAGTACTGAGCACATCGATAGTATATCGTTTTCTCGTGATATTCCTCTCGGCAAAGCGAGAAGACAACACGTCGGAAAACGTTCGATTTCATTTCTCTTCACTTGGTACATCAATAATCTAGATACGAATCTATGGATGGAAATAAAAAGTTTCGTTCACGTGCACTAATTGTAAAAACCGCACTACGATTCATAACTAAATCTCGCCGAAAGAGTTTATTTACATCGGAGACTTTCTCGTCCGATGATTTGTCCTCAACCTTATCGCCATTGAATTCGCCGTGTTTATCAAAAGAATTTTATTATCATCAGGAAAAATATCAAAAACGTAAGTTATCGATATCAATAATGAGAAGGGGAAAAAAAGCAGAATCAGTCAACATGATTAATTACTTCGAAATTAATTTCCGTCGATTCATCAGTCTTGTTGACGAATGAATAATCCCGAATAGAGAAGAATATATTTTGTTTTATGTATTTCAAGGCATTCCGGATGCTCCGACTAATGTTCGTCTAATGGTTACCGGTTCAAATAGTATTACTGTGACTTACGATGAACCACATCGATCCAACGGAGCGATGGTTATTAAATATAAAAGTGAGCTTTCTTCTTTGATCTTCGCATTTTTGTATCTACTAATAATGTCTTATAGTTGAATGGTGTATTGATGAAAGCTTTGAGAACAATCCGTCATCGAGTGTTCAAATTTATAGCGATACTGTTAAAAACTGTTTTCTTCGTGAATATGTCATTCGAGATTTACCGATTGGACGTAAATGTTATGTTCGAGTGTCGGCGGGAAATATACGTGGATTCGGTCCACCGACCATCGCGAATCCGCCTTATTGTGTGCCATCAAGTAAGTAGAATTTTTCTCTTCTGTTTTAATTATTTATCATCGTCATATGAAAACATTCTCATGTTTTTTCCTATGCAGGTTGGCGTGAATTTGCTAAAACATCACGTCCAAGTATATGTGATTTGCGATTCGAAGAAATTCTTAACAAAATTCGACCTGAAAAGTTGAACAACGAGCGTGGAGCAACGGGAACAGCTTCTTCACCCTCTTATTATACCAATAATGGAAGTGTTGATGGCAATGGTAGGTATTCATTAAGTAAATCTCCTATATGTATTTATGTGCATCTCTTCAAGCAATGGAAAACTTGAAAACGACACTGATGTAAAGAAGATTTGTTCATTCTAATTATGTTCGATTAAATTTCAAGCTTTTGTGTTTCCTAAGACGAGAAGAGAAGAAAAAGAACAGTGCAGAAGAGATTTGTTTTTACGGCATTCTATTTGTTCATCTGTCGTTTTAATATACTATTTCTTCGGTAGTTTTATATTGAAGAGAACGAAGAACAGTATTTCATTCCGCATCAATTACGATTGAAATTATTTTGCTCATGGGGGGGAAAGTAGTTGTTCAAAGGAAAAGAAGGAAGAAAATATTAATAGCTATTTTCTTTCTTTCTTCTCGTCTAATCAAGAATCACCTGAAATGCCAGCGCCTGCGAACTCCACGCGAAATCGCCGTCGGAGCTACGGTAATCTTCGACGAAATCTTCGACAATTCTTTCAACTTTATCCACGATTAGCCAAAACAATGAAGCGGTAGGAAAGAAATATTGAATTATTCGACTCAATAAATCTTCATTTCCTCTCCAGCGGCCTTTACTTAGTCTCGGTCATATTGAATGGCGAACGAATCTTGGTGACGAACGAAGACGTTCTACCTATGGTCGAAGTTGATGAAAACTACGGACATAATTTATTAGCGGATTTTCAATGGTTTATGAAACTAACTTTCGTCTGGGATGAATTGAGAAGTTTACGACCCGATTTAGAGCGCTGCTCGAGCGCTACGACATTTTATCTACGAATGAAACTTGTTCAAGCAGCAATTGAACTTCAAGTACGTAAACAATCTTCAAGACATTTCATTTTCCACATCAATGAACTCTTCTAGACGTTAGAGGAAATCAATAATCTCGGCCGTCTTCATCATACATACATTCGTGACAATGATGGTAATGTCGCTTTTATTTTAATCAATGATTTATCATCCGAGACTCGATCCAATGTATGTCCACCCAATCTCAAATGGGTTTCGATGGCAAAATTTTTCGAAACGATCAAAGAAACAGAAACTTTATCCAACAATTCCTGCATTCAACAAATTACTGATAAACTTCCGGTAGGAAAACGACCGAGATAAACACGAATAGGTAAATCTTGAAATTTTCTTCATGATAGGACATGATCGATTTTTATCATGCATCGATGCGTCGTCTCGACTCGGGCCTCTACGTTGCCTATCTTAAGATGCAAAATAGCGTTGATTGCGTTCGTGTCATGGTCAACCGGTACATGCCTGGTTCGTTGCCATGCACAAAGATCCGTTCAGTAGCAAATGTTTCCAGGTAATTGAAAATCTAGTTTTGAAGAAGATAAACCAGTTGAATTCGTTGGTGTAGGGAAGAATGGGAATGGTTACATAAGAGCTCATCAAATGTTGATAATGATGAACCGATGTTATCGACATCAGAAAATGAATTGGATGAAACGAGTCTCTCAATTTTTAAGTCACAATTTGAAGAGGCAGCAAAAGATCTTTGTCTTATGTTGAGTAAGTTGTATTCGAAATAAACGATTCATGGCATTCTCTATTTGTCTTGTCAAGATCTTCCCGAAACACATTTTTCTAACAGTCGAATCTACGATGCACAAGTCGTGGAAATTCGTGATGATCTGTCTTTAATTATTTTAATGTCAACAGCAGACGAAGTTAATATTCTTTCTACACCGTCGACATCATCAAAACAACGACCTTCAATTTCAGCTGATTGTCTCACACCTTTCATGTATTTACCTGTATATATTTTCGAAGTTTGTACGTATCTGTTGTCTTGTTTTTTTTCCATTACGATTCACGGGCAACTTTTTTAATTTTTTCTTTTTAGTACAACATTTAAGTAATAATTACCGTTTCATATCACAATATAGTCGCGTATCGATATGTTTGGATTTCGAATTAATTTGCGCTCAACAAACTCAACGTGAAGCGTTTTCCACCAATGAATTAGATGAATCACGTTATCGCCTTAATCATTTATTATCGTGTCAACAAGATTTAGATGATATATGGCGTTCCTCTCGTTGGCTAGTCGATGTTATAAATTGTGCTAAAGATAAATCCTATTCTGGCATCTCACTCAAATCTTGGTTAACATTTCAAAAGTCGACAAATATTCAAATGAAAATCACCGCTTCGGATTCGTCATCGTCAAACTATGCATCGGATTCCGCTTTGGACGCTGTGAAATTCAGTAGTTCAACATTGACTTTGCCAACGACAATGACTTCCACATCCTTATCATCATCCTTTTTGAATGATACATCCTTAATTATCAATTGTGACAGTGGTTTTATTGATCATGAGACAACAAATAATGATCGATTTATGACAAATCGCACATCGACGATCTCAACGACGGAATCCAATGATCCACTTGAACTAGCATTTTACATTCCAATCTTAACATCAAATACCTTAATACCATTCAAATTGCGCACGAAAAGGTTGACAACAGCGTACGAGCTGCTGCAAACCGTTATCAAACAACAATCCATGTTATTGAAATCGCTTTCAACATTATCATCAACACCATCATTTGTCTTTGTTTGGGTGCGTTCAAATGGCCGTGAACAAATTCTCGAAGATGGACTAACAGCAGGAGAAATCGAGAAACGTTTAATACGCTTTGGCGGACAAATTCATGTTCGTTCACGCGGCCTATCTTCATCACGTTCATCTCAACCATTGAACAAATTATCTTCGTCTACACGTTTATCGCCAACGCCCACATCCGCAGCATCGAATCCCAATGCTTCCAGCACCAGTTCCATTGGACCAGGATCCAATTTAAGTTTAAATATTTAAAATGAAACAAGCAGAAATCTTTGATTTTGTGTTCCTTTACTTCCCTTTTGTTTTGTATTAACTAAGCAATACATGTTATGTGATATGAACTTTCAATGTCAACGAAGAAGGCGACAGAGTACAAAACATATCCTATCGATATCTCTGCAATTGAAGTACGAATCGAAGAGAAAACGATTAATCAAATATGTCTTAGATCTTGAACAGGATCTTTATCTTTTTTTTCTGGATATTTTGAGTTTGAGTGGGCAGAATTACTCATCGACAGAGATAAATCATCGTCGACGTCAATCGACTTTAACTTTACGTAAACTATCGATTTCGCATAAGATAATCAATGATGTTATATTAATCTAAATGGCACAGTTATCAAATCTAGTTATTTTCTCGTCAGATTTCTAACGAGATAAGAAAAAAAACGAGCTGTTCTATGAAATGAAACAGAAGTCATAACCAACAGTAATTTATTTCTCCGACTGTCACGATAATTACAAGCTAGTTGATTCATAACATCGACTAAGTTTTGATTAAAATAAAAAGAAGTAATATTTATTTATAGAATTAAATCATAAATAACCGTAATTTATCTTTGACATTCATGCCAATCCATTCTGTACCTAGGAAACAAATATTACAAAAACCATGCCGCTTATCGACATACGTTTTCGCTTTAATTCGTCCATGTTCATCAATCAAGATGATCTGTTGCGGTAGAGAACAGTTATTAATGATTAACCACGATCGTTCATAGGGTATCAATAGACAATTTCTCATTCCGGGTACACTTCGGCCTAATAAACAACCCCGAATGGTACGCAAACAGTTCGTTGATTCGAATAAATCCACTCTCCATTCACCGTTCTTTTGTTTGATTGTTAATGCAAGAATATTCCATTCATTGACGCGTATACATCGAGCAAGAAAGTCTTTTCGTCGAAGGAAACATTTCTGTGGCCATTGCTTTTCTAATTGGTATGGTGGGAAAAGGGATCGACATTCGATTCGACTAGCACAACGTGAATAAAGAAGATACATCGAATTCGTGTTGCACGTTATTGAGACAATCCATTCACCGCGAACCAATTGGAATTGTTCAAGCGTTGAAAAAACGCGTCTTTGTGCATTAAAACTGTATAGACCATACCCAGCCATGAGGAAAAGATTCACTTTTGATGACCAGCACATGTCATAGACTAAAACTAATAAATGACTGAGATCGATTCGACACACTTCATGATCTTTATTAAATAAAACTAATGTCGAACATTGATTAATTAGTGTCAGTATATAATAAGACGATGCAGCTAATGGTAAATCAATTCCATTCAGAAGAAATTCTTTTGTAGGTGTACGCTGAAGCACAGTTGTTGGTAATGGCACTTGTAGAATTAATTTTCGTAATTCGTTATACGAATCGACGGAGATACCATTTCGTCGTCGTTGTGACGAAGGTGTATCGAAAAACTTCTGATCGTTTGATCGATCGAATGATATCGATCGAATCGCAGATGCAATGGAACGTGGTAAAGATCGAAATTTTCTTTGACTACGTTTGAAGGCATCCATCATAGAAATGATTTCATTCGTGCTCGATGAAAACGAACATACCGCATACTGTCAGGTTTTTTCGAATAAATATTTTGTTTGCTTTCCCTTGACGAACTATTTGCTAGACTCGGGTAATATGCCGATAGACATGTTTCTTTTTTTAGTTCAGTTATGGAGTATAATTACATTTCCGTTTGGTGATATTTATAATAAGATAATTTCATGTTGAGAGAGACAATTATCCGAATGAAAAAGCTCGTTGATCGTAATCACAGATAAAGAGGTTTTTTTTTGTTAATTAAAAATATTCCAAAAGATGAAAATTACAATTGAAAAAACGAAATCGTTTGTTTTTATTTGAATTAATTCTGCTCTTGTGGATTGTCATATAACTGTTTATACTTCACCAGAGCCTGATTGATTTCATCATCGGATGGTTCACGCAAGCTTCGTCTATGGAAATCAATAGACATGAAATTAATACTTTCAAAGCGATGAATCTTACTTGAATAGATGGAAGAGCGTTTTCACAAAATATGTATTGGCTAAGCCATGGTGACCTTGAGCAAAGCCACTCTCTTCAAATCGTGCAACGTTTAACGAAAATAACTTTGAAAGAAAATTTAGATTAATACGTGAAATGATAGTTAACATACTTCAACAATAAAACCAAGTACAAGTGCTAAGATATAAACATTCGACAGAAACCACCAACTAACCAGATACAACTGACTCCATCTAAAGAGAAGATTCTTTTATTGAATATCAACTGTAGAACAAACTTCGAACTCACCTTGTAGAAAATTCTCGAAGAGCGACTAAGAACACGCCCCAATTATTCACTAACATCACATCATATAGCACCACAATAGTTGACTAAAAAGTTCTGATCGACAAGTTTTCATCGAGGATAAAAACACACTTACATAGAAGTCATCGAAGTTATTCGCCCAATATTGACTTTGTTGATACGAACCGCATGTCGCGTTCCTAAATAAATCGATACAAAAAATGAATTTCACACAATCATCATGCATTTTACACAATATCGGATTCAGTCGGCGGTTTAATAACTCCACGAAAGAGCCACATGCCTAGGACAGCATAGCTATAGAACAAACACTGCATTTCAAAAATAAAGAAACACTTCGATTTTCCCTGATGAAATGCAACTTAATGTCACTTACAATGAGAATTCCGATAAATGCCTTTAAATTTCTCATTCCATCGCTAATTGTACCCATAATAATTCCATAATTAGTAAAATGTGGCATCGAACGAATTGCACGGAAAATAACGAATAGATTCAGTATACGTGTTATTGCCCAGATTGAAGTTGCGGTTCCTCTCGCATCGCGTATCACTTCACTAGCAAAAGTATACTTTTCTGTTCCCTTTTGTCGCAAAAGATCAATCGTTGATTACCTCGTGGTGATACTCAGTGTCCCATAGATTCCACAATGAACGATATGAAGGACCTATTGAATAAAAAACCTATCGAACAGAGTAAAAGCTGTGGAAGAATTTCTTACGAATAGAGCAAGGGCTAAACTAGCATCGAATGTGTTGAAAAAATATTTGAAGAATACTTTTGGACGCAGTGACCAAAGTTTAAGAATTGATTCCAAGAAATAGTAAATACAGAATGAAAATAGAACGTTCTAAATCAGTCGAAAACAGCCATGTATAGTCTCTTATTGGATAAATTTTCGTTACTGATAGAATAAGGTCGATTGTGAAAAAATTTGGATGATATCGAACACTACCTTCAACCTAAAATACAGATTTCAATACAGTTTTCTTCTTCAACGCTGATTCTACATACTACGAGAACGATAAAATTTATAAGACCAATGGCATTTCCGAACCATGTTAAGTATTTTGAAGCACCAATTAATTGAATTACTGCCCAGACACCGGAATATTCATGATGTTCGATAGGCTTAAGAAAGTTATATTTTTCAAGAGAATTCATTGCCAAAAACTATATTTACCACTTTTTGAACATCAGCATCAAGTGATAACATTGTCAGCGAAAACGTGTCCCAATTTACTTCGTCATTACGTTCATTATTTCGTGTTAGAGTCTACAAAACACGTGATTGCATCAGTTTTTAGAAATGCAATATCTTACACTAAGTAATTCTTGTTTAAGCAGATATGGCAAATTCGTACTAGAAATCATTCGCGTTACGACCAACATCGGAGCAGTTGATCGAGATCTAAATCATTGATGTTGACTCAATACAAAATTCTAATGATCAAACAGACATTCGGTGGGTTAATAATGAAGTTGTAGTATCGTCAGCTGTTGTTGTCGGTGACGGTGACGAAGATGGAGCAATTTGCCGTTCAAGTAAACTATCGAAACATGCGCGAACTGCTAAACGACGACGAAATAATGAGTTTTGCATCGATGTCTAACAAAAAAGTAATCAAACGGATCGACGATAGAGAACAATGAAGTATTCGATTTACTGTAAAGAATTCTTTGAATGTATTCATTTTAATAACTGTAAATAAAGTCATTAGACAATACAACCCTAGATAAAAATCTATCTACACATGTTCATAACTGAAGGTGTCTTTACCAATTGTCAGAAAAACAGCGAAATAGATGATATATAATCGATTTTTGGAATAGGCCGGAATGGTGACTAAAATATGAAGAGACAGGAAGTAGGGTGAGAGTGAGGGAAGAGCTTTTACCATCAGGATTATTCGCAGTAGTTAAAAGCACCACTAGATTAAGTAGTGCATCTGCAAAATCCGGAAAATATTTTGTTCCTTCATCAGTTCGTTCACTCGGAGAATCTTTCTAGAAGAATCCAGACTTGTTCGCAGGAATATTTTGTCGAACGAGAACTTACTCTTGCCGGTGGAAATAGAATCATTCCAATCACCGAAAAGAAATAGACATGAATACCAAGGAGAATCGTAACACTAGAAACCTTTCGAAATCAATGATAAGAACGGTTTGATAAGGTCATTACCTAAGGATTTGTAAGAAAGATTTTCGTAAACTATTGAATATTTTTTTCATTTCTTGAGATATCACAGCCATATAAAACGGTCGTAATAAAAATCGTATGTTTACAGTCTACAAACAAGAAACTCGATCGAAATTCCATAGGAAAATGTTTGACTAATTCCTACTTTTGCTTGACATCCTAAACTTGACGATATAATAAGATCGATTATAGAAACAGTTGTAACAATGAAATATGCGATAAGCCATGGTTTTCTTCGAGCGATCTTCAATCCAATTAAATAGGCCTAAATCGAAACCCCGAAAAGACTATAAACGCCCTTCAATCAACGCTTAACTTTCTTACACGGATAATCACATCAATGTAAAAGATGATCAAACATATGAATTCAATGGCTAATTGCACACCACACGGTAATGTTATTCGATTTCGTTCTTGTCGTAAGTCCGATGTCCGACTAAATGAAGATGGATATTGAATGAATATTAACAATAATTGACATGAAACAATGAATGTTAATAAACGTTGAATCCATTTCGACCAATATAATCGGTAGAGTTTTAAAATATTCAATGGGGACAATTTATGTGCGATAGAACGAAATGAATAAGCATCTTCGAGCAAAACAATCGCCTGAAGTAGATGCCGTTCCGACCAAGACTCGCGTGTACCATGATGTGGATCGTCTACGATTATATCTGACATCGATCTTAAACTTTATCTACAATGTTGTATACGTTCATATGCGATCAAATCGTATCGTGGAGAAATAGAAGCGAGCAAATTAATTTCTACGTCAAGAAAATTTTTATTTAAAAACGAAAAGAAAAACAAATTCAGTCTAATAGGAAAATATCCCAAAACGCAAAGTGGACGGATATGAGTTCATTGTATGAATCAATTATGAATACCGATTATTTTAATTTGTCTTTTGCTTGGCTGGTTTTTTGCAAAATGATAAAACGGCCGTAAATACGAGAATTAATTCAAAGACACAAAATCCTAGTTGAGTACAACCAATAATCAGTTCAAGTTTTAATACAAACCACTGAAAAAATGTCCAATAAAGAAATGCTCCGATCGACAGAACTGTCCATATGAAGCCAATGAGGATATAAAATAAATGTTCAGTGAGATTGGCATAGAGTAAAATTTCCAAACGAATGTATTCCAGTGTCAATGTTAAACATAATCCCAAGATTTCGACGCCGTAGACTCCCCAATTGTCTTGCTCCATACCGACAAGGCCTTTCCAGACAAAGATTAAGATCTCTGCAGTGAACCACTAGATGAAAAATAAAAAGAATGCTAATCGAATGATTAAACAAAATGTTACAAGAAAAACGATCGGTCGATGGATATGACAGAGCGAATGCAATGGAATGGAAGATCGGACAACTGAATTTTCATCTGTGACACGCGCATCAAAAGTCGATTTTGTTTGACTCATTCTATCTAAAACAAGAAGATGAAAGAAACAGTGGTGATATGATATTAGACTTTTGTTTTATTCATTGTTTAGTTCTTCAAGTTTTTTTTCAAGTTCATCTTTTCGTTTCATTTTTGTCACTTGATCTTTATCTAAACTTGTTGCGTCTTGTTCGTAACGTTTTTCCAATACAGTGATTTCCTTTAATAGCTTTTGAATTTTCTTCACTTCTTTCACTTTTTCTTCTTCAGGCGTTCGCGTCGTTAATTTCGCCATTTGACTTTCCACTTGTTTTCTCTCCTTTTCTAACTTTTTAGCACGTGCAGCCTTCTCTTCTTCAGTTAAAACCAAGCCAGGAATCAAATTGCCATTTTCCGCACGTCTTCTCGTCTCCATTTCAGTTTGTTGGCCCATCGACTGGTACACGGGCATTTCGTCTTGTGGAACGTAATTATCTTTAACACGAATCGGTTTTCTCCATGTTCCATCAGGTCGTTGCGTGGCGGGCAAATAGGTCTCTCCAGTTTTCGGGTCTCGGATCACGTTCGCCCGTTCGAATGCCGTGCCACGTGCGCTCATTTTTTCCCCGGAATTTAAAGGTCTCGCAGCCATCTAGAAATCAAAACAGAAGTTTGCTTTCTTTCACATTTTCCTTCAAATATTGAACACACACACACACACATACAAAACGATTGAAAATGTACACCTTTCTTTTATAAATAAATTTACTGTTAGGAAAAAATTCGAAACTAATGTGTTGAGAAACGAGACAAAGAAGAAGAGGTTTTCAAAGATGGAGACGAATGAAATGTATTAAGCACTTGAGAACGAAGTTGTTCAACGACGTGATAAAATTTCACAGCTGGACCAAGTTTAAAGTCTAATGAATCTTGAACTGTATCCAAATCATTGAGAAGAAGTAACGCAGCACCATCAATTTCCTTGAAATAGATCATATTAAAGTAGAACACGGATATGTTCATTCATAATTACCTGTTCTTTGATAGTTTTCAATGCAAATGAACACCCACACTCATTCAAATACCAACAGACGTCATCAACGTTCCAAGTCAAAGGATTCCGTGGATCAATCGGTGGTGGGATGGAATAAGTTGTCGTCCGAAGCGGAGATACCACTGGTAAAGGTTCAGTTTTAGGTATGGGAATATTCGGAGTTTGAGATTGGGGAGTTGAACGTCGATTTCTCTTGATTTTATTTGGGGAAAAGAGAACCTCCGATGATCTGACGGAAGAAGAAACAACCGGTGGAGACAAAGAACGTTTTTTCTTTGGAATTCGTGAACGTTTCGACTCTAAAATAGAGAATTTTGTTGAAAGGAAAGATTTTTCTTCTGTTAGAACTACCGTTGATGGGCGCAGGATTTGTTGCCGATGATGTTGACGACGACGAAGTTTCCGATACTCCGTGATTGATGTCGACAGGTTCTTGTTTGATGTCACTCACTGTTGATGATTCTGACTTCTCAATTACTTTTTGCTTCTTATTCGTTCGTGTTATCGTATGAGTTTTCGGTTCTATATAAACACGAAAACCGCGTGTTTGTCGATCACTGCCTGGCAATGGTAAAGTATCACTTGTTTGAGTAGGCATTGTCGTTGATGCATTGATTGGCGGAGCTTCTTCTACAACGGGACTAGACACGTTCGATGAACTTGTGGTAGTTTTCAAATGGCACAATAAAGATTTTTGTCTACGAAAACGATTCTGTGCTGCTCGGAGTTGACCTCGTTTATTTTTCGAAATTATTGAAAAAGCTAGAAGGAAAAGTTTTCAATTCTGATTCCTCAATTATCTAGTTTCACCTACCGAAAGTATTGGATAATATATGACAATGATCCGGACAGTGATTTTCTATCCGTTGACAACTTAGAAGACCAGGACATACTTCCAGTTGTGTACATATATGACGAAGAAAATGATGAGCTGATAGAGGATCAGTCGGGAGCGAAATGGGACGAATCAATTTGGAAAATCTTTTTGCAGATTTAATCTGTTCAGTACGAAGATGATATTTCGTTTCGGCATTTAGTTGATGATCTAAGCGACGTAACACACGTTGAGCATTTGTTGATAGGACAGAAAGGAGATGGTGAAACATATCAATGAGAACATCACGATAGGGCCCGGGACCAAATTGAGATGGGATACGAGCGAGACGAGATGAACAGAAATGTGGACCACAGAAACAACGAATATTCACATAAATTGTTAACAAATACACATCGGTTAAATAGACACGGGGAATTTGAGGATAACGGGTTACTGTTGAAAACAAACTAATAAATGAAAGAACATTTCAAATATTTCGAATAAGATTGTGTATTTTCTTACTGATATCGATTTTGTTCATACGTTTTCACATCCATTTGATATCGAATTGGTGCGATCAATTCGAATCTATTCAGTTTTGCCCAACCAACTGGAAAGACATCCAAAGAATTGATCGGCACAACATGGTAATACAGGTGTTCATCTTGTAAGAATTGGGCATTATCAACTCTGAGCCACATTAGATGATCGATGATATGAACAATTGTCACAGAAAAAACACAATCTTTCTGATTTAATGTGTAGATCATTTCCATTTTCATTCCTGGTTCGGCACGACTATTTCCCGCGAAATTCAATGTAATCAGATTGAAACAGCGTTCAGGTGCCAAGTCACTCAGCCCATGTTTTTCCGTATAGAGATTCCAGTAATCTTCTGATTGACGAATTGATTTACCATTCATCAGCGCAAGTTTATGTTCAGCAGCCCAATGTGCCGGTAGAAGACGCGGATCGGTCGAATATGAGACCATCGACACTTCATTTTCACCTTCATTATCGATAATAATATCAAAATAATATTCATTATGAATATGACCTATTCGACCAAGAAAGATATTTTGACTTTTCATATCGAAAATCTCCAATTTCATTCCTTCAGTAAATCGGTGTTTACTTATGTTTTGTTGTTCTTTAAATAGATTCGGAGGTAGAAATTGTGTTTTCGACTCGAGTAAACATGCATCAATGATGACTTGTTTATCAATCGTATCGGTCAAACATGAAGGAATATCATAGGAATAAATTGAATCCGTACTTGTTGTCCAACCAATCGGATGAACGCGATAATCAAGGTAAAATAGAAAAATATCACAATCGGGTAGACTAGAATTCTCGTTCGCTTCGTCGTTGTTGTTAACAGGCATTTTCGTCACATATCGAAGATGTAATCGACCACCACGGTTATTTAGAATTCGGACAAACCATAATGTCCATGGGCGTTGAGCGTCTTGTAATTCCAGTAGCATTCCAACTTTCAACTGTTCAACAGGAGTCAAACCCACACTCTAAATAAGATTTAGACATTGTTCCGCATTTATTTTAGTGAATATTACTCTGTCAAATAGATAAGCAGGCGGTGTTTCATGACTATTGTCATTTTCCACTTTAACACCAGTTAATTGCTTCTCATGTCCATTTGATAATAGATTATTGTTCACTGTTGTCTGTTGAATTGCTCGTTTCGTGACTGCTGTTGGTGGTAACATCAATTTACTATTTTCTTTACACCAGCCAATCGGATGACACCGTTGTTCGTAGACGTATGCCCAAAAGTCGTTTGATGTATCCTCTTCGGGAATTCCAACATAGTGCAAACGAATCAGATGGCATGAGACAAACTGGATTTGCGTCAGCCAGTATAAGTCTCGTTGAATATCATAGCAATATTCAAGTTTCATATCGACTTGTAGACCGGATTGAAATGATGCGTGATAATGATCAAAGAATTCTTCGGAAACGGATCGCTCATCAATGAACGAGAGATACTTTGACCAGAGAAAGTTTGATGAGGATAACGAAGAGTTAATTGTTGCACAAGGAGAAAGCTCATGGAAAATAACCGTCCGCGACGAAGGAAAACTAGAAACAGATCTGAATATCAGGAAAAGAACCTGGTTCACAATGATCGTTACTTGATTTTTTTCTTCGAAGAATAAAGATTCACTTGTGACTGAATCGAACTATCTGACACTGAATGTTCTGCTATTGAATTGTGTTTCAATTGATTTGTTAAAGATTGATTCACATCAAGACCAGCATCGGGATTCGCTAAAGATATTCTTTGAAACTCGGCATCGATCGAATCGGTATACGGACAAGATGAATTGTCTCGCCACTTATCATTAATATCCGTTGACATCATCGGTCGTTGACTGAGATCAAGAATGGATTCATCAGTAGAGGCCTTTTTCGAACTAGTTGCAGATTGGGCTGAAGTATCAGTCGTACCTAGTTGATCAACGCGACAATCGGTGGTCACTAGGTGATTCAATGTTGTAGCCATTGATATGTTCTGTTCTTTTACATTGTTGTCATCTGAAAGAAAAAAAAACAGTAAAATAATTTCTTTCTTCTGCTTTGTATTTTCAATAGTCGTGAACGATCAAGGTCAAGCTCATTGAGCTTAAATAACAAAGATTTAGTTTGAAAAAAAGATTTGTTGATACAAAAGATATGTAATATGGTGTAAAAAATATTGTTCCTTAGGAAAGAAAGTTTGGTAAGAAGAGAAACGAAGAGAGACGAGGCGACAGGAAGAGAAGAGAGAGTATTACCTTTTATCATTCACAATACGATTGTTGATCATTACTCCAACCATTCAGAATAAATAACATCTCCTTCACTGTTACTTCCCGTAGATGGCGCTTTTTCTTATTTTCAGAAACTCATTCTGATTCTAAGTGTTATATTCACTGCAAATACCAGAGATGGGTAAGTCAGAAAATGACTTGACTTGACTTGATTTTTTATGCATGAGCAAGTTATAAGTCAAGTCTAAAACTGTATATAGATACACATATTTTATGTACTTTAGATTTTGTTCTAAAAGTAACTTATAATAAAAAATTCTAAATTAGGAATGAATTCTGTCCGGCGCAAATAAATTGACATTGAAAAGGTAAGATTTTCAAAATCATGAGATAGCTTTTTAGTTATCATTAATCACCTAATGTTTCGTTTTCGGTAAAGTGTACGTAATTAAAATCTTAACATTGGCTACGCCTAACAATGGAATCTAGCGGGTACATCGTTCTGTGATTTAGTTATAGTGTAGATGTCTTTTCTTCAATTGATCTTTTTCTCGCGTGTCGAAGACTTACTCCTTTTGCCTCACAGAATGAAAACACAATATTGCAAATCTCCTCAGACATAAACGTGGTCTGATAAAATTAAATAAAGTACTAGTCTCCGTTGGTTTAAAGTCATTTTAATATGTTGCAGGGGCAAAAATGACTGAATCTGACTTCAGTTTGGTTGAACCTATCTCAAATCAAGAGATAACTTGACTTGACTTTGAGCAAAAAGCCGATGGCTTGCCCCTGTGTGGCAAATAATATAACACCGAATCTTATGTTGCATTATTTCAATTCAAATTATGTAATTCTAGTAGTTATATTATAAAAAAACCAAAAAATAAGTGCAGATGATTTCCTAAAATATGCAGGGGCCACGCGATTCAGTTCGAAAACAGATTTCGAAGAGGAAGATCGGCCTTTGATAGAAGAATTACGTGTTGAGCGAGTTCTGCCGCGCTTCAAAGATGATTTCTTCATTATCCATATTGAAATACATACTACATTTTCACAAGTGTTTTTGTCACCCTTAAGATATGACCACACTAGGACTCGTTATCTCGTAGTTGAAAAAGCAACAGGTTTTATTTAAACTTCTTCATAGAAAACAAATTGTAAAAGGTAATTGCACGAAATACACTAACAATTAATACCAACTATTTATGACGTTGATCAATTAGTCCTTTATTTCACACATCGATAATTCAAATATAAATTAAATGATATTGACAAGAGGTTAGGAAGTTCCTTCAGAAGATTGTCATCATCTTGCACTACTATGAATTGTATTTAAGATAATGTCACTCGCATCTAGTCTAGTTCGATGGCGGACGGTGTTACTTGCGTGTTTACACCTGATGATTTCTTTATCCAGAAAATAGTACCAATAATGACTGTAATGGAAACGACAGAAATCACAGTGGGCAAAAGAATGATATATGTATTGTCAGACTTCGATTCTTGGTTCTTGATGGTCGACAACTCGTGCGTAGCAGTGTGTGGAACGGATGTATGAAGAAGCAAGTCGGCTTTCGTGTTGCCACTGTCAGGTTTAGTTATCGAAGACGTCGACGTCATTCCACTCTTCAGAGTGAAGGCAAGCGTTGAATGCTAAGATTGATACAAATCAATATACCGTAAACGGTACTTGAAATCAAATCATAGAACAAAACGGGTATGTTTCGAAGAATACATTATTGCTTGATATAGGATGTAAATAGACAGAGGCACGATATAAATTGGACGTATGACAACCGTAAAATGCGTTTGTGTATTTACCATTGTCTCGTTTGAAGCCAATTCGGTCATAATCATCTAAATATAAGTATACTGGGCAATTGTTTTAACTAGAAAAAAATTGTTGACGGCTGATGTTGATGATTCAGTAGCAGTCGTAGAAACGGTTGGTAACTGCCTGATATCACTATGACAAAGAAGCAATCTATGAGCCAGTGTCACCTCACTAGTAACACTACTTGAGGATGAGGGTGCTTATAACTCGATGTAACGCCAGAAAGTCGCGTCGTTGATGGCTCTGTGTCGACGCTTCCGCTTTTCTCATCGATCGCTAGACCGTTCAAACGAGCATTCACTTGTGTATTAGTGTCAAAGTTACACTGGTATAGTATCTGAGTGTAGGATACTGTCAAGCAAATGGATACTCAATCAAAACATGTCGATACAGCTGGGATAAATGAATCGAAAAGGTAAATTATTACCGAAAGTACCAACAGTCATGAGTCATTGGATTTTGTTTTGTAGAATTCTTTCAAATAATATGTAATGTTTCTTATCTTCTTATGTTCTTTATATTGGTTGAATAACTATGCAAAATACTTTTATCTTGAGAGAAAGCACAAAAAGTATTTTCTTCCACAAGATTTGCTGTTCTTTCGTTGCTCCAATTGATATTCAAAGATGTTTATTACTTTGAAGTTTTTGAACGTGAAATCTTTTGAGTTCTATCATTTTTGTTTCCCATTGATAGTGTATAATTCTCTTATTAGAAATCGCGTGTTAGAAAGTAACTCATTGTCAAAATGTGAAATTTTCTGAATTAGAATCTGCAATATAATTGATTCTTGGAACCAACGAATAACAGAAAAGAGAAGAATAATACAGATGAAAAATGTTAAAAAGAATAATCAGTTATATAGTCTTCAAGTTCAATACTACCCTGTTCGTGTTTATTAGATGAGTTATTGAGCGGATGCGACATGCCACTAAGCAAGCCGCCAGCTGCTGTTTTTTGTATCCAAATACCGATACCAACAATAGCGATGAGCCCAACTGGAACACCACAGGCTAACCCGACGATCAATCCTGTTTTGGATGATCCATTAGGTTTTTTGTCTTCTATTGAAGCTGTTGTGAAAGGCATGATCAAACTTAATGTAGAATTTCTAACAATTGTGGTAGTAATAGGCTTGGTCGTCGGTTGCTTAGTAGTTGTGGTTTTCTTTGTGGAAATAACATCAGTAGTGGTTGTCTCACGTGTTGTTGAAACAGTCGTTGGAATAGTGGTGCTAGTTTTTGTTGTTGTTGTTGTTGTTGTCGTCGACGTCGTTGTTGTTGTTGTTGACGTTAATATGATCGCTGGAGTAGTACTGACTGTAGATGATATTGTGGTTGTGATTAACTAAAACAGTAATCCACGTTGGCTGTAGTAATGTAAGTACTTTAAATGTTACTTTTTCGTAAGTCCTTAGTCTATGAAAATGAGCATAACTCATCAATGAACACTAGAGTTTCTTTAGTTCATTATTTAAAGTTCAAAAAAAAAGTATCACAATATCTGAAAAATATAGTCACTCGTGAATGTGTCAGCTATGATGATGTTTTCTAAGATTTACTATTCAGAAAGCGGCCATCCACCACCAAAACCCTACTCTATCAACACATGACATATTTTATTACCAATGTTGTACTTGCAGGTTCGGTTGTTATGAATGCAGTTGTAGTAGTCTGCAACACGTAAATTCAATGTTCTATGAGCATTTTTGTAATATGCGAAGTTTTCCTACGGTGGTTAACTCAGTAGTGGTTGTCTGTATGCTTGATGTCTCTGTAGTTCTCCTATTAAAACAAATAAAAACGGATATTAACGCAGAGACACAATTGCATTTATCTAGTCTTACATTGCTGTTGTGCTGGTGGTCGTCACACTTGTGAACAGAGTCACGGGTTCGTCTTCTAGAAACCATAAACATTCCTACAACATCTCGTTTCATCACTCTTTCCACCTACCACACCTTCCTGTACGAACTAAGATTTCATCGATTGCTATAATACTCAATGGAGTTGCTTTTCCTGATGTCTTCTGTAAATCAAAGTACATCTATACATCACACACACACATACGAACTGTGCACAAACGATACAATCATATCACTTTACTTCATATCCACCCTTTGTTGTCACGAATGACACTCGACGCTCATTCCACCCATTGTGTGGACTACTCATCACTTGATCGATCGTTTCACTATCACCATCTTTTGCCTTGATTCGAATCTTGATGTTCTGCTGCGTCCCATTAATCGTGGGAAGATAGTAGAAGTAACTCAAACATTGATGACCAGTGCCATTGGTGCCACCTGTGTCAGTGTTGAGAACGAATGATAGGGGACCTTCGGGTGCTCCGAAGTTAAAATAGCCGAATTTCCCTACAATGCTCGTTGTTCACTATCATCGTCCGTTCAGTTCAGTTACCTGGTTGGCATTTTGCATTCGTATCGGACTGTGTTTGGCAATAACTATTGTTACAGAAGTACATGTCCCAAGTAAATGGGGTGAGTTTGTAGGGTAGAGTACAGTTTTGTCCATTTTCGGTTGGCATGACTAGAAAACGAGTATTTGGTGATAGTTTTGGTCGACGTAAGGGCGACATGGTGCTTACGGCTTGATGTAACATCAGAAAGTGGTGCAGTGGGTGGTTCTGCATCAGGATTTGCAGCTTTATCGGAGACAAGCATTCCGCGAACACCCACAGGGAGTAGACAGCCTGTTGCGATAGTATGAGTATCATAATTACACTGGTATAAGATTTGAGCGGAAGCTATTCCGAAAAAACTATATACTGAACAGGAATAGATGAAAACATATTGCATACTGCAGCATACAAAACATTACCCAAGAGAAACAAGCCTTCCAGGCAGAGCATCTTGCACTACTTTTCTATTAATCTTATGTGTATTTCAAATTTTTATCTTGTAGTTCGTAGATTGTTTCATTCATACAAGAGAAATAAATGCATGTTATCTTGATGAAGGAAAAATAAGTACTCTGTTCGAATTTTCTCACCTTGCGAACTTAGGTAAGTTTATTTTTTATCAGTGTCTTATGACCGATATTTATTTATACACCAGAGCAGGCAAAAGAAACGAGATTCATTCAGACATCATTTGTACATTCAAACAATACTAATCGTTTGAAAGCAAATAAAATATTATTTTTTATTATTTTTGGAGTGAACAGTAACAGCAGAAATAGAAATATATATCCACACTTCCTTAGAAACTATTTTCGTCGACTAGTTTAACTTGTCCGTCGCTAGAAGAGAGCATCCCATTCTCATCTGACTCCCCAGAGGATCGAGAGAATTTTACAATAATACTTGACGATGCCGACGATGACATCTTCATCCAGACAACAAAGCCAATAACTATAATTGAAACAGTAGGTATGACCGTTGCCAGTACGATAGTTAAAGTTTTATTGTTAAGTTCAGGTTGATTCTCCTCTCCTATTGTTGTGTAATTTTCTGAAATTGAAGTCGATACTGGAATTTCAGATGTGTAGGATGTAGTTGCTGGTGTGTTCGTCGATATTGGAAACGTTGTTTTTGTTGCTGATGCTGTTTTTACTGTCGTCTTTACCGTTGTTTGTGATAATGAAGCTGTCCTTGTGGTTGTAGTCTTAACCGTTGTACGTGTCTACAGTGATTTTCAAAAGAATTAGCTTTAAATGAGCGATGCAGACAAGAAGGATGAATATGAATTATTACATAGTATTATAATAGAGTAAGTTATAACTTACGAAAATAGTTGTTGAAGACGTAGTTGACGTTTGCAAGGTAGAAGTCGCTGAACTCCTATCAGGAAAAGTGATACAATTGGTGACCAATAATCAATAGAAGTGCTCCTGTAGATTCTCACCTCGTTATCTCAGTTGTTACTTCTGTTGTGATTGATTTTTCTTCAATAAACTTGTTTCAATTGTTCAACTGTATCTGTAATCAAACTATACATACCACAATCTCCTTGACTGATGGAAAGTTCATCAAAAGCCACAGTTGGTGCATAGCTATCTGTCACAGTCTTTACAACGTCAAAGAATATCTATCAATCATAGCTGATCAGTTTTATTCAAACATGTCTCTAGTATATCCTACGTTATAACCACTTGCTTTCGCATTATATGTCACTTCTTGTTTGATCCATCCATTATATGGACTGCTTGTTACATAGTCAATTGTTTCGTCTTCACCATTTGTTTCAACTTTACGCACTGTAATACTCTTTTGTGTAGCATTAGACATATAATAATAATATATCAAACATTGTTTGTTTACGCCATTTATACCTTTTGATCCAGCTTTTATCTGATATGACTTTATTGCAGTGCTTCCTAGTTTTACTACACCATACCTTCCTGGTGAAAAAAAAGAGCGTTTCAGAATGGATACATTGCAACTAGAAGGGACATGTCATTGTATGTTTACCTATCGTACAGTTACCATAGACATTAGGCGATGTTAAACAAGTACCGGTGTAACAAAAATACATGTCCCATTGATTAGAGCCTATTTGATATGGTAATGAACATCGCTGTCCATTTTCAGTTGGTTTTACTGGAAGGAAAACGAAAATGTTATGTAATCAGATAAGTGATTTTTGTTACATATAGATGTGACGTCAGATATGGGAGCATCTGGTGTTTGTAGATTAAAACTACCTATAGTTGTTTGCGATATCATGGCTCCTGTTACTCCACCGCCTGTAAAACAATGGTCAGTTACTGTTGAATTATCAAAATTACATTGATAAACTATTTGACAATTAACATTCTGCAAGACGATAGTTACTAAAAGACAACATAGTCTGTCCTGTTTTAATAAAGTCATCAGATGAATTCTTACCTATGTAGAAAAGAACAAAACTTGGCTTTTTCATCATTATTTGTTTGAAAAGAAAACAGTCGATCGAACCATACTCACATCAACACATTTAATATACTAACATGTGATAACAGTTCTCTTCCATGTTATCAGAACAGTAGAAAGTGCAGTTCTTTGAATTTTTCTTTTCCATGACTCATTGAAATGAGAGTTATCGTCCACATTTATCAGTGCGGATCTTTTGTTTACTTCATAACTTCAACTAATTCGAGACGTACCTTCACATCAAAAACTAACGATGAACATGAATATTTTAAAGAGAAGGCTTAGCACCTTACATGATCTACTATCTGTAAGCTTTTTCGTTTACATACCTGAATATCAGTCAGTGTTAATGTTAGTGGATAGTGAAAATATGATTTATCCGAGTCTAGATGTTTGAAAACCGCATGGATTCATCAAATTTCGATTTTGTATTGCAAGAACAAATAGAAAAACGTATTATTCCTGGAATAATATCAACCATCAATAGTTTTAGTAATCTATAAAGAAAATGTTAGCGATAACACTTAGTACTTGTTTATCGCTAACTTTTTATTTTTGTGTTCTTTCACCGCATGTCGCTCATGTGGTTCAATTCTACATAAACTTCTTTTTCGCACATATCCTAGCTTTCTGTTATTTTCTGTCCAGCCTATTGACGCCTAGCGGACAAGAGTCTTTGATTAGTATCAGAAAGCTACTAACAGGAAAAATGCTAATCCTGAACGTTTAACTTTATTATCTGTTGCAGTGAAAACTTTCCATTTATGCGAGTCGAATCGTATTTGCGATGGCTTGAGAGTAAAAATGACTTAGTAGATAGTTTCGGTCAAGTATAATGGAGAGGAGAGCCAGACAAAATAGTTGTTCGAAGATTGAAATTTTGACGTCATACACCAATGACAAATCAATATTCTAATATACCTAGAGAATATTTTCTGACATAAACTAATTGAATGTCCCACCGACACATACAAGAATAAAGTGAGCAAAATGCGTATCAAGAAAAATTACTCAGGAATTGACGTTCGCTATCTTTCCGAAACATTGAAACATTAGTCAAGTTCACGTGGATAGCTAGTTAAGAATGCTTTGAGTATATATCAGCATTAATTTAGCGACATAATTAGATTTTCAGACTGGAGGGGCTCAGCCCCGGACATTGTTTGAAGGTAGAATAACTTTCATCTATTTTGTAAGTACGTATAGTGCTTGCTTGGAAATGTTCAGAGTTGCTGATATGGAAGTTGAATTTTCGCCCGTTCTCTGTCGTTTCGATCAGAGACTTTCAAGTGTGCTGGTGTGTTTATCTGCCTGTGATTGATTGTTCTTTTGCTGCCTGTTCATTGAGCGTGATTATATTTTTAAATAAAGTAACGAAAAGAACAGCGACGACGTCAAGCGATTGCAGGGCGAGAGAAACAAAGAACTATGTACTGCATTTTGTTTATAAGACATTGACAGAAGAGTATTCACAAGTTGACTGATTCTCCTCTGGTATTCAACTCATGTCGATATCACTGTTTCACGCACAAGTTAATGATCTATCACGTATGGTAAAAATAGAACAGAGAAAAATTGTTATTTTTCTTCTTTTGAATAATGTTTGTCAAAGTCAATATTCAGATACGAGTGCTTCATTTATGTTTACCGTCGTAAAATCCACTGAGGACAGCTAACCAGAAGTTGAAATCATAACCAAACCCGAAATATTTTCTGAAGGGGCTTAGCCCACTCCAGCCCACCTGGTGGTTACGCCACTATTATTTATTACACTACCATGTGCATTGATGAATTATCGTTTAAATCCAATCTGAACGATTTTGGACTCGAACTGGTTTCAACAAGAAAATACACATGTGAATACATAAATAAATATATTTATTTGTCGTTCGTTTCTCTTCCCCATCACATTTACAATATCAACAAAAAACCTGGTTTCACCGAAACAATGTATCTTTGGAAAACAGACGGAATGATATATATGTTAATAAAACTCTTATTCGAATGTGTAAAGAAAATAGTTCAAAGAAAAAGATTGTGAAATTAATAGTAAGAATAATAATAACAACAACAATTTTCATAATTTCAATTGAATTCAAATAGCAAAAACGAAAATATGATGAAACCGGTGAAAGGAAAAAAATGTAAATATAAATATATTCTCACTGTGATATATGGACGGACGATACGAATAGAATAAATTTGAGTTTTTCATTGGAATGAATGAATTTTATTGGTTATTAACCGGTGTAACGTTTCCAAACGCTGAATCGTTATGTGATGGTGGCGTTGGAGTAGGAGTGTTGTTACTTGAAGCTGTGAATCGTGTGTACATCATTTGAGCAATGCGATTGACTTCTGTTATATCCGGTCGTTGTTCGGGCTCTAAGACAAGACATTTGGAGACGAGAAGACGAAGCTAAAAGTACAAATTCAATCAGTGAAAAACACGAGAATTGCGTCAAGAAATGAACAAACTTCAGATGAGTAGAAATTTGTCGGTAATGGTGTATAATCGAGTGCTTCGATTTTTTGTCGCAATAAAATGAGATTCAAATTTTCACCATAAAACGGAGAGCGAAGAGCAGCCATCTAAAATATCAGTTCACTAGTTCTGTATTTTTGTAACATATTCAAAATTTTACTTCATATAAAATACAACCAAGAGACCAAATATCAGATCGAAAATCATAACCGAGATCATGTTCATGAATGCGCTCTGGAGACATGTAATATCTTTTAAAAAAAGACATGGATTAGATACTTCTCAATGATCAACAGACTCAACTTACGGTGTTCCAACCATTGAGTGTGCTGATGTTGTTTTTGAACCAAAAAATCGACCTAAGCCTAGATCGCCAAGTCGAACAATGCCTTCGGCACTGACAAAAATATTTGCCGGTTTGATATCTATCAGCAAAAGCGAACAACCAAAGACATCGATCGATAGTTCTTCTCTGTTTGCGCCTACCTCGATGCATAATTCTTTTCGAATGCATATGTTCAAGTCCACTACAAATTTGACTAAAAAACTTCCAAATTGTCTTTTCTGGCATTAATTTATTCGTTCGATTGAAATGTTTGATCATTTTAGCTAAATCACCAGCGCTTGCTAATTCCTAAATCACAACGAACATTTAGTTTCCAACCATATTACTTAAAATTATGTCATACCAAAACAATGTACAGATCGTTTTCGTCAACAAAATGGGAAATATATTTGATCACATTGGGATGATTCAGTTGCTAAAAGATCAACGACATAAATCGATTCATAGATAAAAACTGAGAAAACATACTTGCAGAAGAGCAATTTCACGTTTACAATCATCTATTGCTTTGGCATCAGCCATTCGACTTAACTATAGGAAAACATGTCGAAGAAAATCTTTCGCATGTGTCAATGCACTTACTTCAACTTTTTTCAAAGCTACAAATTCACCATTGAAACGATTTCGAGCTGAATAAACTACAGAAAAATGTCCACGGCCGAGTGTTTTCAAAACATCGAAGTTTTTCAATGAACTATATGGATCCGGACCAGTCGGATGTGGCAGTGGGCCGAGAACATTTGTGTGGACACTCATATCTAAAAATTCCAAAACACGATATTTGATTTATTGTTTTTCCATCAACAAAATCTGAATGAGAGAAAATAAGTAGACAAGATTTCGATGTATTTTACTGCAGCGTATCAGTAGATTTGAGAATAAAATGCACTACAATGGCGAATGCAGTAAACAAGATTAAAATCATTATGTTACTAATGAAACTATTAGTACTATTTGTTGTCGAGGTATTGCTTGTTTGGTGATGACCTGAATGATCTAATGAAGAATCTGTTGATGATGTTTTTCGAGCTCGTTCATTCAAAGTTTGTTTTATTTCTTCGGTAATTTCAGGAAACAGTTCACAAAACACGGGATCTTGAATATTAAATGCTAATGAATCATGAGCAAATTTACGTTTTTGAGCATATGTTGTTTCAATGCTTCCATGCGTTGAACTTGTGTCACACATGAAACTTAGAAAACCATTCAATATTGATGAAATTGACCTAGAAAAATACATAATCAATGAGAAACAGAAATTCGATATCGAAATTCAAACCACGCAGGATTCCATGAATCAGGATGATATGCAGTAATTGTTAAACACAAACTTGTATCGGTTTTGAATCGCCCATTCGGTGTCAACATATAGATGTCTAAAGAAAAAATGTCATTTATGTAATTTCATCTGTCGAAGTATAGAACTTACTCGGTGGTTTGAACGGATAATCCAGAGGAAAAACAATCTTTCCTTGATAAATTCCATCTTCGTAAGGTGTATCTTTCGGTCCTCGAATAACGTAGCGCCATTCTAGTAAGTTAGATGATAATGGTTGTGCTGTCAAATAGGAAATTGGATCTTTGAGTAGACGACGATATTCAGCTTGAAGACGCTGAAATGCTGAATTTGATTTCATCGACATATTTCTTTTCTCTTTTCTTGCTAGATTTAGAAAAGAAAGAAACGGAAGTTGCTAACTGAAAAATATATGACGGATAAAGAAAAATACTTTTAACGAGAAATTGTTCTCTCTTCCGTAATTGTTTTCTTCTCTATTTTGATTGAAACTAATCAACGATCTACATGTGTGTGTAGGTTGACGTGACGCAAAGGAGAAAGAGAGAGAGAAAAAAATCTGTTACCATTCGCAAATCAATTCCACCTCCAGAGCTACTCTTCGCGACTCGTCAGAGGTCGCTTGCAATTCTCACGCATAACAATATTTTCATATTCTCCGACTACGAGATATTTTTTTCAAAATAAGCTGAAGAAAAACAATAAAAGAGAAAGTCTTGCTTGGACGAGTCGAGAGTTGCTATGTTAACATTGAATTCATGAAGTGGTGCTGCGAAAACTAAGGTATTTGTTAATGATTCACAGGAACCAAAATTGTTACTAAAAAGAATGGCCATTAGCTGTAACATGTCGTTGGCGACCTTTTTCGCTGGTTGTTCAGTTGCCTTTTCCAATGGCTTATTCCTTGTACCAAGTGGAATCGAAACTGATTGACAAGAAGATCGTACTCGAGATCGCCAAGTTCAATATGAAAATGTTTGAGAATCAGCGCAATTGTCAGACGACTGTCTTGCCAAGCAAACGGCCGACTAATACGTCCATGCTGTCCGTTACCAAACGGCTTCGAAGTTACCTTCAAGAAGGAACTCTTGCGAACAATCTCTGCTTTTGAACGTATCAATCAAAAACTGATGCGGTCGGTTGCTATCGAAGTGTTTTCTTTAATACCGCATCAGTATATTTCAAAAGATACTAAAGAAAAAATGAAAGTAGTTCAAATGTTGTTTCATGTCTCGCGATCAAAAATGTAATAATCTGAAAACGAACATTTTCATCGGATAATTGATAACCTGTATCAGGATCTTGTCCATTAATCATTCGATTAAGTAAATCGTCCGTCCACATGGAATATTTCATCGATGGAAACATCGCGAATAGCTTTTGGCCCAAAGGTCGACATTAGAATTTTATAAGTTAGTTTCCAAGTCAGTTCTGTTGTCTGTGTGCGGCAAACAATCCATCGCCATCAACGTATCGAAGCTCTGGCAAAGGTTGAGTGATGTTTTTTTAAAAGTTTTATTTCGTCGTAAATAAACTTAACAATTTCATGACTGGATACGATCACCAGTTTGTCTCTCGACATGTTCAGTGGGAAGATGAAACCATACAGTTTCTGTAATCGTTGAACGGATCCTAGAAAAACTTTGAATCAATTTCACTGATATTCTCTAACCGAAATAGTCCTTGAGGCTGAGGAATTGGTTTAGCTAGTGTAGTGTAGAATGTGTCGGGTTAGGAACTCTATAATAACGAAAAATAAAAAGAAACAGTGGAACAAATACAGTCAACGTTTTCTTTGACTTCGCTATATTTTGAAAAACGTAAGAATATAACCCGTTCGTTTGTAAATTTTACAATAACAGGAAAACTTTTTCTTGTTTGAACCTATTTTTTAGTTTTGACAAAATAGTAATTGATTTCAAATAATTATTCAGCGTTTATATGCCACGGCAGAGTAATTTTCGCATCTTTGTCATAGTACATACGAATAGCATATACCGACACGCTAAGTCTATCTGTACCATTCTGTTATCAATTTACAAATATAGATACATGAAAGCGGGAAAAGTTATTCTCAACGAAAACAATGGGATTAACCTAACAGTATCCATGTGATGGCAAAATATGTTTCAGTATATGTGATACCAGGACGTGGTATACCGCTGATGGGTACAAATTGAATTTCATCGATATCTTTCCAATCGAGATTGAACACTTGAGAATTATCAAATTGAAGAACGATCGTTTCTGAGTAAAGATCTCGTTTTAATCGTCGGCCGATGATTTTAATATGAAGATTGTCAAGCCATGCTGCAGTTGCTTCAAATGAGACTATTGAAAACATGTCGGCATACTGTCGTTTGGAGCACACCGTCATTGGATTTCCTTTTCCATTGAAAGCAATACATATATGTCCATTTGTATATGCATTTCGCCAACCACTGACGGCATGATTGGCGGTGACCCATTGCTCATGCATATACCATGCATTGATCCACGTCAGACCTTCATAGGAGTCAGACAAAACACCTGAATCTATTTTTCTTTCGATTTCGTACATTTTATCAAAAGTAATCATACGACGAGTTGGACTTTGCACTGACATAAGAAAACAGGTTTGAAGCTATACCAGGAAATTCGATTAGAAACTTACTTTTGAATTGTAAAGTTTTAACTTGTTCCGTGAGGCTATGCATTTGTTCTTCAAGTTGCCGATTTTGACTAACAAGATGACTCAATACTGGTCTCAATTGCTCATAATTACATGTCTGGAGATGTTCACTCAGTTGATCACGTGAACCTGACCATGGACATTTGACATCAAATGCTGAACAAACTATTGTTCCTTTCGGACAGACTTTAACCATATGATCATTGAAATTGCCACGTTGAATTCCGCTCTGCTCGCATTGACAACATTTAACTAACAATCGATCAAGAATATTGAGTACTAAACGAGTCGTAACTGGTTTTAATTCTTTCATTGACAATGTTTGACGACACGAAGGACATGTTGAATATCCTTCGTTTAACCAACGTTCAATACAATCTTGACAATAGCTATGATCACATGGTGTGGTCATTGGACGTTGAAATGGTTCATTACAAATCGTGCATTTATAGTTCTCATCAATTAACGATTCATCCACATACTCATATTGATCGGTTGGCATCTTAAAAAACAGAACAGATCATTGACAAATGCAGAAAAACACCCGGATGCTTCAGCTCGTGCTTTTTTCATGTTAGTTACCTTCTATGTCTTCGATTCTCTTTTGTTCCAAACAACATGTGACAGACACGAAAGATTATTTTTCTTCTTTTCATAGTTACTCAACTACTTACACTAAACAAATACATGTAATCAACGATTCATTCATTTTCATAGAGAACACCGTTCTTTATTCGTTGTTATTGTTGAAAAGTAACATTCAAATTCACTAATTCGTCTCGATATGTCACAACAGGATGTCTCAACTGTCATTGACAATAATCAAAACTTCATTCGAATCGAAAATCTTGATGGAAACGAGTGTTTTTTTGCATATTAGACAGTATACTCATTAGAATATCTTTTAGACATAACATTCCTACTAGCCGAAAGTCGTTAACCGGTCGATCATTTGTCGACTCCGTATAAACATGTTTATTTCTTTTCAATCATTTCTTAGTGAATTTCATTTTTCTCTTTCCCTAAAGTACCGTAACACCCACTTTCTATGCCTTTAGTTTTCCGTTCACCGTCGGAATTTCTAAAAAGAAATTATAATTGCTTTTTTCTTTCAAAATGAGCACGATAACAAGAACAATAACAAGAAAGTCCCATTAACGAGAAGGAAAAAAATCAATCAGAAAATCATCGAAAACTCGTCCGGCATCAGAAAACAACAATTCTTTCCCTTCTAATATTAATCAGAAGAAAATATTAAACGAGCAGATTTCAGAAAACAAGTTTGCTTCAACTGAATCTCCTAAGTCGACGATCGAATAAAGTATGTGACAGACGTATGTTTTTTATTTAAGAAAGACATTCATGCAATGTTTAAAATCTTGTCAAAAAAGGAACAGATAAAATATTTCTCTTTGTTATTAGTAATTTAAAACTATACTAGACAAAAAAAAGACGAAGAAAAATTGAAGCCGATTGAAGAAAAAAACCGATTGTTTGCAGAGTTTTTTTACCAAGAATTTTCTTTATTATATAGTCTTTGTTGTATTACTTTGTGCGTTTTTTCTTCAAGTGACAACTATCAACACTCTCGGAGAGGACGAGTAAGTTTACTCCCGCCTTGAAACACCTTTTCCTAACCCTTTATTGCTCACACGATATTCGAAGATAGTTTACAAGTAAGTACGCGCCCGGTGAGGATATGTGATTAACGAAGGCTTTAGCTTTGGTTTCTAAGAATACGAATGATTCTCGTCCAGGCTTTCATATTTGTTTTCGATCACCGTATTTCGAACTTTCATTTTTTTCCGCGAATCTAGAGAACAGACAAGTAGAAAAATATTTACCTCGTTTCAACATGAAATCCCTCGTAATTCTATGAGAAGTTCTAGTTTTTCTTCCTTATCATGAGTCAATATAAACTCAAAAAAAATGTAAATTTATTGAGGCATACATATATTTGCATATTATTGACTCAGTGAAAAAAGTGCTGTCCAGACTATATAAAGACGAAAGATCAGACATGCCTATAAAACATTCGTCGCAAAATTGGCTTTTTACCTTTGCTCTTCAACCATATAATTTCACTAAATTATGGCAGTTTTACAATGTATACCCAATACGATCCATGTATACGAGGGTAGTTTTACGAAGTCTGAGTTCACGAGTATCGATGCTCAAAGGTATGACGCGATAAAATCTGATAGATTAAACATTGATTGATGTGATATTTTTGTCTAGACTCATAGATATTCATTCACAATCACCATCTGTCCATGTTAAGCCTGAATACCTATATAATTCTGCACAGTCACAATCACTTTCCAATAGTCAATCATTTGATCTCGAAGAAAGTTCTTCTTCGCCATTTAGAGAATCGAATTCGACACGTGATTCGTTATTGTCAACTGTAAGCGAAAAAGTTGTTCTCATGACTGGCGCAGAACAATCAAGTGTGGTTCAACCACTTCTAACTGATCTCTATCAAATATCCATGGCATACGCTTATTGGAAATCAGGCAAACATCAAGAAATGGCAACATTCGATTTATACTTTCGAAAAAATCGTAAGAAAATCAAATTGTTCATCTCTCTCTGTCATCAACACTCGTTTGATTTTAGCGTTCGGAGGTGAATATACACTGTTTGCTGGTTTAGAAGAATGCTTGAAATTCATTCGTGATTATAAATTTCATCCAACGGATATTGAATATCTTCGAGCATCATTGCCAGCATATCTTGAAGCAGAGTTTTTCGATTATTTATCAAAATTAAATATGAATGACATCAAAGTTTACGCCGTTCCAGAAGGTAAACTTGTATATATTGAAGAGAAAATGAAATGAAGGTTTTCTTTTCAAGGCACAGTCGTCTTTCCTCGTTTACCTTTACTACGAGTTGAAGGTCCAGTACTCAAAACTCAATTACTCGAAACAACTTTATTAACATTGATTAATTATGCAAGTTTAGTTGCAACTAATGCTGCTCGATTTCGTTCAGCGATTGGAGCCGATAAAACTTTATTAGAATTCGGTCTACGTCGTGCACAAGGTCCTGATGGTGGCTTAAGTGCATCGAAATATTGCTATTTAGGTGGATTTGATGGTACATCGAATGTACTTGCTGGTAAACTTTATGGCATTCCGATTCGTGGCACACATGCTCATGCATATGTGAATTCATATGAATGTTTGGAAGATCTAAGCGAACGAGAGCTAGCTGATCGTATTACCGGGGAACGTCGACCATTTACTGATTTATGTGTGCAATATTTAAACGAACTTGGTCCTATACTGAAAATTTTGCCTGAAGAAACGCACAAAGGCGAGCTGGCAGCATTTATTTCATATGCAATTGCATTTCCAACAAACTTCCTCGCATTAGTTGATACATATGATGTACTCAAATCTGGTCTACCGAATTTTCTTGCTGTTGCGCGCGCATTACATGAGTGCAACTATCAAGCTGTGGGCTTACGCTTAGATTCAGGTGATTTAGCTTATCTATCGGTAGAAGTTCGAGAAAAATTTCATACCGTTGCTGCCAACTTCAATTTACCGTACATGGGACACTTTAATATCGTTGCTAGTAACGATATCAACGAAGATACATTGGTATCATTAGAGAAACAAGGACATTCTATTGATTCATTCGGTATTGGTACACATTTAGTCACGTGTCAACGACAACCGGCACTAGGATGTGTTTATAAATTAGTTGAAGTAAGATTATTTGTAGATAATGTCGATTCTTTTGAAACTAATCGCTTTTCGCGTTGTAATTTAGCTTGCTAATTCGCCACGTATCAAAATTAGCCAAGCTATTGAAAAGGTCACTATACCTGGTCGCAAGAATCTCTACCGTTTATACGGTCACGATGGTAAAGCATTATGTGATGTTTTAACAAGTATCGATGAGCCTCAACCTCAAGCTGGCACTCGTATGCTTAGTCGACATCCATTTTTAGAACAAAAACGTGCATATGTAACACCATCAGCTGTCAAAAACCTGTATGTTTTGTATTGGGCTGACGGAGAGATTAAAGCGCCTTTACCAACACTGAAAGAAGTTCGAGCTTATGTTCGCGAACAAATTGATCAACTCCGAAAAGATCACATTCGAGATCTAAATCCAACGCCATACAAAGTGTCAGTTACCGATAGTCTATTTCAATTTATGCACAAGCTTTGGATGAAAAGTGTACCAATTGGCGAACTTGATTGATCATTGCTGACGAGACCCTTCTTTTTCTTTCTCTAGATAGTTTTCGATGTTGTCTGTATACATTTTCTTTCTCTTTGTCTTTCTCTATTATGATATTTCTTTCACGCGCAATATTTCTCACCTAGCGTTTTGTTTTGTTGTTGTATTTATCATGCACAAAAAACGAAGACTTAATAAAAGTTTGAATATTAATTCATATCTCTCGTTCGAATACGACGAACAAATATTTTTTGATTCTCATTCACATCATTATTATTTCAATGAACGTGATGCTGAGACGATTAATCATTGTACACTGAAGTTTAAGAGTTGAATTCTTAGACATTTACATTTGATTGACGCATCGGATGTCATAGTATTGTGCTCCTTANATCACATATACTTATGAAGAGAAATTCGAATCTATCCCCTATGTCTACAAGAGAAATGAAATACATACATATATATATAAAAGAGATTAAATGTTCATTTGATCTTGTTGTTTCGTTTTAGAAATGTTACGAAATATTCAAATTTATCAAGAAAGTGATAATACCTTTGATGCAATTATTCTCGATCCGCAAAGAGATCAAATTCTCATTGGAGCAAAGTAAAACCGAAATTTCATTTTTCTTATTTTTAATTACTTCGAAATTCAGACATGTTTACCTATTGACACTTTCTCTCCGTCTCTTTTGTCATATCACACACCGGACTAGCAAGCATGTAAAGAGCACTTTAAAGTAAATTGACGAGTGATGGATGTCAAGCGTACCTGAGAGAAAGAAAGCCGTACTAACGCATCGACCGAGGAGCTAATTATATCCAAAACATACAATTCATTTGTTGACAAAGCAAAAGAAAGGCATCATATAGCGTTTTTTGTATTTGAAATTCTTATCAAAACAGGCTTGATTTAATCAGTATTATTCTTCTTCTTTCTGCAGAAATTCGATTCTTCGCCTTTCGATCAACGATTTTCATTTATTGGAAAAATTCAAATGGGATTCGTCGATGAACGATGTTCAGACTTGTCGAAGTCAAATACAATCACATGTAAATCTCTATTGACTTATTTGCTCGTTTGTTTTCACATTTCATCTTGCATAATTTAGAATCAATGTGAAAATTACGTTCGCGTCTTAGCACTTCGATCTCGTGATCAATTATTATTGACATGTGGAACTAATTCTTATCGACCAATTTGTGCTTGGCGTCGACCAGATTCCTTATCAACAGTAATTCCTCATGATCATTTTCTGTCTGGTGATGGTAAATCACCCTATAACAGTCGATTTCCAAGTGCATACGAACTAATCGAAACAGGTTTGACGCAGAGCAGAAGCAGAACGGAACATTGACGAGATTTGTTTTTTGAAGGTGAATTGTATTCAGCGACGAGTAATGAACCAGTATTTGGTGTTAATGATCCGTTGATACAAAGAAGTTTTACTGAAGGAAAGCAATTACGAACGCAACAACATGATTCAAATTGGTTAAGAAGTACGTTGAAAGTTTTCTCTTTTCGAACATTTTCATAGAAATTACCTTAATGAATGAGCTAAAGAAAGAAACCTTTTTCATTTACTACTAAACAAGGTTAAAGCTTTTCTAACCAAGGTACTCCACTCGATATATGAAGAAGTATTAATTTAATAGAAAGAATAAAATGCCGCAAGTGGTATTAATGCAGCTTGAATACATCTATTGACGAACATTCCGTAAATAATCTCGAAAAGAATTGATATCTTTTACGATGTGATGAAGTTACATTTTATTACTTTAGGCATTTATTTTATAACATGTAACAATACTTATCTAACATCTCTCTTTACCTATCTCACCTTTAGATCCATATTTCATTCGAATATTAAATATTGGCTCGTACGTTTATACATTTTTTCGTGAAGTTGCTCTTGAACATCTATCGTGTGGAACAGTAAGAGTTGTGAGAGTATCTTTTAAGTTAAAAGCTCGCATTTGTACATTAGAGTGTATATTCGCGTGTTGCTCGCGTTTGTAAATATGACGATGGAACAATGAAATTCAGCGATACATTCCGATCATTTTCCAAATTACGTTTGTCATGTTCGAAGAAGTTTGCCGATGAAATCACTTCGTTTGATTATAATGAATTACAATCGATATTCTTCGACCGATCAAGAAATTTCATCTACGGTGCATTCAATTTACCCAAGTAAGAGGGAAGATTTGAAATTCGACGATGTACAACATATGTTTCTTGTTTGTAGAAGTGGCTTAGCTGGATCAGCTATTTGCGTCTATACAGTTGATCAGTTAGAACGTGTTTTTACATCCGCATATTTGACACAGAAAACGAATGAATCATATTGGTTACCTTCGACGTTGAAACAAGATTCTGAAAAGGTTAGTTTTTCGTTTGAATGGATGATAAATGATTATTTCCTTATGCTTTTGTTCAGTGTGAACCGCATCAGTCGAGTGAAATTCCTTTACCATCTGGTCCTGTTCTACGTTCAGGTGTTCTACAATCGTCGTTCGAGGCACTACCATTAGAAAACATTCGTATTGGACAATTATTAATTGATCGCATTAATGACATAACAATCTTCTTTGTTATTACATTAAATGGATTTGAATTAAGAAAATATTCATTAATAAATCATGAATTATGTTTATTAGAACAGATACAATTAAAACCAGCGACGATTCCCGATAATCAATGGAAAATTAATCAAGCAGAATTCCTTTCCGAAAGAGTAATAAACAAATTGTGCTTGATCATTACATTTCTCATCACATTCGATCATTTATTTAGAAGGAAATTGTTCTTACGACAACTGTTTCTGTATTGAAACTTTCCGTTGCGCGATGTGATCGCTTCAATACAAGTAATCTCTGCTTAGCCGCTATGGATCCTTACTGTACATGGGATATCAATCAACAGCAATGTATATTATATACAAAATCATTGTCGACATTTGCATCTTCGTCTCGTACATTGACATGTCCTATTCTTAATACAACAAGTATGTGTTGATGATAACTGTCGTTGTCTTAGGTTTTTCTTCTATTATTTATTTATTCAGTTGATGGCGGTTGGACATCTTGGTCATCATTGTTTGTATGTGAACAAGTAACAGGTGAAAAATGTCAATGTCGTACGAGAACATGTACACAACCGATGCCCCAATTTGGTGGAAAGTCATGTCAAGGTTCGAGTGTTGAAATAACTCGATGTGAAGGTAGAGTAAATAAATAATCGATTGTATACATTAATTAACAATGCTTTTTCTTAGTTCATGGTGGATGGTCGCCATGGAGTGAGTGGAGTTTATGTCCGAAGACATGTGGGAAGACTTTTCGAACAAGAACACGAACGTGTACCAATCCAGAGCCCAGAAATAATGGACGATTATGCATTGGATCCGAACGAGAGGAGGAATCATGTCCGGAAATTATGTGCTCAGGTGAATCAACACGATTAAGTTCTTGGAGTGGTAAGGAAGAATAACAAGGATATAGTAGATTTTTACTCTTTTCTCAATGTTTTCAATAGATTGGGAAACATGCTCAAAATCATGTGGTGGTGGAATACAAAAACGACGAAGAACTTGTGTACTAAATGGAGACAAATGTTCGGAATGTTTGGAAGAAACACGATCATGCAACGAATCGCCTTGTCCAAGTATGTTTAGATAAAAGAAACTATGTTCATATAAATCAATTATTCTTGTAGCACAACAAGTAACACTATGGAGTGATTGGACACAAATAGTAAATCCAACGAGTGAAGGTGTTTACACTGAGAAACGTACGCGTTTTCTCTGTACAATTGGCTCATCATTCGACAAAAATTTACCAGAAATCAGATCAGATTCAGTTGCTTATCGTGTATGCAGCACACATGGAGAGAAGGATTGTCAAGAAACAGGTAACATTTTCTCTTCGATATCGAGAATGTTCTTTCATCTCGGAAAACCTTCATTTTTATAGATTCGCTAGATAATCTTCGTTTCGATAATTGGTCTGCATGGTCTAGTTGGAGTGGTAAGTCATTGATTGGATTCGATTTATATCAATGTTTATCTTACATATATAGATTGTTATCCATCTTGTGGTGTACCTGGCGCTGTGGAAACTCGTCATCGGACATGTTTAGGCAAACGTTGTCTAGGCAATGCTGTCGAAAAACGTGAATGTGTCTCGTGTTCATCATCGTCAAACAACAATTGGTCTTGTTGGACGGATTGGTCCGATTGCTCATTATGCACATCAATCCGATTACGTTCGTTTCAAACTCGTACGCGTACCTGTTTGACAGGTTCGTGTCAAGGCGACTCACGCGAAGAACGTCTCTGTTCCAAATGCCCATCATCGTCATCTAAATCGCTCTCTCTAATCGATTCATTAAACGAAAATCGTTTCACATTGTTACATTTAATCTTAATCAGTCTCATTTCGTTCCTGTTAGCATGTTTTATTATGCTTTGCATATTTGTACTATGTCGTCGTCGATGTCGCCATCGACATTATCGACATCGGCAAGCATCGAATACGTTTCTTCATACGGATGAACGAGACTACTTTCAAGCATCTACATCGAATTCCTCGTCGAGTCCACATACGACCCAAGATTCGGATACGTTCACAACATTGTCAAATACGAACAATCATACGAGTAAATTTCGAAGTTTTGATTCATCTTCATCATCAACAATGACAGGTGGTGTGAGTGCACTTCTTAAAGAAATTCCATCAAGAAAATTGAATATGTATATTAATCCTCGAGAAATGCCGCCCCTACCTCCAGCTGCAACATTGAAACGAACATCGCTGATGTCATCGATGAAGACAAACCTTGACGCCGATGATCTATAGTCATCTCTATCAGAATTATTCTATGAAGAGTCAATGATTTTCTTTTCTTAATATCTATCTGTGATATGTTATTTCTGGCAGGTCCAGCTTATTCGATTGTATACTTGTATTCGTCTGTTGTTCTCTCAGGATGTCATTGTTCTTTTGTACTTTTTTGTTCGTTTTTACGTCGATACTAAAGAGATATAGATGTTTGTATGAATTGAAAATGATTGTCAAATAAACTATCAATATATTTCAAATAACAGATGTTCAATCAGTGCGTGATTATTCAGAACGAGCGATCAAGAAAAACGCCCGAGGATTAGATACTTATAGATGGAAATGATTGAAGAGTCCGAAGATAATGATTGCTTTCCTTCTCCGACGAAACGAATCATCATGCGACGGATTGTACACAACAGAAATCTATGGTAATCCTCATTCGTCTTATTTTCCATCGATAAAATATTCCAATTTCGAGTCAAATTCTATTTTTATATCTTTTAGTCTTTTTCCATTTCACGTCTACACAAGTTTCCAAAAAAGGGCGTAATACTACAGGTTAACGAGTGATGATAAATATTGAAACAATACCTAGCTGGATTGCATCTCGCATTGTTTCTTAACGACTCAATAACTGTCGAGTTGTCCCGATTTGATTTTGCTAATAGAAAAAAAAGAATAATGCGTATTTGTGTAAAATTTCTCTGTTTGTTACAATGCGAGTGACAAAAAAGAAATCCAAACCTTGTCGAATATTTACTTAACAAGAAAAACCATTCCCAAACATTTTACACAAGCATTACTATTCCACTGACAAACAAATAACAAAGTGCGAAATAGGACAACAAAATCGGCAATTAAAACGTCATTTCGTCATTCTCGAGATATTTTTGACAAATGTTGCAAAGTATATAAATCAAGCATGGTAGTTAAAGATTAAGGCAGCAACGGGTCGGATGTGTGTGTGTGTGTGTGTATGTGTACGTATGTTGAGAAGTACTTGTTTTTTTTCTTGCTTACAGAAGCAGTAAAAAAGAAGAGAGAAGGTGGAAAAGAGAATAACATCAAGAATAGGCAATCAAACATTTTCTTAACAAAGGGAGGAGAATCATGTACGAGAACTCGGATGGATTCGCTGCGAATCTCGAAGACGTAAGTTGTGGTAAATCGAATAGAAAGTGTCATATTGAAATTCATCTCTACTTAGCAATCTCGAACATTCTCTCGAGTGAACAGCGTCATTCTTTCTCAACAAGCCAGTCGATTTTCGTTGCCGTTCGATGTGAAAGATTTCGAAAGTATATCTATTCAAGTGCAATGTTCAATTAAATAATTTATCTTTGTTTATCTACAAATAGGAATGACTCCGAGAGTCTATTTGGAAAAATTCTGCAAAGTAAATAACCGTCGGCATGTCTTGTACAAACGTGTTTTTGATAAACACAAAGATAATGAGGGCGAACTACCGTTTAAAGTAAGAATTCGAACAACAACAACAAGTGTTGGAAGTATCAAATTGAGTCTATTTATAGTTCCTTTCTGATGCGCTAGCTGATGCTTATATGCGAACGATCGATATGAATTACATCACGGATGTTATCAATCTGCTTGACTTACCGACAAATACAAAGTTGACACTGTCCGAGTTCGAAGGCATAGCAGCATTTTCCGAACGATATTTCTTCAATATTTTCACGTGAGTATAGCAAAGTGAGGTTTCGCTCGAAAATATCTCGTACTTGTTTATTGCATTAGTCGGCAAGAGAATGCAGAACCACAACTACAAAAAGATGTATTGGAGAAATTGGATTTTGCGTCGATTAATTGGAAATTAATTGGAGTGAACATCTCACCTACACTACGACAAATCTTACGACATATTTGAGCTTCCAGTTTGAACACAAATGAGAAAATAAATTAATGAATATACATACTCGTTGTCATATCGATCTTTTTAATAGATCATTTTTATGCAAATCCGTTGTAATGAAGATAACAAAATCTTCATTCTTGTCAAATAAAACTCATTTGTTTGTCATGCACGAGTTCGAGACTTTTATCAACGAAAATAATATTTGAAAAATGACAAAGAGTATGAAATGCTGAGCGTTTGCTAAAAACACTTCTAAATAAATAGATTCTCGACATGCTGTTTTGTTGATAAAGATGAGAAAAAAGATACGAGTAAGAAAAGATAAATTTCTACAGTGTAAAGACACAGCAGGTAAAAGTCAGTTCTATGCCTTTATGGAAAACGAATAAAATATCTAACATGTCCGATGAACACAATGGCAACCTCAATCTTATTCCAATTTCAACTGTCGATAATCAACACTATCTCCGAATCCTTCTGCAATCGAGTCCTTCAACGATCAGCTTCGAAACAGCGAATATCCCGCGAGATATACTCGATATTCTCAATGAGGTCTATTCGAATCGAAGACACCGTCAATGTATCCATATGAGCTATTTCACCTTGTTATCTATGACGTTAGCTGTGTTTTTTTGGATAGGATATTGGCTGTCGTATACTCGTTGTCACAATATAAAAAACCCCGAATCAAATGCGTTTCTTTGCGATCTTATTATAATATTTGAAGTTCTAACATTTACTCTGATTGGTATTTCACCTGTAATGATTGTAGCAACAGTGTATTTGTGGATAGCTTACTCGTGTTATAATCCATTCGATTCGATTCGAGACAACTTTCTTGGCTTTAAGATCGAAGGCGAACAATGGAAGAAACAACTAGACTATTATTATCAGAAAAAGAAAACACGTTATTTTAATTGTCTGCGATGTAAACAACAAAAAGAATTACATGAACGAGGCCATGGATATATCATTCTTTCACCACATGGGATAGTTATTGATGAATTGCTTATGTTTACTGGTAAGAAGAAGATTATTCGCGATGGAATTGTGTTGGACGACGAGAAAATGTTAAATTTGACTTTTAATCGAACCTGCCAGAGACCCTGGAGAAATCAAATAAGTATTTATCTACCCGAAGATCTAATTAATCGACAAACGATGGAGGAAATAACCGAGTTATTAAAAATTTCAATTAATACCAATGCTCTTCTTCCACCTTGCTTCTAAACGTCTCGATTGAAGTTTTATTATTTTCTAATTCATACATACATTCGTCAAATAAACCACATTGAGAAACATCAAACACTATAGAAATCTGTTATTACCACACAGCTTAACAGACTGATGAATTTTATAGAAGTGGAACGCAGTCTCAGATAGAATTCACACTTCCTGCGTAATCTTTTTAAAACAGCGTCGAACGTCGTCAAAGCATTCACGTTGTTTTATTAAGAAGTACACTTTTAATTCTATGCATCATCATTATTTGATAAGCGGAACCTTTGATGTCAGGTATTCTTCTAATGCAATCCAGAAATTTTATTACCTTCACCCGTTTACTATTATTTCGAGTGCGATCGGGTAAATGTTGCATGTTATCGACGTCGGTAGAACGGTACTTTCAACTATAGAATACTATTTAGAAAGCATTTGACACACTAATAATATCTGTTCTATATTATCACGTTTTTATTATTAGATTTTTTCTCGAAAACAGAATTTTTTCGTTAAGAAAATCACGAAATGTTGTCTGCTAGGCGGAAAGAAACTAATCAATCATTTTAACTATAAATACGTTCTTCTTCATACAAACAGAAACATCTTCAACAAAGACAGGTAGAGATCTGCATCGTTACTAATAAGACACGAATTTTTCTTTGAAGTGTCAAATTAAATCAGACATTATTACTTTTTATAGGTGCAATCACTCTATTTGACAAAAAAAAGCTCTTATTGGACGCGAGTAAGTCTTTATAAATAGCTCATATAGTTTTCTTTTTCGCCAGTAAGTATTTCCTTTCAGTTCTCGTATCACTTATAGTTAGTGAATTGTCTTGTCTTTCTGTTTTCCTTATATTTTCTTTTGCTCAATGTCATTTTTTTACGAGTGGTTAATTGAATCGGTTTTCGCTTTTCTTTCACAATATATTTTTTTTGAGAGAAATAAATAATATCTAAAGTAGAATCAATAGAGCTCTCGTCTACTAATACTTTCTTTTCCCTCTCTCTCTCTCGCTTTTTTCTCGCTCTGTCTTCTTCATTCTTGCATATAACTAGGATAAAATGAAGAAGAAAACACGTCGGAGAACATCGTTCTTGGCATCCAACGTCGTTTAAAGGTCTACTCACGGAAAGATGATCTCATTATATTTTTCCTGCGGCAGCTGATGAATACAAAGTAAGTCATATGTTGATGAAACTAATTTTTCCGTGGGTAGCTTAATTGTCTTTTAAAAAACGACCCTGCTCGTTCATTTCTTTCGCTTTTTATTTTTCATTCTTACATCCGCCATTAACTCATACTTATTTTTGCGCTTTTGGAGTACGTTTCCTACTCATTCGATTCTTCTGTACTATCTGTGTCTAGTTACAATCATGCTTCAACTGTGAACTTGAAAATGGCACGATTTGACAATACAACCAAAGTTACCTATCAGCAGCCTCCGCTTGACTCACCTTACGATGCATATGACGAGAATAAAGATATTATATGGCCTACAGTTGTTGGTATTTTCGTTGCTTTAGCATTAGGCTGGATGATATGTCGCTATAAATGTTCATCGAAAGAACGTTCACCACACATCGTTCGTTGCTGTCCAAAGACTTTATGTAAAAATATTCGACTATGCTGTACATGTGTATTTAGGTACTTTCGATGAAAACATCTAGTGAACTTCGTACTCATCAGTTTATGCTTTAGAATCAAACCAAAACAACAGACACAAACGATACCTGATGCAAGAGTGTCAACTATTCATAAACGAAGGTAAGATAAGAAGAAAGATCATTTTTGGAATAGTTCACTTCGTCTATATTAAAGTACATCTGATACGTTACAAGATATTCCATTTCTGGTTCAGAATTCCTCAACAAATCGATCACCTCAAGCTCGAGTCTCTCAACAATGGCCACCGCCTTTTGTTCTTGATCAATCGCCTTCATTTCCTTTTACAATAACCGTTCAATCACCACCCAAACCAACACAACCAAAACGACATCCATTACGACGCGATTCTGCTCTACCCGGACAGTACAATGAACGACGCGAATCGTCACTGTGGCCATTTAGAACAATTAACGCTGTATTCCATAAGCAAACAAATGAAATTAAAGAAAATGATCTATTTTTCAGTGCATAGCATATCATACATTATACTTTACATTTTACACTTATATATATATATAAAACTTCAAAATTATAATAATAATTGAATAAATGCTGGGTATTTTATAAATAAACACTTCACCACTCGCACAAGTATACATGAGAAATAATGCAAACACGCTGTTTTTACCTTGAGAGTCAAATCATGTGCAAAGACAAATTTCCGAAGGTCAATTGCCTTTTTTCCCCCATAAATTTATTTAATCTCATTTATTAATATAACTATTCTGAAGCTGCCAGAATAAATCACCTATTTTTGTTCATTATTGCACACAAATATGAAGTTCTGTCTATTATGTCTCATGTAAACTTTGGAATATCTATAAAAGACAAAGGCATTGCATAATTAATTTCAAATATAAAGAACAAAAGACTAACAACTTGACGAGATTGTGTAATGATGGAATCCCCATCGTGTAATTAATCGCTACAAATGTGCGATCTATAAGTAAAGAATAACAATTCCACTCTCACTCGAATTACATAATCGCACAGCGGATAAAGGTTAGAAAATACAAAAATCTTCTAATTTGATCTCTCTGTTAGATGCAGCAGAGTGATTTGAAATACGAGAAAGGTTGCTTTCATTCTTGACAGCATACATCAAATCTGTATGATAGTGGTCGCTAGTGTATGATTAAATTGTAAACAAAGATCCCCTGAACGTTTTTCTTTTGAAGATGGATGAGTTTGTTTTCCAAGTTATTGAGAATAAATTCTAATCAACTGTGAAATAAATGAATTTGATTAATAATTGTATTTGCCTCGTACACAACCAATGAAAGTCGAAAGAAAAGTAAATATGGCATTGAAAGGAGAGTGAATATCTCGATCTTGCTTTGCTTTCTATTATTTATTTATTGACATTGAATTTATCTAAATACAAGCCTAGAGAAGTTCAGATTCGATACGAAACAAACATGAACCATGACAAATGATGAACAAGTAAATTGAACTACAACCATTTCTGGTTGCTTTCTCTTCAACGAAAATAAATCATATGGATCTTTTAGCTTCAAATTTGTCTTTACCATCCACATCCCAGTCAAGCTCATCGATACACGCGGCAAATAATTCGAATCACCGACAAAACCACATGTCGAGAAGTTCTAACGCACTATATACCTGAATCGAGCACTGCTCGACTTGTTGAAACGTGTTTAGGATTTGGTAAGAGAATAGATTCGTCTCTATCTGTAGTGAGAAGAGCTGTGGTACAGAAAAAAAGGAAAGAACCCACTGTGAAACAGAATGTGTGGTAAATACTGTTGAATATAATTGCTTATTTAGAACGCGAGATTCCACCGGGTGACTGTTTATTTGACATAATTACACGGAATCAAGCAATTGAAGAATTTAAAATTGTTGTGCGACGTTTGCACGGTATGTTTATGTGATTAACCAATGTGTAAGGAGAACCTCTTCTGATTAACTATCATATTGAATACAATGAGACTAAATCGTAAGAGCTTTTTTCTCTCTTTCTCCTCTTTCGAATGAGTTCCTGTTCTTTTCTTCTTCTTCTTCTTTTTTTTCTTTCTCTTCTCCATTACGATCGTCGCTATCGAACATAAGACCAGTAGCATTAATGCATGTACATATATATATATATATATATATACATATGCATATGCATAAACGAAGTGAGCGAACGAGAAAAGAAATTGATGTGGAGAGAAAATGTTTGACCCTTCTATCGATGTCGTTGGTTGTATGTTCACCTTGTTCTTCTCTTCTTTGAGACAACAACAACAACCATCAACGGCGACGAACAACGATGCGTTCCCCGACACTCAATAATAATAATCATACATCCTCGCACGAGATGAACAACAATAAACAACAACAACAAACGAATGGAAATGGAGTAAAAATCCTTCGTCTTTGCAAAGAACAAAAAGCCCAATCATTTCTCTTCGTTTCTAGTTTGCCATCAGTAGTCTTTCGATGGATTTGTCCTTATCTGAATTACAAGAAATGGCTGCTCGTCAACAGCAACAAATCGAACATAATCAACAGTTGTTGCTTGCACGTGAACAACGTTTAAAATATCTGAAACAACAAGAATTAAAACAACAGCAAACATCACACGATAGTTTACGTCTTAAACGTTTAAAAGAACATATTGAACAGCAGGAATTGAAACACTTACGTTTGAAAACTCTCCAAAATCAAATAAATCAACAACGAAATTCGAATTCAACACTCGGTAAAGATATTTCTGAAAGCTAGCAATCTCAATTTCAAAATAATCACTCGTTTTACTTTTAGCTAACGAATTAGAAATTTTAAAGCAGATTTTTCTCGACAAAGAACATGAATTAACAATTGCTTTGAATAAAGTTGATGAACTAACAAAGCAACTTGATCAGTTGCGAAAAATCAAAATCACCACTAACAAAGAACAATCGCAAAATCGTAATGAATTGGATAAATTGAAGCAAGAATTAATGGTAAAAGTAACTGTGTATTCGCTGCACGGGAAATAACGATCTGTTTTTCTTTAAGATTCGAAACAAATTGAATGAACAGCAAAGTCGGAAAATAGCGTACCAACGAGAAGTTTATGCATCGAAGCAAGCAGAATTGAATCAATTAGATAGACGTATTGATGAACTTCAACAACGATTGAAAAAGAAACGAACATTGACAACAAACCGTTCATCAGCACCAACACCGTCAACAACAGCCACTGCTGTTGTCGAACCATATACATCAACAACGGGTTACCGTACAGCTTTTGATACAGTGCAGGATACATTGAATAATGTGAAAATAGCCGAAATCGAAAAACGAATGGTTCAATTAGCCAATTCATTTAATACAACATCATCGGCATCCCCAACAAGTCTCAACGAGCAAATGAATAGTCCCAAGAAGGTTTGTCACCATTGCTAGTGATTGCGTGTTGAATGTGTTTGTCTGTTCATAGAATAATGGCAATTCATCATTGAATCAACCATCGAAAATAGCGTTTGCTTCGAAAAGTGAAATAGCTGCTACTTATATGGCTCGTTCAACGAATCAATCAACATCGCCTCCATCTTTGAACAAACCTCCTGATATGATTGATACGAATGCAAAATCTGATCAACAATTACCACCAAATCTTCGTTTAAATGATGATATTCTTTCTGTTCATTTCAATACAGTTACATCCAATGTGAAAAAACGTCATTCTCTATCTGATCCAGCCGATTCTTTAATCAAATATCTTTCCTCCAATGTAACGTCAAATAATACAAATACTCTTAATAATAACAACCCGTTACCTCAACCTATTCAAGTTCGAGATGACTCATCAAATCCACTTTTAGCTGATACAAAAATCTCACCTATGCCAAGTTCTGCAGCATATGAAAATCTTATTGATATTCAAACAAGCTTGAATAATAAATTAGATGACGAACAACAGCAGCAGCAGCAACAACAACAACAACAAAAACAACAGCAGCAGCAGCAACAAGGTGAACAACATGTTATGATTGAATCTATTGTGTCGGATTCGGAATCGGAAGGTGAACATTCCGAAGGTGTCGAATCACCTATTTCATCACCAACATCAATTGCCACAACAGTAGCACCATCAAACCTCAATCTCAAACCTTTATTGAAAACTCCGTCAACGCCAAAGAATCTCACTCGACGAGTTATGTTTGACCCACTAGCTTTACTTCTCGACGCTGCTGTTATCGGCGAACTCGATTTGGTTATCAAAGCTGCTAAAGAGGTATGAATGACACAAAAGAAGACCATGTAATAGATTCTATTCATTGTTTCTTTTTACACGTTTCAGGTCGAAAATCCCAGTCAACCAAACGATGAAGGCTTAACAGCATTGCATAACGCTGTATGTGCATCGAATTTCGATTGTGTGAAATTTTTGGTTGAATTTGGTTGTGATATTAACTTTGCTGATAATGACGGATGGACACCATTACATTGTGCAGCGTCGTGTAATAATACTCCAATGGTCCAGTTTTTAGTTGAACATGGCGCTTGTATTTATGCAACAACAATTCGAGATAATGAAACAGCTGCTGAAAAATGCGAAGAAGAAGAGGAAAATTATGCCGCTTGTTCTCAATATCTTCTATGTAAGTCATTTTTCATTTGCATACACACCACGCCTATACAGGGGTGTGTCAGTTGTTCTCTTAAACATTAGTTCTGACTGGTCGTTAACTTTTATTGTCTAGTTGACATATCACATTGAAATTTTTACCTTAGATGTGAATGATAGGTAAAGATCGATGATGATTATGATATGCTCCATTGAAGAGTGAATGTCTCTATTAATAACGATGAAGTCTAGTGAAAAAATGAACTAATGTGCGTTTTGTTTCATTTAGATGTACAAAATGATTTGGGTATTATGAATAATGGTTTAGTGTTTGCATTGTATGAATACGAGCCTAGCAATTCGTTGGATGAAACAATGAACAATGAGCTTGCTTTCAAAGACGGCGATCAGTTAAGAATTTTAAGACGTGGTGATGAAAATGAAAGCGAATGGTGGTGGGCAAAACATGAAGGCAATCAACAGGAAGGATATGTTCCACGGAACTATCTTGGAGTATGTCTTTTCAAACGATTTCATGTGTTTAACATAAATATTTGCTTTTAGTTATACCCAAGAGTACGACCGGGTTCAATGGCATCCACTAGTTGCTAGTACCTTTACTTGCTGTGTTTTTTCTTCTTCTTTATTTCTCAGGATTTTTCTATGTACAAATGATGCTGATGATGATGTGCTCATTTTTTTATCAAAAAATATTAGTTGCGACAAGTATCAAGGTTCTTGATGCATAACTCCTCTTTTTCTTCTCTTCTTACTTTTTTTGCTTGTTGGTTTGTTTGATTGATTTTTTTTACTTTCTCTCCAATCAAAATTTCAATAAAGATAAAAATATTTACGAAACATTGACTTTTCATAATCATATTTATTTCTCTAAGAAATCTTTATAGAGAACAAAACCTACACATAGAAATTCATCATGAGAAGAGAATTAACAATAAAACAAGATGATTTCTGGCGATTAATCAATCGTGAACAGTTTCTTTTGCATTATTTTGATGCTCGACTACGATACCGTCTGCGTACGTATTGCTTTACATATTGTCAAGACCTTTTCTTTTCTTTTTGACCTTCTTTAGCTGCCTTAGATAATGAATGTGTGTATATTCAAGTCAACTGTAGTGAAAAAACCACCGGTGAACACGCAGAGGTGAACTAAATTTTCTCTCTTCGATCAAATCCATTGTTAATTATTGATTCTAGCAATATATTTTATCCTTTCTCGAACCCAAATATACCAAATCGTTATCTTTTCCAGCTAATAACAAACAAGCTTATTGCGATGAACATTTGTTAAATCGTTTAATGAAAGAATATCTCGTTCATATTGAAATTGAAGACAAAGACAATGCTCATAGACTCACATTTCGCTCATCATCATTGACAGTTCTGTTTTTGGCAATAGATGATTTTCGCAAGACAATGTCAAATACACTCGCATCAGATAAGTCGGCTGATATCGATGCTGAATCAGTTTTACAGTCGTTGACAACCAATTTGGAGAGTCAGTTGATGGTCGTCGATCAGCAAGATCAACTCGATGAACAAGAAAAGGCTTCATCGACTCGAAAAACTCATCAAGGAAAGAACAGTACTCCAGGTGACGATGACGACGAAGAAGCATCAGCAGCTGCCCTTCGAGCAAGACAAGAGCCACAATTGAAAATTTTATATCCCGGTGCTGAGTAAGGCTTTTCGTTATTCGAAAGAAAACGAAGAGTTTCGTCCTTTGGATATTTAGAGTATCTACCCGTGATGTTGCTCTAGACGAACTTATCGTCAAAAGCAAGAAAAAGAACACTCAAAATCGTCATAATAACAATCGGCAAGAGACACCAGATGTCAATGACAATGAACTTGTACGTGAAATGCGTCAAAAACTGAAAGGACGAAATTTACGTGATGTTATTATCGATGGAGCGAACATTGGAAGAACGTAAGTTTGCTGATGCAATTCAAACTAATCGACTAATCACTTGTTGCTCATCTTGCCTTTAGATACGGTGATTCAGAATTTTCTGCACATGGAATTCAATTGGCTGTGGATCTTTTTCATTCCTATGGTTATCCAGATTCGAAAATAGTTGTCATTTTACCAGCACATTACTTGTCGAAAGATAAAGATCATGTTTTTCCGAATTTGATCCGTCGAAAAATAGTTCATAAAGCTTTTCAACAGAAGATCGATGATAAAAACAAGCGATTTTATGATGATAGGTAGATAATCGTAAATCAGACTCGAAGTAGAAATGTTACAATTGTCTTTTCTATTAGATTAATTGTTGATATCGCAGTTATGCGCAATGGAGTGATCTTATCAAATGATTTCTATCGGGATTTACTTCAAGATTCAGGTGATGCTGTGCGTAAAGCGATTAGGGAAAGGTAGTCGTCCATCTTTTCCTTTTCCAAAGAAAGAACGTTGATTTGATCTTGTTTTAGACTGTTGTGCTATCGTTTTATTGGCGATAACTTATGTCTGCCGAATCCCGTATCGGAAGGAGGTCCACCATTAGATGTGTTTCTGACGATATGAAGTTTTTATATGCATTCATTTTGTTTATTTATAAATAAAATGTTTTTATACATTCCCCTCAGTGGAATATTTATGTCAGTCATTGAAAACTAGTTTATTTTGCTTCTGATGGTTGAGAAGTTGACTGCACTGAAGATTGACTGGCAAAACTTGCGACAAGCGGAGTAGTAGCATATGTTGTACTAGATGGATACGATAGTGTCGTTGATGCTTGAAGAGAAGCAGGAGTAGATGATTGAATGGGTGGTTGATTGAGGAGTGGAGTCGCAGTTTGAATTAGTGCTTTGGGATTAGATGGAATCGGTGGAATCCTACTAGAAGGTAACATCGTAGTTGGATAAGATAAGGTCGATGAAGTCTGCATTGTAGGAGCAGTAGAATACTGAAGTGGTGGCTGATAAGAAGTCATAATTGGAGTTGGTAGAAGTGAAGTGTTGGAATTTTGAGTTGACATAGAATAAACAGGAGTAGCAGAAGTTTGAGTAGTAACTTGAGGATGTGCCGATAATTGTGAGAGTGGTTGATAGGTTGGAGTGTAGATTATCTGAGGTGGACCTAGATCAGGTAGTTTTCTTCGTACTTTTATACGATTTAGTGGTGAGTTTTTTGAGTGATTAGTGGTATATGTATTAATATTGGACGAAGCTTCAGGGTTAATTGACATTGTTCTATATGGAGTATTGTTTGATGGTATTTGTGAATGAAGATGGTATTGTTCATTATCAAGCTGTTCTTCATCTTCCTGCTCGCCATCGTCACGTGAGTGTAACCGCATTGGCATTGTGGGCGATGTTTTCTCATACCAAGCTTTATCGGGCGTTGGTGTTCGTGGTTTGACCGATACTTTTTCATCGAAATTAACGGATCGATTCATTATTAAAGGTTTTGTTCTCATCATTAATAATGGTTCTGGTCTCTCTCTTCCATAAGGATACGGCTTTTTCAATACACCCTTCACATACGATGGTACTGGCGGCACAGTTATTGTTACCATAGGCACCGGTGATTCTTGACTTGAATATGTCCTATGTGGATACAAGCGTTCGATAGGAATATGGTTGTATGGACTAATAGTCGGAGTGACTTGTGCGCAGCCCATGGAAAAACAAATCAAAGTTATATAAACTTGCGTATGTAAACAACAGAACACGAAAAGTGACTTGTATTCGTTCACCTCGTGGCTAGTAATAATAAAAAATGAACATCAAAGATATGAAATCTTCTAAATATAATTACTGTATACAATATTGACGATTTAGAATATGGATATGTAGTTTGCTAAACAGTACGATAGCATCGTAGAAATTTGAAGGAACGGAAACATGGATACGCAGATGAAAGCATTTCTTTGTCTATAATGTCACGAAAAAATAAAAAGAACATTATTGGATTCCGTAAAAAACAGAACGTGAAATAAATCAGTTTTTTATTTGTTTAATATAATTATTGAAAGGTGGATCATTTCCTTTGATTTCGATTGGATACAAGAAATGAAATGCATTTTTGTATATAACTATGTCCATTCTGACACAATACGACCTGTATATATTGTCTCTTTTCATTCGTTTCGCAAAATTATGAATATTTCAGACAACTGTATCGTCGGATTCCCAAGAAAATTTGCCAACGTGGCATTTCTCTCACGGCTTATGTACAATTTATCTTACCGAATACATAACAGACGTCTCCAATTACAAGAAGAGACAGGTGTTTCATAAACTGAAATTTTATTATATCTTGTTAACAATAATTGGTACAAAGTTTGAAATAATTGTACAAGTGAATTTGTACTCGATAGAATTTATACATCACAACTCGAGCGCCTCAGTAAAGTATCCTGATTTCTATACATGAATATTATCGATAATTTTCCGTCACATATTTATTCGTTCAACTCATCATACGTCATTGCCGATACACAAGCATGTGAGCGATGAAAGTTTACATACTGTGCTTATACAATTGAGAATCATATATTCGTTATTTTGTGTTTAAATAAAGTATATACACTCAGTCATTCATTGCACTGAAGAAATGCGACATCTATTGGTGTTTATAATATTATGAACTTTCAGCTCTATGCACCATAAAACTCTTTTACAACTACTGATCGTTAGATAGAATTAAAAATATTATATTTAGGGGTTGCTCGAATACTTTTCATTCGTCCATGTGCGCACACATCGATGACACTCGATCTGTAAGGAAAAATTCCCTATTGGTTCTTTCAAAATTTCGTGTGTAGTAGTTTGCTATCCGTAACCGATTTTTTCACAATTACTACAAATCACCTTTTACGCTGCGACAGAACAATGTACAACCAGACTAATCTTTCGAATTCTCGTCGATTACCATCTATGAATAGTAAATCTCATTCATCATCTTCAACAACTTTCAAACGTCAATCATCAGGTCATGTTCCATTACTCACAACAAATTCCCGTTCACTATCGAATATTACAAATCTTCCCAAACAATCAAACCCTATGAACCGTATCAATGTCAATACAAACAAGCGTAAAGTCGACGAATATGACAATAACTCGTTCGAATACGATGTTCCCACTAGTAATTATGCTTCTATTCGGAAACCATTACCGTTAGTTCAAACATCAACTGCAAAACGTGTAAAACCAGATCAACCAGCTGCATCAGTATGTTGTGTATATTTCAATTGTGAAAATGACATTGAAAGATTGTTTTCAGAAGAAAAAAACATTACCTGACGATGGATCACTACGAATTATTACCTCAACTGTTCAAGGGATGAAACATTGGACCAATAAGCAACTTCCATATCCCATTCTATTTGAAATCTTTGGTAAACTTGATTCTCAAGTCACAATGTTACCAACGACCAATACTCGACAATTTTCGGTAGTTGATGACAAAGATCGTGTCGAATGTATCTTTGCAGAGATGGATCAATCCTTTTCCAATATTGATCGAGATGTTGAACTTCGGTAGAATGCTAATGACAAAAGTTATTGTTCATCGAATTAAGAAATGTATGTTCTCCATTTAGAATTATTTGTCGACTGGAACGTGGAAGTCAAGTTGCTCATTGTATTGCCATTCGTGTTGCAAACAAAGATGAATGGCATGAACGACGCGCGGTAATCGAACAGTGCGATATTCAAATGAATGAAGATGATATTAATTCAAAAAAGATGAAAAATAATAAGAAGAAATTCTCAAAAAACTAATGTCTTTTTTTTTCTTGTATCTAACTGTTTTATATTTATTTATTTTTATATGAAAGATATATCTATCAGATAGCAAAGAAGAAATGAACTATATATCCTTTTGTTTAGTTTTCTAGATGCCTGAAGATAAAGAAGCACCAGTTTATACTGCCGAGAAGATTCTTCTTAAACGAATACGAAAAGTAAGAAATGAGAAATTATGGATGTTGATCTTGATAGTTGTCTTCTAGGGAAAAGCCGAATACTATATCAAATGGAAAGGATGGGCTTCTAGGTAAGTTTCGTGGGTATTTTTGGATACTTGTAATCGATTATTTTTAGGTGGAACACTTGGGAACCAGAGAAGCATATTCTAGATAAACTACTTATTGCCGACTTCAATGATCGGTAAATTCAACAAAAGGAGAATTCGTTCACCATTTACTTTGGTTTTAGAACTCGGAAACAACAAAAAAGCAAAGCACTTGTCCGTAATAGTGCTACTAAGCGTGTGGCCACAACAAGAACTACTCGTGCGACAAATTCAAAGCGTACGCGTCGTCTCCAAAGTTCATCGTCATCAAACGATTCAACATCAGTTGTACCATCACCCACAACAAACGACGAAGATGATCTTGATCAAACTAATGATGACGATTCGATATCAAAAGAAAAACTGACTAGCAAACAATCTGATGTAAATAAATCTCAATCAGATCGCAAAGATTCATCCAACGAATCCGATCACGACGGTGAAGATGAGAAGGAGTTAGTCGAAAACGAAAAATCGACCATTGACGAATCAATACGTGAATTTCTATGGGACACAAAAAACTTTTCACCTCAAACGAGATCAATCACTGATATAACTGATCAGACTGGTGTAACAGTTTGCATACGTGAGGTCGACGAACTGTCAACATCGGATAATAATAATCGAGGGACACGTTTTTCTGCGCATAGCAATAGTTGTCGCACTGAAAAACATTAGAAATGCATCGTTCGTTTTTGTTTTACCGGTATATTTGCTTTGTTTTATGTGCGAATTTTAATTCTCATTGTATATGTTTTCTACGTGTATTTGTGTGTTGCAAATGTTAATCGACAATAACTATTCTGTAAATTTTTTGTCTGTCTGTCTTTTAGGATGGTAAACTAGAATTTTCCTTTGTCGCTTTTTTAACATAACTCATTTTGTGTGTTCATTACTCAATTCTTTATTAAAATGTCGAAACAATACTCAGATGTTGTCAAATAATCCACTACATAGATAAAACCTCGCTTGTCAAGTGTACTCGTCGAGAAAATCATTGCTATAGATAAAACCGTTGAATTCTGAATCGTTTTAGATGTTTGAAAATCTTCCAAATGAAATTATTCTCCAAATATATTCTTTTCTTGAATTAAATGATATGTATCGATCGTTCTCTCTTCTAAATGCTCGCTTTGATTCTCTACTCTACGATGAATTTATCCCAATATACGCCCGCATCACCCGACAGCTATCTTTTCCATTGGAAAGATTTCTTTCTCGCATAACTTATCTTTCACTAGTCGATTTTCTCCCAAATGATACTCTATCTATACTGGAGCAAAACGCATGGACTCATTTAACTGTTTTGAAAATTGCATCAAGAAGTGAGCTTTACTTGGGCCCGCTGTGCCATGAAATGATTCATCAAATACTTCTCCTACGAAAACTTCGTAGTTGTGAACTCGAGTTAGCACCAACAATTTTTATCCGCGATCCTCATTTACCGGTTTCCACATCAATCAAACATTTAAAATTGAGTATGATTACAATCGATATGTTGTTTTACCTTCTGAAAAATGTACCTGAACTCCGTTCGTTATCCATTTGGCTTAATTCGAACGGTCGAGTATTCGATGTAAACACTTATGATCAAAATTACCGCTGTGAAAATCTAAGAAAACTCACTCTTGGTCTTCATAATGACATTCGCTTTGTCGAAGCTCGATTTCTTTTACTTCGTATGCCAGTATTACATTCGTTGAAACTTGTCGGATCGGTATGGGACGATGAATTCTTGAATGAACACCATTGGATAGTTATCCTCTCCGGTGAACACTCGTTCCCATTATTACGGAAAGTTAATATCGATATTTCTGTACGTTGGGTACAACGATTACCAAACGTTGATACCATTTTATCGCGATTTCAGAAACGAATATTTCGACGCACAAACTTCACTGTAACATATGACCGAAAATTTTGGTTCTATATCAAATGTCTATGGAATGGTTAACTGTAAATCGTTTGACTACAGTAACGAAACTTTGTGGAAGAATAAGAACGCGACGAGTAACATTCTTTTTCGCATGTTGCGTCTTTTGGTATAATTTTTATGTAGTTTTATTTTTACGTTCGCAATCGGTGCGCACGCAGGCCTATTATGTTACGCCAGAACAAGTTATAGTGATCGTCGCTAACGTAATGAGCGAACTTTTTATAAACATTAGATACGCATGATTGATAACATTAGACAGTATACATGTTTTACGAAAAGAGTGCAAGTGTATATGATTCGTAAGATACCTTAAATGTGATTTTGCCGTTATAATAATAGATTTATATTGTGTTAATCTTTTTACAAATAATCTAATCAAATCGATTCAACATATTTCTAGATTAATCAGTATCTGTTCCTGATATTTCTAAGATATATCTTGAATGACTCATGTAAGTAATAAGATTTCTATATGTTTTAAAACATTCGATCTATTCTTCTGATACTCACGTCGTCAGCGAGCTGACTGATTACAATCTTATCTTTCATATGGCTCGATTGTGGTTAGAATTGTTTCGATGTAATATACATGGCGTGATGATATCGGTACACAAATGCGACATATAAATATACGTTTCTCCATTTATTCTAACAGTCTTAGGGATGAGTTTTTTACGTTGATAGGCGTTGAATTGAATTTCAGTTTTAAAATGACGCATAGTAGTCAGAGAAAAAGAAAAAAGAACGTGTTGTTTTCCTTTTCCTCCTCTGCTAATGTCAACATGTTTTTGCAAACAGTTTCTCTTCATACAACACAGCATGACATATCGAGTTGGCTGACGGCAACCAATAACTTGTAATATTTACCGATATTTTATTTTTTTGTACCATAAATACAATCTTTTTTTTTCTAGAATGCCACTAACTAATTCACTGTTGCTCAATGATTTCTTTCACTCGAAAAATAACCTATTCTGTGCTGTCATTTACTAAACAAAAACAGTTATTTTCCTCGGTAAGGGATAGACTAGGAACTATCCAGACATCGAGAAATGTAGCGGTTTGTATTGCTAAACATCGAGGTAAATTATGACACATAAGACAAGTTTTTTGAACTTCAGTATTTCAGATCTAACTATGACTTCATCATCAAGTTTAGTGATATTGAATTCATACTATGATACCGTCGTAGATGATCTTCTTTCATATTATTCGTCACAAACAGCCAATAACAAATACCTACAAATAATTTTATCTCATTTCAAAACTGTGATTGATTATAATGTAAGTGACGGCAAAAAACTTCGCGGAACAGCAGTTATTGATACTGTACGAGCTTTGGCATCGAACTCAACCGATGAATCATTACTGAAACAAGCTGCGGTACTTGGGTGGTGTATCGAATTATTACAAGGCTCATTCCTTGTTGCTGATGATCTCATGGATCATTCACTGACACGACGTGGAAAACCTTGCTGGTATTTAAAGGTCAACGAAAAAGAAACGTCAGTCAATGATTCATTCTACTTGTATTCATGCACTTTTATGTTGTTGAACAAACACTTTCCAACAAATGTCAAATTATTTCATCTATTCAGTGAAATCTTTCAACGAACAGTTATTGGTCAAGGTACCGAGTGAAGCGACCTCTCAACAAACATCTTTTCTTCTTGTTTAGGTCTTGATTTAGAAACTCCAACATTCTTACCTTCAATTGATCTGTACACCGAAGAGCATTATTATTCTGTTGTGACATGGAAGACTGCATATTATACCATTGCATTGCCCATTCTATGTGGTTTATATATAACATCACCTGATCTTGCTGATCATCCTTCATTGAAATCCATTGCTGTTGATATTGGTATTTATTTTCAGGTCCAAGATGACTTTCTTGACTGTTACGGTGATATCAAACAGACCGGTAAAATAGGAACGGATATTCAAGAACAAAAATGTTCTTGGTTAGTTGTTCAAGCGGTGAAGTTGCTCGAGAATAATGATGAGAAACGGCAGATTCTTCGAGAAAACTATGGTCAAAATGATGAGACGAAAGTTCAGTGTGTTAAAGCTATCTATGAAGAGTTGAATTTGAAAGAAGTCTATCGGCAATATGAAGAAACGGCGCGTCAAACGATCTTGCAACGTATCGATGAAGCGAATTTTAATTGTAAACAGCTGGAACAGTTACTGAAACAAGTTTTAGATAGTATTTATGCCAGAAGTAAATAAACTGTGACTTGCATTTGCTTTTTATTTAAACAAACTGTTGCTTTTGAGTTGATAATAAAACTTCCGATAGACGATCAAAGACGAAAAACAAAATTCACTTATTCGATATAATTCCTTCGATGATGACTCATTTCTCTCACCCTCGACAATAAAATCATGTCAACTAGATATATTACATCCATATCGAACAAAACCAAATCTTTCTTTCATTCTTGTTTATTTTTTTCTTCTTCTTCATTGCAACAATACGCACAATGGATTCAAGCAAAATCATGGATGTTAATCGAAATTTCCCAACAACGCCGACATCCGATGAGCTCAAACCACCAATATTCACGCCACGTGAATGTTCTTCATCTAGTGCAGACAGTCATTCGAATATTTACGCTCTTAATCTTACACATATACCTGAAGTTCACACGCCAATTACGGATTTCTCGTTTAACGAACAAAGTCGTCGTGAACGAGAGATCGCTCATCAATCGTCAGTGATTACGCGTGATTCGTTTCGAACGACTTACTCGAGTCTACAAACGATGCTTTCGCAAATGCAACTGAAAGTGGCGGCAGCGTTCCTTCAAGAAACGGAATACTTACAACAACGCGAACAACGTCTTGAACACGAAGAGCGCGCCTTGACTGACCGTCAGAGACAACTAGAAACCATTCGACATGAACGCGAACGCATGGAAGAAGATTTTCTTCAGATAAAAGATCGAATTGATGCCGCTGTTGTACATGTAACGAAGTTTAAGACAGATGGAGTAAATCTACTTTGAATATTCACTGATAAAATAACTTTTCTTTGGAAAATTTTAGAGTGAAATTCTTGAAAACTTATTCACCGAATCTCGCCAAATTGATGAACAACTATCTTATTTAATAGCCGAATCAATGGCGTCACTTGCCCGTTCTCGAACAATTATACATTCGAAAACGAACGAGTTTCATCATAGATCCGATGAGATTCGTTCCGAAATTCAAGATCGATTGGCGCTTATTAATCAAACGGAATCAGCGATCTCGGTTATGTTAGAATTAGTTCATTCACTAAACCAATTGAATATCGAACATTCACAGGATCTTTCAATCGTTAAAACAGACTTCGATCGAAAATATCAAGAATTCCATGACCTATCAGAAACAACAAAGCATCATTGGGATACTAAAAAAGAACTCGAACAAATTTATTTGTTAGAAGATGAGAAAAATCAAGCACAAAAGGATTTATTAGAACAAACATTATTGTTGGAAAATCTCAAGACTATCTTAGGAAAAGCTGTGAGTCCATGATAATCTTCGTTTTTAAACTGTTTATTAACTTTGCTTTCTCTTACATATTTGTTGTATAAACACATTCTTGTCCGTTTATTTGATGAAAAGAAAATATCAGATTCAAACTATCTAGTCATTCATACTAATTCGATTAACATTGCCTTTATTGAGATATGTATAGCACGTCTGTTCTTTACCATGTACAATTGACTTCTATTCAGAGAAGGAAATCAATATTCATTCATTGGGATTCTATTTGTCAAGTGCTTAGCAACGAGTGAGGAGTACATGTAACCTCAATTCTAGTATGATCTTTAACAACAACAACAACAGCTATAGTATATTTGTTGTTGCTCACTAATTGAATTCATTCTAGGATCATCTAATGATGTCAACCTTTACTAGTATCATCTTTTCTCAAGGTTAGAAATCGTGTGGAGCGAACATTATTACATATGAATGAAGTAACGACATGTGCAAATGAGAACAAGTAAACATCATAAGCAGTCAGCTATTTTGTCTGTCTGTTTCTGTTGAAAGTGATAGAGTCTATCGGCCTATCCATCATTCGAAGAGAATGTCAAACACGATCGATTAGAAAGAAGATAAATGTATTCGTTCAAAAAATATCACGATGATACCATTGCATTGAGTTTATTTTTCTCCAGATAAACGTACTTAGATCGTCATTGTATATCAGCGTTATTTCGACGATTTAATAGGAAACATATCTGGCCGTAATGATTAACATTCGAATGAATCAATCGGTTTATCACGTTTCTTTTTCTCTAAAGAGTCTAATGGCAAAATTTATTATTATATTTTATCGACATGTTTGTAATATGGACAAACGCATCATTTGTTATGCTAGACATTTTTCTCTTCCAATAGAGATCAATCTGCCTCTGTAGACTATGTTTGATCTATTCACTTGATTTCTCGTTTTAAAAGCCGAAAAGAATTCACACTGAACTAAAAAATTATTCAGTAAAGATTTCTATCAATTGCATTGGCATTGGAAAATGACGTTCATATCATCATTCAGTCGATATTGACATTTAATAAATAAGACTCGAGATTATCTTTGATCACATATGATCTCTAATCGATCAATCTTGTAGATCGTTTATCTCCTTTCTTCTATAAATAACTTCTTCACCATAGGCTGTCTTTGTGTCTTTTACCTCCCGTGTGCCTTCTCTTTTCTCTTACATGCCTAACGTTAATAATTGCTCAGTACTTGTATAAGTCACTCAAACATGCGCTTTTGTATATGTCTGTTTTTTTATCTTGACAGTATGAACATTTTCATTATTTGAAGAGTGAAAAAAAAAGAATTCAATCTGTTTATTATTTAGAATATCTAGCGACTCAATTATCATTTTGATCAAACACAATCTGCTCAATTATACCAACTATTATGACCTCTCTTGAAATCGATTTTCTACGTTAGAGAAATAAATGTTTGTTTACTTTATTATTGATCAGCCAATCTTTTGATCTCTATGATATTTACGAACAATTAAAATTGCTCATCGCGTCTTTACTCAATGAGTCTACTTAGAACACTTTTATTTCTGTCATTTTGATTATAAAAAGTATTTGAACTCATCATTAAATAACCAAATCATATATGTTAAGTAGAGTAGCCTTGTATCTCAAGAGAGAAAAAGATAACAACTAGCTCACAATTGCAGTTATAACCGTACAATGTAGGAACTCTTCTTTGTTCGTCTTTTTTCTCTCTTGTCAATTTCTATGTATTCATTCTTTTTCTTTTTTGGCACACAACATTTCCCTTTTTCTTCCCTTCTCTCGTACACCATCGTAGTTAGCCATCACGTATTTGTACGTGCAGTAACCTAACAGCTCGCCTTCTTTCTCTTCAACATCTATTTCGCATTGTGAACTTGGACGACGAATAGGAGGAGAAAAGAGAAAAAAAAAACGGAAGCCAGTCGCACAATGAAGTTAATAGTCTACGTGCGTTGGACATTGTATAGCACATACACCCATCCTTCTCGACGTTGTTTTATATCAATGGAGTAAGTATATCAGTAGCGAGAACGTCCTAGTGGTAAAATATTGCAGATAATCTCGTTGTTTTTCTGCTACCTTGTCTGTATATGATAGTGCTGAAAGATAGCAGATGTATATATGTGGGTAATCAGACAAAATAGAAGAATGGCTATCAAGAGACGGCGATAAGCCATTCTCATCCGTTGTTTGCATTGCTTTTCTTGATCTCAATCACAGGACGATGAATCACTTGTTGAAAGGAAATATGAGACTTGTTCGAGAAGATTTCGTTTGTTTTCTATCCGTATGTGTGTCGATGAAAGGAGCTTTTAGGCAGCAGCTTGACCGATGAAAATGTCTTCATTCGATACACCCTGCAGGACATTTACTAATCAAAACATAGTCGTATTTTTCTTTTTCTTATTCTAGATAGATTGTTTTCTTTTGACAAATTACTTCGGTCGCATTACCAATAACTAAGTGAGTAAAATTTAATCAGTTTATTTCGTGATCCATGATTGGCAATAGTTCGATTGATTGGATTTTTTCTTTCTATGTCTATTAATCGTATTGATACAAGAAGAGCAAAGAGTGAGAAGACAAAGCTGGACGCGAATCAGTTCTTTTGTTTGAAAATGGTTCAGTACAATGATGTCTAATTGTACAGAGAACAAGTATCAGTTGTTCACAAGTTTGTTTAGATCATTGATTTGACAAAATGATAGGAACAGAAAAATATGATGACAAATTGCACTTAAAGGAGAGCAAACAATCGGAGAGATATAAATGTGTAACTTTATCTGCAGATTGATATAATTTGATTTTTTTTATAAATAGATCATGCTAGTAAAAGGTCTTGTACTAGTTTCAATCGGTTTATTTGTGGGCATTGGTGCACTAGTTTTGCATCTATTGGCATTGTAAGTTGAATGAGATTAACCTGGTGCAAAAGTGAAAATTTTCTTCTTTGATTAGATGTTCTCCACATTGGAAAATAACAAAACGAGATCTTGATCCAGTCATGGATCCGGTTAGCTACGGACTTTGGGAACGATGTGAATACGTTAATATGACTATAATAAAGCAAGGTGTGGCATTAGGTGTTCGTCCACATGTGAAAATATGTCGACCCAATCATTATATGAGATATTCATCAGAGAAATTTCTTACATGTTATAATATTCGCCGAAATTGTCCAGTTCTTCAAAAGAGTCAAATCCCAGAGGGATGCTCATGTCGTTACTTATCATCGGATAGAGCATTACAATGGTTGGCGGTTTTGGCTGCTGTCTTCATCGTTCTTGGGCTGATTTTACTTTACTTGAAAACCATTGCACAACCATTAAATGGTCTGCTTAGTTTCAAACTCGAAAAATAAGACATTCTTTCCAATTGTATTGTTTAGAAAATGCAGTTGTATTGCTTAGCTATGCACCAGTCGCTTGCTTTTTCTTGGCACTATTGTTAATGGCAACAACTTTAATCTTAATTGGAGCATGTAAGTTGTTGATAATTTTCCCAATGGAAAAGTTCACTTTTCATTTTGCAGTTCTTCGACGCGATACTTACGAAGACTATTCGTTTCCATTAAAAACGGTTTCAAATACTTCAGCTGTATCTATGAATTTTGATTTACACAGTCTTCAGAACTATGCAAAATTCTATCGTAAGATTATTGTCAGATGAAATGATACCATTTGATAGAAATCTTCTTCATTTAGATACAACATTTACTCGCGATAACTTTAAGATTGCTGAAAAAGAATTACGTGACGACGCTCATACACACTATCACACTGTCATAGGTCGAGCAACTATCTTCGAAATATTTGCAACTGTGTTGGTTGTCATTGTTACCGTCGTCACATACATGCTGGCTTCAGCGGAGAGCGCTTAATTTCTACTTACAATAGTCATCTTTTTTGTCTTCATATTGAAGAACATTCACAGATTTTCATTCAGCATTGTTTACTTTCTATTCTTTCGTCTTCTTGGAAAATTTTATAGTCATTGGTGTTTCTAAAGAAGAAACATGGAAAAGTTTTGTAATTGTTGTCAACATCAGTTTTCTTTTCTTGTGAATTTCTACTACATAGTGCCACCTTTTCTTCACTTTCTCTGTTCTTTTCTTTTCCCTTGCTTTTGTCAAACTAAATAAATTTGCACTGAGGTACTCAAGCATATATTTTTTATTTTTCTCAAAGGATCGAGCGGTTTTCTATTCTCTTTCTTTCACATCAAATGAAAAGATCATATTTCACTTAGTATCAAAATTATATACATGGTAAGTGAAACAGTACGTCAATGAAAACGTGAAGTTCAAAATGAGATTGTATATTTTAGGATTATAGTCTATTTGTTCTTGTAGCCAATTTAATTATGTCAGTAGGTTTATCATTAAGTAACGTACCATCGAGAACATCAAGTGGAATGTTATTTCCTCGCAAGCGATTCATTCCATCAGAAGAATCTTTCTATCTGGGTATGAACAAAGCACGAAATCGTTTACGATGTATTAATTCATGTCAAGAAGCATCTTCATGTCAAACAGTAACATATGATCAAATAACACAAGAGTGTTGGCTATTCAGTGAACATATTGCATATGGTTTTGGACGATTAGTTGATGACGATAATAAACATCTGATGACGATTCGTCTGGATAAAGATTCACATGCTATGCAAACAAAATTAAAGGAACAATTATCAGTCACCATATCATCTTTGAAACGAAAACCATCGGACGTGAATGTTTGTGAAAATTGTGAATTATGACTTCTGTTTATTTGATTAAAAGCCGAACATATAGTATTACTGATTATGACCATGGTCTCGTGTTGCAGAAGATATTCGAAGGAGCTGTAGGACTGATCGTCGGAATGATTTTGATGTGAGAAAGTATACATAGAATGTGATACTATAGTTTAAATAGAGAAGAAATGACATCGTAAGAAAATTGATGAATGATTCGATTTTAATTCGATCCGAGCTTTTATTTGGTACTGCGTCATTTGTGTATGTTAAATAAAATGTCATAATGGGATAAGTAAATGTGCAAATAACGCTAACCATCACTTCAGCTAAGATAACTTTTCCTAAAGCTGTTTCGTTTCTCCTCGGCTGAAGCTGATCACGAGCTGGGTGCACACGTGATCTTATTTGTCGTAATCTAATCATCAAAAGTAAACCAAATACGATCATAGCACCCGTAGGAATTGCTCCAAAGCAGATGAAGCTGTAAATACTAAAAATACGTCCATATAAACCATAAACACCGCACCGATCATTTTCAATACTTTCAAAGATTAATAAATGAACGCTAATGATCATCCAAGTCACGACAATGACAGCAATTGAATAACAAGCAATTCGTGGTCGACAATAGTTTCTAACCCATACTTGAGAACTGCAAATGGCATAGCGATCGATACATGCAAAAACGATCGTATATCGAAAACACATTGAAACTGAATGAATAATGTATCCACGAAGACGACAAAGGATCAGTGATGAATTGACTCGATCGATGTGATCCAAGCCATAGACGAGTGGTATTATTGCCCAATTTGTAACTATTAAACCAAATATCGATGTTGCAAGAAGATAAATTGAACAAGAATTTTCACGGCGTCGTCTTTGCAAGAGAATTAGAACAGTTATAATATGACCTAGATTTCCGAATCCAGCAATTGTTGGAAGAACATAACGAGTTATGTAACGTTGAATAAAGACAAGCGTATCTGCAACTGACATATTCAAAAGGTAGAATAACGTTCGAGATATTATGATCGAAGAAGGATTATAAATTGAAACTAATGAGGAGACGAAGTCTTTTTAAAAAGAAAAAAAGAACCTAAGTGAGAATAATACACAGCTATATACTTGCATGATCTATCTCTTGGTATTTCTTCTTTTCAATAAATCTAATTACTGCTAACTAAAGAACATTCTTTTCAATGAAATATGAGTTATTCCGTTCATTGGCATAAGATTAAACCCATATTCGGAAGATTGACATAAGGTTATTTTACTTTTCATTCAAAATCTATCAGTTATATCAAAGATTAATTCGATTCTTTTCCCGTCTTTCCAATTTGTTAATTAAAAGTACAATCCAAGATAGACTTTCAAGCTGCATTCTTCCGACAGCCACTCTGCATGACTTTTTTTAATCAATAGCACACGAAAGGGAAAGTCAGCGCAGAACGCGTCGAAGTCTCATCAGAATTGTTTCACATTAATTGATATTTCGTGTGTTCCATGGAATATTCCAACCACTATTCATTAATCTCCGAATGATTCTATATCTATTTTTCCGAATTAAAGACAATAAATGCTTCACAATCATCAACTTGATGCTAATTTTGCCGAATTGTATGCAATATTCATACAGCGTCAAGTATGGCCAATCAATATGACGCGTGCTTAGGTCAGCTCCATTTTTCAATAAGAATTCAACTGCCCATAGGATATCGTAATGCATCGCTGTTACCAATGGAGTTCCCAATTCTCCATAGACTTCGATGTTAAATTTAAATCGAACGAGTTCATGAGCCAGTTGTTGATTGTTCAGTATGATACACTCGTGAAGGACAGTGTTTGCATTGGCAAATACGATCTCTTCGATCGATGTGTCGGCCGCTAGACATAAATTCTTCAATTGATCATAAGTTCCGCAACGGCAACAATCCTAGGGTACGGCAGACTCGAGAAGTAACTAAAAAAATCGACATTTTCGCATTACTTTCAAAGCTTGTTTGATTACTAACATCTTGTACGGAGATGTTTGCGGTGTCGCCTTGATAAAGTCGTGTAATCGAACGTCATTAACTTGTCGTTGTTGAACATTATCTTTGTCGTGTAGATGAGGTGTACAGAGTACGTAGAAATCTGGTACGTTGATTTCCGACATATTTTCAAGAGAAAATTCTGAACTTCTATCCAAAGATAATGAGGTGTCGAAATCTTTTAGATATGTGTTGATATCTAGAACATGTGACCGAACACAATGGAAATGAGTGTTATGCCTAAAATCTACGTTGTTTATTTTGTCGAAGTGGAGGACGATTCGGAAAACTTTGTTGCGCTCTTTTCGCTGCTTCTGAATATAACTGGAATTGAATTTTCAAACGTCGTTCTAATTTCGTATATACTTTCTCACTGAGTTCATCTAATGATGCTGTGGAAGACGATTTGTCTATTGAGAAGGGTGTATAAGTTATAGATTCCATAATAAATGGCCAAGATTTACTGATGACATCGCCAAGATCGTCATCATTCAGCTTGTTATACGATGATAATGGCTGATCAGCACATCGAACTAAGTCATCGTATTTTTTAGACAGTGTCAATGGTGCCATTGACCGTAAAACAAAGGAGGAAAATCTGTTCTCATTAAATCATTCGTTAAGCGCTCGATTTTTCTTTGTAATGAGCTATTCCTATTGATGTGTATTTAAAAATGAAATAAAATATTGAGTACAAAGTCAACATCTTGATGTTCCTTGTACTAGGACATGAGGAAACAATCGTTGAAAGTAAGCTACAGCATTCGGCAGCATTCTATCATCGGGTTGATAAGTACCAGAACTATTATTAATAAGCAACATTTCACTATTGTCGGACTTTCTCATTTCACCTGCAAATCGAACATCGTGTGAACATCCAGCCAAAATCACATGCTTAGATAGTAATTGACAAGCATATTGATATTTTCCATGTGGAACTTGACTGCAAATTAGACGACCATCTCCCAGTAAGACAAAGTTATAATTTCGATTGGTTGATAGGTCATCAATCAACTGAATTTTATCATTCGGACGAATGACTGCTTGATTTTGCACTTGAGATCGTCGTACGAGATGGACCACTGAATTTGCACTGCAAATTCTATGTTTAATACGATCAGTTAAAGTTGAATATAGGACAGGACGTAAACAGATCGGTAAATAAGTGTTTATATCAATCGATGTTTGACAAATCTCCTTGATAGAATGGTCATTTCCGAAGATTTTTCCTAATCGCTTAGAAACACGAGTAGGCGGGTACACAGATATTGTCATAGGTGGGCCAACTAAAATTCCAAACGATCTATACTGTTCTTTTTTGTTTATAATTTACTGTGCTCACCTGTTGACATATTGTAATGTTTACCACGACGAGGAGGAATTCGAGGTTTTTGACGCCAATTAGTATAATACATTGGTTTAGGCTAATCAAAGAATGATGTATTTATAATAGAATGAGCATTTTATCATAATCATTTACTCTATCGGGACCTGGTACAACAAAATCATCTTTTTTCTCTAAATGATGTTCGATACTCGATTTCGAGTATGCGAAATCATTAGACCAGCACTGTTTCAATACGAATGACGTTATGTAGCTGAAATGAAAATGTTCTTACACAAGTAATCTAGTTTAACTAAGAAGAGACATCATGCCTTTTACATGAATATAAATATTTCGCAAAGATAAGCAGATATGGTCTGGTAGAAAGAAGAAAACAAAAGCCGAGTACATGGTAACCGACAAAATGTCTATAATAATGAAAGTGTCTGGTGTATTGAGTATTAATTTATATTAATTACAGATGACACTTCAAATTGTTGTGTTTTGCTAAACAAAAATACGACGTTTGTATTATTTGCAGAAATGCAGTCTGTGAAAGTTCTGTAATTTTGTCTGAATTATAAACGGCGAAAAACTTTCATGCGCGGGTAAAATGATAAATTGTTTTTTTCGCGTTTACGATTGTTCGATTTGTCTGAAGTTCAATGCAGCTCTTTCTACCCGTTCTTATCACTATTTTCTTGACTTTTTTCCCGCTGGCAACATTTGGATTCTTTTTCCGTAAATCTGAATCGAAGGAAGAAGCCAAACCTTCAAAAGAATGTTGTGTTCTACCAAAAGTTAATGTTGATTGGAGAAAAGCCAATCTTGGGCGGGATTTTTTTCGGCAGTTAACAGTCAATTCAGATGCAAGTGAAGAAACAACATATGACGATATGTGTAGTCTGATTCATTTCCTCTTTCAACAAGCTTCAATGAATAAGAAGCCGGTTACTGTTGTTGACGGTTTTAACGACAGCGTATATATTCCAAGAATATAAAAATTCGAATTATTCATTTAGAATTGTTTATTCTACACGATGCGACAAACCTAGTTTTTAATCGACTGATACAATCCAGAAATATTGAACAATACAAAACGAATTCATATGGACGTAGATTTCTGAAGCTAATAAATCCATTCCAAAGATTAGGTCGAAACACGCATGTTATGAACAATTCCGTAAACAGCTATGCAACCCACGGAATGGATATTCCTGGCTCGTGTATTGCTTGAGAAATAGCACATTTTTCGTTATGAAACAAATTGATTATTTAGGTTTACCAAATGGTTTTGATCGAGTAATTCTTGGTGAACTCCCACCAATTCCTGGTGCATACGAAGGTCAACGCATATTTATCAAGACAGATCGCAGTCTTTTGAAAAATCTGGAAATAAATTCTATGATGGACAATGCGAAAACTTTTACGAAACAACGATTTTGTCGATTCGTTCGAGGAGAATCCAAGTCCGAATGTGTGAAAATTCGAGCGTTTGCCAAAAATAGCGATAAGAAAGTTCTGATCAAATGGATCAAAACTTTATCGAAACTGCCATCGAAATTACAACTCAACCGTCAGTATAGAAAACTAGCAGTTATGCATGGGATCTATGAAATCTACCAACAGGCGAAAAAGTTAGAAGCAGCTGGTGCGAAAAGTGATGTGAAAAAATTTCGAAAGTCATTGACTGAAAAATACGGAGAAGATCATATTCGACTTCGACAAGGTCAAGAAATTATTTTTACAACAGCAGAATTGAAATCGAGTCATCTAACTTGCGAATCAAAGAAAGATAAACGTTGTAAAAAATGATTTGCTTTCTCAACGCCGTACAAAATTTCACATTAGCAGTATTTGTCGACAAAATTGTCATTGTGTTCAACAATGATTGAATGAGTGTTTCTATCGGATGATTTCCTTGCATAAAATAGCGAATCAGATGTTATAACATAATTCTTGTTTGAAGACGATTGAGAGTGACAAGGACCAGATTTTCGTTCTGATTCGTGCATGCATTCGGTTTCTATTGAATGATGATTGCAGCGAGGATTTTGATAAGGGGAAAGTTTCGAATCCGGCATACATCGTGAGGGATCATGGATTATTTGGATGAAAATACGTTCTTGATCAATGTTATCACCAGCAGCGGTATCGTTGATCTGTATTCGTGCATCTTGAAGTTCTTTTCGGACATTGCGAATAAATTCTGCTAGAAATAGTGGATCTTGTGTGTCGACTGACGAAGTGTGGGAAATCTTGTTGATGATGGAGCGTGAATCAATCTGGCTTTGCTCCAAGCATGATTTCAACTGAAAAGCAAGATTTCTAATAGAAGGAATGTTACAATGCGATTTACCTGATTCGAGAGAGATGCTGAAGAATTAGCGAGACCTTTGAGAAATCGAATAAGTTCATCCTACGGAGTGAATAAGCTAATAGTATGTGATAATAGCTCCTTTGCTCACCACTTCTACATTTAAAACTGTGTTCGAATCAAGTACTGAATGGATGGATACGTCTTTTGCCCCTTCTGAGCGAACACTAGATCTCATTTCTTGGTTATTTTCCAGATTCTTATGTGGTAATTCAGATTTGAGAGACGCCATTGAGATTAAACTACTCATGGACGATGCTACAGCTCGCGTGAGAGGAATTGTCATCGATTCGTTGACTTCCTGTACTAATGATGTCGATAAAACATCTATTTATGAAGCAAATGAACCATTTCCCTTTAAAAGAAAACTATTCATTGGAACAATTACTATGATTTGACATAGCTTCATCTAATGAGAACAGCTGATGTTGCTGTTCTATAGAGAGTAGTTGAGATTTGGATGACGAAGACGATCTCTGATATCCTTCAAGGTCATCTTTTGTTGATATTTGATGTGCGAGGACAATCGGTTCAATTAAAGGGAGAATAGTTTTATGTTGATGAGCTAGTTTCATTGACGCCGATGATTCAATTTTTGCTGTCTACCAAAAAGCAACAAGTATCAATCAACTGGTACTCATTTTCATAAATAATATTATTTAGACTCACCGAGTTTGTGATACTTTGTTGACGTCCCTGATTTTCTATCATCAGAATGTTCGCAACAGATTTCCTGAATTTTTCGTGTATTTCATCAAGATTGATCAATTCATTATCCGTTTGATTAGAATATAATGGTGTTATTGGTATTTCGGATCTCTTCGCGTGTGGCTTTATTGGTTTGCCGTAAAATTGTATAAAGTCATGATTTGATTCTAATTTATCGCTCGGCGTTTTCATTAATTGATCAAAATGTGTTAGTCGATAGTTCTGCATCATTTGTAAGCGTTCCTATTAGTTTTATACTAGACAAAAGAGTCGCGTTGGATACGAGAAATTCTCTACCCAATTTCCTGCGCATACAGATTTAAATTTATGAAATAAACATGCGCAAAGTGTGGAGAAATTCTGTCGATTGCCGTACTCTGCAATAATGCAGAAATCTTCTTGAATAACACGAAAATTTTCATGTAACCACATTGAAATGTATTCATTGAGAATATAATTGAACAATGGTTTTTCTAGATGATAAGAAATATGTTCGTCTCTTTTTTTAATAAAATAATAAGAGAGCAAAACCTACTTTGAGGACACTGATGTTGAAGAATATAATCAATCGCTGTCATTGTATAGAGTACAGCATGTTGGACAATAGTGGAATCTTGTGAAAGTTTCACCGATTGTTCATAAGCTATTTTGCAGACACAGCGTAAAAGATATAAAAGATTGTCTATGTGATTCGTTCCATTACGTAATAATGTTCCACGTCGGATTAAGTTCTTGTAAATATTTGCTTTCAATCGGTCTAAGTAATCGTTCACAGAGACAATAAAATCCGAATCTAATTTTGTTTGTTTAATGGAATTATAAATAACTAAATAGAACACTTTATGGTGTCTGCCTATTGGGCAAATGTACCAGGTATGTTTGAGTAAGATTGATCAATGATTCTGTACACATGTTCAATGTTCGGAGAAGGTATGTTTGGTTGAGTTCTGTGGTTAATATCAGAGATTTGCCTATTCAGACCGGTGGGCGTCGATTGTCGAATGTCGGTCGATGATTCTTTCGAAGTATTGATCGATGGATGATTACGGTTTTTTGAGTAATGACTGTTGTACAAGACGACCTTGAGTAGATGGAAGAGGGTGTACAGAAGGCCCGGCTTTGAAAGTAAAAACTGCACAGGAATACTTCAGCACAGATATTTCTCAGTCAGATTTATAATCTTGAAGGGATTATTTATTTTCTGGGATACTATGATGATGAAAACGTTGATAATAAATCTTACCAGACAAGAGTTTCTGTTTGCTGATTCATTTGGTTTCATACGACTTGAATAATCGTGATTATTTTCGGAGAAATACGATTGAACCTTGAGAAATTGTAGATAACATTTGTTCTTGTCTAACATATTGGCATTCAACGTATGTTCAACTGCAATATATAATAATCATTACGAAAGTACCTGATGTAACGAAAAAAAAGAATATTTCACATTTTATTTACGATTGAAAACATTAGCAAATTCCATAGAAACATTTTTCGATTTGTTAATTTCTGTAATCTCAAATTTACTTATTTCATTCAGTATGCCCTATTGTTGTTAAATAGTTACTTTAAAAAATACCACCAAATAGAACGTTGATTTTTCATAAAAGTTAATTCTACTAGCTTTATTAGAGTACTTTGTAAAGTCAACAGTCTTCAAGAAAAAATTCATTCAAATTTCGATAGTAAACTCTTTGATGATTTGTATTCAGACGATAACAAAGTTCACAAAAACGATAATGTTCAATATCTTCTGGCAGGTAAAGAATCTTGTATAATCGACGCCATCGATGATATTCTTCGAATAAAGTTCGATTTCGATCAATTTCAGTTAAATGTTCTGCCAGATCCAATATTGTAAGAAAATCATCGGCAAAAACAAAAGACTTGGGCGGTGCTATTCTTTCTAACGATTGCTTATCACGTGGTCCAAATACAATCGGAATAATACCAAACGCAAGCGAACGCCAAAATTTTTCTGTTATATAATCTCGACAAGACTGAGATTCAAATGCTAAATAAAACTTGTTTCTTGTTAATTCATCACTTTCACATTGAGAATCTCGGGAACATTGACTTGTTGTATTTTGTGAAGCACATTTGCCATACACGCGAGTGAACGGATAGTACGAACGAAATCTTAGGTAAAAGTCAATGCGAGCTCTCGGCTGACAATTACTAACAAACCATATGGCGTATGCTTGTCGTTTCTTAAATTCTTCATCAATATATGAATTGAAGTGTTTAGTTGTTAGTGGTTTATCACGAAAAATAGTTATGCCATACGCACCAATACTAGCTTCTGCATTGAAACGATATGATATAGTCCAATTGAACTGATAGTCTATCGCATGTTTTATAACGCCACCAGGCTCATCATGCCAAAATAACCAGATTTGATCCGGATTACGTTCGATTGACAATTGATCAAAGTGAATATCATGATGATGCATTAGCAGAACATCTGCACTTTTTGACCAATTTCGATCACATGTGTACCTATATAAAGATATAAGTACATCAGCAAACTTTAATATTGTCGGAACTAAACGTCTGTCTGAGCCTATCAATGTGGAGATCAAACTCTGAGCTGTAGAATTAATAAATTTAGTCTCAGATCGGATCAACTATCAATATTTGTCTGATATGATCAATAACTGTGATTAACGTACAATGCGACTGTTTTTACCTGCAATTTTGATATGGGCAATGTTTCCCAAAAATGAAAGTCGGTGTTTTTCCACAAAATTTTGGTTGATTAAACACTGTCGTATACTCAAGAATAAGATAGTCCGATTGATTATGTTTCTTCCAATTTGAAAATCCATTGTCTAACACTATTTTCTGTTTTTTATCTATTGCATCTTGATCTTCCAGTTTCTTCAACGCGTCTTTCCGAACAAAGTAGTCACCTACGGTCCAATTAAACATACACCATGGTGGCGGATAAATACGGTTGTCCAAATAATTCTTGTCGTATCCAATAACATCTTCGTTTCTCCCGTCGAACTTCAATGATATCGAAGGTATGAACCACGTAAATACAACAAAAATTACTAAAAGAATAAGATATAAACGTAGCCGACGAAGACAATTTCTTCGAGGCATTAATAAGTAAACTTCGTTTTTAAACAAATTACGTCAAGTATTACCAGCCAGCAACGAAGAAAATATTGAAGGAATGAAAGCAACTTCCTTTTGTGTTAATGTCGAAAGACAGTGACATTAGACAAATAAGTTTCTTATCTCGTTTTCCTGCAATGTCCTGTTCTTGAACATTACTCAAATTGCTTGCGACGCATATAGAGTAGAACGTAGTAAGAAAGAGACGCTTTTCTCTGTTGATCTTTCTGAGGAAGAGAAAGGAACGCAACACTGAAGAGATGTTTATCTCGGATTTTAGATGGAGAAAAAATCTCTCAGGTAGAAAGATCGATACGAACGATGTCGGCTTTATCAAAGAATCAATGGCAAAATAAAATGTAGTTTCGTGATCGCAATGATCTCTGGCAAAAATATTTTAAATTATATTTCATTGATTTTCCTCTTCCGCTATGCGTCTTGGTTGTAATTACGATCGTAATAGACTTTCTTCGAAAAAATCACGCATATAGAACGAAGAAAAAGATCTGCTAAACGTAGTGAGCGAAACGTGCTTAGAGACAAAGAATTGATTTCTCTTGAGAAAGATTGTTGTCGTAGCAATGATTTACATGAAAACTTTGGTTGCAATACATCGGAAGAATCTTGTTAATTATACTTCTTTGTCGTCTTTCTAAAATTTTATTGTGTCTAAAACAATCACAAACTACAAAAAACTGCTCTGTTGTTGTTTAAATTCTTTTAGAGAAAGAGTAAAAATCAGAAAATGAAGAACTCAGATTAAAACATGACTACTAATCGAAAGACAATAAACACCAAACTATTGGGTAGAATTTGTTCGATGCTAAAGTAAATACTATCCTATTAATGAGTATATGTTGATGCAGTGATATTTCCACCATGACCAGTCCAGTTTGTATGAATGAATTCTCCTGGTTTGTCAAGTAGTTCGTATGTGTGTGCACCGAAGTAATCACGTTGCGCCTACAAGAATTTGAGAGAAAATAGAATTTTTTTCATAATTTTGCTTGTACGCTAGCATAACGCGTAGTTGATGGCTAAAAGTCAAATGACGCATTGTCAACTAATCTCTCTGTCGACTGACGTCACGAAAGGATTTTGAAATAAAAACCAAAAAAAAATACAAACCTGGATGAGATTAGCTGGTAAACGTTTCGCGCGATATCCATCGTAAAATGCAAGTGCTAAAAGTAAACTTCATCATGGCGCAGTTCTTGGAAATGAAAGGTGTTTACCTGTACTGAGACAAGGTATGGGAATTCCATAGACAGTCGCTGTTGCAATAACTTTTCTCCATCCTTGTTGGCATTTGTTAATAGCATCAGTAAAGAAACTGTCCAAAAGAAGATTTTCCAAGGATTCATTTTTGTCATATGCAGATTTGATATTTCCCAAAAATACACTAAAACAGAAAGTAGAACAAAATGGAAAAGTGATTCGCTTTAATGAGATCAAACCTTCGGATGATGCAACCACCGCGCCACATCAATGCAATCGATCCATAATTCAATTTCCATCCATATTGTTTAGCTGCTTCGCGCATTAACATAAAACCTTGTGCATAGGAGATTATTTTTGATGCATATAAAGCTTGGCCAAGATATTCGATAAATTGTTTTTTATCACCGTCAAAACTTTGAACATTAGGTCCTTTCAATTGTGTTGATGCACGGCCACGTTCGTCAATTAATGATGATAAACATCGAGCAAAAACCGATTCACCTAAATTATTTTTTCAATTACAGTTCAGATCCTTATTAATGTTACCTACCGATCAAAGTTACAGGCACACCGTATTCTAACGAAGCAATACCGGTCCATTTGCCTGTACCTTTCTGAAATAGAGGGAAAAGAATGGGTGTGAGTAATGAGGACGAAAATGATTCGTTTAAATACTTGTCCAGCTGAATCACGAATTGAGTCTAGAACATATTTATCATTTTCTTTGAAACGTAAAATGTCAGCTGTTATTTGAATTAAAAATGAATCCAATGTTCCCTTGTTCCATTCATCAAATGTCTAAACGAGATGACAGTGAGAATTGAGAACACGAAACAAATCTTTCAATTCAACATACGTCGGCTATTTCATCATTCGACATCTTTAAAATATCTTTCATAATATTGTAAACTTCGCAGATGAGTTGCATATCACCGTATTCGATGCCATTATGTACCATTTTAACGAAATGACCGGAACCCGATGGGCCAACCTGTTTATTTCATTCAAACAAAGAACATTATTTTAACGGATGTCAGCATTTATTTACCCAGTCACAGCATGGTTGCCCATCAGCTTTAGCAGAAATTTTTTGAAATATTGGTTTAACAGCCTCCCTGAAGAGAAAAATGAATAGTTGCAAGTACATAAAATACTGACATGATTGCTCGCAAAAATCTCACCATGCTTTTTCACTTCCACCGGGCATTAACGACGGACCATGGCGGGCTCCATCTTCACCACCAGACACACCAGTACCAATATAGAGAAAACCCTTCTTTTCTATTTCCTCCGCGCGTCGCTAGAAAGAAATAGAACGTCACAATGACAAATAATTTGGTCATTTAGATTTGTCCTACGACTGAATCTTTGTAAAGTGAATTTCCTCCATCGATAATAATATCTCCTTGTTCCAATAATGGAATCTATTCAATAATCAATAAGATAGGAAGATGTTCAAATAACTTTCCTACCAAAGTTTGAATGAAATCATCGACAGCTTTACCAGCTTGAACTAATAACATCACTCGGCGCGGTTTTTTTAACATCTGAACAAGTTCTTCAATGGAATGTGCACCGAGTATGTTTGTACCTTTAGCTTCATTATTTAAGAAATTGTCAACTTTGGATACAGTTCGATTGAAACATGCAACCTAGAACGATTCACCCTCGATTACAATGATCAAGATAAAAATCAATACTTAACTGTAAAACCATTGTCATTCATGTTCAAGATAAGATTTTGACCCATGACAGCCAAACCTATTAAACCGATATCGGCTCTAAAACAGATGAATTTCATTACTTAGTTTTGATCTTAATTAATTATCTATTTACTTTTCTTTGTTATTTTCAGCCATGACTGTAAATAGTTCTTCTAATTCAAATGATAAATCTACAATAAAATGCGTTTAAGTACAACTTGTTTGAGAAACAAATCTGCATATCATTGTTGACGAAGCATTTAGTACAAATGATTCATACAGGTTACAACCCAATAGTTTTTGAATAGTAAGGATAAGCGATATTCAGCGTGGCTAACCAATAGAAACAGTCCATGTATTTTATTTATTTAATCTATCAATTGACTGAAACGAAAAGCTTTATGAAATTGTTGTGCCTCGATCGATATCATCGGACATTAGATGTCACTATTGTCAATTTGCAAATTGTTGAAACAAGACGCTGCAATGCGTGGCAAAACGTAGGAAGACTTGATTTTCGAACACACGAAAGAAAATTCTTTTTACTGATTCTTCTCGAAAAAAGAAAAACACGTCACTTTTGTCAATGAATCTATGTTCGTTTTTATACAATTATCGGAGGAAAACTTCTTGGTTCGAATCGGATTATTCGGATCTGAGAGAGCAGTTTGCATCTTATTCTCTCCTGTCTTTTGCACAGATCGATTTCGAATTTAAATGAGAAAATGAAGGTTTTGAAGTGTAATCATTTATATTTTATTCCATGGAGATATTATAGATAAATAGATAGATAGAAAAATATTAACACACAGATTTAAGCGGTAATTTACAATAGAGGAGTATAAAATGTGTGAACCACTTCGTCGTGTTGTATATATGCCAACACCCACATAACCGATGATCGTCCGATGTTCGTCCCGAAATTTTCATTGGATATTACATATATACATACTATTGAGAAAAGATTGAATAGTTTAACAATTCGAAATCATTGGTGTCGGAAACACTTACTTGTCTACTGTTGCCAGCAAACAATTTAACGGCCCCAGAGACCGCCATAGTATGGCCAGCCTAAACCGTAACCGTAACCATATGAGTATCTAGATAAAGAAGGAAAGCATGCATAGATGTTTGAATGCATCAATTCAAATAAAATACGTACGGCCAGCCTAAAGAAGAAAAACAGATGATTTAGAAAAAGTAATGGATATTTATTTCGTTTAACATACCATATCCCCAACCTAAACCGTACCAGGCTTCTGAGACTGAAGCGAGGACAGCGAGGACCAAGGCAACGATGAGTAATAATTGGGCAAACATTGTGCTTGAAATCTATTAGAAAAGAATTCTTTAATGAAAGAGATTCAAATAAGAAACTTGTTTTACTTACTTGATTTGAAGTAGGTAAATTGTATGAAGAACGTACGAAGTGATATGAAAAATCAGTGAATTTCACTCGCTTTTTATAGTCTGGGTGGGTCTACCTCGATCGATAGATCGTGATTACGAAGATGAATATATGTGATATCATCATCCCTCGATCGCTTCTTTCGTCTGTGAAAAGTAAACAAAGTACAAAGGCAGAATATGCATCGTCATCATTATATCAGCCAAATTCTCTTTTCTTTTCTCTATCGAACAATAGCATCGATATCGTCTAGGTAAAATTAATTTAATTCGATGAGGTTATTCAAGGGCAATTGAGAAAGCACGATGATTTTCCTTGCGGTGGATGAAATCGTCACGCCCTCGCGAACAAACTCCCGCTTTTCATTCTTCTTATTTTTATAGTTTTCACTTTAATTTCATCGGACTTTTTCGCTTATACATGAATAATTATTGTTTCTTAAATGAGAAGTCATTAATTCCTGTTCATAAATGGTTATTCGAAGCAGGCGATGGTTCATCAGCATCTTTTCGTCATCATACACTGAAATCGCGCGGAAATAGAATCATTAAAAGAAAAAAGTCTCGGTCACTATCATCAGCAATGACAGATTGGTTCTATGCATTTATCAAGAATATTTTCACAGTTCACGATGCATATCCGCTGCAAAATATGACTGACTATACGGCTGTCTCGATTATCGGTGAACCATTGAGTCAAAATAATATATCCTCAGCACGAATGATCACTACTGTTGCCAGTAGTTCGAATCTGAACTTAGTTCATCCATCGAAATCTACGCAAACAAATAACAACGAGCAACAACTAATAATAGGGCCAAATTATTGCTTTTCGACGATGGATGGACGAATAGTACCACTCTTACTAAGATCTCCATCGTCATTACTTTTAAATCACCGTAAATTAAAGATCTGATTTGCCATGCTTTTTGAATATTTCATTTACTAAATAGATCATCCCTCTGTTTCACTTTATCATCATCAAGCAAAGCATTCATTTCAACATTCTTCATCTGATAGTATCTTTGCAGAAAACACTTGCCATTTAATTAAACAGGCATGGCTTTCATGAACAAGAGCACATCGTAAACAGTTTAATGACTATTCATTTTCTTTGCCTTTCTTTTTGTGCATGTGTACTAAGCAGCGCAAGTCTTTGTCGAACAATATTATCAGACGAACAAAAGACATGATTAACGTCATGACTTCGTGTTTAGATATTCGATCTCGATGTTTTCGTCTAGAAGTTCATAGATAGCTCGATTTCTCGTGTACAGAGTTCATAAGGTACCAATAGGTCTAGGCCACGCGTTTGAATATACACGAAAAAGCAAAAAGACGCGATGAGGTCATCACACATTCATGCTGAATAGACATCTTTATTTTTTGGCTTTTCATCTGACCTTAATTAGTTACTTACTTAAATATATATTTCACGTTCTTGAAAAATTCTCAGAATTCATTCGTAAAAGGTTATTTTTATTAATAATGAAAGTTGATCTAGACAATGTTTTCGAATATACATGAAAACGAAAAGAAAACATTGAATCTGTAACCACCAGGTTAGAAATTACGGTAAATAATATATCACTGCTTATATATACGAGACGTAAAAGAGAAAATAAAACGAAAATGATTTTATTCATCCCAATTATTATTTCCACTTTCGATTTCTTGATTGTCTTCGTGATCATGTTGCATTATCCCAAATTTATTGGAAAATGACAATGTTGCATCTGTAGATTTCTTCTCTTCTTTATATTTTTCAGGATTAAGGTTGAACATTGTTTCTAATTGCGTCATTAACTGTACTGTTTGAAATTTTGGTATCATATCTTTGAAAAAATCTTCAGATTCTTGATTGTCTAATGCTTCGTCGTTCCTTGATTTATTTGTCGATCGAACAACTGGTGGAATTTCATATTCACTACCTAACGGTGCATTGGGATTCCATTTTGGTTTTGAAATATTATTTAATTTCAGAGATTTCGATGATGATGGCAAAATAGTTGTGACAGATTGTTTTGGTTCTTCGGGCAGAAATACATCAGGCAATTCCGGTGGATCAGGATTATGCTCCCAATCAGACCATTGACCATCGTCATCGTCATCGTTACGCTCGATTTCCGATTCATGATTAGAGTTAAAAACTCCGTTTTGAACTATGGCGACAGGCGGTTCTACATTGGAGATATTTGTTGGTACATGATATCCATTGGTGTGTTCTGACGGTGTAATAGCTGATAGTGTTTTGACAGGAGCGGATGATGGTTTTGTTTGTTGTGGAGTATGAGTAGAAAGAGATTCCACTTGTGAAGCACTATAAAAATGAAGCATTTTTTTGATGATGGACAGAGTTATTGCTGTTTGATGAACTTACTTGATTTTCGTGGTTGAACTCGGACTAGATTTTCTAATTTTATGTAAAGATGTTGGAGTAGCTACTGGCGAATTTTTAACAGATGCTGCGGCAGCGGTCGCAGCTGCTGCTGCTTTCGCCAGTTTAGGCGAAGAAACGTTCTAAAATTTTGGCGCAAACCATCTTGAGTGTCACTCAAAAAGGACAACAAACCTCCTTTTTGATTTTATCTGTAAATATCTGTTTTCGTTGTCCACCAACAACTATGTCACCACCTAAGACGGGTACCATTGCTGCTAGTGCCAATAATGTTAATGTACATATAGAATTACTAGAATCTTTCAATCCATACACAAGCTACAACAAAGAAAGACGAATTTTTCCAGATATCAATCTCCATTCGATTCGAATTTTACTTGTGGAAGTATAATGTTTATCAAAGTAGTTCTATCGATCAATTGCCAATAGGAATTATAATATTCAAGTAATGTTTCTCGTATACATGTAACATGATAAGAAAATAGATCGACGATTAGTGGAATAACATAAGTTCGATATTTGTCTACAGGTATCCATGACTCCGAGTTCGCATTATCTTCTTTAGGAATCAGAATCCTCGGAATGATTTTCGATCTGGTTGAAGAACATAAAAACATAAATGGAACAAATAAGCGACGAATTAATAATTCATTGAAATAAGCAGAATTAAGATTATCAAGATAAGTTGATAGAGACCTGTAAGAAATGATTAGAGAAAGGACTGTTGAATATTTTCGTGAATTTATCAATTATACTCGACGACAGCATCAAGATCTGACGTTTCGACAGTTGGTAATCGATCAAGAACTTCCGTTGTTTTGATATAATCAATCCTATTAGGAAAATTTTCGTTCAATTTGCCGATGTTTCGAAAACAATAACTCACTGGAATAGTTGCGTCTGAAGAAGCGCTGACCATTTTGGACGTGATTGCGAATCTTCATCCGTAAGAGATATTTGCAGATTATCAAGAAGATTTTTCAATGCATCTAGACATGATCATAATGAATCTTGGCTTTCATACTAAAGAGAATCCTACCATCGACATTAACAATTGTCATCAGATGTCGAATCAATGTTCCGAATCCATATATATCTATGGCATATATATCTTTCTTAGTTATTTCCGTTGAACTCTAAAATTATTTTAAGGTTTGAATTTGAACGCGCAATATAAAATGCCGACCTTTTCATCTTCTTCAGGTGTTATACACTCTTCCCATCGGATAAGTTTCAATGATGACAAATATTTCTTGTTCAAATTATCATATCGACAGGCACATTCAAAATTTCCTAATTTCCAAATGCCATTCAAAGAAATATAAAGTGATGAGAGGCACACATTATTATGACTGATACGAGCCTGATTGAATATAAAAACATGACAACGATTAGAAATTATTGTAAATTTCGTCGTTTACTTTTTCATGAAGGAATTCTAATGCTTGAGATAAATGATAAAGACCCAAGCATAGTTTAGCTGTTGAATCAATATCCTGATTAGTTAATTTATTTGCTAACGGATGTACGCAATCCGCAATAAAGCTATCTTGGTCAACAAATGTTTTAAAACCATTGAAAAACTTGATAATATTCGGATGGCGTATTGTTTTAAGAAACTAAACAGATAAAAAGTCTCAATGATAGAAACACAATTCAATTTTACCTGAATTGATCGTCGACATTCAACTGAAAATGTTTGTTTTGCCACGAAGATTGATATTGCTTCTGACCGTTCATTAGTACCATTGTACAGCTGCCAACAAGCAGCATCATCTAACGGTATCAATGTTCGTGCTGTCGTCGAAGAGAGATCATTTCCCATGGTAAAATCAATGTGCAATTCGAATAATAATACAATCGCGAGGAAAAAACAGAACAAAGTTTCTAATTGGATGGTACGAATCACCTATGCAATGAACGTCACCATAGAAGTTTATTGGTATGAAAAACAAGCCAATTGAAATAAAGTTAAGATAATCTATCTATCGAAAAAAGAGAACGGTAAACAATAAAAGACAACAAGATTTGATTGTAAGATGAGATTAGATTAAATTTCCTTGTTTTGTTTTCCAAATCATGTGTCGATCATGTTCTGTGATACAAAAACTATCGTGCTTTTAATATCATTCTTTATTACTTCTGCATATTCAAATGAAGGGCAGTTTTCCAAGCAAAAACAGTTATATTACAAGTAATTGAGTGAATTTCGATTTGAATAAAGCTTTTCTTCTGTTCATTAGAAGTCGTGTCAAACAGATGTTCTACCATGCGTATGATTCTTATTTGAAATTTGCCTATCCATATGACGAACTACGACCATTGACGTGTGACGGGTAAAAGAGACGTTCAGTATACGATTTTGTCTTGTTTTAATGAAAGTTCTTTATTCAATTTTTAGATATGATACATGGGGAAGGTAAGTCAGATAGAAGGAAATGAATACTTGAGGAATTTTTAATTTAAAATTTCATAGTTACTCGTTATCGCTCGTGGATGCTATTGACACATTAGCCACTCTTGGAAATAATACGGAATTCGCTCGAGTTTATACACTTATTCAAAATTTAGACATCGAACGTGATATAAATGTTAGTGTCTTTGAAACAAACATTCGAGGTAACGTTTCTCAACTATATTCACGAACTAAACTTCTTATATTAATATTTAAGTTATCGGTGGTTTACTTTCTGCTCATCTTCTTGCCAAACGTATGAATGTGCCTGTGAACGCTACTTGGCCGTGTACAGGACCGCTACTTGATCTGGCTGTAGCTCTCGCTAACAAAGTTTTACCTGGTAAGAGCAAAAAACTTTTGCAATTTCATTTCTATCGGTTTTGCTTTCGTTTGTAGCGTTTGATACTGCAACAGGTAACTATGACTCTGTCGTTGGTTGCAATGAAATAGTTTCGTCTGTTAAAGGTATTCCATATGGTACGGTAAATTTAGTTTGGGGTGTGCCAGTAGATGAAACAAATATAACGTGTACTGCTGGTGGTGGAACATTCTTAATTGAATTCGGAACCCTATCTCGTCTTACCGGTGATCCTGTTTATGAACGCGTGGCATTGCGTGCTTTAAAAAGTCTTTGGTCAAAACGTTCAGCGATTAATCTCGTAAGAATAAAAGTAGTTTCATTCCTGACAAGATCTCTTCAATTTAATTCAGGTTGGCAATCATATCAACATTCAAACAGGTGCTTGGACAGCAAATGATTGTACAATTGGTTCCGGTGTGGATTCATATTTTGAATATTTAGTTAAAGGTGCAATCTTACTTCGACAACCAGACTTAATGGATATGATGAGCGGTAAAATTCTAATAACAAACGGTTCAATATGAAGAGAATCTGTTGTTTTAGTATATATCAAAGCTATTGATAAACATTTGAGTGATGGATCAGGATGGTTTGTTTTTGCTAATTATGAACAAGGTCGAAAGACGATGCCATTGTTTGCATCACTGGATGCTTTTTATCCAGGTTTGTTGGTGAGATATATTCATATATAAATATTTACGTATTTCATTTCTGTAAGCATGTGTTCGTTCTCTTGCTCTATATATGTATACGTATGTGAAGGTTAAGAGTTGTCTCAATTGCTTCCCTAGTGTTAAAATTGAAAAATTCGATGGGTCTAATTGGTTGCTTCTATTTCTCTCTGTTTGATACCTTTAGACTCTGGTCGGTGAACTTGATCGAGCGCGTGAAACTTTATACGCTTATCATACAATGTGGAGAAAATTTGGCTCTATGCCAGAGTTCTACAATCTCGTTCAGCAAGACTGTATGCAAGGAAGAGAAGCATATCCTTTACGACCAGGTAAAGAAAAAGCCACTTACGTTATAAAACATATCCATCAAATCGGTCGATTACTTTTAGAACATATCGAATCTATTATGTACTTGTATAAGGCGACTAAAGATGATACACTCCTGTTCATGGCTGCTGATATATTCGATGCAATTGAATCGTGCTGCAAAACTTCCTGTGGTTATACATCGGTAATAATTTGCTAATTTCTATGGAATATACTACATAGCGATCTGTTTCAGTTGAAAAATGTCAAAGATCATCAATTGGATAACCGCATGGAATCGTTTTTTCTTGCTGAGACAATCAAATATCTTTATTTGATATTTGATGAAGAAAATTTTCTACATTCGAATGGAGAATATGCAACAGAACACTACACTTCATCAGGTAAGTATCCCAATGTTCAAGCTAACACTAAATTTTTTCAAATAGGCTCCTGTTTTCTTGAAACAAGTTTTGTTTACAATACTGAAGCACATCCGATTGATATTGGTGCACTCGATTGTTGTACACCCTCATTTATCAAAGAGAAAACGTCCGCGAAAGTAGATGAAAACACTTTGGTAATACAGGAAATTGAAATATTAAGATGTTAACATAATCTGAAATGATTTTAGACCAAAGAACAGATGAGATGGTTGAGAGACTCCCTGTTAAATGAAGAATTAAATGGGGCAATAAAGAAAAATTTCAGTACATTGACATGCTCGGCATTGGCATACGAACAGCGTTTTTCTATTTATGGTGAAATTCTGACGTGAATTTTCTTTTCATTGTTTTTTTTCGATGTTGTCTTTGTGTTTTGGGTTCGGGAAATGTTCAGGAAAAGAAAATGAAGATAGTAATCATCCTAAGCAAAGATAAAGAAAATTGTTGTTTTTGTTTTCTTTTTCAGATTTATTCGCTTGTTTTTCATTATGGTTTGGGAATTTATTAAACGACATCGTCGAAAACTCTATATCATATCATTACTTGCTGGAGGTGAGTTCAATTTGAAAATTTGTTGCTTTTCTCGAATGTTGAATTCAGGTGGATATGCAGCTGCACGTTTTCTTAACAGAAAACTATCAACTATGCTCAATGAGCAAGATAAAATGCTATCCGAGTGGAAGAAACAGTTATATTATGAGCATAACCGTGATACAAGCTTAAGAACAAGTGAGTGACATTGATCTTTTCGATTGAAAGTATCTTGTTATGATGTTTAGGTACTGACATATTCGCACAAGTCGTACTCAATATAAATCGTTCATTTCAATGTGAAAGTATTCTCGCTAAATTACCAACAATAACTGAGTAAGGTTAATACGTTGATGCTAATGATTGTTATTTATTGATTTTGTGATTAGTTCAACACAAAAACGCGAATTATGGGAGCAACTGCGAACAGAATGTAAATAGATTAGAAACTGAACTTTCTCAAATGAGCTTTCGTTGTTAATAGGCTTTGCACGTCTGTTCACATTAGCTTATAGTTCAAGTTTTGTTTTGGCTTTAACTGAATTAGTAGTTAGTGCTTTGAGTGGTCGACTTTATTCTCAATCACAAATTCAACAGTCATTACCTTCTTCAACAACAGCACCAGGAGGTGTATCTGCGACAAGCAAATCAGCTCATGCTGAGGTAAAACTTTCTATAGTATTCATAAGTTTTATTCAAGAATTTCTCTTCAGTCAACACAAAGTCAAAATTCTTTACTGTCACGAGAAATTCAATTGGCATGTCTTGATGTTATTCGTTATACGACCGAAGCAGGCATGAACTGTTTAATTGATGATATTCGAAAAGCGACACAATCAATTCTTTCACGGTAAACAACATATTCTCCGTCGACTGCCTTTCATCTCGATTTTCATAGCATTCCGTTGTCTCAAATGCTTGATATCAATGATATTATGTGGTATTGCAGTGAAGTTCGTCATCAAATCGAGAAAAAGCGTTATCAAACAACTCCAAATCATTATCCGTTACTAAAATATGTTCGTTCAAATGCATTTCCAGCCCGGCCAAATCAACCAGCAACAACAACATCATCATCAGCTTATTCCATGTCAAATATCCTTTCGACAGTAATCGGACTGCTTTTAATATGTAATGAGATCGAATGAACTGGATATTTTCTCTAGACAAGTTCGTTATTTACAACACGTACGCATTCACCACCGTCAGTTTTCAATGTTCAACAACAATTCGAAATAGAATGTATCGAAATGATTGAAAGGTTTGATTGAATATTTCGATGAGTTGTCAAAAGTTCTCTAGTTTGATTCTTCTAGTGAAACGTTTCAACGTGTCTTAATCCAAATTATCGATCAAAGTTTCTCAAACATATACGATGAATTCGCTCGAGAGATGGTTAAACCATCAATGACAAATTCCTCCGCAGACGATAAATCGTAATTAGCGAGATGAGAATAATAAAACACTAGATGAATCTTGCATCTGTCTTTAGAGCTAATTCAACTATTATCGTCGATTCGCAACTACCATTGGCCAAGATCGTACCGATGAGTAATAATATCTATTCAAAATTATCCAGTCAGCACGAACAACTGATGCTACATTTTCAGGTCAGATTTTGAAAGGTTTTTAATCGAATAGTTGAGAAACAGAACAGATGATTGAACAGAGTAAACACAACTTAAATCGTTTTTGTTTTTGAAGAATCTTGCTTGCTGCCCGGAATTACATGAATATACGAAATATGCTTATGATTTATTTTCCAATGAATCATTACAATCAGCAAGTCGTACAGCATTTTCATTCTTGCCATCGCCATCAGCGTCATCTTTACAAGCGAATTTTTCATCATTTTTACAATCCTTGATGTCACCACAATGACTTTTAACTTCAGAGATACTCTTTTCTTTTTTCTTAAAATAAAATGCGTTTGTCTATTAGAAAACAGCAACGTATTCTTCTTGTTTCATTTGATTTTTTATTCACGTAGGACAACGCAGAAGAATTTGGAATTTTTCATTTTTCGGAACACGATTAAGAATAAGACGACCATCGTAACTAAGAGACGCTAACAACCACGGGTCGTTCGATGCCCATTGAGCTGAGTAAACTGATTCTTCATGCTCATCGAAGACACAAATAAGACGATCTTCATTGACGAGTTCTTCCGTTTCTTCTCTGAAAGAAAAAAGCGCAGGAGTTTTAGAGAACAGGTCAGAGACTAGTTACTTGACATCTTCCGATGTGTTTAAACTTCCATACGGTTCAGAGGAGAGACTAGCAATATTGAATAGAATAACACGAGTGTCACTACTCGACGTGACTATAAGTTGATCGTGAAAACGATTGTATCGAGCGGACCATACCCTAGAAAAAAACCATTTGATTAGAAGAATTTTCAATTTTTCAGATTTTTTCCTTCGTTGATCGATTCTAAATGATGATGAGAACATCAGACAAGGTAGCATAAGATATTTAACATAATCAATCATATTTTGATCTGTACATAAAAATCATCATCTGTTCCTTCATTTAGATTCGATCACAGACAGTTTTGTTGTTTAGCTATTGTACTAAATCTATTCTTTGAGAAAGGAGAAACTAACCAGTGTGAGTGATCAGTTAAGATTTTTAAACATTCATTTGTTTTTCTCACATCCCAAAATTTCACTCGACAATCATCACCGCATGTCATTAGATGGTATTGTCGATTTGGGTTATAGTCGATATCTCGAACACACGGTGGATGAGCATTATCAATCGAAAATGAAGGTCTAGAAAAGCAAGAGAGCGAAGTACAATCTTCGATGAGACAAGAATATCAGTTTTGATATATTTACTTCATCGATCGTAGATCCCAACCACGTATATGAGGTCCGAGAGTTGTAGCTAGTTGATTCGTACTCATATGTGGATTCCATCGACAACACGATAGTTTATGAATTGCACTACTCTTTGAATCAATTGCGCCAGTGGAAGAAATCGAAGGTGTATCAGGTTGTTCAACATTCCATATATAGATATTCGTTTCACTGATACTTGCAATACGTTCACCATTAGTTTCCCATTCGACACTAGATTTCGTATAGCGAAACGTTGGAATACGATCCTTCTCTTTGTCCTTACTCGATGATATTTGTATTCGGAACATTTAAATCGAAACGTTTACGTAATGGTTGATGAAGCTGATTTGTTGATGCATCGATCGTAGGCGAATTGCCTTCTTCTGTATTGGAATCAAATGGAATTTGCCATACTGTACATTTACTGACAATATTGGAATCTTGAACTACAATAGATATTTTCTTTCTATTTTTAGATAAAAATCTTTTGTCTTACTATTTTGATAGATTGTGGCGAAACGACGATGGTCGGTAGGTGATGATGCCATGCGCCAAATCTCTCCTGCTCGATGCGAATAGATAGATTTATTTAAAAGGCCAGCTTCTTCTTCATATTCAAGGAAATGAATCTGAACATAAAGCGTCAATCGAACCATCTGTCAACAAACATCTCTCTTTTTTCTACCTGATTTTCGAATTTAATTGACTGAGTACCGACTAGAAAACGTACTGTGTCATCGTCTGGAACACCGCTGACTGCACATAGTGCTCTTGCCTAAAGATCGAAACCGATGAAAATATGTTCGGCATAACGACTTCACAGTACCTGAAACTCAACACCGTAGATTAATGGTGCTTCATCATCATCAACCATCTTGTTTGATATTTATTTACGGTAATTGATTAATATCTGAAGAAAAGAACAGAGAAAAAGAGAAAAAATATGTATAAGAGCAAGATTTTTTTTGTTTGCTTTTCTTCCCTTTCCTTCTCTTCGACGAAGAGCTTGTCTGGTACTGTTATACAGTCATTCGATAAATAAATCGATTACTAAGACAAGCGGACAGACAGACAGGGAGAAGAAGAAAGTGTACAACAAGTCTATTTTTGTGAATATATAATTATGTACGTATATGAAAAGAGCAAGAGTGAGAAGGAGAGTAAGAAGAAAAAAGAAAGCTGAACAAACGTCCCGATATGACATATATGTAGATGATGAACTTTATTCTAGATTTTTCGTTCTTTCTTTCATCTTCTTGATTATATTTCTTGATGAATTTCTCCTCCATCAACAATCGATAATGATTAGCAATGATAATGAAAGCTCGATAGATACGGTGACAAGTGAATCAAATACAAAATCATCTATGTCACCCAACGTCTCTTTGGCTAATCCTACTGGTGAAAATCAAACCGTCCAAACAACAGATAATGATCAACATAACGGTGTTATTGCAAAAGAATCTCAGGATAATCAATTATCAATAGCACAAAATGAAGACGAACAACAACAAGATGAAGAAAACGATGATGAATTTATTCGAATTACTGCTGCACATCAGATGTTAACTGAAGGTAAAAGCTAAACCTTGCATTTTAACAATACTCATTGACACAAACTGTTTCTAGCACAAACATATGACGAACAAAAGAACTATCCGGCTGCATTACATCTCTATCGTATTTGTGTTGATCTTCTTCTGGAAGAATTGATGTTTACTGAAGGTACAGATCAATCACGTGTTTATCTACGTGAAAAATGTACAGCAATTATGGATCGTATTGATTTACTTAAAACAATGCTTGAACCAATTCCAGCATCGATACCGCCACCGGCCATAACCAACGAACAAACAACAAATCCACCTACCGACGAATTAAGTTCACTTCATTTATCTTAGATTTTCTAGAACAAAGAAGAAGAATAACAAAGCATACATGTGTTTAGGTCAATCATATGTCTTTTTTGCTTATTCTACAACATTCCGTTTCTTAGTTAGACAAAGCTAAACTTGCATTAGAAATCATTGCCTGACGTTCTTTTTTTTTCTTCGTTTTCTTTTCTCGTTTATTTCTAACTTTCTCATTTTTCTTTTCGCATGCTTATTTTCTGTATATAATAAAAGGAAGGAAAAACAAATTCACAAACACTAGCATCGCAACAAATGAGAAAGTCTAGATACAAAATTCAATGGCAGTATGTTTACATACAGATATATGTTATATAACTTAAGAGATTCTTTCGAGAACAAAAAAAAATAAGAAGAAGAACGTCACAAGAAGTTGAAGTATAGAAATTCACTTTTCATCGAGTATTCTATGAAAGACAAACATATAGGAAGAAGGAACGAAAGGAAAACAAAACAACGGTACATCACAACTTTGTGTCCATCCTTGGCAAAAAAGAAGCATCACTGTAAACTTGACGGATGAAACGATAAAAAGCGAACGACAGATAGATTTAATCAAGAAACCCAACAAATCAAGGTTAACAGGAAGCAACAAAATATAACAATGAAATATTCTCACAGTTGTGCTTTCAATGTTCTTTAGTATGTACTTATAATTAGTACCAACCATAGACGTATGTTGATCCTTGATTTTTATCTTTTCACAAAGCTGCTTGGACGGATTGACGCTAAAAGGAAAGATTGTCAATGACATTTGACATATGCAAAGAACAAATCATACCCAGACATTGAGAATATCGGTAACCGTATGCTTCGATGGTAATTTGAAAAGATATGATACAAATAAAGTCGAGATTTGTTCAAAATATGGATGACCATCTAAATTCAGTATGATTTATGGATTCAAGATGGCGGTATTCATTACCTGTAAATTCCAGTTTTGGCGGCCGTGTTTCTGTTAAGGATAAAACTTCCGGTTGTTCATTAGGATATCTTGCTGAAACTCGTAAACGTAATGATGGTATCAAGGGATTGTCTGCTTCCAGCAATTTACAACGCAGAATTAGTCCTTTACTACTAGTATATTCGTCATCGTTTTCCATGGATCTTATCGTATGTGGTACCGGTAAACGTTCAATAGAAAAAAGATTTGCAGGTAACAAACTAAGTTCACTATTCAGATGCAATATCAACGAAGATTGATGTGTTGAACTTGTTCGTTCAGACAATCGATTGTTAGGTGTTGAATCACTATTCAGTCGGATTTTTCTAGAAGAGTGTTGTTTATAAAACTAAACAGAATCTTTGATTTCGTTAACTAACTTATGAGGAACACCATTGATAACGTCATTTAACGGTTCGATGAAGACGTTGCTGAGAAAGAGTCGTCGTTTGTGATCACGTGATATAAAGTCGATCATTGCTTTTTCAAACTGGCTCATATTGTTGATCTGTTGAGGAGGAACAACTGGAGCAGAGATAGTAGTCGATGTATTTGATGATGATTGAGATCGATTCTACGATAAATGATCGTTTTCAAGAGATTTTACATGAAAATAGCTTACTGAAGCTCGTTCAAGCATTTCACGAATGTGTTTAGCATTTGGCAAACTTTCGTAAGTCGGATTGTTAATAAATTGAAGCATTTGTTGGTGAATGACTTGGACATTTCGGGCTCTTTCCTGGTTACCTATGTAAATGAAAGAGCACGAGATTATGTGTAGAATCTGTCCAGTCATCTGAAATTACCATCACTAGCAAATTTTTGACAAAGCGATTGTAGTTTAGTAACATTGTCTTTAAAATATTTTATTAGATTTATTGTATCTTCATCTGGACTTGATATACTACCACTTCCTACGATATCGAAAAGTTCCTTCCTAATAAATGTGAGTAAAAGATGACACTTTTACCTGCTACTGGTACAGAACGATTAATTGGTGATGAGTAATTATTTGCTAATGGCGTGGAGTTATTCATGGATAGTGACGAAGGAGTTTGGCTGTTTAATGAGAATGAGCCAGGATTAGTATTCAATGGGCTTTGTTGCACACTAATGTTTGGTGACCTACAAAAGAAGAGAACGCGAAGAGTCATTTTATGGAAAGAAAAAGGATAGTTACGGCTGAACTTGAACATTTGATGTGGGCATAACAATAATACCGGGTGAAGGTGAAGATTGTGGTTGTAACGATGCTGCTGTTGCTGCTGTTGTCGCCGGCGCTGGTACTGCTGATACTGATGACGCTGACGACAATAAAGTAGATCGAAGAGAATTTACACTGGTTGAAAGAGTACTGTTCGTTGAGAGTGCTGAGCGACCTGGAAGCGGCTAGAAAACATGAAATATTCAAAAATATTAATTAGCGCTTCTATTTTAAGAAATAAGATTTCATCTTTATGTAAATTTCATAATTAGGAGTTTTAGCTTCATCCGATTAGTATTTTAGAATATTAAGAAACAAAAGCATTTGGACCAAATGATGTATTTACCATAGCTGGTGGTGCATTTGAACGATTTGTTAGAACCATATTATTTGCTGCTGAATCATTGTTCGACGTCAGAATCTTTTGCAATACTAGAAGCAGAATTTTTCATAGTTGAATGCATGTGAAATGGCTTCAGTTTGACTCACATCTGTCACCACTTGAAGATGGATTTACGACCGGTGCTGGTGTTGACACCATTGTCGATGCTGTTGGTGCTGATGATCCCATCGGATTATTTGATGGATTTCCAACAACGAAATGATGCAGGATATCATTAGAATTCGTTGACGATGATTGCGGAGGAAAACTCCCTAGGAGAAGAATGAAACTAATTGTCGACGATAGCAAAATACTTGAAAATGAACTGACCATTTAAATTCGTTGGCAAACGTGGCCGAGAATTCATAGATAGTTGGTTTGGATATCGATTTGGTATCATCGGCGGTTGAGATAGATAATCATTTAATGTCGGTGCAGCAATCGGTTGTTGTTGATTCGAATAATTCTGTGTTAAATCCATGGACGCTGTTGATGGTGTATACGATATTGTATTCATAGGTGCTGTAGAAATTAATTGATGGCTAGATGTTGATAATGGGAAACAAAAATCTTTACTTTGGTTGAACTTTTGTGGTTCACGCAATCGTATAATTTGGCTGGGAATACCTGATTGGTTGTTAATTAGAGTTGCTTGAGGATTAGCCATACGTGTTAGTGTTGGTTGCGGTTGTGGCTGTTGAGAGGTAGGTGGAGGAAACCGCGACGATTGGTTGCGAATTTGGTTCACTTGTGGCTGGGTAAGCATTGACATTGATTGTTGCAGAGGATTGTTCAATTGTTGCTGAGAATTGCTCAGCTGCTGCTGCTGTTGTTGTTGTTGTTGTTGTTGTTGTTGTTGTTGTTGTTGTTGTTGTTGTTGTTGTTGTTGTTGTTGCTGCTGCTGCTGCTGCTGCTGCTGTTGTTGTTGCTGCTGCTGTTGTTGTTGTTGTTGCTGCTGTTGTTGTTGTTGTTGCTGCTGTTGTTGTTGTTGTTGTTGATTTAAAAATTGTCCGTTGGGATTATTTGATGCTTGTTGAAGATTTGAATGATGTTGGCGGGCTGCTTCTAAGAAAGTGAATGGCGAAAAGGGTACGTATAGTAAGTCAAATTAAGTCTTTTAAATGATTATATTGTTAATCAAAAGGTCGTGATTTTTTCTGGTTTTGACAAATAGCAAATAGTCAAACAGATGGTCTAATAGATTTTACAAAAGGCAAACAAATACTTACGTTTGAATTGTTGATGGTAAGCAGCAATATATTTCGTATAGAGATTCTACAAAAGATGTCATTAGAAACAGTATTATTACCAAGTTAGAGTTACCTTGATACCACTGGATTTTCTATACGCGACGTCTTCAATTCGTTTGGCTACATCTAGGTTCCATGCAGCAGAACTAAGGCACATGGCATAGAAAGAAGAATGGATGAGTCACTGATATTCTTACAGTTGTTGGATATATCCATGGCGTTCTGCCGACGTGATTATTGCTTGGCCGTTAGAATCGGCCATTTGTTGGGCAGTTGCATCTGTCGCCATATCTGAAGCGAAGAAAAACCATGTTGAAGTCGATCAAAAACTGGAATAATCATGCATGAAATAGGCAATTTTTGAAACGGCCTCTCAAAGAAAAAAAGAGAAGTTGAAAAATAACGAGAACATATACTTAGCTTCATAGGATGATAAGAGAACAACACAAATCAAGAATAAAGAATAAAGAAGAAAGAAAAAAGAGCAAGAAAAAGAACACATCACGGCAAAAAAGTCGGAAAGAAAGAAGAAAGAAAGCGAGAGAGGGAGAGACAAAATCAAATATCGCAAATTTTATATACAGAACAAAGAGAAAACAACCAAATGTGAGAAAGAGTTAACTAGACTTCTGTGAATGAACAGATTTAGCGGTCGATTGTTGTGGACACTCTTTTCTCATATGACCAATTTCTCCACACTTGAAACATGTCATTGCTGTTTTATAGTTCTGTGGTTGTTGCCAACGCGGAGTATTGTTCATTCGAGGATATTCATTCGGAAGTTCTGGGGGATGTGGATATCGAAATGGTCGTTGATTAGTCGGTGCTGACTTCGGCTGGTTATTACGCTGATGTCCATTTGTGTAATTTGACAATTGACGATAATTCGTATTTGGCGACGAATTGAAGTTGTTTCCTATAAATGGTGTTTTTTGTTGTTCCGAATGATTATCCAAACGTTTCTTCCTTTCTTTTTCATGAGCTAATGAAGCCAGTGTTGGACAACGCTTTCGAATATGATACGGACCTTTACACCATTCACAGCGTTTCGGAGCGTTGGTTGGGCATAATTCGTCGATGTTAAATAAAGTCTCCTGTTTACATTTCAAGAAAAAATATTTTATAAAGAATTTTTGATGAATTTACTTCAATGAGTGTCATGTTTGGTTTCGATAGGTCCATTTCTTTTGGTTGAACACCGAATTGCTGACGAGCTCGAATAAATACTCGACGGATCAATATCCAATCTAAAGATTCACGATGACAAAAACGACGAGAAACCTATGAGTGAGATTACTTCGTGGAGACAAACCACCAGCGAGATTATGTGACAGTTCAAATGGATCTTCAATAGCGATTGTTTGTCTAAACCATCCTTTTTCATGTTTAAATAAAGGTTCCAATTGTCGAATGGTAACTACATGTTCTTCGTAATTAAACTGTTCCGTGTAATAACGCAAGAATTCAATCCATAGTGCACCGGTAGTTAACGTATTTTCATTTTTCCAAAGATTTTTCTAAAAGATGAAGACAACGTCAGAACTAATACTAATCACCGCTCGTTTTCTACGTACAATTTTCGTCAAATCTTCATAGAAGTACACATTCCATTCGGCACATTTTTTGTAAATACCGTTCGGTTTATTTGGATCATCCGATAGCTAGATATGACATTGGTTATAGAACAAAATTGCAGATCATCAACAAAATCGAACCTTTTGAAGCACTGGTAAAACCGCTGGACGAGTTTGTTGTAAGAAATGTATAAGCATAATAATATATGCATAACTTGATAAAGTGCCTCGACTCGCATCTCCAATATCACAGAACTAGATATAAAAAACAGTTCATAATTTTACATCCCTCACGTGATTGAAGAAGGAAACATTGCTGCCGAGAAAATCATGATAAGCACCTGTTTCATTTGTCTCTCGAAGGAAGCTCAACTTAATAATTATTTTGAAAAAATGATAGTATTTTGATTAGTCAAATGTCATTTCGAGTAATGGGCGTGTCAAGGTTTCGCGTATGCTTAAGCTTATCTTAGTAGAAGATACTGTTTACTATGATATTTCAAGTATATGTCAGTTACGAAAATGGCCATCCTACTTTAGCTAAATGTTTGATCATATAACCTAGTTCCGACACTCGTGGATCAATATCTGCATACGTTTTCAGCAATCGAGTATTTTCAATAGCCTAAAACGATTGAATTTTGACAGCAAATTCGAGAAGGAATGGCTGTTCGTACATACGAGCATGTTATGAAGACTAATATCGATTTCGATACGTAATTGTCGATGTCTTGATCGAATAATCGGCACTTTAGCATGTAGAACTGGTTGAATATTTTCGTAAGCATTCGATAACCTCATAGCTCGCAGGATTTTTTGCATTATTCGAAGTACTTCTTCTTGCTAATGAAAATACGAGGGCAAGTATTGAAACAAATCTATACAGAACTCAACATACATTGTTTTCGCGTTCATCTTTGAAAACAAGACAAACATCTAAATCACTGTGTACAAAGCCAAATCCGTTGTAAAATGAACCGAATGCATGGAGACTGCAATCTGGGTAATCCTTTTTGAATTGGCTTTCTAACTGTTGAAGAATTTCTCGACGATTCTCAATGCTCTTCTTCGTTGGCTTACTTCGATCTAAATGCAAACTTCTTTTCTATGCACAACCGTTATCGTTTTGCTAAACAAATACCTGTAATTTGTTTACTAAGGAGTGAAAGAATATTGATCCATTTTTCATCGATTTCCGGCAGAGCAGTTATGTTCGGTAGTACCAATTCCGGACATTCAGTTTTTAAGTGACCAACGGCATTGCATGTTGTACATACATATGGTGCGCCCTAGACAAGACTATACACACTGTCATTCACAAATAACGCAGATAGCTAACTTGTTCAGCGTGAAAATTCTCGGCTTGAAAATCATAGAAGTATTCGGAAGAATTATCTGCTGTTGTACCTAATGGTTCATTACTGACTAGTTTTTCGAGCTTAACCGGCGACGTAAATGGTGAAACAATCGAATCATTAGTTGTATCTGTAGTTGTTTCAGTTGGTTTAATATCAATTGGTGCTGTACTGTTTCTTTCTGGAGCCACTGATGATTCACTCACTTGTAAACTGGTGGCTTCATCTTAAGAGGAAAGTATTATGTAGTCGATGATGACTATTATAGTATTATTCGCACACTTATATCAGATATAAATAGAAGCCCTCTTTGAAAAACAACTGAGTGATGATATCTACCTTGCTGTTTACTTTCGTCGATTATCGCTGCGGAAGGTTGATTTTCAATTGTTGGTTGTTGTTCGTTGGCAACTGAAGATGCTTCCTGGCTGGAAATAAAAGAGACGCAGTTTAATACGTAAATGGAAGTATTCATATCAACAAACGTTTCTTTGTCCTTGGATTCAATGGCCATCTCGTGAAAATTCTCCTCTAATTCGTTTTCATCCTCTTCATCGTGCGATTCGCCATTTTGTAATGTATCAAATGGATTCCGATTCTGTTCATCATCATTTTCGTCCATGGTTTCAAAATTTTGCTCTATATCATGTTGCAAAACTTCAACGAGATCATTTCCATTTAAATCATTGAATTTCTCCTTAGCAGAATCTAACTGAACAATTGGTTTAGGAATCTCCTTCTGTTTACAAGAAAATGATTGCTTATAATATTCTCGCACGCGATTTTGTCGAATTATGGGGTCACGTGCAACGGGCGTTGGTAGATATTTGTAAAATAACCTGTAAGAATTATGTAGCGATTTTGACGGTTCTTTCACTGGTGCAGCGTCTTCGACAATTTCGATTGAATCTTCGTCGTTGTTTTCACTTGTGTTTTTATTAACTGCGGATTTTTTCGGTTTCTTCTGCTTTCGTCCAAAATAGTTCAGTGCAGCATGTAGAGTGTCGCGAAAGTAATCAATTGAACGCATGGATTGCATGGTTTGACATAAACTTCGTCTAATATCAGTCGGATCTACGAGAAAAATCGAATTTACTCAATAGAAGATCGACTTGTCACGTATTTAATCTACCTTCAACAAGTAGTTTTTTACTGTGCCAATTTTTATCAATTTTCATCACCGGCATTCGAGTTTGGATAGAAACAGCGAATTGTTTTGTGTTGAAAGTTTTCACGTAATACGAAAGCAACTGAAGGAAGAGCATTTCCACACTAGTGGTATTTGCTGATTTCCATTCTTTAGCATATTTTGTACAAAGTCGAAAAAATTCCGGATATTGATTGTCATTCAACGATATAGGAACATGATCAATTCCATACACCTAAACAGAATTCCGGCGTGAAATCTTTCTGAACGAAACAAGGTTTTTTCCTACGTATTCGTGTAAACACGGAAGAACAGGCGCATCGAGTTGTTGTAAGAAATGAATCGTCATGATATGAAAAACAACTGGATGGAGCATTCCAATATCAGGTTTGTCGGTATCGCACGTCTAACAACGAAGATTTCATTGAGAATTTCGAAAAGAGAAACGCAAAAACAAACTTTTGCTAGTATTCGAAATAATCGGAGTAATTTAATTACACGTGGATCGAATTTTGTGTAGATTCGAATTAATTTCGATAAATGAATTCCACGTACATAACCTGACGTTAGCTTTACACGCACGTTTGGCTCATTGGTGATCAGATGAATACATGATGGTTTATGCTCGGTATCAATTCGAGCTTCTTTACATAGATCTAAAAGACAAGGCACATAGAACTCGGTGATAAACTCCAATTGATTTTAGTCATCCTACCACTTTGTTGAATGATATCAAGTAACTCTTTTAGGGCATCATATTGATGTATTTGTTTGAATTGGACATCAATATCCATCACACATGGTTTTTCCAAGCAACACTCGAAATAAATTGAGCCATATAGATTGACTTGAGCATCTATATTTAGAATTGATTTACTGATCAATTTCGGTTAAATTAGTTGATTTAATATTACAAAAAAAAATAAGGTTACTATGAAAGATATGATCATGTTTCTTCTATAGATGATTTTTTTCTCATTTTTCTACCGTCATATGTGTGTGTATGTGTGTGATATAGAAGTTTGTTCGTTCTGTATTGGTGTCTTTTATCATATCGTTCGTCCCGCTAGTTGAATGAAAAAGGCAGAACAGAACAAATTATGTTTCATAAATGATTTTTTTATCTCATGTTGCAAACTGAACTGATAGAGAAAACTGATATGGAGAAAATGTCTTGAAAAATATTTAATTAACTTAAAAACAGTATGGCGACTTATAAATATACCAAAGGAAATGGAAATGTTCCATTAGGTAATATGAATTTCTCTGATTATCTATGAGAGTGAAGAAATATTCAAACTTGGAATTTACCTGCTATCTTTTTAGTAATTAGTTGACGTAATTTTGTGAAAACAATCTCTCGTTGCTGAAGACTTGAGTCAGTTAGACAACGATCGGACAGAATTTTGTTAAATCCAGCTTTTAATGCTGACAAATGTTCATCGACTGGTTCAACAATGTCAATTGTTGATCGACCAGATTCTCTCTATTAAATCGAGAAAAATCTTATGAAAAGATAGGTCTTGATCTTACTCTTCCAGGTGAAATTTCTGATTTGTTCACTTGATCATTATTACTTCGTTCTATGAAAACAAAAACCGCGTTTCGATAAGATTTTACGAACGATATCTAAATCATCAATACCTAATTGATCGGGATTGAAAGGTTTATTCTTTTGTCGACGTTGTAACGCAGACTTTTCATAAGGTTTCGAGATTAACAACGGTCCAGGTTGTATACACTCAAGCAATGGTTGTGCAGCTGGTGCATTGTCCGGTTTCCGAACTTGTTTTTGTACTTGAAGTCGATGATTTTTCCTATTACTTTCGCAATTTGATTGAACTAAGTCATGTAATTTATTTAAAGATGGTTTCCTCGGACTTTTTTTCGTTGGTTCACTCATTTACGTAGTACTTGTGAAAAAATAAAATCAATAAAGAATCTAAAGTGCAAAAACAAGTTTATCGGAGTCGGAAATAGGTAATATTATGATACTGCGTCATGTTTGGATTTTTCGCAATAGATAAATTTCATTGAGAAACTTTCCTTCCCTCTCTGGGGCAAAACCATTTCAACCAATGACGGAAATATATGTAAAGCACGTTTGATTCTCAACAGTGTGTTGTTTTTCTTACTATTCATTCAATCCTCTCCTCTTGTATGTGTGTTTGCTTGCTTACCATCCATCCATCCTATTTTTTCCTTTTCGATTAGTTAAAAACCAATTAGATTGGAAAAAGAACGACATCTATCGATTTTATTTAAATAATTTGTTTCTTCGCCAAATGAAAATTTTCTCGTGAAAACGAAGTTTTCCGCTGAAATTGAGTGAAAAAATGGAATTTCAGTTGATCAAAGGTAATGAGGATGATGAAGAATATCACTAAGTTACTGTAAAATGTGAGGAATGTATGAACCATTGATCGATAAAGATTAAAACTAGGCAGACGACATGAGTTCATCATCAAAACGGCAACTGCCAAATGTGAATTTGGAATCAACAGAAAAAATTCGTCACTTGAATACCGCTCTAATTGTAATTCGGCTGGGAAAGAAAGAAAGTTGGGAAAATAGTGTTCATTCATTTGTAATTTAGAATACTGAAAATAATCTACGACATGCTCAGCAAAATTTCGAATTGTTAAAACAAATTCAACAACCAGCATCGACATCTCTGTTAGATACGGTAAATCGATTCATTCGCTTATGACCTATAACATTCATCTTTCCGTGTCAATTAGTTTCGAAATAATGGTACAACGAATGATGGGGTTTTGACAAGCAATGACTCTCGTAGGAAAATCTTTTCTAAATTGGAATCTTTTGAAAACTGACCGATTAGATTTTGATCACGAATCAGTAGCAACGAGTTCACGACGTGCATCGTCGTCAAGTCATCAACGAAGTAGCAGTAGTAAAGGTGTCCGATTCAACGATGATGTTCATGGACGATCTCTACAGAATCTCAATCAGGACATACAATCATTATCAACCGAACACGGTCGACTAAAACACGAACTTAGTAAAGCAACATCATCCAAACATCAAAGAGAAGCGCCACATATGTAAGAAAACAAAAAGTGAAATCATCGTGTTCGACTCTAGTTTCATTTATTCTTTAGACATGATAGTGATGATGAAGAAGTCAATGATTCATTTTTAGCCAGAAACGATCCATTAGTGGAAGAGGTAAGAGCATATTCCCTTTCAATTGCATCATATTCCATAATCCACCGAACAAAGAGAGAAAAGGCTTTAAATTCATGCAACAGTACAACAGACACATAGTCACGCACATGAAAATCATGTCAAAGAGATGGTTTCGAATCTAGAATACTTCAACTAATAGATATGTGATCATTTCTTCATGTTTTTTTCTGATCTGTCTATGACCTCGACTATATGACATTGTGATGTAATAAGGAATGATGTTTTTAGATTGTCCAATCTCGTTTGGATCGTCGTTTACAAGAAATTGAACGTGAAATCAAGCGTGATAAAGATCAACAACAGCAAGGCGACGTCCGTGCATTGGTTAACGAACTTCAATTACAACGTAAATTAACAACACCAACACTTAATGAAGAAGACAAAATCTTTCAAGCTCGTCTTCTACTTGCCGAATCCAATAAACAGATGGTAGTTGACTTCAACTCCTGGAATTTTTCGTATCGATGTCTCTTTCAGTATGAATCTCAATTACTCAGCACGAAACGACAGTTAGAAGAGAGTGAACTAAATAAAACTCTCTTAGCACAACAGGTAATTATATCGAAAGCAATGCCGATCCTTTCTTTTCGTTTGATAAAACATACATTCTAGAATTCAGCCACTCTCATGGAGTGCGCAAAGTCCATCCGAGAAAGTGTATGTTGGATTTATCATCCTAGGATAAATAAAAACTTAATATAGTTTTAGTTTTTCATGCAGCGTAGTTTTTTTTACTTCGATTTTTAAATTACGAAGTTATTTTCAATATCTCTTCGTAGGTAACGCAATTGAAAGATCAATTAATGAAAAGTGAATTCGATCGTGATAAATATCCGAGAGATGATGAACTGCTGTTAGCAACAGATCGACGAAGAAGAACAGGTTTGCATTGAATATTTACTGGGATTATCGATGGAGTTGCTGTTTGTATAGAGCCTGATCGTCAACATGATTTTCTACTTCAACAGCAAATGATGTTCTCAAAATCTGCTACGTTGAATGAATTAGTGACGTTCAAGAAAGAATTGGAGAAAAGTGAACGTCAACGTGAACAACTCTCAGATCATTTAGAAGTAAATAAGAACATTTTCTATTTGATGAATGAATTCTGATTTGATTCCTTTCTTTCATAGATTTTAGTAAAAAAATGTGATGAAAAGGATAAACTTGTCGCTAAAACTTTACTTGAATTGAAAGAAATTACTGATAACTGTGATACTTTTGAACGACAAAATACGAAATTACAACGTGATTTAACACTCGCTTTGGAAAAATTAGAAGAAATGACTCAGGAAGCTGAACGTTATGCCCAAGAATCTGTTGATTGTCAAAAACAATTAGCCGATTCGGAGCAAAAACGTGATGAATTTAAAATTCAAGCACAAGAAACTGTCAAACAGTTCGTTGCGAACTCTTCCTTGTACTCCATGCATTCTTCACATGTTTAGATGGAAAGCCAAAGTTAAAAAACTAGAAAAAGATGTCGACCGACACAAATTTGGTTCCACACAAGTCTTGGAACGCAATGAACAGTTAGTCAAAGATATGGAAACTACGAAAACACAAAATATTTCTCTCCGTGAACAAGTCGCAAAGCTCGAATTTGATCTGAACGAAGCTCAGGTATGGCAAAATTTCAATCAATTTCGACACCATTGCTCCTGATTAGATAACCTATTTCGAGTTGCAATCATGTCAGTAGACTGTACTTTTTCAAGTGACATATGAGAGATTCAAGCACTCTCATGTCGATAGATGCTATTATACGAATTCATTTATCATGTCCATATTGTATAAAGATAAACATAGATTGACGAGTTTTTTGGTTTTTCTTTTTTCGAAACTTAAACCTTGTATTTGTTTTAGGCAACACAAAATCGATTAGAGGAGCATTTTAAGCGTAATGAAAATGATGTAAGTCACGTAAACAAAGGTGCGTTTTAAAGAAAACTGTCTTGATTGTCAGGCGAATCAATTTCGGATATTACGATCTTCTCATGAAACGGAAATCTCGACATTTAAAAGTACTATCAATGAGGTAAGTGTTGATTCTATTTATTTCAAATGGCAACGCTTAAGTCTTTTCTTTAGCTTGAGCATCAACTGTCGACTTATCGTCAACGGCATTCTCAACTTGAAAAGGAGAAACAACACAGTCAACAGTTATTACAAGATGAGCTCAATCATCGAAGTAACCTCGAGTCTAAACTTAAACAAGCTGAGGTACTTCAAATATCCTCTCCTTCTCTGCGTTAACTCTCCTGTTTTATCTCTTTTAGCAAGATATAGAAGCAATGAATACTTCGCGTTCTCAATTTCAGCAACACATCATCGAATTAGAAAATGAACGAATGGTATAATCCTTCTGGAAAATGGAGTTCAAGTAAAAAATTCTTTCTATCTAGGATTTCCTACAAAAAATCAAAGAAGTCGAATTTGAACGAGATTCTCTATCGATCCAATACCATTCGATTTCCAAAACATTGAATGACGTAAATTATTCCAGTGTTTGTTTTGGTTCTTTTGATTATTGTCTTTGTTTTTCAAGGAGAAGACGAAATTTCAGACAAAACTTGCTTCTATTGAAAGCGATTACGATGAGCTGAAGGTAACTGACCGTATGGAACGAAACCTTCGTTTTTATTCCACTTTGCCATGCTAGAGAAAACTAGATACATCGAAAATGGAATACACACGCGGAATGAAATCATTTCAAGTTGAATACGAGAATAAAATCGAAACATTGAAAGTACAAGTTATCTCCAAGGAAACGACAGTCTTCTAACCAATTTCTTTCCTGTTTAGTTACAATTATCTGATGAAAAGGCTCGGATTGGAATTTACCAACGACATGAAAGTGAAAATAAAAAAGATTTAGAAAGACTCCAAGAGAAAGCAATGAAATATGAAGATGAAGCGACACAAGCACAGTACACTATTGATAATCTCTCTCGAGAATTACGAGAAAAGGCACGATCGAATTCTTCCAAATATTTCTCTCTATACAAAATTCTTTTATTTAGACACGAACATTGGATGAATTAGAATCGAGGTACATCGACAAGATTCTCTACAATTGCATAAATTCTTTTATTTATTTAGAATTACGAAGTTAACAGTTGAAGCAGCCAATGAAAAAAATCAAAATATTCGAAAAGAAAAAGATTATCAAGTAAAACTGAAGGTTCATCTTTTCTATTCATTCATTGATTTTCTTCTCTATAGCATTCATTACACACCGTTTATAATGATATCACCTACTGTACTGAATGCTTGTCAACTGATTCAGATGAACCATTTATTATTGACTCACCATCAGGTATCCGTGACGATGTTGAAACATGGTTAACTAAAGTGAAGGTAAGGATAAATAAACAAAAGAAAGTTTTGCTTATGTGTATGAAACGATTGTTACTCAAGGCTCGTCTTGCTTGGCTCAAACAAGAGTTAGAGATCCGTCAACAACATGAAAATAAACTTCGTCATGATTTAAACAATGCGTTACTAGATGGCGAAGCCGATCGAAAATATTTCGCCGCTGAATTAGCCAAACGAGAAGTTATCATCGATGATTTAGCGCGTGAAAAACACAGTAAAAGACATTTGTCAAGATCTTCAGACGATTCAATAGAGAATATTTCATATTTATAGATCAGAAAGATTTTGAACGTGAAGCATCGGACAGAATGCGAGTGTTACAAGTAAATTCAACGAAAAGATTTCGAAATAATCTCAATTTTTATGTTTCAAAATAGAGTCAATTATCAAGAGTAGAGGGACATTCATTAAAAGAATTAGAACGTGCAAAACAATTGCAAAACAATGATCTACAAATCGAATATGATAAACGACGGGCGTTAACTGAGGTAACATGTTACTATTCATGCGTTTTGTAACCTTTCTCGATGGATTTTGATTTAGGACGAAAAAGATCGTATCAATGATCGATACCGACAGTAAGATTTTGACTTTGAATAGTTAAAAAAGTAGCGTCTGCTACTGACAGTGAGAAGCGATATGACGACAGATGTTAGCTCTCTAGTTGGCTGATGACGGTGTTTTGTCACTTGTTCTAAACGACATTCGTATATTTTCTAGGAAATTTTTAAAGTAAAAATCCGTTTCTTTTTGACGAAGCTTTGCTTATTGTTGTAAACATGAATTTGTTGTAGCATATCATATTGCTATGAATGTCAAGTGTATTTTCATTAGCGAATCAAACCTTATCGATATGCTTATGTTTAGATTTCAAACTATGATCGATTCTGTCAAACGAGAGTTACACACTGCCAAAGTTCAACTGTCGAACAAAGTTACTGATAAATAAAGGCTTATTTTCTTGTGAATAGCAATACATTGGATACTTTAACTTTTGTAGTTGTAGAATATATCTAATCTCAGCTTTTATTTGATTTAGAATATCATCTTTTATTCTCAATATATATTCATTTGATGTGCTGTTGTGTCTCAGAGATTTTTATTCAAATAAAACGTTTTTGAAAAACTTTATTCAGCTCTAAATTGTGCGAAGGAGAAGGCTACCCTAAAGTCTGATTTGCACTGTGCGCAGGTGATTCATCACAAGTGAATGAATACATGTGGTTAGTTGTAATGTTGTATTCTACTGTTTTGTCATGCATATCGTCAAAGGGAAAATATTGATGAGAAAAAATTTTTCTTCCATGTTCTTTGAGCTTTCTATGGTAACAACCAACGGGAATTGAATAAAGTACTTTTTGTGTCGAGATAAAAACAAACTAGCGACTGATGTTTGATGAGATAGGAACAAAATTTAATCAAGTCTCTGTTTACCCGATGATAATAAAGGGATCGTCAACATTTAGTTTTAGATAATTATGAAGACTTGTGCTACTCTGTTGCTATTTTTATTCGCCTTGGTATGTCAGAGTCTTTCAATTCGGCACCATCGACGATTACTTTCGTCTGCATTCGGAAAATACCGTATATCACCAAAAACTGGTGTTCGCATTGCATTACCAAGTAATCCTATGTGCAGAAGTGTTTGTATTGCTATCGTCCTTTCTTTTCTTAGCACCGGAACAACTTCAGTGGCAAGCACAAGAGTTAGGTGTTCTTATTCATTTTAACTTGGAAACATTCTTTGCTGATGGGTTTGAATTGCGAAATATTCCAAGTTCTTCATTGTTTGATCCATATTTATTGAATACGGATAACTGGGTACAAACAATGATCGATTTTGGTGCCCAGTATGCTGTACTGGTGGCTAAAGTAGGATATACGGAAGAACAGCTTTTGTATCTATTAATCTATATTTATAGCATGGATCTGGTTTTCTTATGGCACCTACTGATGTAAAGTTTCCCTTAAACCCATCTGGTGAAATCGTACCGTATAATTATACAATTGACTATTCACCAATGAAGGGCAGAGATGTATTGAAAGAATTTGTCGACAGTTGTGAAAAGCGACAAATCCGAACCGGATTCTATTATTCGGTAGTATCAAATAACTATCTTAACGTGCAGAGTGGTATGGTATGTTACGAGACTTTTGATTTTCCTATTAACATCATGCGTTGCAACAAAGGTTCAAAATCGGTCACTGGAACCCGGACAACTCAACGTAACTCAGCAAACGTATGATTCTATTGTTTTGCAACAGTTAAGAGAAATCTGGACTAGATATGAGAGATTAGAGGAAATTTGGTTTGATGGAGGGTGAGTTCTTTTCAGGCTTCTTCATATTCACTTTCTTCTTTCTATGCATGGTTACCAGATATACAGAGAGTTTGAAAGAGCCAATTACTGCCTTATTGGCTGAACTTCAACCTCAGGCGATTGCTTTCAATGGCTATGGTGTTTCGACAAATCCTGCTCGGTGGATTGGCACGGAAATGGGCATTGCACCTGATCCAAACTGGTCAACGGGTGTAACTAACGATGGCGGTGATCCTGATAGTCCAATCTTTTGTCCTGCAGAATGTGATACGACACTTCAAGATCACGATCGATGGTTCTGGGTATTGTAGAGTGAGAGAGATGTTCTTCAAAAATAATCTCTTTTCTTTTGTAGACGAATATGACATTACGCTCGCTTGCCGAAATGATAGACGCTTATCATTCAACTGTTGGCCGAAACTGTATCCTTATGTTAGACCTTGCTCCTGATCGCACCGGTCTGATTCCAATAAACCATGCACGTCGTTATAAAGAACTCGGTGATTTCATTCGTTCCTGCTATGGTACCTCAGTCACACCTACACAACAGCTCATCGTCCAAGACTCCTCGCTTCACATCCTACGATTCGATGCAACACCTGTCACCGTCGATCGCTCAGTCATTCAAGAAGATCAAACAAATGGACAAGTCATTCGAGCTTACACTGTCGACATACAACTAGTTAATGCAACACATTCTGATCAATGGATCACCGTGGTAAAAGGTACCAGTGTCGGAAACAAGAAAATTGATATCTGGTCAATTGGAGCACAGTTAGTAAACGGTGTCCGACTGAACATAACCAAATCCGTGGACACACCAGTGATCAAAGCATTTACAGTTCATTTGTGTAATTGAACTTTCATATTTTATACATGATTATGATTTTGATGTTCATCATTTGATTTTTTTCGTACTGATGTCGAAAATAAAATAGATACAAAGAATGGCAATAGCTGTTTCTGTGGTCTCGCAAGTGATTATAGGTTCATGATGCCGTTAGAAGTGTTCGTATACTTATATGAAATCATACATCGTGATGACGGCAGAAAACTAAGCCTTAGTGCAGAGTAATTTCCATCTACCTATTCATTTATGTATTTGACCGTTGATTAGTTCAACCTGTCCAGGGTGATTGTGCATTGCTGTCATTTTTCTTTCTCTCGTTTCTTAGATATATATGGATTTCATTGATACGATTCCCTGTCATATGAATCGCTTCACGTATGGTGACCAATATGTCATAGCTATGAATAATGTTTCTCAATCGAACTGACTGACAACGAAAGAATGAATTTCTTAGAACATTTTGCTGAAATAACAAGACTCAGTGCGTTGAATATCCTATTGCATGTTGTACCTCTTTCGATATCTGAATCAAATGGCTAGCGATCATTTGTCCACAGGTAGAGTTAATTGAATAATGCCCGTTTTGGGGTGGTATTGTTCGAGCATGTCGACAATTGAGTAAAGAAATTTAAAAAAAGAAACGTATTTTTCCCTGTTCGTAAGAGAAAACTGTCAGATAGTTGCCGGTACTAATCTTTCATTAACTCGATATATTACTTAGACTACTTTTGATGTCGATTATATTGAATTAAGCAGTCAAAGTAAACTTTTTGTCTTCTTTCATCTTCGCTTTCTTCTTTTGATATAATCACAATACATGTAAGTACCATTCTCGTGATGCTACAACACAGTAGTATTCGTTGAAATATTCAATGGTAAACCATCGTCTATTTTCATATTTGATAACGTAATACTTGGTCCTTGTACTTCCATATTTGTTTTTCCCGTGTCTAAAGATTTGACTCCATAATGTTCATAGATAAGTGTAACAACTGCTAGTGACGCAAGAGTGATTAAACCGAACAATTGAATTTGAATTGAAATATATGCTTGAGTCACATATATCAATGCCGTACCAGCTGATTGAAATATTCTCAACGATGCAAATGCATCTGCAGGTCGAGTGAATCCATAAAAGACGGCAAGTGTCGAAAATAGTTGGGACGTAAATAAGCTATCTCCGACTGCTAGACCAGCGACTATGATGATAAATATCTCGATGCGTGTTTGATCCAATGGTGGCTTCCACTTAGTTAATAAAAGTGCATAAATAACCGTATGAGAAAATGCACCTAGAATGAAAACGTCCAAGCGACGTATACGCGAATCACTCAATCTGCCGAACACGATCGAGCAAACAGCAGTGACTATTCCATAGAAAGCAAAGATAAGAAATTTTCTACTATTATCAATAATCAATGGTGGAATTGCAGCATAGATAAATCCTTGGGATAAACCAAGGTAAGAAATCGATGGTACAAGTAACACAAATGGCAAGTCCCAAAGTATAGTTAGCCGTGATAAAACCGACCGTTGATCTAAGTGCAAAAATAGCATTTCTGTTATAAAATCGATATAAATAAAGGTAAAACCTGTGTTTTTAGGCATTCTCATTGGCCGAAGGCAAATTAAACTAAAGGTTCCTAATCCAGCAATAGCTGTCATGATGGCGAAAATAATCCATTGCGATAACTTCGAATAAAACAGAAAGGACATCAGTAGGTTGCCCAGTGTTTGATGTAGATAAAACAGGCCCAAAAAGACTCCATTAATAAAACCTCGTGTTGACGATGGAGCTAAACCATTTACTTGCTCATGTTCATTCGTTGCTAGTGTTACATACACACCTTGTGCAGTCCAAAATAATGCAGCACCAAGACCGAGTAAGAATGATGAAGTGTACAGCATCCATGGATAGTATTTAATATTAGCAGCGATGAAAAATACGTATGTCAGGCTAGACACAATCAATGTCAAACGTATACCTAATAGATGAGTCAGATGCGAGGAAAGGGCTAAGTTTGTCGAACAAAACACAATGTAGATAATTCCGACTGCAAATGCTCCATCTTTTGCGTGGTCAGATGACGTTTGAAATAATTGTGTTACACCAAACGACATAAATATCAAAACGAATGAAAAACTTATATGAATTACATTATAGATATTCGATCGATTCATGTTGTTGCCTCAGTGAATGTAATAATCGAGGAAGGCCTCCTTTGATTCTAATCTAAAATACGTTTTCTTATCAATCTTACTAGCCAATAAACACAAATCGATTCCGTATGCTTCATTCTCATTCTCTCGAACATAAAACGTAGAAAAAAAAACGAAATCTAATCGAACGGATCCCTGACGGTCTGAATTCCTTTGAACATTCTCATTGATCTTTCGTAACATTGCCAAACAAGCAGAACATTTATATACAAATGTCAAAATTATCAATAAACATTCCACATACTATAATTACAAGCATTATCGACAGTAGTCTTTCGTTAATTAACCCGAACGATTCCGATAAAAATCAATATGTATAGTCAACAAAGTTTTCATAGCATTTTTCGATGGCATTCATCGTTCATTCAATCATATAAAAGGTTACAATGTTTGATGAATACTAATCATTCAATCTGATATCAGTTGCATAGTTTATTATTACGTTACTAAAGTGTGTTTAGTGGTAACAAAAGACACAAGGAAAAAGATTCCATGTCGATGTTTTTACCTCGTTTTGATTCATTGATTTTCACATTCAAAAAAAAACAACAAGAAACAAACAAATGAGAAATGTATCAAACTACGAAGGTGCACATGTATACACATTCATGTATATGTATATATATATCAAAAAGTAAAGAGAGAAAGAAGAAAAGACACACATACATTCAGACGCACATAGACATGAATTTATATTTTTTGTTACGTTTTTTTTTGCGAATGGCTTAGATGTACAAAGATAAGAAAAGAAAACGATATGATTATTGTCATTCTGAAGTTGAGACGGAAGTATTTAATTTTGTTGTTCGTCAGTCAAATTTTGCACAAAATTAAACGAGTGGGACGATATTGCGAATAAAAATCAATTTCATTGAGTGGATTGTCAAATAAGAAAGGCAAACAAAACGCAGAATATATGTACACAATCAGGAAGACATTGTGGAAAAATTTAAACGTTTAAGTCGTTCGAGTACTTGAGCAAATGATGGCCGACGGTCAGGATCAGCGTGCCAAGCCTGACGCATAATATCTGCTATCTCAAGTGGACAACCATCGGGCGGCTCCATTCGATGTCCTTGTTTCAAATTGAGTAGAACATCATTCGCCGACTAAATATACGAACGATTCATTCGGAAAATACGTCGTTTACACAAACAGCAACTTACAATACGTGGATAAGGACATCGACCATAGGAAAAGATTTCCCAAAGAAGAATACCAAAAGACCACATATCACTTTTATGAGTGTATCTCTAGGAGAAAACGAGCCAGTTGTAGATGAACATATTTCAAAGAAAATAGAAAAACGAACTTTAGATTCCAATGCTTCAGGTGCTGTCCATTTAGTTCGACATTTAATTTTTTCTGTGGTGATTATATTCCCATTAGAATCTTTATTTCCATTCTCTTTTCCTGTATTTTCGACAAATTTCGCCAAACCAAAATCAGCAACTTTCGCTGTATTATCGTCGGCAATAAGCACGTTGCTTGCAGCTACATCCCGATGGACAATATGATTTTGTTCTAAATACGTTAAACCTTCGCATGTATCACTAAATAAAAATGTTCAATTTTTTCACAAAGAAATTTTATGGATGAAAGTTACATAGAGAATCCGAGAAGATCTTTTTGTGATATAACCGATCGACCGCGTGTAGTTAAATAATGGAGGAGTGACCCTTTGACCATAAATTCTGTTACTAAATAGATAATATTGTCCGGTTTTTGCGCCACACCTAAGAAATGGACTAAATTTGGATGTTTCAACGCACTATAAAGAACAAATCAATAGTTCTATTTAAAAGTCATATAATGTAAACCTCATTATATCGGCTTCATGAAGAAACAGAGCAGCCGAAGTCGGTTCTTTGAGAATTTTGATGGCTACACGAGATTTTCTGTAGGTACCTTCATACACTTCTATAAGAAGTCAAAATAGATGTGGCTAGAAAATCTATTGTTTTATTAATTGATCGTATACTTTACCAGCGAATTCTCCTGATCCGATCAATTTTCCTACGTAAAGTTCTCGATAATCAATAGTCGATGATGTTTGAGACGGGACAATAACAACTGGCGGTGGATGTTGTTGAACTGTTCCTCCAATTTTTATAGAATCAATTGTATCTAATCTGTTATTTAATGCTTTCTCTAACCGACAGCACAAGCCATCAGCATCAAGTTCATAATGCTAAAATAACTCGTTCAAATAAAAAAGTTGCTCACAATAAATCAATTACCTCAACAAGTAATCGAAGGTCTGGAAAGTAAATTTCATCATCTACTGTATATGTCTGTCGGATTGGGTCGAGCTTCACTCGATAATGTTGAATTTTGGCATCATCTTTTATTGATAATGTTAGATCTCCTGGATAGTGTTCACTTTCTCGTATGAGAAATGTTCCAACTAGTTCATCGATTAATAACTGTTCAGCACGTATTCGTGGTAGTTTACCGAAATTCCAACTGTAAGAGGACGAATTCGACTTCAATTGTGATTTCGGTGACCTAAATTAGTCGAAAAGAGAGGCAATAATGAGTAGTCAGTTTTTCGCTACTTACGGCACTCTTATTATCGTTGGTGCCAAATTTTCATCGTCGTTAACCATCGGTATATGTAGATATCAAATACGTGCTAAGATATATTGAAATACACGAACGAACGAAAGAAAATAAACAGGAAGGAAAGAAAAAAAAATCGCGACGAGTAGTTTTGTTCAATTCGAATTTTCTCATTGGACAATCGTATAAACCAATCGAATCATTTGATTTCAAGTCATCTATGCATTTTGAACTGTCTAGAATTAACCTCCTCTGTCAGACATCGATCAATCTCGAAGTATGGCTTTTGTCAGCTGCTATACGATTGCTCTGTTTAATGATTGAAACGGACACATTATATATATATTGATTGATTCTTTTGTTTCCCTATTGATGTTCATTCTAGATAATCAGATTTAAAAATTCGTTCGAAGCCTATTCGGTTTTTTAACTTCTGTTCTTTTTCAACTAACAATTATACATTTTAAATCGAACAATAAAATTATGATGGAAAGTATGTTACGAAATGACATAGAAAGTGGTGTTCTTTCATTGTCAATTGTTTTCTTTTCTTGTAGACGACGTGTAATACAAAAACAAACATACACAATGTTTAATAACAGTAGCAGTAATAATCGTTCCACTACAGGTGCTGGTAGTGGCTATGAATTCAGTGTAAATGATGTATGCGATCGATTGGAAAAAGAATTTTCACATATGCAAACTGAACGAGCACAATTACGAATCGAATGTGAAAAGTTAAATGCAGAAAAAAATGAAGCACAGAGACAATACTGTCTTTACTATGAAATGGCTTATCGTTTATCTTACGAAATGCACAGACAAACGGAAATTAGTAAGCGTCTAGCGGCATTGTTACATCAAATCATTCCTTATTTGACACCCGAACAACAAGCACATGCACTACCGGCATTGGAACGTGCCAAACAAGTAACAGCAAATGATCTTAACAGGTAAATTAAACTTCTATTTGATTTTTCTTTTTTTGGGTTTGTTTTTCGTTTTTATTGAAGTGTCATTCAACAACAATTTCACGCACAAGCTACAGCTGTTGCTCTAGCAGCTGCATCCAATTCATCTTCACCTAGTGCTGGTCTTCCACCATTGCCGAGTGGAATTCCTGGTTTGCCTGCTGGTCTGGGTGCAGCACCTCATCTTCAACTTCCCGGTCCACCAGGTCTTCCAAGTGCTGCTGCTGCTGCAGCTGCCGCTGCCGGTCTTCCGCCTGGCATGTTAAACTATACGTCAGTACTGAGCAGTCTAGCTTCTCAATATACACCTGGCCTAAAAGACGAAGGTGTTTTATCTCTTGCCAAAGATAATGCATCATCCCCACGTGCACATAATAACACTGAATTTACATTTTCATCAAAACATAATTCCAGTAGCGGTCGATCATCGACAAATGGAAAATCTTCCAAGCATCGACCCTCGAGTAATAGTAGTCATGCTCCGAAACCAACAAAGCCGTCGAACGCAGAAAGTGATGGCGAACGAAGCGAATCCGACCTAGTAATTGATACGAGTGTTGGCGCTCCAAAACATGCAAATGGTGGCAGCAGTTCAGGTGGCGGACTTCTTTTACTAAATGGAGTCAAATCAGAAACAGCTGATAATATCACAGGCTCGGTGACAGCAAATGAAACAATACAAGCATTCTCTGCTAATGGCGCGGGCAGCGGGTCGTCGAAAGCACGTCGTGACCGTAGTCCAATGTCGGATAAGGATGGTTCACAACGAAGTAGCACCTCGTCATCAGCAGTGAAAAAGGAACGAAATACACCACAACCAAATAAATCAATGACACCGACAGCGGCAAGTAACCCTGTCCCACCAAATCTCGGTATTCCACCTATGCCAGGAGGTGGTGTATTGGGTTTACCACCTGGACTTGCTGGACGTATGCCCACGGGTGCTCCATTCGGGTATGTTCTGCTGCTTAGAAAGAAAAATATCTCGTTATTTGTCACTAAATATTCTTTTTTATCTAATTTAGTTTCAATCCAGGCCCATTTTCATCACCTGAAGCATTGGCGGCTGCATTCGGTGCACTCGGCCCTCATCATGGTAATCCATTAAATCCGTTTGGCCCATTCGCTCATCCGCTAGCACAAGCGGAAGTTGCCCAAGCGATGGCAATGGCAGCACAACATCAGCATGCCCAACAGATGGCTCAAGCGCAAGCAGCCGCTGCAGCTTCCGCTGCTGCTGCTCAAGCGGCCGCGGTGGCAGCAGCTCAACGGCAACAGCAACAACTACAACAACATGGGCCCAACAATCATCATCCGTTAGTGAATCAAGCATATTCAATTTTCACTACGAGCGATAGTCAAGGCAATCCTGTGGTAACACCTGTAAATATGACACCTGAAGCATTAACAGGTCCTAATATCCCAACATCAGCTCGTGAGTTAGCTACATTAATGCATGGTGAAGTCGTTTGTGCAGTAACAATAAGTGAACCGTCAAAACGCATCTATACAGTAAGTAGCGATTAATTATAACAAAATCAACAGAAAAAAGATTAATATGCAATTTTTTCTTTCTCTAGGGCGGTAAAGGCTGTGTGAAAGTTTGGGATTTGAAACAGACGGGTACTGTTCGAACACCAGTTTCGTATTTCAAATGTCTCAATGATGACAGTTATATACGTTTTTGTAAATTACTCTCTGACGATCGTACACTTGTTGTCGGCGGCGAAGCAAATGTTATTTCTATTTGTGATCTATCAGCAGTTACTGGTGGATCAGCAAGTAATACACGTTCATCGACACCAAACTCGAATGCTTCATCACCATCGAATCGACCACCTTCGTCAACATCACCACGCATTAAAGGTGAATTGAAGCTAAATGCTCCTGCCTGCTATGCCTTAGCACTTGGTCCATCCGATTCCAAACTCTGTTATTGTTGTTGCTCAGATGGCTCTATAGCTATTTATGATATTCATAATCAATCACTGGTAAAATCAATCGTTGGTCACAGTAAGTTACATTCCTTTCTTACAACTTGATCTGAAGGAAGAAACGAAAATTTTCCCTATTTATTGCAGCTGATGGTACATCCTGTATTGATATTGCTCCGGATGGTCGAACAATGTGGACGGGTGGATTAGATAACACTGTTCGCTGTTGGGATCTTCGTAATGACTATGCACCGCTTCAAACCTATGAATTCGATTCGCAAATATTCACCTTGGGCTACTGTCCGACAGGTGATTGGCTTGCTGTTGGAATGGAGTCCTCAACAGTAGAATTAATCGATATTTCTTCTACAGCAAATGGTTCAGCAAGTCCATCAATGAAGAAATCTTACGATAAATATACGCTAAGTTTACATGAAAGTTGCGTATTAGCACTTAAGTTTGCTCATCAAGGCAAATGGTTTATATCAGCTGGCAAAGATAATTATATCCATTGCTGTCGCACACCTACTGGTCTTCTCTTATTTCAATCAAAAGAATCTTCAAGCGTTCTTTGTTGTGACATATCTGCTGACGATCGATATATTTTGACAGGTTCGGGCGATAAGAAAGCCACACTTTACGAAGTCACATATTAAAGTTTTTTTTTCTTTATCTGTACCTGTCTGTGAGTTAACCTCTCCTTTTCTCAATGTTGTTTGTCACTAGTGGCTGTGCACTGTTTTTGCAAAAACAAAATCTTTTTTCTTTCTTTCTTTCTCTTCTTCCTTCGTTCTCATTTTTTTTTCGTTTATTATCTTGTACATAATGTACAACTAGACAGGTAGTAGAATTGATCTGCGCTATGTTTTTTCTCTCTCTGTCTCTCGATTTTACCAGTCAACACACATATTCGTCTTCGTTTTTGTTTCTTACTCTCAAATATGTGTGTTCGTAATACGCGCGTTCTCGTTTTCGATGTGTTTAATGTCTACTACTACAACAAACATTCGTCGTCTACTTCTGCTGTCTCATTCTTTTTTCATCTATTCACTAATGTGTTTGTCAAAATGAATTTATTATCGAGGATGATGAACAAAACAAAGAAAAAAATCTCGAAATAATCATCAATGACTTTCTGTGCATGGAAAATATTTTCGTTAGATAAATTCTTGAGTCGATGTAAACTATCATTTCATTTTTAAAATGAAATTCTCTTGATCATCGTGTTCAATATTCAAGAGGTACTTGGAAATCACATATGTGTTAATCGTTGAAAAAACACTTCAATGGAAGTTGCGTTTGTTTTTCAAGGTGATCGAAGAACGTTACTCGTCATTTTTCTTTCTCGTGTTGAGTAAGTATCATTGACGAAATCAAACACTTGAAAAATATAAGACGTTGCGCAAACCGTTTGAAAGGAATCTGTTGACAGAGAATCTTTTACACCGGTACAAACAGGAATACAAAATTGATTCATTCTCAAATATTCGCTAATTAGCCTAATGAATACTCATCTAATCACCAGTAATAGCAATTTGATCTAACTTAATGGCCTTCATTTTTAAATTATCTCAAGTTTTTTCTTAATTATGCATAATTATATTTCAATAAACAAGATCGAATCTGTTATTACTATTAATTTTAAAGAAAAATGTACAGAGATGAAATAATATTAAAAGATTTCTCACAGTCCTATCTTTTATACCCATAAACTTTTCTTGACAAAGAAAGCAAATCGACTTTTAGTCATTCAGGATTATTATCATCGAATCAGACAGCAATTAGCCGAAGATGCATATTTGATCAGTTAAAGGGTTTGCTGTCGAGCAACCTGAGGCTGTATTAAAGCGTTTTCCCTCCTTCCCTCCCTCCCTTTTTCTCTCTATTTCTTCCCGTCTTTCGTTTTTTTTTCGTTTTGCTCGATTGATAATTGATCAATTGACAAATGTGCACATACATCTACCTGTATGTACATGCATGAATATGACTTGCCCAGTAGTGTTCGATCTACGTCACAAACGTATAGAGACGTATGAGAGAAAAAAGCTATAGAAGGAGACGGCAAGAGAGAAAGAGAGAGAGAGAAAAAGAAAACGAGTGCAAAGATTAGACACATCAACGACGACGGTGTCGACGTCAAGCAAGGTTGTGGTTTGTTCCCTTCGAATGCACCAGTAAGCGGTCTTTGTACAAGTTCAATAAGCATAGACATAGAGATATCGAACCCGAAAGAAAACGTCGAAGTTTAATTAGTGGTAGATTCAAATAGCCTTGGTTATATATCAACAAGGATTGAAGAGAAACGAAAGAAGTAAAAAAGAATATGACGTTAATAATAATATATAGGTTAGCCTATAGAAACAATCTGTTTTATGACATATTCCTAGATCATGCTTAAATTAGTACACGAAGTATTTCACTACACTTTAATTCTCGAAGATCTCATATAATCCAAATCTGTATATTTTTAGGATTGACAACTAGCCGGCGTGCATGACAACTTACATGCACTGCCGGCCATGCACTGGCAGTGATATTCCTACGTGCTCATGTTCATTGTTTTTCTTTCATTCGAATTACTTTGTCACCTCACAGTATCCAACATTCATTGCACCAGCCTATCATCATGATCGAACATCGTCGCCGTCAGAAATACCAGGACGTCGTCGACGATTGGAAGATCCAATAATCACGCATGCTTCGAATTATTACGCTACTTTACCACATCAAATATCTCAGTCGATAACACAATCTTTTCCGTCACCACCTACGCCGCCTCCTTTACCATCTCCTCGTCGAATTTATCAGCAATCGAATCGTAAGGATGACTATTGCGATCTTTTCAATCTTCTCGACCGCCCACCCTCGCCCATAAGACCAAGAAGAAAACATGTTAACAGTCATGCTAACTCACGTCGTCATCATCGTCCGCCAGTCGATATAAAAAATGTTCACATAAAACAAGTGAAAGATGCGAATGATCGTAAATCTAATCATCATCGTCAATTATCTTCTTGTCAAACTAAAGAACATTCGAATGATATATTGTTATCAAAAGACAAAACAAAGCAAACTAATGAGATTTGCCAACGACGCAGAACAAACAAAGGATTCTTTCGACGAGTAATGCACAATTATTTTTGTATGCCTTCTCCAAGCGCTACTAATGGCTATTCGAGTTAGTTCCAAAAGAGAAAGTTTATATCAGGGATAAAAATGTTCAATGATTCAAATAAAATCGAAGTTGATTTCAAAGGTTAACAGCTATGTATGATGTTCGAGAATTAGTCAAAATTTGTTTTTCTATCGACTGTAGTGATTCGATGATTTTTCCACTAAATCATTGTTTCTAACCTTCACCGTATCATACATATTACACTGAAATTCTAGCAAAAGTGTTTTTTTTTTGTTTTTGAATTGATTGTAAATAAACAAATAAAAAAAAATGAAATTAATTACAATTATATCTGAAAGAAATTTAAGACAGATTTTTTTTGTCATGATCTAATTGTACTATTCTCAGTCCTTGCCATTTGTTAAAATGTGTGTCGTATTGATTTTTAGATGGTAATCGATGATGAGAAAAACAAGCAAGTTGTTCTAATTGTAATGAAAGGTCGAATTTAGTCCTAGAGTTCAGTAGGACACATCTTACTTCAAGGCTAAAGATTCATTTATTATCAAAATTCAAAAATGCTGAAGCAGCTCGCTCACAACCGATTTCTATTTTGTTCTAATTTAAATGCTTTCATGGTCAATGTTACTTCGGCCAAAACACCAGTATAAAATCAAACCTTGAAAAGAGAAGGAAAGACATGTAAATCAGACTATTCTACAGCATACCTCCAATTGGAAAAAAGAATATGATCAATGTCCAGACGAGTTTTCCGCAACAATCATGATTGCTTTGTGTAAGCAATTCAAAGATTGCCACAACATCAAGAACCAAAATAATCTAAAAAGAATCACATTGTAGAATTTCAAACAAAGTTCATAGGGAACCTGTATCTTACTAAACCACAAATACCGCCAAGAGTCGACAAAACCAGACTTCCCATATTAGCTTCCACACTAGGAATCAAGCTAATTCCTAAGAAGAATATCATTAGAACACCAGATAATTCCATGTTGATAAAAAGATCTACATGAGAAAAATCGAAAACTAATCATTAAGGTATAACTTCTATCGAGGCGATTATAAAAATACTCTTCATAACATCGTTATTAATCGAGCCTGTGTGACTTTAGGAAAAAAATATATAGCTGAATACGACTTTTTTATACGTCACGGGAGCAAGTTACAATCGCCATTCCTTTATCGCTCACTAGGGAATAAACGAAACAAATCTCAATCATCGCACGTTTCTTGTGTCTCTCCATGCAAAAAAGAGCGTCGGGTAAACGATAGCACATAGACGAATGTTCAAACGTAAAAAAGAAACAAAACAAAAATATAATCAAATTATCAGCTGTCTTTATCCAATTTGAACAATTTCTGATAGGACTGGCGGTGTCGATTTCTGAATATTTGTTAACCTGAACTAGTTTCAGAATGTCATTACACAATGATATTTTTCACCGAGGGTATATTTTATAGTTATATGTTTTAGTCACGGTTGACTGCAAACAGCATATTCTTTTGGTTTGATCAGACGGTGATAAATAAATATCGCACGATGATATTTGGGCAAAAATGATAAGAAAATGCTTCGATTAGGAGTCATATCAATTTGTTTATGTGGTGTCTCGAACTATCGTGATATGGCTTGCCAGAGTAACGTCTACTCAGTAAAATCATATTGCACTATTACAGAAAAGATTTATGACTAACCTATTAAAGTAAATCGCTTTTTTTACATAATTCTCTGGTTTGTGGCGCTAACTCCACATTGATCAAATTAAGAGCGTCCAATACCAGACAGTCGGAGTCTTGTTGTTCTAGCAATGTTAATAATCGATAAACGTCTAAATGATAGAAAATTTTTCTCAATTATTGACTTGATAAATATATATGTTCCGGTGACGATCGATAAAAGGAATAAATCGACTATTTCCTTCCAAAATCTGGCTCAATTCCAAATTGAAATGAAATTTTCGACAAAATTAATTCAGATGACGTCGTCCATTTCTAGCTACTACAAGTAACGCTACGTAAACGTCGCGAGTCCTCTACTGGAAGGATGGGATCCGATTTAACGTTTCTAAACAGGTGTATACGACCCAAAATACATCATTCGACAGTATTCACATAGTGAGAACATTGATTCCTACCATTCCAGCTATTTCTCTATATATATTCTTCGTACTGCAGCGAACGAACCTAGATTACACACTACATGTATCATCTGCCCCTCAGGCGCCATCGGAAATTTGATTTTCTGGCAAAATCAATTTCAGGATTAAAATTCAAAAGTATCAACCCTCTCCCCGAATCAGTAATCAATTTCATTTACCGACTTCAGGCATCAACCACACGAAAACTATCGCTTAAAACAAGTACCTGTCTATATCGATCCTTAACTCCACAGAAACTACGCGTCCCGAACTGCTACAACAGCCTGGTCGTATTATCACCGTCGCCGCCATCAGATTACCCACGCTAACGAAATGTTGCAACACACCAATCCTTTGATTGTTTTTAACTCAACTATTAGAATGATCGTCTGTTCAAATCACACCATTCCTCTCGCGCAGTCGTAGCGTTACCTTAGGATTCCCATCAATCCGGTAAATGTGGTCAGCAAAATTAAATACCAACAATTTCTGACGAACACATGGAATACACCATCCCCATTGTTCGCATTCTTCTCCATTTCACTTCAAATAAGTTCCACTTAATATTGAACCCGTTTCCTGCCAGCTCATACTCACCATCTGCTCCACAACAAAGGTCAGGATTTGAGTGAGTCGATGTTTTTTACTATAAACACCACTGATAGGCTCCTTCCTTCGATGTCAGTCGATGCACTATTGGCAGATGAGTCCATAATTTCTCCTCTTTTAAGAGTGTCCTCCTTTGAGTTGACTTTTTTGTAGAACAGCTCGCCGATTCAGCCAGAATTTGAGTGAGTCGACGTTTTTCGCTATAAACACCACCGAGAGGCCTCTTCTTTCGATGTCAGTCGATGCAGTATGGTTAGATCAGTCTAGAGTTTGTCGGGTTTTAAAAATGTCTGGTTTCTCGTTCACTTATGATTGAAGCAGTTTCCCGAATGAGACAGTATTTGGGTTAGTGGACATTTGTCACTGTAGGTATGAACGGTAGAATTTTTCTTGTGATTCTAAGCGATGCGGTGGGAGTAGTTGGCTGGCGGTTTGTGGGCTTTCTAGTGTGGACACTTTGCTTTTGTTTTATGTTAGAATATGCACTTAAGAAGAGTTCTGGTGGAATGATTTGGTAGGAAAAGTAGTTGTATGAATATGACACTTCAGTATCATGATTCTCGCTGAGTTCGTAATCGATCTAAGTTAATGATTTGAAGCATGAACTGCGTTAAGATTGTCTTGCCTAAGAAGTATCGTTATATGGCAATAGTTATTTTGATAGAAGTTACTGGCCCCGACGTCATTCATCAGTTTATCGGGAGCACTCATATAATTAATAAAAGGGAAGATCACGCGAAAGAAAAAGATAAAGTGTTTTTGTTACAATGTAAGAATACATGAATGCATGTTAGTTTGACATAGAATAAAAAACAGAAGGGTAGAAAGACACTATCATGTTTTTAGAATAAGAAACATAGAAGTGGAAAAGAAATTTTAATGTTTTTTTTTGTAATCTTGAATATGAATGTATAAGAAAAAAGAAAAGAAAAATTGTTACACATCTGCGACATAGGTTTTCACGTCGATATCTTCTTTGGTTTCAGTTGATTTGATTATCTTCATCCGTACTGGAGCACCATGATTTGAGTGATTTCTAGCTTCTTGCCTTTTTTTATAAATCCAGGGAATCGTGTATAAGGCGATGGCGAAAGCCAACATTCCAGCAGCAACGAGAAAAAGAATCTTGATGGCATGTATACTCCATTTGGCATGCGAAATTATCTTCCCCGAGACCAGATCGATTACATTTTGTGGATTGTAAAAACATTCAGTGCGAGAGCCAAGCTGAAAAAAAAGCAAAAATTATAATCATTTCAATATGTTACAGACAAATGAAAGTGTATACTTCTCTAGGATATTCTGGTTCCACAGTGTAGCTGAAACGAATTTCACGATTTACAAGTGTCCCATTCCCAATTAAATATGAGATGTGAAATTCCTCAATAGTTTTATCTTTAGTCACACAAGTGGCACCAGGACCACTCATGCTGCCACACGCTGTATTTTCATAATCAAACTGTGTATAGTTTGTTATCAAACAGCTCGTACGCACATAGTGTTGGTATGCATGGCGTGCTTCAGTAGAGTCATGAAGCACCATCATGCCAAAAAAAAAGGCTATTGCGGAAATAAGAAGCACAATCAGCTTCACTACCTCTAGAAGCGTACGCTTTGTGCATGACATTGCGTAAATGAATCTATGCTATCTGAAATAAAATTAATTACTTTTAAAGGTAATTATATACAGTAAACCACATGAAGTGTGGGTGTTGGCGGGGATCTCTCCCGATGAGGGTGCGGGGCGGATGTCATTAGGATCTGATTTGATTGAAAAGCATTCGAATACCCCCAGTACTCTGGCCTAAGTCATGGGTGATATTATATCTGATCTCTTTTTGTTCTCGTCTATTTGTGCATGCCCAGGTCGATCATTCCGACGACCGGATCCGTTGAAATCTGAGTGGGTTCCGGTACAGCTCTTCTCGATTCCGGCACAGTTTTCGCCGATTCCAGCAAGCTCCGGCAGATTCATTGCCGCCGGACTCCGACCGTGCCATAATAACCTGGGGAATAATACGAACTTATCTTACTGACTTTCCATTCCGCCTCCTTTCTTAGAAAGTTTCCGTGGAATGCCAGCTTATCTTGCATTGACCACGAAAAGTAATTCATTTGCTATTCTGATCTATCTCTTTTTTCATTTAGTTGAAAAAGCCTCACCTTAGTCGCAGGACGAGAGCGAGTTATATCATCGCTACTACACTGTAAAAAATAAACGTAGAATACAAAACCCTTCAAAAGGGTTTATCAGCTACTTAAACCATTTCACATACTCTTTTTCGCCTTTTTATCTCCATAAACCCTCTCATCAACCCTTTAAGCTGATCAACCCTATCAAGGGTATTTGATACGTTGCACTTTCCTACAGAAAAGCGTTTTTTACTCGTCAGTTATTTCTAAAGGGTAGATTATTAAACAGATTTACAAAGGGTTTATGAAGTAGATAAACCTCTGAGGGTTTAATCAGTACTCATATACCCTAAAAGTGTATGAAAGTGCAACGTATCAAATACCCTTGATAGGGTTGATCAGCTTAAAGGGTTGATGAGAGGGTTTATGGAGATAAAAAGGCGAAAATGAGTATGTGAAAGGGTTTAATTAGCTAATAAACCCTTTTGAAGGGTTTTGTATTCTACGTTTATTTTTTACAGTGTAGACCTTTTTATAGGCGAGTTCGATTGCATTTTTGTCCTGAGCTAGTGGGTTTTTTTACAATACATTTGTGACATCATTTGATTGATATGGTGATAGGATACCCACCAATCGACGCAATATAATTATTAAGACTAATATGAATTCATTGGGGTTTTTTCTATATTGGTAATTGTTGATTCAGGTAGATGACAAATCACATTTTCATAAAAAATATACGCTTTTACCAACGTAGATAGGAGTAGGAAATACTCACTATCATTGTTAGTGTTGGTGATTTGTTCTCGAAAATGACCAGGATCTGATCAGGGAAATCAACACGTCATCTTGGGTTTTATGTAAGGATATTTCCATGCACTTTCACGGTATTTTCCTTTCCTTCACATGCGTCAATATATATATGCAAGTATGTGATTTGCTCTCGTGTTACTTCTAACTATTCTGTTCTCGTTCGTTTTCTAGTTCTTCTTCCTTTACAAATAAACGAGAGGTTTTCCCTTATATTTCGGAAAACTTACAGTTAGGAAACAGAAGAATTTCACTTTAATAAAATAACAACGAATTGGAGAATTGCCATCCCATCTTCAGTTGTATATTAAATTCTATCATCTCTAAAACTGACACTATTTTAAAACCAATAATAAAGTTTTTTGGTCTGATTCATCTGAATAATTGTTACTGGTTATTATTTTCACACTTATTTTCTCCGAACTAGGAAAGACACTGAAAAGTCTAACATATCCAAATCAGTGTGAAGCTTAGCACGAAGGAGCTGGCACGAACAAACGATATATTAATTTAAAACTGTTTTACTAAGCATGCCCCGTGCATGGAAACTACACCGTTCGACTCAGATTTAAATTCTGCATCGAATGATAGTATTTCAGCTCGAGATAGCATGAACCTATAATCACTTGCGAGACCACAGAAACAGCTATTGCCATTCTTTGTATCTATTTTATTTTCGACATCAGTACGAAAAAATCAAATGATGAACATCAAAATCACAATCATGTATAAAATATGAAAGTTCAATTACACAAATGAACTGTAAATGTTTTGATCACTGGTGTGTCCACGGATTTGGTGATGTTCAGTCGGACACCGTTTACTAACTGTGCTCCAATTGACCAGATGTCAATCTTCTTGTTTCCGACACTGGTACCTTTTGCCACGGTGATCCATTGATCAGAATGTGTTGCATTGACTAGTTGTATGTCGACAGTGTAAGCTCGAATGACTTGTCCATTTGTTTGATCTTCTTGAATGACTGAGCGATCGACGGTGACAGGTGTTGCATCGAATCGTAGGATGTGAAGCGAGGAGTCTCGGACGATGAGTTGTTGTGTAGGTGTGACTGAGGTACCATAGCAGGAACGAATGAAATCACCGAGTTCTTTATAACGACGTGCATATTCTGGTGGGATGATACCAGTTCGATCAGGTGTAAGATCTAACATCAAGATGCAATTTCGTCCAACTGTTTCATGATAAACTTGAATAAGTTCTGACAATGGACGAAGTGTTGCGTTGATACCCTAAAGAAGAAACGATTACACATAATATTTTATCGATCGTACAGAAGTGAAATCGTACCCAAAACCATCGATCGTGATTCTGAAGTGTTGTATCACATTCTGCAGGACAAAAGATTGGACTATCAGGATCGCCGCCATCGTTAGTTACACCCGTTGACCAGTTTGGATCGGGTGCAATGCCCATTTCCGTGCCAATCCACCGAGCTGGATTTGTCGAAACACCATAGCCATTGAAAGCAATCGCCTGAGGTTGAAGTTCAGCCAATAAAGCAGTTATGGGTTCTTTCATATCTTCTGTATATCTATATAAAATAATCGAAGAATAGATTTTATCATATCGTTAGAACTCACCCTCCATCAAACCAAATTTCTTCTAATTTACCATACCTGGTCCAAATTTCACTCAACTGCTGTAAAACAATATTTTCGTATGTTTTTTGTGTGATATTTACTTGACCTGGTTGCAGCGAACGGTTTTGAACCTAATGTTTCAGATATGACAAGTAAAATGATTTGTTTTGATTGCATCACATCGAACTTACATAGCCTCTATCCACGTCAAACCAGTTATTATTAACAACTGTATAATAAAATCCAGTCCGTATTTGTTTTTTCTTACAACTAGCAATGAATTCTCCCAAAACATCTCTACCCTTCATTGGCGAATAATCAATCGAATATGTATAAGGGATAATTCGACCCGAGGGATTCACTGGAAATTTAACATCCGTAGGTGCCATATGAAATCCACAAGCATGCTTTAATTATCAATGAGAAAAAATAGCTTTGAGAAAAAATAAAAGAGAGAATACTCACTTTTCCAACTAGAACAGCATATTGAGCACCAAAATCAACCATTGTTTGAACCCAATTATCCGTATTCAACAAATATGGTTGAAATAGGGAAATATTTGGAACTATCTGTCCAGTGCATCCATCGCCATCAATATACGTGGCGATATTAAAATGAATAAGTACACCTAGTTCTTGTGCTTGCCACTGAAGCTGTTCAGGTGCTAAAGAGACAAGATTTTATGTCTTTTCATAAACTTAGTAAATGCTCCTACTTGGTAATGCAATTTTCACACCGGTTTTTGGCGAAATTCGATACTTTCCCCAGGGCGAAGGACCGGGTTCTCTCTCTTGAAGGTACCGAAATGAATAATTCTCACATTTCGATATGAACAAGAATAATAAAAGCACAACGATTTTTAACATAACTAAAAACGACGAAAAAATGAACTGAAAATGAAATATGTCTATTTATATCAACATCTTATCATATCTACACTTATCTGACTTTGGTAAAGTCTAATATTATCATATCAAGTGAACAAAGACATTTATTCACCAGCAATTCATTTCTGTGTTCTTTCACGATTATCATCTATCACAGAACACGAAGGAAAAGTGATACAACAAGACAGTCTTTATCATTTCAACGACCTTACATTGTATAGGAGCATATGAGTCTCTTCGTTGGCAGTAAATATTTCTATGAACATATAACCTAGAAAATGGTGTTGATTTCACAAATAGAAATTAAGTATCAAATTGGAGATGTCAGTATATATCAATCCCAATGCATACCTATTTGATCTGATGAATATTCGGTAAAAAACGTTTATTAAGACATGAAAAAAGTTTTTTAGCAATTTATATTTTACATAGTAGTTGATATAGTTTAAATTCCATAGCGATAGCGTTCTGGTGGAATGATCGATATTTTTTCCACATCATCGCCCGAGAGATCGATATTTTCACGTTGATCAGCACAAATATTAGAAAATAAAATACCGCAGAAAGTTCCCAATATTCCGAGTATGCAACCAGCACTGCCGACAGCAATTAATAACGAACTAATAGTAAGCTCGATCGTTTCCCATTGTGGTCTTGTCTCATCTGACGCTTTTGCATCATATTTCACAGGTATAATCGATGTCATTATCAAATAAAATGAGAGAATAGTTGATGTACCTACTAGTGCTGTAAAACCCATCAGTGCTGGCGGAGTTCGTTCACGAGACGCTAAGATACCAACGAGGCCCGTAGCGATAAATACCAAGCCGACCCAAATACCTCTGCCTAAAATACAATTCAAGCATAATCAAACATTTTTGGCATTCGAAATTTTACCCGCTGATGGCCACAATGGATTTTCCACTGCTAATCCGCCACGACTAGTATCATAATGGTATACACTGGGTCTACCCTGGAATAATTCGACAGCAGATAGAATGATGCCTCCGACACCGAGCAAACAAAACAATAATCCACATAATGCAATACTATAAAATCGAAGACCGATCGAGGAGGAGAGCATCTCGAAAAACATGGCGATGGGAAGTGCAGTATGCAGCTAACTACGCTCGATTACTTCGGATGTGTGATAGTTATGAGAAATCATGACTAGAGGAAGAAACTTAGCCAACCATAACGATTAAAATTATCACGTGCGTTTCATTAAGTAAGAAACATACGTTTACCATCAGAGAATCATTTCACTGATCAAAGTTCGTTGCAAGTTTCCATTCAAAATTATGACTCAACATTTAAACAACTACAAAAGAGAATTTCACAACTCATATTTCTCATTTTCGAATGACGTTCCCATAATTGATTCCGTGTTTTTGCACTTATTTCATATTACCTGTAGATTTATTTCGTCTTTTTATTTTACGTCAATATCATGATATCACGCATTGATAAAAAAGAATGTTTCGAATGATACATCGACACCTGTCCTTGACCGAAGCCAAAAGTATCAATTGAGAACAAACTGATTTATTTAGAATTTGACAAATATATAAAGCAAAAAAAGCATATCAGCAAATGCAATGTCTTTTTTAAGGCACCACACGTAACGTTGGTTCCGGTCCGGCAATTGCTCGATCGAATTCATCGTCAACCATATCATCGACCAATGAATAATGTCCACCTGATGACGGTGAATACGGCATCGTACTAAATTCCGTTTCGGTCGGAATTGCTACCGGTGTCGTAGCTTTTCGTCGTCGACTGCCAGTGAGCCAGCAGAATAAGCAAGTACAACGTTCTAACAGTAATTCAATCCAATATGATTCTGTCCAAATGATGACAACTAATTGCATCAAATAAAACGTCGATCGTAGCATAGATGCCAATAGGAATGATCGATACGTTTCATTGATATGTTCCAGATAATATAAATAGACATCATACAAAACGAGTATACAAAGCAGGGATGTAACACGAATAGTCCAGAGTTTTTCTCCTGCTGGAATTTGATTTGTACCGCGTAGTAAATAGAAATATTTTAAAACGAAACCGATGACGATCAATGCCGGAATAAAAAAGAAGAAATATATAAATGAACGAGTCGTTGCAATTGATTCCAATTTTGTATAATCATACGGACAATATCTGCTGGTATAATTTGACAATGGCGGCATTGATGGTGCTTGTTTAAATGGTGATGCAAAAGCATAAACGAGCATCATCAGTACCCACGTAAAAACAGCATACAGATGAATAAAAGACATGTAAGAAAATTGTTTAAATTTTTGTTTGTACGATGGATATGCGTACAGAAAACGATCGATAATCATGTAGAGCACGAAAAAGAATGGAACCTACAAATAGAAATCGGATTTTTGGCTGAAAACAAAAATCAACCCAACATACTGTTTCATTTGTTGATAAAATAACATAATGCAGACGACACAGTTTGACAGTAAATATACCAAACCAGTAATAGAGAATAAGAATCAAAGATGGAATCCAAGCAAAAAAGGCACAGAGAACAATGTGTAATGAAAAATAATCGATTGGATTCAAATAGGCACGTGAGCGAATAAATCGAATAGCAATAGGAATCGCCAGAACATAAGTTAGAATGCAGAATGTCCAAATGACAATGTGAATACCGGTCAGAGAATATTTCTCCGGTTCGAGTAAGTCAGCATCTTGATGTTCATACAACTTGGATACATTGAGTAGTCGACTGAGTACATCGAAAATTGTATCATTTTTTGACGTTGAAATAGCTGCTGCTGTTGTTGTTGTTGTTGTTATTGTTGTTGATGTTGATGTTGTCGTCATAGTTGTCGTCGAAACAAATGTCGTTGTGCTAGCCGTCACGTCAGTCATTTTTTATGTCGAAAAAATTGTAACTGGGACAGATGTTCTTAAAAGATTATGATTTTTCCCTTTGCATCGACTTTATGTATGTTCTGTAATGCAATGGAATGTGTTGATCTTCAAATGGTTAGACGACACACACGCGTTGTATGCTTGATTAATTTTGCTTCGACGATTGCTTTTGTTCTGCACTGTACGGCTGAAACAGAAATAGGAAAGAAAAAAATCCTCACATGACGCTATCGTCGACAGAAAAAAAAAGTGCAGAACAGAACAAACAAACAAAATTTGTAGCTACTACAGAAGCAGTAGTAATCAACACCAAGCGATCGTCTGAGATTATGCTAGAAAAAAACATCACGATGAAAGAGAAACAGCAAGCTAAAGACACGCAATAAGCTACTCTGTTTCTTCCTTCGTTTGAGCACTAGAGATTAGGTCATTGTTATATATTTCTCCAAAGATATACTTCATATCAAATAATTTAAAGAAAGAAAATATCAGAAAAGAATAATTTTCCAGTACACAGTTCTATGAGCAAAACTTTTCTTATTTCTTCGACTTCTTTTCTTGTTTTCCTTTTTTCTTCAATGACGAAAGTTCATGCGACGATTGATATTGCTTTATATTCGGCTTTTCGATCTCGATATCATCAATGGATATTTCGCCACGATTAGGATCGAAAACACTAATTTGTAACAATAAATCAACGAATTCTGTACAACCATGAATGTTTGCCCGTGCGTAATCAAGCACAGAGAATCCATTATCATCTCGAGCATTAATATCAATTGTATGATAAACACTTGACGACAGAAGCAAATGGAAAATTGTTGTGTTATTATGAAAATAAGCAGCATAATGAAGAGCCGTTCGGTTCAAGTTTGTTTCGGCAACATTCGGATCGGTGCCAAGACGAAGATATAATTCAATAATACTTCGTCGTTGAAGATACACAGCAAGGATAAAGCCTGGAAGATAATTTTGAAACAATTGATTTACATCGGCATGGTATTGAACCAAAAGAGTAAAAATACCTTGAAGAAAAACAACAATTTTCTACTGTGAAACGAATACAAAACATACGAGAATATTCATGAATAATCGCTTCGTGTAATGGACTTGTTCCATCATGACTCATTCGATTGACATCAGGATTGCACAGTAACAATGTTGTTAATGTTTCTTCATTTCCGGAAATAGCTGCATAATGCAGCGGCGTTCGACCTAGTACATCAGTGACATAAACTGTATGCATATATTCATAGAGAGCGACGATAATGGCAGCATCACCTATAAATCAAATGAATGCTTTTTCTTTGTGGTTTTGTTTTTTGGTTTTACCTTCGATCGCAGCGAGATGAAGTGCTGAGCGATGTTGTTCGTCGTTGACAACATCGAGCTGCAATGATTGCCGATTATTCGTTGCATCGTCGCGTTGCTTCTTTTTGTTTCGAAATGACGATGTACGTTTACTGAGTTGGCGTGTGAGCTTATTAACGTCTTTCGTGCGAATATAATCAATCGTTGTTGGCGTACATTTTGATGAGGAATGTTTCGATCCCATCCTATCCTATCAATTCTTTTTTTTTCTTCTGAGCTGATGTTCGAGACGTGCCTTGGATTTTTATAGACGAAATTAGTGGTAACAGATGGTATTAGATACAAAGATTCAAATGATGCGAAAAAAACAAAAGTGTAGATGATAATTTATGAATCAGAGTTGCTTTCTCTCCGAAGACTTTTCTTTTGTTCGAAAACAAAGGAAATAAATATGAATTTGATAATGAATTTCTCTCTATGGAATTCAGCGAAATAGAACATGCCTTTCATCTATGTTAGACATGCCGTATTAATATATTAAATGAAGATTAAACAAAGAAGAAACAGAGCGAACAATGATAATATATAAATGACATAAAATCATAACAAAATGAGTAAGAGCAAAAAATGAAAACTTTAGTTTTTTGATTTAGCTGGCAAATACTTCTTTTCTGCGTTGACTAATTCTTGATCATCTTGTAATCGAAATACTTCCTTCACACTGACAATATTTGGCTCGATGTTGATTAAAGTTTGTTCGTTGTAAATTCGTTTCGATGTTGCTTGCATAGCCTTGATACTTGCGCGCAGATTGTGGTTAGCCCAAATTATAGCCGATACGCCCCATTTATGAAATGTTTCCGTCGGAGTTTGATAGTAATTTGTTGGCACAATAATCACTGGTCCTTTATTTTTCCATACCTTCATGAATTCTTCAATTTCTTTCGGTTCTTTCTTTTTGCTATGCATTAGAATGGCATCGGCGCCAGCTGCCAGGTAAGCTTCAGCACGACGAACGGCTTCATCACAACCCCAGCCACTAATAAATGCCTCGACACGTGCCACCACGCAAAAGTTCGGATCTTGTTGGGTGTCTTTCATAGCACGAATTTTCAAAGCGAATTCATCGATATCAGCCAATGGTTGTTCCCGATTGTCCAACAGTGAATTTGTCTTGGGAAACAACTTATCTTCGATGCAAGCACCGGCAATACCCAATTGTTCAAGCTTACGCACGAGACGACGAGCGTTATTGAAGTTGCCAAAGCCAGTATCTGCATCGACCAGTATGGGAATGCTTGTTGCATCGGACATGAATTCTAAAATGTCGAGAACTTGAGTCCATGATGCTTCGTTCGAATCACGAAGACCTAATGAAGCTGACATTGATAAACCGCTTGCCCATATTGCCTAAAGGTAACATTATGATATGAAACTGGCTTTTTTAATGCCGATATTCACAACTTCTTCGTCATTTTCATATACTTCACTGTCATCAAAGTAGCCTCGATCAGTCTGCCAATAGAATGTTTGCGTGAGAATGAAAGCAAATGAAGCGAAAAAATGTCCTTTTAAGTCAAAGCAAGCTTTGTACTTTATAACCAATTTCATTCCTTTCAGACAGTATTCGATTATTCATTTACCGTTGATTATACGGATTCTCGGATATTATGCGAGAAAAAGTACAGAATATTTAAACATATGCGCATGTGAAAAGAGAAGGAAAGTTTTAGATCAATATTTGTTGCATAGAAGAAAAGAATAAACTTTCTGCTCTGGTCATGAACACTACGTGCATTTTCTTTCTACTGCAGAAGTAAAACTTACTTTAAAGCCTGTTTCTTCAACAATTTTTGCGCTTAACGCGCTATGTGCTTCCATGATAAACTCCAATTTCGGTGACAGTAACATTTCTTTCAATTGTGCACTGCGGTCAGTCGAAATCGTTTTTCGATTCGCAGTAGCCACTGTTGAAAGTTGCCGTCCATAATTGATGAGTGCCCGCAAGAAATTTCTGCTCAACATAATGATCAAGACGAAGAATAAATAAATGGTAACACAGTAAGACTCTTTTACTTTCTTTCTCTTTCTTCTCTAAGGAAAAGATAAATGCTTACTGCCTGATGTTGTTCTGTTACTATATATATTTAAGCAAATAGCTATGAAAAACATACATACACACACATACACATACACGTATCTCTCTTTTTCTTTTTTTTTTCTTCTTTTCTCGTTATCACACATCATGGGCGCGTCCGTTTGACTTGATCAACGGTCATTGAGATAACACAGTTGCTGTTTCATCCAAACATAAGCTGAGCTCTCGGAACGACGGTCGATCTAAACTAGACCAGGAAAGACATCGTTCAATCAATGCATAGAGACGATCATTGCAGAGAGTCGGACGCGGAAAGTGCGTGGCAAAACAAAGCACGGACGGCTCGATTCCATTTTGTTTCGAATTCGACCAAACATCGCGAAAAAATTGAAGAACTTCATCGTCGTTCAGATCATGATATGGAATATATAGACCCAGATGAAATAATTCGAACAGAAGTGTACCGAACATAAAAATCGTTGTTTGAATGGACCAATTTTCATCCTGCAACCAAAGGAAAACATGATTGGCTTTTAGTCACAAAAGAAAACAGAAAAAGCAAAGCATTGATTTACTCCTGCAATAATATCACCCGGAAGCCATCGAATGGGAATTTGTTGGACATATCGCGAACTGTATCGATCATCTTTCTTAGCATAATCAGATAATTTTATTGTCTGACTATCAAACAATAGACAATTCGGTAATGTTAAATCACGAATAATGATTTTTAACGATTCAATGTGAACTAATGCTGATATGATTTGATTCAGATAGTCCATTAATGTTCTATTCAAAATAATATGTAGATTTATGTCGATCTTTATGATGTTCTTACGTTAGTGTACTACTATTCTCTGGTAATAATGTTTGACAATGTTCGAAGAGATTCATTTGACTAAATTCACTGACAAGAAAACATCGTTCAGGTGAAACATTTACATAACCAAAACAAGTGACAATATTCGCGTGAGTGATTGATTTCGACAAATTGAAAAACCTAGACAAAGCTAATCATTTCTGTTTGTACGGAATCTCATGTTCATACTCGTTTTTTTCTTCTTCTAGTAGAATAACAGGTGTTTTACTTTGACCGTATTCACTATAGAAACACTAAATGCAATACATTAGAGAACATCGAAACGGAGCGTGTTCTTAACAAATACCTCATGATGATTTTGTACACCAAGATTTTGTATGATAATGATGTCACTTGAATCGATTTCTGTGAAACACTCAGTTAGAGAAACAATATTCGAAATCGAATAACGCGATGCTGCTGACTGAATAAACGAAGGTAAAAAAGAAGTTGTTTAAAGTCAACAAAGAAAAAGTTTCATCTACTTGTCGATAGGATGGCAATGCACGGATGGTTGCTCTTGCACTTTCATTTACAATCTTTTCGGCATTGATATATTCCAAACAATTCGATATGACTATGTCATTATCTAAAAATTCGGACTATAGATATGTTTAGTTGATGATAAACGATCTTCATTTACTGTCAAGTTCAGAATAAACATCGCCATGAGATTGACTAGAAGAGACGCAATTCTAATCAATGAAGTGAGAGCAAACATTGTGCATACTTTTGAGTATTATCGTCGTCAGTCGTTGTTGTTACAGATGCTAAGCTTCGAACAGTTTCTCCTACTATTGCTCTACAAAGAACAAGCAATGATGCGAGAAAAGTTCTGAGTTGAGAAGATTTGTCTTACTCTGGTTCATCTTTTTGTTTGCGTGTGAATATACACGAAATAAAGAGAAATATGGCTAATACCGTACAGACCACAATGATTAATAACAAGACATGCAATAATTTCCCATAGACTAAACGAACTAAAAGTGAATTTAAAGGTGAAATCTTTTGAAATCTTACGTTTGATATCATCTGGAATGGAAGTTAATGCTATTGATTCTAATCGGCGAAGATTATTTTCGATATAGATCGACGACGGAACAATATCTTCTTCGTTATTTTCATTTTGATTATGAAAGGTTACTTCACTAAGTGCTAAACCTTCCTTTGTATTGACTTGAATGATTACAAATTGACCTTTTGTTTTCGCAACGGCTAAGATTAAATGTGTGATCGTTGTATTATCAACCTGTTGACTATTTTCGATCTCAAGCGATTGAAATCGATTGGTCCAAATATTGTTCGATGACACAATATCCAGTATTCCAACATTGATTTTTACCGCACAGCTTGAAGAGAAAAGTACGGAACATTTGAGATCAAGATTAATCGAATGAAATTCGCGAATAGAATCGAATGCAAAGAGAAGTAGTATGGGCTCGGGTGATGGTGACCAACGAAGAAATTGATAAGTATCGCCATCATTTAGGGTACCTATGCCACCTGAAACAAGTGAACTCAGATGAATGGATGAATATGAATGGAAATATATTCTCTTCACCTCTTACGGTGGTATTTGTAATTAGACCGTCGTACTTGACATCGGAATTTAGAATCGATTTGTGAGAAAAACGTGTAGAAATTAACCCGCCTTAGAAGAAAAATATATGGAATAGAGTTCGATTTGTCCGTGTTGAGACTTTACTTTGCGATTGACAACCAAATAGTTGAATACGAGCACAGGTAGAGATCGACGCTGTAAGAAAGATAAGTCGAACTTGTCGAGCAATAATCGATGGAAGAAATGTACGTGTTCGATTCGAATTATCATTATCATTGAAGAATAATCGACGTCGTTCGATAAAGATCTACTAAAACAAGGAAAATAAATACTCAATAAAAAATTGATTTATTTATGAAGACCTTGCGTTGTCGACGTTGACCATACGCACGCCAAGGCCCGTCCTGCGTTCGTCGATATTCCAAAAAATACGAACCTTTCTTCTAAAATATCTCATAAACAAATTCCAAATTCGATTCCTCAATAACATACAGAATTCTTTTCGTTGTCCTCCTCATCGTCATTATTCGGATATTGAACATTGATTCCTGTTAATTGTGTTAATGACGACATTTCTAATTGTATTATCGGCGACGAAGTTTGTCCCCCGATGTGTATTGAACATGATGAACAGTAGAGCGACGATTTCTGTTGTCGACTGTTGAGACGCACTGGTTCGTTACATATGTTTCCTTGGACTAAAAATCAAAGAACTCGGCTTCAATTATTTGGAAGAAGAGACCTAGTTGAATAACCTAGCAATGGTAATGAAAAGAATAGAAGACGAGTGATGAAACCCATCGATGTCCGTCACTGTTGAATCAATCACTTGTATATGTAAATGTACTCTTCACATAATATTAAAGTGTGAAAGAGAAGAAAAAAAAACCAAACAACAAACCATCACCTGTTTGTTATATTTGATTCACCTCTTCTCATGGCCTCTTCACATTGGCATTGAACCTTGTTATTTCATCATCGTATCAAATTGATATTAATTCCAAATGTTCTCCGTCATTTTCTTTCTTTTCGTTTTCTTTGCTCTTGCAATCATGTTCATGACTATTTCATCATTGCTTGATTTGACTGAAAGGAAATTTATGATTTAATTGATTTTGCTTCACTTACTCATATACGAATGTCTGACCTTCATTTAACATTTTTTTTTCTTCATTGATTATGTATACAAACATTTACCATACGATAACATAGTAATTACTCGAAGGAGATACGAGCAATTAGAACAATTTTAATGTCCACATATATCGAACTATTCGAAAGACATCATGTCTACATTAAAATGGTAAAACTCAGCAGAACTAAACGTGGACATTAACATTATCGCCGGTTCAAAACATACATTTGTGAACCGAGAGCTAGACAGGCAAGGCTAATGAAGGTTTAGATTACATGAACATATAAGCGGACGATGATGACTGTAGGAAACGAAGATATGTTCAAAACAAAAAATTCGATTTTCGTTTAGGTAGGGATTTTCTATTAATTACTGAATAAACATTCTGAATGATTTGTTTATTAAGGGAAAGCATATGAACGTTCCATTGATGAAGTGTGATTAAGGGATAGAGGCATTACATAAATGAGAATCGTGTAGACGCAAAATTGGATCATTCGCGTTTGAATGTTAAACTAATTCATGGTTGAATACCTACACAAGGTTGTCGTCTGTGATTATATTCTTCACAAATTTGACCGTAATTTTTCTAGTCTGGATGATTTGTCAACCCAGACTCCGAGAAAGAATAATAAACATTTTTACGGAGCACAACAATCTTCCCACTAGATTATTCTTTTATGTGCAAGAAAAAGACTACAATCTTGCATTATCCATCCTTGTTAGTCACTGGCATCAATTATTTTCTTTCATATACTGCCATTAACAGTATTTCCGCCGGCATTCACTTAGTACGAGGATCAGATTGAACGACTGTCGGGCCGATATTTCATTAGATCACAATTATGATATCTCCTGCACACTTGTAGCTAAGTCATTTAGATAACTATCAGCGATATCGCGAGGTAGGCATGAATGGTTGGAATACACGTGTCTTCGTGATATTTATTTTTAACAAAAAAAAGAAGAATAACCAGACAGCGAAGAAGAAAAGGAAAAATGACATAGACATACAGAAGGCAAATGAATTGAGACAGAATTCATAGCACACCGACGAAAGAAATTCAAAGGCAATTTTCATGGATATCAATTTTTATTATCTCGTATGAATTGAAATAATAGTTGCTAAGCTTGATTTGTTCAAGCAAAAAAGAAAAGAAGAGAAAACATCGATTTTGTTGTTCTTGGTTATGTTAGTATCAAAAAAAGGAAAAAAAAGTGTGTAACAAATTCTTAGATTTTCATCTACACAGGTTTTTGTTTGCAAGAACGACGAAGAAAAAAGAAAACAAAATCAGTACAACAACCAGAACAAAAGAGTCTTGAAGTTTGAACTTTCAATCGTTAAGACCAATTTACGAACGATTTTCGACTAGAATAGAGAAGAACATTGTCGGCATTTCATATCGTTCATCGGATTACTTACGATATGTCGTAACGTCGATTTCATCGGGCATTTCAGTAATTTGAACTTCGAAGCGTTTTTGTACTTCGTTGAGTACTGCTGCATCGTTTTCATCTGCAACATATGTAATAGCCAAACCTTTCGTACCGAATCGTCCAGCACGAGCGACCTACGAACGAACGAAAGTTGATCAGTAAACAAGGAATCTTATTCGTATGACTTACACGATGAAGATAAGTGTCAGTATCTTCTGGCATGTCGTAGTTAAATACAATGTTAACACGTTCGATATCCATTCCTCGGCCGAACAGATTGGTTGTGACGAGAATACGAGTCTTGAAATCTTTGAAATCTTGATAACGTTTCAAACTAGAGAAAGATTTCTTTGTCCAAGATGTTTGCTGAGAAAGAAAATATTCACCAATCCTTTTGTTCCATTCCACGATGAATTTCGACAGCTGGAAAGTTTTGCTCGATTAATATTTTACATAAAGCTGAACAACGTGAGACGGACTTCACGAAGATGACAACTTGATTGAATTCTAATTTATCGAGTAAATCGAGTAATGTACGATTCTTCTCATTTTCGCGTAGTTTTATGTAATGTTGACGAAGACCCTGAACAAAATCGAAGACGCGAATCAGTCAAATCTTGCTTTTTGAAGGCTAATTCTGCTTACGTGTAATGTTAATTTTGTTTCATCATCGATATAAATTTCCATTGGCTAGAAATGAAAAGAAGATAATGAAAAGCTATTTTGAACGAAACGAGTTAATTCTCACATCTTGCATAAACTTCTTGCAAACTGGACGAATTTCTTTACTTAATGTTGCACTAAACATTAACACTTGCTTTTCGTGAGGTGTTGCCTTGAAGATCTCTTGAACATCACGACGCATGTCTGAAGAAAATTGATACATGGAATATTCACGCGATTCTTTCGATCCTGTAAAGACTTACTCAACGATTCGAGTACTTTGTCGCATTCATCGATGATAAAATGTTTTACATGACGTAGGTTCAGTGCTTTACTCTCAGATAAAGCTAGAATGCGACCAGGTGTACCAACAACAATATGTGGGCAATTTTTTTTCAATGAATCCTCATCTTGTTTAACCGGTAAACCACCGAAAAACACAGAGACCTTCACTCCAGACATATACTTGCAAAAACGATCATATTCTCGACTAATTTGAAAAGCTAATTCACGTGTATGGCAAAGAACAATAACAGATACCTAAACACAATATTTCAATGAAGAAATGTCTTCATTTTTCAATAGATTTTACTTGTCCATCAACAGGTTCGAGTTGTTGAAGTGTTGCGAGAACAAACACTGCTGTCTTTCCCATACCCGACTTGGCTTGACATACAATATCTGTACCAAGAATAGCCTGTGGAATAGCTTCGTGTTGAACTAGGAATAGATAACAAGAAATGAGTTAATTGCCATTTGCAATAACAAAAAAGAAACTAAATACCTTCAGATGGATGTTCAAAACCACAGTCCATAATTGCGCGTAGTAATTCAGGTTTAAGAAGAAAATCCTTAAACCCACTGGCATGTATGGAAACGTAGGAACCTCGCATAGATCCACCTTGAGTGCCAGTTGAACCGGCATTCGCTCCACCGTTGGCTGTTCCAGTTTTGTTTCCTGTTTGTTGTGCTGTATCGTCGGTGTCCTCGTAATCCAAAAGTTCTTGTTCGTCCGACATTTTGGAAAGTTTTTAATCTGAAATTGAATATGAGTTGCCTAAACATGATTTTAATCTAGAAGAACAGAAAATCAAACACATCAATAGATGTCATTTAAATATTCGTATGTATAGGTATATATATATTAGTTTTTCTTTCTCTTAAATAAAGATAATAGAAAAAAAACCAAATAAGCAACAAAGACAAAAAAAACAAAACATCATCATTCGTATATTATCATTGACAGAGAATAAGAAGTAGAAGACGATTAAGAAAAAAGAATATCATGTACACGAGAGAAAAAAAAGAGAATATATTTATATTCACTGTTATTTCTTATACATACGTATGCATTGAACATTCATTTTTTTGAAAAGAAAAACAAATGTTTTGCCTAAAAACAGATAGATTACACACGCACACACACACAAATGCATTAAGTATAGAAAAGAAGGAGAATGTCGGAGCGTAGGAGAAGATCGAATTGATGGTGGTTGTTCTGACCTCACAGACAGATCTTTGGAATGCGTGTGGAGAGAAACAGACAGATGTTATTTCATGGGATGAATATACAAAAGACACGAATTGTGAGAAGAATATGAAATGGAAAGTAGACTAATGAGATAGACACAGAGACAGACAAGCTTTTGCGGTTTTTTTTGTACAAAGAAGAAATTTGAAAAAAATGCATAAGCTTTCTTTTCATCTTTTCTTTTTCGTTTCAAATGAGAATAGCAAAGAGATTGATTATCCTAATTGTCGAAGCTTTATTTCATTTTATGACGCTGTCGCAATTGTTTGTTGAGGTGTTGCTGGTGGTGTATGTGGTTCTTGTTTCTTTTCTGCTATACCTGGATTAGTTGATGAGGTAGAAGAGTTAGTTATATTCGTCGGCGGACCATTCCAAGTCGAGTTTGTCGGTGTTGTCGGCGGATTGTTTGTCGAAGTAGCCGGAGTCGAAGGATTCTGAATGAACAAAGTTGGTAATGAATGTCTTCGAAAGACTATTGTACGAGAACTAACCTGATTGTGGTTTGTCGAAGAAGGCGTCGGCGGTGAACCCGAAGAATTATTCGTTGTTGTTGATGATGTATTTCCTGAAACTGGTACGTTGGATGCTGTTGTGTTTCGTTTTCCTCCGTTGGCTACATCTCCATTGATTGGGGTTGATGGAGGTGGGAAAGCATTTGTATTCGGAGTCGGTGGACCACCTGCTGAAAACATCGAAGGTAGTGGTTGTTGTTGTTGTGGTTGCGGTGATCCAGGGAATGATGTTTGCTCCCGTTTCATTTGATTGGGATGAAGAAGTGGAGAATTTGGTACGAATTGTTGTTGCTTTTGGTGAAGTAACGATTGAAGATTTGGGCTTTGCTGTTGTGAAGAAAATCCTGGAGGCATTTGATGCGTTGGCGAAAGATATTGCGGTGGTGGATGACTAGATGCCGCGGCATTTGGATCATATTGGGTATTTTCAAGTCGAGTAATGTATCGTTCATCTTCATCATCCATTTCACCGCCCATTAACGATGGTTCACCAACAATCATTACATCCTAAGTTATATGTTCGACTTTCTTTATCCGATCGAAAATAGAAGTGTGCATGCTTACCCCGGGCATACTATTCATTGAAGGAGTTATAGCTCCTTCAGAATAGACTGTATTGGCTGGCGAACGCTTCTTGGTTGGTGTTGGCATAGTACAATTATTCATATTACCATCTTTAGGTGTTGAAATGTTATTCGAATTATTATTTCCTGGTGTAGCAGGGTTATTCGTTGCTGTTGACTTTCTTTTCCGTCGCGGTTTAGCTGGTGGCCGTGTGTCTGCAATAAAAATCGAAATGAATGCTTTTTGTAATAAGCAAATGCCATTTTCAGAAATATTCTGTGTTCCGCGGAGCAAGCGAGTGAAAGCATGTAGCTTTGAATACCTGATGCTAGGACTGTTTGAGATGGTAATGTTGTTTGAAATGAAGGACTCTGAGGAAGTTCTGAATAAAATTTAAAAATATTTTTGTTTCAATTGTGCTTTTGTTGAAGCGAAACGAGAGTTTTGAATTCACTGATGAAAAATTACAATTCGAAAGAGGTAATTTACCTGAACAAGTTTTTGACCACCGCTGATGTAAGATTGTTTTTAGACAATCACGTGGAGAAAATGACGTTGTTTTATGCCGTGACATTAATTCTTGCATTGGCTCAAGAATTTCGCATAACTAAATTGAGTAAAAACACCAATTAATTGAGAAATAGAATAAAACTTCACGTTTACCCTGAGAAAATTTAACATTACAGATGTTAAACCGCTACGTGTTAAATTCTTTGATAGTTGGTCAAGGTAAGTTGGATTATCAGCCTAGAATTCAAATCATTTTCCATGAATATGTCGATAGCATACTTTGCACACATACCGGTATGGCAACAATGCTTCGTGGAATTAATTCTCGAAATTGTTTTATTGCAAAATGCCAAGATTTAATACGCATTAGATCATCGAAGGCATACTCGAGGGTTAAATGTCCTTCCGTACAAACCTAAACAGAGCATGGTATTTTCATCATCGATTGATTGCTCGTGCTGCTTACTTTAATGTGTGGAGGTTTTCCAAAACAAGTTATCATTGATGCTTGTTCGCAATCAAGTGATAGTATTGGACTATGGAACATTTCTTTCGTTTGCTTCAATTGAAAATAGACTTCACTGACACCACCATCGAACAACGTACGAAAAAAACGTGGAATTAGAACACGGCCAATACCTTTTGAGTCATAATTTAGATTACATTCGAACGTAAAACTCCGATTTTGATACATACTGAAACGTTTGGGCCCGTCTTCCAAGCAAATTGATATGGTTAGTATTGCATCGTCTTCGAAGAATTCATTTACAAATGCATCCCACCATTGACTGTCGGATTCCTTAAAAAATCAATTGATACTTCTGTTTTCGAGCAAACGACGAAAGATCGTTCTTACTTCTGGTCGCATTGACAGACGTTTATTCAAATCGTGCATGCGATATTCGGGTGAAGGAGGTGGTGGCGGAGGCAATACTGGTCGAAATTGTCTCATATGTTGTGGACTAATCAAGAAAACAAAATAGTAACATATTGCTTTTTCTCTACGCAGAAGGATATCCTACGGGAAATGTAGATCACGTGGTGGCATAATAGGTATTCGACCAGGATGGTGATGAAGAGGAGGCGGCGGAGGATGAATTAAATGACTTGGTGGCTGTTGAATTGGCGTTGGTGGTTGTGAACCCGGCGGTGGTGGACCTTGCCAAACTCCACCAGCACCAGACGAGTCAACAAGACCAGGTTGGAATCCACTTGGATCCACTTTTGATCTAGGCAAAAATTATGCATATCGAATAGAAGACTAGAAATTCAACACACCGATTTCGATTTTTAGCCACGAGGATATCAGTGTAATAGAAAAATTTCCGTAATTCTCTGCTAAGTTTCGTCAATACCGTGAACAGGCACCATCCGATAAAGACAGAATATATCTAAAAGAAATTTTGTCATTTTCAATTACGACATATACGGCTACTTCAGTCATCGAATTTCTTCCAATTATAACAAATTCCAACGAAATATTCCTTCATTTGTCTAATTATAATCGCACACATACATATACACTACACAACTCAAACTAATACTAATCGGTATGTCTATCGGTCGCCATTTTGCTCTAGTGTCATTTGTCTGTCCTCTCTCTAACCTCTCCTCCTAGCGTTTCTTTCTTTTTCTCCTACCAATGAAAAAATACATTCAATTAACATAATTTTATTTGTTCGTTTCAATCAAATTCGATCGCTAAAGTTTTTTTTAAACAAAATCTATCAGTTTGTCGAAAAATTGTGTTTTAGGACGTAAAAGTTTATCTTTGGAGCGATTTAATAGATGTCGCCAAGTGTGCCGTCATTTACTATTTCTTTTTTTGTGTTTTACAGAAATTTCAACATCAATCAAACTAAGTAGAAAATGGCTGACGAGAGTGAACAAGTAAATTCGTGTTTTGAAAGATTTTGTTAATTAACTAAGTTTCTCATTTCGGTAGGCAAATACAACAACACCAACCTCAGTCGAAGAACCACTTGATCTTGTTCGATTGAGTCTCGATGAAAGAGTTTGTGTAAAGATGCGCAATGAACGAGAATTACGTGGTCGACTCCACGTAAGATGAACGACAAAAACTTCAGCTCCTTTTATTGTACTTACACTTGATTTCTAGGCATTTGATCAACACTTAAATATGGTCTTAGGGGAAGTCGAAGAAACCATCACGACAATTGAGATTGACGAAGAAACATTCGAGCAAATTTATCGAGTAAATTGAAAGATTTTTATTCAACCTGAGAAATGAGTATATTCGTTTTATTTCAGCCAACAAAACGACAAATTCCGATGTTATTCGTACGCGGTGACGGTGTTATTTTAATTTCGCCACTGGCTAAACAATCATAATTTCCACTAGGCTCCTTCTCACCTTGAATGTGACGAACAGATATGATCATAAAAAAAAAGTTTTATATAAAGATTCAGCAAAAAACACTGGTCATGTGCAAAATATGGAATAAATACATAAAGATTATTTTCTAACGATTACACCGCCTATTCGTTTTCTAAAACATATAGAACAACTATGAATCTGCTTTCACCAAACATCAAGAAGTTGATGGCGTCTGTTGTATAGAGTATATTCATCTCGACGGCCATGAAATATTATAAATACACTATTTAAAAACGATTTTCATTGTCAATTTTTATTTAGCTTTTGTGACAATGTTACATTGAAGCATGTGAGAAGTGTAATGAAAAGATGAAAAAGGAGAAATGTTTGAAAAAGCATTGATACAACATATGATAGTGAAGAACGTAAGGAGAAACTTCATTGAAATAAATATAACAATTATGCAGTCTGAAATTTATGTTGGCGTTTGCTGACGGGTTGTGATCGATGGCAAAACAAGTCGATTTTTCGATGAAACTGAAGATGTGGGGTTTCCATCGTCTTTTGTATGTTTATAGAAATCATCGAAAACAATAGGTTTCATTTGATAATTCGTATTTGCTGCTGCTTCATCCACATCCTAGTTTTTTATGACAGTAGACGCCATTTATTTGTAAGCGCAAGATGTCTTACCTGAGTGGAAAGTAAAGCAAATGGGGTAAAACAGACACCACCCTTCACTAAATGACGGTTATCAATATCTTTGAAACGATGACGCCGTTCTTGTCGAGTTAATTTTTGTTGATTCAATTCTCTTTCCACCGTGATACCCAATCCGACGGATAACTACAAAGGAATGTATATCAGACTTCTATAAAAACAAATATATGGACTCAATTTACTTGTTGTAGTGCTGAGGTCTTTGATGCAGATAGCACGTTCTCTGATGGTCGACGTGACTATTCGAAGCAAATACACAGACATATTCGAGATTCGACATATTGTACTCTACTTTAGGTGTTTGATTGTTTATTGGAGGTAAAGTTCGATTGTCGTTATCGTCTTTGCTGATAGTGATCTCTGGAATTTGTAAAGCTGTTTTTCCGTTGTTTGTTGCGGGTTTGGTTTCGACTGAAAATGAGAAAAATTTTGACTAGTTCATGTCGATTTGAAAGTACCTTTTGGATTGCTTTCCAAAGTTTCGGTAGTTTCTCCTTCGTTTTGTTCATCTTCGTCAGTTACTTTTGATACAAAAAGTCCTTCAATATCCCACAACTGTTTCTGCCCGAAAATTCCTAGTTGTTCTCCATTCATTGTCCACAATCGTGCTGTATGATCGGTCGATGCAGTTATGATAAAATCTCCTTGTCCTTTATAATCTGTCCATTCGCAAAAGATAATGGGTGTTTCATGTGCTCGCCAAGAATGGACGAGCGGTGGTGCTTTCGATTCGAATGGAATCGGTGCTGTCAAAGTACAACAGTAATCTTCTATATTCCAAATACGCAATTCACCGAGTGTATCACCACAAATCAAATATCGATTTGTCGCATCACTAGCCATAGCTAAGATGGATTCACCTGGTTTCGATGCACCATAAAAAATTCCCATGTCCTTTCGTTCGCTGTACAGCGACCAACAATGAAGGTCGCCAGCTTCACTCGATATCAATGTACCTATTTCAATGTACCATATAGGACTGTTAGTTTCTTTTAGGTCAAATACGATAGGGCGTACCTAGTCTCATATTTTCTTTTGCACGATGTCGAAGGAATAGAAGTTTATCAACTGGTACAGGTCCTTGTCTGTTGGAACGACGTGATGATGATCGACGATAATTTGATGGTTCTCGACGACTAGAAAAGCTTGTTTGATTTCAAATAGAAGGCTCTTTTCTGATCTTACAGTTCTCCTGTTGGTGCTTTTCGCAAGCATATAGTCAGTTTTTCTGTATCTGTACTCCACACATTGATTTCTCCATCATATGACGCTGTACACATAAGATTACTAATCGGCAATAAATGTTCCAAACACAAGATATCATCACGATGTATTTGCGAACCACGCCATGATAGATCAGCCTTTGGTAGCACAACCTGATCGAATAAAGAAAAGAAAAGTATTGTTTTCTGTTTTCGTATTAATAAGTGATTGTTGACGAAAACTAATTAATTCAATTCGTGTAGTATATTAATATCTGAGTAAATGTGTGTCACTTTTTATATTCACTCCACGTGTATACCTCGATAGTATCGGTCTGATCATCAATTTTTTCCTACAAATGTATATATGAATATTATAAGAAAGAAAGAAGAATTTGAATGAGTTGGTTTTGGCTTTGAAACAAATCAATGCTTACGTCGGAGACAAAATGCGGATATTTTACGATTTTTCTTGACCAACCAACTGTAATGATGTCTTTGTCAGCAAATAGTATGCCTGTGATTTCAGCATCTTCGACGCTTGGCAATATATGAAGACTTTGGCCGTTGGCACTATTCCAGATCTTTCAAATGAGAAAAAACGGATATTTTGGAATGTATTCTAACATGGAGAACAAAGGTCCTACTTTAATAACACCATTTCGAGCGCCAGTAGCAAGTTTTCGACACGCTCGATCGATGGCAATACTTGTAATTTCTTCGCCGTCGTGTGCATCAAGAACCATATAAGCTTTTCGACCAGATTCAATATCCCATGCGCCAATACTTGAATTATCTGCACAGGTGATTAACTAGAAATTTAGAAAAGGCTACATGGATTATTTTGAAAAGAATACTTTTTTAATCAGTTACATGTTTGAGTTTAGGATTGTAGACAGCACAGCTGACTGGAGCTGAATGAGTTTCTACGAGATTACGATCTTTAGATGTATCCTGCCCTAATTTCATTAGGCATATGTAATCATTACAAGCCAAGATTAAACCTCCAGGAAGACTATCCGCAAAAAGATTCGATCGGTTTAAATATAGATCCATTGGAAAAAGACCAAAACTAGGTGTCTTTCCGCCCAGCGTGCTTGGAAATCGAACGCAAATAGTTTGAAGACAAAACATTTCTTTCAAATCCCAAGCTTTGACCACCTAAAATTATCGCGACAAGAAATATTCCTTTCCAAACTAACGACACAACGTACGGCGTCTTTACTAAATGTATAGCATTGTGCTAAACGTTCATTAATTCGTACATCGATGACAGCAGCATGATGTCCCTCTAACATAGCTGTATTCTTTTGTGTAACATATGGATTCCAAATTCGTACACGATAATCAGCACCACCCGTAATGAGAATATTCAATTGGTGATTGTAATCAAAACATTCACAACCCTATGAAACGAAGAATATATCATACATGCGATAAACGGGATTTGCTTTACTTTGTACAATCGAAATATGTATGGTTTTTTAATTTTATTGACTGTAGTTATAATTAACGAGTTGCGACTGTCCCCACTTGATGCGATTATCGAATCGTTGTGCGGAATGTAGAGAATTTTGCGAACATATTCTTCATGTATCGGTCCCATACAATAGTATCGAACGAATTTTTCGTGGTCTTTCAATTCCTAGAAAGTGTTCCGTGCTAAAGAGTCGATCGAATGGATCAGATAGCAAAACTTACATCCCAAAATATCCGTTGAACGCTATGTGATGACGCTTTGTCCGCTTTCTTCAAATCGGTTTTTTTCCGAGCAGGATCAAAAAGATAATTACTCGGTTTCTTAAAATATAAAACATGAATCGAACCACAGTCATCTCCAAAAATCAACGCTGATTCTGTGCTATTGTTCTAGAATCAACAAAACACTTGCAAATCAAGGGAGAACTCATCTCATTTACCGTACGAACTGGATGGTAGTCCAGACAAGTCGGTACATTTTTCACTCCTAGAAAAGCAAATTCGACACACGTTATTCAATTGTCCATATCAACTGACCAAATAAAACATATTCTTCGAGAAAGATTTCAGTTGAAATCGTAAAAAATCTTAAATCTCGACTTGTCGATGCCAGAACCAGCTTATGCGCATCTGGCATATAAACTGCATCTGTAATCCACATTCCCGCACGTCGACGCGATTGTCCACTTCCAGCTATATTCGTTGTTGCTGCATCGTCTATTTCCTCGGCAGCAGAATAAGTCTTTTCTAAGTTGAGATTAGTTGTCCATAAGCCCAGATAACCCTCTTTACTTATATTGATAAACTTCACAGGACTGTCTAAATGAAGAACTTTCGCAGATAATTCCAGCTGGAAATAAAGCAACAATCAAGTTCAAATAGACATAATTCATGAAGATTAACTCACTTTATTATGAGGAATATGTCGAATTTTGGGTTCACTATTAAATGGTGATGTTCGAAGTGCATTTGCATAGTCTTCTTCTTGATAAAATTGAAGCATGTATGCACAGAAGTCATTCCAGTTGATCAATCCTGATTCTTTCGAATTGAGCTATGCATAAGAAACAAAAGACCGTTCTGAGAGAACCGAGATTTTCAATGTCGAATACTTTTTCAAATAGTTTCTCTAACTGATTGCCATATATATTCAGATCGAGTACTGAATGAAATGATTCGATGAATTCTTCTTTATTTAATGTACCTAAAAACAAATTCATCCGTCTGGAGTAAACTTTAGAATGCAATGACTATTTCTCACCCGCTAATCGTTCACTTGTCGGTTTAGTTTCATTCGCAATATCGGAAACATCAACTATCGCGCGATTAAATCGGTCGCGAAGAAGGTAAAAGTCTTGAACACGAAGTCTCTTTTCAATTGTAAGTGAATCATTACTAAATAGATTAAAATATAGAATATAAATCATGATACTGTGCTGTTATTTTTTTCATACTTAAACTCACTGAAAACATCCATCAAAAGTAAAGAGAAAGGAGAAAAGTGAAGAACTGTTATTCGTTTTAGTATCATTTATCAAATTGCTCGATTTCTATTCATTTTACTTGATGGAGAAGAGAGAAAAAGAATGGCAATGAAGCATTGAAATTTGAGGAGATATCAACAAGAATAGACAGATGAATTACCTGTCAACTTCAACAAGAGGTTCGTCAGATTCGGATGCAGTTGTTCCATCTTCATTCTTGACATTTTCTTCCATTTCTGTGAAGAGTGCCGGTATGTCTTGCTTTTCTTGCGTAGTCGTAAAGGAATTCTTTTCTTTATTGTTGACTAAATACTGACAACAACGACAACATCATCATTATCGATAAGAAATTGTTGTCGACATAGAGCAAAACAAGTTTTCTTCTTTCTATTGCTTCTTTGTTGAAATCTTTTTCAATGTTTTATCGTCATCTATGCATGGTATGTTGTCTTTTTTTCTCTACTCGTTTCTGTGGTTATTACCTGGTTAAACAGCAACCGTCACTTAGTTTTCTTCTTCTTTTGGCAGCAGCTGCAGTAACAATCTAACAGACAGAATTAAAAAACATTCTCAAGAAGAAAAGAATGACTCCGACGAAAAAAAAAGAAAAAGAAACGTAGTTATGCGATCGTGCATATTGAAGAAGGAAAATTAAAGAAATCAACAATCAGACAGACAAACAGCAGACGTCAAGCCAAAGATCCGCTTGAATCTTTCGAATATACGGCATCGTATTCAAGTATGAGTACAGGATTCAATAGTTATTAGAATTTTTCAAATTCAATTCTTATTGTAATGAGTTTTCAATTAGAACAAGAAAGACTCGTAATAAACATGTCATATCAAGTAATTGTTCTCTAATTAATTGAAAAAGAAGCATACGTCTTTCTCGACACGTACTTGTGAATGTAAAAGACTTCTATGTATTATCAATGGAATACTTTTAACAAAAAAAAGTTGACACGGATTCACAAATACAAGCGCCATTGACATTAGTTCACGTTGTCCAGATTTGTATTGAGTCGAAATCCGACTCTGTATAATCCCGATCCATAATCGGATATTCACAAGCACATGTAATTATCCCTTTGAGTTGATCGAGAACAACTTTTTTGAAACTATATCGACCCGGATCAGCTAATAAAACTCGAAGATGATATCGACGAGCAGTTTTTATCAAATTTACGACTTGCTCAGAAAGTTGTTGATCATAACACATGTCACCGATGATAAGTAGGTCAACTGTACGTTTATCTAATATTATCGAAGGTTTTTCAATAACATTGTCTGATAAATATTCCTCAATGGTAACATCGTTCAATCGAGCATTATGACAAGTTGCAGCCAATGCATCTGAATGAAAACTTGACATAAAGAAGAGAGAATAGTAGTTGTTAATTCACCTTGATCGATGTCATTGGCAATCACGTGCATAGCACCAGCCATCTTTGAAGCGATTGCACTTGCTCCACATCCAGAGCCAAGATCTAAGACCCGTCGTCCTTGAATCAACGAGCGATTATCCAATACATAACTATCAATCATCAACTAAAACGCTTCAATCTTTTGAAAATAATCACATGAGATACCAACCGACTTAATGCTTGACTTCCAGGCCAAAGAAAAGCCCACCATGGATCAGTTCGACCCAATTTATCCATTGCTTCTTGATAAGGTATGTTCCACAGAGGATTCGATGATGTTAATATGCTTAGTGTCAACTCTGGCACAAGAAGACAAGCACGATGAACAGGCGGTAGGAGATGTTGAAAAATATATTCACATGTTTTCCGTTGCATGATTATGTCATGTGACTTTCTGGAACGAGAATTGTCATTCTTTATTTAAAACAAGTAATTATTTTGTCATATATCCATTCTCATGGAATTGAGATTCAAATACAAGAAAAAAAAGCAAAATTCATATACGACATACACCAAATAAAAGAAAATGCTCAAAAACAACGAAACTACTGCTACTAAATCGTAATTATTCTCATAGAACTGCGTAAATACTCAAATGATCTTGAGTAAAAAGTTTTCTAAAATAAGGCGTTGGATTCGATTGAAGTGTGTCACATGCGAGAGTCGAACGTCGTAGTATTCGTTCGTCGGTTTCATCCAAGTCATACATTTCCGGAAATGAACAACCCTTTGGACGATTAACGATTGTACACCAATGAGATTCGTAAATGTAATAGTCAACTTGAAATTCTTTCAAAATGGAATGAATATATCGAAGTGGTTTGCGTGAAAACATGTAATAGACAAGTTTAACTCGACGTCGAATCTTCGCATGTTCATAATGAGGATGAACAACAATTGCACGACCTGTTGATAGTTTCAAATTCGCCATCGTTGGCATTGTACCTGCAAAGATGGAATTATTTGCCGTATTTGAGTTAACCCATTCAACTATTCTCTCCATTGGATAATTAGAATATTCTCCTTTGATATTTAATTGTTCTTTAATATTTTTCTGTCCTTGAATGGCCATTCCTGTTGCAAGTACAATAAAAAGTACAATCTTCCATTTCTTAATAGCAACAATTCGTTTTGGCCAGAACTGTTCATTCATATAAAGACTTGTCAATAAACATAACTGTGGGAGAGGAAATAGTTTTAAACGCATGATGAATATACCCATCAGAATGTATGCACCTGCTTGAATTGCATGATAATAATTCCATATCTGTCGGTTAGTATTTATATTAGTGTGGAAAATGTCAATAAGAAAATCGTACACAATACGACCAATAATGATGAATGACAATGGGATTAATCCAGTCTTGCACAGTTTGATGAGAGTTTCTAATTCGATGAAATCGAATTCCTTCGCACAAGTGTATAGTTGTGTATCGAACGTACGATATCTTGATGAGAGTTTAGATTTCAATATATCCCAAATATGGGCATCGTCATCGGGTGATTTGAGAAGTAAACCAATAATGAGAAATTTCATAAAAATAAATGCAAGAGTAAAAAGAGATGTCCGTCGAACGATAATGACTAATCGATATGATTGGAAATGCGAAGATGAATAACGGAAGAACATGTCAAAAATGCATACGAGATAAAATGAGAAAACAGTAATTGAAAATAAAGAAGTCAATAACATTCGATTACCAAACATTAATATGGCTGAGATAATTAATGAAAGAATTTGAGTACATAGAATAAAGAAGAACTGTTCGCATGATAAAAGATTGAAAATAAAAAGAACACCGAGTGAAAGTAATTGAGTAGCTAGTGTAAATTGAGCAACTACATAGAAAAATTCGTATTATATCGTCAAGGAAATGTAGCAGGAGACTTACATTGCCATGGTAACATATACAGTACAGTTGAACCACAAAGTATGAACACGAGTTGTATTTTACGTCGACGTACCATAGAGTTTTGTGGTAGATCGGTGGATGACGGCGGTATATCATGTTTCTTGATATATCCTAAGAAAGATTTGAGCACATCGTTGTTAAACGATGTTTGCTGCTGTAAAATATATGTGATAGCAAATAATTGAACAATGTGGAATGGAAATGAAAAGCTTTCACGAAGAGGAGGTGTCCTAGAATGAAGAAAAAAAGACAGAAGTTCAATGTAATCATATTGTTTTCTTATGAATTTACCACATAATTCTTGTCGCTTCACCATGATTGAACATATAAGCAAGTGCTGTTAGCAGTCCACCAAGAATACTTTTCGATAAGTAGGTACCAAGTAAAAACAAAACACCCAGTAGACATCCATTGAGTAGAAAAACACAGGTGACATAGAAATAAGTTGGTTCCTTATGTCCTTCACATGATAAAACCGGACTCATCGAGTCGCCACGACCAACTCGGTAACATATTTGTGTTAACATATTTCGAGAATTCATAAAACGATAGATGAAACTTAAGACAACTTCGGGATAAAGATTGAAGCGTTCCAAGACGTTGATTGTAGTCGGTGCTTCTGTTCGATTATCAGATAAAATCGACAGAAATCCTTCTGTAAACGACGGAGCGTCAATCGCGATTTCTTTGAAATAAGAATAATAGAGACCCATTTCCGTTCGAAACGATAATTCTCTTTCTAGTGTTGATAAATGTGAAAAATGCCTGTCATTCTCAAATAATTCATAAATATAATAAAAATGAAAGTAGGATAAAGTAAATGCAATGATCATAATGACCAACAAGTACATCACAAATAATGACTAGAAGATGATTAGTTTATGTAATTTAACAAGCATGATCAGTAGAGTTGTACCTGATAATGTTGCTTGTTTTGTTCGATTTCTTCTGCTGAATTCGATTGTTTTTGTTTGCTCGATGCCCGTTGAGAACGTCGAGTTATCGATTGACGATCTCTTGACATATTACACTAAATTTTATCTGAAATAAAAAATAAAATTAATCAAGAAAAATCTTATTTTCTTGCTAAGCCAATCAAATTAAATCGTATATCGCCATTGAGTTCATGTATTCTTTGTTTTATTTCTCGAGTGACATACGAATAGAAACTCTCTTTGTCCAACTCCCTGATGAATTTGGCTTGTGGTCCTCTCGTACTACCATTCAATGCATATAGATTGTTATTCTTCGAGACAATATAAGCTATGTAATGATAACCGACTCTTTCACTGTCAACCATTGCTGTTTGACCTTGTTCGGCTGTTTCTTCATGAGCTTGATGAATTTTCTGATCATTCAAGAGCACAACAGCCCGTTCATCGGCAGTCATATTCTTAGTTTTTTCGAAAAACATCGCTAATGGCGAATCTGCTTTCAATACGATGTTGTCCAAATTGTTACCAATTGCATGAAGTAGTGCAATAAGGCAACAGCAACTATCCAATTCATCAATCTGTTTGATAGTCCAAAGATTATCGTGCACGTCTTGCGAAGATACGTTTGAAATAGGTGTTGAACCATTGTCTGGATACAGAAAAATGAAAGCATAGATATTCTCTTCAGGTGGATAATCCTCATCCAGTGAGTAGATTTCGATGAACTCAAATGAATTACCATCAGCACCTAGTTTTTCCATGTACACACGCCATAGATCAGGATCGGATTCAAGTGCGTGCCAAGATAACGATTTAGACATCTGAAAAAGTGAATATTTAATTAACGAACAGTTCTTATACTTGTTGATATAGAAAATAGCTACGTACGGCTTCGACACGTAGTAGAGAAAAAAATTCGTACAGCCATGAAAGAAAATTATCATATGAATTAATTTTACAAGCTGCTCGATGTAGAATAAACAAACCATGTCGTTCTCCCTTTGATACCAACAGATGCTTTGATTGATTCAATCGTTTCAACAATGAATCATTTCAATTCTTATCAGATAGCATGTCACTCAGAATTATTTCATATAACTATTCTAAATGTATTGCCTATCGATTTGAGAAAATAGAAAACCGATAACGAAATGATTCTATTATGCAAGGACAAAAACGGCTGAACGAACGTACAATTCAAAGAAATGAGAGAAGAAATCTTTCTTTTGCTCGTTCGTTTGTCGATCGATGTATGAGTAAAGAAAAGAATGATTGGTAAGACGTGACAGCGAACACAGTTGATATAACTTCAAAACGTTATAAAGTCGACGGAGGTCGCTTGTTATTTAAAATTATCGAAAAAGAAAGCATCTTATTCGTATATGCGTCTAGTTAAAGTACTAAACCTGTACGCGAACATCTATCCTGTTGCAAAGTGCTGTACTTCTAAATGTGCCAACAGAAACCGACAAAGGAAAAAAGATATGTTTAATCCAAAATACTGACCAGTCTCTAAGACTTTCGTCGATAGTGTATAACAGTGAATTTGATAAAGATGCTCAAACTAAGTGAGTCCTACTCATAATCGATTTCCAAGAGCGCAGAATACAGATAGAAATTGTTTAATCCCGGAACTTCTTGTCTTTCATTAATCTACACATTACATGAATTGTCAGAACAATAAGTGCTCTAGGATATTTTGATGAACAAAACGCATTACTCAATGAGTATTGTAAGCTAACTATTCGTTTTATTCGTCTATTAAATGATATTTTTTCGAATTACTTTTTCAGCTGTAGATGTTCGGGAAATATATTGGTTAATATAATTAACAGCGACTAGTAGTGTTTTTTCTACTATGTTCACAATTTGTTTTCATTACATAGTTCATGTTGACGAAATCAGACTCGAGCTGTTCTCTATGAAATACTCGAGAAAGTTATTAACTCTTCATTGATGTACATTTGTAAATTAGTTCTGGCGGAATTAGCAGGTTCTGCATAAGGCTGCAAGATGAAATTCGCGAATTCACAAGAAGTCGAAAGATGGTTCAATATAAATAGATAAATGTAATGTACGTCAAATTCATGTTTTTCTTTCAAAACTGTTTCTAATGATCATCTTCTGTAATGTCTCACTGAGATCCTAACGTATATAAATTAGAATAGGTAATTTCAGTATTCTATAGGGAATAACAAGATCTTTCTATATGCATTGCGACTGTATATTGTCGTAAGCGTTGGATTAAAAACTTTTCTCATCCAAGTTCAAAAGCACTAGGAATCAGCTCCAGTGTGAAGGTACTGAAAATGACTAGAAAGTGAGGACATAAGCCTAATCGAGAGGTTTTCAAATATTCGTTGTATGATTTCTGACTAGTCATAGATGGAGCCGGTACCGGTGTACAGTTTAGACCGGTATGTCTACCAGGTTTTTACCGGCCTAAATTTGCCACTTTTCGTCTGTTATCATAAAAACATGTTTAACGTTGTTATTGATCCTGGTTGTAACTCTATGGAGGTTCTCTAATGAAATTTCGTTGGGACTTTACAAAGACGAATTATACAAAACATGGTCCGATCTTCGTCTTATTGCAGACGCTAAAGATTCACAAACACCATTAGTAGGATGGACTGAAGTAAAATGTTCCGGATATGTGTTAATCATCAGTTTAACGAAGATTTGTTTACCGGTAGACGGATAAGAAACCAATAAACGGACTTTTTCAGACCGGTACCGATTCCATCTATGCCAGCTACACAGGATCGAAGACGATTGCTTCCAGTTGATGACACTTTCATTGCACGATACGCTCTGACTGTTAATAGTTCTTTTAGAGATGATGTCAAAAAGCAACACTCATTTGTAGTACTGTCACTGTGCAATCTATGGTATGAATAGAAAACAAAACGCACTACTTTTTTCTTGTTCGTTGAAATACTGTTGAAGATATAGTGTCTTCAATTGTTCACACATGTCACAAATGAAGAATCGAAATTTAGAGAGCATAGCTAAATTGCGAATTCGAAGTGCTTTGTTAACTAGACGATAGATGAATGGATCCCGTGAATAGCACCTAATAGCTTCTTCGGTATGACAGTATTTCTCAAAATGATCGCTCTATTGAAGTTGAACTGGATTTTTTCAATAGAACCAATGTGCGTCCTTGATCATTTCTCCATGTGTATTCGTAGAACGTGTAGAACACAGTATTGAACAGAAACTTTTCATAATGAAGGAGGAAAGCGTGGAACAATCATAAATGATTCTCTAGGCTAATTCATCCATCACAACCGGTATCCTCTACAAAGTTTTCCTCCAGTGAATCTGAACGACGAATTGTTTTCATAAATATACATTGTAATGAAGTTAGCGTACAATAGTAACATAAAAAGACATATTTTGCTCCCAAGAATGGCCCACTAGTTTTATTTTTGTTTAATAAAACGAGCATCTACATAATTCGTTCTATTAATCAGTAGACATCCAACTAGGGGTGGCACATTTACGTTTATTTGAAATTAACGTAAACGGATTCCGTTAACCGTTAATATTAACGGTTAACGAAATAAGGAAAAGTCGTTAACCGTTAAGATCAACGGTTAATGGAATCCGTTAATCTTAATATTAACGTTAAGTAAAATCCGTTAACATTAATATTAACGTTAAGTAAAAGACGTTAACGTTAATATTAACGGTTAACGGGTTTCAGTAAATCCGTTAACCGTTGATTTCAACGTTAACGAAAGCCGTTAATTAATGGTCGTTAATTAACTCGAATTAAATTAGATACCATAGCCCTAGTTAGGTAAAGTCGTTAAGGTCAATATTAACGCTAATGAGTTTCGTTAACGTTGAAATCAACGGTTAACGGATTTACTGAAACCCGTTAACCGTTAATATTAACGTTAACGTCTTTTACTTAACGTTAATATTAACGTTAACGGATTTTATTTAACGTTAATATTAAGATTAACGGATTCCGTTAACCGTTGATCTTAACGGTTAACGGATTTACTGAAGCCCGTTTACCGTTAATATTAACGTTAAATAATTCCGTTAATTAATACCCGTTAATTAACTCAAATTAAATAAAATGGTCCACCCCTACATCCAACCTTCTACTGTTAACAGACTAGTCTCTACGATGTGTAAACATTTTCTTAATCATCGTTTAGCAAGAAGTTAACTACGTGTTTAATAAACTATCTCAAAAAAATTGTTTTCAGACAACTGTTTCATATGTATGAGTTTTAGTTTTTTCAACATGTACTGGAGTTGAATGATCTTGACTGCCGAACGCTGGTATTGAAACAATTTCTAACGTAGGTGACTGTTCGGCGACAGGTGTATAAGTTATTGGTAGCACCGTATAGTTCAATCCATTTGACTTTGTTCGATATTGACTGTTCGTTGACCGAAACTCTTCCGATGGTGAATTTTGCTCTAATTCACGAATTCGTTCTTCCAACTTATCGATATGTATTTCTAATAATTTTTCACGACGAGTAGGCTTGACTTTATGATCGAACGTTAGTATTGGTTCATATTCCATACAGTTCTAGAAGAATAACGAAATTGTTTCTGTAGCAAAACTCAATTCTGTTACTTGTTTTTTAACTTGTTCTCTGCTCAGACGTTTTGACTGGGAAGCAACTCGTGCATAAGCATTTTCGCAGAGGAGAATAATAATAGCAATAATCGTGCCAGCGAAAAGTAGCAAAAATGCTGATATGAAATTTAACGTCTAAATCAAATAGAGAACGTCGTTGAAACAGATGTATCGTGTCATAACAAGAAATATTACCTCTAATGGCTGACTACTTCTTTGTGACTGATGACCACCACCAGATTTACAAGCTCCTAGTGTTTGAAAAGGAAAAGAGAAGTCTATTTGATTGTAAAATAATGTCTTCATTACCTGTGAACCAAAATCGACGAAGTCGTTCAATTTCACCTAGAAAAGAATGAACACATCGTTTTGCATCATAATCAAGCATTCATCAAACCGGTATAGTGCATGTCGATAATCTCTTTGTTGATCATTTCTTTAAATTTCGATTGTTTGGGAAAGCCAATGCCATAGCCAGACATTGCATACCAGTTCCCGACGACACGTAATTTGCATTCGTCATCTTGTCCACTTAGATAGTCCAGTACAACTGCATCGTATATAAAAGCATGTAATTCTCTGCGATAAAACTAAAGCTTTACTTGAATGGTACACAAATAAGATCGTACCCAGACTTAACAGCTTTGATACCTTGAGAAATATTTCTTTTCAAAAATTGTTTCATATATGAATATATTCCTTTATGGTTTGTTTTCATGACTTCATCGGTACTCTAAATATTAGGAAAACAAAACACTTATTGTGGTATACTCGATGATCAGATCGATGTCTAGACAGGTATGTCACAGATCAATTATAATTTAGTTAACTTTTTTCTTCAGTTATTCCTGGGATAATGTCACATTGAACAAAAAAGGACATCTCGCATTCTTTTCTTTACACTCTATGGTATTACAATTATTCATTGAAGCATTTTAATAATCATGGGAATATTAGACAAACAAAACTATTTATATTACCCCATTTGCAATAGTTCCAAAACGGAACGATGGTTTCATTGAATGTGGATTAGCGAGCTAAAGTGAACAATTAAGACACATGGAATGTTAATAGAATTAACACATACATGGTGATCAGTAACGCCCGACAGATCGAAATAGATTTCTTTTGTAATCATAAAAGCAGCTACAATATACATATAAACACCCTCAATTATTCGTGCACAGCATGAAACTATGCTAACATACCTAGATTAGCTGTATAACTAGCTGTGAATGCAAGACAAAAACAAGCCCAAATATTTGCCACGAACTTCGACGTAAAACTTTTCGGATGATTCACTTTTGCTGGTGCACGAAACAGAATAACCCAACTTAACCAAACAGATTGAAAAAATGTTACATTAAGATCTGTGTACAAAGCAATGTGAGTGTTCATAGTATTAGTCGAAAGCTATGTTTTGAAGTACTTTCTTTTCTTGACAATCGTACAAGATCATGGACATGTTGAACAAGTGTTTTGCATTTCGATTGCTGATTCTCAATATTCTGTGAAGAGAAAATGGATCCTTAAATATATTCACACTGTCATTTTGATCGATTGGCGATCAAATGACATTACTGAGCAACATATAAAAACTTCTAAGTGATCCTATCTGTCATAATCAACATACTTGAATGGCATCACAATTGGTAAAGCGTTGTTGAACATATTCAAATATAAATACTACTATGGCAACACTGTGAAGACTAACTACTAGGATTAAAATCCAGATCCGATAATCATACGGTTCTAAAAATTTTCAAGCAGCAAAACAATTTCAATGTGAGTAATAGACATCTCATTTATACGAACTGAGGAAAGCCGTTGTTGATACAGCACCTGGTCTCAGCGCTACAATAATAGCAATACCTGTTTCCATTAAAGGTATGCTGAAGTCAATCGCAGCATTTCGTTCAGTTGTTACTTTCAATGAAGTCAATGTGAGGTCAGCTCGATTTTCTAACAGTTCAGCAACGAGACCATTCCATTTATTCTAAACATGCCTTTGTACCATTGATAAGCATGGAATCTAGGAGTCCACCTACTGTGACGGGATTCCGTCCACCCCATGTTCGATCCAAAACTTGATAGAGTTCAAATTCGAATTTAAGTCGATCCTTGAGAACGTTGAAGATATCAATATAGAATCCTGAACAACACTGATAATATTGAGGATCACTGTGATTAGCACCACTAGAATAGTTTTCAATTATGTTTAAATGTCAGCATTTTCATTGATGTTTCTCACGAATTTTCTGGCCCGATTCGACAAATAACCGAGCCCGCTTGACATTTTCCATCGAGATTCGGATCCTTCATCATTACAAATGGATATTCTTGAAGTGTCACTACTTTCAGATAATAAATGATCGGCTTGCCTGGTGGCGGCTTCGATCGACCACCAGGCCACTGAATATCTGCTATTGCCAGTGTATTATTAACATATTCTCCCACCTAATCAATCACGCTTCCTATGAAATAAGCGCATGTATAATAAAATGTTTTTACTTTTTTCCATTCTTTATTTGGCATTTGATAATTCAACACAGAGTAATTCGCTGCCATTGCTAAACCATCATGTTGAAATATACTATAAGCTCGTTGAAACTCCGCTTTTAACAAGCTAAAAATTGAGTTTTGATAAATTATTACCGTGATTTCTCTACTCACTCATAAAGGCCTGGATAGACATGTCTCAATGATGAATGATCGAATGATTTATTGGCAGCAAATAATCGATTGCATACAGTTCGATCTTGAGTGAAAGTACGTCTCAATGACGTCGTGCTCATCGTTCGTTGTTGTGTTACATTTAATGGGATTAGTTTTGAGAAAACATTCACTAGTAATGGGCCAATATATCTGTCAAATCGAGCAAGCACAGAATCTAAAGATTAATCATACATCAGTCGATCTAATTGAAGAAGAGAACTATCTAACCTCGAGTAGCATCGTTATATAAAGCTAAAAAACGATATGACGATTAAATGAATAAGAGAGAACATAAGACAAACCTAAAGTGCCAGCTGAAAAGTCCATTTTCCGTCGATTTGGGTTGTCATATGGACTTAGTCGTGGCGCATTTCCGCTGCTGTACGTAGCTAAAACAATGTATTTTTATTAGAACGAAATTATTTTCTTTCATCCACTGCAAATTACAAAGAACAATGGATGACATAATCCACATATACTCAGGTCCTGTGAGACTTATGTTGTTGGCCTGTTTGACAATAATTGATGCTAATGTTCTTTTAAAAATAGAACGATATGATCAACGAATAAATCAAAATAAAAACAAAACTGAACATACGAAGTCGTGTGCATGATGATCACACGTGTTTCAGGATTCATCGAGGATAACTGCTGTCTTACGTGAGCTGGGTCGGTGCTTCTTACGTGAACTATGGACAGAATGGTTAATCTACGAACGTTCTTTATATATCTTTGGAAATGCATATCTGATCAATGACTTACTTTTTCTGATCTTTGCGAAGATTTCGATTACACAAATTCTTTCTACTAAAACACGAGCAAAAATGATCTGAGAAGAGCATGGAGAAGCAATCTTGTTTACCAATTTCGTTGTTCGGAATTATGTTCCTCAAATTCTGCGACGAGATCTTCTTCACCTGGCAATTGTGGATCGATAATCAGCGAAAATGTATTCCAATCGTATCTTTCCATTAGAGATATTAACGCGCGAGCTTCTTCACGATATGTCGGTGCCAATTGAAAGAAACGTAAATTAGGGAACAGCTGTAAAAAAAGTAAACAACTTCTCATGTAGTTCTACACGAAAAAGACTTATCATGGACATACTCCTGGATGAAATGGGTGAAAAAAATGAAATGTCACCATCGGATAATGTAAGAATGTGAGAAGTTTAAGAAAAAATAGGTAAGCAGCTGGTGACGCATGATTTTCATCGATATAATCGTTGAGATATATCATTAACATCGGCTGCAGTTGTACTATAGAACAAATATCTCCAACCAGTGCATTCACCGGCTGTAAATACATATTATACGCTGATCGTCTAAACAAAATCATGAAGTTAGTTGAGAGAAAGAGATTTGGGAATTATAATTACATATCGAATTTTGCACATGTAGAATTACTTGTTGGAACCGGAGAAGCAAAAATTTTCAATTGCTGAAATCGATCGTCGCTTCTCGATGATAACGAAGCCATCGGAAACGTCACGCATGTCATATTTGAAATCAAAAGACGATTAATTTTTAATTCGGCCAACGACAAATTACGACTGATGATCAATAATAATAAAATGTGATAAGACGGCATAGTGATCATTCCCACATTCAATAGTAATTGATGTTTCTCTTATTGAGTTGTGCCTCCGCTAACTATCATCAATAATAGAGAAAGAAAAGAGCTGAAAACAATTGTCTACATGTCATTTGTTGATGCATATAAAGAGTGATAGAGCCGAAAAACGGAAGAGAAGTATGCCGAGAGGACGAGAGAGAGAGAGAAAATACAGCTACGGCGGTTGATAATGATGATATAATTATCATTTTATATTATAGCTATGCATTTGCATTAAAAAGAAGTACAAGTGGTTCTTCATTCTTAGTCGTTTATATCATTTGCATCACGGCAGAAGAGACGACCGTCGATGAATTTGACCAGATGTGCTCTTTTTTTACAAATGCGTGGTGTTGTAAGAAACAAATAATGGCGTTTGACATTGAAATGATATGATTAATAGGAAAAGATGTACTATGGATTATTTACAATCGAGATTCGTTGAGTGACATCGAAAAGAAAAGAGATGAGACAGAGAAAGAGAGATAAAGAAAAATGACTATCAACATGCATTCATTTTTTCCTTTCTGTTTTTGCTGTTGTGAGCAAAAGAAAAATAAGAATTATGTTATTTTGTTCCGATGTTCAGCATAGATACGGAATTAATTTGCATTCCGGCATCGTATTCTTCTTTTCACCTGTATGGTGGGTAGACATACGAAAAATACATTGTCGAGGAGAAAGCTATTCACAATTTGTGCAACTTAGGTCAGAAATGTGTACAATTAAAGTCAAAATAAATACGAATGTATAATCTTAGATGAAAGAGACGTCTGTAATGAATTGGAAAAAATAGAAATACTTCTCAACAATTAATCTCTTTTTGCTTTTTTCGTTTGTTTATTTTGTATTCCTCACTGATGATTGAGAAAAAGATTGAAAGTATTTGTTGTCGCTGGTCTTGCGTTCTTTTTTAACTATTAATTCTCTCCCTCCCTCACTCCTTTCTCTTTTTTTACTTGTACAAAACTTTGAAATCGACAGACTGTGAAAACGAAAAACAGTACAGTTGTGAAGAAATCAAAATGCAGGGGACTAATAGGTAAAACAGTAATTTGCTTCAACTAGAAGAACAAATCTGTCGTTTTAGTTTCACCCAGCCCAAGCCGGAGGGTGACCGGGGTACACATAATATGAAAAAGTTAATCAATGATATCCTAACAGAGAAAATCACTGAGGAACATCCGATGGAGCGGCGAGCTACACCAATGGGAATGACAAAGGAAGATTCTCGAGAAATTAATGAGATACTCGAATCTTCACCACCCATGGTAAGTGAACATAATTCTATTAAGTCTTCCGATTGATCTTGCATAAATATATGTATATCTGACTTTGTTTTTCTCAAAAATATTTAGACCCCTACTGGTAAACTTCATGAACGAGGATGTTGTGGACACATCACAGGTAGAGAAAAATCTAATCATTGATGAAAATATACTTATTTTTGTTAATCTAGCGACGTCGATAATTTGGTACATTGGCGTTTGTATATTATTTATTGTTGCCTTTGTGGCTCTTGTTTTGTCAATACTTTTCTTTATTAATGGTACGTTGATCTCTTTCTATATGTTTGATTTTTTGGTAATACATACACATGAATATTTCAATAGATACAACGACAGATCGGCCGTTGAAGCTGTTCGGTATTGTTGGTGCTGGTATGCTAGCATTAATCACGTTTATTATCGTTTTTGTTGATTGTTGGATCGATGGAACTCGTTTGTATCTTGAAGAAGCTGTTGTATATCGAGTATTTCAAGTGAAAGAAGCTGATTCTGAAGCAATGGCTTTGAATGGTGGTCGACTGAAAAATGAAGACGGAGAAAAAGAAAAACCACGCCTAATGTTGTCTCAACAGCAAGCAGGCGTTGTACCTTATGCTCCTGGTCACTATCAAGGTCATAATCATCCAGTACCTTATCTAATTCCTGCCTATGTTTACTATCCTACGATGGTACCAAGTAATCATCATCTCTTTCATGGTCATGGACATAATCACGGGCATCAGCATGGACACAACCATAACCACGGACACCCATACGGCCATGGACATGATCATGCGAACAGTCACAGTACGCATGTTCCTCGTTATCGTCATTATCCAGAAACAAATCGTTCTTTATCACATCTTACTCGTCATCCGCGTCGTATTCACACAGTATCGCCGACTTCTTCTCAGCGTCCGATCGACCGCGACGAATCACGTACTTCGAATCCCACTCAAGCGACTGTTGTCAATCCTACTGTTCGAACATCAGATAAAAACATACCCGTGATAAAGACTCGAAAAGTAATACGAAAACCAAGGCGTGTCAGCCAGTCGAAAGTCAAAATTAATGAAGCTGTACATGGAACACATATAGATCAACTGAGTAATATACCAACGACAGCAATCACCTATGATAACGTTCCTTCTAATGTTACTGAAGTTATACGTGAAACAACTGTTGTAAAAGCACCACGAAGTTTACTACCGACATTGCGAAAAACACTTGTCAATCCAAACAGTGGTGCATCCGCTATATTCAAATAGTAAATTAGACAGAAGATATGTGAACATTTTTTCTTCAACTATTTATTTGACTTCTATATCTATTTATTCTTATCGAATAAATGAAGTTTTCAGAAAAGTTCCTTTCGTCATCGAAAACTCAAATGTACTTATTTTCGCATCTATAATGTAAACACGCTTTTTGTGTCTCGTTATTTTTGGACGCAGTCATGAGGTTAAAAAATGAGATATTTGCAAGTTATTTAGAGCATAATCGATGCCTATAATCATCTTTACATATTGTTACTGAATGTTTTTCTTTCTTACATTTGTCAGTATTTGGCTATTATGGACAAAACGTTGTGTTTCGTTAGTTGAGAACTTTATCACTTAAACAGACTGGAAATAATTATCACACAAACTATTTTCATGAAAGCACCGAGAAAGTTCAGAGCTCGGATAAAGCAGACGAATACATTTTTGACGAATCTGTTTTGTTCTGTTTCTCTTTCGTCTCTTGAATAATATTTTTGAGAATTATTTTGATGTCGATTAAAATTTACTATTTATTCTTATGAGTACCTTTCAGACAGAAGAGAAATAAGTTCTGGATGATTGTTGATCACGTTAATAAAACATTTTCTTTCGTTGAAACAAACGACGACTGAAAACTTCATCAAATGATACTATGCAAAAGAAACAACCAACAGAACAGTTTGGTATGACAGAGAAATATCATAACAGTTGATACATTCTGATTCAAGTACCTTTCATTGAAGAGCATAATTGACAGTAGCACTTATTTTTCTACCGAAATTTGTGGCTCGTTCACCCAAAACGTGTTTATTTGATAAGAAAATCAAATCTGCAGAATCAAATGATTAGTTTGTAAAGTAGCTAAGGCTAATTGGAAATAAAATGTTCTTTTAAATTGTGGTATAACCTCCATCAACGAGAAAACTGGCACCTGTGGCAAAATGACATAAATCAGAAGCAAGAAAGACAATGATATTGGCGATTTCTTGAGGTGAACCTAGGCGTTTCAAACATTGCTTCTTAACTTCTTCTGCAGTGAACTCATCCATGGACAAATTCAAATTAGCAGCATGACCCGTTGTGGCAGATGTTAATATCGTTCCAGGGCATATGGCATTACAACGGATATTGAACGGACCTAAATCCAATGCTAAATTACGTGTCATTTGTAAAACAGCACCTTTGGTTGTGCTATAAGGTACGAAGTTCGGTTGGGCAATCCAGCTGCTAATACTAGCAAGTTGAATGATTGAGCCTGATCGTTGCTTTTTCATGTATGGTACCACAGCTTTAGCCATCAAAGCGTAGCCACGAACGTTGACGTTTAAGATTTTTGTCCAAGCATCTGCAGATGCATCTTCGACTGCACATAACGTGAAAATCGCTGCACTATAAAGCAAAACAGTTTTCGACTAATCTATCCGTTGGATTAACGTACTTATTGACAAGTACATCGACTGTATTCCATTTGTCTACGACAGTTTTTATTGCATTTGTGATCGATTGTTCATCGGTAACATCAAGTTCAATAGACATGACATTTTCTGCTTTCGTTTGATCTCCGCTGATGATTTTTGTTGCTACTTCATCAGCTGTCTTTTTGTTGATATCAGCTATGACAACGCGTGCACCATGTGCTGCGCAAGTCTCGGCAATGGCTGAACCGATACCACCACCGGCACCAGTAACAATAACGACTTTATTAAGTAACAGTTGAGACCAGTTACCCGACGCTTTTGATGCTTGTTCAGGAGCGGTACACATGTTTCTTTGTTGATAAGAAACTAGATAAAAATCTATTTAGTCGTTTTTATATGTTTAAAAGACAAGTCAAGACGCTTACCTCCATCTATTTTTGTCAGAGGATGACAGTTGATTGGAGGGGCTCGACTCTAGACTGAATGAATCACTTCACTTTCTATCTTGAATTGCACGAAGAGGACAAAAGAATAAGGTAATCGAAGTCATGTATTTACCCTGATTGAAACGTATTTCAACGAAATTCTATCTTATTTACGTTTTCAATCGGACTATTGAGACAGAAAGAGATGAAAAATAAGTCTTTTTCGAATTGATTGCACTGTTTGACAGCATTGCGTAGACACTTTTCTTTCTTTCTGTCAAAATGACGAAGAAGTTTATTATTTAGACATTTCATTTTGTAGATTAACGCGTTATATCGGAAACATTGACAATGGTTCTCGACGCAAGTATTCTTCAAGAGAAATTAATTGAAGCTTGGAAACTTCGGTCAGATGAAACAAGTTTTTCCGCTTCGCTTGCACCATTGGTTGCAGCATGTCAGTCAGAAGAAGAATTTCGAATATTGTTCACAAGTAAAGATCAAGCATTGTTTCTTTATCTGAGTAAATGTTTTATCGGTTACGATTTAGATCAAATTCTCGCACATATCGATTCAGCTACTTCGTCAAATCTTCTTCAATCCTACTTCAAATTTCATACTCGATCCGGTTATATCAAAGAATCTTTAGTCATAGAACGCCTTCTTTCACTCACGCCATCCTCGTCAGTCATCGAAGATATTCAAATCAAATTTCTCCTAGAATTACTATTCGATACGTTAAAAACAATGCACGTCACTGCTGATCAAGCGTCACGCCTTGGTAAACAGATCAATTCACTTGCAAAATGGCTTTGTTCAGCGTTGTGCACCTACTCGAATGAAGATATGACAACAGGAGCCACTGAAATGCTGATTGCCGTTTCCGATCTATTTCTAATTCTCTTCAATAATACGACCTACTATTGCCTTTGGCTAATGACAATTAAGGCACAGAGAGAACAGAATGATTGGAGACAATTGCAAGAACAATTAGCACAAATCGGACAGAAAATGTCGATAGGTGATGGAACACGACCGGATGTCTATGAGCAAATTCTTTCGAAGTACGAAAATGACCTATTTTCGAATTTTCACATATTTTTCTTCATATAGAGTCACTCGACTTCATCTTTCTGAAGATTTTCATCAAGAAGAAATCGACTTTCACTCATCCATATTCAATCCTATCGTTGGAATGCTCATCGTCAATAAACTTCATAAGTCATCTTCAATTCTACTTCTTATTCTTCGCTTCTATGAAAATGTTTCGACAATCTCTAATCCAGCTTCAACATATCTTCAACTTCTTCAAGCGTCTTTTGGTGGTTACGTAGCTGCTGTACCAACAAACAACAGTGAATATCAGCAACGATGGTCAGCGTACATTTTCTTTCAATTGCCACGTTTACTAGCAGCATGCTTCGAGAGTCAGCCCGTGCACGTGAAACAAGCCATAGAAGACTTCCTATTACACAATGAATATCTGCTGAATCGTATGGATGAATTATGCATAGAGAATGTTTTGGAACAGATATTTCGTACGACATTAAGTTACATGAAAAATGATATACGAGAAAAGAACCAAACGAGTTTGAATCAATTACTTTTTTACATTCAAAAACTTCGAGGACCATTCGTGCAACAAATGCAACAATATTATCTCAATCAAACAACACGTAAGTTCACCGATCGTTGTCGTTTCCAAGTTGATAAACAATGGTTGTTCTCTAGACTCTTATTCGTACGAAACTCTTCAATCACAACGTACACTTGAGCAATCTCTTCACAAAATAATATCATCAAATACGGAAGAAAATCTGCAAACTCTACTCAATAATATCATTGAATACATCCCTATAATTTGTGCTACTGATCTCTACTATCCGTTCATTCGTTCATTACTAATCTATACTCAAACACAAAATGACTTAGCTCTGTTAATTCTTTGTTATGTCACATCTATAACCGACGATGTATCCGAAGATTTTGGACATGTTGATTATCAATTCGAAGCAACGTCTTCATCAAATGTGCTTTATACCTGGTTGAAGAAATACTGGTTATCCCGACATATAGGTCATGCACTTTTCTCCTCTTCACTTGATTCTATGGATCTGCTGTCAACGAATCATAATTCCTTCTCCGAAGCATCTCTCGCCGAAAAAGACGACTTTCTTAATGAAATCAAAAACTTAACGCCGGAAACAGTACAAAAGAAATATTCAGATATTGAATACTTAACAAAAACTATTCATTTACTCGGTGAACTTCCGTCATTATCCTTGGAAGAAACGAAACAAATCATAACAGGATTAATTACATATTTAACACAACTTTCGTACGGATCGTTAGTGCACGTTCTTCTTTGGTTAATTGCGAACTATCAAATTGCGAATGATGATGAAAGATTGTGGATTCAAACAACAATCAGCACAATGGGTAACTGATTTCACTTAGTTTCTTCACTCGAAGCAGCTACGCTTATCTTTAGCATCTTAGATTTCGTGTTCCCCATTAGCTGTATAGATATAAGTCTTTGCTTTTCAAAATCTTGTTTTTTTTCTTCCTCTAGGAACACTTCCCGACTCATCATCAACTACATGTACCTTACTCGATGCAATTAAACGTCAACTTTGGTCAGATTTTGTCGACAACCCTCTTATCCCATATTACTCCCTCATTCCATCATTTTCCTCTTCATCAGTTGCGAATAACTACACTCCGTCTTCGCTTCAAACACCGACGACGCTGACACTCGGATTATTCGACATCTACCTAACAAACGAATTTCTTGATTGCGAACAATCGCGTGCTCTTTATATTTGCCACAAATACGTTCCCATTGACCTAATCATTACACGTTTATTAACAAATATGAACACGTCGAATGGAATCTATGAGACACGGCGAGCTTTATCCTTCCTCCTAGGTCTAGTTTTATTTCGACGACGTTCGTCGACACGTTGTTTGTTACAAAAATCTTTACCTTATTTAATCAATATCAAATCAAATGATTTCATGCTCGAGCCCAATGTTTATCATATGTGTTTATTGTTCAATATTCTATTAGTTTTAGAGTTGAACACGAATCGTGAACAGACGGAGGAGATATTCCATGTTAAACCGTGGAAAAGGACTGTCCAGTCGAATGATTCGATGTTAGTCGATGCGGTTGATGAAACTTTCGATGATATTCTGTCAAAATACGAAGATACGAGTGTCATAGATGCTTTTCATGAATTTCTCGACTGGTCATCGAGAGAACTATTCATTAGTGATAATGTTCGACCAATAAATTATTTTCTCGGATGGTTACAAACGACTCTCTGGATGTTTAGTCGAACAGCGAAATCACTCAAATCTTTTATTAAACCAAAACTGGTGAGTAAAACGGCATTTTTCATTTGCAAATCAATATTTTCGATGTTAAGGTCGCTCAACTTTCAGAATATATTCCATTGCAATTTCCAATCGAAAAAGTGCTGAGTATTCTCGATTTGTCAACTAATGTTGAACTAGAATACGCATCAATGGTGATTACACGTGATTACGCACACTTGGATCTGATGGACACACATACGACATCAACATTAATTCAAAATCAACATATCCTCGATAATGAATTCAATGCAACAAGTCCGACGACAATAACCAAGAATATTTACACGATACCACGAAATCTCTGAGAATATTCATTGATTTATAGAATGAATTATGTTCTTTTTCGAAGTCAATGTCATAATTTACTCATCCTAAATTAATCAATGAATGGAGACAAAGCTTACTTTCTTCTTATTCATTGGTAGTCTATTTTTACCCCACTTATGTCAGTTGGCTGTGTAAAGATGCATTTTCTAATGATATTCGCTCTAAATTTATTTATATAAACTAGCGCAAAATGTGTATTTTGTTCTCTCTGTTGACTCAAGTATCACATGTTCTTTTTTTTCTTCTATAGATAAAGATATGTATACAGCTCTTTTTCGGCAAGCCAGACCGAAATCATTACTAACCAGCACACTACGTACCTGTCTAAAACCTGTATAAACATAATTCGAATGATGAAACTGTTCTAAGAGATTGTTTTTCTTTCGTTATATCTGTAGAGAATGGAAGCGTCTTCGAAGACTTATGTTGGCGGTGCGCCGGAAACATCAGGAGATCACAGTGAACTTGCAGGTTCTCAGCTAATATCAGAGGCATTGAAAAAGCAGGTAATTACTTGTCGAAATTAATGAAGTAGTAACACGAAGATAGCATTTGTTTGATTAATTGCAGGGTGTTGAGTATATTTTTGGCGTAGTTGGTATTCCAATCATTGAAGTTGCTTTTGCTGCTCAACAATCGCAAATAAAATTCATCGGAATGCGAAATGAACAATCGGTATTGACACAGAATGCTGATTTTCGATTACTTTATGCTTTCTTCTAGGCGTCCTATGCAGCATCGGCTATCGGTTATCTGACAGGAAAGTATGTGAGATGGCCATTGCTTAGACTTCGAATTAACACAACGTTAATCTTAATAGGCCAGCAGTATGTTTGACTGTGTCAGGGCCTGGTCTTATTCATGCTCTTGGCGGAATGGCCAATGCACAAGTGAATAAATGGTAAATAAGATCTCTTTCGTTATCATAATAATCGAATATATGTGTGGCATCTTTATAAGGCCAATGGTGGTTATATCGGGATCATCAGATCAACCCCAAGAATCAATGGGAGCATTTCAAGAATTTCCTCAAGTGTGTAAGAAGATAAATCGCAGCGGTAGAAAGCTCTTGTTAAATATTCTTGTAGGTAGAAGCAGCGCGACTCTACTCGAAATATGCTGCACGTATCGCCTCGCTTGATCGTGTTCCATTTTTCGTCGAAAAAGTGACTTTACCCTTGTTCATCTAATATATCAAATAGTTCTATACGATTCATAGGCAGTACGTTCGTCTGTCTATTCACCATCGGGTGTAAGTTATCTTGATATTCCCGGTGAACTTGTAACTTCTACTATTAATACAAGTCAAGTTGAGTACGTAGCATTCTCTTGCGAAGTACATAACGTTCTGCTTTGACCATTTAGGCAAGTACCGAAATATCGCGCACCACCGAAGCCGGCTGCTTCTTCGGAGTCACTCCAAGAATTTATGAGTTTACTTCAACAAAGTCAAAAGCCACTTGTCATTGTTGGAAAAGGTAATCTTATGCAATAAGAACATCCTTAAATTAACAACATATTCCATAGGCTGTTCGTACGGCGTCGCCGAGCAAGAGGCAAAGAGATTTATTGAGCAATATAATTTACCATTCCTCGCTACACCTATGGGAAAAGGAACACTTGATGATCGTCATCCATTATCTGTTGGTGCAGCACGCTCGACAGCATTAAAAGATGCTGATTGCATCATTTTACTTGGAGCTCGTTTGAATTGGATGCTGCATTTCGGTAAACCGCCCCGTTTTGATCCCAACGTAAAAGTTATTCAGGTAAGCAAGATTAAACACGTTCTATCCAGTTAAAGTATTCGTTTCTAACATAGATCGATACGGACACGCGTGAATTACATAACAACCTACAAAGTGCATTGGCCATTCAAGCCGATCTTCAAACAGTACTAAAACAAGTAAATATTTTTCTTGATAAATTACTCGAACGAGTGTATATCACGCTTGATTCTAGCTTGTCGAAGGTGGTACGAAATGGAAATATGATGGCGCAACGCCATGGTGGAATTTACTTAAAAAGAAATTAGCTGCTAATAAACAGCGAAGTGATGTAAGACGAGCTAGTCGGATGTAAATGATTGTTGAATAATATATATTCATATACATAGGCTCTTATTCATTCCAAAGAAAGTGCAATGCTCAATTATTATTCTGCATTTGATGCAGTAAGTTCTTCTTAAACAATTATTTGCGCTCTCTTCATAGAATCGACCATGCTTCTTTTAGATTCAATCCATTATTCCGCAAGATGCAATTATTGTTAGTGAAGGTGCAAATACAATGGATATTGGACGAACTATGCTGTTGAATTCCAAAGCACGTCATCGACTTGATGCTGGCACATTCGGTATAGCAAAAGTGTGATAAAAATAACGAAAAACTCGCTTTTGCGTGAATTGTTTAGGTACTATGGGTGTTGGACCGGGTTTTGCTATTGCAGCTGCCGTCTATTGTCAAGATCATGAGCCTGGTAAACGTGTTGTTTGCGTTGAAGGTGACAGTGCATTTGGTTTCAGTGCTATGGAATTCGAAACTGCCGCTCGGTAATGAGTTTTCCATACAAAAAAAAACGAAGGATTTAGGTCATCTTCTCTTTGTCACCTCTAGCTATAATCTTCCGATTATATTCATCATTATTAATAACGGTGGCATCTACGCTGGTGTTGATTCGGAATCTTTTCAAGACATGGCTCGTCAGGATGCGGCTTTGAAGTAAGACGACATTTTGAAATTGTACTCGTGAATGAAACAAGAAAAAACTTATTTTAAGTCTTCCGCCAACATCATTAATGCAAGCCCATTATGAACGAATTGCTGGTGCTTTTGGTTGCCAAGGTTATCTGGCACGTTCGTTGGATGAGGTGAAGAAAAGCGTGCAATCCGCATTGGCTGAAAAGACTCGTCCATCGATTATTAACGTTTTTATCGAGCCATCATCCGGTCGTGTTCAACAGGTGAGTGGCAATTATTTTTCGTACCTCATTTAAGTTTTCTTTCTTCGGTATTTAGGAACATGGCTGGCTTACCCGTTCCAAAATGTGAACTCATTTTATCTAAACAGGATTTTCAGTCTTTCTTTTTCTTCTATACTTTTTAATAAAATATAGATAGCATGATTTGAATAACCTAGAGAGCGTTACGACGTTGTTGAAGAGAAAGAAAGAGAATGAATGCAAGTTTTCTTCTGCATTCTCGAGTCAAAAAAAGACGAGAGAATATTAAATCGACGGAAGTGACATCATCGTATATGCTTCCCATCTCCATTGACATTTAATCTAAGTGAAAAAACGCGTTCAGTTGATAATAATGAATATGGAAGAGTCAACGACAGAATTACCAAGTAGTAAATTGAAGGTTTATTAAAAAGAACAAAGTTTTTAATGTCAATTGAACCTATTTTAATCTCTCGTAGAGAATTCGACAACGAATTCTGCATCCGCTGGCTAAACAAAAACCGACAAATGATCAGCAAACTGCTCTTCTGCACGAACACAATCAAAAAGCCGAAGCACCGATTCGAAACGAAGATTTTCAAGCGTATGCGAACCGTGATCCAGGCGAATATCGAGTTATGCATGAATATATTTCTAGTACTGGTTTTGTCATCGATCCTCAACATTATCTATATCATTATTGGCTAGGAATCATCTCTCTAGCTGTTGCTTACAATCTTCTATTGATTCCGGCTCGTTATGCATTTCATGATCTAGATAAAAATCTGAGAATTCTTTGGATTTCTTTAGATTACACATTTGATTGTGTGTACTTAATTGATATGTTCTTTCAATCAAGAACAGGTTGATAAAGGAAACTTGGGAGAGAAAGAAATATGATTCGATTTAAATTTAAGGTCATTTTAGTCATGGTTTATTCGTTCGAAATCATCATGTTTTATCTCGTAATTACTTTACATCGCGACAATTCTATTTACGTGATTTATTGTCCATTATTCCGGCAGATTTGTTGTATTTTATTCCAAAGTATCGATTCGTTTCAATTATACGCTGTAATCGATTGTTACGCATCCATCGCTTAACAGAATTTCAAGATTTAACCGAATCGCGAACAAGATTTCCTAATGCATTTCGAATCTTCTGTCTGATTGGTTTAACTCTAACACTTATTCACTGGTAAGAGACAACAATTTCGCTCTAAATCGATACGCTTCTCCTCACCGTCAAGGAACTGTTGTGCCTATTTGCTCATCTGTCAACATTTGGGTTTCGGTACCGATCGATGGGTACTACCGACGACGGCAAGGAACGAAACAGTTGCCATGCTCTACACTTACTGCTTCTATTGGTCAACACTCTTACTAAGTACCATTGGTGATGTACCATTACCGACGAAACGAGAAGAATACGTTTTTGTTCTATTCGATTATATGATTGGTATGTAAGAGATTCAGAAATCTCTTCATCTATTGAGAAATTTCTATCTGCAGGAATACTTATATTTGCTACTATTATTGGTAATCTTGGAACAATGATTTCTTCACAGAATCAATCAAGTCGGAGGAGAAAAACTCTATTGATTCGATGCAATGAGTTGTTTCGATTTTAGGACAGCAAGTTCGTGAGAAAATGGATGAAATTAAGCGTTATATGAAGTTCCGATCGGTTAATCGTAAACTTGAACAAAAGGTGATTAAATGGCTCGATTATCTCTACACAAATCGGCAAGTTCTCAGCGAAGAAATGGTTTTGAATTCCGACCTGAGCGTTGAACTGCGTAAAGATTTAGCGATCAAAGTTCATTTAGAATCGTTACAACAAGTAACATTATTTCACGATTGTGAACCAAATTTACTGATTGAATTGGTAAAAAGCATCGATGTTATTCTCTCGCCTGAATTTTCATGTCTTTTGTTTTAAAGGTTACCAAATTAAAACCGACCTTCTTTGGTCCAGGAGATTACGTCTGTCAAAAAGGTGATATTGGCAAAGAAATGTATATTATCAAACGTGGCCAACTTGGTGTTGTTAGCGACGATGGCAAAACAACGTTTGTTGTTCTCAAAGAAGGTTCCGTGTTTGGAGAGATCTCGATTTTGAACATTCCAGGTATGAACCAATCGCTGCCGATAGGCTCCATCCGCGAATTTTGATTTAGGCTCAAAGAATGGCAATCGTCGTACTGCAAATGTTAGATCATTAGGCTACTCAGATTTGTATACATTGCGAAAAGAAGATCTTTGGCATGTGCTGGATAATTATCCTGAATCATTATCGAAAATAATCGAAAAGGGCAAATCGATTTTGCGTAAGGATAATCTTCTCGATGAATTAGTAACCGATACGAAACGGCATATTGAACAAGAACAACTACTAAGCATACAAAATCGTATAAAAAAATTAGTTGATACAGAAAAATCATTAAGCGATCGAACAACGACGTTTTTCGACGCTTATGTTGAATCAATTCGAAAATTTAAAAAACAACTGTCCAAAATGGAATATCTTTATGAGACAAGAAAACCAAGTGTTATTGTGGCGAAAAGTGTACCGTTGACGACACCCGGTATACCTTTCCTTTTAAAGCAATGGAAAACGAATACTGCTGCACATTTACAACGATTTTCCAGTGTGCCATCAGGGCCATTGGACGACGATTAATATTCGAAAACTAGAACGTCTTTTTTGAAAGTGAACTCGTAAATATATAAAAGAGTTCACTATTGGTTATAGAATTATGATTCATAGTTGGTAAAAGGAATAAAAGAGACATATATACAAAGACAAGAAGTATTGGATCATCTTCTTCTAATAGTGAAAGATTCGACATTGTCAATTGGAGGAAATTTATCTTTATTTCAGAGTATTGTAACTTTATAGATCATGTCATCTAAGATTTCTCCTCCATCTTCGATGCTACTCATATGTGATATTAATAAATTAACCTATCGACAATTACAACTCGAATTAAAATTTCGAAACTTAAAATCCGGTGGTAAAACTGAAGTACTTCGTGAACGTCTTCGACAAGCTTTGCTTACTAACAACGAAAGTGAACAATGGTCAGATTATCTTGACGAATGTTCCATCTGCTTGGATAAGTTATCCTTCGATACGCGAACGACAATACAAACGACATGTGCACATCGATATCATCGAATTTGCTTGAAAAAATGGATCGAATCTAATGGAGAATATTCGCTCTGTTGTCCACTATGCCGTTGCTCGCTAGCCAACGACCGACAAATCGAACAAGACGAAGATACGAAAGTGATCGTCTGAAAAGCGTGCGATTTCGCAGCTGGGTAAACAATTGTTTGTTTGTTTTCTATTTTTTTATCACATGTCAAATGTCTTCGAAAACGATATGACTTTCTCCTCTCCTCTTTTTTTGTCAGATAAGATAATTTGTTGATCGAATAAATATATGTGCCAAGACTTTTATGAGCATCTAATTCGTTTTCTCCTTGCTCGATTCATTCATTGTGATTAGAACAAGAATAGTTCAGTTTTCTGCTTTTAATCCTCATTAAAACTATAACAAAATGAAAAACGAGAAAATACACAGTAAACTATTCTAATTTTTCGGCTGTCTTAGCTTTGCCTAATGTTGGAACAGATGCGTTATTTTTCTTTTTCGCTCTTTCGAGCAAATAATCAAATGTCCAATAGTGTAGATGAAGTTGCGCTGGGATTGAAAGGGCTTGAACACGATGCATGGTTTCATTGTATGACGGAACATCAATCGAATGGATTGCACTAAATTCAAATCTTCCAATTTGTTTCGTCGATGATATCAATGGCCCACGTGTTATATCAACATGACAGTCACCCATTCGATAAACAGATAAACGCGGTTGAGTATCAGTTGGCGTTACCAAACGAAGCATATGTGGAATTTGTGCAAGTTTAAATCGATCATATGCAAACATTTCTTCTGCAACCGATTGTGTTACATCCAAGCGTTCGAAGCGAAGATCACGATCGCGTAGTTTATATGCTTGAACAGATAAACATCGAAGATCATCACGAGTTGGCTTCCAATCTCCTTGAATGAGAACGAGATTTTCTTGATTGTCATTCATAAATTAATCACTTACCGATATTAAGTTGAGCATCATAAGCAAACGATCCAGCTTGGAAATGCGGTGGTGGAAATGAGCAAAGCTCGACATGATACGTGGATTTGAATGCTGTTTCAAGAATATAGCCGATAATGAACGAGCAAGTTCTCCAATAAGCACGGTTTTGCTCTTCACAGTTTTCTTCCATAAAGTGAAGAAACTTCAGTGTACAGTCACGTTCTAATGGTCGGTTCATATCCCATATGTGTTGATCGTCGATTAAAGCTAAACATGATCGATCAACTAAGACAGACGATAAATGTCGTGCACAATGAAGAGGCGTTGAAAGATTTTTGTTCATTAGTAATTTTGTTGATTGAATGGGATCTTGAACGTCGATTTCGATTTTTTCAACACGACGAATTCGTTCGATTTGTACTTGTTTTTCATTATTAAATATTCGAAGTCGATGTGCACGAATCTCGTCATTAGTTAGATGATTTCGAGATAGTGCAGATGATGTTGATTGAAAACGACGTGAGAGAGCCAAGCAAGATCGTATTTTCATCATTTAAATTTCTGAAACAAAATCAATCATATTTAGAAAACATAAATTTGAAGCACGAATGAGGGAGATATGTAAAAACGAAGGAAAATGTTATGAGTCACGTATTTCTTCTGTAATCACCAATAGAAGAATAAAACAAAACTAACGATGCCAGTATGTTGGCGTTGATAGTAGTGCTCCGATAGCTGTTCCCTTGATAGAGCCCAACAGTTCTTGAAATCGTGGAATTATCGATATTATCCTAATTAAATCATGTTTATTTTCGAACTATTTATATCTGTTCTCGTGTTTGAAAAGAATTCTTTCGTAACATATCCTACCTATGAATAAATGGATGTAAAAGTGATACGCTAACGTGAGATAAACATGATGAGAATCGTTGACATTGATTGAGAGCCGACTTCATCTTCAAATCTCATTTATTATGAAATAAAAAGAAACCATGCCATCACGTAGACGAGTTCATGATCAAAGTTCGATAATGATTATTTAAAATACATGATGCTTTTTCAAACGAACTCACAAATCGAGATGACTACGAGTGAATCAAAGAAATATATTCAAACTGTTTTATTAGAAATTCTCAATCGGTCTGTTTTATTTTTCACCTATTTTCCATTTCGTAACACGGGTATCTTCAGATCAGCAGTGTGGCTCGGCAAAGGTAAACGAAATGATTTGAATATTGGAATGTTCGACGCGCACAAGGCCGCTCTGAGCTTTCTCGAACAGTACAACAGAGAGAGTGTTCTCAAAGGACAAAGAGTAAATAGTACTTTTCTCAAGTGGATATTCGTAACTGACATTGAATATGTAGATCAATATGCAATACATGGGCGAAGCACTACATATGATCGTAATTGGCTTGAAATGTAAGTAAACTATTTGGAAGATAAACTGTCTCTTTCAATTCGAAATAACTAGATGAAGATGTGAACAAAAATTCAAAACAAGTCGACAATACCACAGTCGAATTTGTTTATCGTCAAATTCTCTTTGGGTTAGTTTCTTTTCCGCATTTCAATTCTCTGAACGTTTCACATGTTTATTTGTAGTGAAATAAAATGGAAAAATGTCATCACAGATAGTCCAAAACAATGCCAGTCAAGTATTTCTCAGTCGTCTCGAAAGGATGAGAGTGAGATAGCCGAAGACGCAAAAAAGCTGATCGAAAGTAAATGCCCACTTATTTATTTCACTTTTCAAAACGATTTCATTCTCTACAGGCACAAACTCGCCGTTAGAAACTACCACCATGGATAACATCACTGGCACACTGTAGACTAAGTTTTTCCCCCTATAAACAATCTTTTTCTTGTTATATCGTACCGTAGAAAGAAAAATGTGCGGTGATGTCTAGTACACCTAACACCAGCTATTAAAATGATTCCACGATCTGAGTTGGCAAACCGGTGTAGGTCGTACGATTCTAACCACAAAAGGCCACAGTTCAAACGTTATATTCGCTTTGTAGAGTGCGGCTCGTATTGAACACTCCGCACGCACGGAAGCTGCGCCACAAATATGATGTGGTAGATTGGGAGTAAATGCAATATTCAAATAAGGATCTGCTAATTTTCGTGGTAAAATAGCAAATAGATCTGATAGACCATAATTCTTCTTATTACACGGAGGTTCAACATCCGACCATTTCTGCGTGTAACCAGATAAGATATCTTCATGCAAACATTCGTAATATGGATTTATTAATATTCGATCGCGCGGTAGAAGATCTGCTGTTGGTAAATCTTTTGCAATAAATATATCAGGACGCGTTCGAACTATGAAATCGTATTGAAAATGATTCTCTTTCTCAGTTTGTTCGATATGATCCAAACAACGTTTCCATTTTGCCATACCACCGGTATCTTCAACAGCGCCCAAATGATTACCAATGGAAATCCATTCAATTTTTCGTGGTGAAAGATATGCTATCGCCGATTTATATAGTTCGCGTTCGTTTTTATTAGTAGTTGTTCGCTGGACATCTTCCGTTTTATTGGATAATTGAAGAATAAGGAAAACATCACCTGGAAGATGATTCAGTGCTTGCCGACGATATGCAATATAAATTTCTTCTTTGTAAAACGTTCGCGGAATGCCTGTCACGCAGTGAGCGACACGGTAGTGTTTTGCTTGAATTTTTCTATTTGTATAAAATCTTTTATGGTATATTAAACCACTTGAGACCACGAGACTAAGAAGAAGCAATTGTCCAAGGCAACAACTTTTCTTTTTATCGCGTGCGACCGTCTTAGATTTTGACAAATTGTTGTATAAGTCGTCTGCTGTACTATTGAACATCAGCTCTTCACCTAAAGATCGAATAGAATTCATAGTACATCAATCTTCCACAAGAAAGCTAACTCGACAGCAAGTCGTTCATTGAATTGGTAGAATTCTCGTTGTATTCTGACATTATTTTCTTTCAAAGTAATATTCATCGCCAAGTTTCTTCACTTTCATTAGATTGAAGTAAAACAAGTCTCTCTAACCATTCTACATCAGTGAATTAAAAAATATTGCGTGTGAACTTTCTTTTTCTCTTTTCTTTGCAAAAGTAGTAGTTTGTCTTGCAATCTTTTGAAAACTTTGACATGTGGATAACTTTAATTTCCATGGTTTTTTTGTGTTGCACAGTGTAATTTCCCGTAGTTGGAGTTACGAAGGAAGTATTGAGTAAATGTTTCTGCTAATATAATCATCGTTCAAATTAGAGGAAAGCATATGAATCAAACCAAACCACACAACGGAAGAAGAACTTTACTTTAAAGTTATTCAACAACTTATTAAAGCTTGCCGTGAAATTACGTGGCAGTAGAAGAAAACAGCAATAGAAAAAACTGAGAAATTATGTATTTCATTTGCATGGCAGTTTTTTTCTGCTTCACTCGCTTTTTACAGAATAGACAAGCGAAATGCATCTGTCTTGATTTATTACATAACACGAGGAGACGTTATATTCGAAGAGTAGCAAGAAATATCAATTGCATATATTTCTATGTCTCTTTGCGTTGGACTAGCAACATAGTTGTTCCATAATTATTGGTTATTCTTAATGAAATTCAAGAAAGACAGTCATATGGATGAAACCGTTCAGGTTTTGCTAATCATTACATGTAATGATCAGTATGATTGAGAATTCTCAATATTTATACACTGCATTCTCTTAAATTAATTGTACGACGAAAACTATGAAGAGCGAGCAAATAGTCGAGTTTTTCACAATCTCAAATCTTCTAATTTAATATAGTTCTGAATCGATCCGTGTAGTAATTCCACGTATTCTTTAAGTACGCTCTCGATTTCGTCGAAAATTCATCACTCCGCTGTTGATATAATGCGTTTTATAACAAACTGATAACAGTGCACCACCAATGTACGACGTACTTTAATGAACTATGAAAACTATTTCATCGGTCAAGATAAGATACATTGACAAACTGAATCGCCATTACTACCAAGTGCTTTTTTGCTTTCCTATGGAGGCTCGCTGACAAGATGGCGCTCGACAATAATCAGCAAATGAAAGATAATATTCATTTATTTGCTACTAGTTTCCTTTCAAAATGACTCAACTTTCGAAATAGTCGACACTCTGTGATTGATTTTTCCCTTCAGATATTTTATTTTTTTACATAATTTTTTCTCAAATATTGTTACAGTGTACAATATGCTTGCCGCGTCGTCAACCATAGCAGTGAATTCGAAAGGTGATACCGAACTTTGCCGAAACGCTTGCGGATTCTATGGAAATAAAATCTGGGATGGATTTTGTAGTAAATGTTATCGAGAAGTCTATCAACAAGCTCGACAGATTCAAGAAGGATACGATGGTCGATCAAAGTAAATGAAAGACTCTCTCCATCCTTTACGATTCCGTGTGTATTTTTAGTACTGCAAATCCTGATAATACTTCACCGCCCTCCATTCCAACATCTCCTTCATTTTCAAACTTTCAAGAAAAACGTCGTTCAAATATCAGTATGCGTAATCCACTTCGACAAATGGTTAATCGTGCTGGCAGTCTGCGTTGTATGTCTTACTAAATTTCTTCTAGATAATCAAATCAAGTTCGTTTGCGATTTTGTTAATGTAGCATCAAGTAATTCAGCCGTATCCTCAATTACAAATGACGAACAAGCAATAGAACATGAAGCTGCTAGTAAACATTTAGATACAATGAAAACCGATGATGCACGTGCGGATATCAAAGTTCAAGTGAAAACATTCTCCAGTCATTTTCATAAGAAATGTATGAATAAAAACGTACATATTGACGCATTAATCCAAGACTACGCAACATTTAAAGATGCTTTGAAAAAGCGTATTCATACACATCCAATCTATCAACGTAAACGAAAATATTATGAGCTTTTCTTCTGTTAAAAAGTTCCTTCGATTTGATTTAGATGAAAACGAAGATTTGATTCATAGCGTTCGTGATTATCTTGAAAAGATTGTTTTCACTCGAGATTATTCTTCCATATTTCTTCGTATTGCTATCACATGCGAAGAAAAAGACTTATCTATTCAAAATCGTATATCATCACTTCATTGGATAACAGCGCCGATGTTAGATACAGTAATCAATGAAAATATACCTGCTGCACATGATGCAATTTACAAAGCAATCAATGGTAATGTAAAAGTACTTTGTCAATCAAGAAGTAAAGATTCTTCTGTGTTTAGTTTTAATTGAACTCGATTCGAAAACGACTCCGCAAGGAAAAATTCAATCGATTATGGAATGTAAATCATGTATTGAAACGGCAATCCACGCAAGTAATAGCAGCAGTGGAATAAATGCAGATAGTTTTCTTCCCGCATTGATCTACATTGTTTTAAAAGCAAAACCACCACGTTTACATTCGAATATGCAATTTCTTAGTCATTTTTCTCAACCCAGTGGCGAACAATTATATTATCTAGCTAATCTTGTACGTTACCACCGAAATATTCACCTTGCACGATCGATTGTTCATTTTAGGATTCTGCAGTTCGATTCATTGAACTCTTGCAAGCTGAACATCTCGGTTTATCTTCGGATGACTTTTCGTTATACATGCGTGGTGAACCGGTCTTACCTTCGGAATTTGTTTCTTTATTCGAATCAACTGATTGCGATGAAGCAACGAGCCGACAACGACGAAAGAAATTCGCTCTTTACCACGAACTGGATCATCACTGTGAAAAGTTCGATGAAAACCTCGTAGATTTCAAAAAACATCTAAACCAAACCGTCGCCGATATACGAGAATTACTGAAGGAGAGCTATGCACGTTTTCCAAATTTAGAAAAGTTTCCGCAATTAATCGATATTGACAGTAATGATCAATTAGAAGAACTATCAACACTTGTGACAAGTCCGAAAAATATTAGTGAAATTTTCGATCAATCGACATCGGAAAATGAATGTTTACCTGAACCATTGGCACCTGAAATTATTTCACAGCAAACAAAAGGTGATGACAATTCTTAATCATTAGTTCAATGCTTTGATTCATTACCGGTGTTTGCTTTTCTTTCTTCCCAAACAGTGCTTGTATTTACACAGGATGTTTTTCTGTATTGTTCACAAAAGGCCAAACAATAGTGATGAAGAAATGCTCGATTTTATATTCTTTTTTTTCTTATGTAATAATAAATACGATAGCTGAACAACTGTTTTCTAAAATACGAATGATGTCGTCGATAGTCGACAAACAGAATGGATCTGGTATGACGGAGGACAAAGAATTCAACAGGCACATCGATCGCTGTTCGTTTGTGTGTTTCCTTTTCTCTTATATACATATATATCGATAGTTCGTTTTATTCGCTATTTTCAGTCGGACGCAACGATGACAACGTTATCTGGAGTAAGTACCTTAGATAAATCCAAATTGGATAACCGAAAGTAATCTTAGATGTACAATGAAATGTCTCCAACATTCGGTGCTGCCGATGCACTTCTACGGGATTATGATTGTAAAGCACCTTTCTGGTAAATGACACTGGTTTTTGTTTGAAAAAAAAACATTCCCATTTGACATCTTTCAATAAAGGTTTCGTTGGTTGACAAATCTCATCGAATATGCGTTTACATTCTTAGTACTTTTTACTCTTATCGTTCGTTATATTTGGAATTACATATTTACTCCATTCATGTCACGCTTTCATGTACCGTTCTTCCGACGACGAACACGAGTATCATTTCAAAATGATACAGTTCTTATCACTGGAGGTTTGATCATTAAATTCGAATTTTGTTCTTCTTATTGATGATGAATTCTAGCCGGTGGTTGTCTGGGCCGTGCATTAGCTATCGAGTTTGCCCGCGAGGCTCGTTGTCTTGCTTTATTGGATGTACAAAAGAAACCCTTGGATGATCTTAAACATGTGCTCCAACAGATCTATGGCAAAGATCATTGTCGCATTTATACATATCGATGCGATCTCAGGTACATATTTTAATATGGGTTTCACGATTAAAACTTTGTTTTATTATCCAGTGATTTGAATCAACTCAAATATACAATCACTGCTATTCGAGAAGAACTAAGTGACAACATTTCTGTCGTCGTCAACTGTGCTGGTAAAATCTCGATGAATTTCAGATCAATCCGATCGCTAGCTTGTTTTTCTTTCAGCTACTGCTTATTTCAAAGATATTGTTTCCCATACGGATGATGAATATCAGTACACATTCATTGTTAACACACTCGCACCAATTCTTGTAAGACATTTCACGTCATCGATTGTGTGAACTTGCTTTCTGTGCATAGATTACCAAAGATTTACTCAGTGGCATGATATCGCGTAATCATGGACAAATTGTGAACATCGTTAGCTGCGGTGCGTTAAGTGGAAATGCATTTAGCTCGTCCTATTCATCTTCGAACGCTGCTTTACTCAGTAAAATGAATTTTTCTTTGACAATGTGCAATTCTATTGTTTCGATTTAATCAGATTTCACGGAAACACTTAGTCAAGAACTTATTCTTGCAAAAGCAACCGGTGTTCAAGCCACAGCTGTTTTACCATTTTATCTCGACGGTGGAATTTATACATCGTTACGAAAATAGTAAATGTTCTCTCGTAAAGAATTTTCTTTCTTCATACGTGAAAATCTATTCTAGTGGCAAGGAGAAAGTCTTAGGCGCAACACCGCAACGTTTTGACGAAGCAGCACGTGAAATTATGTCTGGATTAAAATTCGGCCGTAGTCCCATACTTTTGCCTTCATTTCAAGTACAAATCGTTCGTTGCTTACGCGCGTATGTTTTCTTTTTCTTTTGAAAAACTGCTTAGTTGTTCACGCTGAGTTTCTTTTCAAATCAATAGAATTCTTCCGGATAGCGTCTGGAGTCCATTCCTCTTGCATGTACTCGGCCGTACACCAACATTTGTCAATCAACATTAGGCAATGATCAAGATTTCTCAATATTAGTCTTTCTTATTACATACTGGTCACTACTTTGTCTTTCTGTTTCTTGTATTCATTGTATTAGGATAAAAATAAACTGCTAAAGAATGATTTGATCTCGTCAACTAATATCGGCCGAATATGTGAAAACAAAGAACGAATATCCGTCTACGTGTCGCTTCTTTCGTTCGTCTAACATTCAGTATAGACATCGACGGAACGTAAACAAATAACTAAACGTTCGATCGAGAACACCACCAAAATCATGTGTAAGAAATTCTCTTTTGTTCAAACTGATTTTTATTCATTTTGTTTTCTGGTAAAACAGATTCGCCTTGGACTACGTCAATGCCTTGTTTATTCTCTAATTTACAAACGAATTTGACGTATAACAACAGTACTGACTGTTTGACTAATTCATTTAATAATCTCAATCTCTCGAATCCACTAAATTTCTTAGCGGGTGCATCGATTCGTCCATTGAATCATTTTCCAACTGAACACAAGGAAGTTCCAGCGAATTACTTCGAGCCATTACCTTTTTTTGAAACAAATTATCAAAGCAAGTACAAAACTCAACCACAATTATCTCAAAAACACACAATGATCAAACAAAGTACGTCGAAAACTCTTCCACAGCTTAAAGACACACGCTTTTGCTCAAATTTAGTGATCGCTCGAAAAGACAAACAACTGTCAACATTTCAACGTTCGAATCATCTTTCAGCAGCTAATTCATACGGACGAAAACGACAAATATGTACTTTTTGCAAATCAAATGGTGAATCTGCAAGTGTTTACACATCACATGGTAATTTGACCTTATTGAATTTTCCTATTGAGAAAACGAATGATCTAATTCGTTTGTAGTTTTACGCAATGCTCATCGGGAAATTCAATGTCCAGTACTTCTTGCTTATGTATGTCCAAAATGCGGTGCAACAGGTAAATCAGCTCATACAATCAAATATTGCACAGCGTTATCTGAAAATGAGCGTGTTGCTTTGCCAACAGTCAAAAATTTTAAAGAAGGTCGATCGTCGTCAGGCAAGAAGAATCTATTTAAGAAATAATCGATTATTGTTTTGTTTATTTTTTTCAAAAAAAAAAGTTTTATTTTTTCAAAGTTATGTGAAATAAGCGAATATATAAGCAGAACTTGTCTTTTTTGTGTACGAAAAAGAAGCGAAGGTTGTATGTATGTGTATGTGTATGTATATCAATGAGTAAATAAATCGAATGAAAAAGTAATATCGTTAATTGTTATCGTTACTGGGCGAATGAACTAATTGTTTTGTTGAACCGGCACTTGTTTGACGTGGTTGTTTGTTTCGCAATTGTTCTTGTAATTGTTGCGTCCAGCTGACCATGGTATCGGCGGGATCTTTGTGTTTTGATGCCGCTTTTGTTGACTGATTAATGTCAACAGCGTAAACACGTCTGCTATCGATTTCTCTTTCTTGCATGTTACGATTAGTGGAACGATGACCAGCCGATATTTGATCAGTTTCATATTCAGGTGTCCATACTGCAGTTCGTACGTGATAATCCGATGGTTTTCCATCATTGACTGGCACGACTTTGCGACTGTAATTTCCATCATTTGTTGGTGAACCGGAGAAATCCAAGTTGTCATCGTACATTTCGACATGGGCATCTTTATTTGTCTGACAATAATTTCCACATCCAATACTAGTCACAATGTCTACCCATGGTAAATCCGATAGCGTTAGAATAACAATAATAGCAATCACAACACCCAGAACTGTCCAAAAGGCTATTTTACGTTGATTTTCAGTTGAACCAGGCACTTCTTAAGATCGAAAACAGTACGGTTTTAGTCAGAACAGCACAATTGACTACATACCTGTTTCACAATCGCCCCCGGTGTAATATATCGATGTACAATCACATGTGTAATTGTTGACTTGATCTTTGCAAACTCCTCCGTGAAGACAAGGAGCTGCTAAACATTCATCTATTTCAGTGTCACACTGCGGTCCGGTATATCCTGGACTACAAATACAGAGTTTATCGCCGAGATTCGTATAACATTGACTATTGTGTCCGCACGAACCCGAACTATTGCATGGAACTACGAACATATTTAAAGGAAAGTATGCGATTTCAAATGACAGAAGCTGTTCAATGTCAAACCTTGATATTCACAAATGAAATAGTATTCTTTGGACGCGACATCATCAGCTATTTGATAATTTGTTAGATTTGCATTATAAATCAGTTTATAATTGGTTCCATTGCCAATAACTGCTCGTTTATCTGCTGCAAAATACCAAGTGATCGCTTGTCCCGACCAGTTCCATGTGCCTTCGGCAACCATTCCATCGATCCAAAACGGACTTTGAATACTATACGCTAATCACAATCAATCACAAAAGCTGAGCAAAATTTTACCAAAGAACGATTTACCTGACATCCAGTAGAACAACGCATTCTGTTCTGTTAAATATTCTAATGCAAGTAAATGAGTGACCGAACCTGGTACAGTACTATTGGCAGGTAGAACTTGAGAATCATTCGTACAATAATCTCGAGCACGTTTCCAACTGTAACCCGTTCCGTTGATGACTTTATAGCATCCTCCCGAAATATCATTGTACCCGATTGGACATTTTGCCAGTCCGGTGTGAAACAAGACGAACAGCAAACATACGGCTAATGTTAATGGCTACAAAAACAAGGAATCCTATCCGCTTAAAAGACAATGAATAGAATCGACTTACCATGTATTCTTCGTTTTACAGAAACGTTCCCTTTCTCTGATGAAGAAAAGACTCGAATGACGGTGGAGAGAGACAAAAAAAATAGAAGATTTTTATTTTCTGAAAAGTAATCAGCTAAGTCAACAGTTAGTTGGTGTTGATTTCTTCTCGTTTGATGGCGTCCGTTTGTGTTCATAGTTTCAAGCTTCAATGAAAATAAATAATAAAATAGCAGACAAGCTGTTTCTACGACTTTTTTCCCGTCTGTTTTAGTGAGAAAATAATACATGATATTTCTACTTTTTTTTCTGTTCGGCCAGAAATCGATTCTATTTGACTAAGTAATACTAACAAAAAATGAGCATTTCTTCTCTGTCTCGCGTATTTTTAATTATATTTAGTGATTCAATACAACAAAGAAAACAGACAGACGACTATTGTTTCATGATGATCCGCGTTTTCGTAAATGATGACGATGTTACTTGGCTTTGAGACGCGGGAGATCTAACATGATCTATTTCTTAGATATCAATTACAGAGGATTTGGCACCGATGTTGAAATTCTATTTTTTTGGAGAATACGCGATGAACAACTGGTATTGTCATTAATTATGTATTTTTGTTACGGAAAACTACGGAGAAAAAGGCTAACAACATTGGTAGCTGTCTCTGTTATAGATGAAAACAGATGTCAAAAAGAGCTAGTTTTGAATAAAAGCACACTGAAGTTGTTGTAGTTTTAAACGTCGATAAAATTCTCTTTGCAACATTTATTGTCTATGAGAAGGTCATCCGTTGGACGAAGTAGGAAATAAATAGCATAGGTTAAACGTGTCGATCGGTAGTAGCACGGTAATTGTCTTCGATTCTTGAAATAGACGAATTGATATACAGTGCTAGAAGAAAACATTGACTTCTCTTTCAAGAATACAAATGTGTTTGTTACGAACTTAGTGTGGTGTTAAGTGTTGGCACATGTTCGATTTGATTGAAAAGAATCGGCAGAACAATTATAACCGGTATCATAATTAACGACAATAAACTGATAACTAAGACGATGATTTTTCGTTTACTGAAAAAGAGTTATACGTAAATGGCGAATAAAAAACAACAACGATATCTTACATATTCATCGCGAGAAAAACAACTCATTTTAAATTATGTAAAAGAATTTTGTTTGTCATTATAGACATATTGAACTATTTACTGACGTATTTCCTTAAACAGAACTTATCATCAGGGCATGTTGTTCTCTCGTCATTTAGTTGATAATCATAAATGTTTACCTCTTGATTCCATATTTTATTTACAAACAAATTTTTCTTTGTATTAAACATATTACAAATGAATTATTATTGTTTATAATCACAATCACTTTCTATCAATTCAACATTAAATATTTTTTGAAAATGTTTTATAAATATTGGTATAACTTCTTCGACGGTCATCATTTTCTTATCAGGTATTTCATCAGTGAGTGAAGTTATTTGTCGTCGATCGAAACCACACGGTACAATATGATCAAACCAATTCATGTTAATCGAACAATTAATCGAAACACCATGTGATGTTATTCCTCGCGAATAACGTATTCCCATAAATGCGACTTTCCGTTGATTATCTACCCATGCTCCAGCATAACTAACGCTTTTGCCAGTGTCAATCCCGGAATAAATTCTCGTATGACCGAGAATTTCTCCACATGTATCAACTAGAGTTTGTTCCAGATGAGATATATAAGTTCGAAGTGCTAATCGTAGTTGTGGATGTTGAAGTGGAAGAACTGGATAAGCAACTAGTTGACCCGGGCCATGAAATGTCAAAAGACCACCACGATCAGTTTCATGAAAATCCGCACCAAGTGAACGAAGTCGATCAACATCCGTTGAAGTTATAATAGACGATGATCGACGAAGACCGCAAGTGTAAACAGGTTCAAACTGGAGAAGTAATAAAGTGGGTGAGCCACGGCCTATTGCAAGACGTTGAATATAATGAGATTGAAGAGATTGTCCATAGGCGTAAGAGACTAACTTCTTACATTTTATCAATTGGACAACAAGACGTGAATGAGGCATTATCTTCGTTCATCAGGCATCTGAAAAGGAAGAGAAAATTTTGTTGCTAAGAAAAAAATTGATACTTTTTTTTTGTTTCATGAGTGGCAATCTCAATGTCGAAACAAGGAAGAAATCTTTAGCACAAAAATATTTTCTTTGGCTTCAATCGTGTGAAATTTGGTGCTTACTACGTAAGAGAACTCGATTTAACTCGTCGATTTACGATTGTCTTCAAGCAGCATTAGAAAATCCTGATGCAACCTGTGGTTTACATGCCACTGACGGAGATTGTTATGAATTGTTTCGTTGCCTATTTTGGCCAGTTATTATGGATTGTCACAGAATAGATCTTCGGAATCTCGTTTTCAAACATGATTTTGGACATGTCGATCATCTTGAAGATCTATCATCTGAAGTAAACGAGCAGATTCTTTCGATACGGCTTCGTCTCAATCGTTCAATTCAAAATTATCCAATGATACCGAAATTGACGGTAGAACAGTTGGTTGAGATTGAAGAACGCTTTAAAGATGTATTCGAACGTTTCGATGAAGACTTGCGCGGGAAATATTGTTCGTTGAAGGATATCACTGACACTGAGCAGATGAAGTTACGAGAAAAAGGAATTCTATTTCAAGTTAGGGCATCTTCGTTTTGCTGAGAACGTAGACTGACATTGAGCATTTTCGTAGGAACCAATCGATCGGTATTTAGAAAGTGCTGGTGCGTACAATCATTGGCCTAATGGTAAACAATGAATAAAATGCGATAATGATTTGTGTTATGTTCTACTTCATCAAAGGACGTGGTTTCTACATGAATGAAAAGGAAAGTTTCATTGTATGGGTCAACGAAGAAGATCATCTGAGTTTTATTTCTCAATCAGACAATGGCAAACTGAGCGAAACGTATGAGCGTCTTACTCGTGCTACAGATCAAATAAATCAATTTTGTGAATTTCAACAGCACCAACGCTTAGGTTATTTAAATCTCTCGCCACTGAATATCGGTACGGCACTAGAAATAACTGTACGAGTAAGATTAACTCATCCGGAGAGGCTTGATCAATTGATCGAATTGAGCAAACGGCTCGATATTGGTTCGAAACTAACTCATGATCGGTGTATCATCAGCTTTTCCAATCTGATCCGTCTAGGGCGCACTGAGTTTCATATTATTCGAAGTATGTGGAATGGAATTGAACAGATCATCACAGAAGACATTCGTGAATAGCAGAAAACAGAAAACATAAACTAAATCGTTTATTAATCAGTACTAAATACAGAAAACTTTAAGACGAATTACTTCGCAACGTCATCATATGGATTTTCAAATTTATACTTTTGACGTACTTCATTAAAAATACGTTGAGTATCTATCGGAGTATCAGCATTCCAGGTTTTTATCCATTTTGTTCGATATACTGGTTCACGTAGAGTATCGTACTGAGTTGGAGCACGACTTTTGCCAGGACCATGTTGTTCCATCACTAAATACGTACGTAAACGTTGATCTACACGACGGGAATAAAGACCAGCTTCTTTTAAAGTAAATGGCTAAAATAATCCAATGATTTCTTTAGAAAACGATCGGTGTTTTGTAAAATAAACTTACGTGACGATGTGCTCCCCATATACGGTACCAGTAGTTACGCGAAACAGGCATAGTTAATGTAGATCTGAAGAAAGTTGCGTTCCTTTAATGTCCAGTGTTTATATCTTGGTGATTGAATAGTATTTCTTACGCAAACCAATTCGAAGATACACATCGTAGATGTCGCTAGTAATCATTATCATCATAACTTTGGTACGGCTGATATGCGCGGTCTTAGTAATCTACTTATTCGTCAAGTTTATTTTAATAGCGCAAACTCATCCGACCCGCGCAAAACGACATTGTCATGTGTAAATAATGATTCAGATAATTACAAATCTTGTTTTGTAAAACGCATCGGTCAGGCAACATCTCTGATAAGATAACAGTTTACCTGACGATATTCGTGAGTTAACTCGAAAGATTGTTTTCATTTGCCAAATTCTATTCTAGCAGAATGCAACCGATTAGTGAACGTCTCGTGCTCATAATCATTCTAACGGTTATGGGCGTTGCTACATTCTTCTGTTTACTTGGTATATCTCTACCAGGTTGGGGTGGTGTTAATGTTTTCGTCTATCCAAAATCAGCACCAGCAGCTCTATGTGTTATTTCCTTTCTTTTACTCATCGGCTGTGTAGTCTTAGCAGTTATTATTTTATTGGGCATCGTACAGCATATACATTTACCATTAATCTTTGTCGGATTATTAGTTATTACATCGATCTTTCTTCTCGGAGCTTTCACATCAGTCAATAGTTCTAATTCATACAATTATGCCTACAATTTAGTAATCACATCGTTTACATTCACGTACCTTTCATCTATTCTAGCTACATATTGGTTATTTGGTGCACGACAAGGCGGTAGCACAGTAGGACAATCGAAGAATCAAGCATCTAATCCCACATTACAAATATCCTAATTTGAAATTTTCATCCTACTTCTTTAGAAAGTATTTCTTATCTTTTTTGTTTCTTCCTTTTTTGTTTACGTCAGAAGTTATTCATTAAACGCTAATAAACGATTTCTCATAAAATACATTGCATATTACTTGTGGAAGTACCAAAATATTTTTGCTCAGTAATGATGATGATTACTCATTTAACCGTTGTCTGTTTGCTGAAAATTGCAACATGGACTTCCTTTCGTTGTGTACATCAAATGAAACATGTTAGTCAATGTCATCGTATAGTTGTTTGTAAAAATAGTAGAAAGCAAAAATCATTCAAGCATATTCTTCTTCGCGATTTTTACCCATCATATTCACGTAGAAAGACATGACATATGTTTCCAACCTTCATTATTGGGTAGAGAATAACTTTTCTTCTCATCATGATGAATCTCGTATTCCCGTCTCATCTGGTCAAAAGCCGAACACGATCATCGAATATTCAAGTTTATCACAATCAACCGTTTCCAATAGAAGAAATTCTTGCTGTGCTCTATCCACTCTTCGGACAATACTACCCATATAATGATTTCATACGAATGATAACTGATAGTGATCATATCTTTTGTTCATATGATCGAATTCAACGACGTTGCGTCGCCTGCGCATTAGTCAATAATAAGGGTAGAAAAGGTGGACTCTACCTGATGTTATTCGGTGTACGACAATCCAATCAACAACGCGGAGTTGGTACGCAGTTATTAAAATCAGTCGTTCGTTGGGCACATCAAAGCGGATATGCATATATTTATTTACATGTGCATGTTGATAATTATAAAGCGATTGGCCTGTATGAAAAAGTAGGTTTTCGTCCTGATGAATATTTACAGGACTATTATAGACAAACACCAAAGGAAAATCCGCATGCCTATCGAATGTTGCTACAATTGCGATAATTTAAGAGAAGATTTGATTGGAGAAAATCATTCATTTATTATTTTTTCATATACAAACACAAAAAGACACAGAAAAAAAAATTGTACTTTGATCTTCATTGTCATTCACTATTGGATGAGAAATAAAAAAAAAAGAAAACTAATCAACAATTAAGAAATGAAAATAAGAATATACGTATATCCCCTAAAAAAAATGGACGGCATCGAATACGACTAAGGCAAATATGGCAATGTTTTTGGAATTTTCTCTAAAGTAGTTTTGGTAATTTACGTATTTGACTCAAATCGAGTATTTTGGCTTGAGGCGCATGCGGAAGTTGAGGTTGAGTAAATACAGGTGGCGGCGGCGATGCTTGAGGCAATGGTAGAAGCATACGTTGCTGTGGTGGAGAAGATGATATCAGTATATCATTTTCATCAGATGATAAATAACATTGTTGTTGACGATTGAAACCTGTGAGAATGTTATATTTTTGAAAATATTTTTGCGTAGCAAATGACATGTTTTTGTCAAAGATCTGTGGTGATTGAGATGATAGAATACTGGACGGTGCAGGGGAATGGTGATCGTAATCATTAGCAATAGCTAATTGATCATCGTCGAGATATTTCATTTGTAAACTACGAACTTCAATCGAAAGATCAGTTTCCGATTGAGGGTGCGATGGAGAAATGAGATCATTCAATGGAGTAGCTGCTGTTGGTGTGGGTGCTGACGAAGATGATGTCGGTGCGGGTGGTAATGATGTTGGAAGTGCGGGCGGATAAACAGTAGTTGTACTACTTTGTTGATTGATGATTTGCATTTGAAGTCCATTGGAAATAAAACTAATTCCTGTTGTAGTGGTGGATGTCACGTGTTGCTGTTGCTGTTGGATAACGTTGGCTAACTGAGACATTTTCTCTATTTGACGGCCATTTTCTTCGTCGCCCATTTTCATTAATGATGTATCGGACGATTTCGATGCTGTCACTGTTAACGGCGACGACGGTCTCTGATATTCTTGGATATGTTGTTGCTGCTGCTGCTGTTTCTGTTGTTGACTGGCCATGAATTGAAAAAATGGTTTGAGAATATCCACCGGATTCAAATCGGCTGGAGTGGATGAAGGCGGTGGTGAGATTGTTCGTACAGGTTTAGATTGATATGGAACTGGAGTGTTGTCCAAGATAGGCCGTTCACAATCAGCTGATTTTCGAAGGGATGCATAATTAATAATAGATTCAGGTTGACGAACTATCGGTCCTGATGGAGGCGGCGGAGGAGGAGCAGGAGCAGACACTGGTGATTGAAATTGAGCCAGTGATGATGTTAGCTAAATATAGAAAACAAAGGTACAATAGAATAATTGTGTATGCCGTTAATTTACTCTTGTTGTTGCATTCATGACTGGTGTCTGGTGTTGTTGTTGTTGTTGTTGTTGTTGTTGATAGCGTTGAAGATGATCGATTTGTGGCGATGGTGATGGTGGACTATTTCGATTACTTTTGATCATGGATGCTGATTCTCCAACATCGCTTGTGCACGGCGACGGTGGTTCACTTTGCACAGCAACATCACATTTGGTGATCTCTCTCGTTGGCGTTGAAATCGAAGAATGTTGTTGCTGCTGTTGAGCCGCTAAGAGTTGTGCAATGAGAGCATTTAAAGATTGAATATGAGCATCATATGCTTGCATTTTTTCCAACATTTCCTCTTTCCACTGTGCATCAGCAGCCACAGTGGATGGTGCAATTGTCGATGGAGCCGGTGATGAAAATCGTAACGGTGGTAGTGGCTGCGGTTGTGAAGGTGCTGGAGTAGTGGAAGTTGGAATAACTGTCGGTGCAGGTGCAATCCACTTTGGTGTTGTTATCGTTGGTGGAGAAATCGTGTCCCATGATGGTGATTGATGGGTGAATTGTTTAGGTGGGAGGCGAGGGACACCGAATATGCTTCCATTTGTGTTCGGTGACGAAAGCATAGTTTGATGATGTTCGGTTTGTAGTCCTTGAACTCGATTCGAATGAATAGTTCCATGGCCATTCTCTTCGTCGTCGTCGTCATCATCGGTGGGAATTTCCGCGGAAAGAAATGATATATCTGTTGGTAATTGCGTGTTTGCTATTGATCGAATCGGTGGATGTGGAATAGACAACGGAGAGATATTTCCTGTGTGCGCTCCCAACAACGCATGCATTTTGGGACCATCATGAACATGTTTAAACTCGAAATCATATGGCAAATGTGTTGTTCCGCTCGTATCCTGCGAATGCGTTGTAGGAGGATTTGGCATTATGATCTTTTTGGTGCATGTCCAAAGATCATAATCAACAATAAATGACGATGGTGATGTCGAATTCATCGTCATAGAGCTCACTTCATAAAAATCACATTGGCCACGTGATGTCGACGGATAACACGCTAATAAAAATGATTGTTGTGTAGTATTAGCTGTATTGACACCTGTACGAAGACGTTGCTTAAGCGACGAATTCAGACAATAGCGGAGACATGCTGCCCAAACAAAAGTGCATTGAACATCAACAATGCCTGATACCCAACTAAAATAGAGAGAAAATGACAAATTAGATGTTCCTTTCGGAGTCTTCTCAATCTTACATTCCAACTAATGGTAATGCACATGCTTGTGGATCGTTTTCTAATATCAGCAGAATTTTGTTTGCTGATACACGATCTAAGCCGCAATAACCAAAGTGTGGCTGATTAATGTAAACACCATTTCCTGTCGATGAACTGATATTTTTTAATAGAGCTGTCGGTAAGATCTGGATTGATTCCGAATTGATCGGTGTCAATTTAAAACCATTCTTAATTGTTAAAAGATCAAACGAAAGATCAGCATTGATGGATGGAGACAAACGCGATGACATTTGACCATGAAGGAATGAAAACTGATGCAGTTCAATCGGCAACGACGAATGACAATATGCATCAATTGTCTAAATAAAATCAAATGAAACAATACTTTCAGAAGAAGAATCTGATTGAAGCATACTTTCATGCCCTCTTGAATTAGATTACTGTCAGTATGAACTGTCATCGATGTTTTATTATCACATCGAATTGGAATGAGAAATTCTCCATTCAGTTGTTTATTCGATAACAACATCTGCTGATTCGTCGATTCATTTCTTGGCGAATCATTGACTTGAATTCGATCGACGACATATGTCAATCGTTGTGTTTCATCATCAACAATTAATGTTCCCACGAATTGCAATTGAGTTCGGTATGTCGATCCATGTTGTAAACGTATGGCCGAACGAAATACTTTATCTTCAAGTATTAGTTGCGGTGACAACTGTTCACGTTGGCATAAATAAAGAAATATTGATTTACCAATTGGTTTCGAATCCCACAATGCCAACGAATTGCCGGAGAGATGTTCACGTGGTGTGATTTGTCGAGTGATTTTTCGATCAATTGGCCATGTCACTTGATCGGAATGCAACATCTTCAAAAACAAAAGCAGACAGACAGAAAGAATGTATATCTCGATAAAATCTTCGTATCTTTCTTTATCACAAAACTAATAGAAATACAGTAAGAAAACAAGAGCAAAAACTATATGTATAAAATCATTCGTATTGAAATAAATAAAAAACAAAACGCATCTGACTAGAGACTTTTAGCATGTAGTGTTAGATTGAGATGATTCGGTCGAAGTTTATGTGTTTGATGGACGGACCAATATTTGCCCCAATATCTGTGATTTGTATCAAATGACTGGATGATTTGTGCGATTAGATTATGATTATCTTCATCGTCATCGGCATTGTTGCCTAACCAGATGCGTAATCCAGAGATGGAGAATTGCGTTAGTTTTTTGGTTTGATTCTCGAAAATATTCTCCCAGAGATCACCTTTGGAAAAGTCAATATCATAGGTCAAACCTTCCAAACGAAAATGAGATAAATATGGCATTGCCGGAAGAAACTTTTTCACGTCGGATAAGGTTAAGTCATTAATATCAAGCGAAAAATATGTTAAATACGAACACATGATCGACGAGAGCGGCTGTCGATGGATTGGTTGATCGAAATTTGTTAGATTCAAGAGAGGGAATCGACGACGAGATTGTTCAACTTTCACAGTCAATGACGAGAGATTTGAACAAAGAGATAATAAATGAGGAAGATCAGAAGAGTAGCATGCATCGAGTGTCAAATGTCGCATTGATGATGAAACCGATTCACAAATAATGATTTCACGATTGAAACGAAGATTTAAACACTTCAAAGAAAAGTCATCAGATTTCATCAATGCAAAATTTTCAATTTTACTTGTATAGAAGAAGATTTACTTAACAATGCATTTGCGACGACATTCAATTCACTTGGAGCTACACCGGAAATGTCGAACATATCAATATCCAATCGAATAAGTTTGTTTAGTGACAAAATATCAGCGAGCATTCGTCGCAATTGATCGAATGTGATTTGTATCAATGCCAATTGTCGTAGTGCTTGAAAGTGTCCTAAACGCACGTGTGTGATGAATTGTTGGATCTGTGCATAGAATCTCTGTTCATTTGATAGACGTAATGAGATGAGCTGCTTCGACATTTTTGATAACATCACTTGACAATGATACGCAAAATTCGCTGGACTAGTTAACTGACTTAGATCAAGTGAAATTAATAAACGTGCATCACTAATAATTCGATTGAAACGGCGATTTAAATTCAGGAATGAATGATAAATATAAACAGGTGGATCAAGCAAATCGAAAATATCCATGATAATATCATCACTGAGATCTTCGAATGTGGAAGGCGAGATATTCAATGTCATGATTTATCTATAAGAGAAAGGATTAAGAACCAAAAAGAAGAAGAAACCATTGTTTAACATCATGACTGGATCCTAGAGGAATGTATGTTTTTCTGTGGAACAGCAAAAATACGTACGTTAACATTCTCCTGAGTTACAACAAATAAACGACAAAAAATACAGAGAAGAGATGTCTTTTATGATTAAGTAAAGAGAATTGGTTGGCCTTGGTCTCTCCGAATGCTCAATTATGTGTTGACGAATTGGGTTGATGAAAGAATGGATTCGTAGTTGGGGTATTCGAGAATGATACGAATCCATTGGCCATTTGCTAAACGAAAAAATAAGTTGAGATCGAAATAAATTGTTTTGGTTTGAAATTTAGCTTACAGTATTAGTTGTTGGGAATGCTGTTGTTTTCTCGGAATGATTAGACGACGGTAATGTGAAGCGATTTGCAAAATTTGTTGCAGCGTTGTTTAATAAATTACCTGTGTAATAGAGAACAAGAAAATAAAAGTATTATTGTTCTATTCTATTTCAATAGAAAAGAAGTTAACAACAGTGATCATTGTCATTCCACTCGGCTCAAGTTTTACACGCATGATAATGTCTTTGCTTTCGATATGGAACAGAATAATGAATCGTATCCAGGCGAATATTTATGACATTAGTGTGAGGGAACGCGGAAAAGTTTCATGAAGTCTGTCAACAAAAAACACAACGAATACAACTCAAATGATAGCAATCGTTCGGAAACAATCTCTTAGCGCCATTCTCCGCTCATTTCCGCATTAATACCATCGAAATCGTTTGCTGGATTCGTAGTGTTATTAATGTTGCAATTCTGAGTGAACTGATTGACATTCGGAAGAATTGCTCCTGCTGATGCCATCGCTGTCGGATCCGTAGGCAATGCATTCCAATATTGTTCCGTTGGAGACTCATGAAATTGGCCAGGTGGAGCTTGTACCGGTTGATTGGGATATCTGGAGAAAAGTAGATTCGATCAAAGTCGAGAAAAGTGGCGTTTTCCGTTTCGTACCTGAAATATGGGTTCTTTAGATCAAGTGTATTCTCAGCAGAAATCGTTGTGCCATCGATTTGAAGAAAAATTTCTACATCATAACTTTGCCTATATGAACGAGACACTTTTGTTAGTAAGACAATCACAGAGAACAGTGCCGTGATTTACTTTCGGTTGGAATGTAAGATCGCATGGCCTTTAATCGTTTTGCCGTGACTGACTGATAATGGCCTGAGAAATAAACATCGGACTTGGTACCAATGGGTCAGCGGTTGAGTTGGTGCTGTAGACAACCATACTTGTGAACTATTGAAGAGATCGGTTTTAATAGAACAAAGTAAAATGGCGGATTGGAATTGGTCTTACTTCGATCCATCGAACGAGACATCGAACCAAAATGCTAGGCCATGCACAACAGCTGTTGTGTTCATTTGGAATGACAGTGGAATATTAATTTCGTGTAAATCTTCTTCCGCTGCAGTTAAAAAATTCACTGTATATTTGATTGGCCGTGACAAACAAATGCGCACATCAAAATTGTCCACGATTGGTTGTTTAAAGTATTCATCTAATGCTTGATCACGGAGTGTAGTTAAATCCACTCCGTAGAACGATTGTTGATACCAAAAGTTCGCTTTACCAACTTGCTCCATATATAGAGCTTCATCAGTAAATGGCGTGACATACAAATCACCTGTTGTCGGATACATTTTACCATTCGGCTTCAACCATTTTTTCGCATGTAAGTACGATTCTAACATACGTTCATTGTATAACATATAACCCATTGGCTCGGAAATTATCACATCGACTTGCTCTGGTAAGGTGATTTCTTCAACTTTTCCAGCGATCACTTGGATACGATTACTCAATTGATTGTTATCGACGAGAGCCTAAAAGAAAGAGAAGTTTGGAAATAAATGTAGGTTAAGTTGAGTTACTTTGGCATGTTGAGCCATCGAACTTGCTTCAACAGCGTATACTTTTCGTGCACCTGCCTGAGCAGCAAAAAACGAAAGAATTCCCGAACCAGCGCCAACATCAAGTACAACCTAAAGAACAGTCAAGTTCGGTAAGAGGTAACTGAATATCAAAAACAAACTTTGCCGACGAAATCAATGGAATTGTCAAGAATTGCTCTTTGATATGTCGACGTTCGAATATAATCTTGCATCATATTTTGTTGCTGGGATAAATAACCGTAAAACTTAAGAAAAAGAACAATATTCTTCTTAACTGTGTGATCATCCGGGAAGTAAACATACTTGAAAATATTGTACTGCCGACGATTCTTCTGTACGCTCATCAAATTGACTTGAAATATTATCCTCAATACTTCGGCCAGATTTAATAGTTGAAAGAATCTTCTTGAAACTATTTAGATCTAATAGAAAGGAGGTCGAATTAAACAAAGACTGTACTTTCCCGGATAACTTACCATCGGGACTGGAAAATCGCAATAAATAGGACAAATGTTTTTGTTTAGGTAAACTAATAACGATGCCATTCGAACCCGATCGGATATTTTCGAAAGATTCATCTAACACAATATTTCCTATCACCGATGCTCCTAAAGCGAATAAATGAAAACAATTGTTTAACTTCTTCATTCGACAGCGTCTTACCATTTTTAATGGTTACACAATATTTCTTTTGCTCGGCGTCTTTCTTGATTTCTAAGCTATTTGTTGCTCCTTTCGAACTTTTATTCTGTTGATCATCGAGAAATACAACATCAACACCTGAATATTGATGCATTTTGAAATGGTATTCTTCTGTTTAGAACCGAATTATCAACACAGCAGATGTATCCAAACGATCGGCATATATATACAAACAGAATTCGAGTGTAGATGAGTAGTGGTTGAGCAGAATTGAATTATTTCTTCTCTGTAAAAGAAAATGAATGTCCAGATGCTTAAACAAGTGCTTAACCAATTAAAATTTTTAAAAATCCTCTACTTTGAATCGAATAATACAACAGTTCTCGAAGAGAAACACAATTCACTCGAGAACATAGGAAAATTTTCAAATTTCATTTGTTTATACAAAAGAATGTATAGATGTCACCAATGAGCTTATCCAATTCGTCGTAGAGGAATATTAATCTCAAATAAAAACATGGTAGAATATTTCAACAGAGCATATTTCCTTTGTTCTACCAATTCTTTCGCAATAGAATTGCAGTGTTTTCACTTTGCACTCAATCAATTCTTATTCTAGATCACCGACATGGATCCCATGTTTCCCGGTGGTCACCCACAATTCATCATTGTCCCGCCGGGCTCTGTACCGGTTCCAATTCTGAATCAAGTACCAGTGATGATGCAATCAGCACCGTTTCCTGTATTTGTTCAGCAACCTGTCATGCCACCACAAGCCGCAGCTGCAGCGCCTATTCTACAACAAACGACAACAGCAATGTCAACAGATTTTATGTCAGAAGATCGTTTACAAGAAAAAGCACGTCGTTGGCAGCAATTGCAAACGAAACGTTATGCAGATAAACGACGTTTTGGCTTTTCGGACATTCAGAAAGAAGATATGCCTGCTGAACATTTGAGAAAGATCATTCGTGATCACGGTGACATGACCAACAAGAAGTTTCGTCACGATAAACGTGTCTATTTGGGATCGTTGAAGTACATGCCGCATGCCGTCTACAAATTGTTAGAAAATATGCCTATGCCATGGGAACAAATCCGTAACGTTAAAGTTCTTTATCATATCACAGGTGCTATTACCTTTGTCAATGAAATTCCTTGGGTAATTGAACCACATTTTATTGCACAATGGGGAACAATGTGGATTATGATGCGAAGAGAAAAACGTGATCGAAGACATTTCAAACGAATGCGTTTTCCACCCTTCGATGATGAAGAACCGCCATTAGATTATGCCGATAACATTCTCGACGTTGAACCATTGGAAGCAATTCAAATGCAGCTAGATCCCGATGAAGACAAAGCAATCTACGACTGGTTTTACGAACACAAACCATTAACCGATACGAAAATGGTCAACGGTACAACATATCGACGATGGCAATTGACTTTACCTATCATGTCCACACTCTATCGTATGGGAAATCAATTGTTGACTGATCTTTTGGATGATAATTACTTTTATCTATTCGATCTCAAGTCATTTTTTACTGCAAAAGCATTGAATGTTGCCATACCCGGTGGTCCAAAATTCGAACCATTAGTTAAGGACGTGAATCCGAATGATGAAGATTGGAATGAATTTAATGATATCAATAAGATTATCATCCGTCAACCTATTCGTACTGAATATCGCATTGCGTTTCCTTATCTTTACAATTCTTATCCATTCAAAGTTTATCTTGCTTGGTATCATACACCGAATGTTGTCTTTATCAAAACGGAAGATCCTGATTTACCAGCATTCTACTTCGATCCGTTAATCAATCCAATTGCACATCGCCATACAATCAAACCGGTTGATACACAAATTGAATTACTCAATGACGACATCGATGAAGAATTTGTTCTTCCGGAAGAATTCGAGCCATTACTAACCGGTGTTCCTCTGTATACAGATAATACTGCCAATGGTATTGCATTATTATGGGCGCCACGTCCATTCAATCTTCGTTCCGGCCGAACACGCCGTGCCATTGATATTCCATTAGTCAAAACTTGGTATCGTGAACATTGTCCAAGTGAACATCCTGTCAAAGTTCGTGTATCGTATCAAAAATTATTAAAATGTTTTGTTCTCAATGCTTTACATCATCGTAAACCGAAACCACAGAAGAAACGTTACCTATTCCGATCATTCAAATCGACCAAATTCTTTCAATCGACCACACTCGATTGGGTTGAAGTCGGTCTTCAAGTTTGTCGTCAAGGTTATAACATGTTGAATCTTTTAATCCATCGTAACAACTTGAATTATCTTCATTTGGATTACAACTTCAACTTGAAACCGGTAAAAACTCTAACGACAAAAGAACGAAAGAAATCTCGATTTGGAAATGCATTCCATTTATGTCGAGAAATTTTACGTTTGACAAAATTAATCGTCGATAGTCATGTTCAATACCGGTTAGGTAACGTCGATGCTTTTCAATTGGCCGATGGATTACAATATGCATTTGCACATGTTGGTCAATTAACAGGAATGTACCGTTACAAATACAAATTAATGAGACAAATTCGTATATGTAAAGATTTGAAACATATTATCTATTATCGATTCAATACGGGACCAGTTGGCAAAGGACCTGGTTGTGGTATTTGGACGCCCGGTTGGCGTGTTTGGTTATTTTTCCTACGTGGTGTAACACCATTATTAGAACGTTGGTTAGGTAATCTCCTATCACGTCAATTCGAAGGTCGTCATTCGAAAGGCATCGCAAAAACTGTGACAAAACAACGTGTCGAATCTCATTACGATTTAGAATTACGTGCCGCCGTCATGCACGATATTTTGGATATGATGCCCGAAAGTATTAAACAAAACAAGGCACGAACTATCCTTCAACATTTAAGTGAAGCATGGCGTTGTTGGAAAGCAAACATTCCATGGAAAGTTCCTGGATTACCTATTCCGATTGAAAATATGATCTTACGTTATGTTAAAGCTAAAGCCGACTGGTGGACATCGACAGCACATTACAATCGCGAACGTATTCGACGTGGTGCCACAGTGGATAAAACAGTTTGCAAGAAAAATTTAGGTCGACTGACACGTCTTTATCTCAAAGCTGAACAAGAACGACAACATAATTATCTCAAAGATGGTCCGTATATAACAGCAGAAGAGGCTGTTGCGATTTATACAACCGTTGTACACTGGCTCGAATCGCGACGCTTTTCACCAATACCATTTCCACCGTTAGCTTACAAACATGATACAAAATTACTTATTTTAGCATTAGAACGTTTGAAAGAAACCTACAGTGTAAAATCGAAATTAAATCAATCTCAACGTGAAGAGTTGGGTTTAATTGAACAAGCTTATGATAATCCACACGAAGCCCTATCACGTATAAAACGTCATCTCTTGACCCAACGTGCATTTAAAGAATGTGGCATTGAATTCATGGATCTCTACAGTCATTTGACACCCTGCTATGACGTTGAACCACTGGAGAAGATCACTGATGCTTATCTCGATCAATACCTATGGTATGAAGCTGACAAACGCCGACTTTTTCCGGCTTGGACTAAACCAGCTGATAGTGAACCACCACCACTACTTGTTTATAAATGGTGTCAAGGCATCAACAATCTTCAAGATATATGGGATACAAATGAAGGTGAATGCAATGTCATGTTAGAAACACGGTTCGAGAAACTCTATGAAAAGATTGATTTGACCTTACTCAATCGTCTACTTCGTCTGATCGTCGATCATAATATTGCTGACTATATGACAGCGAAGAACAATATCGTATTAAATCATAAAGATATGAATCACGTGAATTCTTATGGAATTATTCGTGGCTTACAATTTGCTTCATTTATTGTTCAATTCTATGGTCTTGTACTCGATTTATTAGTCTTGGGCTTACAACGCGCATCAGATATGACTGGTTTGCCACAAGCTCCGAATGATTTCTTGACTTATCAAGAAGTCGCCATCGAAACAGCACATCCCATTCGACTTTATTGCCGATACATTGATCGTATCCATATCTTCTTCCGATTTACCGCTGAAGAAGCACGTGACTTGATTCAACGTTATCTGACTGAACATCCTGATCCGAATAATGAAAATATCGTTGGTTACAATAATAAAAAATGTTGGCCACGTGATGCTCGTATGCGTCTAATGAAACATGATGTTAATCTTGGTCGTGCCGTGTTTTGGGATATTAAAAATCGTATACCACGCTCAGTAACAACAGTTCAATGGGAGACAAGTTTTGTATCCGTATATTCGAAAGATAATCCCAATCTATTATTCAACATGTGTGGCTTCGAATGTCGCATTTTGCCGAAGATACGTATGACACATGAAGAGTTCGTTCATCGTGATGGTGTTTGGAATTTACAAAATGAAACAACAAAAGAGCGAACAGCACAATGTTTCCTTCGTGTCGATGATGAATCGATGAGTCGTTACCACAATCGTATTCGACAAATTCTCATGGCATCAGGTTCAACAACATTTACGAAAATCGTCAATAAATGGAATACATCCCTAATTGGTTTAATGACTTATTTTCGAGAAGCCGTTGTCAACACTCAAGAATTACTAGATTTATTAGTTAAATGTGAAAATAAAATTCAAACACGTATTAAAATTGGCTTAAACTCGAAAATGCCGACTCGATTTCCACCAGTAGTTTTCTATACACCAAAAGAATTAGGTGGATTAGGTATGTTATCGATGGGCCATGTCTTAATCCCTCAATCGGATCTCCGATGGTCGAAACAAACTGATGTTGGTATTACACATTTCCGATCTGGTATGAGCCACGACGAAGATCAATTGATTCCTAACTTATATCGATACATCATGCCATGGGAAGCAGAATTCATCGATTCCCAACGTGTCTGGGCAGAATATGCACTCAAACGACAAGAGGCCAATACACAAAACAAACGGTTAACATTAGAAGATTTAGAAGATTCTTGGGATCGTGGTATTCCTCGTATCAATACATTATTTCAGAAAGATCGACACGTACTCGCTTACGATAAAGGCTGGCGTGTACGAACAGACTTTAAGCAATTTCAAATTCTGAAACAAAATCCATTCTGGTGGACACATCAACGACATGATGGAAAACTGTGGAATTTGAACAATTACCGTACCGATATGATTCAAGCATTAGGTGGTGTTGAAGGTATCCTCGAGCATACCTTGTTCAAAGGAACTTATTTCGCAACATGGGAAGGTCTGTTTTGGGAAAAAGCATCGGGCTTCGAAGAATCGATGCGTTGGAAGAAACTTACCAATGCTCAACGTTCCGGTTTGAATCAGATTCCAAATCGACGATTTACTCTATGGTGGAGTCCAACGATCAATCGTGCAAATGTCTATGTTGGTTTTCAAGTTCAACTTGATTTAACTGGAATCTTTATGCATGGAAAGATCCCAACATTGAAAATTTCCCTAATTCAAATCTTTCGGGCGCATTTATGGCAAAAAATTCACGAAAGTGTTGTCATGGATCTTTGTCAAGTATTTGATCAAGAATTGGATGCATTAGAAATCGAAACTGTCCAAAAAGAAACAATCCATCCTCGTAAATCCTACAAAATGAATTCCTCTTGTGCCGGTAAAGTTTTTCTTTCACTTGCATACATTTTTCTGAGATTATTATTTTATTTCTTCTTTAGATATTCTTCTCTTCGGACAAAACAAATGGCATGTCAGCAAACCATCCTTATTAGCTGATTCCAAGGATGTCATGGATAATACAGGTTCTCAAAAATACTGGCTAGACGTTCAGTTACGTTGGGGTGATTATGATTCTCACGATGTCGAACGTTATGCCCGTGCCAAATTTCTCGATTATACCACCGATAATATGTCTATTTATCCGTCGCCAACAGGTCTATTAATTGCTCTTGATTTAGCTTACAACTTACATAGTGCATTTGGTAACTGGTTCCCCGGTTGTAAACCATTGATTCAACAAGCAATGGCCAAGATAATGAAAGCCAATCCAGCTTTGTACGTCTTGCGTGAGCGTATACGTAAAGGTTTGCAATTGTATTCATCTGAACCGACTGAACCATACTTGTCATCACAAAACTATGGTGAATTATTTTCCAATCAAATTATTTGGTTTGTCGATGATACAAATGTCTATCGAGTTACCATTCACAAGACTTACGAAGGAAATTTAACAACCAAACCGATCAATGGCGCTATTTTCATCTTCAATCCACGTACTGGACAATTGTTCTTGAAAATTATTCATACATCCGTTTGGGCAGGACAAAAACGTTTGGGTCAGTTAGCCAAATGGAAAACAGCTGAAGAAGTTGCAGCTTTGATCCGTTCGTTGCCTGTGGAAGAGCAACCCAAACAAATTATCGTTACGCGAAAGGGTATGCTGGATCCCTTGGAAGTTCATTTACTCGGTAAGTTGAAATACTTCTCTATGAGATCATTCTTGCATTTGAATTTATTTTTGTAGACTTTCCAAATATTGTTATCAAAGGTAGCGAATTGCAATTACCATTTCAAGCTTGTCTTAAAGTCGAAAAATTCGGTGATTTAATCTTAAAGGCAACAGAACCACAAATGGTTATGTTTAATCTTTACGATGATTGGCTGAAATCGATATCTTCATACACGGCATTTTCACGTTTAATTCTTATCCTCAAAGCATTACACGTCAATAACGACCGTGCAAAGATGATTTTGAAACCAGACAAAACGACAGTTACTGAAATCCACCATATTTGGCCAACATTAACAAACGACGAATGGATTAAAGTTGAAGTTGCATTGAAAGATCTCATCTTAGCTGATTATGGCAAGAAGAATAATGTCAACGTTGCGTCATTGACTCAGAGTGAAATCCGTGATATTATCTTGGGTATGGAAATTAGCGCGCCAAGTGCCCAGCGTCAACAGATTGCTGAAATTGAAAAACAAACAAAAGATACGTCGCAAGTAACTGCTACAACGACGGAAAGTGTGAACAAATTTGGTGATAGAATCGTTACGACCACGACAAGCAATTATGAAACACAAACATTCGCATCGAAAACCGAATGGCGTATTCGAGCGATCTCAGCAACGAATCTACATTTACGTACCAATCATATCTATGTTTCATCGGATGATATCAAAGAAACAGGCTATAGATATATTTTACCTAAAAACATTCTCAAGAAGTTCATTGTCGTGTCCGATCTTCGAACTCAAGTAAAATCTCGATCTTTCATCTTATGTTCAATCATAAAAGTTTCTCTTTAGATTGCCGGTTATCTGTACGGTGTTAGTCCACCGGATAATCCACAAGTTAAAGAAATTCGCTGCGTTGTTCTACCACCACAATGGGGTACGCATCAAACGGTTCATCTGCCCAATCTATTACCACAACATGAATATCTCAAAGTCAGTCATACACATCGTTCGTATTCATTCATGCATCATTATCTTTTCTTTTTTGTCAGGACATGGAACCACTCGGATGGATACATACTCAACCAAACGAATTGCCTCAGTTAACACCACAGGATATCACTACTCACGCAAAAGTTATGAGTGATCATACATCATGGGATGGAGAAAAAACAATCATTATCACTTGTTCATTCACGCCAGGCTCAGTTTCTTTAACAGCTTATAAACTAACACCAACCGGGTATGATTGGGGTCGATCAAATACCGATCGAGGAAACAATCCCAAAGGATACGCACCATCACATTATGAAAAGGTCCAAATGCTTCTATCCGACCGTTTTCTTGGATTCTTCATGATTCCCGGTCAAGGTTCATGGAATTACAATTTCATGGTGAGTCTCATTGTTGATTTGCCGTCCATTTCTATATGATATTTTCGTTTTCAGGGTGTTCGTCATGATGCGAATATGAAATATGACATCATCTTAGCCAATCCAAAAGAATTCTACCACGAAATTCATCGTCCATCGCATTTTCTTAATTTTGCATCTGAAGAGAATTCTGACACATACGCGGCTGATCGCGAAGATCGATTAAGTTAAACTATGTGAAAACTCAAAATACAAGTGATAGTGTCGTCTGTAAAATAAACTAGCAAAAAAGAAATTTCTTTTTGTCTTGCTGTTGTTATTGTGATTTGTTCCCTTTTTTCTTGTTCTTTCACAACCAGAAAATAAAATGTCATCAATCTAACGCCATCTACTTCTTAGTTTCCTATTCGTTCGTTCGTCAGACGAATATTAACATTACATATGAGAAACTTTTTGATTCATTATTTCTAGATTATTCTGATTAATATTTGAAAAAAGCAGACTAAAACCGAATAAATATTCTTTGAATTTTTTACTTTTCTTTCCAAACAATGAGTGCCAATAACAATGAACAAATGGATCTTGAAGGAAATGCTGCAAGTAATACTGTCGAATCGACAACAAGTTCAAAAGCCGAGACAAGCGCAACATCGGAATTGAAATTATCGATAAAAACACCCAAAGATAAGAAAGATGTGTCAATTGATGGATCTGCAACTGTGAAACAGGTAAAGTATACTGAAAAGAAAATCATTCGCTCCTAATTCTCTTTGTATGTTTAGTTAAAAGACGTCGTGGCCAATGAGTTTAGCACATCCATTGATCAAATCTGTTTGATTTACTCCGGTAAAATCTTGAAAGACGACGAAGATTTAAAAAAACATGGTAAAGCTCTCGAAATTTAGCCAAGAGTGCATTTGAAATTTTTATGTTAACTGAATAGATATTAAAGATGGTGTTACTATTCATTTGGTTATTCGCGCACCTAAAAATGGTACAAGTGCACCGGCTAGTTCAACAGCCACGGCAACACCTGCGGGTAACGCTCAAGCGTCCGCAACGCAACCGAATGCACCACTACCCAATCTAGGAGGATTTCCGTTCGGTGCAGCACCCGGCATGGGAAATTTAAATTTTGCTAATACAAATTTTCTTGATATGCAACAACAACTTCAGCAACAGGTGGGAATCGATGAAATGGAGAGTTGGAATTATTTTTGTTTGTTCTACTAGATTATGAGTAATCCAGCTCAGCTTCGTCAATTAATGGACAGTCCGATGGTGCAAAGTATAACAAGCAATCCAGATCTACTCCGTTCGTTGTTACTTAGCAATCCACAAATGCGTGATTTAATGGAGGTAAAGTTCGTCAGCATTTTTCTGTTTCTCTTCCTATGTTTCGAAATTTCCTCTTAGCGTAATCCGGAAATTTCACATCTGATGAACAATCCTGATTTACTTCGGCAAACAATGGAATATGCTCGAAACCCCTCAGCATTGCAAGAATTAATGCGTAATCATGATCGGGCTTTAAGCAATCTTGAAGTACTAAAACTTGGTTTCGATGTTCTGCAATACTATTTGTCTGTTCTACTATAGAGTATTCCGGGAGGATTCAATGCTCTACAACGTATCTATCATGATGTTCAAGAACCAATGTATTCCGCAGCGCAAGAACAATTCGGAAACAACCCATTTGCCCAAGTATTCACCGGAAATGGTTAGATGAATTTTGATTTCCTTTCTGACCTTTTTTTCTCCATCTTTACCATCATCAGAAGCGTCCACAGCATCTCGGACAGAAAACACTGGCCCATTGCCAAATCCTTGGGCGCCTCGCGGTACTGGTGCACCAGCAGCACCCAATAATCAACAACCATCAACTGGTTCAACTAATAATAGTCAACAACAACAACAACAACAACAGCAGCAACAGCAACAGCAACCGTCGGCATCGGCTATTCCAACTGGCGCTGCTGGTAGCTCACCCGGTTTAATTTCACCAATGATGCAAAATTATATGTCACAATTAGTTCAAAACCCTCGTTTGCTTGAAAGTGTTCTCAACGCGCCATATATGCAGCCATTGATGGATTCACTTGCTGCCAATCCAGATATATCGAGACAAATGGTTGAAAACAATCCAATGTTCACGAATAATCCTGAATTACGCGAACAAATGGTTAATGCATTGCCAGCAATGATGGAACAAATGCGAAACCCGGAGGTACAAGCTTTAATGCAAAATCGTGAAGCACTTGAAGCAATTACACAAGTGCAAGAAGGTAAATGATTTCGTCAATATTCAAACAAATCGTAACGATTTATCGCTTCACCTTAGGACTTCAACGCTTACATACAGCAGCACCTAATCTTTTTCAAGCGTAGGTGGAAGTCAATGTTTCTCTTCCAACGCAAAATTTCTTTCTTTTAGTGGTGGTTTACCAGCCGCACTTCGATTTGGTCCAACAGGTTTGGCTTCACCAGCTGCTCCCGGTAGTACAAACAATCCAACATCGCAACCTTCGACCGGGCAAACACCATCATCAGCAGCAGGTGCCACTCGACCCGCACCATCCCCAGCTGATCCAAGCAACTATGCAGGTGTATTTGCCCAAATGTTAAATATGATGTCTAATCAAAATATCGTATGTTCATACTCTTCATTTCAATTTATTTCGAAATTTTGTCGTTTGCTAATTGATTAGAATACTCCACCGGATCAACGCTACGCTGTTCAATTAGAACAACTTGTTTCCATGGGTTTTACCAACCGAGAGGCAAATCTACAAGGTAGATATTTCTATAACGAAGAAAATGAAAACTAATCTTTATCGATTTTAGCATTAACGGCAACGATGGGAGATGTAAATGCAGCGGTCGAACGGCTTCTTGGCCAATTCTAACTTTTACAATATATCAATTCTAACTATCTCCTCTTTTTTTTCCTTTCTTGGTCATGCTATTAAATGTCTTCTTTTTCTTTACATCAACTTCGCTCGATTTATTCAATCTGGATAGATTTCCTTGCTCGCTGAAAAGCAGTATTACATACAGGACATATAAATACACATATTGACGAGCATTCTGTCTGTTCATTTCTCTCTCTTTTCATTTTTTTAATGTGTGGATATGGATGTTTGACTGGAAACGAAACAGATAAGAATTATTCAAGAAAAAAAAAGAAAAAATCAATTCTGCATGTGAAACGACACTGTTATTAAACATTTCGTTCTCCAGATGAAAACGATATCCCCAGACAGTATTGATATCTAATCTCAATATACAATGTTTTCTTTCCATAAAGTTCAATCAGCTATTGATTATTCTTTGTTGCATCCGCGTAATCGATACAGATCTAAATAGCGTTGATTTAATGAATTGCTTAATGAAATGAAATTGATTCGTTTACAAATAACCACGTACGTCATACTAATATTGTTTCATTGAATACAAAATGAAAATTTCATTTTATAATCTAATTCAGCACCTTATGTTTCTATCGATGATTTTTCCCGAGCATACATCAAGTATCTTTCGTTTGAAACGTGTGTTTAACACACACTAGAGAAAGTAACAAGAGAATTGAATGATCGAATCGACATGTCATCCACTCAAGAGAAAATTTATACAGATCACGAGACATATGTTCTCTTCTTACAATACACATGCAGAAGAGAGGGGCGGTCATTGACACCTAATTAGTTATAATTACTCCGAGGACTGGTGTGACTTTGATTCGGTATGAACATGTATATATTTATTTCTTTTCCTTTTCGACTGGATATATATGTGCTCATACATTGCCGAAAGGCTTGCTCCATATGTGAAGTAAATTCACGGTTGAACATTGTGTTTGATCCATAGAATATGAAGACTTCTTCTAATGTTCATTACACACTTATGTATGTTGATACATCGTTTATTGAAATGAACAAAACAGAAAGAGGTCCTTTTGATTCGGATAACGGCGGTTTAAGTGTGACAAATAAGCGAAGATAATAATAAAATATATATCTCGAGCATTTTCTTTTTATTGAGAATAGAAGCATAGACTTACAACAAAATTTCATTCAAATCTCCGTACACCGGTGGCAACGTTATTTCCCAATCGTCAAGTGACCAATGATGAACACATCACAAAACAAGATGGTTTCGTTCACACGATCATTGAAGTTACTTCATAGACGCGAATTATATCCATTTTTACACTTCATTATACATCGATGGAAACGATCGATTTCAATATTCTTATGTCATTCATTGTCTCAATAAATCCATCGACAATGAGCATAACAAGAAAACAAGCTGTTCTCACTTTCTCTTTCCTTCTTTCGAGTTCATCAGTCGCCTGCCACTGTTGACTAATCTAACATCAATCATTTGCGCTCCGTTGATCTTCCACTAGTCCGTTCTTCATGACATCATTTTTTCTTCTTCTCCGTATCTCTCTTTCTATAAATATCTATCTACAGTGTCTTATTTATCCATAAGGTTTTTTCTTCATCGCACACAATACCAGCACGTACTCAACTGTATTATTATTCGAAAAAGAAAAGAGGGAATCGAAGAAAAAAAAACAGATGTAACTATCATCCTTAATCACATGATGTCATGCATCCGTATTTTTTATTTTTGAAGAGAAAAAAACAAGACATATCTCATCCATCGGACGAATCGTATGTAAAGCATTGCTTGCTTGCTTTTATTTTTTAAATTATCCGTTTTGCATTCGAAAAATGGGATGCAGGTGACCAACTGTTCAACTACGTTTGTCCCTTTTTCTACGATAATTGTCGCGCACGAGCACACACTTCACTCACGGAAATGGTTAAGAGCAGCTGTTCAATAATTTTCTTTTTTATGCTTTTAGATCGAAAACATTTATCATTTCGGAAGAACACTCATGACGAAAATTGTATCAAGGTAAGCCGTTTTAATCATATTAAAGAAAACGTTGTTCGTCAATCTTTTTTGTTACACTTGATCAACGTACTTTCATCAAACCGTTTAGGCTCGCTCGTGCTTCTATGTTTGTATGAAAGATGAAGTGCGTTGTCTGTCCGATCCCCCAAGCCATTTCTCGCCTCTTCTGACGAGAAAAGAGAAGGAGAAAGAGAGAGAGAATTCTCTCTCTCGCTCTTTCTTCTTCGTCGGAAAAAGAGATAATATTGCATACCTGAAAGAGAAAAGAGAGAAGTGTACAGAGATTGGTTAACAGAATCTATTGGTGGGTGGATGATAGCGGAACTATTTTATCCATTACATTGCATAGACGAACAATCTTCGACATTCTCTCGCTTTCATCGATTCTCTCTGGTATATGTGTGTGTTTATTCAGCACTGTACATATACATTCATCAGTAGCATTACTGAAAAAGAAAATCTTTGAAATCATCAACGAGAACAACGAAGATAATCTATTGTTTTCTTCTCTTTTATTCAGATCGAACCTATCTATCTATCTCTTTCTTTACACCTTGATCAGTGTGTTTGTCTTTGCTTAATTATTTGAAACAAAAAAAGCTAGACATATTTATCCAAAATGATCACCGCTAGCAATCTAATTGAGCCGGCACGATTCAAGTAAGTAAGTGAATATATATATACGTGTGTGTACGCTGATAAAACGTTTGATGACACATGTGTCGACAATTGCAAAGACACACAAAAGCAATCATATCTCTTTTTCTTTGTCATTGTATTTTCTATCATTTATTTGTTTCTACCACCACCACCACATGTGATGGACCATCGCCACACGAAGATCATTTCTTATTAAGCTCGAAACAAACAACATGTCTTGTTTGCTCATCGAATTAACTTCTGTGTTTGTGTGTGTGTGTGTGTGTGTGATGTAACTTTTTTCATTCTTGATTGTTGTTACTTGATCTATTCTGTCCTCGACAATCATCACTATCATGATTTGGATCTATTAACTTTAATTTTTCTTCTTTTGTCGTTGATAGTATGCCGTCTGGCTGGCCGACCTCGTTGCAGCTTGTTAAAGATCTTGATCGGACAAGTTGTTCAATCAAATCGGAAGAATCGACCTCGACTGATGAATTAGACGATGATCAAAACAATGATGGCGAAGGTGTTTGGAGTCCGGATATCGAGCAGAGTTTTCATGTACGATAATCGACAACTTGTCTTCATATGAAACACATATGTGAATTAATTTAGGAAGCGTTAGCTATTTACCCACCATGTGGCCGAAGAAAAATCATTCTATCTGATGAAGGAAAAATGTTCGGAAGAAATGAATTGATTTCGCGTTATATTAAAATGCGTACGGGTAAATCGCGTACAAGAAAACAAGTTTCATCACATATACAGGTTCTTGCCAAACGAAAATCTAAAGAACTTCAATCATTATTCAAGGTTTGTACTGATAACCAAACACAAAGACGTAGAAGTCAAAGCTTTCTTTTTAGGATACGAATTTAAAAGAACAACATCGTCCATTTGTTATGAATCAACATTATCATCCGTTACGCGATACGACAACATCATCGCTTATCACCGATGGCACTTCACCTTACTACACACATCATCGACCTGCTGTATCACTTTTTTCACCAAATACAAATATGAATATAACATCAGCATCATCGTCATCATCGCCATTCAAACCGACTGCAACTCTTTCTCCATATTCATCACAATCAGCTATCGTTCGTTGACTGATTCTTCATGTATTATCAATTTATTTCTTCTCTTATGCTTCTAGAGTCTTTGGCAACAACCAACAACACCATATCTTGAGTAAGTTGCAGGAATCTTTCTGACAGTTGATGAGTTTGCTCGTCTTATTCTAGTATTAAACCATTCTCTCCGTCTTCGACAGTCCAACTGGACCTGATCCCTACTGCAAGTACAACAAATTCATTAACAACACGTTTCATCAGTTCAAATCGAATAAAATTAGCCGAGTTTGCTGCTTATGTCGAATCAAAACGTGATCTTGATTCAGTAAGGATTATATTTCATTCAAAATTGAGCTGTTCATTCTCGTTGAAATCTTTTAGAGACACTATCTTCTTCACATCAGTCAAGAAGCTGGTACTGATGTCAAACCTGAGGTAAGCGTTTCCACGTCAATTGTATTGAGATGGGGCATATTTATTTCTGTGTAAAGCGTATCAAAGTGAGCCAAATCATCGATCTATTTCCAATGTTAAAAGAACTCTACGACAAAGGACCACAAGATGCATTTTATGTTGTTAAAGTTTGGGTAAGCAATCTTTTGCTTCCAATCGCCCTTTTACTCAATAGATTCGTTTTTGCTTTAGGTCAATATGAACTATCAAGAAAATACTCCGAATGCATACCACAACGTTTCACAGTAAGTTCAATCTTCGTTCGTTCATGCGGATACTAATCCGGTTGTTTCAGATTCGAAAGTTCGGAAGAGAATTTAAAATTTACAATCACAACAAAAGCTTGTTCTTTTGGAAAAACTGTAGCTGAAAAACTTGAAGTATGTATTCCACTCGTTGTTATCATTTGTCCATATTTGTCTTTCGCACTGTTTAGACTGGCATAACAAAATATAACGATATGACGGGCAAATGTATTCACCGTTCGAATGATACAGCAATGTGTAGTTTCATGATTGATTTTATAAAGAAACTCAAAACAGAGATGTACACAAGAGAAATGATGAATGTTATTCTCGAACATTTGGGCGTTCTTCAAGTAAGACAGCATCATCCGTTGATCTGTATATGCTGAATATTTTCTTCTAGACGGTGGTAACCAAGGACACAGATGAATTACTTTTATGTATTGCGTATATATTCGAAATCAGCGAATCATCATCATTGGGCGGTACACAATCAGCTGCTTATCGTTTGTGCGATTAGAAATGTATCTATAAGAGTTTTTCTTTTTGAAAATCATGCCTAACGAATGGCAGTGCAGATATATTGATCATTCATTTCGTTTGTTTTTCTTTTCCCTTTCAGCATCATACTGTCTTTTCTTTTTGTTCGAGTTTGCTCCTCTCTTTCGTTATTATTATTCTTGAACATGTAGTTTGTTTTTCGTTTGCTTTTCTGCTTGTACCACAACCGGCTTCTTCATCTTGCTGCTATCATTTTCTTTGCTCTTTTTTTCGTTCTCGTCTCTAATAAATTATTTTTCAAGATTCTCTCTTTTGCCCTCATTTGATTCGTTCGTTCTCTTTTTTTTCCAATCGATACAGACATTCCAATGTCTATCGCTCGAGATGATTGTGTCTTGAAGAAAAACAACACGACGGTGATTTATTGACTTGTGTCAGACGAAACAAAGTTAATTTACCATATCGTTGATCTTCTCATTTCTTCTTTTCTCATCCAATTTATCTATCTCGAAGAAGGAATTCATCTTCGATACAAGAAAAAAAGTATTTGTTCTATGTACTTGTCCTTAATGAGAATGTAAGACAAGCTCCAGTTGTGAAAACATTACAATGGTGACGAAAAGGAAAAACTGAGAATCGATGATTGACGAGAGGAAATAAAAGAAACGTGTTAATTGCTGCATTGAGGAAAAGATCAGCAATGATAGAATCGCAATGAACGCGCAAATGATCGAACAGTTAAGATTTGTTTGCCATGATAACATATAACACCAGTTGTCAGTGACGATGATCGATGGAGTGTGTCGTCGTCATCATTATTGTTGTACTGTCTAATTCGTTCGACATGCATGATACTATTAGGAGAAGAGATAAGACGAGATGCATCTCGACACCTCCGATCTGCATTGATTGATGCTAATGAAATTGAAGAAAAAGAAAACCGGAGCAGAAGAGCGCGACTAAATCAAACATTTTCCTCATTGGGCTTGGCATAATGGAGCCGATGATTATGTAAAGAATCTCAATGTAGAACAATGTACTTCGAAATCATTATGCAATTCATAAAGATAGAATGTCGAAAATATGCCAAGGACTACTGAGTTAGAATTGTTTCATCGATTGCCGATAATGTTTTAGCGCTCTGCTGAACTTCATATGACATAAAAGAAGTGATGGAATCTTTTAGTTATTCGAATAAACAAAAGATGCGAAGCCACAAACATCGTTGCCACGTTTTATCACTTCTGAGCTAACGTGGTAGCAGAGAAGATTCCATTGTCCTTTGTTCTCGTTCAAAAGTCGAGACAGAATCATGATGATTAATGATGGCCATAGACCACACATGGAATTTTGAGTCGTTCGCTGAGTTTCGAATAATTGTGAGGCATCGTTCGATAAAATCGACTGGAGAATTGGTTTGTCATGAACACGAGCATATTCTTCGTTTTCGGATAAATTTTTAGCGTGAATATCATTGTACCCGGGACCGTAATGTGTATAATCCGTTGTAGAAACGATAACTACTCGTTTGCCTAAAGAATATTCACGTAAATTAGAAGAAAAAATTCAATTCTGCGAATACCTGTTCGTTGTCGATAGAGTTGAATAGCTTGTTGGATTTGCTGACATATTTGATGACCTTGAGTTAGGTCTTTCAATCTCGAAAATGACAATGCAACGAATTTGACATCGGATCGTAGATGTTTCAAAAACGGCAATTGATTTTCTACTGAATGTTCACTTCTATGTGCTTCGCGATCGATGATTGTCTCACCGAACATCGATACGAATGCGTGGAACAAATCCATGTCAATATCTACAGTACCGATTGGTGTTTGCCAACTATCTGGTGAAAGACTCATCTTTGATGAGCCTGCCCCACTATGGTTTGTTCCGATGATTAACACTGTATCGAAAAGAAATGAATTAATCCAGAAATAAGCATGAGCATAGAGCGGTCCAGAATCACAATAAGCACCGTGTGGTACGAGCATGCATGGAATGAACGATATATCAGTCAAAGCGAACTGTGTGGGCAGCTGACGAGGCCCTAATCGATGTAAGTACGAGGAGACTATTTCTTGTAAGCATTCAGATTTGTCTGATGAGTAATAATAGCAGAGTGCAGAACGAAAATTTGGTTTTGGAAGTGCACTACTAGCCATGTCAATTGGAACTTGAAGATTTACGATAATTTCGTCATCGGTGCAGTTAACCAATCAGAAGGACGATCCATATTTTACGTGAGACTCCAGTAGGGTTTAAATACTTGTGTATAAGTGAAAGTCAAAATGTGCTCATTCAAGCTCACGAATTATACTGGCTTTTTTCAAATTAAAAAGGCCTGATGTAGCGGAGTCACGGTGGCACAGATATAGCCTGCGTTTTGCACTAACAATGAGCTTAATAAAATTAAACTAATGAGATAATGGGACATGCAGCGGGAAATGGACATTGATGAGCATGAGTAAGCTTTTTCTATATGTGATAAAATCTGATTTAATAAAGAATACCGTGATGCGGTATATAGAATTGTTATATTCGGCATTCGTACATGTTTCAATATGCACAACCATAGTACTTCTCAACCGATGTTGACAATCGATCTTTGATGTTGAATAGTTTTCATAGCAATTCGGAAAAGAATGAGTAGCATAAGACAGCCAAGACCGGCGGGAATTATTTTAATTGCGTATGTGAGTAGTTTAATAATGACGTAGCGACAGAACTACTGAGAGAACTTTTTTACGGACCCCATCTGTAGCCTATGTTAAGGGAGACATACAAATTATATTTTTTCTTGACATTCGTACTGCGCAAGTTCCTGTATTCAAGGGAAATTTGAAAATTTTTCTTTGTTAAATATGTAGAACCTTGATTAAAGCACGTTAGTATCGAGAATGATTATGCGACAAATGACGAGATTCAACTGGCTAAAACCTAAACAGCTGTGAGTCGAACCTCATTGATATGTCATGCAATGTAACAATGTCTGAAACACAGTGTGAAATGAAATCATGACTAGAAGTTAACAACATCCGATTTGGTTTCAAATGTTACAAGCCATGCTGTCCTAGTCGTCGAACTGCCGAGATCTATAAAAGCAGCGGTCTCTTTTTCAAAACGAGCCAGAACACCAACTAATCTGTGCGATGTCTAGCCCATTAATGCAAACTAGTACTACACTTCAGCAAGCTGTCTTACCCATCATTATCGTCGTTGGTATTATAGGTAATTCACTTAACGCAGTCGTACTTACTCGGCACAGTTTATTCTATCATGCATGTTCCCGATACTTTCTTGCTCTATCGGGAAATAATCTATTTTATTCGAGCGTTGTCTGTATTATCAGTTTATTGAAAAATGGTTATCAAATCGACGTGTCTAGATATTCTATTGCCTTTTGCAAAGCTTACACGTTTATCAACACTTTATGTTGCTTTCTTTCACCTTATATCATTGTGTTAGCTTCACTAGACCGTTGCTGTGCAAGTTCATCGCATGCCAAAATACGTAACTTTACCAGTATTCGAATGGCTCATGGCATGATATGCATAGTCATCATTGCCTTCGCTTTGCTCTTTATCAATGTTGTCTTCATGACTGATATCAATGCGAGCACTAGATATTTGTGCATGTCACAAGCGGTAACCACCTATTATCAAGTATACATCATTACACAAGTTATCCTCTTTGCTGTCGTTCCACCGTGTTTAATGGTATCTTTTGGTTTAATTACAATCAGGCATACGAAACGTTCACGAGTTTCTCCAATGTTGGTGTCACGTTTCCATCGCACGGAACGTCAGCTTGCCCGCATGCTCTTTTTCCAAGTCGGCACACACATCGGTTTGACTCTTCCAACATCTGTTACTTTCCTGATCGCTACTTTACCTAACTCTGTTCGCACCACACTTCTCTTTTCCTTCATTTCTAGCATTAATCAACTTCTTTTCGGAATTTCTTTCGTCACACCTTTCTTTACCTACATTCTCTCTAGTCGCGTCTATAGAAAACAATTGCTTCATATACTTTACAGTATACGCCACTGCCATAGTGAACCACTGAGTGAAGGAACAGTTGCATCGATGACTTAGTTTACTAAAAATGGTATTTAAAGATTATATATTTCTTTTAAATAAACAAAATACATTGAGAAGTAAAAGAAATAGATGTGGACTAAATAATAAGCAATCACCGCTTCGTAGTTCCAAACATAAACACATTCTTCTCAATATTTGAAGGCCAAACCAATAATAGAAAACAGAACGATCATAGCAAAGTTCATCGAAGAATTTGAATTCGATGAATTACACAAATTATCTTGGCAGCAGTACACACCATTACCTTGTGAACACGTGGAACTATAATCTTTGCTTACTGTGGTACCCGAAACTCGTTTCTAAATATGAAACATCAGATTCTGTCAAGTCTGTCATTGAAAAACTTACAACGCAATAATTTGTTCCACCTTCGGTCAAAACTAAAGTGGCTTTACTAGGATCCCATGATGTACCACAATTGTTACATTTGTAGCACTGAAATGCTGCGTAACTACATCCAAGAACTAGACGAAGAAACCAACTTATCTAAGAGATCATCTCGGAGTTTTGAAACTTACGGGCAATGAAAAGCGAACATACAAGTAATGCTTTCATGGTGATGACAATCGATAAAAGTAACTAAGTTTGTGATTTTAACTTCGCTATTTAAATTTCATCCACTCGAACACCATCTTTGCTATCCACCTCGTTGTTTCTTACAAAATATTTGTCTGGAAGGTTGCTTAATTCAATATTAAGAAGAAAAATAAAATAAATTGCTCATTTTAATAAATATTCAACGTTATTTTCAAACGAAAATGACGAGGAGGCACATGTGGGCCGTGTCAATGTTTGATGATAAACAAAAAACTACCCATTCGATCAAATCTCAATGTACTGTTGTCATGATAATTACTTCATCGTATTAATTTGCATATTTTCGACCTTACTCATCGGCTTCTTCTCCGAAGTATATGTCGATGATGTAATAAGAATTGATTAACTTGAACAAACCGACTTTTGAAAGTCATCGTACGAATAATGTTGATGATTCCGTGCAAAACGACATAATCTCTCTCTCTCTCTCTACTCCGATTAAACCTATTTTTTCTTTCGTTATCTTCATGATATTTTCGTCAACGTGGGTGTTGAGATTTCTCAATATAAATCTCGATAATCACCTGACATTCGTTCTCATCATATCGACCGCATGAAATAGTTTAGAACATAAAATCGATATTTGATGGTAATGTAGTATCATCTGATTAACGCAAACAACATTTGGCAAAATTTCGCATCGGTTTTTAGTGCACTTAAATATCTCATCTTGTATTTCGATACGTCGATTATTATAATCATGAAGTCTTCAACAGTTGCTCTCATTGCTCTCTTTACCGTTCTCGCCATTGGCTGCACTGGTGCCTATCAAGCGAATGACGCTGTCGAAGTATGTTTTAATCTATTAAAATAGATCTGAACTTTTCCCTTTTGTTTGTTTCAGTCACGAAACTTCTTGCAACAAGTATGTTTATATAATTGTTGAAAATAATCGGAGCGTTTCTGTTCTGTTTGTATAGCTTCTTATCAATCAAATCGTCAATGTTCTTCCAGTGAATATTCGTGATCAAATCGATTCCACTGCTCTTCAATTCGGTATGGTTCGTCATGAATTTCTTCTCCGATGTTTAAAAGAATTACAAGCCTTCCAAGCCTATTCGAAAATTGATTTCATTACTGCTATTCAAAAGACAGTGAAATTCGCCGAAGAAAATATCACTCGCGAACAGGAAGAAGAATTGAAAGCACTCGAAGACGAAGGTATTCAATTAGCCACATTATTATTCGAAAACAAACTTCGAGCTGGTGATTTAAATCCAATCTATGATTTACTTGTTAAAGTCGTTCGTAAACAAATCGATGGGCCAACCCTTGTTGTTGAATTACCGCGAGTTGTTCGACAAATTTTAGCTAGCCATGCTCAATTTTAGTCCGATCGAAGCAAGAGACCTTTGTTCTGTTTAACGAAAAATGTATCAGCATTAAAACTCATCTGATATGTATTGGAATTTAATAAATATGATAAAAATAGATGCACTAGCAGTTTGTCATTTAATCAAATAGATTCGTATATAAATTTAACAGTAAAATTTCAACAGCCATTCGATACACAACAAGAATCGAATTTTACATCTTAAAAATGATCACCTGATTGATGCTCTAGATAGTTTTCGAGAATATTGGCGATGTTCGCTTCGTCAAAGGGCTGCAATTCATCGTTATTCTCGATTTCCATCCAACCATAGATTGGATCTTCATCGTCGATATAATAACGTCCATTTTCACATCTCAATGGCTCCCGTCGAGCATAATCACCCGGCCAATAATAGTATAAATTGTTCTGTTCAGCAATATAAACATGATCTGACGTCACATCAGTTATAATAGCGACGTGACCATAGGGATTTTTGGCATTGCGCTTATAAATCAGTAATGAATCCTTCTTTGGTGGTTCGAAAGAGCCGTTCGGAACAGGACGTAGTTGAAAACATCGACCATCGGTAACTCGTTCGACATGAGGCACATCAGCCCAGATATTGCATGCGCAGGGTATATCTCGAAATGTACACGTCTTACGAATTAATAACCATCGACGAGCAAACTCTACACATTGCCATTGATAGCCGGTGAAGATTCCGTAGTGATAGTGCCGACCGCCACGGCAACCGCTTGTGCGTTTGTTCGAATATGCATGAACGTTTGAAGAAGCTGTTCCTTCAATTTCGTTGAATGGAACGAATTTGACGATTTCACGTGACATCCGATGTTCGAATGAATGAAGAATAAAAGAATATCGTAAATTCTTCTCTCGGATGACTCAGTATCTGTTGCATAATTGTCCGAAAACGTCCACTAGTATTTATTACTAATTCTATTCGCGATTCTTCAGCAAGAGGTCGCTTCTTCACATATCCGATGTGTTAATAGTTGTCTTGTATTATTAAAACAACAGTCACTTGAAAAGCAGCTGTCGTCAACGTTCTCTTTCCATTGATACTCAATGTGTGCCTGATTGAAATAATTTTTTTGTGTTCTAACAACGCCATTTTCCTGTGTTATGCGCGTTGTAATGACGACAAACATTTATTTTCTTTCGTTACTACAAAAATTAACCAATAGATTCAAGTATACGAGTGAAAAAGAACTAAACTGGAGCGATGTCATCGGATAGCTCAAATTATGAAGCATTACTTCGTAAAACAGAAAATGAAGAATTAGAAGAACTCGCCAGTGTTTACCACCAATTAGGATGTCTTGCTGGTAATAGCAATCAGGCAATATCATTTTTCCAACAGTCAATCGAGATCAATCTGTATTATCGACCAACGGATGACGATCTTCTTTATTTAACATATGAACATCTTGGAAATCTTTTCAGTCAGCGTGCTGATTACAATCGAGCATTGAAATATAACCGACGTGGATTGGATCTCGATCTTCGTGATCGTGAAGCGAATCAACTACGAATTGCTAATCGTTACAATGCGATTGGTCTGATCTTGAAAGCTCAGAAGAATTACAAAGAAGCATTGAAACATTTTCATGATGCTCTACAAATCCAATTACAAAATATTTCACCCGATGATTTCTCACTAGTGGCAACTTATTCAAATCTTGGTTCAACATACCGTTCATTACGAGAGTATCCATCAGCCATCGAATACTTCGAACGATCTCTAGAAATCATCAAGCAGAATCTTCCTCAACAACGGGCATTATTAGTCTATACATATAACAAAATCGGCAGTGTGTTTTGTCTAATGCGAGACTATTCGAAAGCTCTTTCCTGTCAAACAAAAGCATTGCATATTCAAGAAGATCTTCTTCCATTGAATAATCTCTTGTTAGCTACAAGACACTTCAACATGGCAATAGCATTAGAAGGTTTAAAGCGTTTCGAAGATGCTTTCGAGCATGTCACACAGGCTATCGACATATTAAAACAAACAGATCATCTCCATCGACGTAAACTATCCCACTATCAAAAATATCTGAACATTCTACGTAAAAAACTTAAATAATCTTTGATTTTCTAATAAATATCAAATCGACAGCTGAGTGAAAGACAAATGTCACATGTCATTCCGCTTGTCTGACAATCATATATTGAAAGAAAACATTCATCATAACACTTCGATACATTCTTATCATATGGATAATCAATCTTATTTGATTTGAATAGTCGAGAAAGATTTGCTCGTTATCTACGCAGAAAGACCCGTCGGATCAAAGGATCTATTGAACTTGATTAATTAATTCGGCATTAATATTAATAGTAAATCAATTGACAAGCACGTCAGTAAAAATCGAGATTCTTCTCAGTGCGCAATTCATAGCTTTTTCGTATAAATACAATATTTAGCCAGTACAAGTCGACTAAAAAGGATATTTACTCGAATGGGTAAGTCGATATGAAGTCGCTCGGATATTTCGCAACTTGGAATTATTTTCATTTTGTCTCAGAAACGCCCTCTAATGAAAACACATATCAGTGCGGATGTGAAGAAAAACGCCGATAAGAATTCTTTAATCTACTAATATACAAGTAAAGACTGCGCTTTTAGAATTTAATTTTCATTGAGTATAAAAATAGGACAAGAGTAATACGGAAGGTAATGATAAATCCTTCTTTTTGTTCAATGATAGTATGAACTAAAAAAGACAGGGATCAGAATGTTAACAAGTCAACGACAGTAAAGTACGATCTTGTATTAGTGGATGTTTATACTGAAACTGCAAAGTTTTTTTTAGAATAAAAATTTCACAGTGAACTCTCGAGATGTTGAAGGAAAGTATATAGACAAGATAAAACCGGAATTCAATCAAAAGATGGTTGATGGAAATCGGATGCATGAAATGTAAATTTGTTCTTCGAGATTATGTTTTTCTAGTGGAGGCGCGGCACTCAACAACTACTCACGAACTAGTCGTCTTATTTGAAGAACTCTGCAGACAACTACAGTTGAGAACATTATGTGGCTTCTGAATAGTAAAAACAACAAGAACTCTTGTCATTATTTTTCTAGATTAACTCATCTACAATGGGTTGTTCACCTTCGAAAAATACTGGATGTCCTGTAACGTCCATCGAACCTGAACCTCGTTCAAAATCAGCAAAGTATCGTCCTGCTTCTCCTATAAAACAATCAGATCGTATTGTCGAAGATTGTATTATTGTCTGGTTTCTCCCAGACATTTGCAAAGATATTGAAAATCACAAAGCAAAACTACGTCATATTGTTTCGACAATTAAAATGTTTACCGATCAAGATCAATGTATAGCTTATATAACTTCGATTCGTGTGGAAAAAATCTTTTTCATTCTTCCAACGTTGGAACCATTTCTTGATTCAATCCGAGTCTTACCACAATTGGAAAAGATCTACATTTTCAACGAAAAAACTACCGATGAAATATCTTCAGCAAATACGTTTTCTAATATTGATAATCTTTGTAAACAGTTAACCACTGATGTTGAACTATGTGAACTCGATCTCTTAGTTCTCACAGCATCACCACCAGCGACTTCTAACGATCTCACATCTTCCAATGGCAAGAAACAAGAGGCGATATTTCTTTACGCGCAATTTATTCGCGAGATTGTCTATCGACTGAAATTCGAAACTAATGCCAAAACCGAGTTCGTTCACTTCTGCCGAATGCATTACGCCAACAATCCCGAACAATTGCGTATAATCGACGATTTCGAAGCCAACTATCGTCCTCAAAAAGCACTATGGTGGTTAACACGTCAAAGTTTTATCTGGCGTGTGTTGCAACGTATGCCACGGACGTATGAAATCGATATTCTCTATAAACTTGGTTTTCTGGTTAAACATGCGCATACACAAATGACGAATTTTCTAGACAATAATGTTATGATGGACGAACATCATTTGGTTGTGTACCGAGGCAAAACAATGTTCACGGAAAAGTTTCATTCGCTGATCAAATCGAATTGTAATGGCCTAATTTCGTTTGGAAACCTCTTCATAGGTCATACGGATAAACAAATTGAACTGGATTTTATTCAACAACGTCTAGCTGCATTGCCAACGGCTACTGGCGTTCTTTTCGAAATACACATTAATCCAAGCATTCGAAGTACGAGAAGTCCATTCACGTCGCTCGATATCATTCACAACGATGACAAGCAGACCAATCACGGTCTTTTATTTGGTTTAAATACCGTTTTTCATATAGACTCTATCGACGAATTAGATAATACAATCTGGCATATTAAGCTGACTCTCGTTGCTGATGACGATCCTCAACTACTTCGGATCGTCGCACCATTACGAAGTAGTGAAGTTCACGCAAATCCGCTTTCTTATATGGGAAAACTATTCATGGACATGGAAGAGTACGAACATGCCGAAAAGTTTTTTCTCGCAATGCTGGAAGACACATCTGTTCAAAGTCAACCTCGCCGTCTCGTACGTGTACATAATGGTCTTGCAGCTAATTACATGTCGAGAGGTGAATATGCGAAAGCATTAGAGCAATCTCAAAATGCGTTAGATGTTAGTCTAAGTTATTTACCACCTCGACATACGGATCTAGCTCCGTTATATGATAACATCGGTAAAAGTTATTTTCATATGGGTGAATATCAAAAGGCTGTGGATAACTATGAGAAAGCTGTCGATTTAGTTGTTGTCAATCCACAAATGAACGATGATTCATTTGTTTCGGACTTGAAGACTAGAATTCATAGTGCCAAGAAATTGATGAATAAAAATTCATAAATCGTCATCGGTTTTCTGTTCGTTATCGAGACGTTGTATATTGTCAACTAGAAATCACTTTATTTTCGAATAAACATTTCAAAGGATTTTATGTTTTAACCCTATTGGAATCTGCCAAGTGAAATGTTTTCATTGAGCTCCTTCAAATACTCTAGACTTTATCATATGTTCGCTTCTGAATGACTTTTTTCAAGAATTTTTTAGCACCGTCGAGTGCCGTTAGTTTCTCAATAAAAGAATGAAAGGAACAGCAAGAGATTGAAAAAATATTGAGTCTATTGTTTACAGTGACCTACTGTGCGTCTGTCAAGGGAATAATTATTAATCGGGATATATACAAAGACACGTTTTTCGTAGGGAAGAAAACAAAAAACAACAGAAACGCAAAAGAAAAAGACTCACGTGCGTTATTTATGATAGAGGTGATGATATAGTACAGTCAAACTGTTTTGCAATATGGTTTCGATTAAGCAGAGTGGGATCGTCGTTCGAAATCTTTCGATTTTTATATTAATTCTTTCCGTTCTAATTCCCTTACGTTATGGATCAATTGACCCTGAATATCTTCGTATTCGTTGTGTGCATTCGTTATTATCATTAACATATACGGTCATCAGAGACGAAAATCGTCCGACACTTAGTGCCGACTACCGGGCATTTGAAACAATGCTTCGTCTAAGATCAGTATATGAACTTGATCCATCAGCTGATACAACAAATGTTGTGAAAGAACTTCGTTCATTATTTACATTGGCCACCATCATTCCAAAACCAAAATCCTGTCAAATTCAAAAACAAATCTACAATCATCAAGGACATACCGTCGAAGCATATTGGGTAAATCACCGTGGAACAAATGAGCAACCACGTACACAAAATATTCTGATGTATCTCCATGGTGGAGCCTATCTAGCCGGAGATATTCATAGTAAGTCTTCTATGTTGTTTCAAACCCACTGATTCTTCCGTTTTCATCAAGGTTATAGCGGGTACGGGTGTTATTTATCACATCTATTCGATATGTCATTGATTTATGTGGAATATCGACTTGCACCTGAACATCCTCTACCGCACGCTGTTGATGATGTTGTTGCGTTATATCATGCACTACTTAGTGAGAATATAACTTCATCTTAAATCATAATCATGGGAGAGTCAGCTGGAGGTGGTCTTTCGCTATTGACAATTCAAAATTTAATATCTCGACAATATGCTATTCCTCGTTGTGTTGTTCTTGTATCTCCATGGACTGATTTATCCTCATCTGGAGAAAGTTATATACGTAATCGTCCTACCGATGTTCTAATTCGTCCTGAAATATTAAGTTGGACTATTGAGCAAGTTCTCGGTGATAATCATGAACAAATCAAACGAGATGATCCGGTATACAGTCCTATGTTTGGTTCATTCGAAAGATTTCCACCAATGTACATCACTGTAGGTACGGCAGAAGTCTTAGAAGATGATTCTCGGCACGTGTTTTACAAAGCGAAACAAGCTGGAGTTGATGTAACCTTGGAGGAAGGCTTGCACTTGGCACATGCATATCCATTATTTTATTCTTTCTATCCCGAAGCAAGAAATACGCTTGAGAATATTAAAAAATGGATAAAAGAAAAGACCATTCATTAGTTTTTATTCTAACCATTTTCAATTTCAGCTTTTTCAACTTTGATATCGAATATATAATTAGTGTTTGCTTTAATCAGAACGACTTTCCTACTCTTAAGAAGACAACAGGGTTAACAGGAACTTAACATTTGCTTCACTATAAAAATGTCATTTTCTTCGTAGAGATGTTTTATGGAAGACTTCTATGTTACGAGTACACGTGCACATAAATCATTCGTTATAAAGTCTCTTATCCATGGCCTACAGAACAAACATATGCTTTGGGGTATTTCGAGCAAGTGCCATTAATGATCTACAGCGAAAATACTATGATTGGCAAAGTAGTTTTCTGCGCACATTTTCTTGTATTAGCGTAAAGCTCCAGGCATATTGTTTTGATTGTAGAAAAGAATGAACTCATTTGCTCGATTGACGTTGCATGATTCTGATCCGCTTCTCTTCATCACTTCGCTAATTTCGTAATTCTTTAATAACGCATGAAAATATTCGATTCTAGCAAATCCGAGTTAGTATGAATAATATGCAAATCATCTAGATATCTCAAGTGTATTCCATAGAAAAATTAATTCAGGCTGAATGCAAATACTATCCACGGATGATTTCTCCCTTGCTATTTCATGTCATAGTTCTTGTATAGAAGAATCGTGTATTTTTTGTTATGTACTTAGCTTTCTTCTCCATATATTAGGAGCTATTACATAAACATTATTCGTTGCAATAAAGAGAAATGTAGATTATGTATCCAAGATCGACATAGTCGAATCATGTGTAGAAAGGTTTCTGGAAAGGAAGCATTCATAGCGGGTTGAAATTGTTTTTTTACGCGAAGAGAACACTTTCAAATTCTAATTATGAGTTTCTTTTTTTTAAACGCGCATGAGAATGCATGATGTTATTCGCATCGAAGATATGCGGGTATATGCTTTTATCTCTTGTGTCTCTTGCCCACCCATATATTATTAACAAAATGGCCAATATAAACATCAACAGTTAACACTTACAAAGCAACTGTGGTTCTTCTTTCCATACACGCACACATATTTCTTGAGCTTGTAGAGATCGTTTATAAGATATAATAAATAAATTGTCCGTCTACGTGAGATTTATTAGTGAAGAATTATATAAAAATAGAAGAAATCTTCAAAACAACAGAAAAGGCTCGATTCACACAAATGTTCTTCATTCACTAATAGGTTTATCACTTACGATTTACTTTCGAAACAAATATTCGATTATGTAACATAACCCTTGTAAGAACTTCTCCATTCAAAAGTAGTCATTATTAATTGAGAAAAGGTATATTGTGTTTTTACGTTCATCTTCAATCATTTCTTTCAGTGTTGCAGATTTATTAAGACACATTTTCCTTTTCACACGTCAAAACTTGCAATGCACAGACTAATTCTGAATAATAGCATAAATTGAATGTAATAATGAATTCATGAATAAAAGTCTAGGTAAGCTTACTGACTTCAATGTGTTATGCTCTAAATAAGAAAATTAGTCCTACTTGAATGGACGACTTGTGAAGAAAAAGTCATTTCTTTGGAAATAATCATCAAATTGCTTTTATTCTGTCTGATTTGAAAGCTTCATATTCATGTTTTTTTTGCCTCTTAATTTAATTATATATAGTGTGAAGTTCTATATCATGTTCGTATTCCCTATTCTCGACGTATACAATATGGGCAATGAGAACTTAGTTTTATCACTTTATCATTGTCACCAATGTCGACCTGCTGACTAGAATTTTATTTACCTGCATGTTCTGTCACTATATTTAGGAAATGGATGACGTCAAATAAGGTTAATGGCTACTGTTCTGCGTTGTGATTAGTGACGTTTCTTTAGGAAGTGTCAGTAAACGTATTTGTGAAGGTAATAGGTACCTGGCGGAGAATCTCATTTGTAGATTTGTCAAAATATTCATGAACGATGTCTGTTCTTGACTTGGTAGTTTAAAAAAGGTGCCGGGGAAATGAAATCTCATCAGCTAAGTATGTCACCGACAATATTTCGTACTTTGATATTATCAAGTAGATTGTGCACATGAATAATAATGTGATCAGAAGAAAACTTTAAATGCTGAACATTCCTTTTCACACACATGTACTCAGCACTTGACACATCTGGCAATGTTGATAAAGACTGCCAACAAGAGCGTTTTTACTCAAAACACTAGAGAGTGCGCAGAGTCTTCCGTTGTGCAAGATGACAATAAAACTGTAAAACCTATTTATTTGAAGAGTGTTCTTATCAATCATGAATGCTTCCTTTACGTGCTGTATAGCGTGGGTGGTCTGAGTATTCGGTAAAACTATATCCTAGAGGCAGATCTAGTAGGTGATTATCATGTTCTGAGTTTTAATCTACTCTTGAATGAAGAGACAAATGGATGATTAGTTTTACGTGCGAGAAATGTCAGATTTTTCATCACGATAATAAAATAGCCGGCTAAGAGAGTATTATAACTACGGCCTCGGTTGCTAATGCATTGAACTGTTGAAACGAAATGAAATTTATGTAAACTTGTATGAAAGCTTTATTCTCATGTTTTGTGGAATACTCTTCGGAAATGATTATCATGACAACTTCTAAACCATGCGGATACCCAAAACGGAATAAGACGTCATTATCATCGGTATTTAGTTCCGTTTGAAACATGTCATTTGCGCTGAATTTGCTTGTTTTTCTGCAAGGAAATCTAGACGTTTCATTGGCGTATGAGCTCTAATTTCGCTTCTATTATTTATGATTGTTGATGAATGGAATTCAAAACTGGCAAATTACAATCTCGAAACTAAATATAATCAAAGTTTGTTGAATCCCAACGAGAAACCTAATGGTTAACAATCGTTTGACAAGTTGTAAATTGCTATTATGATAATTAGGAATTTGACAGATTGGAAGAACTTTGCATGTCTCGTGCGGCTAGTCATTTGAATAAATCTGAAAAAGATTTATTAAATCTACAAGATAAGTCGATAGTCCGAAGGCGACATTGTTCCTTTCCGAAAACGAGCACAATGATAACAAAAGAAAAATGTTCTGTTCTCGAAAAAAACTCGTCGCCGGCTGTCGACATGTGTAAATAGTTCGAGACCTGATAAACAAATAAATTAGCTGAGCGATGAATGGTATTCATATACAATAAAATGAAATCATTTCTGATAATTTCACATAGTGATGAGTTCATTGTATATTCATAGACAACGCCCAGTATCACGTCAACAACTTTGAATATAGACATCGTTTTGTTGTTTATAGGAAACAACGAACGACGAAAGAAAAAAGAGAGAAAACCCGTATTTCCTTTCTCTTTCCCTCTGTGCTTCTTTTTTTCTCTTCCTTTCTTCTTTTCATTAATATCTACGTCTCTTTATTTCACTCTACTCCTCTTGTACTTTCACAATTGGTTAAATTATGTTGGACCAGCATACCGATCTCGTAGTTAACACAACCATCCCGTCTGCATCTACGGCCCCAAATCATCTTTTAACATACTATTTCGTTCCAGTCTATACAATACTCTTTTTCATTGGAACGTTCGGTAACGGTCTCGTTTTTATTAGTATTCTTCGTTCGTCTCGTCTTCGTACGGTGACAAACACTTATTTGTTACACATAGCGATAGCCGACTTCTTATTATTATTAAGTATACCATTTCTAATTGTTACTATTCTTGCTAACGGATGGATATTTGGTAATGTTCTGTGTAAAATGTATTATAATTTTATTCACATCAACCAGTACGTCAGTTCATTGTTATTGGCGGCCTTATCATTTGACCGTTATCTTGCTGTCTGTCATCCGATACGGGCGATAGAATTTCGCACTCGAACAAAGTCAGCCTTAATTATTTTCGGTAAATACCAACCAACATGACTCCAATGGTACCTAAAAGTACTTGTTTTTCTGTTTTTCTATAGGCTGTTGGCTTATCTCAATACTCTTTCTATGTCCAACGTGGGTTTTCGCCACAGTGACATCTGATCGTCTCATCCGTTGGTTTGGCTATCAGGTACAACGGTAGGTGAAGACACAACAAATCCCTATAGAGTTGCGCATCGTGTAGTAACTATAAGAATGTGTTGTTAACTGTGAGAATCACAATGCTATTAATATTGTGTAACGCTTTACAGTTTTCGCAAAAAAAAAATCAGCATCACAATAAAAAAAAGTAATTAAAGCATTGAGATACACCAGAACTCACATGATTAAACCTATACAGACTTTTGAATCACAAGCGAACGTCACTGACATGACGCATTGATATTTATATACGTATAGTCGCCTGCAAATTATATGTGGGTTGTTTGAGCACAGGACGATTAACTGCTGTGATATTTTTATTCGAGGAAAGTACGACTCTCTGATATAATCTATGGATAATCAGATAGTCTGAGGATTTATTTATAGATATTTAATTATCCGCATAACTACTTCTATTGCAAAAGACTTAGCAAATACAATTGTATCGATGAGAATTTATTGATAAAACTCCTCTTTTGATTGAAATAATTATTTTGTGTAATCGTAAACGGAGCGTAGAATTGAAGGAACAAGAATGCAATTATAATTATCGTATAACATTGATCTGGTGATACGTATGATTTACTAGGAAAGAAAACGAAAATGTACTTGAATGAACTTATTACGGAGACAGCATCAAAAGAAAATATTCGATTTTTGACATATAGAGTACTCTGTTTTCATTCTAATTGCATTTGAAAATGTCGAGTAAGGAGTTTACAATAATCGTTAATTAAGGATATAATTTTGACGTGTGGAACTATTGAGAAAGTCAAGAAAATGAAATTCCTTTGACTATTTACATATATTGATGCTTTAGATGCGTCATCGACTTTCCATCGATTATATTCACGATTCCTCCCGAGATCGTCTTTACTTACTATGGATTTTTAATTGGTTTCCTCCTGCCGGTTTCGATGATCACAACATTCTATATTCTCGTTCTCATCCGCCTTCATCATATACGCCGCAAACATCAATCCGAACTCAAACAGCGTTCGCACAGAAAAGTAACACGCGTCGTTCTGGCTGTTATAACAGCTTACTTCATCTGTTGGGTGCCATATTGGTTTCTTCAAATCTTCATCACCATTGATCCATTGATTCAGTCGTTGAATTTCAATTTCTCAATATTTTCTTCCAATCCGAATGTGCGCTTTCTTAAAGAATTAACACATCTGACGACAATCATTGGCTACGCGAATAATTGTCTCAATCCTGTTCTCTACGTTTTTCTTTCTGATACATTTCGGGAAGAATATCTAATGGTCTTGAATTGTTTTCATTTTGATCGATCGACTCAAGAAAATAATCTGCAACTAGAGATTATCCGCCAGTATGAGAAAAAATCCAAGCCATCGCAGCGAACGCCGAGTCTCTTGAAGAAACGTCGTGAAACTGCTATTAAAAAGGCTAAACATAGTGTCTTTATTGATGACATACCTCTCGAGTACCGCTCATTAAACTTTACTTTTCCTCGGTCAAATAACGAAGCACCATGCCCTTCACCATCATGTCTATCGCCAGGACTCGGTGACAAAAACGATCGTTGGTCATCGTGCAAAATGTCACCCAACCGACAAGTCTGTTTTTTGTCTCAATCCACGCATCATTCAGCTCCAGCTAGGTTAGGTACAAAGTCATCAACGTATTCAAATTCTCTGCCAGCACGGATCACCGACGACGGTGGTGTCTACTGTGGTGAATGAAACTTATGATGAAAAGACAATAAATATTTATCGTCATTACTTTGTTTTGTAATATAAATGTTATACTTTTGTACGGTATTAAAAAAATATATGCCCGGTGACGTAAAAAGATTCTCTTTGGTAGACTGTCAATCGACTTAGTTTAATTATGACAAGGAGAAGGGCAGACGGTCCGAAAGATCTCTATACGAACACGCAAAATATTTTCATTTTCAAGAACAACTTATACTCATCGACGTGAAGGTAACCATAAGTACTCTTGAAGTTCTAATTATTTCCGTTACGATATCTTTTCCATGATTCTAGTTTGTTAAAGAGTAGAAGAACAACGAAGACATGACTGCCTCTTTAGGGTTATTCGAAAGAATAATCAAAGGATGAGAGAAAAATGAATATGCAGTGCAAATGTTTATTGTTATAAAAGAAAAAAAAAGAAAAACTGGTCTTGTTCATATCGCAATCATTCAGTTTGTTTTCACTTAGTGTCTGGTTTCGATAAGCACGGGTGTTTAAAAAACGGTATAATGATAATAACAATAACAAACAACAACAACAAAAAAAGAGAAAAAGATTTCCTACAGAACAAACCACACATGCAAACAATTATGTTGAGAATCAATGTTTTCTTTTTTTTTTGATGTTGATCTTTCCCGTTTACATTGTTTCGATCTAAAAGCAAATTTTTGGAAATGAAATATTCAAGAGACTTTATCTTACTATATCGTCAATCTTTAAAATTGATCGAACTGTTTCGGTAGCTAAACGAATAGCGCTGACAGAAACCAATAATGGCTGAACAACGTTTTCTTCGAGAATATTCGAGATAAGACCCTGAAAAAAAACAACAAATGGTTTTTGTACACTCAGTTTCGACAATACATTTTCTATCGATAGTTACCTTTCGAACATTAATACCAGCATTTGTATCGTTTTGTGCATGGCGATTTCTTAATTCTGTAACGGTGGCAATCGGATTTAATCCAGCATTTTCCGCTAACGTATACGGAATAACCTCAAGAGCTTCGGCAAACGCTCGAATGCAATATTGGTGAACACCTGATAGACTTTGGGCATATTCTGCTAAGCGAACAGACAATTCTATCTCAGGTGCGGCACCACCGGCAATTAACGCGCTAAATCATGAGAACAAAAGACATAGAGAAGTCAAGTAGTAATCTCATCAACTAACCGTTCTTTTACAAGACAACGAATCACGCAAAGAGCATCATGAATAGAGCGATCAGCTTCTTCAAGTACCAATTTATTTGAACCACGTAATAAAATTGATACTGTATGACCTGGATGGGCAACACCCGTAATCTAATAGAAAACCATTCAAATAGACACTCCAGTCAGATACTGCATGATGCTTAGAGGTTATTCTTATCTTTTTAGATTAGGTTGACATTTCGAGTATTAAACTTCTTGACGCATGACAAGTCATCACTTACCTTAACGATTTTATCGGAACCAGCGGTGATTTCTTCAACAAGATCAGCTGTACCTAACATATCCTGTTGGAAATGATCTAAACTTGCAATTGGTTTACAACCGAGAGTCTAAAAATATTCCGTCAGACTACTATTGCGACTCTCTTCGAAAGATTACCTTTGCAATGAATGGCACGTCTTCACGCTCGACGTCTTTGACGATTAAGATCTTCATTTTAGCTAGATAATGGATAGCCAAATCGCTAATTGCATCACGCAAGATGGATTTTTGAATTAACAAGACATTGCAGTTGGTCTTTTTGATCTGTTTAATTATGTTCAGAATATATTGTCGTTCTTCTTTGATCACGCGATCCATTTGAGCATGATCACTGATAATGACGGTATTTTCCATCTGTACGAGTCAGTAAAAGTTAAAATGAGTACTTTGTTAATGAAAAGCCCACTCACATCAGTTTTTGGCGGTGAAATGCAAAATTGAATCAGAGCAATTTTAGCTTTTTCAATACGTGTTGGTGCACCGAAACCAATAGTTTTTTGATCGAGAACGAGACCTTCAACCAGTTCAGTATCTTCAATAGTACCACTACGAAAGTAAAAGAAATATTTAAATAGAAGATGCCATCTTGCAAGTGACTTCTTACCCTAATTTCTTAACGATACGAATATCACGAAGATCGACATTGTTGTCAACAGCTGGATTGATGACTTTCAGAACAGCTTGGACAGCAATAGGAGCGAGAAGATGAGTATGTTGTGAGACAACCTAATATAATATGCAAATGTACCCGAAAAGAAAATTGTTTTGTCAGAACATACTTTAGAATTCAACGATGTTGATGCACTTCGCTGTAACGAATCATTATCGCTAAGCTCTATAGGTATGCTAATACCCTTGAGGATTTCCGTTGCTTTGTCAGCTGCTTTTTCAAATGCATCAGCAATAGCTGTTGGATGGAGACCTGCAAGCAAGAATTTTTCTTACAATCAATAATTGAACACGAACTTTCCAATTACCTTTAGATACGAGACGACTGGCGGCGTCGAGTAGGCTACCAGCAAGAACAACAACAGTTGTTGTACCATCGCCTGCTTCGATATCTTGTGCTTTAGATAATTCAACCAGCTAGAAGAAATTCGTAATAACAGTTAGAATTCAACTGACATATGACAAACCATTTTTGCAGCAGGATGTATAACCGACATTTGTTTAAGGATCGTAGCACCATCATTCGTAATTGTTACTTCACCATTACCTGTTTGAATCATTTTGTCCATGCCACGTGGTCCTAAACTTGTTCGCACAGCATCAGCAACGGCTAAAATTGAATTGATGATTTTCACAGATCGAAAAGCACACGAGATTTTCGTACCTTTTGCAGCAACGATGTTCGAATTTCGGATTGCATCTGGTCGTTGTCGTGTTTTGAATCCTACGTCATTCGTTTGACCTGATCCTGCTGTTCCTTTTGCAACTCCTGCGCTGGCAGCTGCTGCGAATGATTTTGTTGAATCACTGGTAGTCATATCTAAAATTTTAATCTTAAAGACAAACAAACAATACAATGGCTAGATATTTTTTGATCTTCCACTTAGTACACGTATGTGCTATTATCGAACGACGAGATTCGAAATAAGCAATGATTGTCGGGACAAGAAAAGTAAAGACACAATTGACAAATGAAAAGAGGAAGAAAAGGTAGAAGTCAAGATAAACAACAGCAACACAATCTGTAGTAGATATAGATATAAATTTTCAACAGAAACAAAAAAGAAAGAAAGAAAGAAAAAGGAATCAGTATTGTTTGTTTGTTTGTCCGTGTGTCCAACCAAACAACTATACAAAGAAAAAAAGGGAACATTTTTTCCTGTTTATTCTTGATTTTCAAATCATTCTTCATTGGAGTTTTTAATAGGCTCGTTCGCGGTAACGTGACGACGAGTATCGACTTGATGAGGGCGATGGTGAACGATGATAAGATCGACCGCCATTGTGTGGGCTATGTCGACTACGTTCACGATCGCGATCGCGATCACGACTGCGATCATGGTCTCGGTCTCTTGAATGTTGATTTTGTTGTTTGTATTGTTTGGCAGCTTCATGATGATCATAGAAACATCGATCCGAGTATCGGCAAAATCCATGACGAAGATAATACCGGCAAGGTAATGTCCTTGAGAGATGAAAACGAAAAGAAAAGTTTATCAAATATATTCATTCAGATATCAGTTTGAGAAAGAACATATGTTCGTTTAATAGTTTTCCATTTAATACAAATGTTGAGCATCTGATGCTGGTATAGATAGGAAACACAGCACATCAATACATACATTGCAAACATATCTTGGTATATGTATGTGTTTATAAAAAGTTCGTGTCTGTGTGTGTGTATTAACATAAGATAGGTTGTTTCATCTGCCAAATAAAACTGGATATAAAATACTTCTAACAAACAGCCAAAGCGACGGTGATACTCGTTTAAGTAAATAATTCATGTAAAGTTATAAATAAGTCTGTTTAAGTTAAGAACAACTGGCTTAAACTGAGGAAGAACTCGTGCGATGAATAAAAGCACAGCTCTAGTAGAATGCAGAGAGTGTGTTCGTAACTGACGATATGTTTCCTAATAGGATGGATGAATGATTAAGTTTTTCGTTGATTAAAACAAAAGCTTTAGCTCGCTGATGTAACAAAATACGTCTACGATTGTTTTCGTACTTACTTTAAGTGGTTCTTATGTTTTTTCACGATGCGATATTTATCTTCTTTGTTCTCAAACCAATGTTTACTTGGAGTTATAAATGCTGAACGAATTTTACACACTGGACAGCTACAACAGCAACAACACAAATATTATTCTTTCATTCTTTGTCGGTCATCTCTTACCTTTCCGATTCAGCATTACTATACTTTGAACGTTTCCACGATACGACACATTCGTAGCAACTAGAAAGAGAGAAAGTCACCATTGGAATAGTGAATTGTGATATGTGAACATACAAAACATGATCGCAATTGTCTAAGACACCAAAGAGACGTTTGGCTGCTTCGACATCAGTTGAACAAATGGCGCAAATATGTCGACCAGAATCAGTATCGCTATCTTTTCGACGGCGTCGTTTCGTTGATGAACTTGAATGACGCGCAGGTGACGGAGAGCGATGATTGTTGTTATTCGTATTATTGCGGGGTGGTGGTGACTTGGAACCTTCTATAGAACTACGACTACGTGAACGCGATGTTGCCGAACGTGGCGAAGGTGTACGACTAAATGCAAAGAACTACAGTGAAAAACAGTTCAGGCGTGGGTGTGCTTGGCAATACTTAGGATTCTCTCGGCGACGTCTTTGTACGGCTGATGATTGTCGAGCCGAATGTCCATTACTTTCTTTTGCATCAGTAGCATTTAAACTCGAACGGGAATGAGATTGCGGCAAAGGCTCGGGCGATATTGATCGTTCGGAACTCATTCTTATCTTTACCGATATGGAGTTAAATCTGAATAAGAAGAAAAACAAAACATTAATTTCCATCCATCATTCTATGCAACAAACAAATAAACAGACGAATAGGCAGATAGAAACAAATGTCGTGTGTGTACGAATAACAATTGCTTAGCAAAGAGAAAAATGATGACAAAATATGTGCTCGAAAGAGACTTTGAAACCATTTCATATTTTCCATTCATTTTCTTCAATAATTCTATTTTCAATTGAATTTTTCATTCCAATTATTATTAGTGTTTTCCGTAGATGTCGCTATCATCGGCTGTCTTTCAGTCGATGGATGTAACTAAGAAACAGATATGCAAATGAAACTTCTTCCCGAACGATTTTCTTAAATCAATTTTGAATCGAAAATATGGATGAACGCCACTGGTGGATTGCCTCGAAAGTCGAGCAAACCTTTTGCATTGACAAGACATCTTCGACTGATGCTTCATTTACTGAAACATTCTTTCGTCGACCAGACGTGCTAAGTAAAATCAACAGCTTTCTCTGTGCCAAAGGTTCGAATAAACTATTTTTCTACACAACACGAGATAATCTCTATGCCAAAGAGATCATCTGTTGTAACAATATCGTCGATGAATATGTCCTCGTCAATGAACCGCTAGATAATTTAGTTTTATTATTTTTTATTCGGTCGGATACGAGTTCCGATGCAACAATTTCGCCTGCATCAGATATTTACTGTGGAGAAATCAAACATCCAACGCAAATGACATCATTATTATACTCACAAACGTTGTTGCCTTTGTTTAAAAAAGAATTATCAACTAATACACATGACAGTTATAACCAAACATCCACTAAAACCGCAATTGTTACTCAAATGGAAAAACAAATCGATGGAATCAATGCGACGTGTCATTCGTTACACAAAGACAAAAACTTAGTAAGTATATAGGTAACAATAGAGACACTTAGTGTTTCTCCTTCTCTTGAAAGCTATTGAAACGTGCAGATGCCGAAACATTGCATCAGCTAAAACAAACTGCACGCTCAACCACAGACAGTCCAGTTATTCGCAATTGCGAAACGTTAGTTCTATCATGGATAACAACAATCGAAAATGTTCTTCAAGATATTTTCGGCGACGAGTACGTTGACTTAGTGTTGGGAAGAGTACTTTCATCGATGTGAGTTTCCGTTTAGTTCAAGTCATCCGGCACTTGGCCCGTTGAGTGAAATCGAACGATGGACGCGTAAACAACGTTTGATTAATAATCTACTTGAACAATTGAAATCGAAAGAATGCAAAGCAGTCATTGGTGCTTTGATCACATCGAAATCGAAAGTCATTCGAAAATGGAAAGCAATCGATGTTTCGTAAAAATTGAATCAACATCAATCGCATGATTTCATTACACGCGTTTTTTGTTTAGAATAACTGAAGCTCAAAATGAATGTCGGGATAAAACGAAATTTCTCGAATCAATTCGACGTTATTTAGAGAACTTAACTGAAGATGCTCATCCGCAAAACTGTGCTGTGAATATTTTACCGGCATTATGTGATGCCATGCGAACGGTTGAATCCGTTTCAAGATATTATGCTCGACAAGGTTATTTAGGCTTGATTTTCTCCAAAGTAACGAATCAATTGGTGAAAATCTGTAAACATCATATCAATGATGACGATTTAACGCAACTTTGGCCAAAGCTTTTTGATGAAATTCAAGCTGGAGGATCGATTGATGATATCAAAGAGAACTTTCATTTAGATAAACGAGTAATTTTTCTCAAAGAAAAAAAGCTCTTGTCAAATTATCAAATTTGTAGGATATCAAACGTTTTCGTGAAGTTCCGAAAGGTTCGGTGCCATCAGAAACCACTACAACTGGCGAAAGTACTTTTCAACGTCTAAAAAACTGTCTTCTATTACTGGCATCATACAGAGAAACTTTTCACGCGTTAAGAGATGCACTTGGCGGTGCTCAAATGTTGGCAACAACTGCGTTTTCGTCGGCATCATCCACTGTCAGTGGCACAACGTGAGTACAATCGGAAATCTAATGAATTTGATACAATGAATAGTGTGTTCGTTTAGGAGCTCTCAAAATCGTGATCTGAGCCAATTACGACAGCAAATACGACGGGCGAGTGGAGTATTAATGTCCGCAGATGAAAAGATCTTTCAAAATTTGGAAGATTTCTGTCGTCGGATCGAACAGATGATTGATATGACAATTACATTAAATCAATTTTCTCAGTAAAAACAATAAATCTTCGTTTCTTTGGTTAATTTTACCGAATTTCAGACTTATTCGTACAACAGTTCGATTACCGAAACCAAAACGAAAGGATATTCTCGATGCTGAACAGCTTGCTAATCGTACTGGTAAGAAATGAGTACATGAAAAATGGATATCTGATGTATGGCATTCGTTCTTAGATACTTCGACTCATAAAGATGATCATGGCGGCGAGAATGCATCTGATGAAGGTATTGACGATGGCGAGAGTGATTCAGGTGCTGCTCCTTACGATTATCTTCTGTCCACGGTGTCCAAAGCTGATCTTGATTTAATAAGTATGCTCGACTTCTTTCGTTCTCTTCAAAAACCGTTCGTTCCATCCGCTTTCAAAGAGAAACATTATGAAGATGAAGAAGAGTCTTTACCTTTGAACGTTTTCATTGCCAATGGTGTTGAACAACTCAAAGCCTTGCTGGTCGATACCACACCATCGCCGGATGAAGAAACAAATAAGTATATAGATCAGATTTTGACCAGCAGAAAAAGACGAGTTTTCTACTCTTCGAAGGTTCGATTTGATACATAATCAGTTTGCTGCAAGTGCACGTGAACTTGAACAGTTACTTGGTGCTTATATTAATGTGACATTTTCGAAAACTAAACGAACACAAGAAGGTCTGGCGATTCTCGCTTGTTTCGAACCGATCTGCGAACGGAACTATCTTCGTCCGATACTCCGCGATGCTTATGTGAACTTATTCTTAAGTAACTAAATTAATTCGTTTTCAAGAAGTTTCCAATACATCTTCTCTAGATTTCGAAAACGATCTCTTGGATATTCGAACCAATTTCGAAGCTCAAAAGGATGATCCACCCATACCGCGCAATGCACCACCCATAGCTGGTAAGTTTCTCTTCCATTCTCGCTGATCATTCGAGATGCACAATTGATTTTCTTCAGGTGCAATCGCCTGGTCGCGAACATTGCTAACTAAAATGGAGAAATCTATGGATATATTTAAAACCAATCGTCATATCATTGCTCTTGGAAATTTTCCAGTCATATCGAAACTTTACAATCGTACAGCAAAAGCTTTGCTTGTATACGAACAATTGTTATTAGCTCGATGGAAGGAAAAACTTGAAATATGGAAAGAACATTTGGATACGAGTTTATTGTGTTTAGTAAACGATGATGATAATAATAAACAACTTCGAATCAACTCAAATTTGGAATTATTCTCAATATTCGATGAAGCAAAATGGTTTAAACGATTAGATGTCGATATTCCAAAGGCAGCCATTGCTTGTATACAAAAGGTAAAGGAAATTTAAATCGAAGGAGAGGAAATTTTTCGAAAATTGTGTGTCATTTTAGGAACAAACGTTCAAACAATACAAATCTTTACTTGAAGATCTTCTTAAACGATTTCACGATTTACAGTCTCAAATATATCCGCCATTTTATCCGTTATTCACTAGTCAGTTAGCTCAAATCTATCGAGCATTCGAACCCGGTCTACATACAATCAAATGGTCAACTCTCAATATCGATGTGTATATTTCGAAAGTTCATCGAGCACTCGACCGTTTCGAAACGTTCATTCTGAATCTCAATGGTTTAATTGCGGAGAAAATCGATAGTATTCTTGACAATGATTTGATCAACTCTTCATATTTATTGTTCTCTCCGGATTATATTCGATCGAAATTATGGTCACCGGCGGAGTTTTACGAAAATGTATCAGCACATATAAACGAACAAGCAGATTTGATTGGTAAGAAGTTTTTCGAAGTGCAACAGCGATTTCAAGAAGTCGAAGAAATATTGAAATTGAATACCTCGCAAAAATCTCGAACGTCAACATCATCAACACGACGAACTAAGACACCAACGGCGCCCAACGAAGCTATGCTGACATTCATACGTTATTATCAAGATAAAATGATATCTTGTGTACAAAAAATAGTCGAACGTAGTTTGCATGTCTTTGTCCGATTAGCTTCAGTCGCCGAAGAAAGTTACCTGACCGATCAAAAGAAGTTAGTTCGAGAATTATTCGATGGACAATCCATCGATGAACAATTCAATCAGATTGATACCGAACGAATTAGGTATGAATTTCTTTCGAAAAGTAAACAGTGTTCGTATTGACATCAAGTTTAGAATTGGTTGTACAATGCAATATGCTATTCCAGAGATAAGTATTGATCCAGAACTAATTCTCTGTCAGAAGTCTATTCGTGATGTTGCATACGCGATAATGAATTGCGAAAAACGAGTCAGTGGTAAGTGTGAATCGGCTTCATCGATCCAAAAACATTGAATCACGAAATATCTGTTTAGAATCGGCTGCTTTCGACAATGACACATCACAGCGCTTAGCATCGACGATTACAGCAGATCCATATGTCGCCGAAATCGTCAGTCGTTTATCTTCCATCGATGCCGATGTCACCCGTATATCTCAAAATGCTGTTCAATATATTCGCACATTCGATTTTCTTTGGCATGATGATTCACAGTTGCAATACCAGACGATCACTCAACAAGACGAAGATGGTGATGACTATACAATTGTAATTGATCCGAATGGCATTCCAACGAGAGAAACTCGGCAATATCTTCAAGGTGAATTGGAACGTCTTGTGCATATCGAAGAACGTTTGAACTTCTTTCCACACGAAATTCAAATTGGTTGTGTTTGCATTGAAACAGTTCCCATCATTAATTCTCTCCGAACATTTATCTTCAGTTGGAAAAGTCAATATGCGAAATTATTGCATCGATTTGCGAAAAGTCAATTGGATGAAGTGGTCGCCTATCGACAACAAATTCAAGAACGCTTCAATGATAATGTATCTACATTGGAACAGTTGGATGAAGCATTGATTTTATTGGAAGAATTGAGCGAAATGGAAAACAAAATTGAGTAAGAGAGCTCGTTTTTTATTTTCTTCTCAAAAATTCTTCTCAATCTTTTAGTTCGATTTATTTACCAATTGAAACAACTTATTCTCTATTAACTCGAGTTTATAACGTACCGATTCCACGTGATGAATTGCATGAATGTTCCCAATTACGGGATAAATGGTCGGCGTTGATGTTAAATGCTGATCGCGTCCGAAAACTATTATTACAAGAACGTCGTCAACAATTAGAACAAGAGTTGGATAAACAAGTGAAATCCTTCGTCGTGGAAGTGATTCGCTTTCGAAATGCATTCGATGTCGAAGGACCCAATGTTCCTGATATTGCACCATTGGAAGCAGCGAAGCGTCTGAGAGATTTTCAAGGACAATACAAAATCATGCATCGGCGTAAACAAACACTAAATTCGATTTCTACGCTTTTTAGTCTACAACCCAAACAATTCTCTGAATTAGACAAAACCGGCGAAGTACGTTCTTTGTTATTTTGTTTGAACGAATTCTTCTTTCAATGGTTTATAACTAACCAGTAACAACTAAGAGAATGTCAAATCTTTTTTAGGAGATATTTTTGAACAGGTGAGAGTCAAGATATTATCGACTGCATGATTATCCGCTCTTTTGCTTTCTATATATACATATCTTTATCGATTTTGTTGTAGTGGAAATTGAAAACCATGAATAACATAGAATTTGGTTATTTTAGGAACTGGTTTTACTCGATCAATTGTACATTTTGTACAAGAAATACATTGCATTCGATACAACATTCCGTAATACTCTTTGGTCGGAAGTGGATCTGATTCAAAGTCAAAACGAATTGAATGACCTATGGACGGAGTTTTGTAATCTTCCGGAAAAATTACAGGATCGAACGTGGACAGCTTACTATGATTTGGAAGGACATTTGAGGAAATATCTCGAGTTATTTCCGATTTTATTCATTTTAAATGCAAGGGAAATTCGAAGTCGTCATTGGTTGAAAGTGATGCAGATAACTGGATGTCAATTTCAATTAGAATCGAGTATATTCAAATTGAATGATCTATTAGAGATTCCACTGGATAAATATCGAGAAGAGATCTCCGCAGTGTGCTTTTCGGCACAAAAGGAACTGGAATTAGAAACGAAAATGCGAAGTATTGAAGAAGAATGGACGGAACAGATTCTTAGTTTTGAACCGTACAAAGACTACGGTTCAGTTCTATTGGAAAAACGCTATGTTGAACATCTGCTCGAACATTTAGAAGACGGCGAAGAAACGTAAGCCATTTTGATTGATATTCTTCTTCTCATTCGACTTTTTATCTGAACGTTAGGCTTGCACAAATGTTAACAACACGATATATTGAACCAATGCGTGAAGAAGTTGCCTCTTGGTCGGATAAGTTGAAGACCATTGGGGAAATTCTTGAACTTTGGCTTGAAGTGCAAGATATGTGGTTAGGAGCTGAGAGCATATTTAATAATCCATCAGCAGGAAAAGATATTTCATTAGAATCGAAACGATTCGTGCGTGTCGATAAAACTTGGTTGAAAACGCAACGACAATCAGCGGAAATTCGAAATGTTTTACAATGTTGTTTAAGTGAGCCACCAAAGAAAGGTATTCTCAGAGAAATGCAAAAAGAATTAGAAATATGTAATAAATCCATTGCATTATATTTGGATCGAAAACGTCAACTATTTCCTCGATTTTATTTTCTTACCGATCGAACGTTGATTTCTCTATTAAGTCGACAAGACACAATTAGTTACATAAAACCACATTTTCGTTCGTTGTTTAACGGTATTGATGATTTGAAAATAGCTGTGACTACTCTTGACCAACCAAAAATCGAAAGTGGACGACGAGTAAGATCTGTATTTATTCTTCCAGAAAACTGTTCGGTTTATTTTGGTATAGAGTGCAGCGAATAATGGCGATTCGCGTTCTCATATCGATATCACCCTTTTAAGTCAACATGATATCGAACAAGTTCTAAGTGATGATGGCGAATGTCTACAATTGATGCACACGGTTCCATTACGAAAATCTGTCGAACAATGGCTTGCCCAATTACAAGAAACAGTTGCAGATACGATTCGAAACGATGTTGCTTCGTGTATCAAAGACATCGATAGTGGTTTACCGTTCGACGAGCTCGTTTCGAAAGTATGACTTTTCAGTAATAAATCAATTGTTTGATCGTTTGACTTTGTAGTACACATGTCAAGTAGCATTAGTAGGCTTATTATATGCTTGGACACGTGAAATCGAGACGGGTATGATTGATTCGAAAACTGATCGAAAGGGTCTACAAGCAGCATCGAAACGATTCTTAACATCAATTCAAAAGATGTCGTCTGTACTAACACGATCACAATGGAAAACGCCAACACAACCCGTTTTACCTATACATAAACTACGTTTAGAAGGAGTTCTATCCGTAAGTTTTGTCTGATTTTATATTCTCGTTCATAAATTCTTCTCTAATGAAATAGTTCGTTGCCTATTTACGTGATAATATCGAAGTTGTCTGTTCACGGCGCCGCGATTTATCTGCCAAGGATTTCGATTGGCGACGATGTTTTCGCGTGTATCAAGTAACACCATCGCCGCCATTTCAGAAAGCCGAACGAAAAACGGCCGATAGTAGTGCCGTGGCAACACCTGCACCTGCTGAACCAGTCCGAATGCAAGTGTTAGATGATGTTTTTACTTATGGTAGTGAATTCTATGGTGTTCATCAAACGCTATGTATCACACCGACAACAGAAAAGTGTTTTCTTGGCATATGGGTTGCACTGTCATTTAAACGACCTGTACTTCTACAAGGCAAAGCAGCAGTTGGAAAAATGTATACAATAACGGTACTTTCGCGATGGAATTTGTTGGGATCGAGAAGTCAAATTTTTATTTTGTTAGAGTTTGGCTCGTTTTCTTGGTCGATTTATCGCTACTTTCGAGTGCTCTCAACATGTTGATCCATCTGCCGTGGCTATGTTTATCACCGGATTGGCCACGGTAAGTGTTTTTACTTTTATCAATTCTTACCAAGAATCATCTGCATATTTCAGGATGGTTGCTGGGGAGTCTTTCATAATATTCATACTCTATCTGCAAATGTTTTATCGTCACTGGCGGAGTACGTCACAGTTGTCTGTGATTCGCTTCGAGCAAATAATCCATCGGCTACGATTATTTCTGAGAACAGAGAGGTTTGTTTTCATCGAACAACCTAATAAAAGTACTATCTTTTCAATCTTACAGATCGCCATTCAACCATCGATAGGAATCATGGCAACCAGAAATCCATATGCTCTTGATCCTAACAATGACCATCGTATGGTTTTATCATCTGAAATACGTTCTCGATTTCGTATTGTTTCATTGGTTAAACCTGAACTTGACCAAATTTTCCGCATCAAATGTTTCGAACATAACCTCAAGAATCCCAATAATATTGCAGAAAAAATCTCGCTTCTTTACGAATCTATTCGTTTATATTTGTAAGATATTCTCAGTCAGAATTCTTTCTTCTTATTCAATTTCAATCTGTTTAGACCAATTGAGCAACGTTCAATAATATCCTTAACATCGTTTCTCGATCTACTTCAGTACGTTAATAATTTGAAAAAGCGTAGCAATTCAAGACCAAACAGTATGACATCCGGTGGAAATAAAATCGATGGTACGAATCAGTTCTTACTCGTGCAGCTTCGAACAAATCCATTTTATTTTGTAGAAGTTCGACGATCCCTAACAATCAAAACAACATCGTACACCGGCACTAAATCAGATCAGTTCCTTCTAGCTCAACTGTTCATTGATGTCATCGGTGCTCGATTAGATCCCGAGGTATGAAAGTTTCCCACCGTGTCTTGATACATTTTTTGCGTCTTTTAGCATGCGAAGACTTTCCGTGTATTCGTTCTCGATATCTTCGTTGGACGTGACGAAGCAAAACTGGCCGCAATGAATACTACCGGCGCAATCTTAGAGAAAATTATCAGTGACAAAGCACCAGATCATGATTTTATTCCTAAAAAACTTTGGATAGCTAAATGCACACAAATGATTCACGCAGCGAATGTTTCGAAAAGTTCGTCGAAATTTCATATCGAAACTTGTAGTCAATCGTTTCTTTAGATATGATACTATGTGGCTCACCCTATAGCGGCAAATCCAGTGCAGCAATGTTAATGATCGATGTTCTAACACAAATACAACAACAGCAACAATTACTATCCGCGTATCAACAACAAAAGTCAAGCTCAATCAGTCAAGAAGCCAATTATACACAAGAATCAGCTGGGCAAACCCATAAACTTTATCGGTAAAGATTTTCTCGGTTTTATATTGATTAAGACATACTAGCATGTTGTTTTTCGTCGATAGAATCAATCCATTAGCTATTGAATCGGAAAGCATCCTTCTTGGTTACTATTCCTTAGCTAATGAATGGCAAGATGGTATTCTTACTACGATGTTACGCAAAGCAAACCGAGTAAAGTACTGCAAGGAGGAAAAAGCAAATTTGAGATGTTTAATTTCGAATAGAATTGCCACAAGAGTTGGTTTTGTTTCGATGGAAGTATCAGCCGAACATGGGCAGATCTACTTCCATCAATACTGGAGAAAGAAGCATCATTACAAATACGTACTGGGGATAAATTATACCTTCTCGATCAAGTGAAGTTTATGTTTGAAACATCCGAGTTAACCGATGCGTCGCCAGCATTTATTGCGAATTCAGTAAGGCGAACTTTTCTCTCGTTTATAAACCATCGGACTTTCTTTCCAGACAGTTATCTACTTCGATAAGTCTGTTATCGATTGGAAAGTTCTTGCTGGTACTTGGTTGAAAGATCGACGTCAATTAGAAGTTCGTTTCAGAACAAGAGAAATCTTCTCCACAAACTATTCGTATGATTTTCTAGTGTCTTCGAGGAGCATTCGATCGAGTGATGGATCCCGTGCTAACGTACCTTCGCGAAGAATGTCCAAGGTAATGAAAACGATTATGAATGAATGTCTGTCTGTCTGAAAACTTACAGCGTATCTTTTTCTTATCAGGTCAATTTATTATTCGGAAATGAGCTTATTTGCCATCGCACTTCGCTTATTGGATGCAATCTTGCTTGAGAATACGCATATTACAACTGATGTTCACATCGAACGCTTCTTTATTTTCTGTTTGACATTTGTCTTGAAAATTATACTTAATCCTGATGAACAAAAAGGTTATTCAGATTTGCTGAAGACTGTAACAGCTGTTCTACCAGATGATGATCGCGAAATATCAGTCTTTGATTATTATGTTGACGAAGCTTGTGAATGGGATCTTTGGACTGCGAAGTAAACATTACAAAACATTTAATCAAATCACATTTGATTTCCTTCGTTTTTTTTGCGTTAGGGTTGAAGAATTGAATGAAAATATTCAAGATCGTATTGACATATTCGGCAATGTTCTTGTGCAAACAGTTGACTTAGCCCGTGCACATTACTTTTTGAAATATGCTGCAATGGCGCAAGTTAATATTTTACTTAGCGGGACAACTGGCTCGTGTAAAACATTCCTCCTCGATACGTTTCTCAGTGGTTTAGGTTTGTCTTGAAAATCAAATCCATTGTTAATAAGAATATCGAATGAATTTGTGTTTAGATACTACTCATTTTCAAACGACTCGAACGAATTTTTCCAAATCAACTAATTCAGCCGATCTACAAAAGATTATCGAAGCCAATGTTGTTCATCGACAAGGTTTTACATATGGAGCTCCACTAGCCAAGAAGTTCTGCTTATTCATTGATGATTTACAAGCATCAGCAACAGCCAAATTAGATAAATTCAAAAATGCACCTGAAGTAAATCATTTACTCGCAATTTTCCTTTGTATAAACCAACCCTTCTTCATTATAGTTTCTTCGTACTCTCATTGATCATCGTCAATTTATAACACAACAGAAACCATACGAAACACGTATTATTGATGATCTTTTCGTCTTTGCCACAGCTACCATTCCACCCACTGGCGAACAATCATTACTAACCCAGAGTCCGCGATTGTTGGTATGTTACATAAACGAGCAATGAATTTGGATTTCGGTTCTTTTTCTTTCAGCGTCATTTTGTAATTGTTAATCTACCAGCATCGGAAGCATCACTTCGTCATATACTGACAAATGTCATCGATGTAATTATATCTCAAAAGTATTGAACGACACGTTTGTTTGTAAATTTAGGTGAATATGATGAGTTATGGCAAGACACCAATGGATCACGATGTCTCAACGAAAATCGTCGATGTTCTCATGGATACACTTCGACATATTCAACGTGTCCTTCAGTCGAGTTCCGTACCTGGAAGAGAACACTATCTATTTTCTTTACGAAACATGCTAACGTCAATCCAAAGCTTGCGACTAATTGATGTCGATTTGAGAAATGATAAGAATTTCGTCGCACCGTTTCTTAAACATGAATTATTTCGAATTATTTACGATCAACTTACAAGAGAAATGGATCAGTACTGGTTTATCGACACATTGAATGAAGTCTTTCGAAATGTAAGAATGTTAAAGTAAAGGGAATGGAACTAAATTGCGTTTCTTTCGTTTAAATAGACATTTGGTTGGACAAAAAGTGAAGAGGATCATCGATATATAACATTCCAAATTGATGGAAGAAGTTATGAGCGACCACTAACGTCGTTGTTTGTCAAAGAGATCAAAGTAAAGAGATAAAAATATGCATAAAAACAAATGCGCTTCGTTTGTTTTCGGTAGACTCAAGTTCAACCAATGGAATCTTTGAGTGCACTTCGTAAAATAATTGATCAAGCGGCTTTACGCTATAAGGAAGAGCTCGGACATAATACATCGGCGTTGACCGTTTCCGAAAATACAGCTTTACATATTATACGCATGCATCGTATCCTTTCTCATCCGACTTTGTAAGTTTTGGATTTTGATTTTACGTACACAATTGTGGCTGCTGATTTATTTTAGGAGCAATCTGTTTGTTATTGGTACGGTTGGCTCGCATTTATCAAAATTGGTTCGATTAGCATTCTATTTCGCTGAAATTCAAGAATATACAATTGATTATTCAAATAAGAGTCTTTTTTACGATAGTCTGAAGGCTGTGATTCGCACTGCATCCGTCGAAGGACGACACATTGGTGTTCTACTTACAGTACGAATCTTTTTATAACAACACATATTTAGTTCTCTCATATATATCTTGTATTCGTAGTACAAACACTTACGTGATCCAGACATCATCGATGATATCTCATCTTTATTGACAAGCGGTGAATGTCCGCATCTGTTCAGCGGAGATGAACTAGAAGGACTTTATCAGGTTTGATTTTATTCTTTGCTACAGCACATAGGAATCTATTGGAATATTTTAGGCGGTGATCAATGCATATCAACGTGATCATGATGTGTCGATTGCTGTGTTAACTGATCCACGACGATGCTTTCTTACCCGTGTTCGTCAAAATCTTCATGTAGCTATATGTTTGCCATCACATAGTGAACTACTGAAGAATCTCTCCTAGTAAGTTAACCTCATTCTTTTACAATATCTTTCAATAGAAACTCTCTTTAGTGAATATCCGGGCTTGCTCAAACATACTCAAGTTTACTGGATAAAGAACTGGACAAAAGCAGCACTGAACACTGAAGCATCTCATTTTCTTTCGTCACATGAAACACTCTTCTCCGATGATCTTCATAAGCGTTTATCGCAATGCCTGTGTGACATCCATTATTTTATGCTCGATGAATCTCGACAAGTTCCGTTTGTCGGTAGTACAGATCGAACGATAATCATTCGGGAGAATCCAGTGAATCAAAACCACCCGTTAACAAGCCGATCAACGTCGTCCCGCGAACAAGTTTCTACGAAAAAAAATGTGAATAAAGAAGCGAAAATCGTTGATATTGAACTACCGAATTATCCGTATTCGCGAATGCTTTTACACGAACAAATTAAGAATCATGGCGCAGGAAAACCTTTTACTACATCACCACTCCATACATTTATTGGACCAGAAACATTCACACGTTTTATGCAATCGTTCTGGTATCTATTTACTTCGAAAGCAGCTGTCTGTGAGCGTGACATCATTCGATTAAGAAAAGTGCTTAGTACTTTGAGCAAAACTCGACAGAATGCCGAAGAAATGAAAGAGTATATTCAACAATTAAAAGACCGATGTTTGGATAGTGAAAAGGAAACAGCTGTTCTCTTAGAAGAAGTTATCTACAAATCGATGGTTTTGGAAAAATTACGCGCGAAGTATGCTCTGCCGGGATGTTTACCAGGTTATATTTATCGCGATGAAAAAGAAGATTTCAGTTTACCCGATGGAGACAAAAAGACGCTTTTGGAAGGTACAGTACCAACGATTTATGTTCTGATGAAACTTTTGTGATTTAGATGAAGCTGATGAATATGAAGAAGCATTCAAGAGAATGAAAGACGATTCATTACGATCGCGGCAAGTGAAAATGCAAGAAGAACATGACGAAGCAGTACGAGAAGTTGAGCAGTGGCGTGAAAAATTAGCAGAGAAACGTAAAGAGGTCGAACATTGGAAGAGTAAAGTTGACAAATCATGTATTGAACGTATTCGAACATTTCAAACACCGCCCATTCTTATCGGAACCATTATGGAGATGGGTAAATCGCATTTTCGCCCCTTTCCCTCTCTCTCTTTAATACTATCGATACTTTCAGTTCTAATATTGATTGCTCGAAAACCTCCTGTTCGTTTTGAACAACGCGAGCAAGAACGCGAACGAGGTGAGGATTTGGTTGAAGATTGCAATGTGAGATCTCAGAAAGCAAAATATTTTAAGGAAAACTACAAGCCGAACGTCTTGATCGACATCAGTGGAAACAATATACAGCACATATGGCTGATATTGCTAAATTTGTGGATATTTTGCATGGCTTAGATTGGCAAGATGGTCTCAATCTCGATATTTCAAATGGTAAATGAATTCTTGAATAAAACTTAACATAAATAGACTCTCTCTCTCTCTATCCAGCGGTGGAATCGTACATTGCCAAAGGAAAGGATGGAATATCAGATGGAATTACGGGTGAAGGTACTCTATTAGAAAACGCCAAAAGTATGTATTCTAGCTGAAAATAACCTTCGATTTGCAAGCTACATATTTTTTTTTGTATTCATAGATTTTCACGTGCCTCCTACACGTGCAACTGCAGCACAAGAGAATCGCATAACTTTAGGAGCTGCTCGTTATGCTTCGGAAGAAGCTGCAATACTCGTTCATTATGCTATTGCTTTAGTGGAATATACAAAAATCTGTCAACCGTTACGATTAACGAAAGAAAAAGTCGAACAACTCAAACAAGAATTAATCGAAGCCGAGCAAAAACGAATCGAACGAGAAACTGAAGTTTGTTGTCACTACTTTCTTGATGTCAATACCAATTGATTTTCATATAGATTCGCCGATTGAAACTCATGGAAGAAACACTTCATAACGCCGATATCAGTGAAGAAGATAGTCGTTTAGTTGACATATCACAATATACATTGGATGATATATCACGTTTAACTAGTCAATTGGAAGAGGCACAAACACGTTTTGATGCTGCAGCAGTTAATAAAAACAAACTAAGAAAAGAATACGAAAGTTGTCAATCACGTTTACAAGCAGCGTTAAATGTTACACAGAGGTAAATATCGAAATACTCAAAAAGAATTCTCATCGATTGATCTTTGAATATCAGTTTGTACGAACTAGAACTATTTGATATTAGACCATTTAAACAGTAAGATGGCCTATTCCCTCTCTGTTTCGTCGATACTTTCTTTTGCATGTTTGTCTCTGTTCATATCGTATTGATTTTTTGTATATATGTGCTCAAATAATATGCTATTTTCATGTTTACAGACGAGATCAATCCGCTCGACCACTTGATGAGAGCGTCTGGTAATGAGAATTGATGTTTTCAAAAACCCAACAGAATTCCATAGACTCTAACATCACCTTCAGTTGACCATGTTCACTACTATCAACAGAGTGACGGTTTTACTGAAGCGAAAGTTTACTTTCGAATCACTGAATTAACTGAGTTGTTTTCCTTGTAGTTTATCTGATTTGGAAGATCAATGGACGAAATGGATTACAGAACACTCAACACATGATCAAACCTTAACGAATTGTATATTAGCTGCAGCCTATATGACATACTGTTCATCATTAGACGCTGATTTGAGACGCATTTTCAGTGAGAAATTCACGAAATTCTGTGAACAGTATGAAATTCCTCGCGAATCGGATTTGATTTTTCAAGTAGGTCGTACGATTTGTCAAAAAGGAAAAAAGCTCTCTACTTTTCTCTTTGAATAGTCAATTCCAATGGATAGTGTTTCGAAGAATAGCTTCGATCTCTCATTTTCTATGATCAATCAATCGCTAGATTCCACGAACAATACTTATCGTAATAACCAAGTGATGACACTGGCAGAATTTCTATACAATCCGATTGAACTGAAAGAATTTCAATTACTCCGTCTCATTCCAACTGATATCATTACCGAAAATGGCTGTGTAATCATGGCAGACGCAGGTATCAATGCTTGGCCACTTATATATGATGCCACATGGTACTCTATCGATTATATTCGATTGTTTTCAAAGAACAAGAAACTATTGATCGTTCGACATCATGTATAACATTCTCTTCTTGTTTTAATTGATTAAGTTGAGTTATTTTCGTTTAGCAACTACGTACACAATTAGAAAATGCTCTTTCGGAAGGTCACCATTTGCTCATAACTGATTGCGACACGAATACTTTGATGAACAATGAAAAACTCGAAACAGTTATTCGAAATCAAGCACGGTTTTTCTCAAGCGAGAAACCATTCAAATTACAATTAGGCCAACAAGAAATCGAATGTAGTCCTAAATTCCGGTTAGTTAACAAATGAATGTTCGTTCTCTTTGTATTCATGTTGTCTGTTGATAATAGGCTTTATTTGCATACAATAATACAACCGGTATTCATTCCAAAGGAATTAGCTGCTTACACATTGATCTTGAATTATCATTTGACGCTGAACGATCTGGAAGAAATCTTTTTAAGTCGATTCATGGTCAAAGAAAAACCGCATATCGATGTTGAACAATATACATTGTTACAGGTTTGTCTCACTTTTAAACCTCATTCTTACATCATCGGTAGAGTTTTGTTTAGGAAAAAGTTGATACATTGAAAATTATTGATCCATTACGACAGAATATTACAAATTATCTGGCATCAGATACGATCAATCTGCTACAAAGCGTCGAACCAACGAAACGCTTGTCCGACTTGAAGAAAGCGTATGACGAAGCTATCGAAGGGTATTAATTGATTTTTCAAAACAAAAGAAAATCTAAATTGCATTCTTTTTCATCCGAAGATCGAAGCGAGTGGCGTTACAAGAAGAGAGTCTATTCAAAACTCGAAATAGCTATCGAAGATTAGCTTTACGCGCTGCCACATGCTATAACACCCTACATTATTTACAACAACTCATTCCGGAATATGTGATGCCACTGGAACATTTTCTCGATTTGTTTGATAGTTGCATCTTCCAATCTGAAAAGTACGTGAAAATCTCTTTGTTTTCAAACTATCAAAAACCCAAGAATTTGTTGTAGACATTCGATGAATAATGTCATGACTGATTTAACGAAGAGTGCATATATGACAATCTATCGAATGTTGAATGATCGCGATCGACGTGTGTTTTCGATATATTTTGCCATGGAGGTATGTAAAATTATTGTAAGTTTTTGTTGACGTATGAAATTGAAACTGTTTAGATTGAATCGTTCAATCGTCGTCAAAACCAACAATTTGACTCGAATCTTCCATCGGGTGAACGAGAATTCATTGTTTCACCAGCATGGGCTGCCACATTACTACAAAAACGGTCCGCTCGGGCATCGAATGAGCATCGTTTTCTATCCTATAAAAAGCCGTTCGATTGGATGACTGATGAGGCATTTCAAAATCTTCAAGTAACTTGTTATTTTTCGTTACATGAATGACCATAATGAACTTCGTTTTCATTTTAGTACTTAGCAATGTTTTTTGATTGGTTTGCTGATCCATTTGATCGCATGGTCAAAGAAGTTCAAGAAGTGAAATGGCGTCCATTCTGTGAAGGTGATACTGAAAATTGTATATTTCCACCTCCACTTGAACAGCTGGAACCAATTCAAAAGTTCTGCGTTGTACGAGCGATCAGAAGTGATCGATTGATTCAAGCATCAACTGTCTACATTTCGAATGTGTTTCAACAAGAGTAAAGCCCATAAATTGATTGTAAAATTTTATATTAAAAACAATCCGTTTTTTTTTCAGTTCAAACAAACCGAAAGCCGTTGCACAAGATCAACAACAACATCATCCACAACAAACATCTTCTCGTACACCAACTATACCGTAAATAGTGTGATTTGACATTTCAAAGACAGCAACCTTTCTGTTTGAATGTAGAGTTATACCAACACTTCAACAAGATGTTGATCTTATGCTACGTCAAAGTAGTCAACGATCTGTTTTATTACTATACGATGATGAACCCGATGAAGTGATTAATTATTTCAATTTCTGTACAAATTCCATTTCGACCGACGCAACAACGATTGCGCCAACAATTCAAATCATCAATGTTTACGGAACTGGTGCAAGAGAAGAACGTATTTTGAAAAAAATACTCAAAAATGCTATTGCAAATGTACGTGCACGAGCATTTTGTGTTTCTTTGATTAAAAGCATCTTTATTTTAGAATGTTTGGCTCCTTCTCCATGGTCTACATAACAACCCTTCATTCTTGTCTCATGTTGAAACATCACTTTGGGAACTTCGTTTAAAACGTCCGACACCAATGCCTCGTATCTGGCTTAGCATTCAGCGTACTTATTCGTTTCCATCTTCATTATACGATCTCTGTTTAATAACTTACGTTCGCACACCAGTATCAATGAAAGAAGCAATAACGCGAGCATTTTCTATCATTGACAATGATCTGCTTCGCCATTCATTAAAATCCGAATGGCTCCCACTATTGCACAACATTTGTTACATCCATTCAACACTCAATCTTCGTGCACGATACGGTCACGCTGGATGGGATATTCCATCACTAACAACATTTACGAATGTCGAATTAACTTCCGCGTTTCAAGTTGTTGCAAGAGAATTTGCTCTAAGCGACCAATCAGCAACTCGACTGGATTCGTCGGCAGCAAATGCCACAGCGTTGAATGAAACCAACGCTCGACAACTATCGTGGTCTTCGATGCGATATACTCTATCAGAATTGATTTACGGTGCTAAAGCTTTGAGTGAATATGATCAACGAGCCATTTCGAATATTGTCGATTTCTGGATTCAACCTGGATCTGTTCGAAAAGACTTTGAGTATTCCAAAATCAAATACAAGATTCCATCAATATTTTTTACACAACAGCCAAAACTAAGCCAATTACTGCAAGCACTCGAAGCACTTCCAACACATCAGTTTGACGTTGCGGAAACATGCCATCTTCATTCAAGTTTTGAAGCAAGCACGGGCGATGATATTTTCATTCTCAATCGGCTTAATCGAATATTAGATGCATTGCCGCCGAATGTGTCTTTGAATGCATCTATTTTTCAACGACCAAATACACCAATCGAAGGTTTGAGTTTACCTTCGAGAAAGTATTCTTTTTCTAACTAATTTCGAATAGATGTGACCATCAATACATCATTTTCTTCGTCAAGTGGATTATGGAACTCATTTAGTTCTTCAGCATTGCATTCTTTTTCGGCAAAGAAGAATCAGGGATTAGAAGAATGTTGCGCGTCTATATTAGCTACGAAGTTACCGAAAGTTTTAACTAAAGTAAGGTATCCTTCTACAGAAAGTTTCTTCGATTTCTACGTATTTGTGCATTAGGATCAAATCTTAGATCGTGCACGTCGTAATGGATCACCACTAACAAGTCCTTTCAATGTATGGATAATACGTGAAGCAGAATTAATAACAGATCTTGTGAATCTTATTCGTACTCACGTACAATCGATCAAAACTGCCTGTGATCTAAGTCAATTAGGCGTACATTGGTCACAAGAATTAGCCGATGTTGCTCATGCTTTGTATTATCAACGTATACCTGATGTTTGGTGCGATGCAATTGGGTTAAGTGCACCACCACCAATCTGGGGTTTGACGAACTTTTTCGTCGATTTAAACATGCGGGCAGAACATATTGAAAAGTTGTTAACCAAAGGTAAGATGATATATTGACTCTTTTCTTCCATAGTCCTACGGATTGTCTACTGTAGGTCGCGAAAAACATCCAGCATTCAATATATCGGCATTCTTCAATGCGTCAGCGTTGTTTGGTATCTATAAACAAGAAATTGCACACTCACTAAACATTTCTGATGATTCAAACAATAGTTCCCTTATGTTTCAATGTGAACTAACACCACGCGATCGAGAACATATCCGTGAAGCACCAAAAGACGGTCTCTTCATTTACGGTCTTTACTTATGGGGATGCAGTGGAGATAAAAATATCGTCGAGCATGGTATCTCTGATGCACCGACAAGAAATCGAGAAGGATGCTCACTCATGCCCGTCATACATTTAACATGTGTACCAACAGAAAAAGCGGCACCAGTTGTTGCACAACCACAAACTCTAACGGATACGACAGGTCCAAATCGACCGACAACAACCGATACATATTCATGTCCAATATTTCCGAAGCGCTGTATGGAGCGACGTAATACAGAAGTCATTTGTGAATTAGAATTATGGAAAAAGACAACGGTTATTGGTCAAGCATCACGATGGGCCTGGCGTGGAATTTGCATGACTGTTAAACCTTATTAGATCTCTTTTTTCATTGTTTGTCTTTTTGTATTGATATGTGTGAATCTCAAGAAAAATATATATTCAATCAATAGAACTTTTATTATGTATGTCATCATGTTATACGTGTTTAATAGAAAACTATACCCTTAACTATTGTTCATCGAAAAGTCAAAACTAAAAGACATCGTGTATAAACTCTTGTGATCACTAGGCCCGTGTAACTTCGAATCCAGCACGTGGAAAATGAACATTAATATCGCCGGTCTGCTCATCTGAGATTCGCAAAACAATCTCATGACGATCGACTGCTACTAATGTTCCTTCAACTGGTACGCGACCTGTATCATCAGGCACAACACGTAACTTTTCACCAATCTCCCATTCATTATCAATGTTCTGTGAAATGTAATTCGGCTCAACAGGCGTAGCTTGCTTAGCTATTTCAAGTGCCTGCTCTTGTGTTAAAGTTTCTCTAGTTCCATGACCAAATGCAGCAACGCGTTCAAACCATGAAAATAACACTCCTGGTTGGTATAAATTTGGAAGAAGTATTTTGGCTCCTTCACCGCAATTTCGTTTAACAAACCAAAGTGTATGATATGCTGTAACATCAAGTGCCGATGGTTCTCCTAGAAGGAATGGACGGCCATCAGCTAGCATATCTATTAACCAGACTAAATGCGCATTAATATGTTGAACATGTAAAGAAAGATTTGCTCCGCTTGTTTCCTTATTTAATTCAAAACCCGGTGCAAATCTTTTCCGATCATCGATGAACTCTTTTGGCAATTTGTCACCTACAAAACTTATCCAAACTGCAACTGCAGGCGCGAATGTTGCTTTATCCCACCACCAACACAATGGTTCAGTTGTTTTATTGGCAAAGAGTGATGGTGCATCAGGTCATAGACGATCAATTGTTCGTAAAATAAGATGTGTATCACAATAGATATCAGCACCAATTTGAAGTACTGGTATACGACGATAACCACCAGTTAAGGGTGTGAGAAAAGGCCGTGGAGGAACTACACTATTAATGACTGAGCGCCAGTGTAGATTTTTTAAACCTAAAGCTAAACGAATTTTCTCCCCGAATGGAGACGATTCATAATGATGAAGGATCAGCTCTTCAGACATTATTCAATTGATGAAACTAAGGACGGACGAAATTTCAATAATAAATTTCGAATAGATAATGTATGATTCACTCGTATACGTTGAGGAGATAACACAATCCGACAATCCGAACAGTCAATCTCACAACGACATCTGTCCCATTAATCCTATTCCTTGCTGATCTGCACCATTCATATTTATCTGAAAAATCGTCGAATGCTGGAGACTTCGGCGAAGTCAAATAATTAATGAAATAATTATTTTTCATGGTGAAAGTTTCATCGTTCATACAATAGTATTTCAAATCGATTTTGCGTTTCTTACAACATTTGTTCACTGATGGACAATTCAGACACAGATAACAATATCGAATCTCGTTCTTCTAACCGTCATCCACCACATCTTCATGGAAAAGCCATTGGTTTATGGTATGCTCAACGTCAACGTCAACGGCCGAAAACTGCGCCACAACCATCTTCTCGGTCTGTAGCAACAGTTGAATTAACTCCAAACGAAATTCAACGTGTCACAAAAATTCGACAATTATTCCATCAAAACTATTCCAAAGAACCGCTACTCGATATTGATGATGCTGAACATACGATGAAATTCGATAATCTTCATAGTTCATTCCAGTATTTCGAGCCACTTACACGTCAGTTTGTTATTGATCAAAGTCTATTACAAGATCTGCAGAGAAAACAACGTTCAGCTTTATACGAAAAATTGAATGCAAAGCGAATGTGTTTGCCTATTAGTAACTACCGACAAACTATTCTCGATACTATTGAACAAAATCAAATCTTCATTCTCGTGGGAGAAACTGGTTCAGGTTGGAATCTTTTGAATTAGTGAATTTCCTTTACTAAACTAGATCTTGTTAGGAAAAACAACGCAAATAGCCCAGTTTATTCTTGATGATCAAATTCTCAAAGGTCAAGGTAGTCAATGTCGAATTTTATGTTCTCAACCACGTCGAATCAGCGGTGAGTTGTTCATAGTTATTTTACGTTGGTTGAACTAGAAGAGAATTTCCTTTCGAATACTTTCAGCAACGTCAGTAGCTGAACGTGTAGCACAAGAACGTGGCGAAATGCATCCCGGTGATTCTGTTGGTTATCATATCCGTCTTTCCGCCCAATTTCCACGCAAAAATGGTTCCATCCTATTTTGTACCACAGGAATGTTGTTGAAATATATCGAAAAATACACGAATTTTGAACATTTTTCTCACGTGATCTTGGATGAAATTCATGAGAGAAATATCGAAATGGATTTTTTACTTATTTTCATCAAACGTCTCTTGGAAATCCGGCAAGATCTTAAAGTAATATTGATGAGGTATGTGTTTTCTTTTGAAGGAAAACACCAAAATATATCTTTTTATCTTAGTGCTTCGATTCAAGCTGAAAAGTTCAGTGCTTATTTTAATAATTGTCCAATTTTGCACATTCCTGGAAATATTTATCCTATAAACGAATATTTTCTCGAAGACTACATAACAAAATTGAAATATCCATTTGAGAATGCGAATTCATATCGTCGATCGAATAAAGAAATCGATCAAGTCAAATTCAATGAATATATCAATGAACTCGAATGGGATTTAGTTCAACAAAAGAAACCAATTGAAGTCTGGAAGAAAATACAAGCTATCGGAACGGATTTTAGCCTAGAAGTCAATTGTGACTTAGTCGTTAGTGTCATTGAACTCATCTGTCGAATATCTTCACAAGGTAAAAACATTAGCATAACGTATCAAACGAAATCATTGAATTTTTCAGGTACAATCCTCGTATTCCTTCCTGGTTGGAATGATATTGTCAAATGTACACAGTTACTTCGTCAACGAGCACTGTTGGCATCTTATTTGCACATCTTACCTTTGCATAGCTTGCTGCCAATTCATAATCAACATGAAATATTTGATTTACCACCTCATCCAAGTCTTCGGAAAGTAATTCTATCAACATCGATTGCGGAAACATCGATTACTATTGATGATGTTATATATGTTGTTGACACGGGACGAACAAAAGCAAGTGATTATGATCTGGAGACTCAGGGCAAATGTCTTTTACCAACGAATGTATCACGTGCAAATCTCCTTCAACGAAAAGGTTTGAATTCAACTGATAACCTGGTGAATTTCGCATTCAGATTTTTCTTTTCAGGACGAGCAGGTCGAACTCAACCTGGCGAATGTTTTCGTTTGTTTACTCGTTGCAATCAACGCATGTCATTCATTGATTTTCCTCTAGCAGAGATGATCACCTCACGTTTGGATAATATTTATCTTCAAGCAAAACTATTGAATATAAAAGCTGTCAAAACATTCCTTCAAGATGCACTTGATCCGCCATCAGCTGAAGCTATTGAACATGCTGAACAATTTCTGTACGATATCGGAGCATTAATCTCTCCAACAAATGAACTGACGCCAATTGGAAGAATACTTGCGCAGTATGAGAAAATAGCTTTGCACGAAAACTTAAATTCGTTCTTTTTTAGTTTACCTTTGTCACCACAAATAGGAAAACTGTTGATATTCGGTTACTTATTTTCGTGTTTTAACCCAATCTTAACAATCGCATCGGTGTTAAGCTATCGGGATCCGTAAGACAAAATCTTCTTAATTGATCTCAACTTGAATTTATTCACATCTTGTAGCTTCGTTAGTCCAATTGATAAAACAAAAGAGATAAATGAAGTACGTCGTCGTTTTGCCGAGAATACCATGTCCGATCATTTGATGATCGTAAATGTCTATGAACAATGGAAAGCTCAACGAAACTATCGTGCTAAAAATCAATTTTGTTTCGAAAATTTTCTCAATTCAAATCACATGAAAATGATTGATAAAGTTCGTAATCAACTACAACATCTTATACAAGATTATTTCGCTTCCTATACAGGTAAACTTTATTCAACTTGACAAATACAGCTCAGATAACATTCTATCTAGGTGATGCAAATCGAAATCAACATAATCAGCATTTGATATGTGCGCTAATGTGTGCTGGACTGTATCCAAACATAGCCCGTATTCATTTGTCAACTGATAAATCATCGAAGCGGCCATGTCTGTTAGAAACTAAATTTGAAAAACGAGTTTTGATACATCCGAAATCAATCAATGCGAAATTAAAGGTAAATCTTACTTTTCAAAATGTCTGTCAGAAGTATTTATACGTGTTCTAAATGATTCTGTTAGGATATTGATATTCGTCAATCGTCAATTCAATCGACTTTAGTTGTCTATTATGAAAAAATTCGTACTTCGGGTATATACATTCATGATGTAAGTTTTATCTCTCCCTACGCGTTGCTCTTCTTTGGTAAAACTCAAACATCGGCTGAAAACTCGACGATAAAATCCAACGATAGTCTTCTAGTGGATAACTGGATTGAAATTAATATTGATAATGAAACGAATAAGTTGATCTATGGATTGAAAGATAAATTCAATTATTTGTTGGAGAGAAAGGCAATGGAGAAAAATGTTTTTCTTGAAAATGAACAAGAATTACTCGAAACGATTGTTCATTTTATCACGAAACAAGATCGAAATTTAGTACTACAAAACAAATTAATCGATGACTATGATAAAACGACACTTGTATATGAAGATTGGGATAACGAAACTAAAGACTAATCGTTAAAACAAACCGCCGTCTTTCATTCACTTTCTAATTCTCAATGTTGTTTGTCTTTTATTTTCATTTTTCAGATAAATACTTAATTCGTTAACAATGTTTCATTTTTCTATTCGGACAATGTAATGTCGGATAATCCAATGGAGCCAATGCCACCGGTGCGACTAAATCAACAACGACCAACATTCGCAGTCGACGGTGATACGATGGAAAGGCTTTTCCAAGCTTTATTCTATCGAATCGCTGTACTCTATGCACGAACAATTCCAAAACACATTCGCCGATTAGGTGAAAGCGCTATCTTAGTCATGGTAAGGTTCACACTTTGTTTTCAACCAAACTCCGAGGTCAGGATAGAATTTAACAAGTACCGGTTTTCATCAAAGGAACTTTCCGCTCTAATCTATGTAACTTTCAACATTGAGGATTTGCGCTACTAGCAGAAACTGATATATCGATAAACGAAAATCTCGCTTTTCGCTTGCTTATCGTAAGTTGTTTTAGGCAATTAGTTGTCTGGCCTTAGTTGTATATTTACATATTGTGTTTAATCAACAACCAATCAGTTGTCTGTCTTATTTGCATAACAATTGGCCAAGACAAGGTGTACTTCGTATTGAGTTGTTTTTTGAAGCACCACCAGAAGATTACGATCTTCAACAATCGTATGCCAAAGAATTTCAGCAATTATCGACAAAACAGAACTATTCAGTAAGATATTTGCATAGAAATTAAACTATATGTGTGAATTTGTCATTTTAGATTCCTCCAATTTCGGAACATTCAAATGAATCTAAAGAAATATATTCAAATATGAGTATCAAATCGTCTCTATTAACCGAAATCGATGAGAAATTCTTTGAAAATGAAACAGCACAATTAATCGATGTGAACTCTGCATCTGATACTCGACCAAACGATTCACTACTCGACACATTCTATCATTACGTATTCGATTACAATTGGTTAAAAGAATTGTTAGATGAAGAACATTATATTCTCGAGTATTCATTAGAATACGGATTTTTACGTTTATCACCAACAACCAGACAGAGACTAAATGTTGAAGTTCTACTGGTCACTTTAGGTAAAGTATAATAAGTCTGCTTATCGCATTTATCCATACGATATTTTAGATATGACAAATAATACCTGCTTTGGTAGCGGTCTTAATCGGTTTATTCTTGATCAATTTCTTGGTTATCAAGAAATACTGATGTCTAGTATAAAACAGTTAGCAGAGAAAGAAACACACAAAGGTGAGGATGTTCGAAACGTTTTACTTTTTAAACGAGTCACTGAGATATTTTCAGGCTATGTTCGAAATGTCATGACCAATGAACATTTTCGCTTTGTTAGTTCATGGCAAAATCGTCGATGGTGGTCATATTTAGCCACACTTTGTATTATGATTCTCTTTGTAAGCTGAATCAATTTTCTTCTGTCATTCATTCATTACATTCTGTTGATTGTTTTTTAGACGATTAGTATATCAATGCTCCTTCGCTATTCCCATTTTCAGATCTTTCTGTTCATTGGTATGTGATTTTCAGAGAAGAACTTTAGTTTGGAGGAAAATAAATTAATTTGTATGTTTTAGTTGATTTACTACGTATGATTGAACATAACACATCCATTATTTTTCCTGCTGCGCCTTTATTAACAGTTATCTTGGCTTTAATCGGTAAGCAAATCAAGAAAATGACACATATTCTCTAATGAGGAGGTAAAACAGATATATCATCCTGTTTTCATTGTCACTCATCTATTTGCAAAAATCTTGAGGCCACGGTAATTACTACCATCCATTTTTCCATGCAGAAATCAGCAGTACGCAATAAGGAAGTCGTACTATTACCATTAGATGCCACTTCCGCAGTAACGAGCACCAGCTGTTTTTCATTTTTGATCACCGCAGAGAACCCATTTTTACACCAAATTATAATTAGAAGTTGTTTTTGATTAACAGTAACGATACCGATGGATCTTTCATTTCCAGTTATGATAACTAACTACCCGAACCGTTCATTAAGGATGGTTCATTTGGAAAGTGCTGAAATTCACTGACATATGTCCATCAAGAGAATATTTAAAGACGTTCCATACGTTATGAATATTGTTTGAAAAGGGTTTTCAAGGCATCAATATTCTTTTAAAAAAAAGTCGATCCCGTAGTCATTGAAAAAAGTGTTTGCACCACTTTAATTTTATAGGTATGGAAGCGATTATGTCCGAATTCTTCAATGACGCATCTACTGGTGAGTTTTTCTTTGTCATTCTCCTATGAATTTCAATAACAGATATATAAAACTACCCTTCGCTATCTGATTACTGTTTATTTAGCTTTCTATATAATACTTGTTGTTTGGGTATCAGATCAATATGACAGTATTTGTTGTCATACATCAATAAGTAAACGTCATTGGGTTCGGTAGGTTTTCGAGTTTTGACTTTACTGAGAAAAAACATTTGATATCATCTCTTTTTCGTAGATTTTTTTACATATACCACTTCGCATTTTATGTCTATCACACGCGTTACAATGGTCAATATTCAGGCTTAGCATTAATCACAAGTTGCTGTTTTATTCTTCATTCAATGTTATATTTTTTCCATCATTATGAATTGCCTGTGATCGAAACACAACTTGCTCATGTTGTCATTGAACAAAATAATCTCACTCAAGCAACGGAAAGAAATGATGATGAAACATTAGCAGCAACGTAATTCAATTATCGACTTTTCTAACAAATTCAATTCTCCTCTTTTCGTTCAGTGTCTTTTATCCAATGTACATGAGTAAACGATTCCTTTTTATTTTCTTCATATATCTTAGTCATGGCATTCTTCCTTTTCTTTTGTCTGTGTAAAAAAAAACAACGACTGAGCGTGTTGATAAGCATAATACTCTACAGAGTTCATATCGAAACAAATAACAGTTGAAAGGGTTTAGTGTTTTCGGAATCGTCTGATTAACTGTCGAAGACTTGCTCGGAAAGTTATTCCACTGAATGAGTAAAGAAAGAAATTTATGGAATATGATGCATACGCGATTAATTGTGTGAATAAAACAGCAGTGTAAAGCAAATGGATTATTAATTGATCGTTAGTTGTTGATTCTTTTGGCTGATACGATGAGATCATGTTGCTATTTAAAGTGGAATTTTGTATTAAACTGTAATCGTACGAGGAAATGTGTTCACCATCCATTGGTCGATTGTAAATATCGATGTAGACTTTCAAGATAATGACACATAAATGTCCCGGTGCATTTAGTAGTAGGAAGCAGGTGGAAACGAGAACAAGCATTCGTGTAACATGTATAGACTGGGATGTTTTCACTGACAATTGGTCCATGGTCTCATTCTCATTAGATTGAAACGAAGATTTCTTTGATTTTCGATTAAAATAGGAATCGAAAGATATCAGTTTCGGACGATAGAAATATCGTTGTGATTGGACTTTCGTTCGAGATTGACGATTTAATGATACTTCTCCGGAACTAACACGTTCTGATGGCTAAGAATAGATAAAAGTCAAACAGTTATTAGACACGTAGTATACACTTACTGCCGCAACGCATGATTGATTGACACCGTTCGATTCATTCAATTCAATATATTCGTTTCCGTCGTCTTGACTCAATATTGTTGATAATACCGTTGTTGCATTATGTTCAAGTCCGTCCATGTCGTCAGCATTTGCTAATTGTCTTGCTGAAAACAACGAGGTTTCACGAGTCACTGATACATATGAGCGTTTTCGGATATAATTTACAATGAGTGTATTGAAGATTAAAATTAATATAACCGGAATCACAAATGAGAAAAAGGCATCCGCTATGAACCAGTTAAGATATAATTCTTCGAGACAATCTTCATAATTATTATAATACGATATGAGAAAACAAAAAACTGAACTCAAAATGAATATCAGCAGCAGAGAAACAATAGGCGATGAACGGCGTCGAACAGCGGCTTCCAACGGACATCGAATAGCATAGTAACGTTGAATAGTAAACGCGACGGTATAACACGCAGATAATAACTCAGCAAGATGGCTAAGAAACGATACAACCAAACAGATATAATGTGCCTTCAACTTCGTAAGATCATGTATCCCACGAATTAGTAATACTGTGTTGAATAGAAGATCGCTGAGCGCTAAAAGAAAGAGAGAGAGACGTTTATGAAGGTCATATGTGTTGACTTTATTATTCAATTTAATTAGTTCTCAAAGCTTCGAGAAAAATTCATGTGCACCCGTTTGGAAACTTATATGTGATCAAAAAAACATTCAGGAGATTGAATAAATGTAATTCCTTATCTTAAAAATAAAATCCTATCATGTCTTTGCTGATCTAGAATTAAGAGATTTACTACGAAAGCCAAGAACCTACGTACCTAATGCAATTAACGTCCATTTGTTTTTCAAGTTTCTAGTCACGTTTTTTTTTGATAAAAGTATCACAGTTAATGTATTGGTGATAAAACCAACAAAAGTAATAAAAAATATATAAGGATACGTGATACTAACAAGAAAACGATGAATTGCACGAAATTGATAATAATAAGGAGCATAATCTGCCAGCGACGGTGCTAAAGTCGATAAATTAGACATTGCCATTTAAAATTAACGAGACGAGAATCGGTTTAATTGTAGTTGATTATGCTCAATTTTCTTTTCAATGGTTGTCTACAATAAATAACGAGAAACTACTTTCTTTCGTTCTATAACAACGAAACACAAATGTATCAATATGAAAGTAGACGAAAATTGATTAGGCTCTATCTAATACGCGTGTCGTACCTGAGTACGCATATACGAGAGAATAAATGTACTTTTAGCGGTGCTCACAAGGCTCTAAAAATGGAGTATCGCATTCTGTTTTCTGTTTGGAACATGTTCAACTCGAAGTCACGTCGCTAGTACCATTAAAAATACCATTTACTACGAGTGAATTACTAACTAAAATACTAAAACTAGACGTTCTGTTACGAAACCCATGTGAGAAAGAAAATACATATTTTCGGATATGTACCTCCTTATTGATTATGCGACAATTATACCCTTATGTTGCACTATCCTGCGTGGTAATTTTTAGAGATGCAAAATCTTGCCACCGGAAAGATGACACTTTTGGATCAACATTGATATTTGACAAACATCACTTAAGAAAACGAAATGGCTAACGTTTCGCTTACGGAAGATTGTAGATGATAGATACAAATACAAGACAAAATCATCCAGGGAGATGTGTTTGTCTTCTTGGTACATTAGTATTTGCATACATTTTACAGTATAAAGAGGAAAGAATAGACAACAGCAATGATGCTGGAAATTCGGAAAGAAATAATAAGATCAAGCCATTCTATACAAAGTATCGCATCTTAAATCTGCGCTATCGATGGTAGAGACGATAACAACAATGTTGACATATGCGAACTCGAAATACTCAGGTTTGTAATGAAGATTGACTATAGAAAAATGCTCTTACTCTCAGTAAAGTCTGGAACTAGTAACATGTAAAAACTACACTTATCTTAGACAATAGTTACGGTGATTTGTAGTGATAAACATGATGATTTATTCGCAAATCAGAATATAAATGGAATAAGATTTCATGCGTTATCAAAAGTGACATTTTCTTTGAAACTCTATCCATTCATTTTCCTTTCTACTATCCAAATAAGTATAAGAATCGAATGAAGTACTCATTCTCAAGAATAATACATTTATTAATACAGTATAACAATTGACGTGATAATATAAATTATTAAGAACTACAAATCGGTCCTAATTTTGACAGCGTACTTTCTTTATTTAAGAAAAACTTCTTTTCAACTCATGTGAGAACTCTCTTTTCCATTATCTTTCTTTTATACTAACGCAGAAAAAAGTTCTCTAGAGCTTCTATTTTTCCTCATGGCTTCAAATTAATGACAAATGATGTAGAAACCTGTTTACATTAATATGGAGAACGCTGACCTATTGCCGTCGGTTCTCTACGCAACTAACTGACGTTAATCTTATATAAACCGAACACAATCTATACTAATCGATGTTCATGAATATATTGTTTTCAGGTCCTTGTAGACAGTCTTAAAATTCACGCAGTAATCGTTTTCTCTTTCTCTCGTAATTAATCCTGCCTGATCGATCAGAAAGATAAGAAATTGCAAAGAAAAGCTATATATTTTATTTAGGACTTTCCCAAATTTTAGACAAAGTCCTTTTTTTCTCACTTCAAACGAGCATCATGCTTTACCTACGCACATCTATAAGCTGTTTAAATATACTACTGGTTGTGATGATACCAATGCGATCTAACAGATAAAGTATGAAGTTGGCACCATTTACCTAGCGCAAGAAAACAAAAAAATCATGCACAAACTTATGTTCAAAGGAATTTCCATTCATGAAAATGAACTCACTCGACGCAGAACTTAATTCTGCATCTGATGGTGATATTTTTTATTAACGGGAGAACGACCGAGAAAATTATATATATCTTTCTATACGTTGGTGCATAGAAGGAAAAAATCTAGATGAAATTTTCCCGATCGTTCTCCCGTTAATAAAAAATATCATCATTAGGTGCAGAATTAAATTCTGCGTCGAGTAAACTCATTCTCATAAACGGGAAGTCATTTGAACAGAAGTTTTTGTATGATTTTTTTTGTTTTCTGACGCTAGCTAAATGATGCTAGATTCACACTGATGTGTGCGAACACTATAAACTGTGCTGCTGATTTTCTTCGTAGAGCTTGTATGGACTTCCTCAATCAGCATTTTTTCCTATTGCCTACAAACATAAGGGATTTTTTTTATTAACTATGTATATTTATAATTTGCGCAATAAATTTTAATAAAAATAGCGAGCAAGTAGAATCATGGCTACACTCCAGCACTGATTGAAATCAGATACGAGTTTCTTTTCTCTTTTGAAGTAACAAGAATCCACAAATCTTTCCTGACGAATAATCTTTTATCTCATCAATCAAGACTATGTCTACAAAAATTTTATTATCTATTTTGTTTGAATAAAACTCTTACATGTTGAGAATAGCAAAAAATCTTGACTAAGAATTAAGAAGATCGAAAACCTGTCAAGACAGACGGGCAGGTTCATTAATGATTGAACGCCTATGTCAAATCAAACCATAGAATATTACATGAGAAGTGAATAAACTGGCCAAGTTTGATAATTAATTAACTTCTAACATTGGGACGATTACCGATGTGTGTGCTGAACACATATTTCTACAAGTAATAAATAAAAATCAAATATAACTACTGTCTATTTCAAAATACACTGTGCTCTGGTATGTTTTGAATAGCTCAAGAACATAATTAGCTAGAGACTTGCGGTTATCACCGATAGATAGAGCAAACCAGGAGAGACAAGTGTCTAAAGACGCCAAGTACTAAATTCCTTTTGAAAGTGTCATTTTTTTAGAGCCTAAAACATAGATGCTATTTTGTGACATGTCAAATTCTTTGTATTGCAAAAGAGATAGAAGAAGCAAGACATATAGGCGATGATGAAGAAATCCTCAATGATAATAGTAGTGATAATGTGTCACTTGATGATTCAGAAAACTCAGATAATAATGATAGTCCGGATGTGAGAGTTCTGCTTATGTATCTCGCTTTTTCTATCTCTTTTGCAATACAAAGAATTTGACATGTCACAAAATAGCATCTATTCTTGAGGGTGTAAAAAAATGACACTTTCAAAGGGAATTTGGTACTTGGCGTCTTTAGAGACTTGTGCCTCTTGACTTGCTTCATCGATCGATGAAAACCCCAGATCTCTAGCTAATTATGTTCTTGAGTTATTCAAAACATACCAGAGCACACTGTATTTTCAAATAGACAGTGGGTAATGTATTATATACGTAGTAGACTCAATAGTAACGCCCGACTAAAATATCTATGTCCCATTTGTCGAACAACTTTCTCGTGGTCTAATAAAATATTACTTGGCGATAGGCTATACAAAAGTCAAAACAGGAAATCAAACTGTCATTGTAAATTACGTTGCTTAGCAAGGTAAACTAATGGTAAAAGAAAAGAAAGATGACTACCTCTCACTTTATCTCTATTCTTAAGAATGACTCTCAACAGAGCAACTTCTCTGTCAATTAATAGTTTGATTAATCAAAGCAAATGTTTACATTCAACTATCAAGAAATTCTATACTAAACTGATTATTCATCTGCACTAAGTACGATGTTGTTTTTCTTCCAACAGTCTTACCAGCATCTAAGCACCCCATACATATATGAAACACGAAAGTGATTTTCTACAGATGTGTCATCCATTTATTTCGTCAGCTGGTAAATTATGTCGTCGCAGTATTAGGGCATTCTATCCTCTCTACTATAACCCAGATGGTTCACCGTCGTCAATTAAAACACGATGTTTTCATATTTTCATGATGAGAAACGACCTGTTAATATAGGATGACACAAGCTCTGAAAAGACATCAATGGCACACAAATACGGAAATGATATAGATTAACGCTTGGTAGGAAAAACGGTGTGAGACGATCAATAAAAAAGTATATGTAAGACTCGCTTCTGTAAATATAGAAATACTGTATATAAATATACAAAACAATCAACTCAGAGAAGAAAAACAAATTTAGCCGCATTGTGAGGCTCAACAAACTGTAAAATCACAGAAATATTGGCAAAAGGAAATGAAAAATACAGGCGCCCGAGTTGCAAATTGAGATTTAACCACAGGGCATTACAAATCATGGATGGAAATGAAAGAACGATGCAAAATAAATATGATCAAATAAATCTGGTGATGTCTTTTCAACTAGTATAAGTGATTTGAAATTCACATGATGACTGTTATCTAAACTATTCAGCAGGGAGCAATATACTAGTAATATTTTCTTTTCAATACCGATGAGAATCAATGTGGTATTCGTCAAACATCAAACATGAGACTCTAATTTTCAGCTTTGTTATTTTTCCTTTTGTACTTTTTTCTTGTATTATGTTCTTCGTCCACATCGGCATCGGGAAAGGTATATAAATAAATGCCGTCCCAATAGCTTTTACATGACAGGAGCGAATCAGTCGTTTGTTCTGAGCGCACCTAATCTTGCACTAGTTGATATATGTCGCCATCTACTAGTTGTATTCTGCTGATTGGTAAACAGAATGAGCCAATGAAATAGGAAGTTGATTGTTTTCTTTTTCCTTCTACACATAAATTGCTTACTTGATGAAGACAAAAATTCTTACGTCATTTATTTTTCTTTTTTCCAGATTTCAAAATTCACCTTCTTTCTCGCGTATTCTCATATAAGCAGGTCTCTAGTTGACAGTTAACGTCATAAATACCGAGCAACTAATCAAAACACAAGAGATACAATGCCGAAAAATAAAGGAAAAGGTGGAAAGAATCGTCGTCGGGGCAAAAATGAAAATGACGATGTCAAACGTGAATTAATTCTCAAAGAAGAAGGACAAGCTTATGCACAAGTGACGCGTATATTGGGGAATGGTCATTTAGAAGCGTTCTGCTTCGATACAACTGGAGGAAAGAAACGTCTCTGTCATATTCGTGGAAAATTACGCAAGAAACAATGGATTAATCAAGGTGATGTCATTCTTATTGGCTTACGTAGTTATCAAGATGACAAAGCCGATGTTATTATGAGATATCTCGGTAAGATGGCATTGAAATGAATAGTAACGATTGAGAATAGATTCTTTTTAGCCGATGAAGCACGAGAGCTAAAACGAATGCATCAAATTCCGGAAAATATCAATATTGCCGAATCCACAACCAACAATACAGAAGGACTAGATGACGTTATCTTCGATGAACGCCATAATGACGAGGAATCTGACGAGGAAGACGATGGTTTACCACGAAATCTGAATGGGCGAGGAACTGGAAATAATGACAGTTTGTCTGAGGAAGAGTCTAATGGAGAGGATGATGATGGACAAGACTATTATAATCCAAATCGAATGCCGATGAAGACAGGCAACCTGAATGCACGAAATTTGATAGGCACGAAAAAAGAGTCAGGCAAAGGTGCACGAAACGATCGGCGGCAAGCGCTCTCTGGTTCAGATTCGGAAGGACATGATGACTTAGCACATATTTAATAGATTGAATTATGTTTTGTGAGAGAGGACGAAAAGATAACTATTCATTCTTTTTTTTCTTGTCTGTCTCCTATTTCTTATTTTTCGTTCACCGATAAATCATATACACGTTTTTTATCAATAAATCCATAAATAATGAAAAAAAGTCATGTATATATTAAACATCCTGGGTTGATTCATTCGCAAGCATTCATCTACTTACCTAATTGTCGATTCAGCTTGAAAAGCATTATAATTATCATAATAAATGTCACAGTCTCACCCTTCTGTCATATCTGAGTTTGCAGATTTGCCCTATCGCAAAAGGTTAGTCGTTGAAAATCTTCTTGGATATTTTATCACTATGGTTCCCGATAAGCGAGGGGGGTTGGGGGTCTAGCTCTCCCGCCTCCTCCCAAAATAAAGTTGTTTCTGCCACATTTTTTAACGCTGATAACATTTGCAATCTTCGATCAGAGTGCAAATGTATGAAACTATACTGAATTTCCACTTTTTTGTCGTAAATTAACATTGATTATGTTAAATTCTAATTAAGTAGAGTATTTATAAGAAAGTCGATGACTCTTCTTTACTATTTCTGCCGAAATCTCCAATAGTTTTTCCTCATTATTTCTGCTGAAAACTCAATGACTTTTCATTAGTGTTTCTGGCAGAAAGACTTTCTGGCAAAACTTAGGCCCCCTACTACTTTCAAAAATAATCGAGAACCATGTTTGCCACAACGACAACATCAGACGAAATTTGGGATAAATATGTATCATTGTTACTGTTATTTCATCCTAACATTAAGGAGTGCCGGATAAGAACGTAACGATGTGTGTACATATACATTCCTGTGATTTGGATCGTGTCGTATTGCAACCGATTGAATCTTTTATGTACATCATAAAGTCGAACAGATATGTCATTGGATTAGACAGATCGTGAATGAGATAATTTAATCTTTTTATTCGATTTATACACATAAAAGTACTGACAAGACATGAATGACTAAAAATAGCTAAAAACGTAAATTCAAATTCAGATCAGATAATTTCATATCTTTGATTTTCTGCGGTAAATTCATTTCTTTAATAGCCGTCATTGCTTTGTTGGGCGCCGCAGATATTCCCGCTTCTTGTTTCTCCAGTTTGCTCTGCTCATCGATACGTGCCACGATTTCATTCATACTCGTTTCTAAAACCATTCCTCCGAGGCAAAGTTCTTGAAGAATAAAATGAACTTTGTCTGCATGGAATATCAGATCAAGTTCGCAAACGTTCTACAAAGAAAAATATGTGAAAATACTCTAAAAAACGATTATTAATTACCTCAAAGCATTTATCAAGTGTTTCAACGAATACTTGAATTAAATCTAAAATTCCCAATTCACTTTCGGAACTATCTACACAAAATATAAAATATAACGTCGCATAGTGCCGATAGATTAGACGATAATCATTGCCACCAATCAATGAGCCACCTTCAAGAAAATTACACACATTGTCATCTCGTTTCGATACCAATTGATACGTTTCTCGAACGATTTGTTGTTGAATCTCTTCGGAATAATGCTCATAGAATTTGATCAGTCTCGGTTTAGCGGAATTGTTAAACACAAGAATTGCCTTAATCATTCTTTTTTGATATCTAAAAGAAAATCAACGAGAAAAACAAATCATACATTTTCTTTTTGTTTCATTTCGTTTCCTTTCTACTTAGTCAGCCTTCGCTGGTAGCAAGGTAAGCACAACAAATATTTAATGACTACATGGGCACTGAAGCAGAACATAAATGAGAAATACTATCATATACGTTTGGGGAAAAAACGAAACGTATGGTAAACGGAGAAATGGGTGGTAAAACAAGTAAAAAATTATCAAATCAGGAAGTTCAACGTTTTGTTCAACAAACTCAATTGCAACCTTATGTTATTCAGCAAATCTACGATGCATTTATTGATCGTGCAGGTAGAAATGGACGGTAAGAAAATTTCGAAGGAGAGACAAGAAAAACAATGGACTTGTTTCCGATTTTAGAATGAATGTGGCCGAATTCAAACAAGCGTACAATCAAATCAAACCAAACTATGATCCGTATAACATCTATGGAAATGATATGGAAGCAGAACGTATGTTTATTAGATGTTTCTACTCTCAGAGATTGATTGATTATTTCTAGGAATTTTCATGATGTTTGATGCAGACCGAAATGGTAAGAAAGCGAGCTGGGGGGAAAAACAAACTCTAATTAGGGGAAAAACAAATTGTTTTTTTTTCTCATATAGGTGTGTTGACGTTTGATGAGTTTATTAACGCGTTTATTCAAATTCAAAGAGGTAATATTTCGTCTTACGAATTGATGTTGAAAGAATATTCATTCTAGGAATGGTCTGAAAAATTCAAAACGTCGACACTCCTAAACAATACATCCCGATTGACAGTTCAATTCGATCGTATTCTACAAGATGATCTCCTTTCGATTTTGCATCGATCAATTATATAATTTCAGTGAATTGATTTCTTTTTTTTGCGATATATTTCTTTTCTATAAACATGACCATTGAGTTTAATCAAATTCTTGGTTATTTTCATCGTCATCATCCGGTGGCTGTTGCTGTTGTTGTAATTGATTCTCATCAGTATTCGTAACACCGATATCACGAATGAAATCACGTATACTTTCTTGAAGAGCTTGCAACATACCGACATCATTTTCGGCGGCAGCGGTACCACCACCACCGACAGCACCAGCTTGAGCATCACCAGCCACAAGAAAGTTCTAGAAAATACAAAAACAAAATTCTTTTTATTTTAGATAGTTTAATCATAGTTAACTTACGTCTAAGTTGAAATTCGGTAGGAGCGAGCGCAAAAGCATACCGAAGGAATTGTAGGAATTGTTTACTTGTAAAGTAGGTCTAACAATATTAGATAAAGAGAATGAACTATGTTTATTTTACGAAAATGTGTTGATACCTTTCCGGTCGTTGAAATCCAACGATGGAATCTCGTGGAGGAAAAGGATCAAACGAGTAAAAAGTTCGTCCACCGTCGATATCCTATATGAGAGAACATACTTTTCTACGGTTGTGTTATAGTTAAATACTTACATTTGGCAGAAATCCACGTATTTCATTTGATTCTGACAGAACAATGTGCCGACAAACGTTCATCGGTGTTCGACGATAGGATGTTTCTCGTCTAGGATCGAAGCGAATAATATAGGATATCATATTTTGTGATCTTCTTACGTCTTTGTATAGTTTGTAATGCGATCATCTTGATTTCGTTCGACAATGTCAATAACTTGGTTAACATTGTTTTTCAAAAACTCGAGTTCGTCTTTCTCTTTCCATTCATTCGCCATTCGCACAACATATAGTTGTTGTACGCATTTCAATGCATTTGAATCATGTCGTTCACTATCAGAGAAAAATCGACATTTTTCAACGGCGCGATCAGGTCTAATTGATAATTTGTCAAGCAAATATTTCAATACGGAAGGAAAACGCAACAATGCGTCTTGTAACAATTCATTTGCTTGATCGTAGGATGAGTTGCGAAAGTACGCCAAAGCAACAGAGAAAACATAATTTGGTAAACCACTCAATTGTAATCGTTGATTCTGTTCAATATAAAATCGTATAAGATAACTGTATTCATCTGAGCGTATTGCATAGTAGTCGAATAGAAGGAGAATTGCAAGAGGATCATCGATTGGATCGAGACTAAAATTGGTAATCAGTATAAGTAATGAGCATTTTAGGTTCACAGACTTTACCTCAAGAGTACTTTACAGAACTCCAATGCCGTCCTTGAACAACCACGTTCACCGATATAGATTATGTGTTTAAAAAGGCTAATGAAAAAAGATCGATTTTCTTGGACTCGATATTCCAAACGACATTCACCACGTGTAATCGAAAACAGCGGATGAAATGACTGTTGAAAATTGTACAAAGCACGCTCTAAAACACGTAATCATGGTCAATCTATCTTTCAAATTTCAACAATTTTTATACCAATTAAATCGACAGCGGTTGGTGTATCATCCTGCATTCGACTTACATCGCTTAAATGAATCAATGAATCGATATGATACGGATAGTGACGAAGAATATCCTAGAGAAAAGAAATGATGAAATACCGGAAAGTAGGATATTCGAAACAAACCATGATTCCTTGAAGATCGTGTTGATCAACAAAATCTAAAAATTGGATTTGAATTCGTTGGTAATCTTTGTCATATTCAAATTGGAAATAATTTCCCGTATTAGGCGCAGTTTCATTCAATGGTGCTGACGGTTTCATCAGTAGACCTATACAAGACCAACTGTTTCATCATCATCTTCATTAATTCAACAGCAAGCTTACCAAATTTATGGTACACTGGCCATCCTAATTTTGAAGTAATGAAAGCATTTTGTTTGGCTATCCGAGTGGTCGGTCGTTGTTGCTGTTGTTGAAGGATTTGATAAGCACGGCGACTATAACAAACATGCAAAATAAAGAATATTTTAAATCGCGATGGGGAATCTATGTACCGTTGTGCGGACATATTTGCAAAAGCGGCTTGGGCGGTAGGATTATTCTCACGTTCTATTTGTTCGACAATACTACTTCCGAATTTCTTTTTCATTTCGTTCAAGGGATTCAAAAGACGTGTATCTGTCGAGAATAAATCAGACGTTGTTTCTTTCGATGCTGGTGCTGCTTGAAGTTCATTTGAGACCATGAGAAAATCATCATCGACCTAAAAGGTTAGTTGAGAAAAAGAAATTCAATTTCGTCTTCGTATTTACTTCTTCATTCTTCGGCACTTCTGTATTCTTCTTTTTGCCNGAGTTATTTCCGATTTTATTCATTTTAAATGCACGGGAAATTCGAAGTCGTCATTGGTTGAAAGTGATGCAGATAACTGGATGTCAATTTCAATTAGAATCGAGTATATTCAAATTGAATGATCTATTAGAGATTCCACTGGATAAATATCGAGAAGAGATCGCCGCAGTGTGCTTTTCGGCACAAAAGGAACTGGAATTAGAAACGAAAATGCGAAGTATTGAAGAAGAATGGACAGAACAGATTCTTAGTTTTGAGCCGTACAAAGACTACGGTTCAGTTCTATTGGAAAAGCGCTATGTTGAACATCTGCTCGAACATTTAGAAGACGGTGAAGAAACGTAAGTCTTTTTGATGGATTTTCTTCCTCTCATTCGACTTTTTATCTGAATGTTAGGCTTGCACAAATGTTAACAACACGATATATTGAACCGATGCGTGAAGAAGTTGCCTCTTGGTCGGATAAGTTGAAGACCATTGGAGAAATTCTTGAACTTTGGCTTGAAGTGCAAGATATGTGGTTAGGAGCTGAGAGCATATTCAACAATCCATCAGCAGGAAAAGATATTTCATTAGAATCGAAACGATTCGTGCGTGTCGATAAAACTTGGTTGAAAACACAACGGCAATCAGCGGAAATTCGAAATGTTTTACAATGTTGTTTAAGTGAGCCACCGAAGAAAGGTATTCTCAGAGAAATGCAAAAAGAATTAGAAATATGTAATAAATCCATTGCATTATATTTGGATCGGAAACGTCAACTATTTCCTCGATTTTATTTTCTTACCGATCGAACATTGATTTCCCTATTAAGTCGACAAGACACAATTAGTTACATAAAGCCACATCTTCGTTCGTTGTTTAACGGTATCGATGATTTGAAAATAGCTGTGACTACTCTTGACCAACCAAAAGCCGAAAGTGGACGACGAGTAAGATCTGTATTTATTCTTCCAGAAAACTGTTCGGTTTATTTTGGTATAGAGTGCAGCGAATAATGGTGATTCGCGTTCTCATATCGATATCACTCTTTTAAGTCAACATGATATCGAACAAGTTCTAAGTGATGATGGCGAATGTCTGCAATTGATGCACACGGTTTCATTGCGAAAATCTGTTGAACAATGGCTTGCCCAATTACAAGAAACAGTTGCAGATACGATTCGAAACGATGTTGCTTCGTGTATCAAAGACATCGATACTGGTTTACCGTTCGACGAGCTTGTTTCGAAAGTATGACTTTTTCAGCAATAAATCATCACTATTTGATCGTTTGACTTTGTAGTACACATGTCAAGTAACATTAGTAGGCTTATTATATGCCTGGACACGTGAAATTGAGACGGGTATGATCGATTCGAAAACTGATCGAAAGGGTCTACAAGCAGCATCGAAACGATTCTTAACATCAATTCAAAAGATGTCGTCCGTACTAACACGATCACAATGGAAAACGCCAACGCAACCGGTTTTACCTATACATAAACTACGTTTAGAAGGAGTTCTATCGGTAAGTTTTTGTCAGATTTCATAAACTCTCGCTCATAAATTCTTCTTTGCTGAAATAGTTCGTTGCTTATTTACGTGATAATATCGAAGTTGTCTGTTCACGACGTCGCGATTTATCTGCCAAAGATTTCGATTGGCGGCGATGTTTTCGCGTGTACCAAGTAACATCATCATCGCCATTTCAGAAAGCCGAACGAAAATCGATCGATAGTAATGCCGTGGCAACACCTGCACCTGCTGAACCAGTTCGAATGCAAGTGTTAGATGATGTTTTTACTTATGGTAGTGAATTCTATGGTGTTCATCAAACGCTATGTATCACACCGACAACAGAAAAATGTTTTCTTAGCATATGGGTTGCACTGTCATTTAAACGACCTGTACTTTTGCAAGGCAAAGCAGCAGTTGGGAAAATGTATACAATAACGGTACTTTCGCGATGGAATTTGTTGTAATTGAGAAGTCAAATCTTTATTTTGTTAGAGTTTGGCTCGTTTTCTCGGCCGATTTATCGCTACTTTCGAGTGTTCTCAACATGTTGATCCATCTGCCGTGGCTATGTTTATCACCGGGTTGGCGACGGTAAGTGTTTGTACTGCTATCGATTCTTATCAAGAATCATCTGCGCATTTCAGGATGGTTGCTGGGGAGTCTTTCATAATATTCATACTCTATCTGCAAATGTTCTATCGCCACTGGCGGAATACGTCACAGTTGTCTGTGATTCGCTTCGAGCAAATAATCCATCGGCTACGATTATTTCTGAAAACAGAGAGGTTTGTTTTCATTGAACAACCTAATAAAAGTGCTATCTCTTCAATCTTACAGATCGCAATTCAACCATTGATAGGGATCATGGCAACCAGAAATCCATATGCTATTGATCCTAACAATGACCATCGTATGGCCTTATCATCTGAAATACGTTCTCGGTTTCGTATTGTTTCATTGGTTAAACCTGAACTTGACCAAATTTTCCGCATCAAATGTTTCGAACATAACCTAAAGAATCCGAATAATATCGCAGAAAAAATCTCGCTTCTTTACGAATCTATGCGTCTATATTTGTAAGGCATTCTCAATCAGAATTCTTTCTTCTTATTCAATTTCAATCTGTTTAGACCCATTGAGCAGCGTTCAATAATATCCTTAACATCTTTTCTCGATCTACTTCAGTACGTTAATAATCTTAAAAAGCGCAGTAATTCAAGACCAAACAGTATGACATCCAGCGGAAATAAAATCGATGGTACGAATCAGTTTTTACTCATGCAGTTTCGAACAAATCCATTTTCTATTGTAGAAGTTCGACGATCTCTAACAATCAAAACAACATCGTACACCGGCACTAAATCAGATCAGTTCCTTCTAGCTCAGCTGTTCATTGACGTCATCGGTGCTCGATTAGATCCCGAGGTATGAAAGTTTCCCACGGTATCTTGGTACAGTGTTTCGTCTTTTAGCATGCGAAGACTTTCCGTGTATTCGTTCTCGATATCTTCGTTGGACGTGACGAAGCGAAGCTGGCCGCAATGAATACCACTGGGGCAATCTTAGAGAAAATTATCAGTGACAAAGCACCAGATCATGATTTCATTCCTAAAAAACTTTGGATAGCTAAATGCACGCAAATGATTCACGCAGCGAACGTTTCGAAAAGTTCGTCGAAATTTCATATTGAAACTTGTAATCAATCGTTGCTTTAGATATGATACTATGTGGCTCGCCCTATAGTGGTAAATCCAGCGCAGCAATGTTGATGATCGATGTTCTAACACAAATGCAACAACAGCAACAATTACTATCCGCATATCAACAACAAAAATCAGGCTCAATCAGTCAAGAAGCCAATTATACACAAGAAGCAGCTGGGCAAACCCATAAACTTTATCGGTAAAGATTTTCTCGGTTTTATGTTGATTAGGACATACCAGCATATTGTTTTTCGTCGATAGAATCAATCCATTAGCTATTGAATCGGAAAGCATCCTCCTTGGCGACTATTCCTTAGCTAATGAATGGCAAGATGGTATTCTGACTACGATGTTACGCAAAGCGAACCGAGTAAAGTACCGAAGGAAGAAAAGCAAATTCAAGATGTTTAATTTCGAATAGAATTGCCACAAGAGTTGGTTTTGTTTCGATGGAGTTATCAGTCGAACATGGGCAGATCTACTTCCATCAATACTGGAGAAAGAAGCATCATTACAAATACGTACGGGAGATAAATTATACCTTCTCGATCAAGTGAAGTTTATGTTTGAAACATCCGAGTTAACCGATGCATCGCCAGCATTTATTGCGAATTCAGTAAGGTGAACTTTTGTCTCGTTTATAAATCGTCGGACTTTCTTTCCAGGCAGTCATCTACTTCGATAAGTCCGTTATTGATTGGAAAGTTCTTGCTGGTGCTTGGTTGAAAGATCGACGTCAATTAGAAGTTCGCCTCACAAAAAGAGAGTCCTTCTCTACAAACTATTCGTATGTTTTTCTAGTGTCTTCGAGGAGCATTCGACCGAGTGATGGATCCCGTGTTAACGTACCTTCGCGAAGAATGTCCAAGGTAATGAAAACGATTATGAATGAACGTCTGTCTGTCTGAAAACTTTCAGCGTGTCTTTTTCTTATCAGGTCAATTTATTATTCGGAAATGAGCTTATTCGCCATCGCACTTCGCTTATTGGATGCAATCTTGCTTGAAAACACTCATATTACAACTGATGTTCACATCGAACGCTTCTTTATTTTCTGTTTGACATTTGTCTTGAAAATTATACTTAATCCTGATGAACAAAAAGGTTATTCAGATTTGTTGAAGACTGTAACAGCTGTTCTACCAGACGATGATCGCGAAATATCAGTCTTTGATTATTATGTTGATGAAGCTTGTGAATGGGACCTTTGGACTGCGAAGTAAACATTACAAAACATTCAGTCAGACCACATTTGATTTCGTTTGTTTTTTGCGTTAGAGTTGAAGAATTAAATGAAAATATTCAAGATCGTATCGATATATTCGGTAATGTTCTTGTGCAAACAGTTGACTTAGCCCGTGCGCATTACTTTTTGAAATATGCTGCATTGGCGCAAGTTAATATTTTACTTAGCGGAACAACTGGATCGTGTAAAACATTTCTCCTCGATACGTTTCTCAGTGGTTTAGGTTTGTCTTGGAAATCAAATCGATTGTTAATAAGAAGACCGAGTGAATTTGTATTTAGATGCTACCCATTTTCAAACGGCTCGAACCAATTTTTCCAAGTCAACTAATTCAGCCGATCTACAAAAGATTATCGAAGCCAATGTTGTCCATCGACAAGGCTTTACATATGGAGCTCCACTAGCCAAGAAGCTCTGCTTATTCATTGATGATTTACAAGCATCGGCCACAGCCAAATTAGATAAATTCAAAAATGCACCTGAAGTAAATCATTCACACTCAGTTTTCCTTTGTATCAACTAACCTTTCTCCATTATAGTTTCTTCGTACTCTCATCGATCATCATCAATTCATAACACAACAGAAACCATACGAAACACGTATTATTGATGATCTTTTCGTTTTTGCCACAGCTACCATTCCACCCACCGGTGAACAGTCATTGCTAACCCAGAGTCCGCGATTATTGGTATGTGACATAAATGAGCAATGAATTTGGATTTCGGTTCCTTTTTTTTCAGCGCCATTTTGTAATTGTGAATCTACCAGCATCGGAAGCATCACTTCGCCATATACTGACAAATGTCATCGATGTAATTATATTTCAAAAGTATTGAATGAAATGTTTGTTTATAAATTTAGGTGAATATGATGAGTTATGGCAAAACACCAGTCGATCATGATATTTCTACGAAAATCGTCGATGTTCTCATGGATACACTTCGACACATTCAACGTGTTCTTCAGCCGAGTTCCGTACCTGGAAGAGAACACTATCTATTTTCTTTACGAAATATGCTAACGTCGATACAAAGCTTGCGGCTGATTGATGTCGACTTGAGAAATGATAAGAATTTTGTTGCACCATTTCTTAAACATGAATTATTTCGAATAATTTACGATCAACTTACAAGAGAAATGGATCAGTATTGGTTTATTGATACATTGAATGAAGTCTTTCGAAGTGTAAGAACGTTAAAGTAAAGGGAATATAACTAAATTGTGCTTCTTTCGTTCGAATAGACATTTGGTTGGACAAAAAGTGAAGAGGATCTTCGATATATAACATTTCAAATCGATGGAAGAAGTTATGAGCGACCACTAACATCGTTGGTTGTCAAAGAGATCAAAGTAAAGAGATGAAAACATGCATAAAAATAAATGCGCTTCGTTTGTTTTCGGTAGACTCAAGTTCAACCAATGGAATCTTTGAGTGCACTTCGTAAAATAATTGATCAAGCGGCTTTGCGCTATAAGGAAGAGCTCGGACATAATACATCGGCATTGACTGTTTCCGAAAATACAGCTTTACATATTATACGCATGCACCGTATCCTTTCTCATCCGACTTTGTAAGTTTTGGATTTGATTTTGCGTAAAAAGTTGTTGTTGCTGATTTATTTCAGGAGCAATCTGTTTGTTATTGGTACGGTTGGCTCGCATTTATCAAAATTGGTTCGATTAGCGTTCTATTTCGCTGAAATTCAAGAATATACAATTGATTATTCAAATAAGAGCCTTTTTTACGATAGTCTGAAGGCTGTGATTCGCACTGCATCCGTCGAAGGACGACACATTGGTGTTCTACTTACAGTACGAATCTTTTTATAACGACACATGTTTAGTTCTCTCATATATCTTGTATTCGTAGTACAAACACTTACGTGATCCAGACATCATCGATGATATCTCATCTTTATTGACAAGCGGTGAATGTCCACATCTTTTCAGCGGAGATGAACTAGAAGGACTTTATCAGGTTTGAGTTTATTCTTTTCTACAACATACAAGAATCTATTGGAATATTTTAGGCGGTGATCAATGCATATCAACGTGATCATGATGTGTCGATTGCTGTGCTAACTGATCCACGACGATGCTTTCTTACTCGTGTTCGTCAAAATCTTCATGTAGCTATATGTTTGCCATCACATAGTGAACTACTGAAGAATCTCTCCTAGTAAATTAACCTCATTCTTTTACAATACTTTTCAATCGAAACTCTCTTTAGTGAATATCCGGGTTTGCTCAAACATACTCAAGTTTACTGGATAAAGAATTGGACGAAAGCAGCACTAAACACTGAAGCATCTCATTTTCTTTCGTCACATGAAACTCTCTTCTCCGATGATCTTCATCAGCGTTTATCTCAATGTCTTTGTGACATCCATTATTTTATGCTTGATGAATCTCGACAAGTTCCTTTTGTTGGCAGTACAGATCGAACGATAATCATTCGGGAGAATCCAGTGAGTCAAAACCACCCGTTAACAAGTCGATCAACATCGTCCCGCGAACAAGTTTCTACGAAAAAAAATGTGAATAGAGAAGTGAAAATCGTTGATATTGAGCTACCGAATTATCCGTATTCGCGAATGCTTTTACACGAACAAATTAAAAATCATGCAGCAGGAAAACCTTTTACTACATCGCCACTTCATACATTTATTGGACCGGAAACATTTACACGTTTTATGCAATCGTTTTGGTATCTATTTACTTCGAAAGCAGCTGTCTGTGAACGTGACATCATTCGTTTAAGAAAGGTACTCAGCACTTTGAGTAAAACTCGACAGAATGCCGAAGAAATGAAAGAATATATTCAACAATTAAAAGACCGATGTGTAGATAGTGAAAAGGAAACCGCTGTTCTCTTAGAAGAAGTTATCTACAAATCGATGGTTTTGGAAAAACTACGCGCGAAGTACGCTCTACCAGGATGTTTACCAGGTTATGTTTATCGCGATGAAAAAGAAGATTTAAGTTTGCCCGATGGCGACAAAAAAACACTTTTGGAAGGTACAGTACCAACGATTTATATTCTGATGACACTTTTGTGATTTAGATGAAGCTGATGAATATGAGGAAGCATTCAAGAGAATGAAAGACGATTCATTACGATCGCGGCAAGTGAAAATGCAAGAAGAACATGACGAAGCAGTACGAGAAGTTGAACAATGGCGTGAAAAATTAGCAGAGAAACGTAAAGAGGTCGAATATTGGAAGAGTAAAGTTGATAAATCGTGTATTGAACGTATTCGGACATTTCAAACACCGCCGATTCTTATTGGAACCATTATGGAGATGGGTAAATCGCATTTTCGACTCTCTCTCTCTCTCGAATACTATCGACATTTTTAGTTCTAATATTGATTGCTCGAAAGCCTCCTGTTCGTTTTGAACAACGCGAACAAGAACGTGAACGAGGTGAGGATTTGATTGAAGATCGTAGTGTGAGATTTGAGAAAGCGAATTATTTTTAGGAAAACTACAAGCCGAACGTCTTGATCGACATCAATGGAAACAATACACAGCACATATGGCTGATATCGCTAAATTTGTGGATATATTGCATGGCTTAGATTGGCAAGACGGTCTCAATCTCGATATTTCAAACGGTAAATAAATTCTTGAATAAAACTTAACATAAATAGATGCTCTCTCTATCCAGCGGTGGAATCGTACATTGCCAAAGGAAAGGATGGAATATCAGATGGAATTACGGGTGAAGGTACTCTATTAGAAAACGCCAAAAGTGTGTATTCTAGATGAAAATAATCTTCGATTTGCAAGCTACATGTTTTTCTTTCTATTGATAGATTTTCATGTGCCTCCTACACGTGCAACTGCAGCACAAGAGAATCGTATAACTTTAGGAGCTGCTCGTTATGCTTCGGAAGAAGCTGCAATACTCGTTCATTATGCTATCGCTTTAGTGGAATATACAAAAATCTGTCAACCGTTACGATTGACGAAAGAGAAAGTCGAACAACTCAAACAAGAGCTGATTGAAGCCGAGGAAAAACGAATCGAACGAGAATCTGAAGTTTGTTGTCACTACTTTCTTGATATCAAAATCAATTGATGCTCATATAGATTCAACGACTGAAACTCATGGAAGAAACACTTCATAACGCCGATGTCAGTGAAGAAGATAATCGTCTAGTTGACATATCGCAATACACAATGGATGATATATCACGTTTAACTAGTCAATTAGAAGAGGCGCAAACACGTTTTGACGCTGCAGCAGTTAATAAAAACAAACTAAGAAAAGAATACGAAAGTTGTCAATCACGTTTACAAGCAGCATTAAATGTTACACAGAGGTAAATACCGAAATATTCGAAAAGAATTCTCATCGATTGATATTTGAATATCAGTTTGTACGAATTAGAACTATTTGATATTAGACCATTTAAACAGTAAGACGACCTGTTCCCTCTCTGTTTCGTCGATACTTTCTTTTGCATGTTTGCCTCTGTTCATATCGTATTGACTTTTGTATATATGTGCTCAAATGATATGTTATTTTCATGTTTACAGACGAGACCAATCCGCTCGGCCACTCGATGAGAGCGTCTGGTAAAGAGAATTGATATTTTCAAAAACCCAACGAGATTTCATAGACTCTAACATCACCTTCAGTTGACCATGTTCACTACTATCAAAAGAGTGACGGTTTTACTGAAGCGAAAGTTTACTTTCGAATCACGGAATTAACTGAGCTTTTTTCCTTGTAGTTTATCTGATTTGGAAGATCAATGGACGAAATGGATTACAGAACATTCCACACACGATCAAACCTTAACGAATTGTATATTAGCTGCAGCCTATATGACGTATTGTTCTTCATTAGACGCTGATTTGAGACGTATTTTCAGTGAGAAATTCACGAAGTTCTGTGAACAGTATGAAATTCCTCGCGAATCGGATTTGATTTTTCAAGTAAGTCGTACGATTTGCCTAAAAGGAAAAAAGGTCTCCACTTTTCTCTTTGAATAGTCAGTTCCAATGGATAGCGTTTCGAAGAATAGCTTCGATCTCTCATTTTCCATGATCAATCAATCGTTAGATTCCACGAACAATACTTGTCGCAGTAATCAAGTGATGACATTGGCAGAATTTCTATACAATCCGATTGAACTGAAAGAGTTTCAATTACTCCGCCTCATTCCAACTGATATTATTACCGAAAATGGCTGTGTAATCATGGCAGACGCAGGTATCAATGCTTGGCCACTTATATATGATGCCACATGGTACTCTATCGATTATATTCGCTTATTTTCAAAGAACAAGAAACTATTGATCGTTCGACATCATGTATAACATTCTCCTCTTGTTTTCATTGGTTAAGTTGAGTTATTTTCGTTTAGCAACTACGTACACAATTAGAAAATGCTCTTTCGGAAGGCCACCATTTGCTCATAACTGATTGCGACACGAATACTTTGATGAACAATGAAAAACTCGAAACAGTTATTCGAAATCAAGCACGATTTTTCTCGAGCGAGAAACCATTCAAATTACAATTGGGCCAACAAGAAATCGAATGTAGCCCTAAATTCCGGTTTGTTAACAAATGAATGTTCATTCTCTTTGTATTCATGTTGTATGTTTATAATAGACTTTATTTGCATACAATAACACAACCGGTATTCATTCCGAAGGAATTGGCTGCTTACACATTGATCTTGAATTATCACTTGACGCTGAATGATCTGGAAGAAATCTTTTTGAGTCGATTTATGGTCAAAGAAAAACCACATATCGATGCTGAACAGCATACACTGTTACAGGTTCGTCTCACTTTTAAACCTCATTCTTACGTCATCGGCAGAGTTTTGTTTAGGAAAAAGTCGATACGTTGAAAATTATTGATCCATTACGACAGAATATTACGAATTATCTGGCATCAGATACGATCAATCTATTACAAAGTGTCGAACCAACAAAACGCTTGTCCGACTTGAAGAAAGCGTATGACGAAGCTATTGAAGGGTATTGATTGATTTTTTAAAACAAAAAGATCTAAATTGCATTCTTTTTCATCTGAAGATCGAAGCGAGTGGCGTTACAAGAAGAGAGTTTATTCAAAACTCGAAACAGCTATCGAAGATTAGCTTTACGTGCTGCCACATGCTATAACACCCTACATTATTTACAGCAACTCACTCCGGAATATGTGATGCCACTAGAACATTTTCTCGATTTGTTTGATAGTTGCATCTTCCAATCTGAAAAGTACGTGAAAATCTCTTCGTTTTCAAACTGTCAAAAATCCAATGATTGCTTTTAGACATTCGATGAATAATGTCATGGCTGATTTAACCAAGAGTGCATATATAACGATCTATCGAATGTTGAATGATCGCGATCGACGTGTGTTTTCGATATATTTTGCCATGGAGGTATGTAAAATTATTGTGAGTTTTAGTTGACGTCAAGAATTGAAATTGCTTAGATTGAATCGTTCAATCGTCGTCAAAACCAACAATTTGACTCGAATCTTCCATCGGGTGAACGAGAATTCATTGTCTCACCAGCATGGGCTGCTGCATTACTACAAAAGCGGTCCGCTCGGGCATCGAATGAGCATCGTTTTCTGTCCTATAAAAAGCCGTTCGATTGGATGACCGATGAGGCATTTCAAAATCTTCAAGTAACTTGTTATTTTTCGTTAAATGAATGACCATAATGAACTTCGTTTTCATTTTAGTACTTAGCGATGTTTTTTGATTGGTTTGCTGATCCATTTGATCGCATGGTCAAAGAAGTTCAAGAAGTGAAATGGCGTCCATTCTGTGAAGGTGATACTGAAAATTGTATATTTCCACCTCCACTTGAACAGCTGGAACCAATTCAAAAGTTCTGCGTTGTACGAGCGATCAGAAGTGATCGATTGATTCAAGCATCAACTGTCTACGTTTCGAATGTGTTTCAACAAGAGTAAAGCCCAAAAAATTGATTGTCAAACTTTCTATTAAAGCTATCCGTTTTTTGTTTAGTTCAAACAAACCGAAATCCGTGTCACAAGATCAACAACAACATCATCATCCACAACAAACATCGTCTCGTACACCAACTATACCGTAAATAGTGTGATTTGACATGTCGAAGACAGCAACATTTTTCTTTGAATATAGAGTTATACCGACACTTCAACAAGATGTTGATCTTATGTTACGTCAAAGTAGTCAACGATCTGTTTTGTTACTATACGATGATGAGCCCGATGAAGTAATTAATTATTTCAATTTCTGTACGAATTCCATCCCGACCGACGCAACAACGATTGTACCAACAATTCAAATCATCAACGTTTATGGAACTGGTGCAAGAGAAGAACGTATTTTGAAAAAAACACTCAAAAATGCTATAACAAATGTATGTGCACGAGCATTTTGTGTTTCTTGGATTAAAAGCATCTTTGTTTTAGAATGTTTGGCTCCTTCTTCATGGTTTGCACAACAACCCTTCGTTCTTATCTCATGTTGAAACATCACTTTGGGAACTCCGCTTAAAACGTCCGACATCAATGCCTCGCATCTGGCTTAGCATTCAGCGTACTTATTCGTTTCCATCTTCACTATACAATCTCTGTTTAATAACTTACATTCGCACACCAGTATCAATGAAAGAAGCAATAACGCGAGCATTTTCTGTCATTGACAATGATCTGCTTCGCCATTCATTAAAATCGGAATGGCTTCCACTATTGCACAACATTTGTTACCTCCATTCAACACTCAATCTTCGTACACGATACGGTCAAGCTGGATGGGATCTTCCATCACTAACAACATTTACGAATGTCGAATTAACTTCAGCGTTTCAAGTTGTTGCAAGAGAATTTGCTCTAAGCGACCAATCAGTGACTCGACTGGATTCGTCAGCAGCAAATGTCACAGCGTCGAATGAAACCAACACTCGACAACTATCGTGGTCTTCGATGCGATATACTCTATCAGAATTGATCTACGGTGCTAAAGCTTTGAGTGAATATGATCAACGAGCCATTTCGAATATTGTCGATTTCTGGATTCAACCCGGATCTGTCCGAAAAGACTTTGAATATTCCAAAATCAGATACAAGATTCCATCCGTATTTTTTACACAACAGCCAAAACTAAGCCAATTACTGCAAGCACTCGAAGCACTTCCAACGCATCAATTTGACGTTGCGGAAACATGTCATCTTCATTCAAGTTTTGAAGCAAGCACGGGCGATGATACTTTCATTCTCAATCGGCTTAATCGAATATTAGATGCATTGCCGCCGAATGTGTCTTTGAATGCATCCATTTTCCAACGACCAAATACACCAATCGAAGGTTTGAGTTTATCTTCGAGAAAATATTTTTCTTCTACCTAATTTCGAATAGATGTGACCATCAATACATCATTTTCTTCGTCAAGTGGTTTATGGAACTCATTTAGTTCTTCAGCATTGTATTCTTTTTCGGCAAAGAAAAATCAGGGATTAGAAGAATATTGCGCGTCTATATTAGCGACGAAGTTACCGAAAGTTTTAACTAAAGTAAAACATCCTTCTACAGGAAGTTTCTTCGATTTTTACGTATTTGTGCATTAGGATCAAATCTTAGATCGTGCGCGTCGTAATGGATCACCACTAACAAGTCCTTTCAATATATGGATAGTACGTGAAGCAGAATTAATAACAGATCTTGTGAATCTTATTCGGACTCACGTACAATCGATCAAAACTGCCTGTGATCTAAGTCAATTAGGTGTACATTGGTCACAAGAATTAGCTGATGTTGCTCATGCTCTGTATTATCAACGCATACCGGATGTTTGGTGCGATGCAATTGGGTTAAGTGCACCACCGCCAGTCTGGGGCTTAACAAACTTTTTCGCCGATGTAAATATGCGGGCGGAGCATATTGAAAAGTTGTTAACCAAAGGTAAGATATATTGACTCGTTTCTTCCATGGTCCTACGAACTTTCTACTGTAGGTCGCGAAAAACATCCAGCATTCAATATATCGGCATTCTTCAATGCGTCAGCGTTGTTTGGTATCTATAAACAAGAAATTGCACACTCACTGAACATTTCTGATGATTCGAACAACAGTTCTCTTATGTTTCAATGTGAACTAACACCACGCGATCGAGAACATATCCGTGAAGCACCAAAAGACGGTCTCTTCATTTACGGTCTTTACTTATGGGGATGCAGTGGAGATAAAAATATCGTCGAGCATGGTATCTCTGATGCACCGACAAGAAATCGAGAAGGATGCTCACTCATGCCCGTCATACATTTAACGTGTGTACCAACAGAAAAAGCGGCACCAGTTGTTGCGCAACCGCAAACTCTAACGGATACGACAGGTCCGAATCGACCGACAACAACCGATACATACTCATGTCCAATATTTCCGAAGCGCTGTATGGAGCGACGTAATACAGAAGTCATTTGTGAATTAGAACTGTGGAAAAAGACAACGGTAGTTGGCCAAGCATCACGATGGGCCTGGCGTGGAATTTGCATGACTGTTAAACCTTATTAGATCTCTTTTTTCATTGTCTGTCTTTTTGTATTGATATGTGTGAATCTCATGAAAAATATATATTCAATCAATAGAACTTTTATTATATGTCATCATGTCATACGTGTTCGATAGACGACTATACTCCTATCTGTTGCTCACCGTAAAGTCAAAACTAAAAGACATCGTGTATAATCTCGTGTGATCATTAGGCTCGTGTAACCTCGAATCCAGCGCGTGGAAAATGAACATTAATATTGCCGGTCTTCTCATCTGAGATCCTCAAAACCATTTCATGACGATCGGCTGCTACTAACGTTCCTTCAACTGGTACACGACCTGTATCATCAGGCACAATGCGTAACTTGTCACCAATCTCCCATTCATTATCAATGTTCTGTGAAATGTAATTCGGTTCAACAGGCGTAGCTTGCTTAGCTATCTCAAATGCTTGCTCTTGTGTTAAAGCTTCTCTAGTTCCATGACCAAATGCAGCAACGCGTTCAAACCATGAAAGTAACACTCCTGGTTGATATAAATCTGGAAGAAGTGTTGCGGCTCCTTCACCACAATTTTGTTTAACAAGCCAAAGCGTATGATATGCTGTAACATCAAGTGCTGATGGTTCTCCTAGAAGGAATGGACGGCCATCAGCTAACATATCGATTAACCAAACTAAATGCGCATTAATATGTTGAACATGTAGAGATAGATTTGCTCCGCTTGCTTCCTTATTTAATTCAAAGCCCGGTGCAAATGTTTTCCGATCATCAATGAACTCTTTTGGCAATTTATCACCTACAAAACTTGCCCAAATTGCAACTGCAGGCGCGAATGTTGCTTTATCCCACCACCAACACAATGGTTCAGTTGTTTTATTGGCAAAAAGTGATGGTGCATCAGGTCGTAGACGATCAATTGTTCGTAAAATAAGATGTGTATCACAATAGATATCAGCACCAATTTGAAGTACTGGTATACGACGGTAACCACCCGTTAACGGTGTGAGAAAAGGCCGTGGAGGAACTACACTATTGATGACTGAGCGCCAGCGTAGATTTTTCAAACCTAAAGCTAAACGAATTTTCTCCCCGAATGGAGATGAGTCATAATGATGAAGGATCAACTCTTCAGACATTATTCAATTGATGAAACTAAGGACGGGCGAAATTTCAATAATAAATTTCGAATAGATAATGAATGACTCACTCGTATACGTTGAGCAGATTACACAATTCAAACAGACAATCTCGCAACGACATCTGTCCCATTAATTCTATTCCTTGATAATCTACACCATTCATATTTATCTAAAAAATCATCCGAACGAATCCTAGAGACTTCGGAGAAGTCAAGTAATTAATGAAATAATTATTTTTCATGGTGAAATTTTCATCGTTCATACAATAGTATTTCACATCGATTTTTGCATTTCTTACAACATTTTTTCACTAATGGAAAATTCAGACACAGATGCCAACATCGAATCTCATTCTTCTAACCGTCATCCACCACATCTTCGTGGAAAAGCCATTGGTTTATGGTACGCTCAACGTCAATACCAACGGCCGAAAACTGCTTCACAACCATCTTCTCGATCTGTAGCAACAGTTGAATTAACTCCGAACGAAATTCAACGTGTCACGAAAATTCGCCAATTATTCCATCAAAACGATTCCAAAGAACCGCTGCTCGATATTGACGATGCTGAACATACGATGAAATTTGATAATCTCCATAGTTCATTTCAGTATTTCGAGCCACTTACACGACAGTTTGTTATTGATCAAAATCTGTTGCAAGATCTGCAGAGAAAACAACGCTCAGCTTTATACGAAAAATTGAATGCAAAACGAACGTGTTTGCCTATTAGTAACTACCGACAAACTATTCTCGATACTATTGAACAAAATCAAATTTTCATTCTTGTTGGAGAAACTGGTTCAGGTAGAAATCTTTTGAATCGGTGAATTCCCTTCACTAAACTAGATCTCGTTAGGAAAAACAACGCAAACAGCACAGTTTATTCTTGATGATCAAATTCTCAAAGGTCAAGGTAGTCAATGTCGAATTTTATGCTCTCAGCCACGTCGAATCAGCGGTGAGTTGTTCATAGTTATTTTACGTTGGTTGATCTAGTAGAGAATTTCCTTTCGAATACTTTCAGCGACGTCAGTGGCTGAGCGTGTAGCGCAAGAACGTGGCGAAATGCATCCCGGTGATTCTGTTGGTTATCATATCCGTCTTTCCGCCCAATTTCCACGCAAAAATGGTTCCATCCTATTTTGTACCACAGGAATGTTGTTGAAATATATTGAAAAATACACCAATTTTGAACATTTTTCTCACGTGATCTTGGATGAAATTCACGAGAGAAATATCGAAATGGATTTTTTACTTATTTTCATCAAGCGTCTCTTAAAAATCCGACAAGATCTTAAAGTAATATTGATGAGGTATGTACTTCCTTTCGAAGGAAAACATCAAAAGATGTATTTTTTATCTTAGTGCCTCGATTCAAGCTGAGAAGTTCAGTGCTTATTTTAATAATTGTCCAATTTTACACATTCCTGGAAATATTTATCCTATAAACGAATATTTTCTCGAAGACTATATAACAAAATTGAAATATCCATTTGAGAATGCGAATTCATATCGTCGATCGAATAAAGAAATCGATCAAGTGAAATTCAATGAATATATCAATGAACTCGAATGGGATTTAGTTCAACAAAAGAAACCAATTGAAGTTTGGAAGAAAATACAAGCTATCGGAACGGATTTTAGTCTAGAAATCAACTGTGACTTAGTCGTTAGTGTCATTGAACTCATCTGTCGAATATCTTCACAAGGTAGAAACATCAGCGTAACATATCAAACAAAATCATTGAATTTTTCAGGTACAATCCTAGTATTCCTTCCTGGTTGGAATGATATTGTCAAATGTACACAGTTACTTCGTCAACGAGCACTGTTGGCATCTTATTTGCACATCTTACCTTTGCATAGCTTGCTACCAATTCATAATCAACACGAAATATTTGATTCACCACCTCATCCTAGTCTTCGGAAAGTAATTCTATCAACATCGATTGCGGAAACTTCGATTACTATTGATGATGTTATATATGTTGTTGACACGGGACGAACAAAAGCGAGTGATTATGATCTGGAGACTCAAGGCAAATGTCTTTTACCAACGAATGTATCACGTGCAAATCTCCTTCAACGAAAAGGTTTGAATTCAATTGATAACCTGGTGAATTTCGCGTTCAGATTTTTCTTTTCAGGACGAGCAGGTCGAACCCAACCTGGTGAATGCTTTCGTTTGTTTACTCGTTGCAATCAACGCATGTCATTCATTGATTTTCCTCTAGCAGAGATGACCACCTCGCGTTTGGATAATATTTATCTTCAAGCGAAACTATTGAATATAAAAGATGTCAAAACATTCCTTCAAGATGCACTTGATCCGCCATCGGCCGAAGCTATTGAACATGCTGAACAATTCCTGTACGATATCGGAGCATTAGTCTCTCCAACAAATGAACTAACACCCATTGGAAGGATACTTGCGCAGTATGAGAAAATAGCTTTGCACGAAAACTTCAATTCGCTCTTTTCTAGTTTACCTTTGTCACCACAAATAGGAAAATTGTTGATACTCGGTTATTTATTTTCGTGTTTTAACCCAATCTTAACAATCGCATCGGTGTTAAGCTATCGAGATCCGTAAGACAAAAGCTTCCTAATTGATCTCAACTTGACTTTATTTTCATCTTGCAGCTTCGTTAATCCAATTGATAAAACAAGAGAGATAAACGAAGTACGTCGTCGTTTTGCCGAGAATACCATGTCCGATCATTTGATGATCGTAAATGTCTATGAGCAATGGAAAGCTCAACGAAGCTATCGTGCTAAAAATCAATTTTGTTTTGAAAATTTTCTCAATTCAAATCACATGAAAATGATTGATAAAGTTCGTAATCAACTACGACATCTTATACAAGATTATTTCGCTTCCTATACAGGTAAACCTTATTCAACTTGACAAATACAGCTGAGATAACATTCTATCTAGGTGATGCAAATCGAAATCAACATAATCAGCATTTGATATGTGCGCTAATGTGTGCTGGACTGTATCCAAACATAGCCCGAATTCGTTTGTCAACTGATAAATCATCGAAGCGGCCATGTCTGTTAGAAACGAAATTTGAAAAACGAGTTTTGATACATCCGAAATCAATCAATGCGAAATTAAGGGTAAATCTTACTTTTCAAAATGTCTTTTCGAAATATTTATATGTGTCCTAAATGATTCTGTTAGGATATTGATATTCGTCAATCGTCGATTCAATCAACTTTGGTTGTCTATTATGAAAAAATTCGTACTTCGGGTATATACATTCACGATGTCAGTTTTATCTCTCCGTACGCGCTGCTCTTCTTTGGTAAAACTCAAACATCGGCTGAAAACTCGACGACAAAATGCAACAATAGTCTTCTAGTGGATAACTGGATTGAAATTAATATTGATAATGAAACGAATAAGTTGATCTATGGATTGAAAGATAAATTCAATTATTTGTTGGAGAGAAAGGCAATAGAGAAAAATGTTTTTCTCGAAAATGAACAGGAATTACTCGAAACAATTGTTCATTTTATCACGAAACAAGATCGAAATTTAGTACTACAAAACAAATTAATCGATGAGTATGACAAAACGACACCTGTATATGAAGATTGGGATAATGAAACTAAAGAATAATCGTTAAAAACAAATCGCCGTCTTTCATTCATTTTCTAATTCTCAATGTTGTTTGTCTTTTATTTTGACTTTTCAGATAGATACTTAATTCGTTAACAATGTTTCATTTTTCCATTCGGACAATGTAATGTCGAATCATCCAATGGAGCCAATGCCACCGGTGCGACTAAATCAACAACGACCAACATTCGCAGTTGACGGCGATACGATGGAAAGACTTTTCCAAGCTTTATTCTATCGAATCGCTGTGCTCTATGCACGAACAATTCCTAAACACATTCGCCGATTAGGTGAAAGTGCTATTCTAGTCATGGTAAGGTTCGCGCTTTGTTCTCAACGAAACTCCAAGGTCAGGATAGAATTGTAAAAGTACCGATTTTCATGAAAGGAACTTTTCGCTCTAATATATGTAACATTCAACATTGAAGATTTGCGCTACTGTGACACGCCGCCAGGCAAGCCGCTAGTAGTAGCTGATATATCGATAAACGAAAATTCCGGCTTTCGCCTACTTATCGTACGTTGTTTTAGGCAATTAGTTGTCTGGCGTTAGTTGTATATTTACATGTCGTGTTTAATCAACAACCAATCAGTTGTCTGTCTTATTTGCATGACAATTGGCCAAGACAAGGTGTACTTCGTATTGAGTTGTTTTTCGAAACACCACCAGAAGATTACGATCTTCAACAATCGTATGCCAAAGAATTTGAGCAATTATCGACCAAACAGAACTATTCGGTAAGATATTTGCATAGAAGTTAAGCGATATGTGAATTTGTCATTTTAGATTCCTCCAATTTTGGAACATTCAAGTGAATCTAAAGAAATATATTCAAATATGAGTATCAAGTCGTCCCTATTAACCGAAATCGATGAGAAATTCTTTGAAAATGAAACGGCACAATTAATCGATGTGAACTCTGTATCTGATACTCAACCAAACGATTCACTACTCGACACATTCTATCATTACGTATTCGATTACAATTGGTTAAAAGAATTGCTAGATGAAGAACATTATATTCTCGAGTATTCACTAGAATACGGGTTTTTACGTTTATCACCAACAACCAGACAGAGACTTAACGTTGAAGTTCTACTGGTCACTTTAGGTAAAGTATAATAAGTCTGCTTTTTGCATTTATTCATACCATATTTTAGATATGACAAATAATACCTGCTTTGGTAGCGGTCTTAATCGGTTTATTCTTGATCAATTTCTTGGTTATCAAGAAATACTGATGTCTAGTATAAAACAGTTAGCAGAGAAAGAAACACACAAAGGTAAGAATGTTCGAAACATTTTAATTTTTAGGCGGGTCACTGAGATATTTTCAGGCTATGTTCGAAATGTCATGACCAATGAACATTTTCGCTTTGTTAGTTCATGGCAAAATCGCCGATGGTGGTCATATTTAGCCACATTGTGTATTATGATTCTCTTTGTAAGTAGAATCGACTTTCTTCTCTCATTCATTACATTGTGTTGATTGTTTTTTAGACGATCAGTATATCAATGCTCCTTCGCTATTCCCATTTTCAGATCTTTTTGTTCATTGGTATGTGATTTTCAAAGAAGAACTTTAGTTTGGAGGAAAAATAAATTAATGTGTATGTTTTAGTTGATTTACTACGTATGATTGAACATAACACATCCATTATTTTCCCTGCTGCACCTTTATTAACAGTTATCTTGGCTTTAATCGGTAAGTAAATCAAGAAAAGGACACATATTCTCTAATGAGGAGGTAAAACAGGTATATCATCCTGTTTCCATTGTCACTCATCTATTTGCAAAAATCTTGGGACCACGATAATTACTAGCATCCATGTTTTCATGGAGAAATCAGCAGTACGCAATAAGGAAGTCGTACTATTACCATTAGATATCATTTCCGCAGTAACGAGCACCAGCTGTGTTTCATTTCTGATCACCGCAGAGAACATATCTTTACACCAAATTATAATTAGAAGTTGTTTTTGATTAACAGTAACGATAACGATGAATCTTCCTTTCCAGATATGATAATTAACTATCCAAACCGTTTGTTAGGGATGATTTATTTCGAAAGAGCTGAAATTCACTGACGTACACCTATCAATAGAATATTTATAGTCGTTCCATACGTTGTGAATATCCCTTGAAAATGGTTTTCCAGGCATCAGTATTCTAAAAAAAACTAAGTCGATCCCATAGTCACCGAAACTCATAAACAGCTAATACATATAGTTTGGTACAACAGAGTAAATCTCTATCGTAATTAGAAATGAAAATTAGCGGTTTGTCATCATCGACAAAAGTATTTGCATCATTTTAATTTCATAGGTATGGAAGCAATTATGTCCGAATTCTTCAATGACGCATCTACTGGTGAGTTTTTCTCTGTCATTCTCGTATGAATTTCAATGATGGATATATAAAATTACCCTTCGCTATTTGATCACTGTTTATTTAGCTTTCTATATAATACTTGTTGTTTGGGTATCAGATCAATATGACAGTATTTGTTGTCATACATCAATAAGTAAACGTCATTGGGTTCGGTAGGTTTTCGAATTTTGACTTTGCTGAGAGAAAACACTTGATATCATTTCTTTTTCGTAGCTTTTTCTACATATATCACTTCGCATTCTATGTCTATCACACGCGTTACAATGGTCAATATTCAGGTTTAGCATTAATCACAAGTTGCTGTTTCATTCTTCATTCAATGCTATACTTTTTCCATCATTATGAATTGCCTGTGATCGAAGCACAACTTGCTCATGTTGTTATTGAACAAAATAATCTCACTCAAGCAACGGAAAGAAATGATGATGAAACATTAGCAGCAACATAATTCAATTATCGACTTTTCTAACAAATTCAATTCTTCTCTTTTCGTTCAGTGTTTTTTAACCAATGTACATGAGTAAACGATTCCTTTTTATTTTCTTCATATATCTTAGTCATGGCATTCTTCCTTTTCTTTTGTCTGTGTAAAAAAACGACAACGACTGAGCGTGTTGATAAGCATAATCCTTTACAGAGTTCATATCGAAAAAAATAACAGTTGCAAGGCTTCAGTGTTTTCGGAATCGTCTGATTAACTGTCGAAGACTTGCTCGGAAATTTATCCCACTGAATGAATAGAGAAAGAAATTTATGGAATATGATGCATACGCGATTAATTGCGCGAATAAAACAGCAGTGTAAAGCAAATGGATTATTAATTGATCGCTAGTTGTTGATTCTTTTGACTGAGAAGATGAGATCATGCTGCTGTTTGATGTGAAATTTTGTACTAAACTGTAATCGTAAGAGGAAATGTGTTCACCGTCCATTGGTCGATTGTAAACATCGATGTAGACTTTCAATATAATGACACATATATGTCCCGGCGCATTTAGTAGAAGGAAGCAGGTGGAAACGAGAACAAGCATTCGTGTAACATGTATAGACTGGGATGTTTTCGTTGACAATTGATCCATGGTCTCATTCTCATTAGATTGAGACGAAGATTTCTTCGATTTTCGTTTAAAATAGGAATCGAAGGATATGAGTTTCTGGCGATAGAAAAATCGTTGTGATTGGACTTTCGTTCGAGATTGTCGATTTAATGATACTTCCCCCGAACTAGCACGTTCTGATCGCTAAGAATAGACAAAAGTCAAACAATTGTTAGACGCGTAGTATACACTTACTGATGTAACGAATGATTGATTGACACCGTTCGATTCATTCAATTCAATATATTCGTTTCCGTCGTCTTGACTCAATGTTGTTGATAATATCGTTACTGGATTATGTTCAAGTCTGTCCATGTCGTCAGCATGTGCTAATTGTCTCGCTGAGAATAACGATGCTTCACGAGTCATTGATACATATGAGCGTTTTCGGATATAATTCACAATGAGTGTATTGAAGATTAAAATTAATAGAACCGGAATCACAAATGAGAACAAAGCATCGGCTATGAACCATTTAAGATATAATTCTTCGAGGCAATCTTCATAATTATTATAATACGATATGAGAAAACAAAAACATGAACTCAAAATGAATATCATCAGCAGAGAAACAATAGGTGATGAACGGCGTCGAACAGCGGCTTCCAACGGACATCGAATAGCGTAGTAGCGTTGAATAGTAAACGCAACGGTATAACACGCAGATAATATCTCAGCGAGATGGCTAAGGAACGATACGACCAAACAGATATAATGTGCCTTCAACTTCGTAAGATCATGTATTCCACGAATTAGTAACACTGTGTTGAATAGAAGATCGCTGAGCGCTGAAAGAAAAAGGAAGACGTTTATGAAAGTCATATGTGTGAACTTTGTTTTATTCAATTTGATTAGTTTTCAAAACTTCGAGAAAAATTCAGGTGTACATGTTTGGAAACCTTTATTTGATCAAAATAAAATATTCAGGGAATTGAATTAATATCATCCTTATCTTAAAATAAAATTCTATCATGTCTTTGCTGATTTAGAATTAAGAGATTTATTACGAAAACCAAGAACCTACGTACCTAATGCAATTAACGTCCATTTGTTTTTCAAGTTTTTGGTCACGTTTTTTTTCGATAAAAGTATTACAGTTAATGTATTGGTGATAAAACCAACAAAAGTAATAAAAAATATATAAGGATATGTGATGCTAACAAGAAAACGATGTATTGCACGAAATTGATAATAATAAGGAGCATAATCTGCCAGGGATGGTGCGAGAGTCGATAAATTAGACATTGCCGTTTAAAACTAACGAGACGAGAATCGGCTTAATTGTAGTTGATTATGCTCAATTTTCTTTTCAATGGTTGTCTACAATGAATAACGAGAAACTACTTTCTTTCGTTCTATAAGAATGAAACACAAATGTGTCGATAGGAAGGTAGACGAAAACTGATTAGACTCTATCTAATGCACGTGTTATACATGAGTACGCATATACGAAAGAATAAGTGTACTTTTAACGGTGCTAACAAGGGTCTAAAAATGGAGTATCGCATTCTATTTTCTGTTTGGAACATGTTCAACTCGAAGTCACATGATAAGTATCATTCAAAATATCATTTACTATGAGATACTTGCTAATTAAAGAATAAAAATAGATTTTCTGTTACGGAACCCATGTGAGAAGGAAAATACATGTTTTCGAGTGCGTACTTCCTTGTTGGTTATGCGACAATTATACCCTTATGTTGGATTATTCTAAGTGGTCATTTTTAGAGATGCAAAATCTTGTCATCGGAAAGATGACAAACATCATTTAAGAAAACGCAATGGCTAAAGTTTCACCTACGAAAGGTAATGGATGGTAGATACGAATGCAAGGCAAAATCATCTAGAGATATGTGTTTGTCTTCATGGTACATTAGTATTTGCATGCATTCTGTAATATAAAGAGGAAAGAGTAGACAGCAGCAATGATGCTGGAAATTCGAAAAGAAATAATAAGACTAAGCCGTTCTATGCAAAGTATCTTGTCCTAAATCTGCGCTATCGATGGTAGAGACGGCAAGATGACATATGCGAACTTCGAAGTAGTCAGGTTTGTAATGAAAATTGACTATACAAAAATGCTCTTACTGTCAGTAATGTCTGGAACAAGTAGCATGTGAAAACTACACTTATCTTAGACAATATTTACGCTGATTTATAGTGGTAAACATGATGATTTACTTGCGCATCAGATTATAAATGGAATATGATCTCATGTGTTATCAGAAGTGACATTTTCTTTGAAACTCTAACCATTCATTTTCCTTTCTACTATTCAAATAAGTATAAGAATCGAATTAGGTTTCCATTCTCAAGAATAATACATATATTAATACAGTGTGACAATTGACATAATAATATAAATTATTAAGAACTAAAAGTCGGTCCTATGTTTGACAGCGTACTTTCGTTATTTAATAAAAACTTCTATTGAACTCAAGTAAGAACCTCCTTTTCCATTATCTTTCTTTTATATATTAACGTAGAATACACTCTCTAGAGCTCCTATTTTCCCTCGTGGCTGCAAATTAATGACATGTGATGTAGAAACCTGTCTTCATTAATATGAAGATTGCTGACCTATTGCAGTCGGTTCTCTACGCAACTGACTGACATTAATCTTATATAAACCGAGCGCAGGCTATACTAATCGATGTTCATGAATATATTGTTTCCAGGCCTTTGTAGACAGTCTTAAAATTCATGCAGTAATCGTTTTCTCTTTCCCTCGTAATTAATCTTGCCTGATCGATCAGAAAGATAAAAACTTGAAAAGAAAAGCTATATATTTACGACTTTCTCAAATTTTAGATGAAGATCTCTTTCCTTACTTCAAGCAAGTCTCATGCTTTACCTGCGCACATCTATAAGCTGTTTGAATATACGATCTGATAGATAAAGTATGGTGAGATCAGTGTGAAGTTAGCACCATTTAACTAGCGCCAAAAAAAAAACAAAACTCATGCAAAAACTTTGTTCAAATGAACCTTCATTCATGAAAATGGACTCACTCGACGCAGAATTGAATTTTACATCTGATAGTGATATTTTTTTATGAACGGGAGAACGACGGAGAAAATGTTATATATATATCTTTCTGTACGTTAGTGCATAGAAAGAAAAATTCTAGACAAAACTTTCCCGATCGTTCTTCCGTTAATAAAAAATACCATCATTAGACGCAGAATTTAATTCTGCATCGAGTGAGTTCATTTTCATGAATGGGAATTCATTTGAACATAACTTTTCGCATGCTTTTGTTTTTTTCTGATGCTAGCTTCACACTGATGTGTGCGAGCATCATAAAATGTGTTGCTGAGTTTCTTCATAGAGCTTGTATATACTTCCTCAATCAACATTTTTTCCTACTGCCTACAAACATAATGGATTTTCTTATTAACTATGCATATTTATGATGTGTGCAATAAATTTTAATAAAATAGCCGGCAAGTAGAATCCTGACTACACTCCAGTGCTGATTGAAATCAGATACGAGTTTCTTTTCTCTTTTGAAGTAACAACAATGCACAAATCTTGCCTGACCAATGATCTTCTATCTCATCGATCAAGATTATGTCTACAAAAATTGTATGATCTTTTTCTTCGAATAAAACTCTTACGCACTGAGAATGTCCAAAAACTCCTGGCTAAAAATTAAGAAGATCAAAAACTTGTCAAGACGGCGGACAATTTCATTGACGACTGAACGCCTATGTCGAATCAAACCATAGAATATTACATGAGAAGCGAATAAACTATCCGAATTTCATAATTAATTATCTTTTAATATCAAGACGACTACCGATATGTGTGTGGAACACACACTGCTACGGGTAATAAATTAAAATTAAATAGAACTACTGCGTATTGCAAAATACAGTGTGCTCTGGCATGTTTTGAATAACTCAAGAACACAATTAGCTAGAGACCTGCGGTTTTCATCGATCGATAGAGCAAACCAGGAGACACAAGTCTTTAAAGACGCGAAGTACCAAAATTTATTTTGAAGGTGTCATTTTTTTAGGACTTAAAAAAATAGATGCTGTTTTGTCACATGTCAAATTCTTTGCATTGCAAAAAAGATAAAAGAAGCAGGACATACAGGCAATGATGAAGAAATCCTCGATGGTAATAGTGGTGATGACCTGTCACTTGATGATTCAGAAAACTCAGAGAATAATGCTAGTCCGGATGTGAAAGTTCTGCTTATGTATCTCGCTTCTTCTATCTCTTTTGCAATACAAAGAATTTGACATGTCGCAAAACAGCATCTATTTTTTTAAGTCCTAAAAAAATGACACTTTCAAAGTAAATTTGGTGCTTCGCGTCTTTAACGGCTTGTCTCTCCTGGTTTGCTCTATCGATCGATGAAAACTGCACGTCTCTAGCTAATTGTGTTCGTGAGTTATTCAAAATATACCAGAGCACACTGTGTTTTGAAATAGACTGTAGATAATGTATTATCTAGTAGAACAAATAGTAACGCCCGACTAAAACACCTATGTCCTATATGCCGAACAATTTTCCCGTGGTCTAATAAAATGTTACTTAGCGATAGACTATACAAAAGTCAAGACAGGAAATCAAACTGTCATAGTGAATTACGTTTCTTAGCAAGGTAAACTAATGGTGAAAGAAAGATGACTATCTCTCACTTTATCTCTATTCTTAGGAACGACTCTCAACAGAGCAAGTTCTCTCTCAATTAATATTTTGATTGATCAAAACAAATATTTACTTTCAATCATCAAGAAATTCTATACTAAACTGTCTATTCATTTCCACTAAGTACGATGTTGTTTTTCTTCCAATAGTCTTACCAGCATATAAACATCCCATACATGTATGAAACACGAAAGTGATTGTCTACAGATGTGTCATCCATTTGTTTCGTCAGCTGGTAAATTATGTCGTCGCAGTAATCATCTTTTGAAATGTTAGGTTAAGAAGATTTGGAGATACTATCCTCTCTATCAAACCAGATGGTTCACCGTCGTCAATTAAAAAAGCAATGTTTTCGTATTTTCACGATGAAAAAAGATCTGATAATATAGGACGATATAAACTTTGAAAAGACAAAATCCTAAAATACGTTAATGCCACACAAATACGGAAATGATGTAGATTGACGCTTGGCAGGAAAAATAGTGTGAAACGACCAATAAAAAGGCATATGTAAGACCAGATTCTGTAAATATAAAAATACTGTATATAAATATAGAAAACAATCAACACAGAGAAGAACAACAAATTTAGCCGCATTGTGAGACTCAATAAAATGTAAAGTCACACAAATATCGGCAAAAGGAAATGACAAATACAGGTGCCCGAGTTGCAAATTGAGATTTAACCACAGGGCATTACAAATCATGGATGGAAGTGAAAGAATGATCCGAGACAAATATGAGCAAATCAATCTAATGATGACTTCTCAACTAGTATAAGTGATTTGAAATTCACATGATAACTATTATCTAAACTATTCAGCAGGGAGCACTAAACTGGTAATATTTTCTTTTCAATATCGATGGGAATCAATGTGGTGTTCGTCAGAAATCAAACATGAGACGTTAATTTTCCGCTGTGTTTTTTTTTTGTACTTTTTTCTTGTATTATGTTTCTCGTCCGCACCGCCAACGGCAACGGTAAGGGTATATAGATAAATGCCGTCCCAATCCCAATAGGTTTTATGTGAGAGGAGCGAATCAGTCATTTGTTCTGGGCGCACCTAATGTTGCACTAGTAGATATATGTTGCCATCTACTGGTTGTATTCTGCTGACTGGTAAACGGAATGAACCAATGAAATCGAAAATTGCTTGTTTTCTTTTTCCTTCTACACATCAATTGCTTACTTGATGAGGACAAAAATTCTTACGTCATTTATTTTTCTTTTTTTCCAGATTTCAAAATTCACCTTCTTTCTCGTGTATTCTTATATAAGCAGTTATCTAGTTGACAGTTAACGTCATAAATACCGAGCAACTAATCAAAACACAAGAGATACAATGCCGAAAAACAAGGGAAAAGGTGGAAAGAATCGTCGTCGGGGTAAAAATGAAAATGACGATGTCAAACGTGAATTAATTCTCAGAGAAGAAGGACAAGCTTACGCACAAGTGACACGTATATTGGGGAATGGTCATTTAGAAGCATTCTGCTTCGATACAGCTGGAGGAAAGAAACGTCTCTGTCACATTCGTGGAAAATTACGCAAGAAACAATGGATTAATCAAGGTGATGTCATTCTTATTGGCTTACGTAGTTATCAAGATGACAAAGCCGATGTTATTATGAGATATCTCGGTAAGATGGCATTGAAATGAATAGTAACGATGAAGAATAGATTCTTTTTAGCCGATGAAGCACGAGAGCTAAAGCGAATGCAACAAATTCCGGAAAATATTAATATTGCCGAATCCACAACCAACAATACAGAAGGACTAGATGATGTTATCTTCGATGAGCGCCATAATAACGAGGAATCTGACGAGGAAGAAGATGGTTTACCACGAAATCTGAATGGCCGAGGCACTGGGAATAATGAGAGTTTGTCTGAGGAAGAGTCCAATGGAGAGGATGATGATGGACAAGAGTATTATAATCCAAATCGAATGCCGATGAAGACGGGCAATCTGAATGCACGAAATTTGATAGGCACGAAAAAAGAGTCAGGCAAAGGTGCACGAAATGATCGGCGGCAAGCGCTCTCTGGTTCAGATTCCGAAGGACATGATGAGTTAGCACATATTTAATAGATTGAATTATGTTTTGTGAGAGAGAACGAAAAGATAACGATTTATTCTTTTTTTTCTTGTCGATCTCCTATTTCCTTTTTTCGTTCATCGATAAATCATATACACGTTTTTTATCAATAAATCCACAAATAATGAAAACAAAAAGTCATGTATATATTAAACACCACGGAGTTGATTCATTCTCAAGCATTCATCTACTTACCTAATTGTCATGATAAATGTCATAATCTCACCTTCTGTCACATATGCGTTTGCAGATTTGCCCTATCGCAAAAGGTTAGTCGTTGAAAATCTTCTTGGATATTTTGTCACAATGACAACGTCAAACGAAATTTGGAATGAATATGTACCATTGTTGCTGTTATTTCATCCTAACATTAAGGAATGCTAGATCAGAACGTAACGATATGTGTACATATACATTCTTGTGATTTTGATCGCGTCGTATTGCAATCGATTGAATCTTTCACGTACATCATAAAGTCGAACAGATATGTCATTGGATTAGACAGATCGTGCATGAGATAATTTTATCTTTTTATTCGATTTATACACATAAAAGTACTGACAAGACATGAATGACTAAAAATAGTTAAAAACGTAAATTCAAATTCAGATCAGATAATTTCATATCTTTGATTTTCTGCGGTAAATTCATTTCTTTAATAGCCGTCATTGCTTTGTTGGGTGCCGCAGATATTCCCGCTTCTTGTTTCTCCAGTTTGCTCTGCTCATCGATACGTGCCACGATTTCATTCATACTCGTTTCTAAAACCATTCCTCCGAGACAGAGTTCTTGAAGAATAAAATGAACTTTGTCCGCATGGAATATCAGATCAAGTTCGCAAACGTTCTACAAAGAGAAACAAGTGAAAATACTCCAAAAACAAACCAATTCTTAATTACCTCAAAGCATTTATCAAGTGTTTCAACGAATACTTGAATTAAATCTAATATTCCCAATTCACTTTCAGAACTATCGACACAAAATATAAAATATAACGTCGCATAGTGCCGGTAGATTAGACGATAATCATTGCCACCAATCAATGAGCCACCTTCGAGAAAATTACACACGTTGTCATCTCGTTTCGACACCAGTTGATACGTTTCTCGAACAATTTGTTGTTGAATCTCTTCGGAATAATGCTCATAGAATTTGATCAGTCTCGGTTTAGCGGAATTATTAAAGACGAGAATTGCCTTAATCATTTCTTTTTGATATCTAGAAGGAAATCAACGAGAAAAACAAATTATACATTTTCTTTTTGTTTCATTTCGTTTCCCTTCTACTTAGTCAGCCTTCGCTGGTAACAAGGTAAGCACAACAAATATTTAATGACTACATGGGCAGTGAAGCAGAACATAAATGAGAAATACTATCATATACGTTTGGGGAAAAAACGAAACGTATGGTAAACGGAGAAATGGGTGGTAAAACAAGTAAAAAATTATCAAATCAGGAAGTTCAACGTTTTGTTCAACAGACTCAATTGCAACCTTATGTTATTCAACAAATCTACGATGCATTTATTGATCGCGCAGGTAGAAATGGACGGTAAGAAAATTTCGAAGGAGAGAGAAGAAAAACAATGTGTTTTTTCTCCCGATTTTAGAATGAATTTGGCCGAATTCAAACAAACGTACAATCAAATCAAACCGAACTATGATCCGTATAATATCTATGGAAATGATATGGAAGCAGAGCGTATGCTTATCAGATGTTCCGATTCTCAGAGATTGATTTATTATTTCTAGGAATCTTCATGATGTTTGACGCAGACCGAAATGGTAAGAAAGCGAGCAGGGAAAAAAACAAATTCGAATTAGGGGAAAAACAAATTTTTTTCTCTCATCTAGGTGTGTTGACGTTCGATGAGTTTATTAACGTGTTTATTCAAATTCAAAGAGGTAAGATTTCGTCTTACGAATTGATCTTGGAAGAATATTCATTCTAGGCATGCTCTGAAAAATTCCAAACTTTGATCCTCCTAAACAATACATCCCCGATTGACAGTTCAATTCGATCGTATTCTACAAGATGATCTCCTTTCGATTCTGCATCGATCAATTATATAATTTCAGTGAATTGATTTCTTTTTTTTGCGATGTATTTCTTTTCTATAAACATGACCATTGAGTTTAATCAAATTCCTGATTAGTTTCATCGTCATCATCCGGCGGTTGTTGCTGTTGTTGTAATTGATTCTCATCAATATTCGTAACACCGATATCACGAATGAAATCACGTATACTTTCTTGAAGAGCTTGCAACATACCGACATCATTTTCGCCGGCGGCAGCATTAGCACCACCACCGACAGCACCAGCTTGAGCATCACCAGCGACAAGAAAGTTCTAGAAAATACACGAAAAATTTCTTTTTTATTTTAGATAATTGAGTCATAATTAACGTACGTCTAAGTTGAAATTCGGCAGTAGCGAGCGCAAAAGCATACCGAAGGAATTGTAGGAATTATTCACTTGTAAAGTAGGTCTAACAATATCAGACAAAGAGAATAACGTGTGTTTGTTTTACGAAAATGTGTGGATACCTTTCTGGTCGTTGAAATCCAACGATGGAATCTCGCGGAGGAAAAGGATCAAACGAGTAAAAAGTTCGCCCGCCGTCGATATCCTATATAACAGAACACACTTTTCTACTGTTGTGCCATAGTTAATACTTACACTTGGCAGAAATCCACGTATTTCATTTGATTCTGACAGAACAATATGCCGACAAACGTTCATTGGTGTTCGACGATAAGATGTTTCTCGTCTAGGATTGAAGCAAACAATATAGAATATCATATTTTGTGATCTTCTTACGTCTTTGTATAATTTGCAATGCGATCATCTTGATTTCGTTCGACAATGTCAATAACTTCGTTAACATTGCTTTTCAAAAAGTCGAGTTCGTCTTTCTCTTTCCATTCATTCGCCATTCGCACAACATATAATTGTTGTACAGATTTCAATGCATTTGAATCATATCGTTCACTATCAGAGAAGAATCGACATTTTTCAACGGTGCGATCGGGTCTAATTGATAATTTGTCAAGCAAATATTTCAATACGGAAGGAAAACGTAACAATGCGTCTTGTAACAATTCATTCGCTTGATCGTAGGACGAGTTACGAAAGTACGCCAATGCAACAGAGAAAACATAATTTGGTAAGCCACTCAATCGTAATCGTTGATTCTGTTCAATATAAAATCGTATAAGATAACTGTATTCATCCGAGCGTATTGCATAGTAGTCGAATAGAAGGAGAATTGCAAGAGGATCATCGATTGGATCGAGACTAAAGTTGGTAATCAGTATAAGTAAGAAGTATTTTATGTTCACAGACTTTACCTCAAGAGTACTTTACAGAACTCCAATGCTGTCCTTGAACAACCACGTTCACCGATATAGATTATGTGTTTAAAAAGGCTAATGAAAAAAGATCGATTTTCTTGGACTCGATATTCCAAACGACATTCACCACGTGTGATCGAAAACAGCGGATGAAATGACTGTTGAAAATTGTACAAAGCACGCTCTAAAACACGTAATGATGACTTATTTATCTTTCAAATTTCAATGATTTCTATACCAATTAAATCGACAGCGGTTGGTGTATCATCCTGCATTCGACTCACATCGCTCAAGTGAATCAATGAATCGATATGGTAAGGATAGTGACGAAGAATATCCTAAAGAAAAGAAATGAAATACTCGAAAGTAGAATATTCTAAACAAACCATGATTCCTTGAAGATCGTGTTGATCGACAAAATCTAAAAACTGGATTTGAATTCGTTGATAATCTTTGTCATATTCAAATTGGAAATAATTTCCCGTATTGGGCGCAGTTTCATTCAATGGTGCTGATGGTTTCATCAGTAGACCTATACAAGACCAACTGTTTTATTATCATCATCTTCATCAGTTTAACAGTAAGCTTACCAAATTTATGGTACACTGGCCATCCTAATTTCGAAGTAATGAAAGCGTTTTGTTTTGCTATCCGAGTGGTCGGTCGTTGTTGCTGTTGTTGAAGGATTTGATAAGCACGGCGACTATAGCAAACATGCAAAATAAAGAATATTTTAAAACGCGATGGAGAATCTATATACCGTTGTGCGGACATATTCGCAAAAGCGGCTTGGGCGGTAGGATTATTCTCGCGTTCTATTTGTTCGACAATACTGCTTCCGAATTTCTTTTTCATTTCGTTCAAGGGATTCAAAAGGCGTGTATCTGTCGAGAATAAATCAGACGTTGTTTCTTTCGATGCTGGTGCTGCTTGAAGTTCATTTGAGACCATGAGAAAATCATCATCGACCTAAAAGGTTAGTTGAGAAAAAGAAATTCAATTTCGTCTTCGTATTTACTTCTTCATTCTTCGGCACTTCTGTATTCTTCTTTTTGCCTTTCC